AGACAGAAAGGCTCTCATCCCTCCCATGAGCACCGAGGATCAGGCCCTGTGCAATGGGATCAGCACTGCTTATTCCGACAGAGGCAAGCTGCTAGACAGCTTGGGTCATCGCGACAAAGCACAAGCCAGCTTCAGACAGGCGGAGAAGTGGCGGTATGTCCTGGGCCCTGACGGGAAGTCTATCCGTTCTCGGTCCGGCGGGGTCTTCACTTCCATCTGCCGTGCACTCAACCTCCGCGGTACATCATCAACTGCACCCGACCAATCCTGTCCAGAGGAGAAGAGCAGGCCGAGTCCCAGCGGTGTCGCTTATGTTCCTCCAGCAATCTTTCCTGAGAACGTGGCAGGACCTGTGGCCAAACATGATCTACCAGGACCAGATGGGCGCATCACCACCACTCCTCAGCTCGTTTATTGTCTCGAATTACTGTCCAAGGCCTCGACGTCATCATCATCAACATATGCCGCAGAATCCGATGAGCCGTTTGACAAAGCTCAGTGCGACTGGATACAGGTTAAAGCTAGGGATGCGGACGAAAAAGATCGGCTACATTCGCTGGTGACAAGAGTGATCGTGGCATTCATTGACGACGACCTCAAGGATGCCGCCACGGTCGCTGAAGTGGTGTGCCTAGCGCCTGTGCTCAACAGAGAACGCTATCGCAAGCTGCTCAGCAACCTCATCGATGGGATTGACCAACCGATACTGCTGGACTTCAACCTTCTTGAAGGCCTGGCGCAGCTGATACAGAGCGCTTCCCCAGGCTACCTCCTTGATGATGACCTGGTCAAGATCTTGGAGGTCCTTAGCAAGCGCTTGCAGAACACCCACCATCAATCGAGCGAGCATCGTTATCAGTTGGCCATGGCGGTCTCCGGCGTGCTGGATGCGATGGCGGACAGTGATGTCAAGGGGTTGAGCCGCGAGCGGCTGCGTGAGCCGCTGAAAGCCTACCTGGAAGAAATGAAGAACAGTTCCGATCCCTACTTAGTATACCAGGCTGCCTATGCCTACCAGGCCCTGCAGTATGTCCCGGATGATGAGACGTCCCTGCAAGCAGTGGTGCGGCGCACACGAGTGGTGGTGAATGGCATCTCAGGGCTTGTGAGTGCGGTCAAAGGGCTGGATGTGAGTGGTTTTATCGATGGACTGGGTCAGCTGCAGGAAGGACTGGGAGAGGTGTACCAGGTCGCCATGCTCGGATACGAAGGTGTGAGCTCGCTGGTCGATGGCGGACAGGGACTTGTGGATAGTTTCAAGGAAGGCCTCAGCTTCAGTCGGAAGCGTGCATGGTACCCGGCGTTGCGCTGCACAGATGCCTTGATTCGAGACGGCCGACTCGCAGACTTCAAAAACCTGGTTTGTGGGGCACCATGCCGGCGTGATCCATTGTTCGAATGGGGTGTGTGTCAACGGCTTGGAGAGATCGCCGCCGATCCGCTCTGGGAAGCCGGCACCCGCCAAAGCGCCGTCGATCTACTAGGCGAGCTGTATGTGAACGATCTGGACTGGGGCCAGCAAGCCAGCGTCAAACAATGGATCCTCACGATTCTCATCCAGCTAGCTAATACGCCCGATAGCGCCGATATGCCCGATAGCGCCGACAGGTTCAGCAGAGCAGTAAAAGGACACGCTTATGCTCTACTGCTAGGTCTGGAAAATGACAGCGATACAAAGAAACAGGTGTTGTGTCGTTCCTGCATCAGCCTACCTTCGAATCCATATCCGCTGAGGGTCGGATTGCCAGAGCTAGCGTCTCCGTCGCTGCTCGATCGTGTCCAGGATATCCCAGATGTCGAAGACGGCCTACGCAGGCTGAAGGGGCGGCGGCTAGCAGAGCGCGGCAAGGCCGTCTACATCCCTCCTCGAGCCAAGGTCAGCTTACAAGCATCCGACAGCGCACTGTTCTCACTGGCGGAGAAAGTGCACGAGTTCCTGAACAGTGATCGCAAGGTGCTCCTGCTACTGGGTGATTCTGGTGCGGGAAAGTCGACCTTCAACAGGACACTCGAGTGCGACTTGTGGGACAAATACAGGAAAGGGAAAGGCCCGATCCCACTTCACATCAACCTGCCTGCAATCGACAGACCGTACCAGGACATGATCGCCAAGCACTTGCGTAGGAACGACTTTACAGAACCCCAGATCCGAGAGATCAAGCAGCACCGTGAGTTGATCCTGATCTGCGATGGATATGATGAGAGCCAACAGACACACAACTTGTATGTAAGTAACCAGTTGAATGAGCCAGGAGAGTGGCGCGCCAAGATGCTGATCAGCTGCCGTAGCGAGTACCTTGGTCAGAACGACAGAGATCGCTTCCAGCCGATGGGCCGGAACAACAAGGCCATACTCAACCTCTTCCAAGAGGCAGTCATTGTCCCGTTCTCTCCAGAGCAGGTCGAAGACTACATCAGGCAGTATGTACACCAGAACAGGCCGCTGTGGAGGACCAAGCAGTACCTGGAGGCGCTTAAGCAGGTCCCCAACCTGCAGGAGCTGGTGAAGAACCCGTTTCTTCTGACACTGTCGTTGGAGGTACTACCGCGGGTGGTGGATGCAGGACAGGTGCAGGATCTCTCCAGAACCAGGGTCACTCGTGTAGCGCTGTATGACCAGTTCGTGGAGCAATGGCTGGAGCGTGGCAAGAAACGGGTGGGGGGCAATGATCTGAGTCCACAAGCGAAGGCGGCGTTTGACACCCTGGTAGACGAGGGCTTTACTCTGAACGGCATCAGGTTTCTGAAGAGATTGGCATCAGCCATCTACAAGGAGCAAGCAGGCCATCCTGTGGTGGAGTACTCGCGCACCAGAGACGCATGTACATGGAAGGCGGAATTCTTCAACCGAGAAGACGAGGCCCAGCTCCTGCGCGAGGCTTGTCCTCTGAGCCGCAGTGGCAACCAGTACCGGTTCATCCATCGATCGCTACTGGAGTACTGCTTTGCGCTCGCAGTATTTGACCCGCAGAAGAACAAGACTCCGCGTCTGACTTCTGCTCCGGCCCGCCGAGGGAGTGTCGGCTCCATGTTTAGCTTCGACGATAAAGACACCCCAGAGGAAGAGTCTGCTGGCGCTCGGCAGTCTGTTATCAAGCACCCATTGTCATGGAGAAGGCTCGTGGATGAGCCGTCGGTACTGCAATTTCTAGCGGAACGAGTCCAACAAGAACCCATCTTCAAGCAGCAATTACTCGCGATGGTTGAGCGCTCGAAAACGGACAAAGAGGGACGCAAGGCGGCAGCTAACGCGATGACGATACTGGTCAGAGCCGGGATGCGGTTCAACGGCTCAAATCTGCAAGGCATCCGGATTCCAGGGGCGGACCTGAGTGGTGGAGAATTTGATTCTGCACAGCTGCAAGAGGCAGATCTGAGAAAAGTCAACCTTCGCAATGTTTGGCTGCGGCAGGCTGATCTGAGCAAGGCGCGGATGACAGGCGTACAGTTTGGCGAGCGGCCGTACCTCACAGAAACTAGCGAGGTGTCTTCCTGCGCGTATTCAGCTGATGGAAGGAACTGTACCGTGGGACTTTGCAACGGCGCGATCACTGTGTATGACACCACGACTTGGTCAAAAATCCTCACGTTCAGTGGCCATACAGACAGAGTTACTTGCTTAGCGTATTCACCAAGCAGCCAGCAGATTGCTTCAGGCAGTTGGGACAAGACTGTGCGGCTGTGGGATATGCAAACCGGGGCATCCGGTGTCATCTTAAGCGGCCATACCGACAAAGTTACGAGTGTAGCGTATTCACCAAGCGGCCAGCAGATTGCCTTTGGTAGTGACGACAAGACGGTGCGGTTATGGGATACGCAAACCAGTGCACCTGATGCTTTGTTAAACGGCCATTCCGGGGGGGTTACTTGTGTGGCGTACTCGCCAAGCGGCCAGCAGATTGCCTCAGGCAGCCGTGATAAGACGGTGCGGTTGTGGGATACGCAAACCGGTACACTCGGTGCCATCTTAAGAGGCCATACCAGCGATGTTACAAGCGTCGCGTATTCTTCAAGCGGCCAGCAGATTGCCTCAGGCAGTCGCGACAAAACTGTGCGGCTGTGGGACGCCCAAACCGAAACACCCGGTCTCGTTTTAACCGGCCACACCAACTGGGTTACCTGCACGGCGTATACGGCAAGCGGCCAGCAGATTGCTTCGGGCAGTATTGACAAGACGGTGCGGATATGGGATGCGCAAACCGGCACACGTGGTGCAGTGTTAAGCGGCCATACCAAAGGGGTTACTTGCGTGGCATATTCGCCAAGCGGCCAGCAGATTGCCTCAGGCAGTTATGACAAGACAGTGCGGCTGTGGGATACGCAAACCGGTGCACATGGTGCAATGTCAAGCAGCCATGCCAACGGGGTTACAAGTGTGGTATATTCACCAAGTGGCCAGCGTATTGCCTCGGGCAGTTATGACAACACGGTGCGGATATGGGATACGCAAAACGGCGCACGTGGTGCAGTGTTAAACGGCCATGCCCGCAAGGTCACAAGCGTGGCGTATTCACCAAGTGGCCAGCAGATTGCCTCGGGCAGTTGGGACAAGACGGTGCGGCTGTGGGATGCGCAAACCGGTGCACCTGGTGCAGTGCTAACCGGCCATGGAGACGAAGTTACAAGCGTTGCGTATTCGGCAAGCGGCCACCAGATTGCCTCAGGGAGTGGAGACAACACGGTGCGACTATGGGATACGCAAACCAGTACCTCTGGTGCAGTGTTAACCGGCCATAAAGACAAGGTTACAAGCGTGGCATATTCACCAAACGGGCAGCAGATTGCTTCGGGCAGTTATGACAAGACGGTGCGGCTGTGGGACACGCAAACCAGTACCCCTGGTGCAGTGTTAACCGGCCATAAAGGCAAGGTTACAAGCGTGGCATATTCGCCAAACGGCCAGCAGATTGCTTCGGGCAGTTATGACAAGACGGTGCGGTTGTGGGATACGCAAACTGATTCGGCTGGTGCCATTTTAACCGGCCACACCAATTGGGTTACTTGCGTGGAGTATTCGCCAAGAGGCCAGCAGGTCATCTCAGGCAGTAGCGACAAGACGATGCGACTGTGGGATGTGAAATCCGGTCAGTGTTTGGTGGTCGTTAAAGATTTTCATGGACGCATCTCCAGCATCGCATGGAACACGACTCTCGATGGCACTTATTTTGCAACTGGCTGCAGCGATAAATCCGTTCGCGTGTGGCAACTATTAGAAGAGGAGGATGGCTATCGCGTAAGCCTGCATTGGGGTTCGAACCATGGTGGACTTGTCGTGTCGGGTATCACTATCCAAGAAGCACAAGGCTTGAGCAGGGTAAATGCGAAGCTATTGCTGCAGCGTGGCGCTGTGGGCGACCCAGTCCCTCCTTTGACCTTCCGCGGAACTAGTGAGAAGCTGGTCACCATGGCAACTGTTGTATCTCAGCTTGGGATGCAGCCAAACCGCAGCATGTCGAATACCCTCCCAGCGGCTGGTCCCCCGGCAGAGAGTTAGTAACGCCGGTTGTATAGGCGGAGATATGGCTCGGAAATTGATAGCGGCAGCTTAACTCTTACTTTTTGCAAGTCTTCTGCTGGTGCATGGATGCGCCTCCTGAAGAAGACAGACAAACAAGCATACAAGTCTCTTGTCATTGACAAGTCCTGAAAATAAAAAATGGCAGCTTATAACAAAGAACTGAGCGCTTATTGGGCTAAAGACCACAGAGCGAGCATGAAGGGATGAAGTCTAGGGTTATGGACAACCATGGTTGTGTAAATGCTGACTAGCACTGTGCGCGGCTTTATTCTTTACGCACATACACTCTAGATCTAGGTAACCGTCATCAGTACTGTCACGACATCTTCCATCACTCTGGCTACGGCCACCGTCAACGCCGCTATGACCAATACTAGATGCACACCAATAGCGCGTTCGCCTGCAGCATTGGCCTTAGTCACACCCTGCACACCATCAAGCGTCTCCTGGACATATCGTCTGAAACGAGCATATCAGCAACCAGGACCAGCGACTGTTGCATTATCGTCACCAGATGGATATGCGTAGCTGCTGTACTATTTTGCTAGGAATCTGAACAGCACAATAATGGATAGCATCAACTAGGACACAAGTGAGGAGCGCAAATGACAAACATGCAGCTGCTGGTTCGAGTCCCAGTTGGCTCCGCAGTTAACTCATCAGCTGTCACGGAATATCCTGTTATTTTTAGTTGAATAACATATTAACAGGGTATTCTACAATAGGATACTACGGGGTTGTCACTGCACAAGAGACAGTGATAAATGGCGAAGAGTGCGCGCTGTGCTGCACGCACAGACTGTGCTTGCCCATAACCGCTCATTGTAGCCAAAAGTCATTCATTATTTACTAACATATCACTGGATAGCTACAGGCCGAACGGATCACTATGTTTGGGCGCGTAGAGCGACAGTTGGACCGGCATTGAGCAGTCAAAACATGAGCAGTGGATCAGCGGTGCACAGCTGGTAGTAGATATTAGCTAGGGAGTCCACGAGGGAAGGACGATAGATGGCTCGGGAGATTGTTTAGATACACAGGAACAAGGACAAGGACAAGAACAAGTCTAAAGACTCAAAAGACATCATTTCATGGACGGGAGATGGCTCAAGGGGACTTTGTGAAGCCGCAAGTGGCAATACTCTGCAGTTACTGCCAGTTGTATGCCCTCAACAACAGTTGTGCCCTTGATAGGGATATCAACTGCAGAGAAACGAGTACTGATCTATGGCCCCATAAGTATGAGTATTTACTTGTGTGTTTGAAAGCATAGCGCACTATCAGAGACAGAGAACTCACAGCTGTGTCCTGTCCCGGTAGTGCCTTGGACTTCCCCAAGGGTCTGGCCGATTAGTGACAGCGTTATGCAGTGCCATCTAGGCTCGTGCCTGAACTCTCTCTGGCACGCAGACATAGGGCGATGTTCCTAAGGCCCATGTGCGTCTTTGGCTGGACTCAGCTCTAAACAAACCGACCCTCGCCCTCATCTTTGCCCTCGCACTATGTAAGCTTTGGAGTCGCTAAAGATAGATACTGGAACGGTATTATGGAGTAGAGAGGGAATAGAAATGGAATAGGGATTGATCCTATAATACGGTGGTGGTTCACACAGTTGCCAAGTCGGGTTACACAAAAGGTCGAAAGATCAACCTTTTGCTGTCTCACAGCTGGCGGGACGACCCATTGTATCATACATGAGGGCGAGGGGCCAAAGTGGCTACGAACGAGTTGCGTCTTCGTGCTCGTCTTCCTTCTTTCATTTTCCCTTCTTTCCAGCTACATCCTCCGCTCAATCCATCAAGATTCCTCTGAACCGTCTATTATCCTTCCCATTGTCTCTCTCCTTTCTCCGTTCTTCCTTACACCTCAAAAAACTCTGGTCGGCGGCGACTCATTAGCGACAGTGCAGTCCAGTTGGCAGAAAAAGCTGACCTTGTCTGTGATCATATAGGCAGACTAAGAACGCAAGAGCCAGACTAGGGTAGGACCAGCGTCTGTGAAGCTGAGGAGAACAACAATGCATGTGCAACGGATATTAACCTATAGTGTGTGACGATAAGCACTATTGCTAGGAGACACAAGGGAGCGAACCCAGACCATTGCACAGTTGTCCAGAAAAACGAAGAAGTAGGAGTACCCATATTAAGGTGAGAGACCATCTCATTCCTTCTGTATGTGAATAAGAAGATATACAACATGTGCAGCGGTTAACAGTCCACCTTGCTTGGCGATAGCCGTCCCTACTCGGGGCAACGAAGGACAACGAACTTGGACAGGAGAACAGAAGCAGCGATTTTGAGCAGAAGAAGCAAACTTGAGAAAGAAAAGCGTTTGCTGTTCCCACAGGCTCCCCAGGTACTACAGCCTCTTGCGTTCAATTGTATTCAATTGCGTCCCACTGTCTGAGAGCCGTGCGCATCAAGTGTAAATGTGTACGCTGGCTGCTCTCACACCACCGATTGATACACGACCATAGAGGACTCTCAGACCGATATGTTCAGCAGTACGTTTTCGTCCTCACGAAGCGCTCTCTCACCACAAAGGGCCTTGAACCTCGCCAACGCTCATCTGGAAAATGCACGAAAAGCAGACGACCCGTATCTCATTTTGGACTTGTGCGCCAGTGCGGAGGCTGCGTTATCTCAGATGAAGAGAGCAGACAAAAGGACTCTCATCCCTCCTATGAGCACCGAGGATCAGGCCCTGTGCAATGGGATCAGCACTGCTTATTCGGACAGAGGCAAGCTGCTAGACAGCTTGGGCCATCTCGACAAGGCACAAGCCAGCTTCAGACAGGCGGAGAAGTGGCGATATGTCCTGGACCCCAACGGGAACCCTATCCGCTCTCGGTCCGGTGCGATCTTCACTTCCATCCGCCGTGCACTCAACCTTCGCGGTACATCAACAGCCGCGCCCGAACGATCCTATCCAGAGGCAAAGAGCAAGCTGAGTCGCAGTGATGTCGCCCAGGTTCCTCCAGCGATCTTTCCTGAGAACGTGGCAAGACCTGCAACCAAACATGATCTACCAGGGCCGGATGGGCGCATCACCACCACTCCTCAGCTTGCCTACTGCCTCGGATTGCTCTCCAAGGCCTCAGCGTCATCGTCATTAACATATGCCTCAGAACCCGATGAACCGCTTGACAAAGCTCAGTGCGACTGGATACAAGCCAAAGCTAGGGATGCGGACGAAAAAGATCGGCTACATTCGCTGGTGACAAGAGTGCTCGCGGCATTCATTGACGACGACCTCAAGGATGCCGCCACGGTCGCTGAAGTGGTGTGCCTAGCGCCTGTGCTCAACAGAGAACGCTATCGCAAGCTGCTCAGCAACCTCATCGATGGGATTGCGCAATCGACCCTGCTGGACTTCAACCTTCTTGAAGGCCTGGCGCAGCTGATACAGAGCGCTTCCCCAGGCTACCTCCTTGCCGATGACCTGGTCAAAATCTTGAGGGTACTTAGCGTGCGCTTACAGGACACCCACCATCAATCGAGCGAGCATCGTTATCAGTTGGCCATGGCGGTCTCCGGCGTGCTGGATGCGATGGCGGACAGTGATGTCAAGGGGTTGAGCCGCGAGCGGCTGCATGCACCGCTGTCAGCTTATCTGGAAGAGATGAAGAACAGCTCTGATCCTTACTTAGTATACCAGGCTGCCTATGCCTACCAGGCCCTGCAGTATGTCCCAGATGATGAGACGCCCCTGCAAGCAGTGATGCGGCGCACAAGAGTGGTGGTGAGTGGTATCTCAGGGCTTGTGAGTGCGGTCAAAGGGCTGGATGTGAGTGGTTTTATCGATGGACTGGGTCAGCTGCAGGAAGGACTGGGAGAGGTGTACCAGGTCGCCATGCTCGGATACGAAGGTGTGAGCTCGCTGGTCGATGGCGGACAGGGACTTGTGGATAGTTTCAAGGAAGGCCTCAGCTTCAGTCGGAAGCGTGCATGGTACCCGGCGTTGCGCTGCACAGATGCCTTGATTCGAGACGGCCGACTCGCAGACTTCAAAAACCTGGTTTGTGGGGCACCATGCCGGCGTGATCCATTGTTCGAATGGGGTGTGTGTCAACGGCTTGGAGAGATCGCCGCCGATCCGCTCTGGGAAGCCGGCACCCGCCAAAGCGCTGTTGATCTACTAGGCGGGCTGTATATGAACGATCTGGACTGGTGCCAGCAAGCCAGCGTCAAACAATGGATCCTCACGATCCTCATCCAGCTAACTGATATGAACAACAACGCCGACATACAAGGCAGCATAATAAGGCACCATGCCCACATTCTGCTGCTAGGTCTAGAAAGAAATGGCGATATAGAGAAACAGGCACTGTATCGCGATTGCATCAGCGCGTCTCCGAGTCCATATCCACTGAAGGTCGGCTTGCCACAGCTGGCGTCTCCGTCGCTGCTCGATCGTGTCCAGGATATCCCAGACGTCGAGGATGACCTACGCAGGATGAAGGAGCGGCGGCTAGCAGAGCACAGCAAGGCCGTCTACATCCCTCCTCGAGCTAAGGCTAGCCTGCAAGCGTCCGACGATGCACTGTTCTCATTGACGGAGAAAGTGCACGAGTTCCTGAAAAGTGATCGCACGGTGCTCCTGCTGTTGGGTGACTCTGGTGCGGGAAAGTCGACCTTCAATCGGGAACTCGAGTGCGACTTGTGGGACAGCTACAAAAAAGAGAAAGGCCCGATCCCGCTCTACATTAGCCTGCCTGCGATCGACAGGCCGCACCAGGACATGATCGCCAAGCACTTGCGCAGGAATGACTTTACAGAACCCCAGATCCGAGAGATCAAGCAGCACCGTGAGTTGATCCTGATCTGCGATGGATATGATGAGAGCCAGCAGGCACACAACCTGTATATAAGCAACCAGCTGAATGAGCCAGGAGAGTGGCGCGCCAAGATGCTGATCAGCTGCCGCAGCGAGTACCTTGGTCAGAACGACAGAGACCGCTTCCTGCCAATGGACCAGAACCGCAAAGCCATACCCAGCCTCTTCCAGGAGGCAGTCATTGTCCCGTTCTCTCCAGAGCAGGTCGAAGACTACATCAGGCAGTATGTACACCAGAACAGGCCGCTGTGGAGGACCAAGCAGTACCTAGAGGCGCTTAAGCAGGTCCCCAACCTGCAGGAGCTGGTGAAGAACCCGTTTCTTCTGACACTGTCGTTGGAGGTACTACCGCGGGTGGTGGATGCAGGACATATGCAAGATCTCTCTAGAACCGGGATCACACGTGTAGCGCTGTATAACCAGTTCGTGGAGCAATGGCTGGAGCGTGGCAAGAAACGGGTGGGAGGCAATGATCTGAGTCCACAAGCGAAGGCGGCATTTGACACCCTGGTGGATGAGGGCTTTACGCTAAGCGGCGTCGGTTTTCTGAAGGAACTGGCAGCAGCCATCTACAAGGAGCAAGCAGGCCATCCGGTGGTGGAGTACTCGCGCGCCAGAGACGAACGAACATGGAAGGCGGAGTTCTTCAGCCGAGATGATGAGGCCCAGCTCCTGCGCGAAGCCTGTCCTCTGAGCCGCAGTGGCAACCAGTACCGGTTCATCCATCGATCGCTACTGGAGTACTGCTTTGCGCTCGCAGTATTTGACCCACAGGAGAACAAGGCTTCGCGACCGTCTTTTGCTCCGGCCCGCCGAGGGAGTGTCAGCTCCATGTTCAGCTTCGAATGGCGGGCAGCGCCAGAGGACGAGTCTGCTGGCGCTCGGCAATCTGTTGTCGATCATCCATTGTCATGGAGAAGCTTCGTGGACGAGCCATCGGTGATGCAATTCCTAGCGGAACGAGTTCAACAAGAACCCACCTTCAAGCGACAGCTACTCGCGATGGTTGAGCGCTCGAAAACGGACAAAGAGGGACGCAATGCTGCAGCAAATGCGATAACGATACTGGTCAGAGCCGGAATACGGTTCAACGGCGCAGACCTGCAAGGCATCAGTATTCCGGGGGCGGACCTGAGTGGTGGAGAATTTGATTCTGCACAGCTGCAAGGGGCAGATCTGAGAAAAGTCAACCTTCGCAATGTTTGGCTGCGGCAGGCTGATCTGAGCAAGGCGCGGATGACAGGCGTACAGTTTGGCGAGCGGCCGTATCTCACAGAAACTAACGTGGTGCATTCCTGTGCGTATTCGCCTGATGGAAGGAACTGTGCCGTGGGTCTTAGGAACGGCACGATCAGCGTGTATGACACCACGACTTGGCAAAAAACTCTCACGTTAAGCGGCCATTTCTACAGAGTTACGAGCGTGGCGTATTCACCAAACGGCCAGCAAATTGCCTCAGGCAGTTATGACAACACGGTGCGGCTGTGGGATACGCAAACCGGCGCACCCGGCGCAGTGCTAAGCGGCCATATCGGTCGAGTATTAAGCGTGGCGTATTCGCCAAGCGGCCAGCAGATTGCCTCGGGCAGTTTTGACAGCACGGTGCGACTGTGGGATACGCAAACCGGTGCTCCTGGTGCAGTGTTTACCGGCCATACCCGCGAGGTTACAAGCGTGGCGTATTCACCAAGCGGCCAGCAGATTGCCTCGGGCAGTGAAGACTTCACGGTGCGGCTGTGGGATACGCAAACTGGTGCACTCAATATCACCTTAGGCGGCCATACCAACCGGGTTACAAGCGTGGCGTATTCACCAAGCGGCCAGCAGATTGCCTCGGGCAGTGAAGACTTCACGGTGCGGCTGTGGGATGCGCAAACCGGTGCTCCTGGTGCAGTGCTAGGCGGCCATAGAGACGAGGTTACAAGCGTGGCGTATTCGCCAAGTGGCCAGCAGATTGCCTCGGGCGGCTGGGACAACACGGTGCGGCTGTGGGATACGCAAACCGGTACACTCAATATCATTTTAAGCGGCCATACCAACCGAGTTACAAGCGTGGCGTTTTCGCCAAACGGCCAGCAGATTGCCTCGGGTAGCTATGGCAACACGGTGCGGCTGTGGGATACGCAAACCGGTGCGGTTGGTGCCATTTTAGCCGGCCATACCGGTTATGTTTCAAGCGTGGCGTTTTCGCCAAGTGGACAGCAGACTATCTCGGGCAGTTGGGACAAGACGATGCAGCTGTGGGATACGCAAACCGGTGCACCTGGTGCAGTGCTAACCGGCCATACCGAGGTAGTTTCAAGCGTGGCGTATTCGCCAAGCGGCCAGCAGATTGCCTCGGGCAGTTGGGACAACACTGTTCAGCTGTGGGATGCGCACACAGGTGCACCTGATGCAGTGTTAACCGGTCATACCGATCGAGTAATGAGCGTGGTGTATTCGCCAAGCGGCCAGAAGATTGCCTCGGGCAGTTGGGACAACACGGTGCGGCTGTGGGATACGCAAACCGGTGCGCCTGGTGCAGTATTAACCGGCCATACCGAGGTGGTTTCAAGCGTGGCGTATTCACCAAACGGTCAGCAGGTTGCCTCGGGCAGTGATGACAATACGGTGCGGCTGTGGAATACGCAAACCGGTGCAGCTGGTGCAGTGTTAAGCGGCCATACCCATTGGGTTACAAGCGTGGCGTATTCGCCAAGCGGCCAGCAGATCGCCTCGGGCAGTGAAGACAAGACAGTGCGGCTGTGGAATACGCAAACCGGTGCACCTAGTGCAGTGTTAACCGGCCATACCAACGTGGTTACAAGCGTTGCGTATTCACCAAGCGGCCAGCAGATTGCCTCGGGCAGTAGCGACAAGACGGTGCGGCTGTGGGATGTGAAATCCGGCCAGTGTTTGGTGGTCGTTATGGGGTTTCATGGATCCATCTCCAGCGTTACATGGAGCACGGCTCTCGACGGCACCTATTTCGCAACTGGCTGTGGCGATAAATCCGTTTGCGTGTGGCAGCTATTAGGAGAGGGGGATGACTATCGCGTACGTCTGCATTGGAGTTCGAACCATGGTGGACTTGTCGTGTCGGGCACCACTATCCATGAAGCACAAGGCTTGAGCAGGGTAAATGCGAAGCTGTTGCAGCAGCGCGGCGCTGTGGGTGACCCAGTTCCGCCTTTGAACTTTCGCGAGGCTAGTGAGAAGCTGATCACCATGGCAACTGCTATATCTCACCTTGGGATGCCGCCAAACCGCGGCATGTCAAGTACCTTCCCTGCGGCTGGTCCCTCCAGCAGAGAGTCAGTAAAGTCGGTTGCGTAGGCGGCAGTGACATGACTAGGAAGTTGATAATCGCAGCTTGGCTCTTACTCTGTGCAAGTCTTCTGCTGGTACATGGATGCTCCTCCAGAAGAAAATAAACATGCAAGTCTTTTGTCATCGACTAGTCGCAAAAATGAAAATGGCAAATTGCAGCAAAGAACTGAGCACTTATTGTGCTGAAAGACCGCAGAGCGAGGCATGAAAGGATGAAGTCTAGGGTTATGGACAACCATGGTTGTGTAAATGCTGACTAGCACCGTGCGCTGCTTTATTCTTTACGCACATACACTCTGGATCTAGGCAACCGTCATCGACAGTACTGTCCCGAGCTCCTCTACCACTCTGGCCAAGGCCACCATCATTACCGCTATGGCCAACGTTAGATACACACCAATAGCGCGTTCGCCTGCAGCATTGGCCTTAGTCACACCCTGCACACCATCAAGCGTCTCCTGGACGTATCGTCTGAAACGAGCATATCAGCGACCAGCACCAGCGATTGTTGCATTATCGTCACCAGATGGATATGCGTAGCTGCTGTACTATATTAGTAGGAATCTGAACAGCACAATACTGGGTAGCATCAAGTAAGATACAAATGAGAGGAGAGGAGTGTAAATGATAAAAATGCAGCTGCTGGTTCGAGTCCCAGTTGTCACGGAATAGCCTGTTATTTTTAGTTGAATAGGATATTAACAGGGTATGCTGCAATAGGATGCTACGTGGTCGCCACTGCACAAGAGACAGTGGCGGATAGCGAAGATTGCACGCTGTGGTGCATGCACGTGCAGACTGTACTTGCCCATAACTATTCGATGTCGCCAAGAGATACTCGTTATTTACTAACACAGCACTATTTTAATATGGCTCTTATTGTAGTGTTTATGTTCCAGAGACAAAACGATTAATAACAACCACAAAAGCATTTTCTATCTCGGTTCGACTGCACATTCGACCTCGCTTTTTGCGGGCAAAAACAGCGACCCATATTTCTTGAGACATTTCACATGTACCTAATGAATGCAGTTTCTATTTGCACTGCGTTGAAAAGTAGACCTTTATTCAAGGGTGCCTGGAGAAGCACTTAGCTCCCTCGGTACGCTCAATTGGCTTGGTGTGGTTCGTGCCCTTGAGGCTCTTGTTGGGGTTGGTACGTGAAACACTCATGCAGTGCTTGGAATTTGTGTCAGTGCTGCGCTTGTGGCTATTATCGCTCCTGCTGTGCTGGTCCTTGCTGAGGTGAACACTAAAGGAGCGCTCTTCTTCACGGTGAAAACTCGGTTGTCGATAGCCTGTCCACTACTGTTCACGTTTGTCCATTACTGTCCTGTGCCGTGATCTGGATGTTGACTAGGTACCGTCGTCCAAGGCCCTTCGTCCTCTTAGCGTCCTCGTCTGTTCTGTCCACGACCAAAGAATTCTTCGAGTGTCATCTTGTAGGTTTTGGTGACTGACGCTCATCTGTCGCTATGAAAGTCGGTAGTCTGCTTGTGCTAAGAGTAGTTGTCAATGCTCTTGATACTAGCCTTGTCTCTACCAACAAGAGTGCCGACATGACTTTGGCGGTCGAGCGCTCTGCACGTTGGCCCAGCGGATTATCTGTTTGCAACAACTGCAGTGGCAGTCAAGAAGAGAGCTCGGACTTGGATCATCGTTACTGGGACGGGTTTCGTAGTAGATGTTACGGAGCAGATACACTGCTGGTGATGCTTGGTTTTATATTGCCTCTGAAACCTCGTCGCTCTTTCAGCACTGCACGCTCCGCATAAATCCCAGGACGCGTTTATGCTTTTGAAGTACCAATTGAACTGGCGAGTATTTCCTGGCACGTACGAAGACGGTTCTTAATGACGATAGAAGAGATCCCAGTGGATTGTACTATCGGGTGCCTTTGGGCACACGTGGATGCTGTGATTATTCGCAAGAGATAGCGCAAGAAGAGTCAGTGGTTGCACCACCAAGACTCCCCCCCCCCCTTTTTTTTTATCTTTCATTGAGAGGTTGCCACATGACCATGGATGATCATGTCCAGGAACACGGTCTTTGCATCCAAACTAAAGGCTTTTTTCTTTACTCAGTAATAAGAGAAATCCCCCTCCTCCCTTTTTTTATTATCTTGGCTTTGCCCACACCAATTTGAGGGTGCCCTTGCGCGTTAATACGCATGCCCAAAAGACAAAGTTCGGGCACCTGCCCTCACATTCAAAATCGGGTCCGCGAGAAACGATCGCCTAGTTAGTGTCGCCCTATCCTGTCTTGAATACAACATATATCGCTAGTCAAAAAGATATTAGTATCCCTCTTCACTGCTACTGCATCATTTTTTGTTCCAATTGGGTACGTGGACAGACTGCAGGGGGAGTCTCCCTTCATAGACCACAACCCCTTTCTCGACCCAAACACCCTGTTTGAGCAACTCAAGTGGCCCTTTTGGCATGGACTTGCCTACATATCGACACTTGAATAGCGGGTAGCAGGAGTGCACCCCTTCTCTTTTTTTCCGCACCTCCCTTTACTGATACGACGGAGCATGATTTGGATGCTTTGTGCGATTTGAAATTAGTAAACATTTCAGGTGCCCAGGCCTTCTGCAGTCTTCTTTAGTGTGCGTAATTTTTTTTTTTTTTTGGCTAGGACCTTGCAGTTCTGCAATCAAACATATTTTGCTCCAAGTACAGTATTACACCCAACGTTCTCGTCCTCTTCTTTTCTCTTTTCTCTTTTTTTCTTTCTTTTGTTTCCCCTCATATCTTGTTGCTCTTCCCCTTCTTCACTGCGACTTTCCGACCAAGGGTTGCCCCGGGTCTTTTGATCACTCCCGTGGTTTTCAAGCGAAAAAGTAAAGAGAAGGATTGGTCCTGTCCACAGCAATAAGAGAATAAAGGAACAGAGAAGCTCAACCGAGGTAATGGATACATGTCCAATTGTCTCTTTCTAGCTTTTTGTACGACACACAGAAAGCTGTCCTCTTTCACAATTCATTCTCCTCACGCCTTTTCTACAACTCTATGATCCTATAATTGGCGTGTCGATAGATCTCTAGATCGGGACGCGACAAGGTTTCGAGACGCGCTGATCGCTTTTGCCACTAACTTCGATACCATTCCAATGGACAACTGCTCCTCTTCCTCCTCCAGCACCCATTGGATCGCCCTCCCCAGCAACGTCAACACCCCCACTCGTCAAGAACGCAACTCGGTGTCAAGTCCAAGACGAGTAACAGCCACAACGTTCTTCTCGTCTTCTGTCAATTCTTCGCCGTGTTCGTTCATTTCGGCCATCTCAACCATCGAAGCAGACAGGGACTATGGTGCTGCTGTAGAAGAGAGGCATGAACTTGTCTGCTGTAACCTCCCATCTTCGTCCTCCACATTCATACTGGAAAATGAGCTGCAAGAGCAAAGCCTGTCGTTGAGAAGATCAGAGCTCTCTAGTTCGAGATCAAGAGATCTGGGATATTATTCCCACACTCAGCTTGGTTATGAGCAGAGTCAGGCACAAGTAGTGGATCAGAATCTTCATCGTCATAATTACCGGTATCAACAACCACAACCACAACCACAACCACAACAACAACAAAAACAACAACAAAAGCTACAATGGCAGCAAAAATCAAATGATCGAAAGAAGGGTTTTGGCAACAATGGAGCTCCTCAGGACCACGCCCATCCACAAAGTCATAACCGCAGATGTGGTTCGGATCATGACCTGACTCAACACAGGCAACAAGAGCGGCTGTCATTTCAGGTCAAGGACAAAGCCAAGTACAGGGAAGAGCAGGTGGCCCCTATTGTCGACACGCCACTACTCCCAGTGCAGACCAGCTGTCTCACCTGTTTGCCCACGCCCTTGACATCGGGGTCACCCTCAAATGCGCCTGCGTCTGTGACTAATTCCGCTTCTCCGATCGTACCATCGCCGTCGTCCTCGTGCATGTGTTCTGTCGTTGCTTCTTCAATTGCAGCGCCCTCCGCAGTGTCGCTGGCTCATCGGCGGCACAGAACTGTCTCGTCTGCAGTTGCATCACTTGAATTCGCTTCGGCGTTGTCGAAGGAACATACGCTCATGGGGGATAGTGACCGATGCGAAGGTGAGGGTAGTCATACTATCGCACCGTCTCTGGTGACATTACCACCGCACTCCTTGTTTCCCTCATATCACACCGCTGCCCAAAACAACCACGACCTCGATTTAAACAATAAGAACACCACCACCAATAACGATTGGGACAATCCCGTGCTTCAGTCATCTGTATCTCTTCCAACCCCAGTTCCAGGGACTGTCCTGATCTCCTCCTCTTTCGCACAACGCCTTCCGCAACCGCCAGTACAACAGCGAGACTTTGAGGCAGCAGGAGAGCCATTCACAGCACCTTCGCTGCCATCTTCTGAGGACACACGCCTTCTCGCCTCTGGAATTCACTCCTTGCGTCAACAGCAGCTCATTCATCAACTTGCCCTGCAACACCAGCAGTACCAGCAGCAACACCTTCAGAACTCGAGCTGTTCAAACACAACAACGTCGTCATCTGAATTCCTTCCCTTCACTTCTAACCTCTTGGTTTCAGCACACGAATTCGTCGACGCCGCTACCCCCTCCACCCGCGATATGAAGGCCCCAAGACCATCCCTCCTCTCTGGAAGCCTCTCCAATTCCGCAATCTTGACTTCATCACCCGAATACATGGCTTCGCCCACTGGATCCTCATCTTCGTCGCACACACCATCATCCTCATCTGCATTCCATTCTCCGTCAAACTCTATCATCTGGACATCGTCCTCCAGAGCTACCGTTCGACGATCCTCGACAGCCGCAAGCCGCTATATTGAGTCGCCTCCGGAGTCCATGGCCCTTGGTCAAAGTAAGGATAAGGGCACTGTGAGGGTACGACGTTTCAGCAGACGACGAGTCACCAAGGCATGCTTTGACGGCCTGCCACGAGAGACCAAGATCCATATTTTTCGTTATTTGTCCACATTCCAGCTCGTCCGTGTGTCCAGGGTAAGTTCAACTGTGGTGGTAGCGGCTTTTTTTTTTTTTTTTTTTTTTTTGTTTACTTGTGATGAATTGAGTGTGGGTTTTCACTAAAAATACGGTTGGGGATTGTTCCGGATGTATGTAGCCCTAATTTTCGCTAACCTATGCATGCACGCATGCATGCATACATTCTTTCATGTACGCTGTACGTTTTGTTTATGGGGTATCGCGGAATAATAGGTCAGTCGGTCATGGAGAGGTATCGCGATGGATGGGTCGCTTTGGAAGGCCATTGATACGACCCGGTACTACAAGTCCATCAAGGATGACCAGTTGCGCACCCTGGGTACTGCAGCCTCGGGATTCTTGCGTTACGCCAATTTTCGGTAAGGAGGCAGCCCTCAGTCTGCACCTATTGGGATAGTTCACTGGAGGGAGGGACCAAACCTTTCATCGTCTAACAAAAAAAAAAAAATACTTTGCCCTGTCTTGGTTCAATAGCGGCTGCGTACAGCTGACGGCCGCATCGTTGAGCGCGATCGCCGAGCACTGTCCAAATATCGAGCGCCTGAACCTCACGGGCTGTCGTTCGATCACATCTAATGCCATCAGCGACGCCTGCATGAACATGCCCCTGCTCGTCCACCTTGATCTCTCGGGCCTGCAGGCTGTCAACAACTTTACGCTCCAAACCATGGCCGTTTACTGTCGCTCGCTTCAGGTCCTGAACCTAGCATGGTGCAAGCAAATCTCTGGATCTGGACTGACCAAACTCACTAGAAGCTGTCAAGGACTCCGGAAGCTGAACGTGTCGGGCTGTTCTAGCCTCGAGGATCGATGGATGCCTATGATGGGCATGAATCTGCCGAAACTGAGGGAGCTTTGTTTAAACGGGTGCAGCTCTTTGACGGATCGGGGGTTGATCGGTTTACTGTCAGGGTTGTCGGTAGGGTCGAGTAAGAAGCATAGGAAGTGGAGGATGAAGAAGCGCATGGCGTCCTCGGTCAGGGTCTCGAGTCTGGGGCATCTGTTAATCAACCAAAGCAGCTGCAACGATGACGACGATGGAGACGACGATGATGATGACGACGATGTCGACGAAGACGAGGACGATGTCGAAAAGGAAGAAGAATCGGAGCGAGAAAGCGAAGTCGATGGGGAAGAGGACGACGACGAGGTTGGAGCCGAGCACGGAAACGACGCCAGTAGCGGTGGTCAACCCCAGACATTATCCTTCTCAGCAACCCAGAGTCAACGTCCAGAGATGAACCCTGAGGGCCTACAGACGAAACTCGTCTACCTCGGTCTCTCACAATGCCGTCTACTCACTCACGAATCTCTCCGCGCAATCAGTCATCTTTGCAGCCGTCACCTCCGCCGCCTCGAACTCTCCAACTGTGAAAACCTCGGCGATGAAGGGCTTATCTATCTTGCCCAACACTGCACGCATTTACGACTTCTAGATCTTGAAGAGATAACCTCGTTGACGGACGTGTCCCTCCGCGCTTTTGCGATGCATCTGCCGAAGCTGGAGCGGATCTGTCTGTCCTATTGCGAGAATGTGACCGATCAGGGCATCATCCGCATGCTGCGCCCAGCACCCAATACGACGACGCTCTCGACCGCGACGGCGATGATGATGAACTCGGACGCGACTACACAGTACTGTAGGAAGCTGATGCATCTGGAGCTGGACAACTGCCTCCTGATCACAGATCGCTTGCTGCTGGAGTTTGCGAACGTGCTGGAGGAGCGGTATGCCAAGGCAGCGGAGCGGATGAAGGAGCGGGAGAGGAGGCGTGAGGAGCGTAGGGAACGCCTTCGACAGAAGAAACGTAAGATGATACCACGACAGCAGAAGGGACTGAGCCAGCGGCAATCCTCTTGGCCCACGAGCGAGAAAGAGTCCACCCCACGCAGCTCATCCGACCAGTCTGCTGGAGAAAAAATCCAGGCGACCGCCGCTCCTAACAGCACGACAACGGACACCGAAGCAACATATATCTCATCCTCACCTCTCAGTATCCCAGCCCGGTTCCGGCACATCCCAGCGCTCGCGAACGCGTCTCTACCTTCATACGCCTCCTCTCCTCTACAACCCCGCAGTGTACTCGCTTCTACGCTGCTCTCTGAAGAAGTCGTCGTCAAGAAGACCCGCCCTGGCATGCGGATCATGGTCCCAACACGCTCCACCTCGACCTCCTCTACTTCATCATCATCATCCTTATCTCTCTGGTCCTCCGAGATCCCCTCCCGCCGGACTAACGTGAATGGGACCAAGAAGGGACCCACCAAGAAACCGATCCGTCCGACGATCCAAGTCTTTGATTGCCGGAACATCACCCTCGAAGGCGTCGAAGCCGCCCAGGCACGGAGCTCGACGCTCGCGATCCGGAGCTACTATTCCTGGACCCATCCCTCAACATCCGGACCAACGACGGACGCGGCGTTCGGAGGCAGTGGCGGGATGGAGGGCTTGGATGCTGAAGCGGATGAGGACGAGGATGGGGAGGAGAGTGCGAACGGAACAGGCGGGATGAATAGCTCACAGACGAGTTTGCATCATCTGCAATTGCAGCAACAGCATTTGCAGCGCCAACAGCAGTTGTTGAGGAGACATCGGGCGGCGAATCTGTTGCACCGTGCTAGGGTTGGGCTTCTGGGCATCCCAGGTGATGCAGCTTTTACGGGCGGGGCGAGGAGTGATGGTCAATGTGTTATCTTGTAGATCAACTCTCGCTTTGTGATATGTAGTACAAGGTCCTTATAATGCTTTTTTTTTTTTTTCAGGGCGGAGAAAAGAGGGTGTGCTCCCAACCCCAATTACATTGCTCTTTATTTTCCTTCTGTGTCTGCATGCATAAAAAGGAATCATGTTCCGTTTTGTTTCAATAGTTCTTTTTATTATGTGAACCTCCAAAACGACTACGCCCAAGGTTATCTTCTACTCTACCTGGACCCCCCTACGCCCACAAGCACCCCTCCTAAGGTGTCGAATCATCTGATCCCTCCTTCCAAAGCCCTCTCCACAACCCCCGGAGCACAGATACTTCTTCACGAGCGCATGTTTCGCATCCACATGTCTCCTCAGATCATGTTTCCGCTTAAAATGCAGGTCGCACCCCGCGTACAGACACGGGAACGGGAAGTCGTCAACATGGATCGCCATATGGCTCTTGAGCTGTGTACGCGTCGGGAAGGGCTTCGAACAGGTCGGACAGGGATATGACTTGTGGAGGCCGCGTGCCTTGGGCTGGCCTGGATTAGGTAGTTCCATACCGCTCGTGGCTGTAGTGTCGGTGCTGTTGCTGCCGGTGTTGATATCATTGTTGCCGGATTTTCTGTTGGGAAAAGAAGTCCCGGGGGAGGCAGAAAAAGAAGAACGAGAAGGAACACAGCCCAATGTGTGTTGTCGGCAATATGAATGCTGCGCATGATTATAATGGCCGTGGGCTGTAGGGGAATCATAGGCCCGGATCTTAAACAGGTCTGAAGAAAGATTCCGCCGAGTTGGCGTACGCGCGGCCCTCCTCACAATCCCATCCGGATAAGTGCTATATCCCCTCATATTCGTATTTGTGTTCGTATTCGTGTTCGTGTTCGTGTTCGTGTTCGTGTTCGTGTTCGTGTTCGTGTTCGTGTTCGTGTTCGTGTCCGTGGCATGATACTGTAATGAGCTCTGCTTCTGTGGTTGTCCAGACAGGTTCATCTGCTCAAACAGTGAGAGCCCCCACGATGCCGACGATGCCAACTGCGAAGAAGTAGAGGAAGCAGGAGAGCTGGGCTGTGGTGGTGGCTGCCGCGAGATCGTCGGGGCCAAGGGACTTGATTGATTGCTCCAATCATGTTCAACCTGCAGAGTCGGAGTCGAGGGAATCCAGTATGGGAGTTCACGTACTGAATCCATCGTCGTCATCACTGGTGAAGATATAGCCTGGCTGCAGGGCGACGCTACCGTAGGTGAGGTCGATCGCGAGGAGAAGGTAAGGGTGTGAATCTGGCTTTGGTTTTGGCTTTGGCTTTGGTGCTGGCGCTGGAAATGAAGGCTCGAGGGCTGTTGTTGTGGTGAACGCTGTTGCCGCGCGTGTTGCTCTTCTTTATCGTAGTGGTACTGCTGCGGTCCGCCCAGGGGCGTTGGTCCATTCGCTATCTCGGCCGGCTCGGAAGCAGTATCCGACAAGGGCGAACTCGAAGTTGAAGTGGAAGATGAGGACTCGGCCATGGACTGGTCATCCAGGATCGGACAGGTCGGTTTCGCGAGGTTGGGAATGGTCGGTGGGAAGGGGGAGATGCCCATCAACAGTCGTTCCAATGTAAAGAGTATATTCTGGGGTGGTGCCAAGGGATCACTCGAGTCCCCGCACGTTGAAGGAAACTCTTGGATGCTGCTTCTGTTCGAAAGAGTGGTGTGATCGCGAAGGATGTAGAGTGGCCCCTGCGAGGAATGGCGGTCCTGGTGGTGTGGGTATGGGTTGTAGGGGTATTGGGCTTGAGGGTTCTGGCGGTGCGGTTGCGGTTGCGGTTGCGAGTATGAGTGTGAGTGTGAGTGTGAGTGCGAATGTGAGTTCGAGCGAGAGGCTGACATGGTAAATGGTGCTGCTGGATGGTGCTGATACGTGGAGGTGTCTTTGCACACTTGCATGGCTGAACTGAGATGGGCTGTTGTAATTGCGTAAAAAATGCGAGGATTATCCTAAAATGAGCTGAAGAGGGGATTGATCCGTAGGAAAAAAATCCGGCGGGCAAAGCAAAGCTGTTGAAAAGACCGTGCGAAGAAGGCTCCAGGCGACGATGTGGGATCGAATACGAAGACGGTATTGAAGCGGAACACGAAAGTAAAGAAAAATACACCTTTGAATGCGAAGCTAGTGAACGAATGCTCCTTTTTGTTGTTTTTGCATTTACAAGAGAAAGAAAGAAAGGAAGAATGAACGAGAGCTGAGGGATAGAGAAGATGGAGTTGCTTTTGCTTTGGCTGAAGTGAAGAGAAAAAAATTCCCTGGGGAGCGATTCGTCTCTCTTTATATAATACGGATTTTTCCTTTTCTTGAGCACGTCCGCGTACCACCGCTGGGCTTTTTACAATATAGCCCACTTCCTACAACGTGATACAGAAATGTGGATCACCATTGAATACGCCAATGCTCACACGCTCAATGTCTTCCTAGGATCGTTTATCTCTAGAATAAATAGCCAAGAAGTCAACGGGAAATTCCACGGTACCGCGCGCTGTCATTCTACACCGGAATAATCATAAAATAAAACTTGCCAGAGCCAGGGTCTCCAAGTGCGCGTGGGTAAGGCAGACCCTTCTTTCCCCCTCTCCCTCCTCCTTCGCTTGCACGCCGCTCTATATGACTCCCACCGGCCGATCTTTCATTCGACTGATTTCTTTATTCATTACTTTTTCTAGCGTACCTGACTGACGGTTAAAAAACCAGGAACATTGTATTTCAGTTCCCAAGGGCTCTCTGGGATCATTCAGAGGAGAACCCATTTTGAACGTACAGGCGTTCATACATTATCAGCCTACCAAAACGACGTCTCAGCGTGGAGACGTTGCATGCCAGCCTTAACGCTAAAACGATATGCGAGCATTTTCCTGCTGTGCTTAGTCCTCCCCCCCTCCCCCAACCTCTCCCCAGACCATTCACACCAAGAAACCTGACACATCCACGAAAACGACAATAATCAATTTTCTCTTGGCCTTTTCTTGGCGGGGCATGCATAGCTCATTGATTTTCTTGGCATGGGCACTTTAGCCGGCTGATGCCTTCTTGGAAGAGAAAGGGGCGTGGGGCTAAATGCATGAAAAATGCGATATTGGGCCAAGTATTCAAAAAAACAAAAGATCAGTTGCACACACAGACTAGATAGATCGTCTTAGCCTCCCAATTCCTAGACTAATTCTATCTATGCCTCACCTTTATCTGTGATACCATAGGACAAGAGGGGTGATTTTGATTTTCAGCACAAGAAGCTGTGTGCGTTGTGTGAGCGTACTTGTGATACGCAATCTCCGACCATGTGGATCTAATCACTGGTAATAAAAATGACAAGCAATGCGTGGGATATAAAATGCGACTATTGACCAGTGTAGCGGAATGAACAACTAAACTGCATACCACTGAACCACTGAAATAACAAATTGTCTTGGCACTGGAAAACGCCAAGAGACTCTCACCTCATGCCAAGCAAAATCCGCCAAGAGAATCCATGAACTCGCAACCCGGCAGCCAACCTTACTTCCTATCCATATTTTCCCCCCATCCCTTCCATTGCATCCCCACTAAAAACCCGTCGTTTGAGGAGTCCCCCCTCTGGTGCTCCCATGGGCGTATATACAGCGAGCGAGAAAACTCGTCTCTTTACATCCATGCAAAATTACATATTCTATTCAGCCATTCAAACTACTTTATACTCGCTTAATTACTGTAAATGAGAGCATAAACAGATAGATCTTGTACATGTACTCATCCCCCGTCTCGCTTGCAAGCATAAGCGCGTCAATCTTAAGGAACTCCCCTCCTCACTTGGAGGTAAATCCTCCTTAATCCACTTTCCGTCTTACAGGCACTCCCGTTCGCCATAGATGCTAGATTATCCCCCTAGGTCCCGGAGCAGTGCAATAAACGCGTCTGATCAATCCACATCCTACATCTTTGACTTGAACTCCCTAATCCTTTATTTCCCCTTGCCTCCTGCAACCTATACTGATGATGTGACCAACCGTCCAACCCTTCGGTCCTACTTCCTCCTCCATCCATCCATTTCAAAGGGAGTGACCATTTCCTTGCCGAAAAAAAGTCGCATGGTACCACATTATTAACGTGTAAAACAAATTCCTTGGCAAAATAAAATAAAAACTACCCTCGCTCGCGCACGGGTTCCCTATTATCATAATCGTCCTCATCACTATGCATCGCATGGGAGAAAGAGAGAGAGGATGGCAGAAGTGGACACGACAGGACACCATTACGGCCTCATCACCCTCCATATGCACGCCATGCATGCATGTATGTATATACTCATTTCACATAACCCATCGTACCACTTCCGTCCCCCCCTCGCCACCCTCGCCCTAGCGAAATGACTCAAAAAGCCCTAATAACCCCTCCTGCACCCTTTGACACACTCAGCACAGTAATGTTGTGACGTTACCCCTGCAGCTCAGAGATATGACACACGTACCTGGATCAATCTATGTACACTCATGCCATAGAGGGAGAAAAAAAAAAAAAAAAAAAAAAAAAAAGAGAGAGAGAGAGAGAAGAGAGAAAAAGAGAGAAAAGAAAGACGCGCCGCACACACACGCGCCGCGTCGCCGAAACATTTTCGTCGTTTCGTCCCACAGAGGGTCCCGGCTCTGCTGAATGACTCATTCCATGCTAAACCATTTTCGTAGGACAAACTTTTTTTTCTTTTTTCTTTCTTTTTCTCCTCTAGACGGTACTTTCTTCTGCGGGTCGTTTGCGCTACATCATCTGCACAAAGGGATATACAGCACAAACATTTTTTTATTTCGCTTCCAGCTATGCTTTGTTTTCTTACAGCCCATGTCCTCTACACCTCTCTCTCTCTCTCTCTCTCTCTCTCTCTCTCTCTCTCTCCGTCTAATCCAGCAACAAGTTCAACGGTTCAACTAGATCCACATCGAAGGGATATTCTTTTGCCACTACAAAATACATAACTTTTCGTGTTTATTCGGCTAAGGATAAGTTTTAGACTACAAGTCCAGTAAAGACATGGTGCGGTGATAAAGAACAGTGTAATGCGGTAATGAACGATGAGTAAAAGTACTTGTGAATAAAAGCACAGTGGTAATGATAATAATGATAATAATAATGATAGTAACAAATAGTAAAGACGGGAAGGGGTAGATGAGGGTGTGGCAACGATATACAATAATAGTACATTTTTACAACAAAATGGTGCGCACTTATAGGGATAAAGGAAGAGGGAGAGGAGAGCTGAAAAAAGAACCAAAGAGATAAGCATAGCGAAAAAAAAAGAAAAGAAAAGAAATAGAAACAAAAGACAAAGGGATCGAGGTATGCAAAAAGCGTTGCGAATTCCGGTCCAATTGTCGTCATGATCGATCGCACATCGATGGGTCCGCCAAATGAACGCTTACATGTACCCGTACGGGTTGTAGTCGTTCATCCCAATGATGCCCACGTTCCCAAAGTGGTTCATGCCAGAGAAACCGAACCCCATCATGTTGCCATTCAGGTTGTTCGGCATATTGGTCATGCCGTTCATGTTGCTGCCGCCGTTCATACCGTTCATGTTGCCGTTGCTCATAGCGCCAGGCATGCCCCCGACGTTGCTCATGTTCGACATATTCGGCATAGGCATCACGCTCATAGGTCCCAGGCTGTTCATGTTGTTGGCCATGCTCGCCATATTCATCGCCATGCCATTGGGCATGCCGCCCATGCCGTTCATGTTGCCCATGCCCATGCCGCTCAGGTTGCCCATACCGCCTAGGTTGCCCATGCTACCCATGCCAGCGATACCATTCATGCCGTTCATGCCATTCATAGGTCCCATACCGCCCATGTTATTCATATTCATGTGCGCGAGCTGGTTCACGGACGAGAGCTGATCACGATGTAGCTTGCTCTGGATGCGTTTGCCATAGGGCGTGTTGCGGATCGCAGGGAGCAAGGGTCGGATGCACTCCACGAGCTGTACGCGCTGAATAGGGTCCGCAAAGTCGAGGGCGGTTTGAACAACATAGTTGGCATAGGAATCCCGAAGAAGTTTGTCCAGGCGAGCCTTGTTGATCATCTCCTCAACCAAAAACTTGCGAGTGTCCGGTTCAGCAACACGAATGCACTGAGTACATACAGGGATATGGAAGTCAAAAACATAATGAGTTCAAAGGTCTCCAACCATAATCAATAGAGAAAAAAAAAGACGCTGCTTTTCAAACAAAAGAAATTATGTACCTTCTCGATGACATTGGAGCTGAATTTTTGAACCGAGAGCACGCAGACGTTGCCAATGAAGCGGCGGATTAATGCGTCCGTGAAGCGGTTGTCGGCAAGGTCCAACACATACTGGACCACATAGTTGCCGAAGGGATCCTGGACAAGTGCAAGGGCGTTGTAGGTGATCTCGCGCACGAGCTGAACCTTTTGCGAAGCCGATGCGTGATCGATGCAGCGCTGCAGAACGCAGCATCCGTGGCGGTGAGTGGCGACCTCAATGCAGTGCGCACTGATGGCGTTGTAAATGAACTGGTTGTCCTCCGACGCCAAGCGGTTGAGACACTTTTGAATGACATGGTTTCCGTTAAGGTCCTTGATCAGCGTCACAACACTCGGGTTCAGAGCCACAACAACGATCGCAATCTGCTGAGGAGTCGAGAGGAATTCGATCATCTTTTGGACAGCTCTCGTGCCATGCATGTTCAGCGAGATGTTGACTAGTTCAGGCGCCACGGTCTCGACGATAACAGTGCGCTGATCATCCCCGCAATACTCGAGTAGCTTCTGGCAGAGATAATTTCCGAACGGGTCTAAATCAGAAGGCCCAATCTAGGTTAGCATTCATGCTGAGGACACGGCAAGGGGCCGAATGCACTCAAGTTGTAGCACATTTGGAAACTTACCAGTCATCAGCTCAACAAAATGGCTAAAGACCTCATTGAAAATGATGGCCAAGTAGGCCTCATTCTGCTCCTCGAGCTTCTTTTGAAGGTAACGACAGCCGTGCTGATCCTTGCACAGAGAATAAATTTGTCCGACGAATCCCTCTAGCATAGCACCAGCAAATCGGTTTGCATCAACATCAACAACTGGGCGTTTCGAGTTGCCCTTGGCGTTGTTATTATTATTGTTGTTGTTGTTGCTGTTGTTGCCCTGTTGCTGCTGCTGTTGTTGTTGCTGCTGCTGCTGCTGCTGCTGTTGCTGTTGCTGTTGCTGCTGCATGCGCACGGATCCAGTAGGGCCGCTCGAAGGAAGGTCAAAGGCATTTCCGTTTTGAACAGCATTGAACGGAAAGCCAGCGGTACCAGGGAGTCCAGCGATGGATCCTGCACCGCTGATGCTGTTCATGCGCGAGTAAAACGAAGTTGAGCCAACGGCGCTCGACAGTCCTCCAACAGACATATTGAGACTGGGGCTCAAGGGCACTCCTGCAGAAGAACGCGACGAAGAGGGCAACACATGCGTGTGTGCATAGGGGCACATATCGCCCCGAGGACAGTAGCCCTGCTGGAACTGCGGGCAGATGTCCCCAGAGTTCTGATCAGATTTGACAGACAAGTCATCATAGGGTGTCAAAGCTGGGGGCTTGCTGAATCGAGTGGGGATCTCGGATGACGAGTAGGACGAGGTCAGCTTGGGAAGAGGAGACTTCAAGGGATCCTCAGCACTGCTGATCCCACCAAAGCCAATGATGCCGCTTCCATGCTGAGGCACAGTTGGGAGACGATCGTTGCTCACAGGAAGAACTTTACTGAACTGGGGCCATTCAGAAGTGCGACCCAAGTCGTGCGAGCTGGGGTGGCGCAAACCAGATGTGTGAGGAATCTGGGCAAGATCCGACGCACTGGACGAGGAAGAACGCTATTTGAGAGAGCCAAGAGATGAAATGTCACAGCCAGGTTAGCTGCAAGAAAAGTAAGTTGATAAAATTACAATAATCTTGTCACTGCATGTAACATACCATCGTAGGGAAGGTCTCGTCGTCATCGGCGCCCATCTGCAGATAACGAGGCAAGTAGGAGGTGCTTCCAATGGCCGAGGACCCCACTCCGAGAACCTGCTCATCCTTCCAAATGCTTCGCGGGATGGATGGAAGGCGGTCACGAGAGCTCGAGGTGGTCGTAGAGGTGGCGTCGTCGTCGAAAATAAATCTCTCCGTGAACTGGGAAAGATGGGTGCTGTCGCTAAAGGCGGACTCTGAGGGCGAAGTGCTCTCTGGTTTCGCAGCTCCAGCTCGTCCGATCTTGGGCAAACTATAGAATGCGAAGGTTTGAGGTTAATCGTTTGCCACCAAAAAAAAAATTAGTTTGGTTTGTTTTCGAGTTGATCAAATGCACAAGCTTACTCCACCAATCGCTTGGCCTTGTCGCCACCCAACGAAAGTTTGTCCATCTCTGCCCAGAGATCAACTGCGTCGTTCGAGTTACGCCTGGAAACGGGCAGGGAGCGAATGCTAGCCAAGCCTTGGGTCAAATCCGTGGTTGTGTTGGCAGAACTGCTTCCAGACTTTTTGTTGCCAGCAAGCATCGCCTGTTCTTCCTGCATTTGCTGAATTTCCAGCTGCTGCATTTGCTGCTCAAAGAGCTCGCGCTTCTGGTTGCGCTGGCGCTCGTGCTCCAGGCGTTTCTGCTCAAGCTTGGCCGCCTTCAAGAGTGGTAGAAAAAGTCAGGGTTAGAATGGTGGACAAGCCACAAAGGGGTAAAGATCAAGCGCATTCGACAGTGGGGATGCATGATACATACCACCTCACGATCCTCAGGCGATTCCACGGGAGAGTTGCGACTGCTGGATCCATCCTTGTCTCGGGAGTCAGATTGGGTCGAGCCGACAGCTCCGGCGCTTGCTCCGGAGCGACGCTGATGGAGGATTTCGTCGTCGCTGTTGTTCAGACCGATCTCGGAAGACTTGAACTGAGGTTTGGTGGCCATGGTAGAGGACACTTCAATTGGCTTGTCAAAGACGCGTAAGTCACGCAAATAGGTCTCGTACGTTGGTGGCTGACTGGAGGGCTCTGGTGGCATCAAGAGACGTCCAGGTTACAGGGTCTTGAGCGAAAGGGGCTCAAAATGGACAAAGTATTTCCAGACGCAAGCTAGAAAGGGCAAGGCGCAAAAAAAAGTGGACCGTGAGTGTCATGAAGATGGCGCGGGATATGACAGAATATCCCAAGGGGAGGAGGGCGGGAAGGTGTCAGCACGTAAAGCACTAGGCTGAATCCGTGTGTATGTCCTTCAATGGTGCATGTATATGTGTGTGTATGCAGTGTACGTATTTGTCCGTCTCCCGACGGCCCTTGGTGGTCGTGCAGGGAGCAAACCAGTGCTGCATATCGCCAAAAGGGCTGAAGCCCGAGGAGGGATGGCGATAGATCGCGCGTCAGGCAAACTGCGATTGAAAAGAAGGTTCCGGGGATGACTCCTTGCACTCATAGGATTGGTAAGAAGTAGACGGTAGGGCACCTTTGCTGCTTGGTCTGGAGGCTGTTGTGATCTGATGGATGATTGTTGATGTTTATGCGCTCGCTGAGCTTGCTGGAGGGATGGATTCTTCCAGATTGCGTCAATGGTGTATCCTAAAGCCGATGCTATGCCTGTTCTTGTTCCTGTTCCCGTTCCTGCTATTGGGTAGCGTTGATCCTGACTAGACCATGGAGCCATTGCCTTGGTTTGACTGTTGATCCGGTGAAGGAGAGGCCGAACCCGAGAGAGGGGCAGGATAGACGACTTACCGAAGGAGCAACGTCAGGGTGGAGCGTTGCTTGGTTGCTTGGTTGCTTGGTACGCGGTCAGGGATGAGGATGGAGGGAAAGAGAAAAAGACGACGCGAAGGAGCGGAGCGAAGGGGAAGAGGGATGGGGAGGTTGTGGGGTGAGATCAACAAAGGAGGGGAGGGAGGGGAAGAAATACAGAAAGAAATACAATGGGGATAGGATAGAGACTGGATTTTTTTTTTCTTGTGTGGGTTAAGATAAAAAAGTATGGTACAAAGAAGACACAGAAACAGAGGACTGTGACAGACAACAAAGGAGAACAACAATGACAACGACAACAATGACAACAATATGTCGCTGAGAAGAACAGGTGAACAGGAAATGGAGAGGAGGAGGAGGAATCTTTTTGGATGATGGAGATGGAGTGTATGTGTGTATGTATTTTTTTTCTTTCTTTGTTGCAGCCAAGCAAGGCAAGGGGAGGCGGAACAGAAAAAAAGAAAAACAAGAAGAAACCTTATTGATCGAAGGAGGAGGAGCACCAGTAAAAAAAAGAGATAAAGACAGATAACTATGAGGACTGCTGAGGTACGCTCACCCCTGGGGACTCTTTTATGGGCGGATGTGTGCGGATGTGGGTGGGAAGGGTGATTAGTAATGGAGCTGATGGGTGATGAAGAGCGAAAAATGAACGTGCGAGGGAGGGTGCTAGTGCGCGAGTGACACTCGGTATGGTGCAGACAGCCTGTGTGCCGTTTGTCTGTGGGGGTGTAGGGAAGGAGTCCAATCCAATCCAATCCAATCCAATCCATTTCGGGCGCCATTCGAACAGTACACAGATAGGCGATGCCATGCGATGTGAATGTACGTGGAGACACCATGCTGTGGCCATGCCCACATTCCCACCCTGCACCACCCACGACTCAGCTCAAAAATAAACAGCCATTTGGGCATGATTACTCCTTTTCATCGTGCACATAACGAATCCCGCACATGGAATAGAAACATAGCATGACTAACGGGGGCTACCTGTCCGCAGACACGAGTTAAACAAGGGCGTTCATTTGTGTCCCCGTTATTGGCGGATTCCAGCCGCTCACAACGAGCGTTTCTAAAGACACGACATGAGACATGACAAGAGTTGAGCGACGTCTGCTTAACGATGAATTGAGATAGTACGACAACCGTTTTCTAGCTCCCCCCCCCCCCTCCTCAGAACCCATGGTGTCGTCCCATATCTCTAGCACGACTTCGGTCCTCAGGCGCGCGCGGTACAAGGTATTTGGTTCTGCCGGGATATTGTTTTCCAGGCGGGATAAAAAATGTCGCTGCCATCCTGCATCCAGGCAACAGACAAATAAAGTTTACTCCCATGCAATTCCATGGTAAAAAAAAAAGGGGGGTGCCAACCTGGCCGGCAACATTCAACCTTCAGATCTCTCATGGCCCTATTCATCACCAACACTCAACACTGCAGTAGGTCGCTCGCTAAATATGTGATCTGCTGGACTCTCAACGGCCCTCATCACCGTGCTCAATATCGATCGATGGCAATTGATCGATGGAATGGATATCGCGATGATGGATGGATGGATAGGGTCCTTCAAAGTGTCCCAAGAGAACTGTAATCATGTGATATTATTTTGGGCCCTCTCTCTCAAGAAGGAATATGAAGTTCACTTTGCAAAATTTTTATTTTGATCTTTCTACTCATTCTCTCATCTCGCTCAAGACCTCCCAACTCTACACCTTGCCAAGATGAGATCCTTCACTCTCAAGAGGTCGCCGCCTGGCTGAGCATTGATCATGCATGGCTCAATTGCTTTTACCATATCCAAATATCGAAGGGATCTTTTTAGTTCTGTAAGTGTCGCGTCCCAAACACGAATTATTTTTATTTATTTTTTCGCCCCTACACCCTGCAGTATCTTGGATGATGATTACAGGATTTTTCCACGTCTAAACACATAATGTTGAGATTTATTGTTGCCTTCCTTCTGACCTTGATACGTTGCGGATCAAACTCTCTCCCCCTTCATTCGAGGCTCTAAAATTACTCGCGCAAGAAGTTTGTTATCTAACCCGTCAATATTGTCTCCCGAATGTCGCTTTTTAGATGGATCGATCAGTCGGCCTGTTACTCAATCTCGGGGGACACTCCTGGATCCTCCTTTCCGCTTGGTCGTGAATTCTTGTGTACTTTCGGTGAGTTTTTCCTGAACAACCTTGACGTTCTTTTTTCTTTTTTTCCTACGGCGCGTACATTCACTCATTCTGGGATGATGATTACAGGATTTTTCCACGTCTAAACATATTATGTTGAGATTTATTGTTGCCTTCCTTCTGACCCACATTTGGGCGTACGCCAACCTGAGAGAAATAGCCAGAAACCGTGCCATTTTTTCATAAAAGAACGTATATTAACTAAAGTGTATACTTTCGACCGGTTTGTATTGATCTTAGGGACCGATTTATTACTACCCCGCAATAACCAATGGACTCCAAGCGACCAAGTCGTATAGTCAAGGCTTTACATGGAGAGCATATTCAATCCGATCTTGAGTCAGGAAACAACAAAAGCCTTTGCTAGTCAGGATCAGACTGGCTTGCCGCTTCAGATACGAGAAGCACCATAGAGGTGATGTTCTCGTCAAGGGAACACCTTAAGAGTAGTCGGGTTTGAATGGCATCCCATCTTTTTTCTTTGGGAACACACCCTAGACAACACTACGCGGAGCACGCACGCCGTGATCCCGGAAATACAGCAACGGACTTGGATCAGAGTCGCAGTGCCCTGCAGTGTCCGCAGTGTCCTACAGTGCGGCATGGTAGTGCAGGAAGCCATGTTTTCTAAAAAAAAGTACGGCTATTCTTTATAAAATACTCTGAATAAAAGTTGCCCCTCTCCTATGCCAATACCTAGTCAAGGCATCTTTTTTTTTCCCATCTCTCTTTTTTATGCATGGGTAAATCCACCCCGATATCAATTGATCAATTAACTACGAAAAGGACAGGGATGTTGTGCACAGCAACGTTGTTCGGTTTACAAGGACACAGAAACATAGAACATTGGGTTTTTGTCACTTTGAACAGACAGCAAGCGCGTCATTTTTTTTTGCCCAAACGCGCGTTCGACGCGTTTCATCAAACCTTGTGGCACGGCATCTTTTGAATGCAAGCATGAAACACTTCGTTTTTAAAAAAAAAAAATTTTTTTTTTTTGCAACTGAAGAAAAACAAAAAGAGAGGGGATAAAAACAAGGGGATCTAGGACTATCTTACAACTTGGCAACAGGAGTCGTCGAGTGAATATGCTCATACATGGTCTTGATCTGCTCCTTGAAGTACTCGGCCACCTGTGGACGACGGACCTTGAACGTTGGTGTCATCATACCATTATCGACCGAGAACGCATCCGTCGTCAAGTACACACGCTTCACAAACTCGAACCCACGGAGTGCTCCAGCCTTGCCGGCCTTCTCGAGCTCCTTGTTCACCGCCAAAATCACCTTGGGATCCCTGCACAGCTTGTCAATTCCCTCCAAATCACCAGCAGTGACCGATGCACCTACCAACGTATTGGCGAACGGCAAGAACGTCTCGGGCTCGGGCACCATAACAGCCACCAAGGTCGACTCGAGCGAATCACCGTGGACGTAGATTTGCTGGACCAAGTTGCAACGTGCTCCCAAGATGTTCTCGATCTTCTCAGGTGCAATGTATTCACCCTGGGCCAACTTGAAGATGTTCTTCTTGCGATCAATGATCGTGAAGCATCCACGCTTATCAACGAATCCGATATCGCCGGTCGCGAGCCAGCCCTCAGCATCGATCGTCTCCTTCGTGTTCTTCTCATCCTTGAAGTAACCCCTGAAGACAGTGTCTCCACGGATCCAGATCTCTCCACGGGGGTAAGGCTGGTCCGTAGAAAGGTAGTTCATCTCGGGAACATCCACCAGCTTGAGCTCGCAGCCAGCGCGAGGGCAGCCAATGTGTCCAGGGATATACTCATCCGCCATCGTGATCGTGGCCGTGGCCATGCCCTCCGTGGATCCGTATCCCTCCAGAACAACACATCCGAACGCAATGCGCAAGAAGCTGAGCACCTCCTTTGCGATGGGTGCGGATCCAGTGAGGATGACCTGGACGCGACCACCAAGAGCCATTTTGACCTTGTTGAACAGGATGCGATCCCAAAGGGCGTGGTTAACGCCCTTTCCGGCAGCGAGGTTGGCCATCTTGGCGGCAACTCCGCGGCGTGCCAATGCACCGACCAGACCGGGGGCCTCGACGGTCGAAGCCACGAGCTTGGCATAGATGCGGTTCAACAGACGGGGCACAGCTGGGAAGAATGTGGGACGGAGCTCGGCGACGTCGTCGAGAAGAAGGAGAATGTCTCCACGGAAGTATCCGATCTTGCCGCCAGCATACATGACACAGCTGTCAACGACACGACCCATGATGTGGGCGAGAGGAAGGAAACTAGAGACAAAAAATCATAGGCAGGTCAGTACTCGCTATCGCTAGTAGAAACGCTTTTTTTTTTTTTTTTCTCTCTCCCATTTCCACATTCTTCGTCAGAACTGTAAAGAGCATACCTGATCAAGACATCGTCCGTGGTAAGGTTCATGCCCTCGCGGTTGGTACCAATGGTGGCAACAAAGTTCCTGTGGGTCAACATGGCTCCTTTCTAATTGTAATAATTGACAACAACAGAAATAGAGCGAATCGGAATCAGAAAAAACTGTCCCTCGTAGCCACTTCACCGGACCGAAAAATAGGCCGCAATTTCGAGGCCTGATATGCTCGAACAACTTACAGGCTGACCAGTGGTTCCAGAGGTATAGCAGAGCGAGGCGACCTCGTCTGCCGTGGGAGGCAAGTGCTTGCGAGGGAAATTTGCACCCAAGGACTCGATCTCGTTGAAATCATAGACCTTGATGCCCTTCTCCGCGCCCCAGGCACGGAGCACCTGTGCGGCCGAGGTGGCACCGGGGACGGAGACGGTATCGTGGAGCGAGTCCATGCTGATGATGGCCTTCAGCTTGGGCAGCTTCTCGGCACTCTCGAGCATGGAGGCAATATGGTTGGCTGGTTCATGCCCCGACGCCCAAGTCGATCACGGATGTTGTTGACACGCGGTCAATGGTCGCACGGAGAGGATAGAAATGGGGGAAATGGAAAAGTACAATTTTTTTTTTTCGATCAGATTACACGCACACGTACACGGAGCTTTTTTCCCTTTTTTTCCCTTTCCTTCAAGAACGACAAGTCCAGCATTCTTTCACGTGCAGGAAGGCACCTCAAGAAAGGAAAATCTTCATCTATTTTGCTTACCGCTGGCGACAACGATCTGGATGTCCGCATGGTTGACAATGTACTCGACCGCATCAGGGCCCAGGGTGTCGTAGAGGGCGACCGAGACCAGGTTGTAGCAGTTGCAGGACATCTCCGAGATGAACCATTCAGGACGGCCGTGAGACCAGATACCGAGGGACCATCTGTTGAGCTGCTCGTTGCCGAGGATGACATCGTTCAGGTGCATGAGACCACTGCCGAACGCATTGACGCGCTGGTTAATCTGCGCGAACGTCTCCCAGGTGTAGCCGCCGTAGGTCTGGGCAACCGTGTTGAACGGACGGTGGCCCAAAAAGTCGTTGTTGGCATACTTGGTCACCGCTGCATCGCATAATGAAATAGGATTGATGTTAGTTAGTAGGACTGTTGGCCATTGAATTTAATTCGATCGTTGATAGCATCGACCGCCGGAATCCTTACAGTGTTGCCAGACATCATAGAGGGTCTTGAGCTGAGGGGCCTCACGGATGTTGCGGACTAGGCCATCGGCATAGGCAACATGCCTGTAGTGACCTAGAGGAAAGGAATGCCATGGATCAGAAAATGGAAAGGATATCGTTAGACAGGATCCGGTTTCACTGTGTATCAGAAGATGTGTGCAACCACGCACGTGGGGTGGGCGTAAAGTTCAGGGATCGTGGAGTAGGAGAGAAGGAAGAGCAGCTGGGATCATATCAAGGGCGACTTGCCTGTGGCACCGGGGGTGCGGGTGCCGGGGACTTCCACACTCTGCTTCTCGAGGTTGTACTGCTTGAAGGTGGGCATGGTGGTGATCTATCTTTGTGCTGTTAGAGTCCGGAGGGGGGAGTGTGTCAAGTTCTAGGGGCGGAGTGGCTGGGGGAGGGAGTGGGGAGGAATGAGGAAACGGGGATGGAGAGACGAGAAAGAGGAATGAGTAAAGCAAAGAAGGAAAAGAAGGAGAAGAGAAGAAGAAGAAGAGGAGAAGAAGAGGAGAAGGAGGAGGAGGAGGGGGGGGTGGAAAGCGGTGTGAAATGAAAAAAGGGATCGAGAAACAAGGTTTTCGGTGTGTTATTGGAGAGAGTCCAGACGTAATGCCGTCTGCAAGAGCACCAGCTCCTCCAAGGCGGGGTAACAGGCCCGGCGTGGAGGAGGAGGAGGAGGGGGGGCAGGTGGAGGAGGGGTGCGATCCTCCTCCACTTTCCGGCTCGTCCTCGCCCTTCACCGCCAGTCTTCATCCTATTTCCCTCCGGCGCGTGGTATCATTGGCAGCCCTTCCAAACTTTACTCTGAAATATTTTACCCGCTCTATTCGCTCTATTCGCTCTATTGCGTCCGAGGGCAGCGCAAGGGAGCAAGTTAAGGGCTGTGGGTTCCTGCGATGCTGATCGTTGTTTACTTCTAGCAAAATGGCTGGGCTAAAAAGCGTCAAAGGCCCAGGAACCCAAGCACATCAACTCTTCAGGACCTCGCTCAACATCACACCATGGCTGCATCAACAACACGTTCCCAGAGCTTGTCCCACTTCAGGCGCATCCTCAAGGAAGTCCACCTCCAGTACACACATCCCAACGAATTCACAGGAAAGGGCCTCCATGGCATCAATGTCCACTCCAACAAGGTCTGGACCGAAACCCTCAAGGACGCCTTCCGCAAGCACGCCAACGAGACCGACCCTGCTAAGCTGAAGAAACTGGATACAGACGGAGAGGACATGGCGAGCTACCTCGAGAGTCAGCGCAGACACAAGGTACAGCACGGCTCTTTTTATCATAAAAAGAGACAGATCGAACATCAATTGATCGACCCGAAATATAAACAAAAAAAAAAACCAATATCAAGAGCTGACATTACTATTCATCTCTTTACGCGGTTTAAACATCTCTTAGGAATTGGTTGAGAGATACAACCCTAGCTTCTGGGACGAGGAAAAGGGTCTTCAGGTTGACAAGACCGCCAAGATGGTTGGATTCGAGATGCCTGAAAAGTTTGACGAGACACAGAAGAACGAAAAGTTGGTTGCTGCACCCAGATTCTCTTATAAAAAGGACAAGGACGCAGCAGCAGCGGCAGCAGCAGCATCGGCATCGGAAAAGTATGAGGAGCTGCAGGCACCTGAGGAACCAAAGAAGCGTACATTCAAGATCCCCAAGGCCTTTGGATTCGCAGAAGAGGCCGCAGAGGACATTGGTCGTGCTGGAGATCGCAAGATCGAGTAAAAAATCCCCAAGTAAGCTGGGGCCAGATTAACATGGACACCATAGACGACAACACTGTAAAATAATTAAAAAGACGTTTATAAAACACACGACTGATAAAATACAGATACAGATACCACCCAAAAGACTTTGATTGTACGTAGACAGGTATTGAAGAACGCAGCTTCTGGGCTTTGTCCTGTCTTTTAGCAACGCTTTATTATAATAGCTTGCGTTTGCCATGTTATTTTTTTTTTTTTGTTCCAACTCTTCCGAGATGCAAAACAGAGTCGCGTATCGTATCGGGGCGGAGAGAGTCCATGAGATATTAACCCATAAGATGAGAGATATCCGTGTCTGCGTCAAACACAGACTTTACATGATCCTCCTTCAAACGCATATCCTTCTCGAACCTAGGGTTTTTGTTCAAACGATAATGTCAATGCATATCTCATTTAGTCGGCCGAGTTCCCTTCTTTTTTTTTTTTTTTTTTTTTCATCCTCCGGCTTACCTCTCGCCCATTCTCTCGTCATGACCCTCCACAGCCAGAGCCATCTGCGGTGTTTTCGCCTCCACAATAAACTTGTTATCGCAATGCGGACAATACTCATCTTCTTCTTCAAAGTTTCTAATGATTTGTAATGAAGACAGTACGTAGCCATTAGACCTGAGTAAGAGAGACCAACTGAACCAAGCAATATGGCACAAAAAACAACAAACAACAACAACTACAAAAGAAAAAAAAAAAATTCCCGTACGCCATATCCTTGCGGAAGACCTTTTTGCACTTTTTGCAACCAAAGATCATCTCTGTTGTTTTCCTGAGAGGATGATCTGTTGCCTCAGCGTGGCAGTCCGAGCAGTCGAACCATTGCTTGCAGCAGGGCGCACGAATCGAGGCCTAGTCATCAGAATCAGCGACGGTGCCTGTGTTAGTACCAAGTCCCCCCTTTGCTCCATGTCCTGACAAGGCTCCTATGTAATGATGCTGCTGGGGTACCTGGACGTTGAGGATGTGTTTGCACATGATTCCGTTTGCTAGATGGTGAAAGTGGTAGGTTATAGGTTGCAAGATGAGTTTTGTGAGCACGATCAACAAGGGGGCGATGTGTCCAAGATGCAGTTGGTCCAATCAGAAGACCGTGCAGTGCTATCGGCGCCACCAATTTTTGAGATCATCTTTTTTGTGTTCCCGAACCGCGAGTTTGTTTGTGTCAGTGCGGGTCCGGCCCAAAAATTGCAAGTTTTATTTTTGAATGAGCATCTTTCGCGTCTATTTAGGTATTTGACTGATTGGAAGGACGCAGAGAGAGAGAGAGAGAGAGAAGGCACAATAGGTATGTCAGCATTTCACTAAACAACAGCAAACAGCAATGCAAACAAATACATTTGGACGTACCAAATATCGGATTCCCTGCTTGCTGGGTAGTAGACCATCCACGAGTAGTCGCTGGTGGGGAAGCTCCCTGGGTTCATACAATGGCAGTTCTGATACTTGAAACTGTACGCCTCGAATTTGTCCGCCAGAATTAACTATCGCCACATCAACGAGCATTGAATTAGAAAACCATCCATGAAATTGAACGGAGCCAACGATTTCAACAGGCAGGTGGGTTATGCTTACAGCATCGGGGATCGGATAGATTCGAAGGGCATGGTCATGGGCCCAAGAGACCTGCCGCGTAGTCAAAGGCAGTGGACAGAGATGTGCGCCATCAACGATAGTCCTGATGAGCTGCTTCTGAATCACCACATCGCCGACTGGCGGAACTATACAATTTCTCAAAAGTCGGTTCAAGATATCCTCTCTAAAGATCACAATTTCTTGGTTACAATACTTGATTCTATATCAGACAAAGCGAACAACAAAACCTGTATAAGTAAAGATCCAATATTATCAATGTTGTGTGCATTAGACCAAGTTACCGCTTTAGTAAATATACCTGCATGGGTTCGACGCAAAAACGGAGCGCTTCACCAACGACCTCATCTTTGCTGTGTAGAAATCTGGAATTTTGGGCCTTGGCAGAATGCTTCCGCCCCACGGGTCATTTGGACCAGGCACAAAAACAAAGTAGCTGGACCTGGCTAACTCGTCGAATTCAGCAATCAATTCCGCAAGGGCATTGAAGCCATCCCGGTACTGCCCCGACTCCAGACCATTGAACAGAAAAGGCTGGGATTTAAAGCTACCGCACATAATAAATGCGAGTGGTATATTCGCTGAGGAGTAGCCATCGAAAATCGTGCGAAGTGTGGTGAAGGTCTAAGGTTAAGGTGAGAGAGATGATACAATGACATATTAGTGCACCAAACAAAATAGACTTAAGAGTTCTTATCTCTGGCAGGCTGGCAGGCACACCGTGTTACCTTGGGTTGATCGAGCCAGAGGTCAGAGAGGATGACGAACATAATATTGGGATACTCCCCAGCAATGACGCTGAGCTGATCCTCGCTTCTCATCTCTTTCGGCGCTCCCAAAAAGTCGATATTTCCAAAAACTTTCCTATGGTTATCGAATCAGGGTCCTGTTTAGAAAGCTTTTTTTTCGATCCGATATCTGCATGGAACAAATGTTCTCGGTCTGTAAGTACTTTGTTTCTTCCCGTAACTCTGGTGGCGGTAATCCAATGGTATCGACAAGAATTACGTTGTCGTCCGTATAAAGTCCCTCCACCAGCACGAAGCAGTTCTCTGTGAACAATCCTGCAGAGTTTTTCTAAAATCGTGAAAGTATTGGATTTAGGATGCGGGTCTCAAGCCTTCGATAACAAACATTCAAGTCTAGATCCCCTTCTCAGAAGACTTACGCTATTATCCAGCACTAGTTCGATTCGATCGTCCGCATCCTCCAGACAAAACTTGCCGTCGCCCATCTGGACCAACATACCAAACATTAGGAAGCGCTCCCCGCATCTGCCCTTGAGTGCCTTGAGAGGCGTCAGCTTTAAATATCGATCTTGCTGCATCCCCCCAGTGAAGACAGGCGGAGCAAAACATTCGTTCCGCATAATACGCTGCAAAAGCACCTGATACCTCGCTCTAAACATTGCCGTCTTTTCCTCCGCTGTGCCCAGAACATGGTTCGACATATTTGCTGCAGAGTTCATTGATCCATTGGCGCGATTTTCATGTCCGTGTTCTGTGTCGTGCTGTCTTTGGGAAGGGTCGGTCCGAACGAAGGTCTTGATATCGGATGCCCACGCCCAGCGGGGCATCGAGAAGGCGTCGATGACATGGAACATTTCTGTAATGTCCAAATCATCCTCTACTTCCTCATTAGTATCGTAGCTTTGTACCGCCTCGTGATCCATCAGATAGTCCTGATCATGACTATTGGATTCATGTTGTTGCTCCTCTTCGCCTTCCATCTCCTGGATCCTGTGCCGCATGGACGCCATGTCGATTGATTCAAGATCTCGTGGATCTGGCCGTTGTAGCTGTGAATGCGTATTGACCTGAGAAGCGGTCATTTGTGATTTGTGTGGATCCAGGGGGTTGCGGGTCGGCTTCTCATGTAAATGATGAGTCCATTTCTGCATGCTTTCCAACACAACTTCCAGACGGGCACGGCTCACGAGATTCAATCCTGATCAGTTCAAATCAAATGCAGAGAGACGTGTTTTTCTCGTGTTAGTCATAGGTTGACAATGGATATGACTAAAGGTAACGTCTTCAAAAGCCTGCTGAAAAGGTATATAGTTTTCATCTCACCCTCTCGAGCAACATATCCTGCAGCGATGTTCTCCAGTGTGTCGTTCAAGTCCTCGGGCGGCACGTTCTGGCTCTCCAAAGTCTCTTCGAGGTATTCTGTGGCATCGAGTTGAAGCGTGAGCTGATGTTTCTTGAACGTCCTGACAATCTGACGCCGGGCAGCCATCATTCTCGCCCTTGAGGTGGACATGGTAGGAAAAGAGTGCTTTGTGTTCGAGGGTCAATCAGGGGAGACGAAAGGTGGAAGGACAGGGGGGTGTAAAGCCGATGAAAAGAAAAAAAAAAAAGAAAAAAAAAGGGATACTGCTTTTTTGGTCGTTTTGGTGGCAATAACGGCCGCTTTCCCAGAACGCGACTCTGAGCGTGTTTGTTTGTTTTGCTCCACTCCACGCGCGCATTAAATTACGCGTGGCTTTGTTTCAGATCGCTCACAACCTGGCTCGCTCATTCAGGAACACATGGAAAGACATGGAGGGTTCATTAATCTTTAATAGCATCATATCATTAATAAATATACACGTATTTCTTTTTTGTAGAATCGCCTGGTATAGCGCCGGGTAAACTTTGGAGAAGAGACGAAGAGTAAAGAAAAGAAGAGAAGAGGAAGAGAGTGGGGTGATATTTAAAAATAGTCTCCAAAGCTGAGGTACTCTATCTCAACCATCACTGGAGACCAATATTAAAAAAATGCTGGGTGTAGGATGCGGAGCGGTACGAGGATTGAGAATGAACAGGGGCCCTTTATGCCTGGACGACACCTCCCTCATCCTCATCCTCATCCTCATCCTCACCATCATCACCATTCATGTCCTCGTTCTCCTGATCGAGTCCCTTCATGATTTTGTAGGCACGTATCCTCTCCCTGCAAACCTTGTCTTGATGCACTGTGACGCCATAATGTTCTGGGAAGTGTCGGCACTGCTCCACAAAGTGCATCTTCTTGACCAGGTACGTGAGTGCCGCCTGATCCTGTCGATGGTTCGTTCGAGAGGAGCCCGAAGGTGCGATGCACTCCTTGGTCGACGAGCACTTGTACCACTCATTCAACAGTCCATTGTAGATCCGATCGTTCGACGCATCAAACGCGATAACTGCTCCATTACAGTTGGTCTCCTGAGCGTAGGTCTCGAGCGTGTCACCATAGTACTGTGGCAAGCCTGGATGCGTATACTGTCGGAACGATCCCGAACTCTGCGGACTCCAGAAACCAAACTTGTCCAGATATCCAGGCAGGTATCGCAAAAAATCCAATGCCAGCATATTGCCCGAATCCATCCACAACAGTAACCCACGGTCCTGGTCTGCGACCTCCTTGATGATGCCTGCTTTCCAGCCGTACTCTCCTCGAGCGATCGTAATGTCCCAAAAGTCGGGGTACTTTTCGTATTCGAAATCCTTGTATTCGTCAATGTATTGGTTGTCCTTTAGGTACTGAAGCTGGGACAATTGCTCGCTCGTCATCCCTCCAAGATTGTAAACAACCATCTTTGGTCGCACTTCTGTACGCTCTAGACCCTCAAAAACCTCCGACAGCGAATAAAGAAAACTCTCGAGGGCGCAAAAGTGGTTGGCAGAGGCTGCGGTGACGATTGTGAAATTCTTGGTCAAAGTTTCCAGAGGAGAGTTGGTGCGATCAGTGACATAGGGCAGGTCCTTTTCTGGATCCGGGAGTCCGTTGTTCTCGCGTTCGAACTCTTTATTGAACTCGTCCTGAAAAGGATCGCCATAGGCATTGTCGCCATGGTATCGGTATGGTGGGATATTATTTGATTCATTCCCTGATGATACGTTGAATTGAAGGTTAGAATGCAATATATCAGGGACCAATTGCTTGTTTCGGGAACCTTTAAGGTCAGTCCTTCTAAATAAAGCCCATTGGAGACCATGCTCACCTTGAAGGCGGACGGTGGACCAAATCAACCATACAAGGACGAGCGTCGACAGTATAAGGATCGTATGGAGGTACGAGAACCTCGCGAATGCCATTGTTGGTTGCGTGCAAGTTGAGGTGCAATAGTTCGAAGGGCGGTAGGCCAGAATTGGCGTTGATGAAAACCAAAAGGAAAGGGTGACGGAAGATGATGAAAGGGGAGGATCTTCCAGGATAACACAGGGAAAACGGACGAGGGTGGGAACAAGAAGGTCAGGATAGAGAGGGACGTTTAGATAACTCGAGAAGGCATGAGTGGAGCAGTGGTGTGATGATGACAAAAAGGAAGAGATGAAATCGTGATCCCGGTTAGCAAAAAAAAAAAAAAAAAAGAACGAATGAATGATGACGCGATGGAGGGTTGTCTCAGGAAAGGGGCATGGGAGAGTGGGGAGGGGGAATTGTGTGTGGGTTGGAAGTAAATGATGGACGCCGTAACCATGAAAGACGTTGACCGGGGATAAGCAGCACATTGCACTCCAGTGCCTGCCTGAGCTAAAAATACATGCATGTAGACTACTGCAGATACTGCACACTGCTGCCTTTTTAGTATTCTAGTGCGTTTTGGTAATCTCTATCGCACACTTAAACCTTAATTAAATTAAAAAGCGCTGTGGAAACACTCCTGGTCAGGAACGGTTTCGCCGATAGTACCTAAGACAGGCAAGCTGCTCGCCTTCGCCATCGGAGAATTCCTCAAAGTAAGGGTGATCGGTCTAAATAGAGGGGAAATGGACCAACCCGAGGACACATTCTACCCTATGACTCGTCCTCTTCATGAGAGACTACGTGTCTTGTTGGTTATTACCGACAACCTCCCAGTCTAGCGTCGCCTTGTGTTAGGCATTAGTGCGATCTGGTCTCACAGCACCCGAGTATCCAGCGCACTAAAATTGACCCACCTTCCATAAAAAAAACAAAGTGCGTACCCTGATGTCATTTATCTTTCTCTGAATTGGGGGGTGCTGACAGTACCTTTCGAAGAACCCATGAAGATCTTTATTTTATTTTTTTTGTCTGGCTCTTCATGATGGCCATGTACGCTGCAGCGAGCGCATGGAGTGTTACATCGGACGTTAGAGCGGCACACGAGGACCAGTTACATAAAGATCCACTATTGGTTGCATGCATAAAATAATAGAGTGAATAAAACACACAAAGTCTTTGGAATTCCGTACGCGCGCGAAGCAGACATCTTGACTCAAAAAAAAAAAAAAAAATTGTTATCAACCACTTACTCTCAAGTCGGAACTCCCTGTTGGCACTAGACGGTGTAGCGAGTGATTCAGACGACATTGTGTGCTTTACATCCTCGCCGCCCACTAGCCCGCATAAAAGAATCAGCTGGAGTGTATGTTTCCTGATAATGTGCTTTGTTTCCGTAGACGTGTTAAGTTCCGCAGGGCCTGGCAGTTGAATCCACACAGTAGTTTGCCAAACACCTTCCTCGTCCTCCTCATCTCGATCTCGATCCTGATTCTGATCGTGCTCCTCCTCATCGTCACTGTCGGCTAGTGGCCTGCCTGGGTCGTTTATACCAGCTCCCTTGAGTATCATCTCAACGCGTCGTTGATATCGCCGTTCGCGTTGCTGCAATTGCGGAGTCAGCGAGACCGCCATGATCTCCGCCTTGAACTTTGCTTCGATAGTGTTAATGATACGTGATGTATTGAAACTGCCGGATGGAGAGGGTGAAAGACCGTGCGGGTTTGATACTGTGGTAGATGCTGAGGTTTTCCGGGTATGTGTAGATTGCGCTTGTTGTTGCGTAGAGTAGTCCAAACTATGTCGTTTCGGCTTGAAGAAAAATCGTTTAAAGTCATTAGAGTTGCTGTTTCCATTCTGTTCTGGGTTCTGCTGGTTTGTTGAGGCCTTATCGCTTGGGTGCTGACTGTGTGCCTCTTGTTGAAGCATATCATATAGATGAGAGTTGCTCCAGTTGTAGGTCTTCTCCTGGTATATCTGTGTATTGTCCTTGTCCTTTCCAGCCTCTGGTATCGCCAGCAAGCCATTGTCGGCGTAGATGCGTCCTGACTGCAATTTCTGCTGCTGTTGCTGAGCGAATGTCGTCCCTTGGACCAGTTGGGGCGCGGCACTCCGATTCAACAACACGGCTTGGTTCTGGTAACGTAGCTTGAATGGGACGGGCGCGACAGAGACCTCTCTCAGAAGGGTGTGCTCCACCACCTTCAGAATACCCTTCTTGACAACGAACCGAGGGTGCGGTACCAAGGTCTCGGGCTGTGGAACATGATCGTCCTCCTCATGATCATGACGGCTATCGCGCCTTCCGTGCTTTCCCCTGTCCCTTTCCTTTCTTGCGTCGTGTCTTCCTCCATGATGGCCTTTCTGTGGCCCAAATCGAATCTTGAGCGGTAATTTCTGCCCGGGAAACACCACTTCTGACTGCAGTGAACAAGAGTAAGGGATTTGGAATGGCTCCCAAAGACCAGTGTAATTGGCAGGATCATCATCGGACTCGGGGCTACTCGAACGTGTTGTATCCACAGATGAACGCGGGGATGATTCTGTCGACGAATTGGGCACGTCTGCCGGCAACGCTGAAGTAGAGTGCGCAGCTGGTAAGGCAGAGCCTGCGGAATTAGAGTGTTCGATCGATGACATAGTCTGCTTTAGTGGTTGCTGCTCCTGCTGCCTTTTCTCAGATGTGGTAGGAGGCAAAGTCATCTTGGAGTGTAATGCCGAAGGTAAAGAGATAGATATGAGCTGCGTTGGGCGCGGCAGATCGATAGTCGGGAGCATAGCGAGCGCAGATTTGATCATGGAGAGCGATATGAGTGATTTCGATGTGTGCTCCTGCTCTTCGGTCGTTGCTGAGGGCACCGTGGTTAGCCCAGCGTCTGTGGAAACTGCAGAGGCAATAGGAGAAGGATGGACCACTGAATTAGTCTCCAGTGCAGATAGATTTGGTCGACTTCCACATTGCTCGTGATCATTCACTGCGAGAGTCGATCTTGGTGTTGGCGAGGAAGGCGATCTTGGTGGAGCAGGGGGAGGCAGGCAGGAGTTAAGGACCCACACCTCCTGAGATGCCTCGATGTCGGTGATGCATGGAAAGGGCCTTTGGAGGATAGCCCGGATGGTGTACTTTATCTTTGCGTTAGGGCTGTAGCTGCTGGAAGGAAGTAAAGTCGCTGACCTGTTATGTGTAGCTGTGGATTGCGCGAAGGTCGAATCCAAAGGAGTGGAGGGGGACGAAGAAGGTGCTAATGCTCGGCTATGAACTGACGGGTGGACCAAGGGAACCTCAAACGCCTTCTCATAGTCGCCGGTCGCGACTGTCAGACCCTTTGGTTTGGTGTGTTGGAGCGGGAAGTGCCAGATATGGTGTCCGAGTATCTCTTCCGTGTGATGGTTGGCAACCTTCTTGTTTTCAAGTGCTATGGGCAAGGGTCGACATGTTCCGAAATTGCGAATCGATTTGTTGTTTGGTTAAAGTGTGCGCATGGTTGGGGATGAGATCAGGCTAGCTCCGCAAGCGCGCATGAAAAAACATTGTCTTACCTGCCCAGTGTGCTTCAGCTTTTGCCTCGTACATGATGACAATATCTCGCCCTCTGCAGTCATAATTACAGGAGAACTTGACAGTGCCTTTGATCGTGCCGACTTTGTCTGGGGTTGAGCCATAGACCAGAGGCATCCCATGGGGACCGACGTGGCCGGTCTCGATGTGGATTGAGAGCTCTCTTCTTTTAGCATCTGCTGGGGAGGTATCTTTAGATGTTCGCATTATGTGTCTGGAATTACAGCTGTGGTTTTCGAAACAGTCGTTGCTGGATAGAGAGTAGGCGAGGAATTAAGGTAAAAAAAAGTTTAAGAAAGAAGCTATTGACTGCCCTGGGGATGGCGAGAGATAGTGAGATTTGGAGGCTGTGAGAAGGGGCGAGCCTGTGGAAGTGAGTCTGAAAGTTACCTACAAGGCGCTATGAGACAAGGGGTGTGGTAGAGAGATTAGCTGAGATCGATGTGAAGGAAGAGATAAAGGTGTGGGGAAGAACTAAAAATATGAAGGAGTGGAAGTAACTGTGGAAGTGCTGCCAAAAGATGTACACGGGTGTGTATGTGTTCTTTTTTCCCTTTTGCGTCGTCTTGCTTTGGTTTGCAAACACAAGGGGAGGGAGGGTCGGAAGGAATAGATCGAGAAAATCAAGAGCGCTGCAGAGAGAGAAGTGTGTTCAGGAACGACCTTTTTGCCTGAATACGGCCCGGGTCAAGGTGCAGCAGGTTCCTCCTTTTATACGAAGTTTGCGCTCGTATTCATGTTTTTGCTCAGCGAGATCCATAAGTATCTACTCCGCCGGACTTCCGAATAAAACAGCGACAATGCGTTTACTCTTGTACGCACAGATAGTTCGTGGTGCAGATTGAGGCGCCTGATCTGATCCAGGAAACAGCCCACGACATGGCGTGAGTAACGAAGGGGGGACCACAGGCTCGGCGCTCGGCTAGCAATTGCCTTTATCCATTGCGATTATATGGCGGTGTACAAGGTCGAGTATAGGGTAGAAAAAAAAGAAAAAGAGATCGCTCATGCACTCTAAACCTTGACTCGAGAATTTCACCATCAATTTCTAGGCGAGTCCCGGCTCCAAAAGCCCTGATTGGCATGGACACTTCGATCAAGCAATAATGAACACTGAATTTCAGTCCATGGTAATGAAAATGCAGACGAAAGTTATGAAATTTCGACTTTGGATAAGCTCGAACTGGGAGACAAAACATCATTGCAGCCCATCCTTTGCAGTGTAGACCACTATTTGATGCGCATCCGTCCCTCACCTCATTTCATTGACCATGCTCACTGCAACTTGAAGGACGAATCTTGTTAGTCGCCGTTGATGGGTTCCCTCTTGTGAAAAATAAATAAATAAATAAATAAATAAATGCCAAGACTATTATCAAAACAAGTGCCAAGAAAATATCCATTTGTTGTACTCAATGTGGCGGAGCGCACGCGTTTGGGGTCGTATATTCACTGTAGGCGGTCGCCCGACTTCCTTCAGACCTGTCGTATAGTTGCACAAAATTAAGAATGCACACCGCGCGTTGAGAAATGCACCCAAAAATAACAATCTATGTGATCCGCGTGGGCTGTTGCCAACCCTCGGTGGCCAAGGATTTCTCTTGAACCCTTTCGTTATACCCTGATGGTGGTAATGATGGTTATCCGGTGCTCTATGAACTTGTTTGCCAGCACTCATATCCCTTGGTTCCGATGAAATGAGGGGGATCTATCGGGCTTTTGCATAAAAAAAAATGACGGGTAAATCAAAAGCTCCCTTCTTCCCTCGGCATGAGTAAAAGTTTTCGGATGAGTAATGGTGGTACGACGCGTTACATATCAACATGAATATTCGCGATAGTGGCCAAGATTCTCTATACCTTTATTGTCCTTGAGGCACTACTGGCCATGGATGATACTGGTCGAGATTAAAATCTAGGAATCAGTTTCCCTGGAGGATAGCGCGGTGTGACCATGGCGGGCACAAAAATAGGAGGCATCCCGATCTTGATCTTCAAGATCGTCATCGAATTATGCTATATCACGACCATGCCACATTGGACATTTGTCTTTATGCTCCATATGTTTGGCATCTTAATCACCACCAATATTGCCCAGCTCTGTGTCGGTGCCGAGACTCGGCTTCCAAAAATCTCCCGTTTTCCACTGGAGTCCTGGCCCTCTACAGCAACAATATCAGCCTGCGTATTCTTCTTGCATGTAGTTTCGATAGGCGTCATCACCGGTTGAATAATGCCAGAAATACTCCACGACCCTAATCTCCTCTCTCGGTTTGACATTTAGTGGCGTCAGAGGGCGCTTTCTCGTATACCACCTTGTATTTATTCTTCACCGCAGTGCGTTCTTTTGGTTAATGCGACTCCCGTGCCATATGGAGTCTTGCAGAAGGACGGGTGTGTAGGGTGCTCGAATTCTAGTATATGGTGCTATTCATCGGACACTGTCTTCCCTCAGGTCAAATGAAGCGGGAAAAAAAAAAAAAAAGCTTCAAATGCGTGTCGGTGCTTTATTAAAGACCAACTAGATAGCGATCGCGGCCTTTGCACAAACAATGCGTCGTAAAGATCACTGAGCATCTCAATTTTGACGCCCTTCATTTCTCCTCGTCAATAGCTGAAGAGTCATTCGCCCCTCTTCCCGAGGAGTTGTCAAGAGTGAAGAAAAGAGGGAGGGATTGAAGAACATTAAAGTGCAATAGCATTAAAAGGAGAAAACGACTTCTCGAATGAGTGCCGGCAGAGAGCCGCGAAGAAGCGACAAAGCTTTGTAGCGATGTAGATCTTTCGAAACAAATGATAGAAACGCGCTGCAAAGCCCTGCCATCTGAATGGAGTCCTCAGTGACATTGTAGAGCCGGGGGATAGCATTCGCATTGGAAGAGCGTTTTTTTTTTTTTTTTTTTTTTGTTGCATACAATCTAATTATCGTTGGAGGGTTTTTACATGTTACCACATATACTATGAAGCTTCATTTATCTACTTGAGCAAAAAGCACTTGACCCTTTTCACGCGCCCGTTTTTCTCGATATAAGGTATCATCTTTATTGAAGTCTTTTTTTTTTTTTTTCTGGTCAAAGCAAAAATAATAATACAGCAAATAGTGTTACATGAATCGCCCCTCTCCCCTTGTTGTGTTGAGGTATAAAAGTTTATAATGGTATAGACAGGGCCGCAAAAAAAGAAGCAATCGATAGCTTTTGAATCTCTGGTCTCTAAAGCTTTTTTTTTTTTTTTTTTTAGCCCTTGAGTTGTTGCAAGACCATCTAGGGTATTGCAAAAAAAAACGTTTCAAATCCCCGTTTAGCGACTTCTGGATCTATTTTGTCAAACGCCAACAGTCTCCCTCTCCCCTCTGCAAATCGAGACGAAAGAAAGGGGAAAAAAAAACGCGTCTGTCGTTCTTACCTTCAAGGCCCGCGAGACGTGTCTGGATTGGATGATGCTGTCATGTGTGAGTTGAGCCTGTCGACTCGCTTCAGATATGAGTCTCTGCAGGAACAAGAGATAAAGCACGTAGATCTAAACAAATAATAATAATAATAAAAAGGGCCAGTTGAAGACAGAACAAATGGCACTGTTAGTAAGAAAAGCGCTGGTGCCCGAAAGAAAGAAGACATCTTTGACAAAAGACGAACGTGCCTTGATGTCCACGTTTTTGGACATCTTCATAGTCGGCTCATGCGCCTGGATGATCCTCTTGAGGGTTGAACGTGGGTAGATGCGTGTCATGGTCGTCTTCGCCAAAGGCGGTATGAATGAGTTTTTTTTTGGCGGAGCAAAATATAAAAGATTCCCCTCCACAACGCGCGGGCAGCAAGTGTCCCAGTTCGTTCTTTTTTTTTTTTTGGTTGGAGCTGGAAGCGGTCACGAATGTTTATCACTCTCTCACCATTTCCTGCTGCGTCTTCTCACTTTAGCCTATTACCTCTCAGCACTTCAACCTCAAGCAAACAAGCAACACACATGGAGAACTATCACCGGCGCCCAAAGGCCTCAAAGTCCAAGTTTGAGAACGACGACGACTCGACCTCTAACACCACGGGCATCTCAAAAACGACCACACAGCATCACAACCGTCCTCAGCAGCACGGTGTCATGGTCATCTCTCCCAACGGCAAGATTCGCACCTACGTTACCCGCGCACTCGAGATATTGGTCGAGGCTGACGCTTCAGACACTCAACAGGACTTTGATCCAGAAAGCAATAACCAGAAAAAGAGCGAGAAAGGCAAATCAAAACCATCGGTACGTGTTGAAAAAAAACAGAACAGGGACAAGGAAGAAAAAAAAAATAAAAAATGACAAGAGCAACAATCTTGGATCAGTATCGCTATTTGGGTATCTGGACTTTTTGACAAGCAATTGCAAGCAATATCTAACATCCTCCGAACCTCATCTCTCTCTCTGATCGTTATAGAGTATACCAGCGCAAAGCACGAAACCCGCCGCATCCGCATCCTCCGGACCCTCAATACCCTCCACCTCAAACCCCACACCCACACCCACATCCATCTCCTCTCATCTCTCAAAACCCTCCTCCACTCAGGGCGTCCTAACCATCAAAGCCCAAGGTCGTTCCATCACCAAGGCTGTTACCGTTGCTGAGATCCTAAAGCGTCGCATGGAAGGTTCACTTCACCAATTCACGGAGATCGGACAGGTCACTGAACAAGAGATCTGGGATCCTAATCCCGACAAGCCCAATCTCGACCCAATTACCGTATCCAGACATAGACCCACCATCCGGATTCGACTTTCGAAATATTTGGAGGTCCATGCGACTGCTGGAACAGGACTCACAGGCGTCGACTCAACTATGCCAGGAGCTTCGATCCCTAGAGACGAGCATACAGATGATGATGACGATGATGATCATAATGATGGTGATGAGAACGGTGATGGCGGAGGAGAGGCATGGCCGGGCGCTATCTTGGATAGAGATGCGGCTGCAAGGAGGTTTGTTGGATATCAGGCTCCAACGGGCAACGACATTTACTTGTAAAATAAAGACTTTTTTTTTTTTTTTTTTTTTTTTTTGGTTAGAGATATTGTACAAAAAAAGAGTGTGAAAGCAACAGATCGGGGAATATGGCATGATGGACTCAAAATAAGAAAATATAACAATGGTAGCGCGAGAGGACAACAACAGCATAAAAAAAAATATATATATATATATAAAAAAAAGAATATTAACCAAGTAAAAAGCCCTCATTGCTTGCTACTGGCGCTTTCGTTTCGATACTCGAGTCCATTCCGCTTCTGGAATTCATCCAGAGCAGACTCTACAAAGCCCATCAACTCGTGCAAATGCAGATGTGTTCCCAGGGGCCAGTGGATCTTTTGGATCGTCGTCCCTGGCACAAAGCGGTCAAAACTCAGCCCTGCTTGACCGATCTGATCCGGATGAATGCACCACTTGCGGAACGTGTCCGGGAACTGCTTGCGAGCAATGTCCGGAGTCAACCACGACCGAGTGTCGTCCATGCGCTTCTGGATATGAGCCCAGTCTTCAACATTCTGAAGCATTCGGCTAGCCATCTCCTGAGGGATAGCGACCGTTGCTGCCGGTGCACCATTCTCTTCCTTGGAGGCCTGCCCCTTGGTCTTGAACTGTCCACTCTTGAGCATCTCCTTTCTCAGCGCCATGATATGGAAGCTGTACACTTTGAAGTAAACCAGAACTTCCATCAAAGCACTATTGCGAAAACAAAATGTATCGGCTGTTAATTCTCAAAATCCGTTTGTATGCTCTTGAGCGCCCATGAATCACTCCGTACCTGACACCGTCGAGTCCTGCGAGATGGTTGGAGTGGCATTGATTCGTCAGCGCATGAATGAACTGTCGCATGGTCTCCCAAGAGTTGATGGACTCCTTGACAGCAACGTCTGGTCGACCGGGGTTAGATAGTGTGTGATACTTGTCGTTCGCATGAAAAGCCGCAATAAACTCAATGGCGCTCAAAAAGTACTGAATCGCACCCAAGCGAGGATTGCTCTGATTCTTAAGAGTGCTGTCAGCATTGTGCTTGTAGGTGATTCCTTCGGATTGACGCCTACAATCCATAACAGTGTGTTAGTTCCCATACCAAGAACGCTTTCTTAATACAGATAATAAATAGCCATCATAACGACTTACAATCGGAAGGTGCTGTAGTAATCCGCGATCTTCTTTTGCACATCTGACGTGGGCTTTGAAGATGATGAGCTGCTGCTGGAAGGCTTTTGTTCAGTAGCAGTCGGTTTCTGATTGAGCTCCTTGGACATTTGTGGTGGTTTTCCTGTCAAGGCCGTCGCAGCAGCCAATGCTGGAGAATCCGACGCAGCCTTTGGTGTGTCGACCTTGTCCGCATTACTCTTCTTGCGCTGATAATCCTCGATTGACATCCTCTTAACGGTCGAGGTGAGGTTTCCAGAAGATGTCGACCGCTGCGACGTATCCTGCTGTCCTCGGCTATCCGATGTCAAAGAAGATGTAGGAGCAGGAGGCGATGCTGATTCTTCCTTAATTGCTTGAGATGGTCGTCGCGTGGAACTTGGGCTAACTAATGTTGTTGGCGCTCCTGGTTTGCTTTCTGGCTCACGACGGCCCGCACTGCTCTTGCTCGACTCCTGTGTCTGCTGCTGTTGCTGTGCCTTGCCATCAGTCCGCACTTCAATACGAGCAGATGCACTAGAGGAGACAGGGGTTGAAGTCTCTCTGCCTCGTCGGTCGCTCTCTTTCCTGGTCTCTCCTCGCTCTCTAGATCGTGATCGCTGCCGCTTCCGGTCCCGACTCCTTTCACGGCTGCCTCCACGGTCAGGACTCCTGTCCCGACTGCGGTCGCGGCTCCTGTCTCGCGAACGATCTCGGCTTCTGTCTCGTCCATAGCGGTCTCTACTGCGTCCTCTGCCTGAACGATCGTTGCGATCACGACTATTATCCCTCTGTCTACCGTCTTGTTTGCGCCTTGACAAGGATCTGTCGTCGTCATAATCCCGTCGATCACGATTCGACTTGCTGTCACGGTTATCGTTCCTGGAGGGGCTCCGATTGCGGTCGTATCTTCCTCTAGGCGACCTAGATCGTGAGCGGGTGCGCGACGACGAGCGCGATCGACCTCGTGCACGGTCCTTTGTAACCCTGTCCTTGTTGCTGGTGCTATTACGCTGTGCTGAAGATGAAGTGTCCTCCCTGGAATCCTTATCGTTTCTGGACTTGCTATCCTTTTGACCCTCTCTTCCTTCTCTACCTGTACGACGGTTCGGAGATGTAGGTGCAGCAGAGGAACTGGTACGATCCGATTTTGAAGTCGACTCGTTCTTGCTTCCTGTGCGGCTAGAGACCGAAAAGTCGTCCTCCTTAGAGGCCTTCCGTTCCTTGTTTGAGATTGAAGACGACGGCTTATCGATGTAGGCGGCTTTCTCCTTGGTTTCTCTAGCATTGTCGTCCTCCTTTGCTCGGCGACGTGCTTCAGATGATGTACCGTTCCGATCTCGAGAGTCGCTACGCTTGCGTGTCGCTGTTAAATCCGATTTCTGTGAATTGTCCTTGGATTCCAATCTGCTACGAGTGTCAGACTTCTCAGGTGGACCACCGGATTCTAGATCTTTGTTCGTACGCCGGCGCTTAGAGGGCTCGTCCAACTCACCCTCACCAGCGCTGTGGTATGCAGGTCGCATTTTCTTTTCCTTATTCCGATCCAGGGTTGGCGACAGCGACTGAGATTCCTTTACGCGACCAGACTTATCAGCGCCATTGGTGCTTCTCTCATCCGCGCGATGACTCCTACCGTCCGTGAAGTCAGATATGATCTTTGAAGAACTGGTAAAAGCCGGGTCCCGTTTGGCATGTGCCCCTGTGCTCGACGAAGCACCGTTCTCCGATGGTCGCTTCTTGGGGTCGGAGCGAGTGTCGTCTCTAGTATCCCGTGAGCGCCTTTCCTTGAGATCCTTGGCTGCGCTCTTTGACAACTTCCTACCTTCCGAATCGGACTCATCCGAGGAGTAGGAGCGACCCCTCTTTGTCGTGCTTTTCCTGCTGGATGGACTCGGGTATCTCTCCTGGCGTTTAGAATCCTTCCTGATATAGTCACTTTCCATACGCCGAGTCGAGTCGACGCTACCTTCTTTGTCAGTGCCCGAGGGCTTGTTGATGTCCATGTGATGATCGTCATCAGAAGAGTCCAATGAATATACTGCTTTCGATCGAGATTTTGAGTTGCCAGAGTGAATATGAGATGACGCCTTGGGCTTCTCGGAGCGAGGAAGAGGCTTTAGGGGAAGCAAATATGAGGGTATACTGATCTTGATGACAACTGGATTCTTCGACAGAACCATACTGGCAATCCGCCGAGGAAGTTCAGCAACCTGTCTGGATGAAAGTTCACAACAACACCTTCCACCAGAGGTCTTCCTGGCATGGATTTCCGTTGTATGGTGCTGAGTTGAGTCTGGTGGTGTCTTCCCAGACACAATCCCTGCAGGACGCTTGCCCCCGATCGTCTCTGATTTTGAGTTTCGTCGCCGGGCCGTTTTCCGCCTATGATGCCGATAAGGTTGAGACAACCCCTGGTTAGAACGAAGAAGTGTGATCGGATAGTGGATGATGTGATGACAATCATGAAGCCGTACCCGATACGTTTCCTGGCCTGCGTTTGTGTGTCGATGTCGCTGTTGGCGACATTCTCTGATCCTGCATCTGATGAGGACCGACCGGAATCACTTCCCGAGTCAGAGCTCTCGTCGCTGGTGGCGCCCAATCCCAATGGCGCCTTCGGCACTTTGCCTGGCTGCTTGCCTCCGGTAACACTCCTCACTGGGGCTGGCCAAGGAGGAATGGTGGGACTCATTATGATAGGAAGGCCCTCCAGCAACTAACAAAGCATCGTGCAAATACATATAGTAAGTAGCTCGGCCATTTTGCGCATCACCGGAGATTATGAACATCGATTGTCTTGAAGCTCACCTCGATGCTCTTGCGAATCTCTTCCAGTGGAGGCGTTGGAGGAACCTTTGGGATGTCATGAAAATGGCGGACAGCAGGAGACACGTCAGTGCCAATGGCAGCGTAGGACGAGCCGAAGGCAGGAAGGACCTGCGATCATGGAGTGCACTTACATGGCTGAATGGGTCGAGGGAGTTGTGTGATGCTGGATTGCTGTGTGAACCTCGACCGTTGGATGCGCTATTGTTGTTACTGCTGTTATTGTTGTTGTTGTTGTTGTTGTTGGTGTTGTTGTTGTTGCTGTTGTTATTGTTGTTGTTGCAGTTATTGTTGCTCAAGTATCTACTATCTGTCTTTTGACTGCGTTGACAAGGCAGCAAGCAATACAAGCCATACAGATAAGAAAGGGATAGAAAACAAATAGAGTCAGTACCATGGAGAAACCGAAGGGGAAGAATTCGCTGTATGTCTGTTTGTTTGTTTGTGTGCATGTCTTTGTGCCTGAGGTGGATGTGGCACACGGCGCCTTTCGCCCAAAGTGGGCCCTTTCCAGGGGTAACAACACCACCCGTATACTTTACCACTGAAGTTCCCGTCCCATTCCCATTTCTATTCCCATAATCATCTCAGCATCATCCCCCTTTCCCCATACTGATCAAGTAATCAAACGATTAATTGCGATTGAGCCTTTGACGTCTCTTCAGGGAAGAAGCCTGTGTTGATCCGGGACGTGGGCGGCCTTCCATCTCCTCCACCAAAAAAGAGAAAGCTCCCCCTTCATTTTCTTTTTTGTGCTCCTGTTATCCACGCCTGGACCGTATGCATGTTGCACACAACAAAACATCCATTGCCACATGTCACACACAAACACAACATGATTCTCATCGGCATTGGGGGATGGGCTGACGAACGGATAGATGGCAAGCAAACTGACATTTGTTTTGTCGCGCTTTGGACCACAGACGGGTCGACACCGCGCAAAGGTAAGCAGTGATCGCATCAAAGAGTATGGGCATCATCAGAAAGTCGAGAACGCCCAGTGGTATTGAATCCATTAGAGTCGCATAATCCCATCTCATAATCAGAGTTCCACAGTGGCCCCTCTCCTGATCTGCAAACGCTCTTTGTCGCTCTGCTTTTTTATGCCTTTTCTCACGCTCTCACTCTTGATAGATGAACATTCGCGTGCTTCAAGAGGACTACTCTGCTACCGGCCACGGTTAGTGCCACATCATGGTATTCCAACTAGTTCCAAGCCGACTCTTTCATCCTAGGTTTCGGGTCTGCTCAATATTACTGACCATAACCATTATAGGCCAGCACTTCTTCTCCGCGCTTTCGTCCTTAGTCTCTAGTTTTACTCTTCCCATCGCTCGCTCTCGATATTTTTCACCCATTTAGCGATGCATGCCTTCATTTCCCACACCCTTCTAAATTTTCATCCTGTCGCACACCACCCTAAATCAAAAGGCAAGAAATAATAAACGCAATAAAACATACCCAGGCATGTGTCCAAACTGCATCCCTGCAGCCCAGCCAGAGAGAACCGGAGGTGTCGGCGGCACAAGCCATTCGTTCTTAAGAGACCCTCCGAAGGAAGGACTCCTCTCCTGAGACGATCGATCTTTGAATCCCCAGGCCCGTGGATTAAAGGTTGCGTATTCAACGCAATTGTACATCAAATCGGGTCCCGGGTGCCCACCTCCGACTGTCCAGTGCCGCCTCAAGTCGGCGATTTTCTGGTCAATGTCTTCATAGGAGGTCTGTGTTGAATTTGGGGTGTTGAGGGTACTGGCATTGGACGACGTAGCAATTGAGCTCGGGCTGGGGATAGAGGGACTGGGGAGGGCGGTCGCACGGACAGAGGTTGCCGTTGACATGGCGCCAGTCGTTGCGTTCGAGCTGTCGTTTAGGGGTCGAGGTTCCTGCGTTGAAGGTTCAATTGGTGAGAGATATTGGAGTGTGAGGTTGAGCGCTGGTTGTTGGTTTGGGATGAAGGGGATGGGGTTGGTGAATTAGAGATTCAATCTGTTGCAGGTGCTCGTGTTTTTGGTGAGGAGGGATAGATAGGCTATTAAAAGACAGCGAGCACAAGAGAGTGAGTGGCGAGCAGCAGTGGTGGATTAGGAGTGGGGTGGAGTACAATGGAGTACATACACGAAAAATAGCGGGCGGAGGATGGAATGAGGAATGTGGTAGCGATGAGGGAGGTTCCTTGCGGGAGGACCGATCAGACAGAAAAGAAGAAAGATCTCGTACTTTGTTCCCTGACAGGAGGAGAAGGAAAGGAACGAAGGAACGAAGGAACGAAAGAAGGGAAGGCTGCGGCTGCAGAGAGTCAGGAAGTGGACACAGCAGCAGTCAACGGGTGCATGGGCTGCATGCAAACGTGATGGGTGGCAGAGATGTAATTCTGGTCTCTGGACATATGTAGAGAGGTATGCGCCGAAGAGCGGCCCCCAGACACAACCCGCAACCACCACCCCGCCCCAGACATGACACCACCCAAAGCCCAGATATGATTCCACTGATTTTAGAATTCTGGGTAGGGAAAAAGGGCCCTGGCCAATAATGTGTCCGCACTCTCTTGCCCTTTGCCTTTTCATTTTTCCGAAATATCCTCCCCTCTCTCCTCTCTCTCTCTCTCTCTCTCTCTCTCTCTCTCTCTCTCTCTCTTTCTCTTTCTCTCTTTCTTTCCTTCTTTCCTTCTCTCTTCAAGCGTCTCTTCGATCATGCACGCAAAAGGGAGAGAAGAGGCCATGGCCAGTCGACAAAAATCAGCATGAAAAAGAGGCACATTTCTCCGAGGAAACCAATTCGCATGGTGTGGATTGAATCGAGATAAAATAAAAAGGGACACAATTATGTTCACCCGCGGTGCGCCGTAGGGTGATTTGTAATGAAAGATACTGAATAAGGGAAGCCACTCCGAATGAACAAGCTGCTGCATCGACCACAAAGATGAATGACCCATGTCGTCTTGCCTCCTCATGGTCAATGGTTGCATTCATAACCTCACCTGCAAGTTGAACAATTCGAATGTGTGAGATGATGAGAGTGTGGAATGGTGTTTAGAAACTAACCTTGTAGACAACAAAATCGGAATCCTTGTGGCAGTGGGCGGGATTGCTAGTTTGTCGCGAGTAAGAAAGGACCAAGAGATTATGAAGGACCTGCTGTCTGTGGTAGACACCGCGAAGTAGTGTGCACAGTGCCCGTTGAGTGGAAAGAGGCGGTGAAGAAGAAAAGGAAATCATGGCCATGGGCTGCTCAAATACAATCTGCCCAAGGATCCCTCTTCGTTTTCCTATCTCCCATTCAGCCACACCAAATTCGCTTCTCTGGTGACCAGCAGGCAAGGAGAGGAGCCGATAATAAAAAAAATCGAATCGATGGAACCCGATATCGTTAGGGTGTCATTTTGTCTCAATTCATGGGGCCGGCCTCCAGGATGGGAATCACGTCCTTCAAATTCGCTCATCGACTGTTTCAGGGCCGCCTTATCCCCCTGGCAGTTTCGGCCAGAATGAGGCCACAGAACAGAGGAATAAATAGAACACTGCAGTGAACAACCAGAGACCACTATGGCATGCATGCATGCATGAATAGAAACGACCCCGGAGGCCATCTCACCATTGTACCCTGCGTGAACAGAGTGGAGCATAGCTGTCTCTATGTTTCTATCCAAAATATTTTTCTGAGCAATGGTGAATAAGCAGCTCTCGACCCTCACTGCCCACCGGCGCTTTTACGCCGCAAGGCAGGGGGGAGGGGTTTTCCTTCTCCACGGTTTGTGTGTACAGCCGTGTTTGTGCGTTTTCGCTTTTTCTTTGCTCTTATGCCAGTGCGCGCTCTTTTGTGTTCCCACCACAGGAATGAGCAACAGGGGAACACAGATACAGCGCGTTGATGCACGTTTTCTCTTTAGACAATCGATCGAGCACGGGATATGCGCCTCGGCATAGCAGACGATGCGAGACTAGTCGTATTTTTGTCCGCTGCGCAAACGTAGAACGACAGATTTCTATTCGCCGCGTCCCTCGCCTAGAGGAATACACAGCCCAAGTGCATGATCTTTGGTGGCAAATCGAGTCCCACATTGGGAGCAGGCATTTCCGGTTCTCAGGGCTTGAGGATGTCCACGGACGCGCGATGTCATACAACGCTATTTTATATTCCTCCCGCTCCCCTCTTTGTCCAGAACTATGGACATATTATGCCTGTAGTGCAGTAGAGGCAGCTTTTATGTAGTTGGGGGTATTCCAAAAGAACAGACAGAATGACGTTTCTTCTCTGCATCTTTGCGTCCTCGTCGCATGTATTTTGCATTGGGGTCAAATCGATATTGGAATGTTGAACAGCATTGATATGCCCAACTGTCCGGCAGAACTAACTTCTTGGATGCATGCCCCGCCTCAGTCATGCATCGCTGGTTTACGTTTTAGTCCCTCGCCCCCACAATGCATAGGACACGAAATAAAAGCTAGATACCAGTCTCTGCATATCCGTGTGCGTTGCTCAGCACCACGCGCGCTGTCGTCTGCATCATCATCATCCTCGCCGTAGTCATGATCGTCCAAAAAAAAAGTCTTACCCTATATCTCGTTGAGCTGACATTCTACTTTCGCCCATTACCTCGTAATACCATCTCTCCGGGCTGCTTCCAATGTTTTAGCCACCTTTTTGCATTTCGTAGTTTCCTCTCTACCCCACGCTCTTGCATACCACCTGCAGGTATAGACCATCATTCCATCTCTTTTCTACCTCCCCCGCATCTCACCCCAAGGAAGCGGATATCCCCTCCAACACTCACGCGTCCACAGAATTTCTTCTCACTACCCCACATCTTCAGCTTTCTCCCCAGGCTCACCACTTGGTCCTCCCTATATTTCTTTACAACCATTCACATCCTACAAAGCTCATGAACACCGCACTCAGCGACATTGGCCACAATGTGCAACGGTCTTCTGGCACCTCCAGTATAAAACTCGCGTCCAACAGTATCTGTGACATCACTACCAAGGAGAAAGCTGAAGGAGGCAACAGTTCTGGGCTCTATTTAAATGCAAAGGCAGATTATTATCTCATTTCGAAATTCGACTCTGGTTCACGGGATTGCCTGTTTCCAGGCACGAACCATGCTACACTCTCCACCTCGTATGATGCGTTTTTCACAGACGATGCCTATAATGGCGGAGACCATGGTGCTTCGGCCCTGATCATGCCGTATGGGCACGGACCCGTGGAATTCGAGGACACTCGACTCTACGAAGGACGATATGAAGATCGAGGGGACGATGAACGCGAATTTGAAGACACTGGACACCAACATCTGCTTGATAGACAACAGCAACAGCACCCGCACCAGAGATCTCCGCTACAAAAGCAATTGCACCTGTCGGAGGATGCATTGATCATGGAGCCCACGATTCTGGCGGGGTATCAGCGTAGACATCCACAGCCCACGGAGCAACAGCTTCAGCTCCATCTTGTGCAACCATCGTTGCTCGAGTCATCGACAATGAAGAGAGAGCGTGAGGAACTTCAGGGTATAGGTCTGATCTATCATCAATTGCAAGATGAGCAGGAGGAACAGGAGGAGCAAGAGTCTCCAAATCATGATCACACCATGGAGATTGACAATGATGAACACGACAATACGACCGACATGGAGGGGGCAATAGAGAAGAAGCGCAAGGGCATATGGAGCCAAGAGCGCGTTACTGAGCCCGAGACGGATCAAGACGACGACGACGAGGAGGAGGAGGATGTGGAGGAGGAAGACCAGGGCTCCGATGAGGATGTTCCCATGCAAGATCTGAAGCGCAAGCGTCGCCGAAAGAGTGAAGCTACAGATATCCAACAACAACAGCAACAACAGCAACAGCAACAGCAACAGCAGCAGTACCTTCACCGCCAGCTATATTCTTCCTCCTCCTCTTCCTCCTCATCACACACTCCTGCATCTTCATCATCTTTATCCCCAGCGACGCATTCCAGCAACTTGATCACAGAGCAACAATTCCTCCTCCTAGCCGAGGACTATCTACTCTCGCTCTCACCAAAGAAGCGCGAAAAGGCCCTACTGTCGAACTCGATGTACCAAAAGATCCTCATGGTGTTGCTCCAGCCCAAGAACACCCAGGTCTCGACCGCGCAGTTTCGATTTTGGGCCAAAAAAATGTTCACTCTCTCTACTACCCCAACTCACCATGTCGTCTGCCATGGTGGTAAACCTGTCGCGACTAAGGAATGCCTCTATGACGTACTGGTCTACTGCCATCGAAAGAGCTCCCATGGTGGTCGGGACAAGACGTCTGCAGAGGTGGGTATTCCTGCGTTACTGCTCCTTATGCATTCTAATCATTGCTGAAAAGAAAAAAGAAGAGAACAGTTTATTCAAACCTCCTTTCGTCCTCTACGCGAATTCTTTTCCAGGTGCGGCAGCATTACTCGTGGGTCCCCAAGGAGCTGATCGCTCGCTTTGTGAAGCATTGTCCGCTTTGTCTCAGCCGTCGCAACACACAGCAGCGTCAAAGTGCACCCGGAACTTGTACGGTCCCTGGGATCGAAGCCTCTAGCCCATCATTCCACCCGATTCTAGACGTGTCGTTGCCACGGCTCCATCAGAGCCAACGGCACCATACGTCCAAAACAGAAGGACCTCTGTCTCTGCCTCAAGAGTCACTGCAGCAGCCGGACCCTCCGCAAGCACAACCGCACCAGCGCCAGTACCGCCAGCAACAACACTTGCAGCAATATCCGCATGCGCTCTATGATCAAACCATGCACCTAGATCAAAAAACTCATCCTGCGAAGAACTCTGACGAGGACTACGTTGACAGGCTCGACGATGAAAAGTCAAGTCCGCAAGACCAGAACGACTGCATGCAGGTCGATCAAGGCGCATATGATGATGGCCAGGGACCCACCAACCCAAACGAGGTCCCACACGCGCTTAGCCCACACGTCCATCCTAACCGCCAACACCACCAAAATCACTACTATCCATTTCTGCAACATCGCCCTTCTTATCCAAACTACCACCACCCCTACTTACACCATCAACAGCAACCCTACCGACACTCTCACCCACGACACCACGCTCCGTCTCCGAAACCTACGCCGCCCATCATACCCATCGCCGTCCATCCAAACGGCCACATCCTGCACGACCGCCACCCAATCCACAACCGTGCACGGCTCATGGGCCTCACGACTTCCACTGGCCCCACCGTTACCTCTGCGTCCACAACTTCAAACTCTTTCCTGATCGCGCCCTTCCAACTCCCCTCCAACTCCACCTCCGCCTCCGCCTCCGCCTCCGTCTCGACCTCTTCTTCTCAATCTGCATCCACACTAAACCCAAATCCTCATACCACCTTCAGCATGACCCTACCGCCCTTCCAATACCCCTATAATCATCATCAGCATAAAGTCCACAACCGATCACCGTCCTTCTTCTACAACGCCCTCGGTTTAGATCCTCCACATCAAATTGTCGAGTCTGCTGAGACTCAAGTCTATGGCTACGGAGAGAATAATGGAAGCGAAGAAGACGAAGAAGTGGAGGATGAAGATCTACAGCGCGTGGAAGAGAATGGGGAGGAGAAACAAGAGATAAGGATCAAAGGTGAAGATGGCGAGAAAGGGAATGCCGCTATCGAATAACAGAATGACAGTTATAGGTACTGAGCGAGGGGCGAAGGAAGGGAGGAGGAAGGCTCATGCCTTTAGTTGTGTCTTTCATGATGAAACTCGGATCTCTATGGTAATCCAGATTTATATCAATGATACGCCCTTCCTTCGTCCCTCCCCAGATCCCTAATGCTTCATGCTCACACAAGCTCCACTGCTCACTCGATGCCAGTATGTACGCATAAACCATTAAAAAGCATGTTACTTCATTCATGGTCTTTTTATTGTCGGATCAATGGCTGCAAATATGCAGTGTATAGGATAAAATCGTGTCGATATTGCGCATGAAAATACACCATTCCACTTCGTCCCCCTGCTCCCTGCCATCGCAACGGTGATCGGCCCTTCTTTTAGACTCCGTACTCCTGCAGCTGCTTCAACAGATACTTGGATTCATCAACCCAGTTGATGGGTGTTACTGAAATAATCGTGAAGCGCATCTTCGCCTCATCCTAATATAGTATTAAGAAAAACACAAACGCTCTTTAAGAATGATAATCCAAGGCAGACAATCCAATGCGCCATAATCATGTCGATCTACTGAAGACAGCAAAATCCTTACTCCATAAACCTCCTGCTTCGCTCGGCACTTGAAGGTATATGCCTTGAACGTGGCTCTGTCGAACGTGGGCCTGACTTCATTAGGGTTCTACATATTTCAAAACAAGGAACCCATTCTGAGTTAGCACCTCGATTGTCATACATATCTTCATGTCGTTCCTTGATACTCCAAGTGTTTCAATACCATAACAAGCTCTGCAGCTGGTCGTCCGGTGATGGTAGCTCCAGCATCGTTGAAGGCCTGCAGCCAGTTCTGTCCAGTGTGATCGGCGACGTTCACTCCCATTATGTATCTGTACTCTGGCTCAGGATGTGTCTGGCTGCACTTCTCACATCGCCAGCCGTTGCTGTCTTGCGTGACCTTCTTGTTGCAGTTGGGCATTGGGCAGGCCGGGTATTGGAACGTGTTCTCGGCTTTACCCATGCTCACAATTGTACCCTTCGTCTCAAAGTAGAGCTGCTGTACAGGTTCCAGGTTTGCAGCCGCATTTTTGAACTCATCAAACGTCATCCTGGGAGCCGCATTGGCCTTGAAGTCAGAGGCATGAGCCTGGAACGTGGCGGATTGTCCCTGCTGGTCAAACCATGCTCGCAGTTTGAAGGCCTCTGTAATCTCTGGATTCAGTTTGTATGTGCTGCCGCCAAAAGCGTTGAGCGACTTGCCTAAGGATTGGCAAGCATCATCAAATGTAGCATCAGTATTGCTTATGATTCAACAGTTTCCATGTATCATGCATCACAAAGCGACTTCTATAGCAAAATCAAAACTCCAGGACGTACCACCATAGTTGCTAACAGAGACACCCTTGAACGCGATAACAGGATTTGAGCCATTGACAGAGAATGATTCGGCCTGGTTGCCCCAAAGTGTAAGCCGAGTGGCGAAGCCGGTGCTGTCTACCAATGTCAGGTCGCGTTTGATAACAGGACGGTTCGTCTTTTGTGAATTGGTATTGGTGACTTCACCGATCTCCTTGACAATAGCCACGACATCCACTGTTTCTTTCTCGTTGATATTGGCGAGGGTCGACAGATCCACGAAATTGTAACGCATCGTTGGTACATGGTTGTTCTCCGGTGCCTATTGAAAGTCCACGAAATATACCAAATCACAATCAGCTGCGGCTTTCCATATTAAGCAGGAAAAGAAACATGGACAAAAATAGAGCACTTACGGGGACAATGTGGGTGTCGCGCTGAAGAATCAGCTCATAATTGTTCTTGACGTTGTTGAACTGCTTTTTGGCCACGTCAACCTTGGCGTTGGAAATAAAATAGACCTTGCCCTCCTCGATCATGTTGTAGTATTCATCCACTTGTTGAGTGAAGGCTGTAGCCTTGATTTCCCCCTATTTTGATAAACATACAGATAGATACAGATAGATATAATCAGTATTTTCGATCTACACGCAATCGTTTTCCGCCTTTAGATAAATCTCTGGCATGGCCTCTAGCGATATGACTTACACTCTCATCCATCAGGGTCATGCTGAACAGTCTACCCTCGCTATTTCCTGGTTTGCTCCAAGTCTTGATGTCTGACTTTTGTGTGACGCGAGCCATGATCGTCCACTTGTTCTGATATAGATTCAAGAAGCTAATAGGAAAGACTGGTCCACCGCTGGGCGAAAGAATATGTTGTTGCGGTTGGTGCTGCTGTGGTTGTTGCTGGTGCACCTGCTGGTATGGGTTAGAGGCCTGCTGTTGCTGTTGACCAGCTCGGCTCTGCGCGGGAGCAGCAGTGTCGGGGTCGATGCTGATCTGTGTTGATGGGAGATATTAGCGTTTTAAAGCGATTGTCCCCAGAGCTTTGGTCCTTTCAATGATGCAGCGAGGAAGGTGAACTTACTGGCTCTCCGATCTTACCGAGGTGACCAAACTGGTCGAGGACATCAAGCTCTAAAGCAAGGATAAGTCTGAACGGATTACTGGTTAGCGGCCATGGCAGTCCGCTCATGTTGATTCAACTCCTACTGTCAAATGTGCTTATCTTTGACATACTTTCTTTTGTTGACGGGTTTGATCGAATGCTTGTTCAGCTTAATAAGCGAATACTGTTTCAAAGCCCCGCTGTCGACGAGATGATTCAATCCGACGCCAAGAATGCCTACGGAATAAAGCAAACGCAATAAATTTTCGTTAGTTTTGTTCACGCAGTGTGCCACTAGAACGCCGAAGGTGCAATGGGGGCGATCGTCAAAAGAAACTGATTCGGTACCTTGAAATACGTAGCTCCCATCCGATAAAAGCAGTCTGCAATTTGGAGTAGAAGAAGACGTATAGAAACAAGGCTGGTCAGCATCCTAAACCTCATTAACCGTTCTTTGCCACCAAAAAATGCCACCTCGAAATCATTTACCTGTGGCGGATGGCTCCGCCTTGCGCCGGCTGGACCATAGCCTTGGTGTTCAGGACCTGCAAGATGGCGCCTGGACAAGGCTGCTCATTGTAGAGTGTTTGGATGGCATTGGGTGTACAGGGGTTTGTCATGATGATAGACTGAGGGACAGAGAGTATTGCGTTGGGAAGAATGAGAAAGCGCGACCACGAAGGACAGCAAACAACCAAATGAAGAATGCGCGTTGGCAGTCACACGTAAATGAAAAAACAGCGTGGCTTGTAGCGCCTTTCCTTCCTTCCACCCCATTCTGAGGGCCCAATCGAGCAGCAGGCACAAGAAAAAAAAACTGCGGCGGGTAACAAAAGTGAGCTTGCTGCCCGAAAAAAATTTTTCACCCTCTTTGCTTCGCTCCCTCTCCATCTCCCTACACCCGACGATCCGAGTTCTTTCATTAAAGGAACTCTCATCGTTGTAAAAGAAAAAAGCAAAAAAAAATCATGTCTTCGAAGTAGGTTAACAGAAAAAATAGGCTGCCTTCATCGTCATCCCACCCTCGACTTCATCTTGCGCTATGGATCAAAAAGGCCCGATCTCGCATAGGATCTGAAGCAGTGTGCGACATGGATACATTCTACCGGGGAGAATCTCCTATTCCTCATCTTCCACTCTCAGACCTCTTCCCTCATCTGATTCAACAAAAATGTTGGTCCTCGCTGTTTGATCCCCCGAGAGTATCGGTGGATCTCTTTGGCCCTGAGCTGCCGCTTAGGGCAAGATAACAGTAACGCTGAGATGCCCCAGTTCTCTTTTCAGTTGCTTCTCCTGCATTTTTATTTCATTCTCCCTCTCCCTTTCCTGATATGCATGCAGATGATATGCATGTCTCCTCTGAATATCATAATTTGGCTTGACAGGACGTTCGTCCCAGTGTTGTAACCGCTCCTATCTCTTGTGGATCTTTTTCAATTCAATAGCAACGAGGCCGGTGGTCTCGAAATTGACCAGAATGAGATTGAGGTAATGGTCCTTGGCAGGAACGCCCCTCCTATCCGGGAACCGTAGACTGGATGTCTTGCACAGGACCTCAGTTGACATCCCCATACTGACATTTTTTTTTATTTTGTACCTTCTGTTTGAATCTGACTCTAACAGTCCAACTGGGATGAGGTTGTTGATAACTTCGACAACATGAGCCTCTCCCCCGAGTTGCTTCGTGGTATCTATGCCTATGGGTACGTATCATTGGACAGGAACAGACCACGTTTTCGTACTGGCAACATCATATCGCTCTGTTACATTTCGCCAACTGACAGCATCCTTTTTGGTTTCCTTCACCATGTCGCCTTAACGTCTTAATTCAGTTTCGAACGCCCTTCGACCATTCAGCAGCGTGCCATTCTCCCCGTCATCAAGGGACATGATGTCATTGCTCAGGCCCAGTCTGGTACTGGAAAGACTGCCACCTTCTCGATCTCGGCTCTTCAGAAGTTGGACACCTCCAACCCTCAGTGCCAGGCCCTCATCCTCGCTCCTACTCGCGAGTTGGCCCAGCAGATCCAAAAGGTCGTCATTGCCCTCGGTGACTTCATGAAGGTTCAGTGCCACGCCTGCATTGGTGGTACCAACGTCCGCGACGACATGAGAACCCTCGAGAGTGGTGCCCAGGTCGTTGTCGGTACCCCCGGTCGTGTCTTCGACATGATCAACCGCGGTGCCCTCAAGACCGATTCCATGAAGATGTTCATCCTCGATGAGGCCGATGAGATGTTGTCCCGCGGTTTCAAGGATCAGATCTACGATGTCTTCCAGCGTCTTCCCCCCAGCACTCAGGTTGTCCTTTTGTCCGCCACCATGCCCACTGAGGTCATGGAGGTCACCACCAAGTTCATGCGTGAGCCCATCCGTATTCTGGTTAAGAAGGACGAGTTGACCCTTGAGGGTATCAAGCAGTTCTACGTCGCCGTCGAGAAGGAGGAGTGGAAGTTGGACACCCTTTGCGATCTCTACGAGACCGTCACCATCACTCAGGCCGTCATCTTCTGCAACACCCGCAGAAAGGTCGACTGGTTGACCGAGAAGCTCACTGCCCGCGAGTTCACTGTCTCTGCCATGCACGGAGATATGGAGCAGGCACAGCGTGAGGTCATTATGAAGGAGTTCCGCTCTGGTTCTTCCCGTGTTTTGATCGCCACCGACTTGCTGGCCCGTGGTATCGATGTCCAGCAGGTTTCCTTGGTTATCAACTACGATCTCCCCTCGAACAAGGAGAACTACATTCATCGTATCGGTCGTGGTGGTCGTTTCGGTCGTAAGGGTGTTGCCATCAACTTCGTCACCGCTGATGACACCCGCATGCTCCGCGAGATTGAGCAGTTCTACTCTACTCAGATCCTTGAGATGCCCATGAACGTTGCCGATCTTATCTAAGCGCAATGTGTTTGTGGTTGGGTGAACGAAGCTAATGTAAGTACCACTACATTATATCTCTCCTGGAGTTACTTCATGATTCTTAATGCCATTGATGGCATATCTATTATGTGCATGCGTATTAACCGTGTTCTTTACTTCTTTTTTTTTTTTTGTCAACTGGTTAACGTTTTTTTATTAGAATGCAGAATAAAATATTTTCTTTTGAGATGGAAAAAAAAAATGCAATGCAATGCAAAACGAATAATGAATAATGGATGACAATGATGGAGGGAGAGAATTGAAAGTTATCTGAATGTGCCATCTTTCGAGGGATCAGCGGACGTGTAGTCGCACTGCATGACGGTATGATCGAACGACCCACAATACAGACATGTGTGCATGTATGGGCATTCACTCTTGTTCGCCAAAAAACGACATCCTCTTGGGGCGATGTTATACGATAAACATGGCCTGATAAGAACCACAGTTTTTGCTTCGTCGGTTCCTGCTCCTGCTCCTGCTCCTACTTCCGATCCAGATCCGGATACAGATCCAATTCCGGTCCCTGCCTCTGATGCTGATGCTGGTGCTGGTGCTGGTGCTGCTGATGCTGATTTGAACCCTGGGTGCGATGTTCCTGTTTCTTGGTCATGCAAAGATGTCATCGAATCAACTTCCATAGCGGCATCAATGCGGGAGTTGGGACGAAGGTCCCGAAGTCCCGGCCCCCGCTGACCTGACTCGGCGTATTTAGTCGATGCAAGGGTGGTCGAGGCCATTGGCGTCGATCCTGTCCCTGCTCCTGCTCCTGACGCCCTTGTTGCCGACAATCCTGTTGCTGCGCCTATCGTCTGGATCTTTGGTACCACCACTACGGCTGTGGCCGATCCTGCAGCAGCGGATGTCGAGAGCTGATTAAGCCTTGAGATCAACTCTTGGGTTGCCAACATCATTCTCCGGAGCTCAGGCAATTGGTGTTGTTCAAGAGCCTGCTTCATCTCATGATGAATCTGGCTTTTCTTGACTTCAAGCTCCATCTGCGCCGTGAGTAGGGCGAGCCGTGCGTCCGATTCGAGGGCCTGAGCGGTGACTTCGTCCAGTTGCGTTGTGACAGTCAAGTACCGCTGTCGAAGTAACTGAAGATCCACTGTACACCGCTCAATAGTTTCGAAAGCCAGGGACATATCACTCTTGCCGATGTCGCCCTGGGGTGTTGGGACAAGGTTAAGACCATTGCTGTTGAAAAAAGACAAAGACTGAGGTCGATCATGGGAAGAAAACGCCGGTATTCCCTGTGCTGTTGGCGTGTACATGGACAAGGTGGCGGACGATAACGAGGTGTTGAATGTTGCCGGAGAGGGCGAGCCAAGGCCACTTTTCCGATTGGCCGCTGAAAAGAGAATGGGGGATTCCATGGTTCGCTGTAGTCTGCTTGTGTTCGAGAAAAGGACTGAAGGATCTTCCTGGGTGCTCTTGATGTTCACATTCGGATCACGCTGTTCGATAGCTGCCTCGTGCACATGCTGTTGCTGCTGCTGCTGCTGCAATTGCTGCTGCATCCTGTTTGCAGCCGAGAAAATGATCGGTTCATCCTGGTTCATCGATGGGGATTCAATGGTCATCGCGGAAAAGCTAGGCTGCATCGCATCTGACTTGCCTTGCATCCGGTTTGCGACTGAAAAGATGATTGGAGAATCGTCAGATGCATTTGCAGCAGCGCTCGCTCGCGCGTCAGACTTACTGGTCGCTTCTGGGGCCTCCTTTTCGCTCGGAGAGTTGCCTCCTCTCTCTCGGTCTAGCAACCGTCCACGAGCCTTACCCATGCCGCTTTCTGCTGCTCTGTCACAACCAGAATCGATCGGCGAGTCATTCCCTCGATCGCTCTTCTTGAGCATACTGTGCGTACTGAGCACACTATTCACAGACGCTTTGTTGGAGGTTTGATCGTGGTTGCGTTCGGATCCTCGCTCAAGTTCCCGATCGGTTCTTCGTTCAACTTCTTTATCAGGTCCCTTATCGGTTGTTCTTTCGCTCTGCCGGTCATACCCACGTTCGGTTGATCTCGATATTCCTCTGTCCTCCGGTCTAATACTTTCTCGATCAAAGCTTCGGTCGCCTCCGCGTTCATACCGATAGTACTCTCCCTCATAATTCCTGTCATACATCCAATATCCTCCTCTGTCTGCGCTTCGTTCGTACCCTCGATCAGTTCCCCTATCATAGCCTCTGTCATAACCTCTATCATAGCCCCTGTCGTATTTCCTGTCATAATTCCTGTCATAATCCCGATCAGTTCCTCGCTCTGTGGAACGACTGCTTGTCCTGTCTGACGCCCTGCTTGATTCAGTGTTCCTGTCGCCCTCCTTGAACTTGTCCCTCTCAACATCCATATCCGACCTACTGATCAGTCGGAGGTCCTTCATTGGCTGAGGCGGCTCCTTAGCGGTAGGAGTATTTGGTCTGGATCCATTAGAGCCTGCTGTATCAGAGACTGTTGCGGATCGCTCATTGCGAATGGCATCCAGGCTTAATCCTGTAATGGATTCGTTTGTGTCACCTCCAGCTTTGATCCGCTTTGATGGTTGCTGCTGCTCTTTGCTATCGGATTCTGGGTACGCCTTCCTAAGTGCTGAAAGAGAGATCGGGCTCGACTGTCGACTTCGCTTGTTGCCATCGAAACCATTATTATCCCCACTGCTTCTTGAGAATCCCGATTCACTAGCGACGTTCTCCATGTGCGATGTGGATGGAGTGCTCGTCTTATGTTTCAAACGTTCTTCATGTAAACTTATTCCTGTCAGACCTTGACCCTCTGTCTCTGCTGGCAAGATGACCTTTGGCTTCGCAGGTAAGGTGTGATGGGTAGGACTCGTAAGTGACGTGGAGTGCATCGCTGAAGACCGGGCGAGCTGGGTGTTAATATTCATTGCCGTAGAGTTGCTTTGTGTACGAGGTTTGTTATTGTTGCTAATAAGCACCATGTTCCCATTTGAGGTCCTGGGGAGTGTCGACAGCGCTTGAGGCTCAGTGGACTTTGGAGCGTACGAGGAAGCACTGGTAGGGGCACGCGTCTTTGCATTGATCGACGGAATGAGCTGTGAGTCGGTTGACTCGGGGGTTTCAAGTGATGAAAATTTGCTTGGAGGCGGCAAAAGCTCAGTGCCGGGTCCCCGATCCGATAATGGAGGTGGTGCTGAGATCTCGACTGGAGTGATAATGGCATTGCTTGATGTCACGCCACTCGCCGCTGTATCCTCTGTTTTGCGTTCCTGTGATTTGAAGATGACAGTGTTGCTAGAGCTGTCGGGAACATGGACGGCCTTGTTATGCAATAGTGGGATGGTGTTTGAGCCGTTCGCTTTCTGCTGGATATCCGCTGAGCTACCGGAAATGTTCATCGAGTTCAGAATGTTCTGGCTAGCACCCGATTGTGAGCTCCCTATCAGAGTAAAAGCACGTCAGCAAGGGATGAAAATTCACTGAGTAAAACAATTGGCACAAAATCTGTGAGATGGAGCATATTCTCACCTTGAGCGTCAGGCTTCGAGATCGTCAGCTGTGCCGTGGATTTCAAGCCCTTGAGATTGAGGGGTGAAGGAGTCAGTTGAGGGCTCAACACATGGCTAACTGCATTAAAACAGCAGTGGCATGCAGCTTAAACGAGAAGTGTCGAGCAGGACCGTTTGACGTTATTTTACCTTGGTGGATATTCCATTTCCGATGGTAGTATCCTGATTTCTTTGATTGGGAGCGGGGGTGCTGCGTTGCATAAGTAGCTGCTCTCGTAAGTCAAGTACTTCTTTTGAAACTTCAGCGCTGTGCAGGCCTAGGCCTGCAGCCGGTGAGGAATTCGGGGGCTGGAATGGGTTCCATTGGCCATTTCCGGCTGCCTCGTCTCGCAGCGACTGCAGAGATATACCTCGCTCAGAACTCGATTGATAGGGCCTGTCGTTATACTCGTGCCGTGATAGATAGTAGTCACGATTCGGTGGGTACAACCCAGAAGCGGTGGAGCGTCTGGATCGAGTGTCTGATGGGGCTGTAGAGGACGCCCTCTGACTCCTTATAGCTGCCTGTCGTTGACGCAACATATCCTTGAAAGCGTTCTTCTTATTCGGAGCAGACGAGTCGTCCAAAGAGGCGGAGGTCGTAGTAGGATCCACTGCAGGATCTGTCGTTCGAGGATTCGAATCTGGCTGGACCGAAGTGGCGAGATGCTGCTGATCCATAGTGCACGTTGTAAAGCGTACGCTATCGAGATGTCCAGTCAGTGTTGCTACCTTGCTGCTGCTTTTGCTGCTGCCTTGACGAGGTGTGTCTGTGTCTATTAGCTTCGTTGTAAAGGGCTGGGAGGGGAGGTTGCTTGCACGCACTTTTTTGAAAGCAATAAAGAAACATCATGTGACCAGGACGAACGCGCCAAACTTTATTCTTTGCAGGAGGAAAGGATATACGCGTAACTGAAAGAACGTAAAACATGAAGCGAGAGAGAAAGAGAGGATAGGCTCAGTCCTGATAGAGAGAAGCAGATAGATACCCACGAGATATAAAAGAAACAGATGAAATTCCGCAGAGTAGAAAAGGCGGCAGAGCAAGTCAAGGAAGAGGTGCTTCATCTGCTTCCCGCTCGTGAACTGTTTGTGCAGAGAAAAACAAAATTAAGGCGGACACCGTCCAGCGGTGGTTCTAAAGTACAGGTATCGATATATGCCGATTGGAGGAGAAATACCACCAATCTAGGAAGGGTCAGCATGGAAACGTATACTACTGTCTCTACCAGACGCGGTCCTCTGCGCCAAAGTAATCGGGTGTATCCTCGCCATCATTACCGCGGCGGGCAACGGTTCGATATACGGATTGCTGGAGCTTGGTCTTGACAGTAGCATGGCAAGAATTTCGAAGGTATCTGACGGTTGGCGTGGATTTGAATTCTCGGCGACTGTCAATCAACATGGGAGTCTCCTCCTCAGATGGAATACCCTTCATAGGAGTGACCCGGCTCGAGGGGCGACTGAAGCTGAAGTCCATCTCGCTGGCGTCGACCGAGTATCGACGCATGCTCTTGAGCATCCTTCGGCGGCTGGCGGCCTGTTCTAGACGGCTGGGGGTACCCTGGTTGTTCAAAAGATCCGAGAGGAGGGAGCGGCGGGGCGTGCTAGCAGGCAAGGCGACATTGAGCTTTTGGAACCAAGAGGAATCAGGACGCCGACGACAATGGTTAGAGAAATATAGATCGGTACATTGTTTCGGGTTACAGGCGAGGAAAGTGTTTCCATTACTGCTGCCGATACAAGTAAGACTCAAAGGCTTATCCATGAGTGTGTGGTAAGAGTTTACATTCCTGTGGTGTTGAGCTCCCTGAGGTAAACCGATGGTAAAAATTGAGATGATGGGTACTCGCTGCTTCAAGAGGGCGATCTGCTCACAAGTTCTCGCGCCAGTTGAAAGTAGTGGAGTAGTCATGAAGCAGCTGCTGTTTGAGCGTGGGCTGTTGGGCACGGGCAGTGATAGTGCATATTCCTCCATTGCTTTTTCTTTAAGCGGAAAGTTGGCGATGTTGCGGAGCTTTGGTGATGCAACGCTGGGGATGAAGTATAGAGGTTCATTATGGAGAAGAAGGAGAAGAGGGGGCAATGCCACAAGGAGGGTGCACATTATATAAGGCAGCGATCACTTTCTGCCCTTACCTTGGCAAGCTTTCCGCTCAGTGGACTAGACGCGGCAGCTATGATGTTGTGAATGTGAATCCAAAGGTTCAACAGGATGTCAGCCGTGGACTTTATCAATAGACCCCATATGAATTGTGGTTTTAAAAACGAGGAGCATCGTCAAAACAATAACGTCGGAGCAAAAGAGGAGCGACGGCGCAAATATGTAGGACTAGGGCATACGACATTCGCCTGACCTCCGGTCTTTTTGTTACGTTGGGCAGAGCATGCGTGCAGTATTCACATTGTAGCATAAAAATTTTGCCACATACCATCGCTCTTCTCTTTGGTCTCAGTAATAGTGACACCCGCATTAGCAATACTAGCACTAGCAAGGCCTTTTTGAAGTTGCTCCAGTGAGATAGTACCATCGCTTTTGCGCTTGACATGGCGTGTCTGGTGGACAGGAGAAGCAGAACCCTCTGCGACCTCAGTGGTGTCATAGAGACGGCTGTTCGCAATGTAATACGCTGGGTCGTTATAGTGCACATAAGGAGATGCGACGGCCAGACAGCTCACGGTCCGGCGATGGTAGCTAGTAGGACTATTCGAGTCGAATAGGACGACAAGCAAGCTATGAATAGTCGTACATTGGTGTGAATGTACTAAAGTGAGCTAAACCATTGTAGCTGGGTGATCTTTACCTCTTTCGAGTGGCCGTAAAAGATCCGATGGGGCCTTGGTCGAAGCGGTCGACTTTGAAGTGACTCTGGGGCGGGGTATTGACAAGCATATTAAAAATAGGGAAGAAAAGAGATGGGTGAAGGAACGCGTTTAATCAAGGATAGAATAAAGTGACAGGTGAGGTTTGAATCAAAGGAGTTTGACGCGATGAATGAGACTGAGGGATAGATGGTTCGTTAACGTGATTTGGCAAGCTATGGGGCAAAGTCAGCGACAATGGGGTGAGGCGAATGAGAGATAGACGAGGATAAGATATGAGGATATAAAGGTCCAGCTGTGGGTGCCGTGTGGGCGTGTGGGGTAATTCCTTGTAGTTAGAGTTCGTCGCTTTTAATTCATGGGAGGATGTCGGTAGGGAGGAGCTGCTGACGATGAGGTGAGATTGGAGGAGTGGAAGGAAAGAGGGAAATCGCGAAAAAAAAAAAGCGAGGAGAAACCAACTGAGGATTGATGTGCTACGAGAAAAAAAAGACGATGGGTTGAAAATCGGGCAGGCGATTGTCAAGATATTTATGTATGCTTTGTTCATTAGTCTCCATGTCGGCTGTACGTACTTGAGTGTAATCCACCCGCTATTGCCGGGCAAATTAAAGACAGAAGTGCCTGCATGGTCGGACACACTCCCCAAGGCGTATGCAGAAAAAGGAGCAATATAATGTAAGCATAAGCAAAAGAGAACAAGGAGTAGGTCCATTGAGGAGGAATGGTCGCTAACCCTTGTGTTGCCATGGAGCCTGTTTGCGCGCTATCCTTGTGTGTTACAGGTGCGCGGGCATATTTAGAACATCAAGGGACCGAGATCATTTGCCTTGGCTGTGAGCACTCATGCCCTATTTGTACATACTGCACACACCTACACAGAGCTATGTCAACGGTATCCAAGAATCGCTGACAAAGGATCATTCGAGCATCGGCTCTCGGGAATTCTTCATGGAAAATGCGGGCTTGAAATTATTCTTTTTAAGATGGAAACGGCCTACTACGCCAGGGAAGAACGATTCAGGTCACCTATATCTCGACCATTTTATTGCTGCATAAAAAAAGGTACGTGTACCTGGGATGGACGCATGACGAGCATTGACCAAGCTAACATGTCTGACGCGCATTAGTGCCAGCTCAAGTACTCATTCTGGTGAGATCCAACTCAAATGTGCCTTTGTGTACCGTGCCTGTGTCCAAATGCATAGATCATTGGAGTCGCACAAAATGGCTGAATGAACAAACAAATGCATGTGTGTATCCGGGAACGAAGAGCGAGCGAGTACGAAATCGTGCGTAATTGTCAAACATCAGGAGCAAAGGAAGGGGTGGTTGACGTATTCACCTGCAAAAAAAGGGAGAGGTTTGTATATCGCGTCTTTCTGCCTGGTGCTCGCCCAGCAATTAGCCCCGCGCTTCGCTTTTGGGTTAGAGCACAAGGGAGGATTATATTCTAAACTATTCATTGCAAGAGAAGAGCGCCTGGTGAGGTAAGGATTCGACGCATAATACATCCCGTTTTCATTTTTTTTTCTTTTCACTCGAATAAATCCATTGTAGGTAGAATTGGTGGTGAAAGATTGATGACGATAAGGGTGTAAGATCCATGGCCATGTAGGCCCATGGTGTAATCGGCGGAAACAATGCATGAATAACTATCTGGGGGTTTTTTTACGCTCTGAAACGGGATCAGGGTCCATTACGCAGAAGCTGCGATGCCGTGGTAGCGATCCGTGGCTATGAGGTCCGTGGTTAATGCGCACAGTCGAAGCTTTCAAAGGTTCATGAACCATCAACAGCCTACCCTAACAATACCACATATACCACATTCACTAGCAAATGATGCTAATCATACTGTCACTTAAGAAACACCACATTGCGACGCATGAATCACTATGTCGCGCAAGGTCGAAGGTTCTGATTCTACAATAGACAGTCAAGCCAGTCAAGTCAGTCAAGCTACAGAATCAAACTGGTAGTGCCTCATTTATCATTTTCTGAGCGAAAAAGGGCTCGATACAATAAGATCATCCAGCATCTTCTACTTCTGTGCTAGCAAGAGTTGTAATCGGTCTTCAGTCACCGACGTGTTTCCAGTACGGACCTTAGTGTCATTGAGAACATCTATATCCATCGAGAGTGTTGGTGCAAATCTAGGTCAGCTAAGAGTTGATCAAACCAGGGTCTTTCGCACAACAGTTCACATTCAACGGTCGCACCGTGCACAGACGTGTAACAAACAAGAGCAAAGACGCGGAAAAGGGGGTGAAGGGGCTAGGGAGCAGAAAGGAGCGAAAGCGGATGTCAGAGAACGCTTTCCGACAGATGCATTTGCTACTACACAACGGCTGTCAGACTTTGCACCCATATCCGATGTAAATGAGCCTTCGAATTAAAATCTTTAAGACAGATTACAGTGAGGTGGATGAGCACCAATTCTGCAAACCCATTGAAAGCCCCTGCATATTGCACATAAACTGCGCACCCCTTTTTTTTTTTGGCCGCGCATTTCATTTTTGGAGCCCTCACAACTGTCTGAGCGCACAATTAGTCCCACTTTTCTACTTCGTGTTGTATCTTCCAATTGCCCAAGGCAGACGATAATAAATGCTCTGCAAACAAAGGTTTTAAATAGTTCGCCTCCACTGTTACCCTTGAACCGAAAGTATCTAACCAATGGGCCCCACGCTCCAACCCCTCCAATTTTCATACCCATAGTAACCTAAATGGAGAGAGTGCATTGTGATTCGATGGATCATGCGTTGGATTGCGTTTCAGCAGGTACCCCTCGGCCCCTGAAATGATCTCAGGCATGTCTATTCTGGACCCTTATTTCCAGGGACGCGAAGCAACTAGAGTCTTCCCGACGGTACCAATTCTCATAATGACCAACGATTGCCAGTTCACGAAATTTGGTGTATCCTTTAGCGCGACTCCAGGTCGCGATTTATTGCAAAAAATTACATTTCTATCTTGTAGATGTGGAGTCCGAGGCATGATAAGCATGCCCAGATGTGGTCCAGCTCCATTGTCTTGAGACTATACTAGGATTTAAACCTTAAGAGGGGCAATTCCGATGCTTGGGGAGGACGTCTGGGAGAAGACACAGTAGTTGTTCTTGATGAACACATCTCCAAGAATCCACAGATCGTCCTGACCGCCCTGCACACCCGAAACACAGTTGCCGGAACCATCGCCAACATCCTCGAAGGCCAAGTCAGCAACTGCGACTTTGAAGGCGGTGCCGCCCATGGTGAAAGAAATGGTGGCTGAGCTCGAGGTCAACGAGCAAGGAACCAGCCATCCGTTCGTAGGGTCATTGGTGGCACCAGAGATCTTGGCGTGAATAGCAGCGGCGGCAGCGTCACCAACGATGATCAAGGTCGTGCCAGTGTCAACAATACCCTGGGAAGTTTGGCCCAAGGAGACGCCGTTGAAGGAAGCATCCTGAATCAAGACCTGCCAGTATCCCTTCTTGGTGACGGGAACATAGGTCAGAGAGCCAGTGTACTTGGTGGAGTCAATGCCGCCAAAGAGGTATTCACCACCTTGGCCGTTGAAGAGACGCTCAGAAGGCAAGAAGACCGAGACCACTGGCTGGGCGAGGACACCAGCAGCAATGGCGTTGTCCATAAACGTCTTGACACCGCTAACTGACTCGATGGTGTCGAAACCAAGACCGAAGAGACCATCTTCAGGTGAGGAGCCGAACTGGGAGGACTCCTTGGTGGCGAGACCAATGGTCTGGCGGACGGAGATGCCACCGACGTTGACAATGTCAGAACCAAGGATACCGGAGGCGCTGGAGCCGTCACCATAAGAAATGGTCCAGGATCGGCCGTCCTTCTGGTAGGTAGAGGACTTTGTCGCATCGAAGCGAGTGTGCTTCTTACAAGCGGCGGTCGTGCAAGTGGAAGAGGGGAACCAGATATCAGACGAGCCCTAGAATTTGCAATACGTGTTACTTGTTAGAACAACTGCAAACAATTAATCGAAATTCTATACCCTGCATATCACATTAATTGCCTATTGTGCTTACGGTATCGAAATCCAGCTTGACAGTCTGAGTAGGGGTACCGACGGAAACACTACCGTAGTACTCCATATCGGGGCTGACGTCAGTCAGAGGGATGGATCCGGAAGAGGCAGCAAGAACATTAAGGCCAGGGTAACGCTTGTTCAACTTGGCGATCTGGGCCTTGGTGTTGTGCTTGTAACCGGCACGGCGAGTCAGAGGAACAGAGTGCCCAACGGAGGAGTGGGGTCTTCGGTTGATAGGAGAAGCGTCCGCAAAAGCCAAGACTGCAGCGGCCAACGAGAGGAGGGCAGTAATCTTCATGTTGTAGTATATCTGACGAGAGGGGGAGGTGAAGAGGCAAGGGAGAAAAGGATGATATGAGTAAAGGATAAGATGAGTAGTTAATGCATTGGAGCTAGCCTGTCTTTTATAGCCATTTTCTGATAGCTACAGGAATGCCATACGGGAGGCGAATGCAATGGGTGATCGAGACGCGGCGTTCCTGAGAAGAGAAGGTTAGAGTTTGACTCGACAAATTTGGAAATCATGAGGACAGGTGGACTGGGTTGCATGCACGCCATTGGCTGCTGGCCATTTCGGATGGGAAAAGAGATGAGAGCCGTGGCATTGAAAGAGCAGCGTATGTAAACCATGGACCCCTATGCAAGTACCAGCTGGATGTACTCATAAACAGATATATGCACAATATAGTCGTATAGAGTCCCCGTCAGGAAGTCGCGGCCCAATATATTTTCGAAATTTTGAATAGAATGAATACCTTCCTTTTATGGAGAATAGCTACTTTCCTTTTATGGAGGATAGCTTTAAATTTTGTGCGTCTCTGTACATGTAGCTCAACCTTATTAGTTGAATTGAGGAGCTAATTTAAAAATATATTGGGCCGCGACTTCCTGATGAGGACTCTACATGCATTACACATTATATATTAGCCGATTACTGCTCTCCGTAAGTCTATGAGACCATCCATGCTAGTAAGTCCGCCTCGGCCTCAGTTATAAGTTGCCTGATCGATCCAAATGCAATAACGCCACTCCATTGGCGCAAGCTAAAACCGGGTCTGTGAATAAGGGCAAGTGAGGGCGAGCTGGCAGCTGCACACGTTATGAGCGCGTATATCTTTTTCCGTGGGTCCAGTGGTAACAGGCAGTCAGCTTTTGAACCCTTGCATGAACACAAACAAAAAAAAAGTGCGCGCACTCATACTCGCCTAATGCATACAACTTCTATAGCGACATAGATGCATAGCTTCTCTGTCACTCCTGTACCTAAAAAGATACTTTTACGTGCAGTTTGAGGCATTTCGGCTGCCATCATCCTTATTCTCATGCCAAGGCGTGATCCCATCAGATGGAGTCGCGCTCATAATCAGCGCAGTTACACAAATCACAGGTTAGTTGCAAGACATCCTTCCTAGGCGCATCCAAACCGTACATATATAGTTTAAACGGCCATAAGATTTCTGCAACGACACCGCACCATACTGCTCTCGATAGAGCGAAGGAAACGGTAGCCATGATATATCTTTACAAAAAACTTATCATATTGCCTTATGCCACATCCGTCCGTTTTTCGTGATTCAGAATATTTTTGACTTGTTCATTTTCGAACCCTACTAATGTCCTTTACAATTCGGTTCGTTGGCGCCCACCTTGGGTGTTGAGCCTCTATCTAATGCATCTCTAGAACGCTGAGCCAGCCCCGTGCAATATCTTTCAAGAGTACATGGCTCTACAAACATTGCTCCTTAATCATGGCGTATGCTCTTGTTACTGAGTCTTGTATACCATAAGTTCTTACAACGCAGTCATCCTGGAGAGATCCGCTTCCGTCAATGGCACAATGACCCATCTCCAGACTGCCGTATATGTGGAGGAATAGTCGAAGACAAGTGCCATATGATCTTCCTTTGCCCGCCGAAACGATCCGCATGGACATCATACCTGTCAGCCTTCACTAGACAGTCAGCTTGGACCGACGAGGACCTCTGTTCACTACTTGAGCTGTCTCTGCCACGCGTCATCATCCAGCGAGAATTCCACCGCTTCATTAACCTGCCTCAGTTGGTGGCATACGGGGTCAGAACCGTGCGGGATATGCATTATGCTTTTGTGTTGAATGACAGCCCTATCAACAGTGCTGGTGTGGCGCGATCTATGCGCACCAACGCGCTTCTGCTAAAAAAAAAGTTTTCCTGGAGGACGACGTGTATGAAACACAAACTTGCTTCAATGGCCGCACACATCATTCCACTACAGCAATATCCAGCGTCTAACCACATACGGTGTCCATCTCAGCACGCAAGGAAACGTTATATGTAGCATGGGCAGATGGAAAAATACGTGAGCTAAAGGATTTCAAGGACACTATTCCAAGCGTAAACTTAGTCATCGAAATAACCATCCAGAGCTTTTTGATTCAGTTGTTAATAAGGCTGTCCAGCATGCCAGATGCTGCGCGTAGTTTTTATTATATAATTAAATACAATAGATGGCTCGACCAAGTCGCTTGCAACTGTAATCTTTCACCATTCAATTTTTTTTTAGTACTTGATAGGGGCGATTCCGATGCTTGGGGAGGACGTCTGGGAGAAGACACAGTAGTTGTTCTTGATGAACACATCTCCAAGAATCCAAAGACCATCCTGACCACCCTGGACACCGGAGTAGCAGTTGCCGGAGCCATCGCCGAGGTCTTCATAAGCCAAGTCAGCGACAGGGATGTTGAAAGTAGCGCCACCCATCTTAAATCCGACCTTGTTGGTGCTGGTCTTGACCGAACAAGGAACCGACCAATAACTGGAGCTCTGCTTCGCACCAGGGATCTTGGCGTGAATAGCAGCGGCGGCAGCGTTACCAACGATGACCAAGGTCGTGCCAGTGTCAACAATACCCTGGGAAGTTTGGCCCAAGGAGACGCCGTTGAAGGAAGCATCCTGAATCAAGACCTGCCAGTATCCCTTCTTGGTGACGGGAACATAGGTCAGAGAGCCAGTGTACTTGGTGGAGTCAATTCCACCAAAGAGGTACGCACCTCCAACACCGCCGTTGGCGCGGACCGAGGGCAAGTAGGCCGAGACGACTGGCTGGGCGAGGACACCAGCAGCAATGGCGTTGTCCATAAACGTCTTGACACCGCTAACTGACTCGATGGTGTTGAAACCAAGACCGAAGAGACCATCTTCAGGTGAGGAGCCGAACTGGGAGGACTCCTTAGTGGCGAGACCAATGGTCTGGCGGACGGAGATGCCACCGACGTTGACAATGTCAGAACCAAGGGTGCCGGAGGCGCTGGAGCCGTCACCATAAGAAATGGTCCAGGATCGGCCGTCCTTCTGGTAGGTAGAGGACTTTGTCGAATCGAAGCGAGTGTGCGCCTTGCAAGCGGCGGTCGTGCAAGTGGAAGAGGGGAACCAGATATCAGACGAACCCTAGAATTTGCAATACATGTTACTTGTTAGAACAACTGCAAACAATTAATCGAAATTCTATACCCTGCATATCACATTAATTGCCTATTGTGCTTACGGTATCGAAATCCAGCTTGACAACTTGGGCGGGAGTACCGACGGAGACGCTTCCGTAGTACTCCAGATCGTTGTCAACATTGACCAGAGGGACGGATCCGGAAGAGGCAGCAAGGATACGGCCGGGATAACGCTTGTTCAACTTGGCGATCTGGGCCTTGGTGTTGTGCTTGAAGTGGGGGTTACGCGTCATGGGGACGGAGAAACCACCTTGGTGAGGATGGGGCCTTCTGTTGATCGGAGAGGCATCAGTGAAGGCCAGCACGGCAACGGCCAGCGAGACGAGGGCAGTGATCTTCATGGTCTTTTTTTTGTTGTGGTGAAGGTGAGAAGAGGAGAAGAGGAGAAGAGGAGGCGAGTGGTGAGGAACAAACGAAAAATATGGGAATCCTCGGTACCTTTTATAGTCATCAGGAGTTCCGCAAGAATAATAATGCCCAACCCCGGATTAGAGGACCATAGACGAAGTGAGTGTTCGACACCAACAGCTGTAGATACAATCCCAGGGTCTAGCCGGTTCTGCAAATGGATCCAAGTCCAGCAGATACCGAGAAATGCGGATATGGAAGTATAACGAGCATGAGACCAACGCCATGGTCCATTTTTGGACAGCACACACCGGGAAAGGATGGTAAAATTGCAACATTAACAAACAACCCTAACGGACCCTGCACTACAACTTCAAATGAGGAAGAGCCCATTTTTTTGGCCTCATGCCTTTTTGTGTCCATTTTCATAACCTAAGCACCAGAGTCCTTTTACTTTGTGCATGAGAGCAAACAGCTCTGCCCAATAATACTCTCGTATCCGCGTGCGATTCAAGGGAATAAGGGTCATCAGGAGCATACTTTCTTTTATTGTATTCAAATGCCCGGCGAAAAGGCCTATTCTATCTCTCGACCATTCCTGTTCTCTCTCACGCGTTCGTTCGTGCGAGCCTTCGGAAAGAACGCGATTGGCTAGAACGCTGCAGCGCTCTACTGCAGCGGTGGGGGGGGGGGGGGGTGGTCCGCAGTCAGCATGAAAGAAACCATAGTACAAACTACTCCCTCAGTCAAACCACCCTTACTCTCGTATTTGAATGAGTTTAAGGAAGCGAATTCAACATCATAACTTGGAGCAGACAGAAACCCTCGCTCGCTTCAACTGTTTGCCTCCTTGAACAGTGCAATGGGATAGACATTGGATAATGAAGCGAACGATTGTCAGCAAAGTCGTTATCGCGGAGGATAGTTGTTAGCATTAATACATTACATTGGACTGGTGAAAACTCTCCCATGGTTTTACGAAAGCGAAGGTACCCTGCCATAATCATGTTAGATCCTGTAGCGGCGTGCAGTCCATTCCAAGGGCACGAGAGTCCATCCAACTCTCGGCAAAACTTCTTTGAAATGCAATTTAGTCTAATGTATCGCTATGTGTTCATTTCGCAAACTCTGTGGCATATTTTCCCATCGCATGCCATGGGCAAGCTTTGTTTATCGCAATAAAGTTTGCCCCTTGCACGCAGAGTTATTGCCAATAGGGCGTATAGACCCTGCAAGGATTAAGGTTTATTTTTTTGAAGAAAAAAGCACCGGGTGGACACCCTTGAGAAACTGCTCACATATTCCGTCATTGAACTAAAGCAGACGAATGGATGAATGAGAAGCTTTTCAGTATTATTCACCGCTACAATAAAGTTCCTGGCTCAAAAAAGGGTGAATGATATTGCTTTAGAGCAACGCAGGTCTACGCGAGCCAGCCAAAAGTTTACGAGCAAATCCAGTTTTCCCATCGTTTCACCTAACAAAACGGCGGCTCACAGAATCGGAGCAAACAATCCTTTCCCCTGAACCCTATGACAACTGGCTCAGCTACGTGTGAACTTGTCGTAAAAAGGAAAGGTTATGTTCAAATGCTCCCGGTAGTCTACTTGCGTAACAACGCGATGCGGTTATTCCGTTGTGCCTGACTCCATAACCAGTTACGCCATACTCCTGAACCCTTACAGAATATATTCCTCTTTACGCCCACATATAGATCTACGGAGCGCGTCCATCTTGGCTTGGATCCAAGACCATCAGGAGCGAAACGCGAAAACTATTTTTTTATGACCAAAGCCAGTTCGCCCAACGCCTTTATTACCATTTTGCAATAAGCCGCCTCCTCTCGGAAACGAGCGCACTACCAAGCGTACTACAAGCGCATACACTAGAACGTTATGTCCGAAGCAAAGATATATTAGTTGCCCAGCATTCCGAGCAAAGACCTTTAACAGAAGCACCATTAAACAACAAGGACAACTCCGATACCGAGGGTGAAGACCTGAGATGAACACATCACCAAAGACCCAGAAATCGTCCTGACCTCCTGGACGCCCGAGATACATTTACCGGAGTTCTCGTTGAAGAGATCATTCTCGAACAAAGAGCCGAACTGGGGAGGATTTCTTGATGGAGAGACCGGTGGGTCTGGTGGACAAAAATACCTCCTACGGGGATCCCATTTCAGCGATGAGCTTGCCGTCCTCTTGAAGCATAACCCTCACGTCAAGCATAACAATAGAATTGTAGAACAAACACCATCCTAGCCTCAACCTCCTTGCTACATCTACCGGTACTGTCCCACTGACCGATGTCAGCCCCGATCTAGAGTACTACAAAAATATTCTGTCGGAGCCCCCCGCCCGAATCTTCACACTGGACTTTAACAATGTGAGGACCCGCTCATGCACGAGCAGCTTCTAAAACGCGACCATCATACCCAATATTTGGTGGCGAGTTTCTCCTCTACGATTAATTCGGGCTCGTCCGGTATCTGGCTTTCCTCTACCGGCTGTAAGGCCGCTACTTGCAATGAGGCACATTCGCTTCGATCTCTACCGAATTTCAGACCTATTAGAACGCTGGTTGCCTCTGGTCGATCTCTTACGGCGATGACTCCAGGGCCCCAGTGTCTTGGGTATCCCTGATTCCGACCTGTTAACGTTGGCGGGAGCAACGTCAATGAAAACAAAGACGACAACGGCCAGTGAGACGAGGGCGCTGATTTTCAAGGCGGCGAAGTTGTAGGAGGAGGAGGAAGAGAGGGGGTGATGAACATGACAGAAGGACTTTCCTAATATCCTTTATGCCCTCAACGGTCAGAAATACCATTCCTAATGAAGCGCCTTTAAGGATATGAGGATATTGCCATTGATGAGAAAGAAAGACGCGACGCGAATTATCCCTAGGAGCCGCCAAAGAAAACTTGGTTTGACAGCGTACTTCCTTTTTTGGAAGCCTTTTTCCCTTTTCGTGACAACTCTAGTCCACACACAAAGGAGCCCTTGTTTACGAGACGATGCTGCTATTGGACACACTTCGCCCTCGAAAGGATTAGCGTAGAGTCCTCGCGGGCCAACATATTTTTGAAATGGTTGGCTCAATTCAGTAAATAAGGTTGCCCTTTTCACGCACAAAGCTGACAGCCAGGCGCATCCACACTGCATGCATGTTCCTGACTATATTCTCAATTATGAGAGATAACGGCGCCGGTGAAGGTGCAGAGACTAGATGACCATTAAAGCCATAGATGACAAGAGGACGACTAGACGCGACCGTGGTGTCTTGGGGGTGTATTCATTTCAATTGAAAGGGCTCAAAAATATGTTGGCCCGCGACTTTCTAGCGAGGACTCTACATATACCAGTTGTTTAGTTTTCAGTTCTTTTTTTTTTGTTGACACTGGCGTATGGACGAGAAAGACAACAACAGAGGATCCAGATACTGTAGAATCGGCCGTTGAGGCCGGATGTCCGGCGTCGTCTAATGATCGAGGTGAATTGTCGACTAATAGAGTCCGCGTCAAAAAGTACCGACACTTATATTTTTGCAATAATGAATTTTAATTCAGTCGATTGTATGGCCATTGTGCGTCAAAAGTGCCATCCTATGTTTTACGTACAAAATTAACAAAATTTATTTTCGCTCTACCTCCGCTTGCTGGACGCGTCTTGAAGAAATAAGATGATGACAACTGTCCCCTGCACTTGGTAGCATGACCTCTTCTTTGTCTGTAGCAGTACTAGCAGTCCTCAGACATAGATAAAAATGGAGTCGCAAAGACTTTAACGCGGTACCTCTTTTCTTCGTATCTTTGTTACTCTTTACATTGTGCATGCAGCCATGTAACCATGTCAACAGGCCACTCTTGTACGTGCGAGAAACCATTTCTCACGTGAGGGCCGCAATTGACTGAATTAAAATTTATTATTGTAAAAATATAAGTGTCGATACTTTTTGACGCGGACCCTACTCTGAAGAACGACAATTTGCTCCAATTTTTTTTTTGTTCCCAGGCGGAATATTTATCATGCTCAGAAGACATTACTCTACCCTCCTAGAGTATAATAAATCTTATGAAAAAGATGAATAACAAAACGCAATTAAGCGAACATCGTTCCAGCGCAGAGGTCTCGATCTCTCAAAAATGGTGCGGATGCTCAGTGAAAAAAAAAAAATAAGTTTACGTGCACGCCTGGCAATGCTTGAATGGACCTAGCCTTTGAAGACAAGAGATTGCGAGAGCCATTTTGCGGTTGAATGTCGACTAGCGGCAATCACGCCATATGCGAACCGAAAACACACTTGTCTATGGTTGAAAAGGAGAATCACCTTAGTCAACTACAGGATGGTACCCTTTCAATACTTGCCAAAGCGGAAGCCCTTGTGAGCCACAATTTGAGAAGCGGGTTGAGTTGATGAGTGTTTACCGTACAAAAGACACTTCACGCACCTTGATGGTATGTTGTTCGTTAAAGGGCTCCGAAGAGGGCCTTCGGCCTGCCTGCCTGCCTGCCTGCACCTTTGGTTAGACGACCCAGTGAGCAGGTCCCGACTTTTTCGTGTAGTCCAAAGAGCACAAAAAGAGAATCGACCCAGACCCTGAGACCCTTGATCTATGTTTTGGGTCAAAATTCCTTGTTGCCCCAAGTTTGTAGACAGATACGAGTTTCAGAGCTGCAGACTTTGCAGCTTTACTCCAAAAAACAACTGGGTACGCATGAGCTGCCTTGAAAATGTAGCCACTTCGAACCCTGGGGTGCGCGTCTGCATGTGGTGCGAATGAGTTTAACCGAACCGTTGTAGCTCTCAGCTTCTAGAATGGCCTCCCTTTCAGGATGCATGCACAGGTAGATAATTTGGTTAGCCCTTCCTCAAAGATAAAGTTTTTTGTTTACTAACATCGTATGCTGAGCCTAACTCCCGGGCCCTTTACAGCTTTACAAGTACTTCAGTTAAACGTACTCGCCAAATGTATGACTGAGTGAAGAAAATTAAAATTTCACACACACACGCCTGGGGTCTACATGAGCTTGGCTCGCATGAAGTGGAATGTGAAAGAACCTGAACACTAGCGCTACTCCACGATAAAATTTAAAAATTATTTTGGATGGATTTTATGGCAGCCTCCATAACTGCAAACACAGCAAGACATAAGAAAAGTTATCAATCGGGTGAATTGAATTCTGAAAGGACTCGCCTTGGGTTAGTATTTGAGGCGCCTGAGCCAGCCAAAGGTACAAATCCAACAGATTTCAACCATGCAAAAAAAAAAAAAAAAAAGAAGCCCTGAATATATGAAAAACGAACGTCAATTCGTGTATCATTTAATGCGAGGGCCAGAGGTGGCGGTTTGAGGGGGGAGGGGGGAGCAGGGAGGAGGGAGGGGGAGGGAGGGAACCATTGCCACTGAGAGCGTAGTTTTCGCGTATGACAATGACACGTTGCTGATTGGTTAGATGGCGCCAGGATCTTTGCAGCAATTGCCTTTATGGTGGGAGGCGACATTTTACCCAAAGTAGCCCATGCACACTGCTAATTTACTGTAATGGCGTGTGATGATGATGATGATGATGATGAGGTGCTTTTGCTAGATTTATGAAGAAGGATTTCGAGTCGGACAACTCCTCCAGAGAGAGAGAGAGGGGGGGGGAACAGGGGGAACAGGGGGAACGAGGCGGCTGTGACAAACTCTTGAACAAAGTCTCAAGCAGTTACTCTCGCCCCCGGGATATAGGTGTAACAGAACTCGGTCCCAGTCTACGGGGCCGACATGTCCTTTAAAATGGCTTTGATTCATGTCGGGCTGTCAATGCTGCTTGGCCTCAGTTTCAGGGTCTGCTTACTTATGTACTTAGGATGATTGAGAACATCATATGGGCCAACAGCTTCTCGAGATTTACCTGTAGATCTTTTTGCCAGCTAGGTACCAGACTCAGGGTAGAATGAATGGAGACAAAACGCGTAGACTGAGATTAATGTGGTAATATATTTACAATTTTGAATTAGGTCTAGTTTCTATAATACTGTCCACTCGCGTTTGCTTAGCTCACGGTGAAGACGGCCTGCTGCCAGGAACAGCATCGGCTACCTCGCGCAGTGCCTGGATCGTCTGCATGATCTGTAGATCCAAATCCGACGCCTCAGCTGCTGTCTCTTGATCTCGCTGCTCCTTCTTGGCCGTTGTAATCGCAAGGGCATCACTGATGATCCCCTGCACGGCCTTCTCTCTCTCAGCGCACGACTGTATCTCGGTGCTGTTCGGGAGCTTCGTCGTGCTCCTGGAAGCCTCGCTATCTGCTCCGTGATGGGAGTGATATTGCCTCAAGTTAGGACGTATCATCGGGCTCTTCTGAGCAGAATAGGACTTAGGAGCTCTTGAAGGAGATGTCGCGCGCGATGTGTTGGCAGACCTTGACCTGCATGACATAGGCAATGGCAAAGGCGTGGCAAGCTGATCCAGACTGGCTACAAAGTCATCGCTCGATAACACATTGCTACGGGCATTTTGCTGGCGAAGGTATGTCTCGTTCGATCGATGTGGGGGCAGCGAGTTGGGTGGGGATACGACCAGATTCCTTGTTGCCGAAGATGGAGACGGAGCCCTTGATCGCCTTCCCTTTGAAGATGTGTTTTCACCTCCGACTATGCGCGCTTTGGAAGGCGATGCCGGTGGATGCCAGTTATTTACCAATACCCCGTCACCAATGGAGGATATGGTCGCGGCTCTCCGTCGGTTCGACTGACTGTGCTGTGGCTCTGATGATGGATCTGTGGGGATCGCTGGAGGTGGGAAAGATGGTGGAGGCGGAGGAGGAGGGTGAGCCTGGCGTCGGCTCTCCCTTGACATCCTGGGACTTGCTCCGGCACTGCTGAGGCGTGGGCTGCCTGCCATAGAACGAGGGCGCACTGAGGTCAGAGGTGCCGATGACATTGGCAACGGAGACGACATCAGACATTGGCTAGTAGGGAGTGATGTACAAGGACTCGACGTTGACCTGTCTGGGTTCGCCTGATGTATTCTGTTTTCACTTTCTACGTTGAGGCCGAACATGTCGCGATAGAAATCATTGGATTGAGCTGCGAAACCAGTCAAGGAGCGCCCGGGAGCGTTGGCAACTATTTCCTGCCACCCTGTTGGATGCACACGATAACTCGAGTTTGAGGTAGACGAGTACGTTCGGGCAGCGACAGGCCTAGTGGGTTGTGAGACGGAGGCTGCAGGAGTACGACGAGGAAAGCGATGACTGTGCGACGTATCTGTATGACTTGCTTGCCAGTCGACTCCTTGACCGCCGAGTGTGGGGAAGGGAACTGGCGATGATGGGATCGGCAGCGACGTGGTGGAGGAGTAGTTCAAAGATTGGACGTCGAGGTTGGAATTCATGGTGCTGGACGTTGCAGATATCAAATTGGCATTGGACCGAGTTTCCTGCGGGGCTTTCTCACTCATCAGATCATCTTGCCCGGCTTTCGAAGCCCGGCGTTGACTCTCGAGATCACCCGTCAAGTACAACGCTGTGCTCCGAGGCGTCATTAGGATCGTTTTTGAATGTGAAAGAATCTGTTTGCGTCTTGATCTCCGAAGGAACCACCAAAGGGCCAAGATGCATGTCACTAATGCAAGGACGCCACATGCGAGCCCTACAATCAGCGGCACGGACTTTGAACTCGTAACATCAAATCTCTGTTCGCTTCCGTCCAGACTGTCAATGCAATTTGGCGCAGTTGACTCGGAGGAGGATATGAGCGATGTGGTTGAGGGACTATGATTCCGGACTGAAGGACAGGAAGGTGTTGATGTGGGAGACGGGGTTGATGATGAGAGAGGGTCGGTGGTGATTAAGTCTGCCCAGGCGTGGTGTCCCCAATGATGATCATCGCCGTCCCAATCCCTATCCCCACCTCTATCCCATTTCTTCTCGTGATGTTTGCGGACTAGTCGAGATGAGGTTGAAGTTGACGCCGACGTCGTGGTTGTGGTTGAACCTGTGGTTGTAGTTATGGCTATGGTTGTAGTTGGGGTGGTTGCACTAAATTTTGTGTTCATGTCGAGTATGGAAATGTATGTGAAAGGTGATCGTGCGTGAATGCAGCGTGGTAGGGGGTGGAGAGAGGAGGGAGGGCTTTTTGGCGGCAAATCCAGAGAGGCAGAGGACCTCTCGGGTTTTATGGTATTTGGGGATAGATATGGGAGGACTGAGAGAGAAGAGAGAAGAAAGAAGAAGCGGAACGAGGAGGGAGAACGCGCTTGAACGGTTAGCGGCTGCTCTTTCAGGAATACAAAAAAGCACACACACACACACACACACAACAACAACACCAACAACAGCAGTAACAACAACAACAACAGCAACAACAACATGATGACCCCGTCTTGGCTTGCGTTTTCAGTCCTCATTCGGTCTTCAGAGAGCGCCATGAATAAGAGCGCCCAAGAGCAGCCCTGGCTGTGCGCTGACAGATCAAAGACCGGGCCATGATTGGACAGGGCACACAGACAATTAAAAAAACAGCGCAGGGAACAGCACAGAAAACAGCGCACAATAAAGCAAAAAAGGAGATGGAGAGTGGTCTGGGTCTGAAAACCAACAATTGCCCGTATACGGAGCAGTTGCCACAAGAACGCGTTGAACGGAGATGGGTCTAACGAGCGAAGCGAAAGTAGTCTGCTGCAATACCATATTCAAACACAGTCAAGCTGGGGACACTCAGTATTCAGGGGTAAAGTGACACTGTGGTACCCCGATATAGCCTAGCTGTGGACCCATACTGGGCTCAATAAAGCTGGTACGACGCGAGCACAAAGCCGGGTCAGCCGGATGGTTTAGTAAAGGACAAAAGGGCGAAAACAACGACGTTGTGGCTCAAAAAAGACGGTGCTCAGCAGCACAATGGCGCCAGCATGCACATCCGTATCCTCTATTCCGCTGGTTTGGTTCGGTTGATTGACGCACAGAGTTGCACAGTTGTAGGGTTGGTTGCGCAAGGTATTTACCGTAGATATCTATTTCTGCGATGTTGTAGTACAAAACCCGATGCTGAAAGCCGCTGTTTAGCGAACGGGGGATTAGGGCAGAAAAATAAAAAATAAAAAGTAAAAAGTAAAAAGTGTGAAGCAAAAAGTACAAATTAAATAGTAATAAGAAGCACAAAGTAAAAGGTGGAAAGTAAAAAGTACAAAGTAAAAGAAAAAAAGAATGCAAAAGTCGGCAACCACTACGGATGAGAAGGACCCAAGCCAGGACTATCGTACCCTTAGCCATCTTGGGGCTCCATTATGGGTGCCCATCATGTCGGAGGCCCAGCATCTTTGGATCTGCTATTGACATCTGGATTTGTGGCCAAAGCGCAAAATGAAAGAATGAAAGAAGGTGGAGAATAGCACATAGAGAGGGGTGCATGAGTGCATTTGTTCTCTTGAATTACAGTATCATGCAAATGTATATGCTGCTAGGCTGGATAGAGATATAGGAAAATAGCGTCAGGGATCTCATTCCCTGTACCGGGCAATTCCACTGTATCTGGAAAAACTGCTGTGACGACAAGGTCTTTGCTGTTAGGAGTGACTCCCATTGGGGATCTACACCCATAACGGACCTGAAAACCGACACGCATGGATATGGGTATCGCATGGATGTACGCTGTTTTTTTGTTTGTATGCCTGTTTTATTCATCATCCATGGCTGCATGTGGTTTTTTGATAAAGGCTCTGGATAGCAAGGGTAGCACCAATGGATCTCCCTCTCCTAGTCTAACCTCGTATTTCTCCGTCTCCTGTAGACGACTGTCCCTTCTCAAGGTGCTGGATAAAACTATGTTTACATTTCATCTCCGCATCCCCCTCGTGTAACATGCTGTAAAAAGATGAGATTTCGCGGGCGCGGGGAAAATGAATTTGCACCCTTGAGTAACGTAGCCTAGAACAGCATGGCCAGGGGCATGGATGCACTGACATGTCATAAAGAATGGACTTATCATCGACCAGAGATGTACCTCCAATGGCCTAATCCGCAGGACAGGCGCAAGCAAGAAGGGTCAAACGTTTGAAAGGTCGAGAAAGGCAAAAAGACAAATGCACTAGTCTAGTTGCAATTTTTGTAATTTGCTCCTGGCGGCTCACATGCGGCATAATGCATCAACGGTCTGTATTTGGTTACCATTAAATAAAATAAAGAGAAGGTAACCGCTGGGACCAGTCTAAAATCCATGATCAAGCCTGTTCCAAAAGTATATAGGAATAGAGCGAATACAGGGATCCCTAACACTCTCTTGATGATTACGAACTGTATCCAGACTATTCTTGTGTTTAACGCCTCCCTTAGTCTCTCCCTTTACCATCCATCGTTTGAAGCGCGTTTTCCATCGTGTGGTTTGGCTAACTATGTCGCGATCATCTACGACGCGTATGACCCTTGTATCCCAGTCCACAGCTGAGCATTTTATTGAATCCTGACCTATCCATTTCACATCAGACTGACTACAAGCAACAGGAGATAGAATGGTAGAACATATCGAGAGATCATCCACAGATCTCCGACCAGCATTCGCCAGAACCGCAGTCGTCCTAGAGGCCATGTTGTGTATCGTATCCACGCCCATTTCTTTGTCCGACTCAAGGCCTTACGAGGAGATAGCGATGGTAGGGATCTCTGTAATGGCGACGATGTTCCTGCAATATCAATCTCCGCGTCGTCGGATTTCTCAAATGCATCCATTGGATTCAATGTCCTAGCGGGTAGTAATTTCGCTGTTGGGGCGGGCCCTTGAGATGCAAAGGGATCTCGGATGTTCCATGAGCGGGGCATGTTTGAAGACCGACCCGCTTTCTCTAGGATCGAGGACGTTGGCCGCCATCTGCCCAGCAATGGACTAGAAGGCCGGTTCTGCATAAACCATCTGAACCGCAAGACCAAGAGCCATGCACACGTAAGGACGAGCAAACTGACATATCCGAAATAGATCGACAGCTGCTCAGGCAGCATGCATTTGTCGTAAGAAAACGTGGGGCTCGTCGATATCATTTCTTCTTCGACAATATTCTTCGGCAACTGCTCCGGATTGTACAGCGACAGCATGAGAAACGCAGGTTGCCTAATTCCTTGAGCAAAGCTAAAGGTCGGCACCGTGACCTCGGGCGTCAGCTTGCCGTACACCAAATGCGTAATCTCACACCAGCCATGACTGTCACCGCTAAAGACCATATCCGCCTGGACCCTGCCCAGGATTGCACGCGACAACGACGCGTTCACCATGTTTTGGAACTGCTCCCCATTCCTGCTTAGGATGGGTTGATCCGACTCGCGCGCCTCGCCACAAAACGTCGTGTCCGGTCTGAAAAGTGGTACATGAGTGAACAGCATTCGAGGTAGTATGGACCCTTCTAGAACACATACAGTAGGAAAAAAAAGAGATGCTTAGAAAACCATTATGAGTCCAGGCAGCATTACTTTCATCATCAACTAGCACCCATGCATACCACGTCCTATGCGTGACACGAAGGCCCTGGATTCCTCTCGAATGAATGTGATGTTGGAGCTAAAAGAGAGCGTGTCCATAATGATAAAGCTGTGATTTCCGACATCGATCTCGTAGTTGACCGACCCAAACTCCTTCTTGTACCGCTTCATGGCCCGTCGGACTAGAGTGTCCCCAAAGCCAACATCATGGTTACCCGCGACATAGAGCCGTACACTCCTTCCTTCTGACCGCATGGCCGCCCTCTCTGAAGCATCCAGTGGCACGTTCAAGACTTGATAAAATTGGCCGGTGAGCGTTTCCTCTGCATCCGTTCCCCCGTGTACTTCTTTTCCATCCGAAGTTGCAGGATAAGCGTTGCTAGATGCTTCTACCTGCCTAGGTTTCTGTACGCTACTCTCTAAATCCTCAGCATCCATGACCAACGGCCGTAAATTCCAAGCTGTTCGACTCGAATCAAACACCTTTTCCAGAAACCGATTCTTGTTCTTTTCAAATCTCTCCTCGTCCAAGGTCTCTCTGCCACCATCGTTCAGATCGCCTAGGAACATCACAGCATCGGGCCTTGCAGCCCGATGGAATCGAGCAAAGCTCCTCCGCATGAAAATATCCGTGTAAAATTCCGTTAACCAGAGCGCGGGTCCAGATTGCTTGTATGAGAACCAGTCTGTGAGCTGAGGGTTCGCAATAATAGCAAGCCTGTACCGTTCCTGAAGTGAGGTGTCGCTGGTGTCCTGTTTCTCAGATAATAAAAAAAAGCACGTTATCACTGAGATCCTATCAAGATGTTTCATGAGGGTGCCAGCGAATACTCTCTTACCCAAGACGAGTTTTCAGGCCAGATGCATCGGTTAATCGTGATCCAGTACACCCCACACTCTCCAAAGAAGATAGCCATGAACCATATCAGCCTCAATAATAAGATTTGGCGCTGCAGGAAATGACGCTGGAGACCTGGCCTTCCGTGGGTGGTCCTTTTCCGATTAGCCGCAATGCTAATAGGGCCTGGTCTGAGCGACGAGGAACTGGATTGTGTGGATTGCAATAGGGGCGCAGAGCTAAGGTTGAATTCGGGCAATGCATCCGAGGCAGTAGATGACGAGCGGGCTTTGACATTCGATGCGAGTTCAGGCAGGTAAAGGCGCGCACTGTGAGATGCGGACGAAGGGTGTTGGTCCATGTTCCGCTGCTGTGGTGAAAGTACGACACGTTCTTCCGAGGACCTGTGTTCTGTATCCGGGGCCTTGAGATATTGCGATATGGTAACTGGGGATAGATTGATGGATTCTCAAGCAATTTAATAGTGAAGATGAGGAAGAGGATATGAAAGAACTTGATAGTAGAAAGGAGCAAGGAAAAAAAGTAAAAGTGGAGAGAATGGAGGGCACGATAATACTCGTCCTGGTCGAGAGCCCTGTTTGGACACAAACACGCCACGTCTCTCGGATAGGCCTGGATTACTACAACCTACTATCTTCTCCATGACACGTTCCTCGACGTTTGACATGTTCGTTCCTGAACTCCGTGGACGTCCCCGAAAAGGGCGCCAGGAGTTGTATTAGATGATGAGACGCATCAAATCGCACGTCTTTTTTTTGGGGCCACGTCTCTTTATCGCGTCGCGCAGAATCTCCGCTTCCGTGGGCTCAAACAGAAAAAAAAAAAAAGCGCGAGTGAGAATCCGGGGATTGTTCATCTCACCATCCATCGTCCATTCATTCGCCCCTCTCCCCCACTCAGTCTCATCCACCCATGGAGCGAATCGTCAGCTTGCTGCCCTCGGCTGCAGAAATCGTAAACAGATAACACCCATACTTCATCAATTGACCCGTCAAATAAACAGAAATTATATTTTTGACCTCTCCTCCTCTCCTCCTCTCCTCCTCTCCTCCCTGATGATAGATCTGCCTGGTAGGTGGCCAGCCAGAGATGGTTGCCCGTAGCCACGAAGACGATTTCCCTTCAACAATCCAGCACCTCCCGATCCTCACCGCCGCCAAAACCACCTTCACTACCTCTGCCGATGTTGACCGTCAAGTCTCCGAGGCTCTCTCTCAGGGCCAAAGTCTCTACGACCTCGATGTCACACAACTCAAGGCCCTCCGACCCACCGTCATCGTCACCCAAGACCTATGCAACGTCTGCTCGATCGATCTCGTCTCCGTCCAGCGCGTCGCCAGCACCATGGATCCACGTCCTCAGATCGTCACCTTGAATCCTACTTCTGTAGGCGAGGTCATGGAAAGCATCACGACCGTGGGACTGGCCATCGGACGAGTTGAGGAGGCAAAGAAGGCCCGCGAGGAGCTGGAGGCGAGGATTGCGCGCTGTCAGAATGCTGTTGAGGAGGTGAAACGTGGGAACGACGGCTCATATAAGCCCAAGAAGATCATGTTCTTTGAATGGACAGATCCTATTTATCCTGGCGGCCATTGGACCCCAGAGATGATCGAGATCGCGGGAGGGGTGCATCCTATCAACGAGGCCGGGTCCCCTTCGTAAGTCTTCTACTTGCAACTTAGCTCGTGGCACTCCTGTTCTATGGTATTGACATACTATCTGAATCTCTTATCGTTGACACAGGCGTCGCGTGCCGATCGAATCTGTCGTGGCTACAGATTCTGATGTCCTTATTATCTGCCCTTGCGGTCTCGATCTGGAGGCCGCCCGTAAGGAATATAACTCTATGATGGAGAAAGAATGGTTCCGAAAGATGGCAGACAAGGCTACAACGATCGCCCTTGTTGATGGTAACCAGATGTTCAATCGCAGTGGACCACGGTTAGTCGAGTGCACAGAGTGGTTGGTCATGCTGTTGCACAACCGTCCAGAGTTTGAGCCGACTGGATTCCCTTGGGAAAGGATTAAATAAAATGCATCGACAGAAAAATATACATGATCATATCATATTCGTTGCTCCAACTCGATATCGACTAGAATGCTTCCGCGATATCTTTTACGATATTTCACCACAACCTGTAATGGCCTACTGGGCTGACGGGCGTAGAGAGAGGCATTGCTATAGACGTATGGATGCGCAATGGACAGATCACTGGAGGCTTCAACACGCGAGAGGACTTGGTAACACTTGAGACGGAAAGCGACAACGCGCTCGTTCCAAGGCGGGGAAACAAAACTGCTGGTGGATCGGCTCTCGCAGATGATAACTCTAAAGTCCTCAACTGCACTTCGGTATCCACAAGAAGGGCGTTCACTGCCTTGGGCGGAAAATGGCCTGGAATGTGTGGTGGTTCTATGGATGGATTGACGGCGAGATCGATAGGTGACATTTGAGCATCCTCTTGTCCATGGACACACGTATCAGTCCTCTCGTCCAGTGTCGGCAGTACCGACCGCTCCAAACTGCGATGTGCCACAGGAGCATGCAACTGTGGTTGCTGTTGCTGCTGTTGCTGCTGGCGAGTTATCTGCCTCATCTCCTTATTCGCCAAAATCTTCTTGACCTTCGCAAAGCTGATCCCTCTCTGCTCATCGAACATTTCCGGTGTCTCACCGCCGTGCAGATAAATACACCGAGCATGGTTCTGCTGATACGGACAATCGCCGCCACTCCAGCAGGTCCGAGTCTTGTAGGTCATGGCGCGACTCCGCCGTTGGAGTTCATGCTCGTAGTGGACAAATTGGCACCGTTCACCAAAGGAACAGTAACCTCGCTCCCGAAACTTGACACAGAACTCGGCTTTAAACTTTGGCTTTGTCTGGAGATTGTTGTTATTGACGCTGCTGCTCTTGCTGGACACTGAATGAGACTCATCGTTGCTTTGGTATGTCGTTCGGGCTGCCCTCTTGACCATAGACTCTTGTTGCCGGACCCCTTCTTCCAGCTTCTGCGCCAATGACTCCAAGGGGAGGTAGCTGGAGTGCCTTTTCTGATCGGTTGTCAACGACGCACTCAAATGCAAAGACCGATTCGACTTCTCGTCTATACCATGATGACTAAGTGGGCGCGCGTTGCTGCACCGAAACGTCCTTGATTTCAGGGATGGTGGAAAGGACTCGGAAGGACTCTCTAAGTACGAGTGATCTTGATCAAACCAGATACCAACGCTTTTGGCTCGAGTCTGAGATTCGATCTCGCTCAGCGTGGCGGCAGAGTTAGTGGTTCCTGCGAATTCCCTGCTACTCACGAAAGACGCAAGCAATGGCTGGTAGGTTCGGAGACCGGCCTGTAAAAAGGTCGTCATGGATGAGCGCGACTGAATCCTGATATGCGCCGGGGCACACAAGTCCGGGACGCCTGTTGTTCCATGATAGTCCTCCGCGCGATCAAGGGTACCAGAAGAACCTTCTTCGTAAGGCGCATCGAACATGGATTGGAATGGGTTGAAGGGATCAGAACTGGGACTGAGTACATAGGTATTTGGCATGATGGCAACTAGTGGATAGTACTGCAGGATGTAGGGGCACAAGTGCAGAGTACGAGGTCTACGTGAACGTGTATGCGTTTGCATTGAAAAGCAAAAAGTGCCTGACCTATATATACGTACTCGAAGTTGCACTTCAATCTCACGGCGGGTTCGCCGCCTATCAATTCCCCGACCACAAAAGGGTCTGAGCATGGAGGCAGACTGAGTCCGAAGCTATCAAAGGACCAGCCCAACCAGGAATACATAAACGGTGGCTCGTTGGGATAGCTGTCTGGAAAAAGTGCGTGTGCTATAACATTCCCCTGCTCGCTCTGGTTTGTTTTCTCCGAGATATTTTTTGAATTTCATACCACAGATAAAACAATAGGGCACCTCTAGGAAGATCATTATGATTGCATGTTGTTTTTATTTATTTTGTTATTTGTACTGCAAGTCCTCTGTTCAGCCGCGGCCAAGACGGTTTATTCAGCTCTTAATGGGATCCGCCAAACGCGCTGTGGGCCTTGTTGCAATGGCAAGTGTTTGTGTCGAGATCGATTGCATAGCATAGGAATGTCGCATCAATTCTATTTTAAGTGTCAAAAATGAATGGTCTTGTTAGCTTGGAGTGAAACAAAAGGTTGTCATACAAGAACAGCTTAATCACAAAGATGGGCGCTTACGTGATGGACATGATATGGGTAAAGAAACCGTTGACATAGTACGGGATGATGCCTGCAAGGATACCGATCACATAGCCGTATGGCGACTTAAGGCCATGGGTGGCAAAAACAAAGGCGGCGAACCCCGTTAGAATTGACAATAATGTCGAATAGACATAAAGAATTAGTTTCGTCAAGAAATCTATAATTAATGAAGGTGTGGTCAGTTCAGGGTCCTAAGCATACAAACAGCAAACAAACAAACAAACTATGGCGCCATCCGTTCTCTTACCAGACAACAATCCCCACAGCAGGTTTCGGTGGAAAATCTTGCTCGCCGACCTTGCGGCAGCGAACAAGCTCTCCCCTGTGATACCAACGTAGATCAACGCATAGTTGTTGAAGCTTTCTACGAGACCTTGGACTACCCGACAGCATGTCACGACAAACACGAAAAGCGGAAATGTGCTGTCGTTCAGCCTCTGGAAAGATAAAATAAATATATAAATAAATATGTGATACAGCATACTGGAGGACCCTGCGTAGGCAATCGGTTTAAATTACCTTTGCCAGATTCTTAAGCAGAAACGTGGTCGTCTGGAGAACAGCAATGAAAAGTCCTCCTAGACAAACGGATCCGAATGACGTCGTCGTTGCATTGATAAGGGCAGGCTCCGTGATCTTTGAGCTGTGGTAAGCGAATGGTTCATGTCTATCAGATTGGCAGCCAGAATTAGAACTTGACAAGTACTGGCGAAAATAGAATAAGCAATTATAGCAACGCACCGCTTTCCGTAAAGGCATACCTGTGGAAATACCACTTGGATACGACATTCGCCAATGTAACCCTATTGGTTTCAAAGCAAAGTGGAGATGATCAGCATTATGGTTCCACCTATGAGCCACATGTACCCCAGAACTGCATCTTACCTCTGGACATTACCCAAGACTGCTGAAGTCCATAGATAAATGAAGATGAAGTAGATGGCGATAGGGTAAAAGTTGTCTTCCAGAACCCATTTTTCTAGTATCAGGACATACAAGTACAATGTTAGACAACGTATCACTTGAACAAGATGGAAAAACTGCGACGGTGGTCAGGCCATAAATTTGTGGATACATACTTGCGCCCACAGATGATTCGACATGTCCGATCAAAAATACTCGCGAGAAAAACAGTAGCCAGATCGCCGTAAAGACCACATGAACAGCCATAAGGCCAAATGATACATAAAACATGTCGGGATTGTCCTTCAGTATTTCGCACGCGAGCTATAAAGTGGATCAATACATATGCATATCTGTTAGATAGGAGTCCACTTGCACGAAGATATGAAAAGCTGCGAACAAAAACGTAGCACTGCACAACTCACCTCGATAATGGCGGTGGTCCGCGCAATATACTGGCGTCGAATATAAATGACGCTCAGGAACAGCGATCCAATACCCAGGGGCAGTAATGAGAGTACAGTCAATCCTGTATCCTGAGGATCCCGTCCACCATTGTCTCGTCTGGGTCCCTGGAACGATGACACCATGGACCAAATAAATATCCCAAATGCAAAACACGGGACTGACAGCACCGTCGCCCACACCACCGGCTATATCATTAACAGAACAAAAAAATAATCTGGATTAAAATATCGAAAACGACGGTACAGGGCAAGCTATCACACACCTTCTACGCTCGACATTGTTCTTACTCTAGTAAACGACCGTAGTGTGACCAACCACAAAGTCCCCAAGGCAGCTGAAACCAAGACTACAAAGGTCAGCATTCCTAAGCACATGAATACAAAGCGAGGTTTAGTTGTGTCCCACATAGGCATGTCTAGTACTCGACAGAAAAGGCAAATATGAGCCATTCTTTCCTACCTGCACTTGACTTCATGACGGAGAAAACATTGTAAATTTGTCCTTCTAGCGACGATGACTACAGAGATTGCGCAGTTAGAACAAGGAGCTGACTCGGTCCTATGCAACTTTTAAAAAAGAGGTCTACCATAAATCAGAGTATTTACACTTGTCGTGAAGATCAACACGATTCCGAGTATGAGGTAGACCGCCAGGGCGAATACATAAAGGGCCGCGAAGAATGGATCCTTGAAATTGCGTTTGTACGATATTGATGTCCATCCGACTGGCCCTGTAGGAATCTGCAGGACGAATAATGGGGAGCCGGAGTAAATTAGTGCTATATGTTCTGCCAAGAAGACTGCAACTTGCATACCTTTCAAGGTGCGTAACACCAACTTACAGCTGAGGGCTCCAGCAACTGTTCACCAAGAGTCCCACTGGCCTTTGATTTGGATTTCGATGACGGTACTGGTGGCGGTACATCAAGATAGATCGCCGCCGGTGTCTATACCCATTTGAACGAGAACCTTCATTAGCTGACGATGCACAAAATGGTGGCAAAGAAAGCAAAGTCGGAGGAAGAAAAAAAAAGGTTTCACAAGTCATTGCTCATGACAATACCAATGGAGGCGCTTCTGGCTGCGGATGCCTGTCGAGGAAGAGGGACATGGGCGGCGACTGTGTGCTGGAGTCTGATTCGTCATCCTCAGAGTCATAGTCGGGCATGTAGGACTCATGCAATGGGAGGTCCTCGCCTGGTCGGTCTCCGTCTGAGTCGTCAGGCTCATTGTCGATAGTCGGGACAGAATAAAACAGCGTCCCAGCCATGTTTCCAGGGGCCTGTCTATCATTGCGGGATACAGAGCGCCAATTGCGTCCCACAGCGCCTTGTAAGCCCTGCATCCGCGGCGGGGCATTGGTGCGATGTGAGGACATTCTCCGAAACTATGCTGCTGAGTTGTAGCTGTAGTTGTAGTCCTTGTCTGAATAACAGTGGGAATGAAGTGGTTCTAGCTGAAGTGTTCGGCGGTATTGTTATATGTAAGAAGGGGGAGAATTTTGTTGTGTAAGGTGTTGTGCTCTGTTCTTTGGTTCGGTGTGCTTGAAGACAGTGATGAATGACGACGCAAGAAAGGTGCAGTGTGGATAGACTACGATAAGGGGAACAAAAGGCTTCGACATACTTGCCTGGTGCTGGGCAGCAGTCCCTCAGCCCATTTGTCACGGGAGTATCCTGCCGGTGGAGTGGAGAGACCAAGTGTTTCGGCGGTTCTTCTGTGGGCCTTGCAAGTTTCAGCATATTCAGACGCTGCATTTCTACCCCTCTTATTCTTATCGCGGGACACCAGTATCCCTCTGATTGCCAAGTCGGCTCTTAGCATACGTCATTGGAGAGAAGAACGACAAGGGAAAAAGACGCATACTACTCAATTGGGAGCCCCCGTGATATCGTTCTTGGATGTCGAGAGCTTGAAGATGACTCCAGTGCTTGCTGACTGGCGGTGGTAGCGGTGCTGGTAGCACTAAGATGAGGAGGAACTCAGAAAAAAAGCGCAAGCCAGGTGTGCGAAGTTTTATTGCGTAAAGACTGAGGTTCAAATAAGGGAGGCGCGTGTCTTGAATACTAGTAGTTTCAATATTTCAGTTCAATACAACATCTCTGACATTGTTCCATCGGCTATCGAAGCAGCGTAGTCGTTTTTTCTCGCTGCTTTGCAGCGCTCTAAGCGATATAGAATGGCTCGACGCTCCTCTTTTGTCAGTTTTCTCCCTTTAATCCGTTTGTGCTTGTTAATACGAATGTGCGTACTGTCGGTAGGGCGAAGGCCCTGCAACTTCTTGATTCGAGCCCGTAACACCTTCATGTGGGAAGGTTTGAGGCAACAGGAACAGTATTTAACTTATGACGTCTTTTCTTTCAGCCTATTGATGTGGAGAGTGCCTTGGCCACTTGAAGCAAATAATTATCTTCATCCGCAGCAGCTATTCCTTTGTCTATATGCCAAATTGAGTGAGAAAGAGATATCGGTCCACACACCACACCGATTAGGGCATTTATTTGTACGAATTTTGATATGCTGTGCTGGAGGTACACTTCTCACTTTTTATGAAATACATTGGACTCTGGTGAAATATGCGACAGTGATCACCGATCCAGACAAGAGGTGCGCTGCAACATAACTAGCCTGAGGATATCTGCTCCAGTCTAGGTTCAGATATTTGCTGGCTTTTTTGTTCGGCTCTTTGAACGACCTTGTTTCGAGAATTCTTGCTAAGGGCGATTGCCTGATCAGATCCATGACTGGGGGCGTTGGTGGCGGAGAGCAGTCAGTGCAATCGGGACCGTTGATCAGGCCGCGTTTGTTGTGATCAGGAACGGATTTATGTGCCGAAACAATGAATGGTTTATCAGGTTGCGTGTCATAGAGGGCTGAGTTCACAGTGAAAGAGGTCTCGACACCCCCAATCGAGACTCCAACAGGAGACTTGCCGAGTTGAGCTGTTGTGAGCAACGTCCTGAGCTTGGTAGATCTCGGACCGTCCTCCACTCCTAGCGTATGGAGTACCCCTGCAACAGTAACTCAAGTCAGGAAGCCTGGGCTGGAATGAGTTGCCTCATTAACAGGTAGTGAAGGGCCTTTTATACGTTCCACGGGTCGGCACGGCTTGGTCGAAGAGCTTGCCTGAATGTGCAGCCGGCGTCTGAGTGTAAATGTTTCGAGCGTCTGGGGGATCTTGGGTCATAGGGGACCAAGGTCATAGAGACCTAGGTATCAAGGGAATTTGGGTCAAGAGGATTTAGAGTAAAAGAGTGGTTTATTGGATGATTGATTCATCGAAGGCTATTATATACGAAGGATGTGGTTAAGCAAGCAGTCCTGGGATGCTGTGGAAACTGGGCGAAGCATTCATATGATTATGACATCATTCTCGAATAAAACGTTGTACCTGTTGCATTGGGACCTGGCATAATGGATTGAGTTGTCCTAAAGATATCCGAGTTGATTAATCCGAAGGTCGATCCCTGGATAGCGACGAGTTTTATGAGTAAGATGTCTAAGCTGTCCTTTTCATATGGAAGCAGTTACTTCATGTTTCCAAGAACAAACTCGTCCCGAGCTGTTTCGGATCTCGACTTCTTTGGTGCAGAGAGCATCTCGTCGTCTTCCTGCTCCTGTGGTAGTTAAACGCCGTGGACTCCGGGAATTCCGCACCTACCGATGTATGGTGATGTGGTTTGTTCGTGCTCTGACCCCCCCCCCTGGTTCTTGTATTGTTGTCCACAGATGCCGCAGAGTCGTTCACGACCTGGTATTGAAACTCCGTGTCTAGGTACGAGGTGTAGAAATGGCCCAGAGTGCTGTTCCCGCGCGAGGACTTCGGTCTTGGGGCCTTCGCTAACAGTCTTTGTGACAGAAGAGCGTCGTCGCATTGTTCAGAATTGGATATAGTGCCAAGTTCGAGGGATTCATATAACCGATGTCACCGGTCTGGAGAGCTACGACTGTCACGTACGTCGCATCGGTGCTGCTCCAAGGACCTGCTGCAGGGAGAGCTGTATTTGGTGCGGCAAAGGGTGAAGCATTGGCGAGGTCGCGAGAGGATGGAGGAGGTACGCGCAAGCGGGAGAGTGATGCAGGTGCTTGATAGAGCATGCGCTGAGTGAAGGAGGAATTGGGACGAGCACCATGCACACGTCTGTAAACCTTCTTTACGTGTATGCTGATAGCGTCGGATCAAGAGAGTCTACAGAAGCACTGAAGCGTGCAAAAGGCGTGTTAACAATAGGTTTGGGGCTAGAGGATATCGAGTTACAGGTTTAGAGGTGAATGCAGAAGGCCCACTGTAGCTGTTCTAACTGTTGTCGCTGTCGTCCCCGTCTTCGTCCTCGCTGGCCATTAGGTGTTCGTCCATGGACATTTCATTGGTGCAGTCCTCGTCAGGGTAATCATCGTCGACATCGCCGACATCGTCGTCAAAAGGGAAATCGTTGTCATATTCGTTCTGACTAGCCATTGCAAAATACGTCTGAAATGGAGAATTGCGTGCGTTGTGTGGGAAAAAGTGGCACGGAAATGTATTGAGAATGGACAAAAGACAAGAAGACTCTGTTATGTGAATCAGCATGTGCGCCGATTGTGCCTATGCTGCTTTTTACAAGCGGATAGTGCTCTTTGCCAAGAGGTTCGTGTTGCTTTCACAAACGGTGAGTTTAGTTTCCGTGTGTTGTTGGTGACGGAGTGGCGGCTGCTTACGAGTGGCGGACAAAAGAGGGCAGCGATTTCTTTTCAGTTTCCAATTAAAGCAGCGATGCTTGACTGAGCTGTTTAAGATATCCTGTCTGCTCTCCATGGGCGCAGCTTAAAGATCTGCTGGTTAACATGGATCACAGCCACGAGACACTATTTGCTTTGCATATCAGCCAAATTACCAATTCAAAAGTGATGGTACAATACAAAGACTGTGAACCGAGTGTACATTCGGACACTTTGACCGTCGATAAGAATGTAGCGACGACGAAGGCCTACATTTAGGCACGTCAGCAACCAAGGTGCCCATGAATTAAAATATATATGGGAAATATGGCGTATTCTTTATTGTGGCATCCTCCTTGATGGTGGGATGCACAAGCCAGCGTAGAATGGGGCTGGGGGGTTCGCATTTGTCCTGAGGGATGCGTTTGCCATCTTTTCAAGTAATCTCATAAACGCGGCTCCCAGACTTAACCATATGAAATGATTCTTTTCGAAGCTAATCAATGCCGAGATGCTCTGTACGATTTCAAGTTCTCCAACGTATACAGCCATGCAAATTGTTCCACATCGTCGCATTTGATAAATCATGCACCTTATCGAAATAATCTGGAAGAACAAGACATCAAGATCGTCGACTCCTTCGAAACGTGCATGTAGTTGGTCCAGTGCACGCTTAGACCAAATTGCGACAAAAATCTCCCGTATCTTTTGCAGAGTCGCTAGAGAAGGAGACTTCCCCGAAACTGATATCATTAGCGTCTGTATGCTTCACGATAAGATCGGGGTGTTTCGGAGGAGCCTGGAGATCACGGTACATGCGCACGAACAACGATCCTGATGTTGGAGTTGATGCAGTACTTTGATAGCAAGTTAGACCCCAGAGTAGAATTATAATACAATTCTAATGCTGACCATGACTATGACATGTATACTTACTGGGCAAGCCTGGACTTTTTTGGCTGCGTCATAATACAGCCCAACATAGGCAAAATGTAAGAAGACGTTTGATCTGCTTCAGAGAGAGGTATCTGTAGCTTGTTGCTAAAGTTCTCGCATCCATGCAGGAAGAGGCGCCTCAAGGACGATCGTTCGGATGCCTCGACAGAGTCTCGAAGTGCATCTCGCGCTTTGGCAACATTCCGGGTCCTCCGCAATGTGATATCATATGTCTATAAAAAAAAAAAAAAAAAGCGCGTTAGAGTAGAATATGCTTTGGAACCTTCCAACACTAACAAAGGTGAGTTTGACTTACATCCTTCCACTTTCGAATTGATCCTATTCGCGTTTCAATCGCCTCCTCCTCTAGACACAAGATACATTGCCTCATTGCCTCCATGACCGTATTGTAATGCTGTCCGAAGCAATCATTCTGCAGATCCGTCGGTTGTTCCTGTAGAAACAATATCCCATTGATGGCCCTGACAGTAAATACGATCGGTCAGTTGTTTAATTAGAGCATGAAGTAGCCTGAACCTGTAATACATCCACTTACAGAAAGTTGGGGAAAGCGTCCTTTTGGTACTTGCGTTTGGCAGATCTGGTGAAGTATGCGTTGAATCAATTGCCTATGTCTAGCTCGCCGAGGTGTCCAGTGAAGTTGAAGGGGTTGACCCTGAACACCGGTCCTAGTTCTGCAACAGACACAATGTCTACTTTGTTATCGAAGGGCTGAGAAGGAGTAGACGATCCCCAACATAAGTATATGGAGTGCCCACTATTCTTTTTAAATCGTCTGCATTCATTACCTTGTCAATCTCATCACGGAGTAGAGAGTCTGGAGGTTCGACAGGACGTGACGACAGCGACAATGGGGACGAAAATGATGTCGTTGCTGTGGAGGCTGGAGCTTTCCTCTTCTCCGCTATATGCTCGGGTGTCTCTAGTTGTCGCTTGTGTCGTGCGCCTGAACAACATAAAAATGCATTAATACTGGATACCTACAAGCAGAACAATGATCGTCAAGAGACCTTACCCTTGGCTTCTTCAAAGTGGACTTTTGTATCGTACGACACTTTTTCGGCACCTGATTGGCATTGTAATCCAGCCTCGTCTTCGATTTTCTCGAAGTGTTTTTTCTGAAAGAAAAAAAAAAAAAAAAACGAGAAACTTGTTTGAAACAAGAGTAGATACATGGCCGAGATATGCTTTCGTGTTCACGATAGAACTCGATGCCTTCCTCTCTAGAGATGGACTCGGGGCCATGGTCGTACGATGAGCCTCAACTAAAGGACGCGTACTGTAACCTTAGTCCTGAAAATACCTTCTCCTCCTCCTGCTCCTTTTCTTCCCAATACGACTTCCGCGAACCGCTTGGACGTCAACCAGAGATGTCGAAGTCGCAGCCCATCTGGCGTGCTTCGTTTTTCGACCTCTGGAATTATTTTGTGAAGAAATTCAGCAGTGGCAAATTACCGGTCCTTTGATCGGAATACATAAAAATCGAAAAAGTCCGTCGCGGTGATAGTGCTGAGGAGGCGATCGCTCAGAAAAAGCGTCGTAAATGAAAGTCATGGTTGCTGAGCCAGCAGTTGAAGGTGAGTCGTGTGCTCATTTGCAAAGAAGCCGATGAAAGGGAACATCAACAGTTGCTTTGCACCGTCACCTTGAAAGTAGTCATGGAAACTTAAATTTTCCAGGAGCGCAGCACTTCGTTCCCATCATCGCTTGTACACTCACACACTCACATTCGCTCCCCCCTCCCTCCTTCCCATCGCTCTCCGTATAGGAATACTGCGACGCGTAACTTCCGACTTGCAACTGGTCAGGCAAGGCTGGCTGGAATGCCGTCAAGTTAGCCGTGGCGCCACAGGCCTGTCCACGGTTCAGTGCGTTTCGTTTGGCCTTGACTTCATCTGAACGACTGTATGTTCTGGTGATGGTCATTGACATCTATTCTCAAACCCAGTTGACCTCGGGTGCGAGACAGACTGTCAAAGTGCCGAATGAGACGAGTTATCCTTGACTTCAACGCGTTCATGACGTAGAGAATGGGGGGGGGGAGGGGGTTGGTGTTGAACCAAAAGGTCTATCTTCGTTTCGCAAACTCTTTCTGCGTCTGTCCTTGCTCACTATTTTTTTCTCCTTCGCCTCCTTCATAGGCAGGTGCATTATATCTTTTAGCTACCTACTGGTGCTGGAGTCGATGTGCTGAAGAAGCTTTTTATTTATTGTATGGCGCTCCGTTCATTGGGAGCAGGTAATGATTGACGGCCTTATAGCACGGCAGCCGCAACTTTACTACATTCACGCGACTAACAGTGAATGCTTTTACAGTTGCTTTCCTTTAGCTTGTATAGTACACTGGTGCAGGAGCAGTTGCTGATGGGGCTTTTTATTGTACGACTCCTATTCGTCTTCATCTTACAAGGAGTGCTTCCCAGTTTTGAATAAAATGTCATTGCGGCGCATGTCAGTGGAGACCAACACTGAACGTATTTTTTTGGAACTCCAAAAAGGACATTTGGAATATAGGAATTGGTGGCAATAAAAATGGGGACTTTAGACTCAGATGTCGCATAGTTGGGACGTGATGTGGAGGTGCTGTCGTGGAGAGCGAATGCAAAGAAGAGGAAGAAGAAGAGGAAGAAGAAAAAAGAATGCCGATGCTGTTGCTGTTGCTGTTGCTGTTGAGTGTGCATGTGTCGATGTATGCAGCAGGTTCGCATTGGATACACAAGGGACACAAAAAAAAGAGCACAGAGCACAGAGGGAAAGAGCCAAAAGGAAAAGCGGATTGGTTCCAGTAGTCCGGTCTGGTTGGACTCCACGGACACACTCTCAAGGACAACGGGAGCTGTTTATTGGGGGGGGGAGAGGGGCAATTTGGTCCTGCATTTGGATGCAAGGAAGATAGAGACACAAGGCAGCGAAGAACCAGAAGTGCGGGTGCTCTCTTCCGCACCTTTTGAATGATCCATCCTTCTCAAGCGCATTGCCCCCATCTGGCCTCATTCGCTAATCTCTCCTTCCGCTCCTACAGCTGGCCCAGCTTCATCCTTCTTTCATCTGCTTCTCCATCGAATCTCATTCCTCCGCTCTCAACAACCTAAGAACTCACGCTCATCTCACACCTCATGGCCACCCATCCTTCATCGGGATGGAGGCGTACAGTCGGGCCCCAGTGGTCCTCGGTCAAGCCGCAGGGAGCAACCCCAGGACCCCCGCCAGGCATGCAGCAGGGATTCCACAGCTCATACCTTAACGCGATATCCAGACCGGACCTAAACATTGACCACCAGCAGCAACAGCCCCAACAAAAGCAGCAGCACCAAGTACACTCGACCAACCATGCCAGTGCCTCGACCGAGCATGATCCCCATGTCATGTCTGAACATCAGCGAGCGCTTCTTCAGCACCAAGAAAACCAGCGGCAACAGCAGCTCTACCTGCAGCAATTACAATTGATGCAGCGTCTTCAGGCGATGCCTGGCAGCACTACCCGGCCGTGGTATCCGACCTTTGGACCAGCCATCACCACTTCTTGCAGCGACAGCACCATCCAACTGGATAACCCGAACCAGTACACCTTGATCAACAATGCTAAACGTAACCGCCATGCTGTTGGTCCGCACTGGCGATCTATTCAGACCTCAACAACCTACTCTCCCACATCTTCACCCCCATCTTCCTCACCCCAGATGCAGACTCGTACCATCGTACTATCATCCCCTCTTTCGACCGCTTCCACGACTAGCGCCTTACACACATATCTTTCCGCGACCTATTCTTCTGCAGCCTCGATCGACCATGCACGAGCCACGTCCTTTCACCAGCAGGACCAAGAGATGAAAACAATATCGAACAGCAGACAAGCACTCCAGAGCCCGGTGCATCAGCAGTACTATCAGTCTCACTCTTATCCACACGATCCACGCCACCATTTACTACACAACAACCAACCAGGCAACTCAAGGGAAGCCCGAGATAATCTACTCTGGGTCAACCGCGCCTCACCCGAATCTTCACCGATGACCAGTGTCCCACGGACTGCGAAGCGTAAGGCGACTTGGCAGGACGAAGGAAACGACGACAACGACAACGACAGCGACAGCGGCCATGACAGCATTGACGAGAGTCACTCTCAGACAGGACAGGTTGATTCAACGGCCTATCCCACCCCGGCCCCCTCTTCCTCAGGGAACACACAGCAATCTTTCACAATGCAGAGTTCGGTCCAGCAGTTTGTATCGTTGTCTGTTACTGCCCATCCAGTGATACCAATTGATCAAGATCAAGAGATGGGTAATGCGGAGTCGCACCCGAGCGCTGCTATCGTCTCGTCAGCACCCAGTCGGACGAGCGTAGACACGCTCAGAGTAAACCAAGAAAGCATGGATGTTGTCGAGAGCGGATCTGGTGATGCTGGATTCAAGCAGACGAAGCGGACAAAACCGCGATTAGACCATTCCGTACATCAGGGGATGGCATCGGCGGTGGAAGAAAGACGACTCCAGAGTGGCGAGCAGGTCAAGAATATTCTTCAGGAATGCTTTTATAATGCGGCGACCCCTTATTTTTCAGCCCAGTAGTCCTAAGCATCGTTATTTACTATATACTTTCTGCTTTGTCGCCACTCTGGTAGTCGCTGGGCTACCTTGTACAATTTTATTGTATATTAAAGATCTGAGATCTAAGGTATGATGCGCAAACGTCAAATGAAGTATCCCCTGTTGGGTGGTAAGACACAGAGGCGTACTTTAGTAATCAATGCTGCGTCCCTGTTAAATTGACAGGACGCGACTGTGGCGATGTTAAGGTAACTGGGTTGAAGAGGCCAGAGACGCTGATGACAAATGCCGGGGAGCGGAGTAGACGTGGAAACAGTCCATTAAGTTATTTACTACACGCGTCGTGCGTTAGATGCATGTGTAAACATAGAGTCGCGTCGAGTTTACATTATTTCATTAGTCTATTTATGGTAGCCGCTTTTTTCTTCTGGTCTTTCCTTCTTTCCTTCTTTCCTTTGCTCTTCATCCTTCCTTGCCGCCCACCACCCTTACTCTTGACATCTATCTCACACATCCCTGATATCAATCAATCCCATCTACATCCCAATTGCTCTCCAACATGTTTGTTCACAAGCGAGGTAATGCACATCCTCTTGCCCTACTGGAATGAATCGCTGCTGCAGGAGCCACGACGATGAGTCTGACACTGATCCTTTGACCCTCTCATTGTTTCTGAATCCTCCATACACCTCATTCGCGATACATATCTCCAGATGGTAAGCCCACAGGGTTGCACATGGCCAGCGCTTGGCACGACATTCGAATAAAGACTGAGACGGAATGCTTGATGTCCACACCAATCCCTCATCTCTTGACTCTCCATTTTACAGGACGAAGAGAGCGTGTAGCCTTCGACAAGATAACAGCCAGAACCGCCAAGCTGTGCTATGGCCTCGATATGAACTTTGTCGATCCCGCGCAGGTCACTCAGAAGGTACAAAAGCACTATTTGATCGGTCCTCCTCCCCATGTTACCGTTGAACCTTGTATTGCAATTTACTTAGCCAGCGTGGATCTATTTTTTTTTTTTTTTTTTTTTGGTTTAGGTCATCTCGGGTGTATACCAAGGTGTAACCACAGTTGAGCTTGACAATCTCGCGGCAGAGACTGTAAGCCCCACTGCGCAATTGATCTCTAGTCAGCTTATCGAAGTGTTCGTCCTTCAACGCCGTTATTGATCAATTTTCCTTTGTATGCACACTGTCGTAGGCTGCGTATATGACGACCAAGCATCCTGATTACGCAACCTTGGCAGCCCGTATCGCTATTTCGAACCTGCACAAAGAATCCAAGAAGGTTTTCTCGCAGGTTGTGGAAGACCTCTACTGCTATGTGAACCCCAAGAACGGCAAGCCAAGCCCAATGATCAGCGATCGGACGTACGAGGTTGTCATGAAGCATGCGGACCGCTTGAACTCTGCCATCATTTACGATCGCGACTTCAACTTCAACTACTTTGGATTCAAGACCCTCGAGCGCTCCTACCTCCTCAAGATTGACGGCAAGGTTGCAGAGCGGCCACAACACTTGCTCATGCGTGTTGCCGTCGGTATCCATGGAGACGATATCGACAGTGCTATCGAGACATACAATTACATGTCCGAGAAGTACTTCACGCACGCCTCCCCCACCATGTTCAACGCTGGAACGCCTCGTCCGCAGATGTCGAGCTGCTTCCTGCTCACCATGAAAGAGGACTCGATTGAAGGAATCTACGACACGCTCAAGACTTGCGCCATGATTTCCAAGACTGCCGGAGGGATCGGTCTTAATGTCCATAACATTCGAGCCTCGGGGTCCTATATTGCAGGCACCAACGGACACTCGAACGGCCTGATCCCCATGCTTAGGGTCTTCAACAATACAGCGCGTTATGTTGACCAAGGCGGTAACAAGCGTCCTGGTGCGTTTGCCATGTACCTCGAACCCTGGCACGCGGATGTCTTTGACTTCTTGGACCTGCGCAAGAACACAGGCAAAGAGGAAACTAGAGCCCGTGATCTGTTCCTTGCACTCTGGGTGCCAGATCTGTTCATGAAGCGCATAGAAGAGAACGGCGACTGGAGTCTCTTCTGCCCTGCCGAGGCACCCGGTCTGCAGGACGTCTGGGGTGAAAAGTTCGAGGAGCTCTACACAACCTACGAACGCGAAGGCCGAGCTCGCAAGACTATGAAGGCTCAGAAATTGTGGTTTGCGATCCTTGAGGCCCAAACCGAGACAGGCACACCCTTCATACTCTACAAGGATGCCTGCAACCGCAAATCAAACCAGCAGAACCTCGGTACCATCAAGTGCAGTAACTTGTGCACGGAGATCATTGAGTACAGCAGCCCCGATGAGGTGGCGGTCTGCAACCTGGCCAGCATCTCCTTGCCTGCGTTTGTCACCGATTCCACGACATACGACTTCAAGATGCTGCATAAAATCGCCAAGGTGGTCATCCGCAATCTGAACAAGATCATCGACGGCAACTACTATCCAGTGCCCGAGGCTGAAAAGTCCAACAAGCGCCATCGTCCCGTCGGTCTCGGGGTCCAAGGTCTAGCGGATGCCTTCTTCAAGATGCGCATGCCCTTCGATTCACCCGAAGCGCGCAAGCTGAACGTTCAGATTTTCGAGACCATCTACCACGCCGCTCTCGAAACTTCTTGTGAGCTCGCTCAGGAGGAAGGAACCTATGAGACATATGAGGGATCACCCGTCTCCAAGGGGATCCTGCAGCCGGACATGTGGGGTGTCACCCCCAGCGATCTTTGGGACTGGGCTACGCTGCGCGAGAGCATTGCCAAGCATGGTGTCCGCAACTCCTTGCTTGTGGCACCCATGCCCACGGCCTCGACCTCGCAGATCCTCGGTAATAACGAGTGTTTCGAGCCTTACACCTCCAACATCTACACACGACGCGTCTTGGCAGGAGAGTTTCAGGTGGTGAATCCTTGGATGCTCAAGGACCTTGTCGAGCAAGGTCTGTGGAATGATTCTCTCAAGAACCGGATCATTGCCGAGAACGGCTCGGTTCAGAACATCTCGGGCATTCCTGAGGACCTCAAGGCCCTGTACCGTACCACGTGGGAGATCTCACAAAAGGCCATTATCGACATGGCTGCAGATCGCGGCGCGTTCATCGATCAGTCGCAGTCGCTCAACATCCACATGTCGGACGTCAACTATGGCAAGCTCACGAGCATGGCCTTTTATGGCTGGAAGAAGGGTCTCAAGACCGGGATGTACTATCTTCGTACGCGTCCCGCTGTCGATGCAATCAAGTTTACAGTCGACCAGCAGGCCATTACCAAGAACAAACAAGTAGAAAAGGAAGCTAACGAGGCGGCCATGCTGTGCTCGATCGACAATCAGGATGCCTGTCTCAGCTGTAGTGGGTGAAAAGGAGAAAGAGAGGGTCTTTAATACTGCCAAGTTTCCTTGTTTTGATATCTGGATACCAGCCATCTTACTCATCATTGAATAAACACTTTGGATCCTGTTCTTTCTTTTTTATTACGATGCCATGGGGATGGTTGGGTGTACGAAAAAATGTAGAATTCTAAGACTGAATATGCAAAATGGTGAAGTGGGATAAATGGTGTTGGTTGTGTTGACGAGATGAGTGCTTTTTACATCTTCATGAACTTGCGCTTCTTTTCCGACTCTTGCTTCTTCTCTTCCTCCTTGCGAATCGCCTCCTCGTCAAAGAACTCGGATGTGTTGTTGGCCTCATAATCGCGTCGGATATAGTTGAGAGCAGCAACGTTAAAGCCGATGATGTCCTAAAAAAGAGATAAAAGAAAAGAACAAAGGCAATGTGCTCATACAGGTCAGCTTCTTGAAAAAATAAAAAAAAATTACAGGTGGACTTGCATAGCAGATGAATATTTTTGTTTTACCTTTTGCTTTTGAAGACCAGCTCTCAGGTTGCGTCGGACAGAGTCCAGCATGGGCCGCATGATTCTGTTGGCAACAATCTGGTTGTGGTGCGATTTGATCAAGAAGAACAAGACCCTGCAGACCAAATTGATGTTGTATTCCCGCTGCACAAACACATCCAGCCAGCTTAGCAAACTTGTCACTGCCGCAAAGGGCAGCACAAGCAGTGCCTCGTCCAGCTCTGCGGGGCGAACTCTCTCCAGCTCGTACCACACATGCTGCTCTGGCGTCTGGCGCATCGAGATCAGGAGTGGTGACCTCTGAGGCTTAGACAGCCCACGCTCGCCGCGGGCAATACCGGCATTGTATTCTTTCCAAGCATTGATCTCCTGGTCTGCCAACTCAAGCGCCTCCATAATGCGCTCTCCTGCCTTGAGGGTATCCATCGTCTGCTTTCCAGCCGCTGCGAGTTCGTCTCCATTGCTGGTCGAGGGAGCTCCAATGTTACCCTCGCCATTATCGACCATTCCAGTTTTCTCAAAGGATGCCGTCAATGTTGCCTCGTACAAATCATCCAGTTCCTGCTCGCGCTCCTCCTCCAAGAAGACTTGATCCTCAGTCTTTTGCCAGATACGTAATGAGCGGTCGTGTGATGCAGAGACCACAATATTACCATATGTGCCCACAGCCAGCGCCCAGACCTCTCCATGATGACCCTCCAGCTTCAGGATATTTTCGAACTTGTCTCCATCCCAGTATTTGACTGTCCGGTCCTTGGATGCTGTAAAGAAGTAATGCGTATTCCAGACAAACTGCACTGCCATGACCGACTCCTGATGTGCAAACATCGACTTGTGACAGTCTCCGAAATCCAGACCCCACAGCTTCACGTTCTTGTCAGCAGAGCAAGTCACCAGCAGGTTCGAGTCCGATGAGATATCCATGGACAACACAGGGAGCTTATGACCATACAATGAGAGGAAGAACTTCAGAGTGTCGTGGTAAAAGACCTTGACAGTAGCATCCAGTAATGAGACCGCCACCAGCTTTTGGTCGGGTGAATACCGAACGCATAACACGTCATCTGACATTTTGAGTGTGCGCATATGGACCAGCGAGAGGCGCTTTTTGATGGCCTGGCCGACCTGTTCCTCAATCATGTCGAAATCCCAGAACTTGACATCCTTGTCAGCACTTCCTGTCACCAGACCACGCCTATCCGGACGGATCTGAAGGGACCAAATTGCGCCTTCATGTGCCTCAATTGACTCGATCATAGAGGATGATCCTAAATCAAACAACTCCAAATGACCAGCCTTTGTGCCCACAATGACCTAGAAGAGGGATAAATGGATGCGAAAAATAACAGTGAGTCAGGGATGCAGACCCTTTAACAATCGACGTTAAGATACCAGTCAAATAAATCTATCAACGTACATGACGATTGCCAGGCAAGAAGGCACAGCAGAGAGCATATCCGCACTCCATTGTCCTGATACATGTCATAGTCTTGACATTCCAGATTTTGAGCGAATCTATGAGTACCAAAGTTGAAACATAAGATGTCTTAGTATAGCTTGAACCTGTGGTTGATACATCCTAAAATAAAAGCCATCAAGGAGTAAATGCTGACTTACTGTTAGATGCTGAGCAAAGCAACTCGTCGTCGGAGCTAAGGGCAACAGTACGGATATCCGAACGATGGCCAGCGAGCTCGAGAGTGTATGCCTTGCTGGGTTCATCCGCAACCTCCGCCTTCTTAGCCGCATCTGGGTGGGGCACTGTCCAGACCTCGGCGGTATTGTTGTTCAAGGATGCCACCAGCTGCACATGTCCATTCTTCTCCACATCCTTAGATGGTGCAAAACTGAACGATCTGAACTTGGCTCCTGAGCGAATGGTATGCCAAGGTGTGATCTCGTCTGTGGCCTGGATGGTCTCATCGATGGGCTCCTCAGCCGCTGCGCCTTCCTTGTCGCCCTTCTTCAAAAGCGCCTGCTGCTTCTCGCGCTGACGCTTCTTTCTGCGAGACATCTTCTTTTTAATTTCCTCAATCGTACGTATCCTGAACAGCTCGATCGACTTGTCCGATGCCTGACATCCCAAGAACTGCTGTGAAGAATGAAACTCTAAAGTTGTGATACGTTCCTTGGACTGACGGGGGATGGATCCATAGAATGTAATGGCCTTGACGAGGCCTGAGCTCTGATCCTCAGTCGCATCTTCCTCGCCAACTTCCTTCGCCTCTTCTCCGACCGCCAGGCCTGTTCTCAGGGCTGCAGCGTCGATCTTCCAGACTTTGATATCGGCATCGCCGCCTCCGGAAACCAGCATCGTCTCGTCCGCATTGACGTCGCAATCCCAGACCTCGTTCCTGTGGGCGACCAGAGTCTCCATACAGTGCTGAGTCGAGAGATCCCAGAGTTTGATGAGCGTATCCTTGGAAGATGAGAGGACGTATCCGTCCGTGGGTTTACCTCCTTCTACTATGGACGGCCGTGAGATGAATCGAACTGATGTGATTTGGTCCTTGTGGCCCCGTAGACTTTAAAGTGTTGTTGTCGAATAAATGAAGATGTTGATTCAAGTAATCGTTTTCCAAGATGAACAACCGACGTTGATAGTAAAAAAAAAAAAAAGGAAATCGGCGTCAGTTCCGGCTGAATGACCAAAGCACATAGGCCACAACACCCATAGATCTCAAAATACATGAGATGGCATCTCCACTAACCGATAAAGTCCAACTTCGCCCTCGACATCCCAGACAATCAGATCCGTATCCCTAGATCCAGATACAAGACGACTTCCAGACTTATCAAACGCTAGTGCTGTTACTGCTGAGCGATGGCCATTGAATGTAACAAGAACATCCGAAGTCTTCATGCTCCAGATACGGATCGATCCGTTGGCATAGCCGACTGCATAGCTGTCCCGATCTACGCTACGAGCGATGCATGTAACTTCTGCCTTATTGTCGCTATCGTGCCATGTTCCAATCTATGTAATTTTCAGTAGTATCCACGTTATTAAGTTGGTCGGGCGATGGGAAAGAGGGTCCCTGGAGTAACAAAACATATGGAATTAAAGTGACCGATCCAAGGGTTGCCATTTGTAGTTATTTACCAGCTCGCCTTTCTTGAGGTCCCAGATACTGACGTCCTCGAGAGCAGGACTGATGGCGCATTTGCCTTCAGCATCGTAGATGATGTTAGAGTTGCCACTGGCAATCACACCAAAAGTGGTGCGGGGGGTGTAGCGCTGATAGGCTTTGACCATGCTGTATCAAGAATTTTTATATCTGTCTCAAACTCTTGATAGAACTTTTCAAGAGTTTGAAATCAGTGATGAAGGTTAGCGTGTGATGCTGATGCAGTTGCTGGTTCAGGTTTTGGGCGAGGTTGTTCTGTCGAAAGGACGAGGTCGAGAGCGAGAGAGGGGTGGTATGGAGCAATGGTTTTTTGCGAGCCAGGTTCAAGCTTCACAAAAAAAAAAAAAAAAAGGTTGTTTATCAATGTTCAGGTTCAAGCTGAAAGCCACATCGCAGTCACATCACCCTCGCACTGCATGAGACATGGTAGACAACGCGCGCGAAGGAGGAAGACATCTCGAATACCACCATCGTCAGCACCACCGTTATTCGTAATGGTAATCAAGATACGAAAGAATACCCTGCCTTATCCGAGATAAACCACACACGGGATGATACCTTACGAGGGACATGGATAGGCGCTGTCAGCTTCACTAATACGACCTAGCCTTTACGACATGAGCGGAGCACACCGAAGACAGGAGGGCTGCTCTTGGTCTAGCCGTTGCCAGCGCCAAAAATTGACATATATTTACCTCTTTTCTTCCATTAATAGGCCTCAATTGTTCAATCGCTTTCGGTTCCTTCGGCTTACAAGGACCAGCAGTATCAGGGTACTTCCAACCAACTGGCACAGGACCTCGCCAACTCCACAACGCTCTACGTCGGAAACCTTTCATTCTACACAACGGAGGAGCAAATCTATGAGCTCTTTTCAAAATGCGGTGAGATCAAGCGTATCATTATGGGACTGGATCGCAACCAAAAGACACCCTGTGGATTCTGCTTTGTCGAGTATGCGATTTTTGTTTGCTTCTTTATTATTTCAAGACGCATTTACCGATTGCTGCGCTTGAGTCTCTAATATACTTGCTTATTTGATCTGTTTCTAGATACTACCATCATGCTGATGCATTGGATTGCATGAAGTATATCAATAGCTCAAAGTTGGACGAGCGTATTGTGCGCTCAGATCTCGATCATGGATACAGAGAGGGTCGACAGTTTGGTCGTGGCAGGAGCGGCGGTCAGGTCCGTGACGAGTATCGCATGGAATTTGATGCGGGCCGTGGAGGCTGGGGCCATGTTAGGGCAAGACAGGAGGCAGAACGTGAGAGAGAACAAAAGGCCAATTACGAAGCCATTACAACGATCCCTGAGGGTGCCAACCTCGATTACAAGGACAGAAAAGAGGGTAATCATGATTTTCATCTACATCTTTTGTCTACACTTGGTGCAGTCGCGCAATGCTGGACATCAATGCTAACATTATTATTTTATTTTATTTTTTTATCATTGAATGGCGCCACATAGAATCATCAAAGAGGGCGAGAGATGATGATGAAGATGAGGACGAACAGCAGCGCTCGAAAGCAAACCCTCGATTCCGTGAGGGTGACGAGGAAGAGGATGAAGCATAGGACGTCGAGGCTATGGTGCTCAAATCATTCCCACTTTGTCGTTTGCACTCTCTCACGTCTCCTCTCTTTTCAATACAAATGACTCTTGAAATCATTGAATTTATTCCGTTGTTGGATTGTCCTGAGAGCGCTAATTATGCTGCCGTCCGCATGGGTGCGTGGAATGGGTTCAATGGGTTGGCCATCTGTGTTCCTGGTGCGCTGTATCCTGGAGCGTTCTCCATTCGACTTGAGCTGAGCATTCGCTGGTCGTTCTTGAAGAAGAATTGAAGCGTGTACATCTTTTGGTCGACATCCCAATGACTCCACAGCTTCTCCTCGGCTCTGTCGATGTCCCTGCTCTGGATCTTGAACGCAATAGTCTCGTATGGCTCCGCAGCAACGACCAAATATTGATATGCCTTGTTGGGTGCCTGGACCTGCTGTTCATATGATGACATGAATCTGTACCGAGGTTCGACTCCTTGAGCGATTTCTGGATATGCAATCTCAAACAACATGCCGACCTGACGAGAGACTGGATCCCTGACTTTGGTGACCTTGTACCCAGGGCGACCGATCTTGATGATGTTGCGTTTGAATGCTGGAGCCGCATTAGCTCCTGTTTTAAGCGCCTGCTGTTGTTGGGCCGTGAGCGGTGCCATGCTGTCGGGCTTTTCCATAGCATCCTTGGCAGCTCTGCGACCGAGATTGGTCTGATGCTTTTTTCCCTGTGTATGGGCAAGATAGGATCCCTCATTGGTGTGTAGCGTTAGACACAGTTTACATTCATATGATCCAAGATGGTTTCTCATAAAGTAAGGGTCTTTGGCCAGGTCTATAGGATATGTATTCAAGCGGTAGGTTAGAGACAGATATCGAAATACGATGGTAAGAGCATGGCAAACTAGAATGCAACGACGGACTGACCGATGGTCTCCAATGCCAGCTTGCGAAGGCGCTCTCTCCTGTCGACATTGCTTTCAGAAGCACCGGCCACACCGGCACTTCCGATCTTTGATCCCACACGGTTCTGACGGTCTGCCATGGTTGATTCAAGTGTTTATGAGGTTTAGGTCGCAGTGAAGGTGGAGACTCCTCTTTGGGATCACCACATACATATCTGAAAGAAACAGTACTTGAGGGGCGTTATCTTTCTGCGCGTTCATTATTTTCATGTCTGCTTTGACTATGTATTCACCTCCTCGACCGCACACCATGACTCTCCGACTTTTGACCAAGGATTCTTAAGGTAAAGACTGAAAGCTATTTTTTTGGGCCGCAAGGCGCATCAGTTGACCAGGACATTCAACCCAGCTCAAGAGCGAGACGCATAAGAGTGCCACACCTATAGCCTCAGGAACACAACTATAATACCCATTTCCATTTTGTTTGATACGCTCGCTAGTCACCGCGGTGCGTCCTCTGTTGAATGCTCAACACTCCGTCGCATTCACTGTGTAAGTATACACAATTCCACTCCGTCGTTTTCGCGTTGGCAAGCATGGTTCAGAGCGACGGCCGTTGAAGTTTACAATCCACCATTATTGCCACTATCAACCCCATAGTGCTCGCCATATGACTACCTCTACTTCAGAAGGTTTGCATCGTTTTATTCTGTTCAGTGGTGGCCACAACACTTAATTGAGATTACCACAATTGATCCAGCGAGGCAATAATAGATAGTGCTGGCCAAACCACCATCAAAAAACCGATCAAGTGACAAATACTTATTGAATAATCACATACGGCGAGTATATCGGAACTTACAGGGGGTTTGGTTGTGATCATTAGAAAAACAGGTATCTCCCGAGCAAAGGTTCCTCATCACCATGGATTCACTCCCCGGAAACTCTTTGATCTCCAAGACCAGTTATGTCACCGCCCTCACCGGCTCTTCCACCTACTTGATCTCTAAGGAAATCTACATCTTTAATCAGGAATCTCTGGTCTTACTGGCCTTCGCTGCCACATTTGGTGGTATCATCAAGGCTGCTTGCGGGCCCTTCAATAAGTGGGCCGATGACTTTTCAGCAAGATCCGCAATATCTCTCAAAAGGTCCGCGCCGACCATAAGGCCGCTGTCGAGGAGCGATTGGCCAGGTCGGCCAGATGAAGGATGTTGGTGGCGTCACCAAGCAGAAGACCGCCTTTACGGACGAGGTCAGGTCTGTCCTTGACTCTTGGATCCGCTACGAGACCTAAGCTCGTGAACGTGAGCAGAGCAAGCTGGCCACCTATCTGATGGAGAAGATCAATGCCGGTCTCCAGGATTCCAATCTTCAGTCCAAAATACTGGAGAATCGATCAGTCAAGTTGAGAGGATTGCTTCCTCCACAAAGGCGTGAGGGTGGACGCTTAGCCTTCAATTCCTCTTTAAACCACGTATATCAAAAGGATATTTATGTCGCAATGTGGCTCTACAGTCTTCTGCTTCGCCTTTTTTTGTTACTATGCAAATGTTGAAACAATAAAGCACTCCCAACACAAGCAGTGTTGACTGAAAACGCGTTCCTGCTATGCTCTTTCTCCATGCAGGGGTGCAGAAGGAAGACCCACTTTTGCCTTAAGGGTCATCACGCGCGGTTCAAGGGTAATTCGTCGTTGGAATCCATGTGGTGCTCGTTTCATCTTTCAGTTTCCACCCGCCGCAGTTCATCCTCATCACATTCACCTCAGTCTTCTTTACTGCCACCGAACAACAATCTCTCTGAACGTATAAATAAGAGAAAGAGACGACATGGGAGTGCCAAAGTTCTTCCGATGGATGGGGTAATCGAAGATTCGTGCAGTCTTAGGGGCGCGCTTATTGCTCTACAAGTACGACACTAATCACGACGCTGCGTCTGCTGTACACTTTTTCATTACTCCGTGAACACAGCGAGAGATATCCTCTATGTTCGCAGCTGATCACTGAGAATGCTATTCCAGAGTTTGGTAAGTAGTTTTTTTTTGTTATGTTGGACTTGGAGTAGCAAATTCTATATCAGGTCCTGGTATTGACTACTTTTATGTGGAACACGCCTTGTCCTGTCTGATCTTTTTATTAATCGAATCCGCTACACCTCCTTGATGTGGAATAGACAATCTTTACCTGGACATGAATGGAATCATCCATAACTGTTCACTACCCAACGACACCGACGCTCACTTCCGCCTTTCGGAAGACAAGATCTTCCTGGCCATTTTCAATTACATCGACCACCTATTTTTGAAGATCAGGCCACAAAAGGTCTTTTTCATGGCCGTCGATGGTACAGTCTTCATTCATGGCGCTTCATCTGTTTTAATCTGCTGCTGCATTGGACAACGAGGCGCAGTACCCGATATGACAGGGTCTCAGGAACACCACTGACCTATTTCATGTCCATGGCTTTATATATGCGACCTTAGGTGTCGCACCCCGTGCCAAGATGAACCAGCAACGTTCACGACGATTCCGTACTGCCAAGGACGCCGAGGATGCCAAGCGAAAAGCCATTGCCAAGGGAGAAGAACTTCCGGAAGAAGAACAATTCGACCGAAATTGTATCACACCAGGTAGGACAGGATTTTATTCAAAGAGTTCCGGATCAGACATTGATCTAATTTTAAGCTGGTCTTGACTATTGTGGACAACGCTGATCAACATTTTCTTCATTATGCAATTGCATCGTCTTATAGGAACGCCATTCATGAAGAGACTGTCGGCACAATTGAACTATTTTATTTCCAAGAAGATCACCGAGGATGCCAACTGGCGCAATGTCAAGGTCATTCTATCAGGGCACGAAGTGCCCGGAGAGGGCGAGCACAAGATCATGGAATATATTCGCCTGTCGAAGGCCCAGGAGAACTACAACCCCAACACACGTCACTGTCTCTACGGACTTGATGCCGATCTCATTATGCTGGGCCTGCTTAGCCACGAACCCCATTTCGCACTCTTACGTGAAGAGGTCACTTTTGGAAGGACTAACAAGAAGAAAGGGTAGGCGCACATTTGTTTCCTAGGTTGATTTACACACGGAATCGGCTGTAGCACACAGACATTGCGGCCTGTACGAATTTGGCGATCTAACCTCCCTTCATACTTCTCATTTCACTGACCTCCAGGGGCATTGATACGCAAAATTTCTTCCTGATGCACCTATCGCTATTGCGAGAATACCTTGATCTGGAGTTCAGTAGTCTGCAGGAAACACTACCCTTCCCATACGATCTGGAACGAATCATCGACGATTTTGTTCTCATGTGTCTGTTCGTCGGAAACGATTTCCTGCCACATTTGCCAAACCTACATATTGCCGAAGGTGCCCTCAGTCTGCTCTTTAACATCTATAAGAAACTATTGCCACAACTGGGCGGTTACTTCCAGGACTCGGGTACCTTAGACCCGAAGCGCGTCGAGGCCATGTTCCATGAGCTGTCCGAGGTTGTTGAGCACGAGGCCTTTGAGTCAGAATGCGACGATCTGAAGTACATCGGAGGAAAGATGGCAGAATTGCTCATTGTGTCCAACTCTAGTCAGAAGAGCAACGGAAAGCACAGACAAGGCATGCGCATGGGCAAGCCTGTAGAACATGCCAACGAAATTGGTATGTGATGCTTCATTCGGCTCCTATCTGGATATCGTGTAAGTACAGCCAGTTGACAAAGACAAAGACATTAACCCCTACTCCTCCACTATGTTATAGTGATGACGAAAAGACAAAAAGATCTATACGATCAGATCAAGGATTTTGTACTGGAACGCAAAGAAATCCTTGATTTCCCAACAACGCTCAATTCTAGTGATAGGAGCTTTGTGAAGCGGATCGCTTCTGCAATTGAAATCCGGCACGGCACTGAGACGACTCCTGATGGCCAGCAGCATCTATTTATTGAGTTTGACGAGGAGGAAGACGAGGAAGATGTCGAGTCGCAGGAGGCTAGAGCGCGAATCATGCGCAAGTATGATCAAGCTATGGTGGTCGAGGATGTTGTCGAGAACGAAAAACTCCGAGACGAGAAAGCCAAGAGTGTGTACCAGGAACGATTCTTGCAGTGGAAGAAGGAATACTATTTGGTATGTACCGTATCTGCCAATACTGTTTTGCAATCTCTTGTTTATTCTCAATGCTAATAGGGCTATAAAATCGCTTTCCCGTATAGGCGAAACCGGAGCTCGAGACGCCAGAGGAAATTCGCCAGATGGCCTTCAAATACGTCGAGGGCCTGCAGTGGGTTTTGTATTATTATTACAGAGGAGTTGCCTCTTGGGCATGGTTCTATCCATATCATTATGCACCTAAGATATCAGGTAATGCGTTTGAAGCGAGTGCAAAGCTGTTGCTTTCTATCAAAGGACATGCTCTAACTTGTCACTGATGTAACAAATATAGACTTGGTGAAAATCGATGAGTTCAAGCTGCCGTTTGAGCTGGGTGAGCCTTTTAAGCCATACGAACAGCTTATGGGAGTGCTGCCTGAGGCCAGTAAACAGCACATTCCTCAGGCGTATTGGGTATGCCCTATGCACATTCGAGACTTGATTCTTGGAATTACTATATGCTTGTGGTGTTGTGCAGTGTCCTAACTATGTGCATTACCGTCAACTAGGACTTGATCATTAAAGAATCGTCGCCGATCAAGGACTTTTATCCCAAAGACTTTGATCTGGACATGAATGGCAAGAAGCAAGACTGGGAGGCCATTGTCAAAATCCCGTTCATCGACCAGGATAGACTGCTGAAAGCCATGAAGGGTACGCAAATTCACTCGCCTTTTTTCGCCGTACTGAATTCTTATAACGCCAGATATCTGATATGTACATATACCTTCATGCTACCTAGGCCAGGAGCATTTGCTTACAAAGGAGGAGGCCGAGAGAAACAGCAGTGGCGAGAGCACAGTGTTTACGCGCGATGAAAGCCTGAACGAGACCTATCCATCACCTTTGCCGACTTCCTTCCCCGACATCAACGATTGCAAGTGCAAGATGGCTACATTCCATTTGCCGATCATCGAGGGTGTCTCATCGTTGAGAAAGGGACTTTGCGAAGGAGCATTTAAGGGTGCAGATCTGCTCTTTGGATTTCCTTCGATGCACACTATCAAGCACTCCGGCAATCTCGGATTCCATGGTGTCCAGGTGTTCCAGGCGGCTTCTCGAAATGAGACCATGGTGGTCAACATTGTTAACAGATTCGAAGATGTGAAGCCGGAAGCGCTCGCTCTATCTAAGATCGGCAAAAGGATCTATGTTGGCTGGCCTTTCTTGAAGGAGGGTATTATATCATCGATCTCGGACGAAATGTTCAAATATGAGCTGCAAGTCCAGGGCAGAAACAAGGTCGTCATAAAGACCCCACATCGCACCAACACATTCGAAACCTGGAGGAAGCGTGCCGACAAGATCGAGACGCTGTATAACAAGCGATTTGGAGTTGTTATCGGAGACATGGAGTTCACCGCACAGGTCCTGTTGCTAAAAGGACTTAGACGGGAGATGAACGGCGCGTTGGTTAAAGATTTCTGCAAGCCTGGAGAGGAGCAGGAGTTTGCTATCCAAACAGTCGTGGATACTGTTAAGCACCCTGATACCAGGACAATGGAGGAGGCCCCAAAGCCCCTGAACGAGGACTTTCCTATTGACTCACAAGTCTTTTTCTTGGGTCATGGACATTATGGATGCCCTGCTCAAGTCATTGCGCACTCGGACAATGCCCTGGCTTTGCGAGTTGCTGTAAGTTCAACAGCCACCTACTGCATCCATATTATACTCCTTATCTCATAACTCTGTCTAACAACTCTACTCCTCTTTATTTTATCAGATCCCAAATGACTCTAAGGGTGAACCAACATTTGGCCACAAAATTGTGAAGGAGGCGCTGTCTGGCTCTGTATACCTGCCATCTTACGTGGTGAGTAAGAAGGTCGGAATTTCAACTCTCATTTTGAGTAAGCTGACGTCCTCTCTCCATGTCGTATATCGGTCGACGGATCGACGTGTCAACCTGGGCCTCAACCTCAAGTTCGAGGGTAAAAAGCAAAAAGTTCTTGGCTACACTCGCAAGACCGATAGCGGGTGGGAGTTCAGTCAAAAGGCAGTGGCATTGCTTCAGGAGTACAAGCAGCAGTTCCCTGAGTTCTTTGACGGACTTGAAAGGAAAGCACGGTCTGATTTTTACATTGCTGAGGAGATGTATCCCAACGGCGACAGCACGGAGAAGATCAAGAGAGTCGAAGACTGGTTGAAAAAATCCAAGGTCAAGGATTTTGAGCGCGTCGATCTGGATGCCCAGCAGCTTGATAAGGTGAGAATCCCTATCCGCCCACGTTGAGGATGGTCGTTAGGGTTATTATGTTATTATAAGAGGTATATTGATCGGATCCTTTGTGTCGCCTTTGTCGTTATAGGATACAATTGCCCTAGTGGAGAGGGCAGCCGACGCTTACGTGGAGAACAGACCTGGGATGAAGCATGTCATTGTCAAGAACCTCGCGCGACACACCATGCTAAAGCCCAGCCATGCTGCGACCTTATTGCCGGATCAGACCTTCCAGCTCGGCGACCGGGTCGTCTTCGTCCAGGATTCTGGAACGGTTCCCATTGGAGCTAAGGGCACTGTTGTAGGGATTGATCGACTGGAGGTCGAGGTCGTTTTTGATGACAAGTTCATGAGTGGAATGGACCTAGGTGGAAGATGCTCGATGTATCGTGGTATGACTGTGGGACCGCAATCAATCTTGAATCTCTCCAACCCTCAGTGCAACCCGAAGCAGCCGTTAGCAACGCCAACTACCCCATCTCGTTCAAAACCAGCTGCGATTCATCCCAAGCAGAACCCTAACCAACAAAAGGCCCAAGTCGATAACAAACCCCATGGCTGGGAAATCTTGGGCGTACCACCAGCAGCCGACAACCAAAGGCCCAAGCACGGAGCCCGTCAGCCCAGGGTTAATAATGGAGGCAAAACCCCGGATCAAGCACCGACTCCTTATCCTGAGCGGGCCAGTACGAACCAAAGTCTCGGCTTCCACCCTCGCCCTCGACCCACTCCTCAGATTGCTGTTCGACCCAACTCTGAAAACAACAGGCCTGGTGCGGAGGACATTTCGGCGATTTTACTCGGCCTTTTGCACAAGAATGTTCAGCCCGAGAATGAAGGTATAGGTGCATCAGCCAGCGGTGACCATGACGCCCCGTTCCCAATTGCCGCCGCCCCTGTCCTCCCAGCCGCAGGATCACAGGCGGCAGCTCTGCTGGAGCATCTTCGATCTTCCCCATCTCCTCAACAGCCGCAGCAACAGCAGCAACAGCAACAGCAGCGGTCCCGTGCATCACAAGCTTGGCGGGAGCAAGGGCACATTCAGCAACAGCATGGTCGCGGTGGTCACGGTCACCAGCGAGGCGTTCATCGCAACCCTCGCCCTCCTCAAGTGAACGGACCCCAGGATCAGACGCATCCTGGCAATAACAACACCAACAACAATAACAATTTTGGCCCAAGACCCCAAGGATTTGCTTCACGAGGAGGCCATCGAGGTGGTCATGTTGGAGCAAACCATCACCATGTACAAAACGCGCGAGCTGGACCCACACCTCCAGCCGAGTCGGTTGCTTCATCATCCGCGACTGCTGCTCCAACAGAGACTAAAACGGGAACAAATAGTCAGGGTGGTCATGAGCGCAGTGGACGACGAGGCCGTGGTCGCGGGAGTGCGCGCGGAGGAAACAAACAAGCGGAAAGTTCTTCAGCAGCGGCCGCTCCTGCTCCTGCTCCTGCTCCTACTCCTGCTCCTGCTCCTGCTCCTGCTCCTGCTCCTGCTCCTGCTCCTGCTCCTGCTCCTGCTCCTGCTTCTGCTCCTGCTCCTGCGCCTTAATTTCTTACTGTTGAGCGTGCAAAATGTTCCAGGATTGACTTTTTTTATCGTTTATGAACGCCTCACTCATTGCAAAATAAACCCAAGATTGAGGTCGTTTGTATCGTTTTTCTATGGTGAATATGCTACTCTCATGGCCAGTCTTGATAACACGAACAGCTCCTTTGTATGATTTGTTTGAAGGCGGAGAAGAGGAGTAGCGACGTGATTGAGAGACAAAAACTAGGGAAGGAAGAAATATAGTAGAATTCGTCGGAGGGCTCGTATCGATTGACGCGCTTCGTAAACGCGCCAAATAAGCTATTTTTGGATCTGCAAATACCCCATGCGCTGCCTGCTAGGCAGCAAGAACAGACTCGGCGTGATGAACTATCGTAAGAGATAATAATAATCAGGAGCCGAGGGCTGATCCTTGTTCGGAATAACCCATGGAGCGGCTCCGTCTGGCATGATTCTTAAATTGAGGGTATCCTAATCGGCTTCCTTGTCTTTGGTGTTTCCCGATAACGAATTGCCTATCAGTTTTCGTTTCCCAAAAAACCTTGTATGCCTTGTATCGCTGATGTGAAAATATTCCCCTTCCTATACGACGAAGAGCAAGAGAATAAATTGGACGCGTCGATCGTTGCACCAAAATGTTTGTGCGCTGGCCAACGGTCAAACGCGATCGTATAGATGGATAACATGAACGGACAATAGCAAAAACACAACGAACTGGACTTCACACGCGAGGCATGGATTCTTAGCACTCGATGCGTTCTTGATAGCAGCAATCATGGTTGCTGTTGTTTTTCTGCAAGCGAATTGTCAATACTTTATTTACAATTGAAATCAATCTTACGAGAAAAAAGTAAAAAACGCAGTGTTCACTAGACATTCTTGTCATCAGCCAAACCCTCGCGGGCAGCCTTGCGTGCCAGACGTTCCTGTTTTAAACGCTCAACCTCATACAACAATTCCTTCTTATCAATTCCGGTTCGTGTCTGATGAACACGCAAGACGCAGGACAATTGATGAAAGAGAAGAGATGTTAACCGTTGCACTTGTTATTCAATTGACGACAATCCACACTCGGACGTGCGCTTAAAAAAAATGATACCGAACGTTGAAAAAGGCGCTTACATTGACAACTTCGGGAGCAGGCCAGAACTTTGACTAATTAGATGAGAGAGGGGATAAAAAAAAAAAAAAAAAAAAAAACGAAGCATGAGTATCGATTGTACGGCTGTATCCATCAAATGATTCTATCAAAATAGGGTCCCGACTTACGCCACGGACATGCTTGTCATAGAACTCGGGTGCGCCTAAAACAGTGGGTTCCGCAGTTGGACAGAGTCAGTCGTTCCGATATGTGGTATCCAGTGCTTTCTCAAGCGTCCACCCAGCAGTAAAACATTGTAAATCCCTATGGTCGACAAGAAACGTGGAAGGGAAGGCGGTCTTTACCAAAGTACACCATGAACATGACTGGTGTGAAGATATAGACACCGAACTATTGTCAAGGAAAGAGCCCTTGGTTAAGAATGACAGAACTAGAATGAATAAGGAGCTGATGTTAAGCAGATGGAGGTATGTGTTGCCATGCCTTGAAAACCTCGAGCCTGGGGCCGCCCATTGTAGTGTGTGGGTATGAAGCTGCGGGGGTGGGTGTATGTTGATGAGGGAACAAGAGCAAGGAAGGAAAGGACTGCGTGAGAAAGGAACCAGTCAGTCAGGGTTCTGGTCGGTTGTGGAGAACCTCGGGGCCGGCTGCACAGCGGAAACCACTTCTCCCGCGCGTGAGGGGTGTTTGGGAGATGCGACTGTTTCCAATACCATGACGTATCTCATTTCTTGACCAGGCTAATTTTTTGATCTCTGGAAGACGCGGCCCTTGGTTCGTGTGCTGGCGTGTTCTGTGACGCGTCCCCTTCCACCCCTCCACTTTCAGCCCTTTGACATTCAGTACCCATTACCCTAAACCCTCTTCACCACTCGTTGTCAATCACCCTCTCAGCTCCTTCACCGCACAGCAAACAAGAACCACTATGGACCACTTCCCAACAAACTGGGGAAACCCTCGCTCGGAGGACGTCGACAACTATAACACCTACCCGGTCGCATCCCATGTTGCTAAGGTGCCCCACAGTGTCACTCAAATCGCAGGTTATGGCCACTCTAACGGCCACCCTACATCTCATACCCAGTAAGCAGAAAAAAAAACAAGGACATCAAAGGACTTTCTTCGGCTATGTCGAGGCGCGTAATTTGGACTTTTATCGGGGAAAACTAATTGGTTTATCACGAACTGTCTTGACATGATAGACAGCCAGTGGTCACAGGAACGTCAGTGCTAGGAATCAAGTACAAGGGCGGTGTTATGATGGCTGCAGATAACCTGGCATCCTACGGATCTCTGGCTCGCTTCCGTGATGTGGAGAGGTTGCACAAGGTCACCGATTTCACGGTCATTGGCGCCAGTGGAGACATTTCCGACTTTCAATACGTCAAGCACCTCCTTGACGCTCAAATGTAAGCAAGCTCGCGCTGCAGCTGCCGCTTTGTTTTGCTTGCCTACCTCAGCAGGAGAAGGACCTGACCGCGTTTACTTATCGATCTCCATTTCGTTTTTGTAACCTCAAATTGGGCAACTTTTTTGATAGGATCAAGGAATACAACGCGGACGACGGCCACACGTTAGCGACTCCCAACATTTATGAGTATCTCTGGCGTGTCATGTACAACCGTCGCTCAAAGATGAACCCTCTTTGGAACACATTTGTGCTCGGAGGTGTTCACAAGGGCGAGAGGTAAGCCCCAGGAGCCCATGATCAATTGCAACGGGTGTTTGAATGCTTTACGCAGGAAAACACAGGAGAAGGAAGAAAGCGATGGGCCATCTAACGTTCTTTCACGTTTCGTTTGATCTTTCTTTTCTTTTAGATTCTTGGGAGCCATTGATTTGAAGGGAACGCCTTACCAATCAGCATCGATCGCCACTGGATTCGGATCTCACCTCGCTCAGCCCATTTTGCGCAAGGAACTCGAGACGCGTGGAGGCGAGGACAACATCTCAGAGGAGGATGCTGTCGAAATTTTGAAGAAGAGCATGAAGGTTCTCTTTTACAGAGATGCCAGGAGCATGAACAAGGTACGTAGGAATACACATCTTGACACTCTCAAATCACGTTTTTCAAGATCCGAGCTGCACGTTTATCATTTCTGATCTGAAAGCTGACAACCCATTGCTGTTCTTTTCTTCATGGTCTTAGTTCCAACTGGCCAAGATCACAGATCAGGGAGTAACGATTTCGGAGCCCATGTCCGTGGAGACAGAGTGGGCCTTTGCCGAGAACATTCGTGGATATGGCGCCTAAACTTTGTTCGTACCTACCGATACACACAACAACAAAATGGATGGCAGTGTCAGTGCCTTTCGCCAGCGAAACGCCAGAACGGAGGCAGGCAATGCAGTACCTCGCCAATAAACATGAACAAAATGAACCGGGTGCATTCTTTATGTTGTTATTTGCTGTTATCACATCGTCCGTGGTCAGATCAATGGTTGCGGCTGTTTATTTGAAGGCGCTGCACCAGTACCGTTGACTTCGATCTATTCTACAAATGAGGGGTTGGTAAGGAGGGGAGTTGGGCTGATTGAGAAGGCGGATCAACAAAAGGGTCTCTTAGATGAATTCGCGAGGGCGAGTTCCAGAGCCATTTGAGTTGTAGTCAAAGACCAATCCTCCGATCCTGAAGGCGAGCTCATCTGTCTCAGGGCGTGTAGCAGCCTCGGCATAGACGCGCACCACGTCTTCAGTGCCCGAGGGACGGACAAAGGAACGGCCATCTCTGAACTTGAGCACGATCGCGTCAATCGCCTCCTGGAGTCCTGCAGGCTCGACCAACTTGCGCTCAGCATCGACAGTCTTGAAAATGGAGCGGTCCTTGACCACGACCTTGACAAGGCGGTTGGGCAAATCTGTGTAAGCCTGATCCCAAATCTTGGGGGTCCACTGTCTCTGGGTCAGAATGGTCTCGACCAAGAGCAGGTCCGAGAACGCATCGCCGACAGTCTGGTTGATGACCTCAGAAAGCGCACGGAGGGAGCGGATGGCAACAGCCTGAGCAGGGCTTGAACCCTCGGCCGAGTGAATGGTCTTGAGAGCCGAAGGGCTGAAGAGAATAGTGCCGTGGCCGTTTGCCTCAAAGTAAACTCCGACGTCGTACTTTAAGGCCTCATGGTGCAGGTGCTTGACTCCAGTCGGGACGCAGGAGACTGGCACATTCTATAAATATATGAAAAGTGAGCCAGGACAGGAAGCGTTCATGTAAGCGACAAGAACGGCATAGATCGGTCGTTAAGTATTGACAACATTAAAATCAGCGGACGCACCAAGTTGTTGCGAAGGTATTGTGTGGATGCGCCGTTAGCGTATGCGGTCTGGACAACACCGACCGAGATCGAGTCGATGCCTGCTGCCTTGACAAGATCGATGATGTACATGGCAGAGAGTCCTGCAATTTTGTCACCATCCAACAGCTTGAAGGTGCCATCTACAGTTCGATCGTAAATAGAAATCGTCATTAGTGGCCATGATACCCGAACTGACTTGCTCTCACATCCATGGCACGAATAGATAGAGGCATACCGTCATCCTGGTAGTAGTAGACCAGGCGATCAGCATCGCCATCAAAGGAGGCGTAACGCTCCTGAGGTGCCAGCTTGAGACCAACAGGGGCGCGCTGCTGGGTCTTGACAAAGTCGGCTCCAGCCTAGGTTTTTGTAAAGAACAAGAGTGCGACGAGGGTTAGTCAGATCTCAGGAATGTAGAGGAAAAAATGTGAGGCAAAAGCCCAAGCAGCGGCCGTCGTAAACTCACGTTGAGGTTCAGCTTGCTTGCGTTATCGGTATCATCATTGACGAGTTGAACTGCAAGGGAGTCGCCCAAGTAGGGCAAAAACTCCTTGAACTTGGGAGCCCCAACACCGTTGGCGCAATCCAAGACGAGAGGCGACAGCTTGGTCTTGCCTTCAACAAGAATCTTGAAGGCGGCGGCCAACTTCTGATAGTAACCATCAGCGGTTGGCTCGCCATATGCCTCAGGGGTCCCGGCAGTGTTGAGACAGCGGACGATATAGTGGAGCTGAGGGGTGGTAAGGATGCTATAATCCGTTTCCTTGGCATCCAGCACCTTGAGGCCATCAGCAAAGGCCGCGACCAGGGCCTCACCACTTGGGCGGGTATCGCGTGCAAAGACGACGTGAGCGGGCTTGGTGAGGTCGATCTTCAAGGAGCTGACCATGGAGTGGATATAGTCGATCAAATGTTCGTTCGATGGAGCGTTGGCGAGTGCGGTGGCATGGGTCTCCCAGCTGCCCTCTAACATCTCGCCCAGGGGGTCAATCAGTTTGAGGCCATTGTCCTACGAATGTGAGAAAAAGTTCAGAACCAGATGCATCAGCTTGAGGGTCATGGCGCCGTGTTCTTGAAAACGGTCTCCATGGGGAAACCAGTACTCCTCGTCTTGAGCGCGTTCTCGTGCAAACAGCCTCATACCTCAGCGGGGTTGTGCGAGGCAGTGACCATGCATCCAATAACCTTGCCGTCCAGTTTCTTGGAGCGAAGGGCTGCCAAGATACCGAGCCGGAACATGACGGAGTCCAGGAGATTGGCCCTAGCGACAGCAGATGACAATAAGCATTGGGGTCAGCTCTCACGATGGTCTCCCCGTTCTGCACACCTAGAGCATTGATGCCGCATGATCCCCCACTCCCGCTACTTCCCCCCCCCCCCCCCCCCCCCCCCCCCCCTGAAATACGCATAGTTCGCGTCCCTCGTTCTCTCCTTGGCTCCTGGAGTGCGAATGCATCCTTAAACCCCATCCATTAAAGTGCTGATTGGCGCGAGTGATGGGGTCGTGGTGATGCAAAAGGCAAAGTCTTTACTGATTGCATCCTCCTGTCTACATTCGAATTCGGCCTGAGGAATAGCTGATCAGGCTGGAATGACATGACATACGCACAACAGAGGTGCAGAGGGAAGGAAGGTCTTACTTGGTACGAACACCGGCAGTGCCGTAGGAGAAGACGATAGCGTCGGGCTTTGGGTGCTTGTCCGAGAGCGCCTTGAGGTTGTCGAGGTTGATAGTGGCCATGATGGGGGTCTGTTGTTTTTCAGCGACGAGCATAGCTTTGAGGGGAGAAGCAAAAGAAGGTGTGCGCGTATGGGGGGTGTGGGAGAGAGAGCAATTGGAGGAAAGGAGAGGTGATTCCTCCCGTTTTAAATCAAATATCAGAAACTCAACAACGCGCGTACCTTGGCTGCCCTTCCTTATCCCAAGCTGCTCAATGCTTCTCAGCGATGCTGCTATCCCACCCCAGTTACTCGTCCTCGCCTTCTCAAGAGTAGGTGCAACCCTATCACAGACATCCGTAAATTAGCGCTACAGGTCATCCAAATGGACCACGCACAGCACTGCCTTGGTGTCGCAAGCCTAACCAAGGGCCTATTCTTCTCCTCCTCAACTGTATTGTTTCAACCTTTCTGATGCCCTCAACCCCCCCACCCAATACTGGGCGCACTATAAATAAGCATACAACATGCTGTTATTTTTAAGTAAGTACGAGAGCGCGAATCTAGCTCATTTATTTGCTGATGAAGGCCCGTCATGAAGGCCCTTTAAAGGATCCGTCTCTCTCCTGCCCTGTATCGCCAATAGTAAAGTACAGCTGATGATCAACCACTTCATTTTCTATCTTGTGGCTATTTTGGATGCGTATGGTCCGTAGGCGAGGATTGCGTCAAGGTGGTTCTTCCTGCCATTAATGGACGTTCAGGAGTACCAGAATCGGCGCTTGAAACACCAAGAGTCGTTTGTTGAGACGGTGAATCCATAAAAGCATACGGCCGCTCTATTTCATGGAGACTAGAACATGGACTCGTCGTGAAGGTCACCATGGTATACGAGCTAGCCGTGTGGCGATGCTGTTGAAGCTCGGACGTCGCTAGACCATAAGGTCCACGCGTCGCACGACTAAAGTAGCACCCTTCATCGCCGCTCACATATTTTGATCCATCGGATGTGTTCCTGCTGCCATGGCTCGAATATCCCATTCCAAGTGTCTGATCATGCTCACTACGCGTCTGGAATAAGTCACCGGATAGGTTTCCATCCGGCAGCATAAGAGTGGCATTGTCGTCATTCACAGAGGCAAAAGTATTGCCCTGCTTGTTCCCGAATAGACTGTGCCAGTGCAACAGACGCTCCTCGTCCTTGACCTGCAGCAGAAAATTGAATCGACCACAACCGATTACGCGAAGGATGTAGCTGTCTGGTTCTCGAGAGTATATGGACACGTCCTTGTATGTGTACGTACGCCCTGCCTCCGGTCTTCCCTGTATACAATAATAAAAAACCCCAGGGAAATGTCAGCCATTATCACTCACGAAACGCCATGTCACATTCCATTACGCGTCCGTTAGTATACTGACCGTCTCGAATGCAGTAAAGTGCTTATCGGCTGGAAAGAGAATGACGCGTCTCATGCACCAGCTCGCTAAAAACGGCAGGTACCGGTTTTGGAACTTGACACCCATGTACCCCAGATGACTTTCCTTCAGTGTGCCCGCTTTTGAATCCTCTATCGAACCTATGCTACCCTTCCTCGCACCAGGCGGGTATTCTCCGATAGTGCTACCGGCCCCGTTTCCATTTCCACTGACAGTATTGAGCCATGGTCCCTGGTTATTGAACAACCCGTCAAAGCTGCTGTCCTCCGCTCCATCCGAACTGGTCTGTTTGGCGTACTCGATCTGCGAGAATAGCTTCCAGAGTTTTGGAAGGAACATGAACATGAGCGAGACGGTCGTCCCAAAGAGCAGAACGATGTTCGTAAGAAAGAACTTTGTCAGGAACTGATCCTGAGGCAGGAACACAGTAGGCATCGCAATGCATCCTGAAAGGAGAATGTTACTAGGAAGAGTCGCCAAAGAATAAAAGATCCTTGGTAAGCATTATTTTGCCAATCATAACCACCAATGCCCTGCGTGCTCTGTTTCCATGGCACTTACTAAACCACAAACGCGATCTGTCTGCACTCATTGTAATTGGCGGCAACATTCCTGTTCTTGTAGCCGAGATATGTCGCCAGAAGAAGCAGAGCGGCATCGTACACAAACAACAATGCAAAGAACGGCGCGTTGTTTCCGGCTTGGCTATTGCAGTCCCAATATGTGGTAAGGTCCTCCATGATGATCTGCTCCAAAGTCGGTGGCGCCTTGACGAACCAAATCGACATAATAGTCTAGGCAGAGAAAATAAAAGCCGTTAGTCAACTCGACTCTTTTCATATATTCAGTGAACCAATTTTTCTGCGAGGAGCTGACAATATTGACATACCAGGTTAAAAATCAAGATGGTGCCGACGATTTTGAGCAAGTGCGAGTCTTTGATGACCTGCTTGGTCACATAGATGTTGTGGAAGATCCTGTAGACACGAAAGTTCTTCGCTACGATGTTGCTCACAACGAGGATGAATCCTACGTTCAGAGTAAAGGGTCGAACGATGCACACGAATCTATTCGGTATGTCCAAGCCCATGATGGCGGAAAAATAGAGAAAAATAAATCCCCACAGCTCTAAGCAGCAGAATAATGGGCTAAGCATTCAGAAAATGTGCGCAGAAGGGAATCGTTTCAGTTAGCTGCAACTTTTTTTTAAAAAAAAAAAAACTCGCTCCCATATCCGATCTCCAGAAAAGACGTCAATACCTCGAGGCCTTGATGACCTGTACGTCCTTGTAGACAACTACGATCCCCATGGTCATGAGTGAGAACAAGATGCCGAGGCTAGCAATGGCTATGATCACTATGCCGATCGAGGACCTAAACGATGGATTCAAGCTTCGCAAGGGTGCAGTATCAGATGGCGTGCGGTACGTTCCATCAGAATACATTGGCGGCGAGGAAAGATTAAGGACACCAGAATAGGACGTTCCGATCTCGACGACGCGACCCTTTTGGAAGTTGTAGAGAATAAAGTTGCTAGAGCAATTACAGAAAAAAAAAAAAAAAAAAAAAAAAAAGAACCCGTTAATTCTCATCGATAGATAGCGTCACACAAGAGCAAGCTGTAGCATAGTACAGAATCCTTACCCGTAGATAACGTCGCCGATTTCGTCAAAAACCATCGGCCCTCCAGGCCCTGTGTAGTTCGTGTTCATGTTGAGCGGCTTTAGCTTGTAACCAAGTTTTCCTGCGGCCAGCAGATGGAGTGCCGTCCAATTGCCCTTGACAGCATTCGCGAAGCCGTTCGCTAGGACCATCATGCACGAATATGCCTGTCTAAAAGTGGTTTGGAGCTGGTCAGCCATGTGTGTAGACACACATCTACACCTTGACAATGCTAGTCTTCCTACGCTTCGAGACTTACGCTTCGTTGCTCGAGATGTCTCTTTCGCCAGCATAGGGATATTCAGCAGGATCCAATGTTGCCCATCTATCCAGGAACTCTTCGTACGGAGGATACCCGCGTAAACGGAGCATGTTGTCAAACATGAACAAACCGTTCAGATCCATCGGTTTCAAGGTTGAGCCCTCCATGTCCAAGAGAGGCTCTGTCACCTGGTTAATGGTCAGCCAGACATAGTCCTTTGAGAACAGCCCTTTACGACTTGAATAACAGAGAGAGGGAGAGAGCAGGGATGCCGCGTTAGATGAACTGTCCGTACAAACGCGCCAAGCCACGTCGCTTTGCCTACAGACGCGCGTTTTTCACTGCCATCCATCTGGTCACATACACTGCCTCCATTATCAACCGAACCTGGGGGATCCCAACCGCCGCAACCAAGACAACCCGTTGTCCTGAGTCCTTTAAAGCATCCAGACTCGGCCCCACATCCGAGGACGTCCCCATCTCCCAAAAGGCGCGTCTGAAACCAACCGAGATGTTCTTTTTCCTCGCTTGTTGTGCAATGCTATCCATCACTGGAAAGGAAGAGTAAGAAAAAGAAGGCGTGAGATGAATAACAAGTCATCTGCGCTACATGCATGTTCAAGAACGAGAGTATCCATCCATCCATACTTTCTGATCCCAGTGCGTCTCCAGTGTAAAACACCGCGACGGTGCTCCATCCTCGATTAGCCACGAAATCGATCATGACGCGTCCAAACATCAACTCTGTTGGGATTGTCCTGAAAAAATATCCGTAGTCGTCCTTGCTTGATAATTGTGCTTAAAAAAATAATAATAATAGGGCCTGGGTATTAGCAAACGACCATACACAGCATCTAGTCTGTTGATTAATTATTATTATTTTCGTTTTTTACTTGGCAAAAAGACGTTCACATACTCGATCCAGCCGAATAAGAGCACTGCGGGATAGCAAGACGACTGGTCAACAGCGCAGACTGTACTGTGAGTGCGCTGCTAACGTCGCCAATGACGCCTGATACCCCGCCATCTGACTGCAGCAGCGACACTGTTGAGAAAATGGCCTGTGCTGCTCCCGAGTTTTCAGGGTCCCGTCCATTGAAAGAGTCCTTCAAAACTAAGGTGACATATGCTCCCGGGATCAGGCGCTTCTCGTTGATCTCGCTCACCGCCATCCTTATGGCTGAAGTCCCACTATTAGCATAGCAGCGGTACACGTTGCAAATCAAACATCAGTATGGATCAAAAGCAGCGTTGACAGCACGGCCACAAAATGACATATAATTTTTTTTGTCTCCCTTCACGCTCGCTAGATGGTGCTGAGAAATAAGGTACCTGTAAGCTAGCTGTTGAGTGAGGTTGTTTGGTAAAGAGTAAGGTAGCAATACACCGACTCTGATCTCAACCAGGCCTTCTCGAGATGTGACATTTGGAGTGAGATATAACGAATTGTTGGCGCCAGTCTTTGGGGTATAAGGAAATATCCGCATCGAGGCATTGGGCTGATTTTGAGGTAGGACAGTGGCTGGTTGTGGGTTGAGTGTAGGAAAGGGAGTGGGGACCGTTACTGCTGTTGTTGTCGGTGTGATCCCTGTCTCCTGTCTCCTTGCGAACGATGACTCTGGCACGTTGTGTGGGGTACTTGATGAATGCTGTGCATGCCATGACTGACGTTGGGAATAGGGCGTATTCACTACTATTGGACCGTCTAAATGACGAGATGGTACCGGGATCGGGTTGTTCGCAGTGCATGCGACGTGTTGAAGAGTCAAAAGAACGCAGATATATGATGCTGTGCACTGAATAGCCGACGCTATCCTCGAGAACCGCATGGTATATAAGATGAACGATACAGGCCAGAAAGACAATGAAAAGTGTGGAGGGTACGGGGAGCTGTTAAGGGAGAATAAGATGGCTTTAGAGTAAGATATGGGCCAGCAAAAATAAGATCGATAGTTTGGCGTAGAGATGGTTGCGGTGTAGCGATCGAGTACCAAGGCCCACGCTGATAGAAAGATTGGTGTGAACAAATCCTGGTGGACCGTTGGGTATGCTGTATTGAATAAAATGGAGTGCGAAGGTGTGATTTCTGGATGGAACTGAACGGTCTCTATGCGCGGCCACGCTACAAGCGAAGGATCGAAAGAAGTAGAGAGTAGGAGAGTGAAGGGACGAATGATAGTGGCACGAGCGTAACGAGGTTCAGCAAAGAACTTGTCGGCGTGTAATCAAGGGCATTAACCTTGTTCCAAGGATTACTGGGCACGGTAAAAGATATCAAGACGAGTACTATAATACAGAGGATTATGAAAATGGGCGATATTCAAGCGCGAGTGTATACACCTAGTACAGACGGAAGGAAGGAGGTAGTTCAGTCAAGGAAGTGCTTTGAAACGGTGCTGAAGATCCTAATGTGAGGATGCGGTAGCGATATTAGCTCCTGTAATTACATTGAAAAGAGAGAGTCTCTCCTTTGACGCAGAGGGAAAGAAAAGGAAGAGTACAGACTGCTCTGGTGGATCCGTTCCATCAATGATTTCGCTACAGCAAAAAGGAGTTCTTATGCAAGACGCAAAGAGCCAGGAGGCAGCACCGCAAAGGCCAAGAAAGAGCTTTAGCAACCAGATTTAGCAGAGGAGCCAGGGAGCCTGGGAGTCATAGAAAATGGGCGTTCGCATATAAACAAACCGAAAGATCTCTGCCTACTCGCTCAGCGGATGTGTACAGCTGTAAGGACAACAACAAATGCAGCATTCACTGAAAGGGCTGTTGCTTGTAGCAGAAGCTAACCCTCATCCCACTGATAACTAGTCGATTCACCTTTTTCATAACAACCAGCGTCATACGCTTGTATATCATGGTTGCCGCGGACTTTTTGGGTGCTTAAGCTACTTAGGTGTCTTCCATGCCAGCGTATGGATAGGAAATGCATGCATGCATGCAGCATAATGGATGTATATTAGATATGATCACAGTATTACATGGCAAATGAACGGAGGTGCTCCTTGTATGGCTTCAGGCCGCCTCCCTATTTTATAATGCATCGTTTTATCTATCGATCAAGGAAAGGGCGAGACGAAACATAACCATGCATGCATGCCAAAGTACATTCTCCCGACTTCTACGGATGCATTATTGATAGCCTGTGCATCCTACCCCGATTGATTTGTTGCTGTGCGTGCTGTCAGGCACCGCTCTTGGGCGCAGCACCTAGCAAAGACCGTCATTCCTTTGTCCACTCTCAGGCGAATGATCTTGCCCATGCATTATACCATGCTACCCATAGCCGTTTCCCCGGTCTTTGAAAGAACAGTCATCTGCATTCATGATCAGATAAGGGCCACTATCTCGAGAATGTAAACCTCCACCTTTTGTTTAGTTTCCGCTTTTTGGGGTCCTTGCCAAATTCAAACAACTTCGACTCTTAGCCTGTCTATGGTGCTCACATCCCTGCGATCGTCTTTGCCATACGAGAAAGTTGATGGCCGATAAGGATGCAATCTTTTACGGCGGGTCAACCATCATCGTTCATTCCTCTGTCTTCGTTGCTGTCCGCTGTGATTGAAAGAATTGCTATTGTATCCGCTTGAACCATAGCTCCCCCCTCATCGCTTCCCTGACTACCATGTCAGCGCTTTTCAGCCTCCATGCAGCGACCCTCTATTTCATGACACGTTAGGCAATTAGCTTTTTTTTTTTCTTTTTTTTTGAACAAAAAGTGCAAGAGAATAAAGCTTTGTTTTATTACTATCTGCTGCTACTGTTGCTGTTGCTGTTGCTGCTTGATCAACACTTTCTTCAGTAATAAAGTTATGTACAATGTCGTTTGATTTTTTGCTCACATATTCACGGCGACTCTCAGAACAAGGCCATTGTCAGCGCAAGACGTGCGAACCTTGATCTCGTACGTCTTTTGTTTCTCACCCAATGCCTTATACTCATGCCTATAAGGACTCCATCTCTTATGGGGCTTGTTCTTATCAGGCACATTCATATGCTCATTCGAGTTCAGCTCCTGCGTCTTTCGAGATAATCGGCGGCGGCGAGAGGAGGAGCCACGTCCCTTTCGATCAGCATCCGCAACCTTGGGACTCTTGGCTCTGTTAGTACCCTTTACTTGTTTTGTACGAACGGGTGTCTTCGCGTCATATGTAAGATGAGAGTGAACGGGTGAGAAGGAGGAGCGATGGTTCGTTTGACTGAGTTGGGCGCTGTCAGTTGTGATGGGTCTGGAAGGCTGCTCCGACTGCTCCGGCTGCTCCATGAGGGGGTGTGGGTCAATAGTACCGTCCGTGTAGACGCCCATGTGATCAAAGATCGACTCCTGCGGATTGAAACTCTGTAGTGACATGGAGCTGGTTCAGCGAGTCTTCGTTGTGGCTGTCCCGGTCCTGTCCCGACAAGTCGCTAAAATCAAGACCATCCAGATGGTTGAGATACTGCCCCAGAAATATCCAGTCCCCATCGACACTGCACTGCTCTTCGCTGCGGTTCATATTGTGTAAGAGTAGTAGGGAATAGATCACACCCTTGCGGTCAAGAGTAAGAGCAAGCGGAGCGGCGAAGAATTGCTATTAGAATAAAGGTAATGCAGCGAAAACACGAAAAAAAAAGAGTAAAGGAACAAGTTGACCTTTCAGGCATTGCTCGGTGCGAGAAGACCTGGCCGTGGGGACGCGGCAGGTCGCTGAAAAGAAGTCGAGAGGAAATGAGAAAGAGGGATGGAGAAAGACACTCGACTTGGCACTAATGAACAGCCGTTGTGGGAACGTAGTGGTGCAGAGGAAAGAAGAAGGATCCACTCGCGTTTGTGGCTCCATGTTAAGGGCCGCGACTTGGAAACCTACCCCTGTCCAAATGCGCATCCTCCCTCGCTCGCGCTAGATATCCCCTTTATATATTACATCCTCAGAACATTCCGACCGCCACAACCAGCACCAATGCCAGTACGACATCTCGACTGTAAGTCAGTCTTCACCGTCCAACCAATGACCAACAATTCTAGATGCAGTGATGCAGTTGAACACGTCGATAGCCAAAAAGGAGCGCCCTCATCGAATCGCGTCTGGAGTGGACACCACCGTGGAATCACAAACGACTAACCCATCACATTCTGTGCATTGAATTTGTTAGTCTACACGAGTCAGAAGAACCTGACCTTGGTCCAACAGCTGCCGATACTTAAGGATATTCGTCTGGGCATCGACGGCAACGTATGGCTCAAAAAGGTCACCCAGTCCGCATCGGAGCAATACCTCGCCGGCATCGGCGGCACACCTTCATGTTTGCGCAGAGCAATTGAGAAGGAACTTGAAGGCTTCAAGTATGTCGACACCCACTGGACGTTCTTCTATGTCGGACTCCCGGGCTGCTGATTCTGCTGTCACTACGTTCATTCGCCCTGGAACTCATCGAGCCTCACCTATGCTTTCTGTTAGGGCCGCCTCGATCCATCCATTGTTTGTATTCTCGGGATTGGCGCTGATTCGCAAGGATAAGCCCTACGTCAATGACGATGCAAGGATTTCAAAAAGGAACACCGCATGGGATGCCGTCAACTCTGGAAAGATGGAACTGGCGCTCTCATCCTGGAGCACGTCCTTTGTTCTTCCTCTGCCTGACCTGATCCATCTCGTCATCAGGATCTTGAAGGAGCACAACATCGACTATATCAGAGCACCTTACGGCGCTGGTGCACAGGTATGTCACAGTCGGCTTTGCTGCGCTGATCGTTGCAGAGGGCGTGGGAACAAGGACTAACGACCCTTTTTTTTTCCTCGTATGCATGACACCTCATAGCTAGTATATCTGGAACGCAACCCTAAGCAGATCATTCACGCGATCTATGCTGGCTCAGAGTTACTCATGTTCGACGTTGACCGCGTGATCACTTCGATCGACTTTACGAAGCAGACCTTCTCCGTCATCTCCAAAAAGGCCTTGCTTACCGACCTGAATCTGTCGGACGACCAGTTCCTGGACCTCTGCATTCTCGCTGGAGTCGATCACTGCCACACCTTCCCACCGCTTGCTACCGAGGGTGGCTTCGCGTACAAGAGCATCCACGAGTTGCAGCAGCGCGGAACTGGATTCAATTTTGTGAAGGCGTATGCAGATTCTCCACAGGTAACATGGGCGGACAGTATACTTTTTAAGCATGGGAAACAATACTGAATCGGAGGGTTTATCTGACGGATTGACAATCTTTTTTTTTTTTTTTTTTTTTTTTTTGTGGCGGTAATAGGTCAAAAACACCTATGTGGATCTGTTCTGCAGGATGCGATGCGCTATGCGACACCACCCAATTTTGACAGATGAGGGCCACGTTGAGCCGATGAACGTGAACCAGGCGCCCTCAGATATCCACGAATTCATCGGATACCGTCTTCCGGATGAAGTCTATTACTACATCTCCCGGGGCGTGGTCTCGGATACGACTCTGAACATTCTTCTCTGTGGATATGGCGCGGAATTCTCGCCCCTGTGCAACGGCGAGACGAAGGAGTACCGCAACTTTTTGACAACGGACATCATGAAGATCAAGGCGCAGATCATGGCATTGACCAAGTCCCATCTGAACCAGTTCTATGATCGAAAGATCTCGATCGTACACTGGTACGATAACAACGTAGCGCCTTTGGAACATGTCATCAAGACGGATACTGCTCCTGTCAGTGTTCAGGATATCTCGAACTGGAAATCGGGAAAGCAATCGATTGAAAAGGAGCTCAAGAAGGCGGAAGTATGTTTTTTTTTTTTTTCTTCCTTATAAGGCGCTAATTTTTACATGTCGATCTCAAGGGTACCCTTTCGTGCGCTAACTGTAGTATCTCTGTTCTAATCGTCCTTTTGCTCCATCCATTAGATCAAAACTCCAAACTACTCCTTCACGCTGGGCTTGGTCACGAACCCATCCGACGCCGCCTCGACAGTGTTGGCCAAGGGCACCGACAAGCCAGCCCCTCTCGCGACCCTCGCAGAAGTCCAGACCCGTCACCTGTCCAAGTTGCTCCAGCTTCGCTCGTTCATCGAATCCTCGCACCAGCCCTCTGCTTACGGTAAGGCCATCGTTGAAGCCTTCAAGGCAGAGACAAAGGCACCGGCAGAGTTCCAGGATGCGTTGTTTATCGCGCTGGAGTTGGTCAGGGCAGAGCTGTTGACGTCCAGACCGTACAGTCACAATTATACGAAGAAGGCTGTGCTGGAGGATGAGGCTGCAACAAAAGCGGTCCGTCTTGTTTCTAGAACTGCCAGCTTAATCAGTGCGCGCTTCAAGGTAAGATAATGAAGAAGGAGAAGGAGAGGGAGAAGAGCCCCCCCCCCCCAGATCATCCATTTGAGGCGGCTGTTTTCGTTTTCTCTACAGCGTTTCTTTTGAATGGGTTGCTTAATGCATGCCTCAACCTGTTTATTGTACACCGACATATAGGGCACCAAGCCGTGGGCTGGTCCGTTGAGCCGTGATCTGCTCGCATTCAACAGCGTGAACAAGGTTTTGACACGCAACCTGCGCCATCTGAGCGAATCCCTGATCCTGGAGATGCTGCTCGCGAACGAATGTCAAAAGGACACACTGGACTATTCCGAACTCGCCACCCAACTCCCCTTCGCGGTCGAGCCCTCCACAGTCCTCGGGATCTTGGTCAAGGAGTATTTGGAGACCTCGGCCCTGAATGCCGGAAACACCAAGGACCAGGTAGTCCAGCAGGTGGAGGAACATATTGGGGCGACCTCGCTGTCGAGTCTCGCGGAGGGCGTGAAGGAAGAGTTGAAGAGGGGGTTCGCATTCTGGGAAACCTTGATCGATGCAGTCAAGTCCTTGGGAGCTGCGGGTGCGGTGAGCAAGGAGTTGGCGCAGGAGTTCCAAGACGCGAACAGTTGGATTCAGACGCGCAAGATTTAGTGATCTTTCATAAAGACAAGAAAGCTAGATCGCTTTTTTTTTTTTTTTTTTTGGACTGTGGTTTATTGTCGCGCAATATCTATGTTTACAAGTGCGGGCGATGGCCGGGAATTCTGAGATGGGTATAAGATGTGCGAATGAACAAGACACGAAGAGAGAGAACACCACTCCCCGTCGCTTAGGCGCCCAAGGACTTATTGCCCTTGGAATCCTTTGTGATCTTCTTCTGCTGCTTCGTAATCTGTAGTACCCGGCGTTGATCTCTCTCGTCCAATTTCCGCTCAAACGCCCGCTTCCACTCGAGCGCATCCAGCTTCTGACCGAGCGCACTACTTTTGTTGCCCTCGGACTCGTCGTCAGCGCCTTCATCGTCATCGACCTTGAAGTTGAGATTGTGCTTGAACCGGAAGTGTTCGACTAGAACCTCGACACCCCTGGTGAAAGAGCACTGTCCAGGGCCGTGATCAAGGTCGTCATTCTCGTCTTCTGAAGTGGTCTCCGAGTCGGATGAGTCTGAGAATGCCTCGTCCGAGGGAAGGCGATGGCGATCTGCGCGCTTGTTGGACCGGTTGATGTTGAAACGCTTCTTGTTATGCTTTTTGCTCTTGCGATCTGATCCCTCGGAGCTCGAAGTGACCGAAAGTCCTGAACCATGCGAGGCTTTCGTGGCGAGTCTTCGTCCCTGGATGCACGAGGCCGTCTTACATTCTGACTTGACCACGTTGCCATGGTCGCTGCCACTGTCGGTGTCATGTTGCTGTCTCCGACGGTGCTCCCGCTTCTGTCGGATCTTCTGCTCTTCGTCCCAGGTACCATTTGCGCCGCCTCGGTTCTTTAGCTTCTTAAAAACGTAGTTCCGAACGTTGCGATCGCGCTGTTTCTGCAGGACCTCGGCGCGACGTTGTCGATGGATGTCGTCTTTGAAGAACTCTGCGTCGGGCGATGAGAAATGGAACAGGTCGACGGAGGTGATGGTCTCGTAGTCTTGAAGATGACTTGGGGGTGAGGTGGAGAGGGAGAGGCCGTGGCGAGGGTGGGAGAAGGAGTGGAGGACGGTCATGTAGGATTGAAGGCGGGCTTGTTGGTGTTTGGATAACTTGATGGTGGAGATGGTGATGGAAGTTGAAGGAGAGTTGTTGGACAGGGCTGTTACTTGTATGATGGATTGTTCTTTGCTGATGAATGAGGAGTGTGGAGAGAAAACGAACGCCTCTGGTGGGTTGCGTATTTATGGCATTCATAACACTCAGCATCCGCCCACTTCCCCCCACCCATGGAACATGTCTATCGCTGTACGAAATCAATGCAATAAATATAGTTCGAACCTTATTTTCCCGCAGCACTGCGGCGGTGTCTGCGGGGTGACGGCCATCCGCAATCGGAATAAGATCCAACGACGACAGATAAAATGAAAAAAAAAAAAAAAAAAAAGTTCTCGCCCTGGACGTTTTAAGCTCCAGACATCATAGCAAACTAGTGTTCCTTTTACAAAAATGAAGACGCTTTAAGAAACCTGATCTTTGTAAATAATAGTGAGATGAACGCGAATCCCGACCTGTTTGATACGCCTTTCGAGGAGCGGTGGTGTCGGGGGTTTTTTTGTCTTGTTCGTTTTCGCGGCGTGGACAAAAAAAAATTGGTGGCAAAACCAAAATCGGTCTGCTGCATAAGTTTAATATGGGCACTCTGGATGTTTCAGGGCCCCAGCTTCCATAGCAGGCATGAGTTGACGCGCCAAAAAACAAGGGCATTTCATTAAAATCAGCCAACCTTACATTGTGCCCTCACCCATTACAGGAACACAAAAGGGGACATTTGTTATTGAGAGAGAGCGTATGTGAGAAATGACGAAAGAAGGCGCGCATGGAATGGCTGAGGACACAAAGCGAGTCTAGGGGGAGGTTGAACTGCAGAGGAACTTCACCAGTCGTTGGGAAGATGGGCGTGCAAGACCATCAACAAAGCAGCAGGGCAGCAAAGGGATACTAATGACACACTGCTGCGAGTGGTCGCTGGCCATGGTCCGTCGTAATCATATCGTTGGTCGCGTATGGGTTTGGTCACTGGGTCATCAAAAAAGGGGTTCACTCCTACAGTGCCTGCCCCTGCCCCTGTGCGGAGTCTTACATCTGTTATATAAGCACCACCGCATCACACACCCTCTGCGCACACACTCTTTCCTTTCATTCTCCCTTTAACTCCTCTCCACCCGCCTTGAACAGTTCCTTCGGTCAAGACGACTCCTACGTTTCCTTTTTTAATGACCTCTGCTTCTCTTTCATGACCATTTCTTACTACCATCCCCATCGATATCACAGCACCGCTCTGTTACTCTATTCTTCTATTCTATCTCTGTAACCTATCCTCATTCTCTTTCGTCCATGGATCCAATTATCACTTCAATGTCCTCTACCATCGATACCCACACCGATATCCATGACCAGCAGGACCATCGCTTGCCTACTGCCACTGCCACATACCACTACAAAAAGATCAACATCCCTCTCGCCTACCCCTCCGAAGCCCTCAGGGAGCAATCCATCGCCCCCAAAGCATACATCTACCCTCCACTCATGTCCCCCTCCGACGAGTTCTTTAGCCCGAAACAAACCACCGCGACCTCTCCTACAACACCACAGCCGATTAATATCCCACAGGGACAAAACCGTACTGAAAGAGGTCTGGGGCGAAGAAACAGTTTGCCGGTGAGATCGAGTGTAGCGACGAAATCAGAATCCCTGCCGACGCTGTCGGAGATCTCTTCCTTGCCCTCACCGCCGTCGTCGCCATGGAAGCGGTCGAATAGTTTCGCGAAGTCAAGACAGAATCGAGCGGCGACCTTGATTGTTGATGAGACTCCGTACCCGGATCTGCCAACGGATGTGAGGTCGTGGACGAGTGGACATGTAGCCGAGTACCTTGGGTATAGTCTGAGGCTGTATCCACGCGCCATTACCGAGGATCTGGGGAGATATGTTCGGCGGGTAAGCTACTTATCTGTTAAAAGTGGAAGGGAAAAAAAGTTAGCGCTTGAGGATATGAGAAGCTGATCAGTGCATTTTGCTTCTCCTATTTTTTTTTTTTTTACCTTGTGTAGACTGCACACTTGACGGGCGCCCAGTTCATTGATCTTCGTGAGGAGGATCTTGGTAAGGTTATCTTTGCTGAGCTTGAAGAGGTGCTTGAAGAAAGGACGATCGTTAACCATTGTTGAAATGGGATGTTTAATAGAGAGGATGCAGATCAATCTGAAGTGGAGGTCGATGATCATGAAGGCTGTGGAGATGCTGCGACGCCAGACACTTCGCGCCAGTCGCGTCGATGAGCTGAACTGGCAGGATGGGTACGACCCCGAGAAGGATGGATCCTTGCCCAGTCCGAGTGTGCATTCCTGTAAGTCAATCCTCGTGTCTTAGATAACCTTAATTTTACTCACAACGTGTCTCTCCACCCCCTATCCCTCCTTACCCGCGTGCATCACTGCAGGGTCATCTTTACTCTCTCCTGACAACAGTCTCCCTCCTGCTCTCTCACACTTTCTCATTCACCTCATCCACTCACAACAGCAGACGAAGATCATCCCTCGTCGGTTCATCACTCTCCATCCGCCACCACCGAGTCGGAAGCCACACACGTCCAAGAACACACCACGACCAGTACAAGTACAAGCATCAGTATGGACAAGCAAGTTGCTTCCCACGAGCACCAGGAGATCGACGTGCAAGAGCTGCGACGTGGGATTGTCGAGGACATCACCAGCGTGCTGCTCTCCTGGAAGAAGGACCAAGAAGCCCTGGCCAAGAAGAAGGTCGAATCTTCTTCCCACACTCTCGGCTTTACCGAGGGTGTGGTCATCGGAGGCCTCATCGTCGCCTTCATGATGAAGTTCTCTCGATAGTAGTCCTCTTTCTTTCCACGCACATGCAGTATATGTAAATATTTTTATTTAGTCTTCATCAAGATTATTGTAGAGAGAGAAGAGAAGCGTCGTGTTTAATACACATAAAGTCCCAGCCTTGTATGTTCCTACAAAAGTCGCTTTCCTCCGGGGTAAAGAGCATAGATGTTTTCCTTGCCATCCTCCTCGATAATCTCAAGTGCAGCCAAATGTCCACCTATATCGCATGAAATGAGAAATACATCGGTTTCATCTTTAGTTTGCATAGAGCGGAGGAAAAAAGCCATTGCCATCATTGACAAAGTTTGAAAGCGACAAACGACATACCATAGTACTTGCTGATGCCGACGTCGATGACCATGTAGCCTCCATTGCAAATCGACAAGATCTTTCCGGTCCGGTACTGAGGCGTATGACCAGAAATAAGGCGATTCACCTAGAGAATGATAACAAGAGAGGCAGTGTAAAAGGTCAAACCATAGAGTTTATATCAACACAATAGGCTGACAATGAAGCGAGGCATTACCCCGAGCGCCTTCTTGACTTCCTCGACTCTCTTACAAGTCGCTTCAATCCCACCCTCCTCTGTGGCGTACGATCGACTCCAAATGGGACCTATATTGGTACCAAAAACGCAGCCATTAGAATAATCGTCGCCTCCTCAATCGCTCATGTCCTTCAAGCAATTGGGTCCTTGATATATACCCGTTCCCTGAAAAACCGGTGCCCGATAGTTCGATTTCCAAATAGCTTCCCTCGTCAGGTCATTCAAAGTCTCAACACCGAGACGCGCCCATTCAGGCTCCATATCGCCGTGACTGAACACCGTGTGCCCGTTATGAACATAGGTGATATTGAAGTTGCTGTAGATCATCTTTCCGAGCCAGCCAGTCTTGACATCCCAGGCTTCCTTTCGCTTCTGTCGTCCGCCAAAGGAGGCATAATCCTCTTCAGTGACGTAGCGCAGATCCTGACCCAAGTTCATCACCTCGTGGTTTCCGTACACGTTGACGACCTATTTGTGTTGTTGTCGTCGTTGTAATGGAAGAAGAAAAATCAAAATCAATCAACTTGAAATGGATGGGATGACAAACAGGACAAGAGCAAGTGATCAAGACACACTATTACCTTTCCGCCAGCTTCACGGGCTTGCTTGCGTAGCTTGTCAAAGAGATTATAGACTGCAATGGTGTCGGGGCCACGATCGACGATATCACCCTGGTTGAGAAATCGATTCACGTCCGATCGTCGTTCGTTCATGATTGAATAATTATTCGGACATAGATTTGTCGAATAGAAACAATGGAGGAAGTGTGGGAAAGTTTCAATTGAGCGACGTTGCTCCATCCCAGGTATTATTATTTTTTTTTCCGCTGAAGTACGTACAGTTTGCACCAGAGTGTCTTGTCCACCGGACCAATTGCCGTAGTCGTCGATGACCTTGGCCAGCTGTAGCACTGCAAGTGTTTGGGGCAGATCACTGTGCAGATCTCCGACGGCCACTGTGCGCCTGGTTGTCTTTGTGAAGGGATGCTGGTTGCCGTTGGTTTTGGCGTTGGGAGTCGTGGACGTAGCCGAGTTGGTGGTGGTGGTGGTGGTGGGCTGTCTCCAGTAGAGGACCAGTAGGCACAGGAGTGCCAGGAAGAACGTGGGCCGTAACATGTATGGCGCGTGCTATGAGGGACACGAGACACGGAACACAAGGAAAAGAAAGAAACAAGGGCTCAGTCGGATGCGTGCACAGAAGGGAGTATATATATATACATATATACAAAGAAGAAAGAGAAAAGAGAAGGAGATGGAGTGGTGGTGATGGTGATGGTGGAGTGGTGGCGATGGATGGAAGGAGGATTGAAGAAAGAGGCTGAGGAGCGGGATGGGGGAAAGGAACTGCACGGGAAGGGGAGGGAAAGAGAAGGAGGGGGAGGAGGGACAAACACAGCAGCAGCAGAGGAAGAAGAACACTTCAGGGGGGGAAGAGGGAAGAGGAACGAATCAGACCGAGGCAGAGCACGTTGTTCGGATATAAAGCCAACCTGTTATCCCATCTCTTTCTTTTTTTTTGCCCTTCCTCATCGACTCCACCCTCATCACCTTTCCTTCATCACCCAGCCAAGCACACAGTCAACAATCCCCAACACTTACCCTCCTTCCCTTCTAGCCGCTCACTATCGCTCAACATGTCCTGGTTGCACTCCAAGAGTAAGTCCGTTTCCTCGGGATCTCGCCTTTATCTCTTTCAAAAGAATGCCATGCAATGACCATCGTTAACATTCCCACCCTTCACTCCCTATCCCTCCGCCCTTCGTAGAACACAAGGAAAAGGAACGCGAAAAGGAAAGGGAAAAGGAGGCCGCTGCCCTGTCCGCAAACTTCAGCTCCTCGCTCCAGATCAAGTCCCCATCTCCGCCAACGAATCCTGGAAACGGTCTGGCTCAGGCACAACCCTCAAACACCAACATCTCGGGTCAAAACTTCAGCAGTAATAACAACATCAGCAACAGCAATAACAACAACAGTGGTGCACCCCCAGGAACAAAGAGCGGGCTGCTTATCATCCGCGTCGTCGAGGCCAGAGGACTAACTCTTCCTCCCGGATCCAGCAACCTTCCATTCGTGCCAAAAGATCAGCAGGAACAACAACAGGCAATCACCAATAACCGCGAATCTCTCCAACGCAAATGGTGGTTGCCCTATGCCGTCCTGGAGTTTGACAAGAATGAGGTTCTGATCGACGCTCTCGGTGGCGAAGTGTCCAACCCACTCTGGCAATACAGAGCTCACTTGTAAGTCGCTACGAGTCCATTATCGTGCCATGTCATCGCTATCCTAGTGAGGTTTTTCGTTGAGCGTGGTGTGCGTAGGAGGGCATGCCCACTCTGGACCTATTATTACCCCCAGTTCAGGAGCAGTCTGCTGACCGTCGCACTTGATAGCCGACAGAATCATCAGCGATATGCACTTTTCTTGTTTGGGCACAGCAATTCCAAATATTCAGGAACAGGAAACAAACAGGAACGCATGGAAGCTATATGAATTACAACCTACCAAACATATTGGCTCCAACTATACGTCAAAGGGGATTTCATTTCATTTCATTTTTCATTTTTCATTTCCCAATCTCAACTTTGTTTTGGGTATCTAAAATGCGAAGAAAAGATGTGGAGAGCGTATCCGGCATGGGTCTTTTAACCAATATGAGAGCATGGTCCAATCTCCACCAGTGTTGTTCAATACTAAAAATGCCTCGCGCTTGAGACAGATGGCTCTCTCACGCTTGGCAGACTTATTCCTGGTTCGGCTTCCGGTCCAATATATGCCCGCCACAGATGTATTGTGTCTTGATCAGGACACTGGACATGACATGGATCATTTTCACAGGATCGCTCTTTTTCCCACCTCACACAACATATTGCGCTCGATTAATATGACAATTATCGATGAGCATACACGAAGAGCATATGGATCCATGTTCTATTTTGATAACCACGTCATGCTAACGCTTGCACCCCTATGCTCTTCTCTCAACCACTATAGCGACGTCTCAAGAGAGTCGGATGTTCAACTTTCGCTCTATATTCGCATCCCTGATCCCAAAGCATCTGCATCCGCAGACTCGAAGTCTGGCGACCTCAAGGAGGGCGATACGTCGAGTCAGGATGTGTTTTTGGGCAATGTCAAACTGGAGCCCCGCTGGGAGGAGCAGATGCAGGATGATTGGTTTCCTCTTCAGGGCGGCACTGGAAAAGTTCGAGTCCAGTTGGCATATAAGCGCGGCAACGTAAGACGTCGGCAGATCAGGCACTCTAAGAGTGTGCGTATGCCTTTTTTTCTGGCAGCTCAACCAAATTGATACACCAACATAACTAACATGAATCACATTTGGGATAATAGGCCAACACACCCTTGACCATTGATGCTTTCGATTTGCTCAAGGTGATCGGCAAGGGCAGTTTCGGCAAGGTATGATATTTTCCAACGCTCAAACTTACACATATCAAGTTATCGAGCCTTGTAACTGACTCTAGGTCCTTTTTATTATGTCCAATAGGTTATGCAAGTTCGGAAGCGCGATACCTCCCGAATCTACGCCATGAAGATCCTGCGTAAGGCTCATATTATCTCACGCAGTGAAGTCAACCACACCCTTGCCGAGCGCACTGTCCTTGCGCAGATCAACAATCCGTTCATCGTCCCACTCAAATTCTCATTCCAATCGCCTGAAAAGCTGTATCTCGTCCTTGCCTTTGTCAATGGAGGCGAGCTGTTCCACCACCTGCAACGCGAAGGCCGCTTTAGCGAGGAACGGTCCCGGTTTTATGCTGCAGAACTGCTCTGCGCACTAGAGTGTCTGCATGGATTCAATGTTGTCTACAGAGATCTCAAGCCCGAAAACATCTTGTTGGATTACACCGGTCATATTGCGCTCTGTGATTTTGGACTCTGTAAGCTGGGCATGACCGAGACCGAGACGACAAACACATTCTGTGGCACACCCGAGTATCTTGCACCCGAACTACTCCTTGGCCAGGGATACACAAAGACGGTGGACTGGTGGACGCTCGGAGTTTTGCTGTATGAGATGCTGACGGGTCTGCCACCGTTCTATGACGAGAACATTCATGAGATGTACAGGAAGATCTTGCAGGACGAGCTTCGGTTCCCGGATGAGGTCTCGCCCGATGCTAGGTCGCTGCTGACAGCGCTTCTAACGCGTGATCCGAACCAGCGATTGGGCAACAATGGATCGAGCGCAATCAAGCAGCATTCATTCTTCAAGCCGATTTCGTTCCCGCATCTAATGGCCAAGAGAATCCACCCCCCATTCAAGCCTTCGGTCTCGTCAGCAACAGATACGTCGAATTTTGACGAGGAGTTCACGAGTGAAGAGCCACTGGATTCTGTGGTCGAATCGTCCTTCCTGAGTGAGACTGTACAGCTCCAATTCAAGGGCTTTACATATAACCCTGCACAGGATGGTGTCTTAGGCGCTAGTATGGTAAACCCTGGTCTGGGTGCTTCTGGAGGCCATGGATCGAATGGAATGTCTTCGAATCGAGGCAACGGTGCAGCAGGACACCGGGAATACTAGACCTGAACTGAACTGCTGAACTGGACGCATTTTTTTCTTTCTTTTCCAACACGGCATAAATAAAAAAAAATTAGAACAACGACAATAACGTCCGCATTTGTCTAGCTGCACTTTTACAATGGATATGCCATAGCAAAAATCCATGGGCCTCGTTTTTGCCACCAATTTCTTTCAGCTTCTGTGTGACTGCTATAATGTTCATCCTTCGTCTCTGCCGCAATGGCTCTGGAGCTGAGAGCACCTCGCCAGCGACCACAGATAAGTACTCTCTTTCGAAACGAGCGCCTGCGGACTAAGAAGAGACTCAACCCTGTTTTTTTTTCTTTTCCTCCGCGTGTGCATGCCTCCGCTAACCATTCACGTAACATCCATATCAACATCGCATGACATTTTTGCAGGGAGTGTTGGTGACTGATGAGGCCTTGCAATCGCACCATTTTACTGTGTCTTAGCCGAGACTCTGGGAGTGTATCGTATCGACTAACGACCGAGAGCTATGCGGTCGAACATGGTCGACTGTATCCAGCCGCGGCCTGAGGAGAGGATGCGCTCATTCTCGCGTATATACCACACACGAACGCACTGAGTCCTCGGCAGAACGTCGCAAATCAATATATTTTCTCAGTTCAAGGAATGAGATACCGTTTTGACGTTCCTTCACCAGCATCAAGGCCTTTCCGCGGAGTGCTTGGCAACACATATGAGTGAAGTACAGTCTAGGCCTGTGCCTGGCTTGTTCTGGCATGCAACACATTGCGATATTCCTGAGGCCCATGTGCGTCTTTGGCTGGGCTCAGCTCTAAAAAAAATCGATCCTCGCCCCCGTCTTTGCCTTCGCACTATGTAAGGGTTCTCTTTTCCATGACGACCAGCTTCCTTGACGTACTGTAGTCTATGGCGAAGCAATACTTTGGAGGCGCTAAAGCTATATATTAGAACGGGTTTCCGGAGCGGAGGGAATAGGAATGGAGTAGGGATTGGTCCTACAATACCGTGGCGATTCACACAATTTCCAGATCAGGTTACACAACAGGTCGAAGGATCAATTTCTTGCTCTCTCGGGACGACCCATTGTACCGTACACGAGAGCGAGGGGACGAAGTGGCTACGAAGCATGGGCATATTTAGCTAATACAATAACGACGAGCTGCTCGATTTCTGCGTCTTCGTACTCGTCCTGTCCTCTCTTTCACTTTGCCTTCTTCCCAGCTACATCCTCCGCTCAATCCATTGGGATCCCTCTGAGCCGTCTATTATCCTCCCCGTCGTCCCTCTCCTTTCTCCGTACTTCCCTATACCTCAAAAAGCGCTGGTCGGCGGCGACTCATTAGCGACAGTGCAGTCCGGTTGGCAGCAAAAGCCGACCCTGTCTGTGATCATATAGGCGGACTAAGAACGCAGGGGCCACACTGGGGTAGGACCAGTGCCTGTGAAGCTGAGGGGAACAACGATGCATGTGCAATGGATATTAACCCATAGTGTATAATGATAAGCACCATTGCTAGGAAACACGAGGCGAAACGAACCCGGACCATTCCAGGTCCGCTCGAAGGAACCTAGAAGTAAGAGTAATCCTTATTAGCAAGAAAAAGTAAGAGTTTCCATGTCAAGGTGAGAGGCCATTTCTCTTTTTTTTTCTTTTGTCTGTGGATAATGAAATATACATGTGCAGCGGCTAACAATCCATCTTGTTTAACGATAGCTGTCTCTGCTTGCAAACACAAAGAGACCAGAAGCAGCGAACTTGGACAGGAAGAGCGACCTTACTCGTTCTCACAACCGGTCAGAGGGAAACGAACCTGCTATCTCGACCTCAACTACCTACACGCCTGCAGTTTCCTAGGTACTGCATCCTATTGCGTCTCATTGTCTCCTGTTGCATGAGGATCCTGCTCGGTAAGTGTAGGTGCGTCCACGAGCAGCCAGCGTACGCCTACTGCTCGACAACAGAGCCACTAATCTCACCCACATCTGTTCTGCAATGATAGAAAACTCGTAGACCAACATGCTCACCAGCGCGTTCTCGTCATCACGGAGTACTCTCTCGCCACAAAAGGCGCTGGACCTCGCCAACATTTACTTGGGGAACGCGCAAAAGGCAGCCGATCCTGATCTTACCTTGATCTTGTGCGCCGATGCGGGCGCTGCGTTATCTTGGATGAAGCGAGCGGACAGAAGGGCTCTCATTCCTCCTATGAGTGTCGAGGATCAGACCCTGTGCAATGGAATCAGCACTGTTTATTCCGACCAAGGCAAGCTGCTGGGCAGCCTGGGGTATCGTGACAAGGCGCAAGCCAGCTTCAGAAAGGCAGAAAAGTGGCGGTATCTCCAGGACCCCGACGGGAACCCTGTCCCCTCCCGACCCGGCAAGACGCTCATCCCCATCCTCTGTGCACCCAAGCTCCGTAGTACATCACCAGCCACCCCCGACCCATCCTACCCAGAGACTAAGGCCAAATCGAGCCGCAGCGATATCGCACAGGTTCCTCCAGGGATCTTTTCTGAGAACGCGCCAAGACCTGTGATCAAACATGATTTACCGGGAACGGATGGCCGCATCGCCAGTACTCCTCAGCTCGCCTACTGCCTTGAATTGCTGTCCAAGGCCACATCGTCGACACCATGTGTTACAAAATCCGATGAAGCGCTTGATAGAGTTCAGTGCGACTGGATACAAGCCAGAAGCGAGGATGCAGACGAGAAAGATCGGCTGCGCTCGCTGGTGACAGGACTGATTGCGGCATTCATCGATGACGACCTCAAGAATGCCGCCACGGTTGCAGAAGTGGTGTATCTAGTGCCAGTGCTCGATGAAGTGCGCTACCGAAAGCTGCTCAGCAACTTTATCGATGGTATTGGACAAGCTACCTTGCTGGACTTCAATTTGCTCGAGGGCCTGGCGCAACTGATACAGAGCGCTTCCCCAGGCTACCTCCCTGCCGATGATCTAGTCAAGATCCTGGGGGTTCTCAGCACGCGCCTACAGGACACTCATTCGCAATCGTCCGAGCATCGCTATCAGCTGGCACTGGCAGTCTCCCGCGTGCTGGACGCGATGGCAGACAGTGACGTCAAGGGCTTGAACCGCGAGCAGCTGCATGCGCCGCTGTCAGCCTATCTAGAAGGGATGAAGGACAGCTCCGACCCCTATTTAGTGTATCAAGCCGCCTATGCCTACCAGGTCTTGCAGTACGTCCCGGATGATGAGACGCCCCTGCAGGCGGTGATGCGACGTACACGAGTTGTGGTGAATGGCATTTCAGGGCTAGTGAGTGCGGTCAAGGGCCTGGATGTGAGTGGCTTTATCGACGGACTGGGAAATCTTCAGGAAGGACTGGGGGAGGTGTACCAGGTCGCCGTACTCGGGTACGAAGGCGTGAGCTCGCTGGTCGAGAGCGGACAGGGATTTCTGGACAGTCTCAAGGAGGGCCTCAGCTTCAGTCGGAAGCGCGCATGGTACCCAGCATTGCGTGGCGCAGACGCTTTGCTCCGAGACGGTCGACTCGCCGAGTTCAAGAGCCTGATATGTGAGGCTCCCTGCCGACGCGACCCCGCGTTCGAATGGGGTTTATGCCAGAGGCTTGGAGAGATTGCTGCCGATCCGCTCTGGGAAGTCAGCACCCACCGAGGCGCCGTCAATTTCCTAGGCGAGCTGTACAGGAACGACCTGGACTGGGGCCAGCAAGCCAACGTCAAGCAATGGATTCTCACGATCCTCATCCAGTTAGGCGATATACCAGACAGCCCGATAAAGGGCCACGCACGCACCCTGCTACAGGAGCTGGAAAAGAATGGCGATCCACAGAAACAGGCTCTGTATCATACTTGCATCAATGGACCTCCAAACCAATATCCGCTAAAGGTCGGCTTACCGCCGCTGGCGTCTCCATCACTGCTCGATCGTGTCCAGGATATCCCAGACGTCGAGGACGACCTGCGCAGGCTGAAGGAGCGGCGACTAGCGGAACGGGGCAAGGTCGTCTACATCCCTCCTCGAGCCAAGGCCAGCCTACAAGCGTCCGACGATGTGCTGTTCCCGCTGATGGAGAATGTGAAGGAGTTCCTGAGCAGTGATCGCAGGGTGCTCTTGCTGCTGGGTGATTCCGGTGCGGGCAAGTCGACCTTCAATCGGGAACTCGAGTGCGAGTTGTGGAGCAGCTGCGGGAAACAGAAAGGCCGGATCCCGCTCCATATCAGTTTGCCTGCAATCGACAGGCCGCAGCAGGATCTGATCGCCAAGCACTTGCGCAGGAACGACTTTATAGAACCCCAGATCCGAGAGACCAAGCAGCACCGTGAGCTGATCCTGATCTGCGATGGATACGACGAGAGCCTGCAGACTCACAACCTGTATGCAAGCAACCAGCTGAATGAGCCAGGGGAGTGGCGCGCCAAGATGCTGATCAGCTGCCGTAGCGAGTTCATTGGCCAGGACGACAGAGACCGCTTTCAGCCGACCGACCGAAACCATAGCGCCGCATCGAGCCTCTTCCAGGAGGCAGTCATTGTCCCGTTCTCATCATTCCAGGTCGAAGACTACATCAGGTAGTATGTACGCCAGAACAGGCCGCTGTGGCGGACCAAGCAATACCTGGAGGCGCTTGAGCAGGTTCCCAACCTGCAGGACCTGGTGAGGAACCCGTTTCTTCTGACGCTATCTTTGGAGGTGCTGCCGCGAGTTGTGGATGCAGGACAGATGCAAGATCTCTCCAGGACCAGAGTTACGCGCGTTGCGCTGTATGACCAGTTCGTGGAACAGTGGCTGGAGCGCGGCAAGAAATGTGTGGGGGGAAACGAGCTGAGCCCGCAAGCGAAGGCGGCCTTTGACACTCTGGTGGACGACGGCTTTACGCTGAACGGCACTGATTTTCTGAAAAGACTGGCGGCTGCCATCTATAGGGAGCAGGCAGGTCAGCCAGTCGTCGAGTACTCGCGCTCCAAAGACGAAGAGACATGGAAAACAAAGTTCTTCAGCCGAGAAGACGAGGTCCAGCTTCTACGCGAGGCCTGTCCTTTGAGCCGCAGTGGCCGTCAGTACCGGTTCATCCATCGGTCGCTGTTGGAGTACTGCTTTGCGCTCGCAGTGTTTGATCCGCAAGAAAACAAGGCTCCGCGTCCGACTTCTGCTCAGGCCCGTCGAGGGAGTGTCAGCTCCATGTTCAGCTTCGAATGGCGAGCGGCGTCAGAAGAAAAGTCTACTACGACCCAGCAACCTGCTGTCAACCACCCTCTGACATGGAGGAGCTTCGTGGGCGAGCCGTCAGTTCTGCAGTTCCTAGCGGAGCGAGCCCAACAGGAGCCCATTTTCAAGCAACAGCTGCTCGCGATGATTGAGCGGTCGAAAACCGACGAGGAGAGGCGCAATGCAGCAGCTAATGCGATCACGATACTGGTCAGGGCCGGGATACGGTTCAACGGCGCAGATCTTAAAGGCATCCGGATTCCAGGAGCTGATCTGAGCGGCGGAGAGTTCGATTCTGCACAGCTGCAAGAGGCGGATCTGAGAAAAGTCAATCTTCGCGACATTTGGCTGCGTCAGGCCGATTTAAACAATGCACGGATGGCAGGCGTACAGTTTGGCGAATGGCCGTACTTCATGGAGGATGGCGGGGTGTCTTCCTGCGCATTTTCACCGGATGGGAGGGCCTGCGCCGTAGGTGTTGCAGACAGCACGATCAGCGTATATGACACCACGACTTGGTCAAAAACCCTCACGTTAGGAGGCCATACCGATTATGTTACGAGCGTGGTGTACTCACCAAGTGGCAAGCAGATTGCATCGGGCAGTGATGACAAGACGGTGCGACTGTGGGACGTGCACACCGATAGACCTGGTGTTATTCTAAGCGGCCATGACGACGTTGTTATGGCTGTTGCGTTTTCGCCATGCGGTCATCAGATTGCTTCGGGCAGCGAGGACAAGACGGTGCGGTTATGGAACGCGCAAACCCGCGCACCCGTTACTACCTTAAGCGGCCATGCCGGTGTCGTTAGGAGCGTTGCATATTCGCCAAGCGGCCAGCAAATTGCTTCAGGCAGTGAAGATATGACGGTGCAATTATGGGACGTGAAAACTGGTTCACCCGTTGCCATTTTAAGTGACCATACCGCTCGAGTTATGAGCGTGGTATACTCGCCAAGCGGCCATCAAATTGCCTCAGGCAGTGAGGATATGACGGTGCTATTGTGGGACGTGCAAGCCGGCACATCCGTAGCCACTTTACGAGGCCATGCCGCCTGTGTCGAGGCCGTTGTGTATTCGCCAAGCGGCAAGCAAATAGCTTCCTGCAGTTATGACAGGACGGTGCGACTGTGGGATGCACAATCCGGCGCCCTTGGCGCCGTTCTACCGTTCTAAGCGGCCATACCAACCGGGTTACGAGCTTGGTATATTCACCAACCGGCCAGCAGATCGCCTCGGGCAGCGTTGACAAAACGGTGCGATTGTGGGACGTACAAACCAGCGCAATCGATACCATCAAAGACGGGCATACTGCCTGTGTCGAGAGCGTTGTGTATTCGCCAAGCGGCAAGCAAATAGCCTCCTGCAGCTATGACAAGACGGTGCGGCTGTGGGACGCGCAGACCGGTGCACTCGATGCCATCTTAAGCGGCCATACCGACCTTGTTACAAGGATCATGTACTCACCAAGCGGCCAGCAGGTCGCCTTGGGCAGCGGTGATAATACCGTGCGACTGTGGGGCGCGCAGACCGGTGCACTCGATGCCATCCTAAGCGGTCATAGTGATGCAGTCACAAGCGTGGTGTTCTCGCCAAACAGCCAGTAGGTCACCTCGGGCAGCGAGGACAACAGCGTGCGGCTGTGGGTTGCACAAACCGGCGCATCCGGCCCCATCTTAACAGGTCATACAGACCGAGTTACAAGTGTGGTGTACTCGCCAACTGGCCAGCAGATCGCCTCCAGAAGTTATGATGAGACGGTGCGGCTATGGGGCACGCAAACTGGTGCGCCCGGTCCCATCTTGAGCGGCCATACCTCTTGGATAACGACCGTGGTGTATTCGCCAAGCGGCCAACAGATTGCTTCGGGTAGCGATGACGGAACGGTACGACTGTGGGACGCACAGACCGGTGCGCTCGATGCCATCCTAAGCGGCCATACCAGCTATATTAGAGGTGTGATGTATTCACCAGACGGTCAGCAGATCGTCTCGGGCAGTTGGGATGAAACGGTGCGGTTGTGGAATGTGCAAACTGGTGCGCCCGGTCACATCTTAAGCGGTCATACCGGGGTGCTTAGGAGTGTGATATTTTCACCATGCGGCCAATGGGTCGCCTCGGGTAGTAATGATGAGACCGTGCGGTTGTGGGATGTGCACTCGGGTCAGTGTTTGGTGGTCGTTGAGGATTTTCATGGATATATCACAGGCATCGTATGGAACACGACTCCCGAGGGCACTTATTTCACAACCGGCTATGCCGATAAGTCTGTTCGCGTGTGGAAGGCGGTGGAAGAAGACGGCTGCTGTCGCGTGTGTCTGCATTGGAGCTCGACCCATGGCGGACTTTTCATGTCATATGCCACTATCCAAGACGCGCAAGGCCTAGGCAGGATAAATATACAGTTGCTGAACCAGCGCGGCGCTGTGGGCGAGCCAGTTCCGCCATTGAGCTTCTGCGGAGCTAGTGAGAAGCTGATCAGCATGGCATCTGTGGTATCTCAGCTCGGAATACCGTCAAACCAAAGCATGTCGAGTACCTCCCCTACAGCCAATCCCCTCGGTAATGAGCCAGCAAAATCGCTGGCATTGGGGGACATTTTTCAGCTTGCCAGATAGGTGAATGTGGTGCGAGTAGAAAATCAGCAGCAGGGCCCTGACTCGTACTCCCTGCCAGTCTTTTACTGGCCCACGAATGCGCTTCCTGGAGAAACATGTATACAGGTCTCTATCAATAATACTGCGCATAATAAATTAGAGTCATGAGCGACTATGGCTCTGTAAATGTAGACTAGGACCTGCGCACTGCTTTATTCTCCACTCGCAGGAGAGTATATCTCTGCCTATGCATTCTGGTTCTAAGCAACTTTCATGGACAGTGCTGTTTCGGCCTCTTTATCACTCTGGCAAAGGTCATCATCAGTGCCACAGGGCCAACACCAGATGCACGCTTGCTTGCAGCATAAGCCGTGGTGCACACACCTTCCACACCATCAACATTCGTAACACGCCTCTCTCATCCGTCCTTAGTTCGCTCGTTCATCATGGCGCGCCGTACCAAAGCAGAGATCGACGCCGAGAAGAAAGAAGTCGCCCGTCGTTATATACAGCCCATACAATAAAATTCAGAGCAGAAGCTCACTCCCGAGTTAACCAAAGCCTTTATTGCTGGCCTCTATTTTGGTGGCCCCCACACCTTCAAGTCCCTTGCAGAGGAAACCGACATTCCCATTTTCACCATCAAGGATATTTGTACGAATTTCAAGAATCGAGATGATGTCAGAACTAAGAAACGTCTGGACGGCCTCGTAATGATACTGGCACGTTTTTTGCATTCCGTGTTCTGCGTTCTGCATCTGCATTTCCATTTTGCTAAATAAAAAACCCCTCTCCATGCTATCGCTTTTATAACCCCAGCGGCTGTAGAAAAAGGGCTTTATGGAAGCTTTGCGATAGTATAACAAAAGATAAGTTTCTCTCCCCGCTCCTCACGACTGCAGATCAGAGCACAACCATTTCTTACCCAATAGACGCCATCATAAGCAGGAAGCCGTTATGGGCTGCACTTCCAAAGAAATAAGAAAGAGTACCAATTAAGATGATTTTGTGGAATGAACGTGGCGAACGACAGTTCTAAAGGCTAACTTCCTGGGCTGCACAAGGAGAGGAAGGACTCATGAGCCAGTGGGTCTTGATCAAGAACAGAGAGATCCAATCGATTCACAGGTGCAATGCGGTGAAATAGTAGTCGCCCTGCATGCGCTGAATGAAGACTTAGGATGCCTGTTTAGACTTACTCAGTCATCGTCCCCCTCACCTCCTCTAGCCTGAATCCACGCGTGAACATTTAGAAGATACTCAAGACTTGGAGGCGCGGAAGAAGCGTACCAAGGACTGTTTGAACGAGAGATACGGCCCTCTGTTTTTTCCTAGCAATGATAAGGGCCAAAAAAGGATTGTCTTGCACAAGCACCAATAAACTATACATCTACCAATGGAGAAATAGGACGGCGCTCTTTATATTCCGATATGCAACAATGGCAACTGTTCGAGGAGCGACCATACTCTCTAAAACCGCGTCTTGTTCCTGATTTTGAACTTTTTCTGTGCTTTTGACTTTCTCACGTAAAACAATCACCATCCCTTATTAAGATAGACCTGGCGTTCTTGACACGCGCTGCCAAAAAAAGAGAACAGACGCGCTCCTAAACCAAAGCTGGAAGAAGACCCTAAGTGTGCGATGTTCAACATTCTTGTCTTAAAAGAAAAAAAAAAAAGGTTCTCGTCCGCCATAAAACTATCATCTACGCCGTCCTCTCCTCTACCAGGATAGGCTATTTTTTTTTTTTTTTTTGATAACTAGAAGCCACGAGGATATGTGGGATTTACTAGTGAGGGGCTCTAGACTAGGAAACCCTATTGCTAGGGCCATAGAAAAGGGTGCTCAATAATCTAATAAGCGGCTTTTGCCGCACCGCTGCTGGTCACTCGCAGCTCCAATCCCCTTCACAATCCCCATCAACATGAGTGGTAACTCAACTCCGCCTGTGGTCGGTGATTGAGCCCTGCTCCCTACTTGGCCTGTTGTGCGCGAAGGTCATCTTTTAGCCGCGTTCCTCAATCATTAAAAACCTACAGTTGCCGGTGCGTTCCATCACGTTGAGCTCCACCTGCTGCATGCAGCTTTGCAGCACTCGCTTATCCGCTCGTTCCTTGATCTCTTTCACATTTATTGCGCATCGTTGTCTCCTGGTGGATCCAACGAAATCACTGCTACTACATCTGTGCTCTCCATCACAGTTGCGTCCCCGAGCGCGTTTGCTCATGGTAGTGATCCCATTTTCTCTTTCCCAGTCGACGGTGACTTTGCATCTCCTGTTTCAGATTTCTGTCCGACCGAACTCCTCGATGGCCTTGACAAATCGGCCGACCATGTACCTCGTGATCGAGGTGGTCGTCTTGAGAAGGCTCTCCCAGTCCTTGGTGAGAGTCGTTGGTGTCAGTCCGTGATATAAATCTTGGACCGCCCAGGTCGCTTGATCGTCGTCCCTTGTCTCGTCCTCCACATGGTCGAGTGTGTTGCTTGCTTGCCGGATCGCCGCAGCTCCCTTGATCGCCGGGCCAAAAAAAAAAAATTATAACAACTTGTCTCTCGAGTCAATTGACTCTGCGAATCTGTCAGACTAACTAGCAAAGATCTACTATCGCTGTCCTCACCACCAAAGCGGAACTGATCCACAGTCGCCAAAAGACAGGTCACATTCCCCGGGCCTGCCCCTAGGGCCTGCGCAACAATTGCCACACCTCATCAGTGTGTTAAAAGCTGAAAACACCTTGTTATAAGAAGGGTATCTTCCCCATCCCCTCCATGGTTGTCAACCGCCTCCTCCCTTGCAGGCAATCCAGCAGCGTCCGATCCGCTGCGTCTGGGTCAAGCACGGGGCCAGGGCAGCTCCCGTTTACATGGTCAGCGAGTAATGTACCACACGGACATTGGTCATCGTCGCTAATGTCTCCATACCCATCACTCCAGTCCCCTCTCGGTCCCTTGTATGGAGTTCGTTTCATCTTGGCTGTGATCCCCCATTCTCGCTCTCGAGCAATGGTGGCCTTGCAGCGTGGTTTCCAGATCAGCTCCGTAGCTTTCTCCTCAATAAAGCCGACGAACTTGTGAATGACCTGGCGCGCAATCGACGATGGCGAGGTAAATAGACTGCCCCACTCCTTGATAAGGCTGACGGGTGTGATGCCACGGCATAAATCGCTGATGCTCCAGGTCAGATACGGAGAGCGGTCATAATACTCGTCGCCTTTGAGCATTGATCGGGTCCCGGCGATACAGGATAGACCTCGGATGTGGGTCTCGTTGTTAGGACAAACCCATCGAATGGGTTTCGGTGCAGCAGCGGTGGCTCCAGCGCGGATCCTATCACGCTCTTGCTGCTTCTTGCTGTTCTTGTTGTATTCGGTCGTTGCAGCTCGTCCCCACTTATCAATCTGCTGCAGCCCTTCGCGCCAGATCTCCTTGTGGACATCTCTAGTAGCACTGTACGTCCACAGGTGATGGTTGTCCTCGTCCTGAACATCGCAGACGCAGCAGACACGGTCAGGATATAGACTCGGGTGGCGAGCCTTCATGGTATTCAGGGTAGGCAGCATACCATGCAGCTTCTTAATATGATGTGTCCTCTGGGACGTATCAGCAGCACTGCTGAAGAACGTGTGCACAGAGCGCTTGTCGTGGACATGGGCAAGGGTGGACCGCCACTCCACGTCGGCAAGATCTGGTATCGCTCTCTTGACACGACGTTGGGTTGTCCAGGCCTGATGACGCCTGATTGTCGTCTGCTGCTTGAGTAGCTGCCGCAGATCATGTTCCACAAGGTGGTCGTGGCAATGTGCAAAAAAGCGGATGTCTTGCTGCTCGCTTAAATCAACCGACCAGGGCATTGACTCGACTCGGACGGCGGCTGTCGCCACAGTGTCTGCAATATTGTTGCCAGTGTTGGTGCTGTGCCCACGGACCCACCTCACCTCCACCGACCCAGACCGATCCTGGACAATCTTGTGTAGTGCTGCCCAGTGTCCGGAGTACGTACTACGGAACCGCTTACGAGGTAACGTGTCCGCACGGGAACGCACAAGCTGCTGGTATTGTTGCACGACCGCTTGGTTGTCGAGCTCCACAATAATGTTTTGGTCTGGTGGTGCAGATAGGATGGCAGCTAGGAGACCCATGAGTTCTGCTTTTGCTGAAGAAGCGTACCCGTCTGTGCGGCCCTGCACACACCTGACCACGGGCTGCGATCGAAAAAAAAAAAAAAAAAAAAAAAAAAAAAGCACAGCAAAAAAATATACCTACAATCACGTGACCTCTGAAAACAAAAATATAATGGTTATTTTTTCAATCTAAATTTATCTGGTAGGATGGCCGAGTTGGTCTAAGGCGCCGCACTCAAGTTGCGGTCTCGAGAGAGGCGTGGGTTCAAATCCCACTTCTACCACGATTCCTTTTGCTACCAATCTGAAGGTAGCTTTTTTGTTGGACAAGCGAGTCGCACGATGCAAAGGTGGGAAGATGTGTCGATAGAGGCGAAAGGAGCACGACTCGCTTCATTACAAACTTTTTGGAACGCGTTTTTTATCGCTAGTTCCCGCTTAGCTTCATACGTCTTGCCTCGAGATGTTTTTGATGGAACATACGCATACGGTCTTCTCCTCGGCTCAAGTGAAGTGTATATAATGGAGCATGATCCCGATGTTGCTGCTGCTTCATCCCAGCTTAACAAAAAAAAAAAAGAATACTTATCCTATTGTAATTTTTACATAGCTCTGCCAGGTCCGCGGTTATGCTGATGCTGGCGTGCCTGCTCCGTTCGGAACCAAGAGTCCCCGTCCGCAGCATCAGCGTTCCGCGCTGTATCATCATTCATCTCCTGCGACTTATCGCCAGCCTTATTCAATCCATCACGCAGCTCTTTGTCCATACGCTTAGCCTTGTCCTCAGTCTCGTTCGTCTTGCTATTCCACCACCCCTTGGTGTTCCCCGCAGACTTTTCGACCTTGGCCTGAGTCTTGTCCAGCTCTTGGTCTAGTTGCTCAGCCTTGTCGCTCCACCATCTCTTGCCATCATTCGTCGCCTTGACCGGAGCCTCCTCTGCACCAGTGGTCGCGCCCTTCAGGCGCTCATAGCCGTGTTGAGTATCCTCCTTGGCCTGTCGGAGATCTCCACGAACATGGTCGTGTAAATGGTGCTTAGCGGCATCACCGTCTGTATGCTCATGGTGCAAATGAGGATGAAGGATCTGTCCCTCGACTGTAGTCGCAGCATCGATAACATTGTCATAGGCTTTGCGCGCTGTCTCGCTAGAGTTCTTCAAGTACTGATCCTTGGCTCCTGCCTTGATTTCTACTCCAGCCTTTGCAGCCGCTGCCTGCACATTCAGTCCAACATCGGAGGTAGCGTCAGACTTAGCACCTTGCGAAAACACCCCACGGCGCTCGGCTGCTGTTGCCTCCACCTTGTTGCGGACAGTCTCCTTGACTCTCTGTGCATCATCAGAGATTTTCGATTCGGTACCCAGAACAGCTTGCTTCAGGCGCTCAAGGCCACCCTCGACGTTTTCCTTGGTCTGCTTAGTATCCTCAACAGTGTGCTTCAAAGGATGGTCAGTGGTGTCCGATCCTTCGCGGCTCTGGGCTCGAGATTGAGCACCTTTTGAAGGTACGGAAGTGGTCTCAGTAGTGGTCTCCACTGTGGTGGTTGAAGAACGCGAACCACTCCATGGCCAACTCCAGCCAGTGCGCGATTTGCGATCGTGTTCGACAGTGCGCTCAGTTTCATTCAAGGTGGCCTCAGCACGCGTTCTGGCCTCCATAGCAGCTGCTTCAGCTCTCTCGGCCGCGATTTTCTGCTCGATCTCCTTGTCGACGCGGTCCTTGCTCATCTTCATCTCCTTGACCAGTGCATCAGCCCTGATGCGGGCCTCGCGTGCGCCAGCCTCGGCTTGCTCCAAACCGCTCTTCTGTTCGCGCTCATGCTTGGCACGCTGGGCTGTCATTTTTTGCTCGATCGCCATGGTCTCGGCATGTGCCTTTGCCTCTCTGGCTACGGCCTGGGCTCTCTCCGCAGACAGACGCCCCTCCATCTCAATGTCTTTCTTGCCAGCCATCCTCTTCTCCAGCAACACCTCCTCAGCCTTCGACTTTGCATCGCGCGCAGCGGTCTCAGCCCTCTCTACTTCCTTCATGTGCTCCATTTCCTTGGCTGCCAACACGGTGTGCTTCTTCTTCTCCAGCTCTAACGCCTCGGCGCGCGTCCTCGCCTCATGAGCAGCTCTCTCGGCCTTTTCCAAAGCCAGCTTGTCAGCCCTCTCCTTGACTGCATGCTCAGCAGCCCTCTTCCTCTCGGCGATAGCAGCTTCCTCTCTCTCGCGAATCAAGCGCATTTCCTTCTCCTTGGCAGCCTTCACGGCCTCCGCGCGAGCCCTGGCTTCCTGCGCAGCCTCCTGAGCCCTCTCGAACGACAGCTTTTCCTCCAGCTCCTTGGCTCCCTTCTCCAATTTGAGTTTTTGATCGCGGGCAACGGCCTCATTTTTTGCACGAAGATCGGCTTTCGCCTTTTCCTCCTTGACCTTTTCGAGACGGATGCTCTCCTCGATTTCACGTTCCATCTTGAGTTTCTCCTCGCGAATTCGGGTCTCGAGGGCTGTCTTGACCTCCGCCGCATTCTTCTCCGTTGCAGCAGTCTCTCGAATCACACGATCATGGACCTCCTTGGTAGCAGTGTCCACCCTCTCCTTTTGCTCACGAGCCCACGCCTCAGCCTTGGACTTGAGCTGAGCAGCTGAAGCCTCAGCGGCAGCCTTATCGTGCGCGAAACGGTCCGCGATGTCCTTGACAGCCTTTTCAGCAAGAGCGCTATGGTCCCTCTCCCACGATTGGGCACGAGCCTTGGCCTCCTTGACTGCACGTTCAGCCGATTCTTTCTCGACTGCAAGACGTTGTTCGAGGTCTTTGATGCCCTTTTCCATAACAGTCTTTCGGTCGTGAATTGCGGCCTCGCCTGCTGCTTTGGCATGAGCAGCTCTATCTTCGGCACGGGTCATAATATCGGCAGCGGCCTTTTCGAGCTCCGCCTTCATTGTAGCCAGCTTACTCGAGATATCATGAGGAAAGTGATCGGCATGAGCGAATGACTCCTTGTCTCCCTGACCCGTCAGGTTCGCCAGACTTGTGGCATAATCCAATGAAGAAGTTCCTGTATGCCTGAACCACCAGGAAGCACGACCGAGAGACGGGGCAGTGTGGCTACCAGGGTAATTGTAGTAGTTGGCATCGCGGATATCTGCAGAAGAGATCTCCTCGCCATTGGTCCAGTACTCGGGTTTGTGGGGCAGATCGGCCGCGTTCGCAGAGCGTTGGCGATGCAAATTCTCGTACTTGGGATCGTCCATGCGTGCAGTACCGATCTCGTCACCGGTAGAGGACCAGCGATCGACGTCACTGTTGTTCAAAGCACCCTTATTGCTGCGGAGAGCACTGTTTGGCGGTTTTCGGAACCAGTAGTCGTCATTGCCTCGAACCTTGGCGGTTCCTTGCTCCTGTCCATCACTCCAGTAATCACAGCTACCGTTCATGCTAGATACGCTGGATCTGCCGGACCACCGACGGTTCCGGTCGAGATGAGGACTGTACGTCTCCTCTGGACCATCGCCAAACTCTCGACGGAGCCAGGAGTTCTCGGTGTGCGTGCGGCTGCTGTCCTCACCAAGCCTGGCCACAAGTTTGGCCCGGCCGTTGGTGTCCTTCGAAACACGGCCTTGGGTTTGCCGCCAAGCATCAGCGTCTTTGGTGTTAACCTCCAGCTTGGGACCGGTAATTTTGGACTTGTCCTCTACCCAGTCCACAGCACCCTTGGCAGCACCGGCAGCCTTGGCAGACGCGTTATCGATGGCCCTGTCGGCTTCGTTCACCTTGTTTTCGACCCAGGATTTTGATTCCTGGGCTTGGGTCTTCAAGGTACCCTCAACTTTGTCAGTGTTCTTGTTCCACCAGGTCTTGGCCTCCTTGCCTTTAGTACTGACCTTGTCGTCGAGGTCACCAGCCTTGTCCTGGACAGAATCCCAGGCTGTGCGAGCTTGGGAGACCAGCTTAGTATTGGAGAGCTCGGGCGTTTGGTTGTGAGGGCGCAATTGACCGTGGGCGTGCGAGTGAGGATGGGTGGCGGTCCATTTGTCGTAGGAAGCCGAGTCGACCCCGAGCAAGTTTCTGGTCGTATGAGGCAGGAAATAGAGTCCTGCAGCAGACGCGAACGCGACCGGCGCTAGCATTTTTACGGTCATCCCTCCTTTGTGAAGATGAAAAAAAAAAAAAAGTTAGAAATTGTTATGGTCAACGAACATAGTGGTGGCAATGAAAGAAAAGAGGACGTACTCTGACGAGCAAGGAGCGAGCCGGTTACGCCAGCAAGGGCAACGTAGGCCAGACCAGGCATGAGCTCTTCCCCTGGTGCGGGGAGCGATCTGTGTCTGTCATTCGTACGAAAGTGAGGGGCCTTGTGCTCGGGACTCAGATCCGAAGGAAGATTCTCGCATTGAGTGGAAGTATTGCTGCTGGGCTTGCTCATATCGCCCACAAAATAGAAAAAGACATTCACATCAGTCTCTGACGATGATTTTGTCCTTCCCATCAACGGAGGACCATCGGAGGACACATACTGTTTTCTCGTCCGCATAGACTTCTGAAAAGGAGATGAAGAGGGTACCGGTGACGAGACTCGTTGCCGCAGCGATCGTCATGGGCTAGTGCAGCCATGTTGAGAGAGTGTCTAGTCAGTTTTTAGAGCAAAACAGCGCTATCTTCCTGAAGACAGCAGAGAACAAAGAATAGAGACGTTCGTACGATAGGAAGGACCATGACGGATGGTTTACACTTTTGAGTGCTGCCAAGTCAAAAGATGGGAGGATGGATCGGTTTGGTTATATACAGGTGGGTGGATATGTACAAGAGCAGTGTAGCGGTAGTATGTACAGAGTGCAGGGAGGGGTGAATGGGTTGAGAAGGGGGAAGGAGCTGAGGAGGGAGAGGTGTGGATGATCGCAGCAGTCGGATCTAAATCTCAAACATTTTTTTTTGTCTCAGGCCATTCCTAGGGTCACATGACCCCCAATCGCTGCTTGGAGCCGAGTATCGATGGGTAAGACAGGGCAGTGCCCAGAGCAAAGCACAGAAGGGCCCCATTCATCACGGACTGTTTTATTCAGTGGCTCGAAATATGGAAAGAGCTAGTAAACCAGTAAAGCAGAGGAGAGTGCCTCTGTTAAACATGTCCATCGGCAAAGGACAAAGGGCAACGGGCAAAAGTGACAGCACAGTCGACCTTTCCTGTACAAAGTCTTCAGGGATACAGCCGCATGCAGTAGAGAGGGCCATTTGCTCCGCCCGGTACAGAGTAACCGGCGCATACTTGTATATTTGTAGGTGCTCGTTGCTTCCCTCTGCGGTAGCTTCCAAAATGCCCTAAAAATAGCCATCTCGTGGGTCTGTTCCCCCTCCTCTCCTCTCAAGCCACATCGCACCAGCTTCTGGTACCCTCCCCCCTCCCCCCTCCCCCCAACAACAAGGAACACTTCATCATCTGTCTTTATTTCCATCATTTCTCCCCCTTCACTCGCTCTACTCCACTCTCCCTTCTTTACTTAATCTTACAGAGCTACGATGCACTTCTCATCATCTCTCTTGGGCCTTGCCCTCGTCATCTCCTCCACACTCGCACAGGATGCCCCCATAAACGGAGTTCAAGTGGCCCCACCCCAAACAGGCGACCAAGTCCAGATCGTCTACCTGAACGACGGCAACGGCGAGATCGCAACCGAGAACGTCACCTTCAACAACTGCTTCGCCTCCGAACAGGCCTTTGCTAAATACTCCTACATCAACTTTACGCCCAACAACGCTACCATCAACTTCTACCAGGACTCGAACTGTCAAAACTTCGCCTTCGGTCTCGATGGATACTATGGCGGTTACCCCGGTCCCGCTAGATCCTTCAAGTGGGTCGGCTGGACCATGGACTCGCTCGGAGAGTTATTCACCAAAGGCCCCATCCAGGGCCAAGGCGATGCGGCTACAGGGGGCCCACAAGCACCCCCAGGCGGCAAGAACCCTGGCCTGAACACACCCCCACCCTCGACACCAGATGCGAGCAAGGATCAGAGCCCCAATGGCGGCAGCATTGGAGATGATTCGGGATCCAAGACTTCTTCGTCCTCAACGTTCTTTGGCGGTGTTGTCGGCAGTCTGATTGTGCTCTCTGTCGGAGGCGTCATCTTCTGGAAGACGGCGGGCAAGAAGCTGGTCGAGGACAAGGGCAAGGGTGTGCTGCCCTACAACAGAGTCGGCCGCGACGGCGATATCTTGCTCACGACCAACAACCGCAGCCATAACTCGTTCGAGATTGGAGATGAGGATGATGAGGAGGACGAGGTCGATACTCGTCGCAACCAGCGCTCGGGACGCCAGGAGCGTTACCATGATGATGACCAGGCTTAAGATTGAATATCATTACAACCATACAATGAACGCCATCCACAACACTACAACGACATTACAACTACAAAACGACCAGGAAAACGGAATAAAGCTTTCTACAGCATCTATTTATATATCCTCGGTGCCTTGTTGTTGTTTTGTGTTTTTCTTTGCATGTTAAAAAGGCTGGAATGAAGCCCACCTCTCTACTTGGCCTAAACATTTTAAAGGACAGAAAACTAGTGAGCATTAAAAGACGCAAGAGCATCTAAAGAAGCTCTATCTCTTTCACTGCCATGCCTTGTCCTCAGCACAACGTAAAATGGAGCACTGCCACTAGATTATCATTTCCCTTCCCTTTTTTTCTTTTTTGCCTTTGAGAAAGTTGATCGGGAGTTTTATCAAATTGCAAAAAGGAGAGATCGTCAGAGGGCTCTTTTTTTTTTTTCTGTCCATGAGTTGCATTGCCATGGAAGCACAAAACGTGTGCTGTTGGACGGAAATCGACTTTTCCTTGGGCTCATTTCATACATGAGTAGGGAGGATCCTCACCAAACAAAGTTCCAGGCCTTGGGATCCCCCAGCCCTCAACCAAGCTTTTACAGGAAAAAACAGCAACTTTTTTTTTTTTTAATATTCACAGTGCAACATTGCAATATTGCTAATTCAAAAACAGAAACTGAATCGGCAGCGCGGACCACCAATTGAGTGCTTTACGCCATTTTAGGCATGGGCACCGGGAACAAAATTCTTGAGGTTGACAGTATAGTCGAGCTCGCGCTTCAAGTCTCTGCAGAACTCGTCCATGTGCAGATCGTTGGCATCCTTTCCGAAAGGGTTCTCGATCTCTCTGCCGATGGCCTCCATTCCAAAGAGCGTGAACGAGACCAAGCACATCAACGGGACAGTCAACCAACCAAGAGCAGCGATGAACGTGAAGGGCAAGGCCAAGCAGTACAAGTAAACGACCTGACGCCTATTTGCATGGTCAAGAGAGAAACAAAAAGATATACGAGGTGAGTCAGGGATGATAAAAAGAAAGAGGTTCAAGGACAATTTGGCATCTATCTCCGGTTCATCATTCGGCAAACAACAACCATCGGGCATTGCACCACCCAGTGATCAATACAATTGTACTTACAAGTGAATGGAGTAGGCCAGAGGAATAGGCGTAAAGACAATGCGCTCCATGTTGGTAAAGATGTCGGTCATAGAGTTGATCGATCCCAACAAGTTTCCAATCAATGCGCTCTCAATCCTGCTTTGACGCGCCTCGGCAATGACCCACAGCGACAATCCGTGAGCAATCTCGAGAGGAAGCGACATCTGACCATCCTCGTTACCGACATGGATGTTCCAGGACTCCTCGTTGTAGAGGCGCTGACGATCACCAAGGGCCTTGTCGTGTTGAGCCTTGGTATCCACATGATCGGTCGCAGCGCAGGGTTCGTAGCCCTCAGGCAAGAGCTTCTCGAGATCATAGTAGCGGATACCGAACTCTTGGCGGAGATGGTGCTTCACTGAAACAGCAAAGGCCAAAAGCAGACGGATGACAAGAACCTTCTCGTGGACATCCTCGTGGTGGATATCCGAGTCGAGATCAATCAAGGTCGAGTGGGAGACACTTTCGCCACGGACGGTACTATTGCTGGCGTTGGTAGTGGTGGTGGCGAGGGCACCGTTCTTAGCAACGCTCTTCATGGAGCTACTGCTATTGTTGCGACCAAAGAGCTGATGAGCATAGACGCGGACTGACCCACGGGATCCGGCAACGCCGCCATCGGTGGCGCTGTGGGGGGTGTCCTTCATGCCGACCCAGATCATACGTGAGAAGTTGCGGATCTGGACATCGAGACTCGCCCACAGCTTACGACCCTCCCAGTAACGATCATAGGCAGTGTTGGTACGGAAGGCCAGAATCAAACCGACGACCACGGACAGTGCAGGCACTGTAATAGCCAAAAAAAAAAAAAAAAAAAAAAAAAAAAAAAAGCTTCATTAGCATTTTTTTTCCATTCCTATTTTTTGCTCACATTCAAGTGTGACTAGGCAGGGAAGAGATTGCAGATGGGACTTTTACCAATCATATTGGGGACATTGAGGGAGCGCTCCAGCCAGTTGAACTTTTCGATGGCCAAGATGGTGGCACTGAACGAGGTGATAATAACCACATCCGTGAGTACTGAAGGAATGACGGATCCACGAATGCGGAGGGTATCTATTGTGAGATTTAAAAGGTGAAGAGATAATAGTTAGTAATTGAAGTTATGTGTCTAGTCATTGCGTGTGTGTATCGATTGTTCCTGAGATACTGCTGCCATTAAAGTTCAGGCGAGACGGGAGTTGTTTGTGTCGTGTTTCTGCGGTCGATCTCTCGGTACACAGATGGTAGCAATCTGTTGTTGACAACGCTGGTTGTTTCATGTTCTCCTCGCGTGTTGCGTGTTGCAAACACGCCAAACACGCCAAACAAGTAAGCAGGTATACGACATTGACAAGGAAAGAACCCCTCTCTCCCTCTCCCCCCAGGTTGGAAGTGGCGGCAATCAAGCGTGATCGGTCGATAGTCCATCCTCCAGTGTAGTTGTCGAGCAACGAGTTGCTTGTCAAGGAAGAGAAGAGAAGCTCGTACCAGGATAGGTCCATTGAGTCCTGCGGTAGTACTCTGCTGGCCGCTTGAAGTAGGATGAGCCACGCATGACTTGGATTTGGCTGTTGGAAGTTCCTGGGTCAAGAAGTTCTCGGGGAGGCAATGGTCAGCGGTGAAGGAGAGAAGAAGAGAGGAAGGAGAAGGAGCTGGACGAGGAGAAGAAAGAAGAAAGAAGAAAGAGAAAAGAAGGAAAGAAGGAAAGAAGAAAGGAGGATGGGGAGAGAGACGGGGGGGGGGGGGAAAGGTCGGCCGAGCGGGACTTTCTTTATTCATGCCCCCGCGGTGGATGGAAAGTGAGGCTCGCAGATACGCTTTCCAATGCTCTCTCGTGTGCGGCGAAATAAAAAAAAAGGCGCTTGCCACCAAACGATCTCTTTTCTCCCGTGCATGTTTATGGGTTTCTTTTCCCCCCAGCCCACGCTATCTCCCTTTTTTAGTCCATTACACTTTCCTCTCCCATTGTCTAGTCGTTTCTTCTTTGGCAAGTGGTCGTCTGTCGCTCTATAACCATAGACGAGCGAGTGAGCCCTTTTTTTGTGTTTACCTGAAGGATGGTACCATCTTATTTCATCAGCCAGGGAGTCGAATAGGCTTGCTTCACTAACCATACTGCGGACCCCTGCGGTTCTTGGTAATCCAACAGAGGAGGCGCCGTTATATAAAAGGGCTCTCTGCACTGCCCTGCTTCACCGAAATCTGAGCAGTTGACACACTATCTGTAGCCATCCGAAGTCCAGACCGCCTTCATTTCAACCGGTCCATCCTGTATATGTTAACAGTAAATCTGAACTGGCGCTTGTCGACCGGTACGACTATAGCACCGTTAATTCGATTATTGCAGCACAGCTAATACTAAAGCCCTTTGATCTGTCCGTTAGCCCATCAGCATACTTATTTCTATCATAATTGACACGCGTTCAAGTACTTCTTCAGATGCTAACGAGTCTACTACTCGCTTGAACACAGTTATTCTAGAGTGTTATCATGGACGAGAATACGAGCAGAAGTTCCCTTTAAGCATAGAGATCTCATCTCTAAACGGATAAAAATGCCCTGACCGCATAAAGGTTCACACCTCGCAACGCATCTCCCCAGAACGGAAGATCGCCATGATGTCAGCCCTAGAGGACCATAACCAGGACCTGCTAGAGGATATCGCAATGTTCAACACAGAGGTACTGGCTTAACCCTCCCCCCCCCCTCCCTCCTCCTCCTCTGAGATGCTGACCACTATCGAGAAGAGGGGTGTCTTGAATGGCGGCGGGCGGAGAAGGATCCTTCGTGTATTCTGCGTCAAGCAGTCAGGAGATGTCTTTTTTTTTTTTTTTTTTCAAATGAAGCTCACGTCCGCCTGAACATCGTCCTTGAACTCATCGAAACCTTCAGCGAATTCTTTGAGCTTGTTGAATATTTCCTCCAGGCGTTGCAACTTCTTGGCGGTGATGATTGTGGCGGCAAAGGCGGAACCGGCCTCCTCGTTCTCCTCCTCACTCTTCTCATCACCCTCAAGGTCAATACCTTGATCACGACATCAAGTGCTGGATCTTGCTCCTGTCCAGAATGTGATCTACAACCTTCTTTTCTCTCAGGTGTTGGAGGCAATTCTCGACTTTTTGTGTAGTAAATGGCCGTGAGAACCCCTGGTATAGGTCTCGGTCGGTGCATTGAAAAGAGGACAGACGTGTGGATGGACCGGAAGGTCTGGGTTTGCAGGAGGATTCGATTCTTGTCATTGTGTGAGAGAGATAGACTAGATGAAAGCAAATTAGCTATCAACAGACCTGGAGGCGTGTGAAGGAACTAACGGGAGCACATACACGTTTTAAAAGGAGTCCATGACGGGAGATCTATGATAGACCATGGGCTACTTTTTTTGATACCTCAAAGTCAATTGGATCAATGTTGATGATCCATCTCCCTTGTTTATCAAATCAAAAATCGTGAAGAGTCTATTATATTGGTAATGAGAAGAGATAGGCCATACACATGGGTAGATTGCCCGCAGCAGCCTAGTCGCTCCACAACAGGCACGCGAGCAGTTTTCCTTTAGCCAATTGTCTTTAGAAAACCCCTCCCCCAGCAACGCAGTTGTGTTGAAGCCTGAGGATTGAGTGCACTCTCGTGGGCAGGCGTGAATGCGCTTCTCCTCATGTTTAATGATGTTTGCCAAAGCAATGCCCGGAAAAAGAAGGGATTTATCCGCCAGCTCCATTCAAACATTCAATGGTGAAGATAAAAATATGATTCGTTGTTTACCACGTAGCAGCTAGCTTGCCTTTCTACATGTTGCATTGGAGAGAAGGGATGGTGCTAATGAGGGGGTAGTCTATTGCTAATTGACATACTTTTTGATCTGCAGGAGATCAGCGGACGTCCATGGCCTTTTCAACGAATTAGGGTGCTCTTTCCAGCCACTTGAGGCAATTCTAAGGGTATTCAACAAGACAAAGTTAGCACTGTAATAATGAGAAATAACAAGGGCGCTTTACATATACATGTATTCATACCCGGTACCAGTACAGAGCTAGTAGGGAGGCTTGCAGTGCTCCCATGTGGATGGCAACGACGGAGACCGAAAATACACCCACCTCGGCTAGCACCATGATTCCTCGAGCCTTAACGAAGTGGCGGTAAACGGTGCCACAGTCAACGATGACTTGAACTAATGGTACCACCAGGACTCCCTCGTTCAATACAGATGTCCCAAACCGGGACAGTCTGTAGAGGTCCCATCCATTTTTCTTCCTATCGTTCTTTTGGTTGGGGCCTGTGGTTTCACCGAATGAGGACCCCTTCTCTCCAATGACAACTTTGAAATCCGGGCGGTCAGGTTTCGCTCCTTGCTATTTCTGAGTGTACGAGTCCGTGTTCGGGCTAAGTCTCTTTACAGTGCTGAACATCTAGTCGCGACATGAGACTTACTTTTGACTAGAAACGCCTATTCATTTTTCAAGTACAACTGCTAAATCGAAGTTTGGATCATTAAAGTGCGTATTACCCTTCCCTCTACAAACTAATGTTCGCCGTTTGTCAATATGACCTCTAATTCAAAGGGTTTGAGCTTCAACGTTTTCTACGTACAGTCGCGACTAGATGTCCCACACTATAGTTCCGAGATCCTCGTGAATGCGGCGCAGTTCAAGGTTACGCGTCGACGAGTCCAGCAGGCGCTTACCCCCTTCCGTCTTTAGGAATTGGTAGCATCTGCCAGCATAGGCGCTCAATGCTCCCCCCGCTCTCCTTTTTTGATGGTGAAGAGTCCCCGCTGGAATTCGCCCAAAGTTGTTGCTGGGGGTCCAATCCGAAGGGTGTGTCGAGTTGAAAAAGCAATTGTGAAAGCCAGAAAGTTGCTTTCGTTGTAGTATGTGTGTATGTGTGACTGTGATCTACCGCGAATGCCCAACTCTTTCCTCTGTGCATTCAGTTGTTATAACCCTATCATTGTTTTTCAACTATTCATTCCGGGCGTGGAATAGCCCACCCTTCACGGCCTTTGACGAGCAAAGTGCAAAGCATCGATTCTGGCCTAGTCACTCTCGACTGCTGCACTTGTCTTCATGGCTAAGTCGTCCACCCTCTTCCGAAACGTATGTCCAGGATTAGGAAGAGGCGGCCTTTTTCAAACACTTCCTAGCATATGGACAGTCAGCATCTGTTATGAGCTGAAATGCATTTATCCTTGCATGTGGGCATTTTAAACAACAACGATTCTTTTCCAGGGGTCTTCCTGTCCACTCAGGCACCAAATCCATCGTCGGCTCAATTCCTAGCCCCAAACGGTCCAAAAGCCCTTTCAGTTTCGGTTACTGTGCTGAACCCAGCTGTCTGAGGCCGGAGGAAACGAAGAGACGAAATCGGGCCCGCAAGCTAGTAGGACAAACTCCGTGACGATATCTCCCGCAGTTTGTTTAGCGCCTCCGACAAGTAGAATATTGTGCCTTTCAAATAAAAACTGTCCTCTAAACAAAGATTTGATTTCACGCTATTCGAGCTCTCAGCTCCTTTTTTTTTTCTGCTGGGCATGATCTTGGGGGCCAGTGTATCAAGATATGGTAGTTGCACACTTACCGACCCAATTGGTGGTACTAGACGTGAAGATGCCCAAGAGAGCTGACGCGTCTTTGGTATCCATGCCCATGATGCAGAAGAGGACTATGGTATGCCATCGAAGGATTTTTTTCTGCAAAAAAAAAAAGGTAAGGAAAAGTGCTGCCATGGGTTTAACGGCAATGTTATCTTATAGTTGAGGATCTCTACTAGAGGTGAGTCATGTTGCTATTCGAGGTTCTCGTTTTGTTATTATCCTTAGCCTAGCTCTGATATATTATTTGAAAAAGCACAATATTATTATGATATTAAACTAGTAACGGGCAAAAGAAAAAAAATATAAATAATGTTCGATTAAAGAGGGTTGTACGGAATACTTTGCTGGGTCGTCCGTCCATCGTCCGTCCATCGTCCCAAAGGAAGAGCTGGGCGATTGAGGGCGATCTGTAACAATGAAAAAAAAACAGGCGTCGCTCAAAGAACCGGTATACTAAAAAGATGATCAATCCTTTTATCCGTATTTTCCTGATGCTCCTGTTGACCATGGATGGCCGTTGGGGGGGAGGGGGCCGGCCTAGTGAATATGCGGCAAGATGGGATCGTCCGCTCTAAAAGAGCCCTCCTGTCAGTTTTGAGATGTAGTTGTAGGTCGCATATGTTGTCAGCAAGAAGCCGACCATGACAACGGAGTCTAGTAGATAGACGAGAAAGGAAAGCGGGGAAAGGAAGGAGATCAGCTCGGCATTTCTTGCACAGATGTGTAACAGTGTCCAGCAATGTGCCTGTTGGCTTCTTGTTCTTGTTGATGGGAGAGAAACATAGCGAGAAAAAAAAAGAGCTTGTGGTAGGTATCTCCTGCTCATCGAGCTTCCTTCTTTTTTTCGTTTCTTTTTTGTATTTTCATCATCTTGCAAGAAGGAGTGATTCAAAGAGATGATGATGATGATGATGATGATGACTTTAACACGTACTGAAGACGGCCTTCTCCCATGGCTCGAGCATATAGAGCCCTGTGGTGACCTCGTAGCTGTAATTGAGTTGCTTGACATAGCTTCGGAGCCCCATGTTGTCTTTGTGTTGCTTGTTGGTGAAATAGAGTGTCGAGTGTATGTGGTTGTTGTCCTGATCTGTTGGTTTATTTTTTTTGTTTGTTGCTGATGGGAGATGCAGAATGAGAGATGATGGCCTTCCCTTCCTTCCTTCCTTCCTTCCCGTCTCTCGCGAAGTGACTGCTCCGGCACGGCTGATCCAGATATCCGCCTTCCCCCTTTTCGCCCACAGTGGATTGACATGTACCGCAGTGGGCTTGGCATGGGCATAATGGCTATGGATGGACTTTTATGGATGAGTAGGGGTTGTCCGACAACTATGCTGAAGCACAGCATTGCTGGTTGACTGTTCTTCTATGGTGGTGTTTCATCTCCACGTTCAGAACGGTTCAGGTACATACGATCAGCCCCTGAAGGACAAGGGTAGATAGACTAACGGGTCTCTGTGCTTCAATTTTGGTGGCGTAAAGGGCATTATATCCCCTTGTGTTCTCACGCGTCCCCTTTTGTCCATTGATCCACAAGCACCCTTCCTTCCTCCCTCTTCCCTCTTCCTCCCCTCTCCTGTATGTGTTGTATCCCGGTACCTTCCCCGCAGTACCCTCTTTCTTCTCTTCGTTCCCCAGGATATAGCGCCACCACTTTATAAAGAAACCCCACACGACGTTTTCAAACACACCCACACCCACCCACCCACACACACTCTCTCTCTTCTTTCTCTTCATTCATTCGTTCACACATTCACCACCACCCATTCATCATGACCTTGGTAATCGCAGTACTCACAATCAACTCATTCTGAAGAAAACAACAGTAACCAAACTCCACTTCTAACACGTCTCAATTACTCTCTCTCTCCTGTCTCAAAAAAAAAAAAACAGGACCCCAATCAAGTCGTCGTCGTCGACTACCAGGACCTTGTCTCCGGAAAGGACGTCTCTGCACAAATCGAACAGGCCTTTGGCGCACATGACCACTGTCTCGGCCTGTTGCTCGTCAGCAACCTCCCCTCCGAGTACCTGGCCCTTCGTCAACGCCTCTTGAAATTGGCCTCGACATTCGCAGCCTTGCCCGAGGAAGCCAAGGAAAAGACCGTCCATCCCGCCAGTCGTTATAGCTTCGGATGGAGCTGTGGTAAAGAGATCATGAACGGCAAGCCAGGTAAAACCATGAAAATCCTTTCCTCCTATTCCCCTCCTCCCCTCTACCTCTATGTGGCCAACTAAAAAAAAAAAAAAAAAAAAAAAAAAAAAAGGAAAAGTGACGAGTTGATGGATAGAAAATGGAAAGAGCTTTTGTCTTGGATGGAGAATGTAGAGGTTGCTCGTGGGAACTTGACAGATGTGGCAACTCCGAGCGCGAGGAGCATATACATGTGCACCCTGTGCTTGTGTATGTGTGCATGTTTTTTTTTTTTCTTTTTTCTCCCAGGAGAACTCGACGTACATCCGGATCTGGGTTTGAAAAAAAAAGAGCCGTTTTAGCGTTGGAGCACAGAGTCCAACATCCGCCACGGTTTTTTGTGCAACCATGCAAATCATGGACTTATCCCGCATTTTTTTTTTGTGCGATGCACTCGACATTGACCCACTTTATTTTTCAAAATGTAGACGTCTCAAAGGGCAGTTACTACGCCAACCCCCTGATGGACGAACCCGAATCCTCCCCCATCCTCCAATCCCAATTCCCCGAATACTGCCATCCCAACGTCTGGCCCAAGGATTCCCTCCCCGAACTCGAAGAAGCCTTCAAGGCCCTGGGCCAATTCGTCGTCAAGATCGGTTCCGAAGTCGCCAAGAAATGTGATGCCTTTGTCCATTCAAAACTCCCAACCTTCTCTCCAACTCATCTCCAGGACGTCATCCGTACCTCCAAGACCACCAAGGCCAGATTACTCCATTACTACCCGCAGTCCGGTGCGCTCGAGGGCGAGAACCGGGAGGATATGGACTCTTGGTGTGGATGGCATCTCGATCACGGTTCCCTCACGGGTCTCACGAGCGCCATGTATGTGGATGAATCCAAGTCCGAGCTCGAGGAGGTCAATTGCCCGGATAAGGATGCGGGTCTCTATATCCGGAACCGTGGCCAACAGGTCGTGAAGGCCTCGATCCCAAGAGATCATCTGGCCTTCCAGACTGGTGAGGCTCTACAGTTGGCGACGAGGGGCCTGTTGGCGGCAACCCCACACTGTGTGAGGGGCGCGACTCCGCCGGAGGAGGATCCAAAGAGGTATGCGACGCTGGCAAGGAACACCTTTGCGGTCTTTATGCAGCCATCCCTCGAGACCGTGGTCACAGAGGATGGACGGAACTTTGGAGAGTGGACGAAGGAGGTCCTTGATCGGTACTACGACAAAGAGTCCAAGGACAACAAGTAGTCTTTTATTTTTCCTGGAAGAAATAAATCAATTGAGCGCGCAGTGTCCTCTCTCTGCATCGTTTGTCTTTAGTCTATGAAGATGCGTTCTTTGAGTCTGTCAACAACAGATGCCTGATAAAACGCGTCCTTTATAATCCCCTTCGTCCTTTTTGCTTTCTTCAGCAGCACAATTTTTTCTCTTTTCCTGGTCTTGTGGACTGAGCCATTTGCTGCTTTCGAGATCCTTGCAATGATAACACTTGTGTAGAATACATTGATGATGATGGATTTATTTATTATTATAGCAAATGAGGGAGTTTTTTTTTTCTTTTTGTCTCTAAGGCAGGGATATATACAGATGGATATGTCGCCGAATGCTTGTTATTCGAATTTCTTTTTTTTTTCTTTACCAGGCGAGCTCGCTGTCATCGCCACAGTTGCTCTTCGACGCAGCCTTGGCCTCGCTTCCACAGCTCGATCCTGACTTCTCGGGCGCAGTTGCGACACGGAACAGCTGCTTGCCATAAGTCTTGTACATCTCTGTCACACCGCCTCCAGCCAACAGACGCTCCTCCATCAACGACAAACCGAAGGGGTACTCCTGACCACCGCAGTAGACCTTGCGATCCTTGACATCGATCGCGACCTCGGCACCCTCCTGTGCGTGCTTATAGAACGACTCGTCATCGATCGTGATACCGAGCAACGACATGTTGGGCTGGTTACGGGCATAGATGAACGCGTACGACTTTGCAATCACAGCCTTCACACCCGCACCAAGGAGCGCACGAGGAGCCTCCTCACGAGACGATCCAGAACCGAAACCACTGCCTCCGACCACAATGTCGAATCCTTGCTTGACCAATTCCCTGAATTCAGGCTTGACAAACTGGAAGGCGTGCGTGCCCAGGTCCACGTCCGAGGTACCGGGCATGAACTGGGCGGGGATGATCGCGTCTGTGTCAATGTTGTCCTCGAAGCGCTGGACCTTGCCCTTGATCGTGGCCGAGAACGAAGGTGGGGGAGCAGGGAGGGATTTGTCGGCAGTCTGCTCGTCATAGTACACAGGGGAGGGCTCAGAGTAGACAACAGGCTTGCCCTTCTCGATCCACATCTCCAACATCTCCTGGTAGCGGGCATGGTCGATGCTGTCCAAGAGGTCGCGAGGGTTACGGATCTTCATGTCAAAGGACGAAGCAGCGACAGTCGCAGCCGAGGCCAAGTTACCGATAGCGCCCTTGCCCATGCGGTTACGGAAGTTGCGGTTCTGGGACGACAACCAAACCTCGCCCTCACCAGCCTGATCAGCAGCGACAGCAATGCAGTACGAGCATCCGGGAGAACCAATCTCGAAACCAGCCTGCTCGTAGATCTTGAGCAAGCCCAGACGACGGAGCTTGGCGACAATGGGAACCGATCCGGGAGTGACCTTGCGCTTGCCGCCCATAGCAGGGACGAGGCCCTTCTTGAGACCGGCCTCCAAGACCAAAGCGGCCAAGATAAGGTCCTCCTCAGCAGTGGTACAAGCACCGATGAAGCATCCATCCAACTTGGTTCCAGAGCACTCGTCGACAGCGACACAGTTGTCGGGATCGGGGTAGAGCGCAACAAGGGATTCAACCTTGGAAAGATCGATCACATGGGTCTCCGCGTAATGAGCATCCTCATCAGCCTTGAAGTACAGGGCCGAGTTCTTGTGTTGAGGGTTCTTGCGCTTGGCAATGTACGCAGCCGTGATCTCGTCGGCCTCACAGACACCGGCAATACCGCCAAACTCGGTGGCCATGTTGGCCAACGCGAAACGGGCATCGCAGGACAAGTGCTTCAGACCAGGACCGGTGTACTCGACCGAGCGCTCAAAGGCGACGGTGTTACGCTTGAGCTGCTGGAGAACATAGAGAATGGCGTCCTTTCCACCGATACCGAAGGGAGGCTGGTTAACGAAGCGAATCTCGACCGTCTCGGGAACCTTGAACCAAGTCTCACCAGTGACCAGGGGCATGACAACATCAGCAGCTCCGAGACCGACAGCAAAGGCACCGACAGCACCAGCAGAGCAAGAGTGGGAATCGGCACCGATGATCATCTGACCGGGTTGGGCACGCTCGCGGTAGAACTCTGTGTGGAGAATCGAGTAGTTGGCACCGTAAAAGTCGATGAGCTTGGCCTCCTTGGCGAAATCCGTGGAGGCCTTGATGAGCTCCTGAGGCTTGGGGAGATGGTTGATGCTGGGATCGACAGTATGATCGATGGCGAGCCAGAAGCGGTCGTTACGGTAGACGGTGGGACGGCCCATCTGATCATAAGTCTTGTCCATGCCCTTCCAGGTCAATTCAGAGGCCAGGGTCCAGTCGACGGATACACAGACCATGTCACCGGGCTTGACGTTTCCGGGAACAGGGAGTCCGATGGCGTTGTGAGCGATGATCTTCTCAGAGATGGTCATGCCACGGCGACCGCTGGGACGGGTCAGGGCCAAGGGGCGGACGACGGGGGCACCCTCGGCAGCGTTGAGACCGAAAAGCTCCTTCTCGAGAACCTCCAAGATCTTGTCACCCATCTCCTTTGTGGTCTTGTCACCACCCAAGTCACGGGTGCGGAAGGCATATCCGGCGCGATCGGCATCGTCCAAGACCTTGCGGACAGCGTCCTCGACAGCGACGGCCTCGGCTTCCATGTCCAAGGAATAACGCAACAACATGGCGGCGGAGAGAATGGTTCCTACTGGGTTGGCGACGCCCTTGCCGGCGATATCGGGTGCAGATCCGTGGATGGGCTCATAGACACCCAAGCATGGCTTGCCCTTCTCGGGGAGTCCGTTCAAGGAGGCCGAGGGCAAGAGACCGAGGGATCCGGGGATGACGGAGGCCTCGTCCGAGAGAATATCACCAAACATGTTCTCAGTGAGGATGACACCGTTCAGGCTACGGGGGTTCTTGACAAGGAACATGGCGGCGGAATCGACCAAATGGTGATCGACCTTGAGCTGAGGGAACTCCTTTTCGATGACATCGGTGACGGTCTTGCGCCAGAGACGAGAGGAGGCCAAGACGTTGGCCTTGTCGATGGAGTGGATGGGCCAGGCGGGCTCGTGCTGGAGAGCGAGAGCGGCGGCGAGACGGGTGACACGCTCGACCTCGGTTCTGGAGTAAGGGAGGGTGTCGAAGGCGTAACCATCCTCTTCAGTGGCCTCCTTGCGGTCGCCGAAATAGATGCCTCCGACGAGCTCGCGAATCATCATAAAGTCGACGCCCTTGACGATGGACTCTTTGAGGGGTGAGTGTGAGATCAGGGCGTCGGAGGCGAAGGTGCAGGGGCGGAGGTTGGCGTAGAGATCAAGCGACTTTCTGAGGGCGAGCAAGCCCTGTTCGGGTCTGGGGTTTCCTGTGGCCCACTTGGGGCCTCCTACTGCTCCCAAGAGGATTGCATCGGCAGCCTTGCAAGAAGCGAGGGCCGCATCTGTCAGCGCAGTGCCTGTTGAATCAAAAGGAAAAGGGGGGGAAAAGAAAAGGGTAGTCACCTTTAGTTATCAATTTGACTCCCACATCTCCTCATCTCGTTTATCGGACATTATTATAGTTTCCATATGGACGGGGTAATATATCCCAACACAGCTGCGAGGAGGATCGATCAGACACATACCATGGGCATCGATGGAGGCGCCTCCGATGAGCTCTTCCTTGAAGGCGACGTTGAGCTTGTGTGATCTGACCTTGGCGACCAGCTCGAGGACGCGCTTGGCCTCGGCAATGACCTCGGGGCCGACTCCGTCACCGGGGAGGAGGACGACTGTGGATTGTTTGGGAGCCATGATGGTATGTGATATGTACGAGATGGGACGTGGATCCTTGATGCGCGGGGGTTTATAGCTTGAGGTTTCTGGGCTCAGACCGATTCAAAAGCGGAGGTGGTTGTCGTTAGGAAGAGGAGAAAGAAGGGCGTGTAGAGGAGAAATATAGACACAAAAGAAGAAGAAGGAAGAAAAAAAGGTGGATGTAGATCAAATACGGAAGATGGTGGCGTGTCTTGTCCTTGTCTCGACTTGGCTTGACAGAAAGGGGAGGAGTGAAGAGGAAAGAGAAGAGAAGGGGAGTAATACGGGGGAAAAAAGGAAAAGAAGAAAGGAAAAAAGGAAAAACCCGACGTGTTCTTATACCATTAAGCAGCAGCCGTACACTCATCCGAGTAACAGGGACCCCCCCCCCCACGTACGACTGCAGTGGGTGGTGCGTCCTCGCCCTCAGTCGCTGATGGCCCAATGAGGAAGCCCTGAGCCGAACGAAAAAGAAGATTTCGGGGAGGGGATGCATATGACCCATATGACAACTATCCACTATCCATTCCACTATCCACTATCACCGCCACTACTACAACTGACTCGTTTTGTTGGCACCGAACCTTAACTCCCGCACTCACTCCCACATCCCCTCAGCGCACCTGTGCCCTGGACTGACTAATCCTCCCGCGCCCCATCGGCCTCTTGACACAGAGTGCCCACCTGCTCTCCAGATCATCAGTCATATTACTCTCGCTCTCGCTCTCACTCTCACTCTCACTCTCATTGTCCTCTACAGCTGCTACTGCTGACTAGCATCTGTCCCCCCATTACGCTCGGACACAGCTCCTAGTCTTTGTCAAACACCGAGAAAGCACGGAAACGCAAAAGAAAGCAGAAGAGACACAATCATAAATGGGAATGGGGAATGCGTTGTTTTTTATTTTGCACAGCGAGAGTGAGTGTCGTCTATAATATTTATATCGTCCATTTGCCTCTGCCCCCTTCTATCCAGGAGGCAACAGCGAGGCATCGACGCCCGATCCCTGATCCTCGGCCTCCTCCTCCTCCTCATAATCATTACGGTCATAGATCGGCGATCGAGGCATCGCCATCGATCCACTCCTCGCGGCCTCCAAGATCCCAAAGGGCTTCACCAGCTTCACAAACGCATCCACTCGATCCGGCTTGGCCGACAACTCGATCACCACACAATCGCTGCTCACATCCACGACCTTGCCCTGGAACAACTTTGCGAGCTCCGTCAACGACTTTAGATGTGCATGCGTCTGACGCAACGCATTCGACGGCGTCATCTCCTCCTCGGTCTCTTCTTGCACCAGCTGGTAGTTGTTGGGCGCACGCGAGTTCATCTGCGCACGGACGTGTTCGGGTCCCAGGATGGAGACCTTGATCAGCAGCAACTCGCGTTCAATCACCTTGAACCCTGTGTAGTCCAACACTGCCCACACCGGTACCTACACGCGCGCGCGGAATAGAAAAGAGCGAGATTCTGTTAATTGAGATGCACTAATAAACACACCAAAAAAAACAAGACCAGATCCTCGCAGATAAATGAAAAAAAAAAAAAAAACCACCCCGGCTCAAAACTTACAAGATCCTCCAGTTGTCTCCGGGCCTGCTCCACAGTCGTCGATTCGCCCTTCAAGACAATCGTCATACGACTCAGATCCGCAACCTCGGTCTTGGCAACGACGAGCGAGTCGATATTAAAGCCCCTGCCGGCCAAGATTCCCGAGACGCGACTCAGGACTCCAGGTTCGTTCTGGACAAGACAGTTGAGGATATGTCGCTGACGGGTCTGCTTGTGTCCGATCGGCGGGGTGTTGTACAGGATGTTCGACACCGCCTCCTCTGCGGAGGGTGGCGCTGGGTGGAGATAATCCGCCGTTAACGCAGGATGACGCTTGTGCGGATGCGAGCGCTTGTAGGAGATGGCCGAGGTGGAGGAGGAGGACTGGCGGATGAAGGTGGTTGCTGGGGTCATGGCCCGCTGGGGCTTCATGGCAGCCTGGGTCTATTCAGAGGGGGGTATGCGAAGAAAGGGTGTGTATGCCTCAAATGGTTAGTATGGGTCCAGGGTCCATCTAGGGCTGTTGTTTTTTCTTGTTGCTTTCTTGCTGGTTTCTTGTTGTTGCAGCTAAAGACGTTACCAAGGGAGCGGCCCTGAAGGTGGAGCTCAGAATCCTGCTGGTCCACATTGGCGAGTAGAGGGGTCGAAGGAGAGTGGGGGGGGGGAGGGAGGGGAGAGGGAGGAGTGTGGGTGGTGGATGGGGGAAAATAAAAAAAAAGAAAAGCGATGGAGGGATGAAAGAAAGGGATGAAGAGAAAATAAAAACGGCGATCGCGAAGGAACTGATCCCCCCCCCATACTCTCTTTTTCTATTGTGTGAGGACTGAATAGCCCGTGGTGCAGTAAACAGTATGGCACAGTATAGTGCTCTGCACTGAATAGTGGACTGAATAGCGGCTTCTGTTCTGTGCACGGCGCAATGGGCAGATATAGTTTAGCGTAAACTATCCGCTGGAGAGTCCTGCAGGATCGGACAGATCGATTTCTCTGACGCGCTACACAGATGAGTAACCAACTTACGTTAACCCGCTGCCTTAAGTCGATGACACCGCTGACACACTTCCGTCTACGCACACGACCCCCAATCGCAGCCTACAGCCCATGTGAGAGAGACCCTTTTTTGTTGTTTGTTGTTTGTCAATCAGCCTAAATCCCTAGACCTTAACGGGCTTATCGTAAAAAAGGGAAAAAAACGACCGATACGCCCTTGCTCCCCACACAGTCTGTTCCATCCAGCAACTCCGTCCAGGGACAACTCCTTCCAGGGGCAACTCCGTCCGAGGACAACCTAGAACATAAGGGGATGTGTTCCATCAAACCCAGGTCCCCTGTATCCATATGGTTGTTGGTACAGGAGGGGGTGGGATCGAAGGCAAGATGTAGCACACTCGAGCGTTAGAATGCATTGGCACAGCACTCAAGCAACTGTGCTCTACTCCACAAATATGCACCCATCCCATGCACACACACACAAAAGACAAACACATGGATGGTCCTGGGCATTAGCGCGTCGTTACAAAAACACAACAGACTCTTGGGTCCTTGTACGTTGTATAGTATAATGGTTTCTATTGTAGTAAAAAAAAAAAGACTAACGGTACACATCATCGCTCGCCACAGATCTGTCTGCCTTCATCGACCTGTCATTCAATCTAGTTGATCCACTTGAGCTCGCCCTCAGTCCCCTTCGTCACCTTGCGCGACAACACCTCCAGGACCTTCTCCCGAACACCAATCTTTCCTCCGCTCTTCTTCACGCACACATCCGCAACCTCCTCAGCCGTCAACTGCAATGGTCCGCTGCCCTGTGCCTCGCCCGTCACAATCTTACGGATCTCGTCCTCGGATGTGAGTCCATATCGCTTGTACGGGTACTCCTTCCAGGTCGCGGTGCTCGACAGCGACAGAGGCTTCGGTGCCTGGTTCCTGAAATATGTACCCAACATCTGCTCACGATCCACCTCCTCGATCGTCGCAGGCTGCCACTTCGGGTCCAATGTCTTCTCGATCAACAACGCCCTCACGCCCTCAGAGAAATCGTGGCCATACAAGAACTGACGAGCCAGCTGGTGCTCCATTCGGAAGCAATCAGCAATGCCCAGGTTGGCTCCCTCGCGGATCTGCTGAAGAGTAACCTTGAGTGACATGGGGGACATGGACCGGAGGACCTTCAGGGTCTTAGTCGCAAAGGGCGTATTCTCCTTCTCCAGAGCAGCGACAATCTCCTCGATCGTGTTGAAGCGGAAGCAGCGGTCGATCGCATCCCGATCATCGGAGAGGGTGTACTTGTGGTCGTGCAGAGGCTCGCTTACAAAGTCCTCGATCGCCATGTTGATCACATCGTGGTTGTCGGTCTCCAGCTCACTCAAACGGTCCTCCAATGCGGGCAAACGCTCCGAGGGAACGTAGTGTGTGGCGATTCCTGCATAACTATTGCCCATATGGAGAAAAAAAAGAAAAAAAAGAAAAAAAAGAAAAAAAAAAAAAAAAAAAGACATATAGATCCATGTCAATCAGAAAAAAAGCTTCTCCCTCCGTACCATTAAAACCGCAATGAAGTCTGCCTCCACATATATGTAGTAAGCCATTTCGGCCTGTCCATCACACACTTACACAGTGTCAATGCCCTTCAGGCGGGAGCCAACAAGTCCGAGATAGGTACCGGTCTCACCATCCAAGCGAGGCAAGAAGAACGATCCTCCAACATCAGGGAACAATCCGATGTTGGTCTCTGGCATAGCGAACAAGGTCTTTTCAGTCGCGATCCTGAACGGGGCATGAACAGAGAGACCGACGCCGCCTCCCACTATGGCGAACCGTCAATTCAAAAAAGAATCAAAAACTCTGTCAGTCGCCAACACTCCCCCTAGTGTTTGCCTCCCCCATGCATCGAATAGGTCCGCTCGAGTGAAACACGAAGAAATCGCTTACTGGTGATGCCGTTGAGGATGGCCACGAAGGGTGTCTTCAAGGTGGCGATCATGTGGTTCAGCTTGTACTCCTCCGCAAAGAATTCCAATGCCTCGTTCTGCTTTCCTGCATTGGCCAGCTCCACCACCTGGCGAACGTCTCCTCCGGCGCAGAACGCCTTCTCTCCCGATCCTTTGATGACAATGACCTTGCACAAGTCCGAGGCATCCCATGCCTAGTAAAAAAATGATAGCGTGAGCATCCAGACTGAGACAGAAAAAGACGAAATTTTAACTGGGAGGGGGGGGGGGAGGAGGGCATAATCCGATCAACTTGTTCGTGTGTACCTGAAGCTGGGGGGTCATATTGCGGACCATGCTCAAGTTGAGAGCATTGAGGGCCTTGGGGCGATTGAGAACAAAGGTTCTGCTGGAAAGGTGCTTGCGGTGCAAAACATCGGCCTAAAAAAAAAAAAAAAGACAGCGTATTGGTGTCGACGCAACGCAAGACAAAATACACACAGCCAATTGTCTAATCATCCCTGAGCTGGATCCACCAGTTATAATTTGCAAAAGGGCAACAACATACCTCAGCAGAGTCGTTCTTGGCGGCAGTGGTAGACATCTATTCCATTGTCAGTCAACCGTCCATGTCAATATGTATATATATATTTTTTTCATCGCTATCATCCGGGGGAGGGGGAATTCGTCCGCGTCCGCGTTCTTTTTTTTTTTTTTTTTTTTTTTTTTTTTGAATAGGTCCGTCGCTTACATTGACACGCGCACCGAGCCAGCCGTTGACCATGCGGATGCGGTTCTGAGCGACAATCGAATGCGACACCCTTGAGGTGGTGTTGGTGATGCGGAATGACTGGCGCAGCATTGTCGAAGCAGGTGTGTCCGTTGGGAGAAGGAAATTGGTTGTCAAAGGCGAGAAACGGGACGGGAGGAGCGACCTGCCAAAAAATGGTTCCTTTTTTTTTTTTTTTCCCTCTCACTGTGGGAAAAAATTATGACTGCTATTTACATTTGTGACGTATAAGAATAGTCCCTGCTGGAGGACATGATGCACATTTTCCACAAGATGAAAGTATAGAAAGTATCGTAGATCAAAAACCGTTGTTTTATTTCTTCTAGGATCAATGCGATCGGTTTATTTTAAAAAGAAAAAGGCGTTGTTTGGTATGGTACAGGCGCATTCAGAGCGCAATAGCAGTAGAACGAACAAAAAGGGGGGAGGGGGGGGAGGAAATAAAAGCAGAACAGTCTAAAAAAGGATGTTTGGAATGCTGCAGCCGATTTGTGGGTTTACTGGTTCTCGGGTCTCAACTGGCGGACGGCCTTGCCGGCACGCCACATCTCGTGGCTGGCAATCTCGGCCAACTCCTGCTCGAGCTCAGCACGGTAGTTGGGTGTAGAGTTCTTGGCCAAGGACCTCCTGGTCTCGGTTCCGTTGGCGACGGACTCGTACAGCTCCTCGAAGATGGGCTTGGAGACATCATGGAACCTCTTCCACCAGTCGAGAGCACCGCGCTGAGCAGTGGTCGAGCAGTTGGCGTACATCCAGTCCATGCCGTTGGCACCGATCAAGGGGTAGAGCGACTGCGTAGCCTCCTCAACGGTCTCGTTGAAGGCCTCAGAGGGGGTGTGGCCACGAGCACGGAGGACATCGTACTGGGCAACGAAGAGACCCTGGATGGCGCCCATCAAGACACCACGCTCACCATAGAGATCAGAGTAGACCTCCTGCTTGAAGGTGGTCTCGTACAAGTAACCGGTTCCGACACCGACACCGAGGGCGATAGCGCGGTCCTTGGCCTTGCCAGAGACATCCTGGTAGACGGCGACGGATCCGTTGATGCCACGTCCCTCGAGGAAGAGGTTGCGGACGGTGGTACCGGATCCCTTGGGGGCGACGAGGATGACATCAATGTCCTTGGGGGGAACGACGCCAGTGTCCTCGGCGTAGATGACGGAGAATCCGTGAGAGAAGTAGAGGGTCTTGCCCTTGGTGAGGTAGGGCTTGATCTCGTTCCAGAGCTTGGACTGAGCAGCATCGGAAAGCAAGTTCATGATGACGGTTCCGCGGTCGCAGGCCTCGTTGATCTCGAAGAGGTTCTTTCCGGGAACCCAGCCCTCGGAGACGGCCTTGTCCCAGGAGGCACCCTTGCGGGATCCGATGATGACGTTCAGTTTGTTGTCGCGAAGGTTGAGAGCCTGACCACGACCCATGGGGCCGTAACCGAGAACGGTGAGGGTGTCATCCTTGAACATCTCATGGAGCTTGGCAGGGGGGTAGTCGCTGCGCTCATAGACGACCTCCTTCGTGCCACCAAAGTCCATGGTCTTGATGCCACGGGTCTGCGTGAAAGCAACCTGGAAAGACACAGGAGATATAGGATGAGATTGTCAGTCATTTGCATTTGCATAGGGAGAGAAAGAAGATTATTTGATCCAGACAAAGATGAGGAGACACAGGTGGAAAGGATAGGTTACCTTGCAGGCAGCAGCGCGGGAGATGTGGGAGATGGCGGCAGGGCGAGCCATGACGGAGAAGGAGCGGGCAGCGGGGGCAGCGACGCGAGTCAACTGGCGGAAAGCGGAGCGGGCGGCGAAGCTCATTGTGAGTATGTGTGATATAGAAGACGAAGGAGTGGAGAGAGTGGAATCAACAAGGAGCTGACCTGGGTATGGATGGGTGAGTGAAGGGAGTTTGGGGGGAGTGTGAAGAAGAAGGAGGAGAAGGGGATGGGGATGAGGGTCCCTAGGTTTATATAAGGGGAGATCGGATCTGCGCCATCTCACTTATCTCTCCGGTGGCCATGTCTTTCTTCTTCAGGCACAGGGGTGTACGACATTAGGAGACATCTTTAGTGCCGTACGATAGCCGATAATAATGGTCATTGGTGCGAGGGCACCTGTCGATAGGGCTCCTAGTCTAAGTCTAATTGCCTGCCTCATGTTACTCATTTCCATCCGCTGTCGCCCCGAAAGTCAAAAACGACTGGCAACCTTAAATGGCCGCCTGTCCAACCATGTCCGCTGTACCTAATGGAGTGCAGCGGGGCGATAGGGAGCCATGATAACTTAACTCTTTTGTATGAGACAGTACACATAGACTACTACATATAGATACATACAAATAAATAAATGTATGTACCTAAACAACGGCTGTGTCGCTGTCTAATCCTCTCTGTTTCTCTCCCTCCCTCTCGCTCTGCTCCCCTTGGTTCCCTCGGTTGCACCCCCTCGTCCGGAGCAGAGACAGGACTATGTACGCCGGAAGAAGATGATAGGCGCGTGCAGGTCGATGCCAATGGGGAGGGCCAGGGCAGGGTCTGGCGAGTGGGGAGTGGGTGGGGGGAGGAAAGGACAGTCTTGGAGGGAGGACAGATCCGCAGCAGATGATTGGTCGGATGAAATGAGTAATCTGAGTGCGTCTGTGTTACAGATAGCAGACCAACGGGGGCCCCTCTGTCCGCTGCAGTGACAGAGTTGACTCTTTCGGCGCAGACTCCGCTCGGACTCGAGAGGGACACGACTTTGAAATCCGCATGCGCCGACCGTGCATCCTATCCGCCTCTGATACCTCTGCTATTCTGATACTCTGATATTTCCATAATCCCTTTCGGTTTCCTTTTTTTTTTTTTTTTTTTTTTTTCCCTTTATATGTGACCCTTCTGTCTTACCCCACTTTCTTCCTTTTTTTTTTCTTCTTCTTCTTCTTCTTCTCCTTCTCCTTCTCTCTTCTCACTCACTCACTCACTCACTCACTCACTCACTTTGCGAACAAAAGGGCCCTCGTCTCCGCTGTCTGTCCTCCTCGACTCTTTTCCTTCCTTCCTTCCTTCCCTCGTTGATACCTAAGCCAGAGTCTTCACTCCCCGCTCTTCTCCATACTCCTTTCTTTGCCACCAAAAAATACTTAGTTTTCCCCTCTCTCCCCTCCCCTCAAACCAAACACACATATAATCAGACATGCAAGCACAGCCTTTCGCCCGCCTGGCCAGATCCACATACTCCACCGTCGCCAGACAGACCCTCGCCAAGAACCTCTCGCTCTCATCCGCATCAAGAGTCGCTGCCGCCCAAATCCGCTTCCGCTCCTCTGCCGCCACTGCCGAGTCGACCTCAACACAAAAGTAAGCTGAAAACCGCTCTTCTGCGTTGCTGTCCTGCTCTTGCTTGCCCTTGCTTGCTCTTGCTTGCTCTTGCTCTTGCTTACTTGCTTTACTAACCAACACACACCTCTGAACCACCAGTGTCGCTGCTGTCGATCCATCCGCTGCTGCTCCTCTGCAGCCCCTCGAGCGTACACAACAACCAAGGAACGCAGCCAAGCCCGACCACGACCATTCATTCGTCGGCATGTCTGGAGGACAGATCTTCCACGAGATGATGTTGCGACACAACGTGAAGCATGTCTTTGGATACCCCGGAGGCGCCATCTTGCCCGTCTTCGATGCCATCTACAACTCGAAGCATTTCCAGTTTATCCTCCCCAGAGCCGAGCAGGGTGCTGGCCATGCTGCTGAGGGATACGCCCGTGTCACGTAAGTGGATCCTTTCTTATCTACATTCTTTCTTTACTTCCTTTCAATTTCTTTAATGGAAACTTGATTTATGGATTTATGGTTTCCCTTATCTCGTACAAAAAGCGAACGCATCGCACTGCATCTTTGCTTTTATCTTCGGAGAAAAAAAAAAGGTTTTTAACATTTTGCGCATCGTCTCCTCCCCTCATTGGTAAACCCAATCTATGCTTGCACATGACAGCGGAAAGCCAGGCGTCGTCCTTGTCACTTCCGGTAAGATCTTTTTTTCCTTGTCCGAAATAAACTATAATGCCATGGAAAACGCTCGAGATCCGATGCTGATCTTCTGTCCCAATTGCCTCTGATTGTCCATATAGGTCCCGGTGCCACTAATGTCATTACCGCTATGCAGGATGCGCTCTCGGATGGAACACCCATGGTCGTCTTCTCGGGACAGGTTCCCGTCAGCGCCATCGGATCAGATGCCTTCCAGGAGGCCGACGTTGTCGGAATCTCGCGCGCATGCACAAAGTGGAACGTCATGGTCAAGGACATTGCCGATCTCCCTAGACGCATTAACGAGGCCTTTGAAATCGCAACCTCCGGCCGTCCTGGACCCGTCTTGGTGGATTTGCCCAAGGACGTTACCGCCGCCATCGTCAACAAGCCCATTCCCTCTAACCCCAGCATTCCCGCTAGACCCCCTACCAGCCAGGCTCCTTTCTTCTCTGGTCTGGCCAAAGATGCCTCCCAGGTCACCTCTCCTCAGATCCTTCGCGCTGCTCAGCTGATCAATGCGGCCAAGCGTCCATTGATCTATGCTGGTCAGGGTATCCTGGCCCACCCAGATGGTCCTGCTCGCCTCAAGGAGCTGTCCCACAACGGAAACATCCCCGTCACAACCACTCTCCAGGGTCTTGGTGCCTTTGACGAGTTGGATCACCGCTCGCTCCACATGGTCGGTATGCACGGCTCTGCCTACGCCAACCTTGCCATGCAAAAGGCCGATGTCATCATTGCTCTGGGCGCCCGTTTCGACGACCGTGTCACTGCCAATGTGCCCCGCTTCGCACCCGAGGCCAGGAAGGCCGCTGCAGAGAAGCGTGGAGGCATCATCCACTTTGAGATCTCGCCCAAGAACATCAACAAGGTCGTTCAGGCGACTGAGGCTATTGAGGGTGACGTGACCGAAAACTTGACAAAGTTGTTGCCGCTGATCGAGAACTCTGAGCGCAAGGAGTGGTTCTCCAAGATCAGCGACTGGAAGAGCCGATTCCCCTTCTACCACGTTCAGGACCCCAACGGCACCTTGCTTCCCCAGACCGTTATCCAGGAGCTCGACAGACAGACCGCCGACATCAAGGACAAGGTCATCATCTCGACCGGTGTCGGTCAGCATCAGATGTGGGCTGCTCAGTACTTCCGCTGGCGCCATCCCCGCACGCTTGTCACCTCTGGAGGATTGGGAACTATGGGATTCGGACTTCCAGCCGCCATTGGAGCCAAGGTCGGAAAGCCCGATCACATCGTTATCGACATTGATGGAGACGCCAGTTTCTGTATGACGGGTATGGAGTTGGCGACAGCTGCCCAGTACAACATTGGAGTCAAGGTCTTGATCCTCAACAACGACTTCCAGGGAATGGTCAAGCAGTGGCAGGATCTTTTCTACGAGGAGCGTTACTCTGGTACACAGATGTTCAACCCCGACTTTGTCAAGCTGGCGGAGGCTATGAACATCAAGGGTCTTCGCGCGACGTCGATGCAGGATCTTCCTGGCGCCATGGCCGAGTTCTTGGCACACCCTGGCCCAGTTGTGTTGGAGGCCAAGGTTTGCAAGCGTGAGCATGTGTTCCCCATGGCACCAGCAGCAAATGCACTCCACGAGTTCATTGTCCATCCTCACCAGGCTGGCGAAAGCCGCGATTAAGTTTGATCAACGCCCCCTCCATAATCTATCCACCCATCCACACTCACACACAAATGGCACCCTTAGCATGTCCTGATGCCCTTTCTACTTGTATCATACCACTCTCACCTCTCTTTTGCATAACAATAAACCAAAAAAAAAATATATACATATATACAGTCAATCTCCCCTTATTGTCATGATCATGACAGTTAGCCAAGATTCAAAGGAATCGGGCGATGTCACTGGCCAATTGTCAAAATTTTTATTTTATCTTCTTCAGTCATGTGAGGGATCCAACCTGTGTGTATATGATAAAATAAAAATTTTGAATTAAAATGGCAATTGGCCAGTGACATCGCCCGATTCCTTTGAATCTTGGCTAACTGTCATGATCATGACAATAAGGGGAGATTGACTGTACATATAAACATATTATCAAATAACCAGATGCTTTTGAGGGGCTTTGTTCTTTTACAGCTTTTTTTCTTTTTGTAGAGGACGACGAAGCGAAAGGACTAAAAGTCGAAGACCCCATTTACCTTCGAAGAAGCAACATGTAACAGACTATGAAGCCAATTCAGTAACTGTGTCCAGCGGTCAGCGTACGCGATCTGTGTCGCCCATGACTGGTTTTAATGCCCAAGTGTCCTGTTTTCGAATTGGCTTCCCAATCCTCAGAGATTTATTTTTTTGCACTTTTACACGAACTCTCAAAGGATTCTCTCACCTTTAATCTTCAGCTTGCACCAACGCCAATAAAATACCTCGAATACACACAGCTACAAACCCAGAACGCTACAAAAAAAAAAAAAAAAAAAAAAAAGATGTCAACACAGCAAAGTCAGCCATTCCCGAATGGAGATGGAAAAGTGATCGTCTTTCGCGTGGAGCCACCGCAAAGAAAACGACAGCAGCAGCAGAGCAAGGGGAAAGCACCCAAAGAAACAATTAGCAGCAGCACTCCTCCAGCGAAAAGAAAGAGAAAGCCGGACCCGACTCAAACTACTCAAACTACTCAGAGAACCAAACGATAACGATCAGTCATGACGCCAACGGTTCCAGTTCCGCAAGAACCACTCCCTCACGACCCTCCGCTATCGTCCATGACCGAGCAGGTGCTAGCTCAGGCACGAAGGGACTCTGCGAACGAGGCCCTGAGATCGATTTTGGAGGTGGATCCAGTGTCATCGACCGTACGGCTATATAGGAGCCACCTCAGAATATGGAAGGTACGCGCGTTTACCTGTTGCCTGTATTTTTTTTTTTTTTTTTTTTTTTTTTCATCTCTTCAATGTCTGAGGTCTGTGCTATGTTGGGTATGGCAGGTATACATGCAAGCAAAAACTCATATCTCATATGGGCATATGGGGGCGCGTATGCTGATTCTTCTATTAGATATTTTGCGACGAAAAGTACAACGGGGACTGCAGTGTTGATGCAGCTCGGATGCTCGAGTATTTCACTTCCGTCGTCTTTAAACGGACAGTGAAGAAATACATCTCTGCAGAGACTGGTTACAGCGCAGTGGTTGGACAGGCGCAGCCGACACGCGTAGAGGAGTCGGAAGGTACATCCGCGTCGCGTCTTCAGCAGGAGCAGGAGTAGGAGCAAGAGCAAGAACAGGAGCAGGAGCAGGAGCAGGAGCAAGAACAGGAGAAGGAGAAGGAAAAGGATGCCTTGAATACTGTGAGAAGAACACCATCTGCAACTACTACTACTGCGACTACTTCCCGACTAGAGGGTCAAGACCATGACTTGGATGAGAGTGACAGCGAGGATGAAGTGGACGATCTTTCAGAGGATGGTGGAGAAGAGGATCAGCAGATCGCTCAGGGTTCAAAGGCCAACTTCATCAGCAATATTGTCGAGAAAACGCAGGGTAAGCGCCATCAATATCTTAATATATTGTTCATGCTTGCATGTCTGCGTTGTTGTTGGTCCTCATCGTCTTAACTCTCCATTTCTATCCTCCTCCACAGTCATTGAGGAGGCCCTCACCGACAAGCTAGGTCGCAAGGTGATACATGTTCCTCTGACAGCAGGGTCCGCGGACAATATCAGAAAGGCGCTCATATACTTGTGGAACCAGCAGGCATCAGTGACAGCGTCCTACCCTAACACAGCACCCAATCCTCGCCACGATATTGCCTTGAGAAAGGCCTTTGACTCTTACGAAGAGGGCCTAGTGCGCGATCGCGTAACGTCCGGAACAACGCGTACAGAAACCTGTATAATACGCGACTCGTACTCCGAGAAATTGTTCATTCGCATGCTTTCGTATTTATGGCGGGAGGCCCCTCTGCCTCAGCAAGACGGAAAGCGCGCGTACAATGCTGTAAACCGGTTCCAATACATGCGGGAACGACTGTGTCTCCTGACTCGACATCATATGCTCTTGCGCGACGATGACATCCGTAATCTCAACCTGTCGGACGTATTTAGTATACAAACAACGCATCCTGCCACAGGATCGAAGTTGGCATCTGGTCTTGTCTTTTGCATCACCCGAGCCAAGGCCAACAAGAAGGATGTGAAATCGTATGCAGCGGCTTTTCGCCATAAGAACTTTCTTCGATGTACTGTAGCCGGGTTCGCATTTTATATGCTGGAGCGTTTCCAGGTAAAACACCGCTATCGAGTTGTAGAGGAAACGTTTTCCGTTCGCGCGGCTTACAAGACTGATAACTTTTTTTTTAAGGTTGAACATGAACCTATTCCTAATTTCTCCAATCTAGAGGATTGGCACGACATTAAGCTCTTAACTAGTGGTGGTGCTCCGAAAGAGCGTGAAGCACATCGGACAAAGGCCATTACCAGCAGGACCCAAATTGAAACCACCGCTGCTGTCATGCGTGCCTGCGAGGTGCACTCCACCAAAGTGACGCATTCTGGGCGCCATGCTGGCACCGTGGAAGCGTACCATTTGGGCATGAATCAGGATAATATCCGCTATCTTGGCCGAGGGGCGATAGGCCAGACGGAGGACTTTTATGCACCCATGAACCCACTCATTGCAGCCTTCTATATGGCCCACTTCAACAAACGCGAGGAATCTTACTTTATAGAGCGCGACCTTGTCACGCCTCCTCTTGCGCTGCAACGCCTCATCTTCCCCTGGATTGAGCACGCTTTCGACAAGGAGTACGAGGATCAGCCTGAAAAGAAGAAGGACTGGGAGAAGGAATGCGACAAGGAGATGGAAGGTGTGGATCCAAACGATGTGACAGAGGGTGACCAATTCTGGGAAACAACAGCGACGATGAGGCTCTCGAACAAGCTGAACAACAGTGTTCTACCGGGCGGGATCGGTTTCCTCAAGCTACTTGTTCGAATGCGCCGCGTGATACTTCAGGACGCGGTCCTTTACATGGAGACCAGGAGAGGCGACCAGACTTTGACCAATAGACTTATTACTTCATTGCCGGAGATATTTAAAAGCAGGATGTTCTTGGACTTCAAGGCCCAGCTCCTGGACAAAATGAGTAGACATCGCCAACACACGGACATCATCAGCTCCACCGTACAAGTCGACAATCAGGCTATGGTCGATGCTTTCAATGCCATTGGCAAACAGTTACAAGGGTTGCAGGCGGATATCCTATCAAGGATGAGTACGATGCGATTAGAAGCGAGCGCGATACAGACAGAAATTGAGGCTCAACTACAGCATTGTAAACAAGTACATATGCGACTCCTTCATGCACCGTGGCCACAGTATTATCCGCCGGCTCCATTGTCTATGCCTTTGAACAACTTTGCATCTATTTCGCAGCAAGTACAGCTACTACAACAACAGCTACTACAACAACAGCTACTACAACAACAGCTACTACAACAACAGCTATTGCAACAACAGCTACCGCAACAACAGCCTCAGCAACAATTGCAACAACAGCAACAACAGCAACTGCCACAACAGCAACAGCAGCCACAACAGCCACAACAGCAACAGGCTCACCAGTCATCATCGCCACAGCTCGACGATAGGCTCAGAGGGTACGCGATGTTGCCGGACAACGGAAAATTGACCGTCCGTCAAGCATGGGACGAATACCACGGTCCCATCGCGGCAGCAAGACAGCAAGATTCGGCCTGGCCCTTTACTCCAGCGCGCAGAAAGGCGTTACAACGCCGGCAGCAATTCATTGGGTTGGTTAAGGCGAAGATGGAGGAGGAGAAGGAGAAGGAGGAAGGTCATTCGGTCGAGAGTCTCCAGAACTTTCTGGATGCTATGACGGCCCAGTACAAGAACAAAACTATCAATTCAATCCGAGAAGAGCTTCTTAAAAGATAGCTGATAGTTAGTAACTATGAATATGAAGAACGCTATATTTTTTTTTTTTGTCTGCATCTTTTTATTGCTCTTGATTTTGCTACGGCGACTTTTTAAACGATGTTATGAGGCAAAGAACATACGACAGAGACGGGTCCAAAAAAAAAAATTCACATCGTTTGATTGTCGGTATTAACAGTTTGTTGTGTACAAAAAAAAAAAAAAAAAAAAAAGGACGAGGTTTGTATCCGGATCCATTCACTTGGTTCATCTCACAACAGGGGGGGGGGGGGGAGGGCAAGACAGAGAAAGTCCTAGGCAAGGTGGGGGAAAAAGAATGTTTGTCACCCGTCCACGATTGTGTGCTTGGTGCTGCGCCCAAGAGCGAGAACGTGGAAGCGATGCCCCAGAGTAGCATCAGAGGGGGGGGACAGGAGCCAACGGTTGATGATAAATGTGGCATTGACAGGTGGTGGATCCTCCTGCTGCGATCGTGGCTAATGTGCTATCCAAGGATGCTGTTGATGTCTTGTTCGTGATAAGAAGCTGTTCAAGCACAGGAGATGCTGCAGCAGGTGTAGCAGGAAAAGAAGGCGGCAGAGAGGATGGAAGAATGAACGCATTTTGGATTTTGTGGCGCCGGAAGTTTTCCCTCACTCCACGAGATGCAGGTCCATTGTAAAAAAAGGGGGGAGCAACAACATGTAGACTGCAGCAACTGTTTGTTGTTTGCGTCTACGAAAACAACTAGAAAATAGGGGACATTTTAAAAGGCATGACCCCATGGCTCGATCGCATGACGGCCTGGCATGATGATGTCTGTGGGTGGTGTCCGTGTCTGTAGCGGAGGAGAGAATTAAGCATTGGATGGCGACAACAACAACAGTGCGGACAGCAATGAATAAAAAGCGCAATGGCCACCGTGGACTCGATCCTCTTGTCTCTCTCTCCCTCCCACCCCTTCACTGCTTCCTTAGTGTTCCTTGACCTCTCTGCCTTTGCCAGAGTGACCATCGAAAAGGAAACGATCGCCGGGCGTCCATTCTTTCATCCCCGCCCCAACACAGTCTGCGCGTTGTAGCCATTCCTGCCAACAGCAGCTGTCTTTAATGACCAACAGCTCCTCATCTCCTCCTTTTATCTACATGACCCATACCCCCACACGCTTCTGAACGACCCTTTTTTTTCTATCACCTTTCTTGTAAATATTGTACATACCACTGTTTCACTCTCCTTCAACATGATCTTCCCCAGAAAACCCCTCCCCTACAGTGCTACCGTTGCCACATGGATCATCTGTTCCCTGTGGATCTCTCAGATTGCCAATGCAGCTCCACTGCCCCAGTCCTCTACCGACACAGCTAGCCCGACTAATAACACCTTGATTGATCCCTTCTCAACCCCGTCCTATCTGGGTATGTTTCCGTCAAGCACATCGCTTCAAGGGACGCGACACGACGCGACGCTCGAGCCATCCCATCATAACCTTCGATAACTGATATTTTATTTTATTTTATTTTCCTTCGTTTTTGGTTCGATAGCGCCCTCGAAGTTTACATGGGAGCAAGGCATCTATGGCATCTTGTTCATATTCTTTGGTGGAGTCGAGCTTTTGCATGGATACAAATACATTCGCTTCACAATGCTCGTGGCAGGATTCCTCGTCTGGGGTAAGGCCAACAGAACCGCGGATGACTTTTCAAGATCTTCTCGCTCCCCCCCTATTTTTTTTATTTTTTTATTTTGGGCCTAGTATCATCGATTTAACACGCCCTATTTCTCCGGAATGCCCTTACTAGCGAGTACGGCCGTGATGATCATGCTTATCACGAACATTAGCACTGGAATATACCAGTCCACGACAGTGTACTTTGTTGTCTGGTTTTTCATCGGCATCGCCGGAGCAATCGTTTCGTTCTACCTCTGGCATGTCGGCATCATCTTGACTGGTGCCTACGGAATGTAGGTTATGAATTCCGCAACTGTCTCTATTATAGGCTTGCTACAATGGCCATGCATCCCTAACCTGCTCCTCCCTCTCTCTCTCTCTTTCTCTTTCTCTTTCTCTTTCTCTATTCTTCTTGGTGATATAGGTTTGTGGTGGTCGCCGTAGTCTTTACAGCAGGAAACGTGACAAACTATATCTTCCGCTATACTGTTCTCGCGATCTGCGTCGTCGCCGGCGGATATCTCACCAAGCGGTACGAGCGCATGGCTGTGATCCTGGCTACGTCCCTTGGTGGGGCGTACTGCATCATGTTTGGACTGGACATGTTTGTTCAGGACCAATTCAGAACCACGTTCCATGTGATGCTCTCCCAATCGAGCGCTGCGTTCTACCCGACCGCAGGCACCTGGGTCATGATCGCCTGTGTACCCATCATTGCGGCCTTTGGCGTCGTCTGGGAATTGAAGCATCATGAGGAGCCCGTCGGAAGCTGGTGGTTCGGCCAGGGCGCAAAGCCGTTGCCTCCACTCCCGGGTGAGAAGCCTCCAAGACGATGCTGTGGCTGCTTGCTCTCGAGATCCGCAAAGGCTGCCGCTACTGCGGAGAAATCCAAGGTATCGGATCCGACGGCCGCGCTGACAGACATGTCAGCCAACTTTGGCAGTGATACCACGCTGGTGCCACCTCCCGCAAAGTCCAGATCCCACTGGGCATGTTGTTTCCCACTGCGTTCGAAGAAGGGCCAGGGGGATGGGAAGAAGCCTGTTGATACGACATCGGGACCTAGTTCATCTACCTCTGAGACCGCGCCCCACACGCCGACTTCAGGCGAGGTTATGGAGGAGAAACTGATTTCTTCCTCTCCTGCGTCTGAGGGCTCTAGTCCACCATCACCGCCGGAGAAGGCGTATATTGGACACGAGACCATTGGCCACACTGGGGTTCGAAAGGTGGTGATCCAGCGCGAGGAGCGCGAGTTCAGCTTGGAGGTTGACGAGCGATTGTGATGTTTGTTAGTACCTTTGTCCACTTAATAAGATCAAACAGAAAAAGAGAAAAGAAAAATGAAGTTGGAGACGATCCAGTCCTTTTAAGGCGTCCAACGCGCCTGACCTTCGGCATAGAAGAATTTAGGCACACCGTTTGAAACCGTTTAAGTTGTGTCTAAACAGCATGGACCCTCCCATGGGAATTGTATGACAAACCTACAAAAAAAAAAAACGTGGGGGACGGGGGACGGGAAGAGAGAGGATGGGAATCTCACCCATTGGTCTTCATCCTTCACATTTTGCATTCCCTCCTCATTCTACATGGCCAATTCGACTCTGCTACCCACCCCTTCCAACCCCGGCCCTTTTGGTCACAAACAGCGCAAGAACTTTTTCTTCCCTGAGGGCAAGACCGAGTTCAATCATGGGTCGTATGGTAAATAAATATTCGTGCCTGGGAATAAAGCAGCAGCAGAGAGTGTGCTTAAGAGCCAGGAAGGAGGGGACCATCCAATCCAATCCAATCAACAACTGAACATATATCCTTTATACAAATGTATATTTACCAGGCACCTTTACGAGGTCTGTTCAGGACAACATGATGAAATGGCACAATTTCGCAGAGCAGAACCCTGGTAAGAGCCAAAGAAAATAAATAAGCTGACGAGGGCTTCAACTGTTCAGGAACAGAAGCTAAACGGGAGCTCTCTCTCTCTCTCGCTATCTTAACAACGTGTAGATCGATGGGTGCGGCTGGACCTCAAGCCCACGCTCAGGAAGATCCGTTCACAGCTTGGGGAGTTCATGAACTGTGACGTAGACGAGCTAGCCCTTGTCCAGAACACGACGGCGGGCGTCAATGCTGTCCTACGTAGTCTCGAATTTGTGCCCGGAGACAGGATCCTGCAGCTTTCCACGGGCTATATCAACGTCGACAAGACTGTGCACTATATCTGTGATACCCACAAGGATGTGGAGATCGTCGAGGTCCCCGTGGTAATGCCCATGACGGACCAGGAAATCGTGTACCAGGTCGAGAAGACAGTGCAAGACCAGCTGACAAAGAAGGACGGGACCAGGATCCGGCTCGCCATGGTCGACTGGATCTCGTCCGTACCTGCGGTTGTGCATCCCATCAAACCTTTGGTCGATATGTTGCAATCCTATGGCATCCTGGTCTTTGTGGACGGCGCTCATGCGATCGGGCAGGTGCCTGTTGATTTGTCATATTTGGGCGCGGACTTTTTTATTACAAACTGCCACAAGGTAACACAGAGTAACGGCTCTTTCATGTCTACTTTCATTCTCGCGTCCCCCGTCGGAACAATTCAATTTAACGATGCTCTCGTTCACATTAAAATAGTGGTTGTATAGCGTACGAGGATCGGCTGTTCTGTATGTTCAAAAAAAGCATCAAGACCTGATTCATCCAGTCGCGATCCAAGGTGACTACAAGACCGGATACGAGCACGAATTCTCCTGGAACGGCACCATGGACTACTCGAGCATGCTCTCGATCGAGGGCGCCCTAGAGTTCCGCAAACAGTACGGCGAAAAGGCCATCGTTCACTACACCCATAAACTGGCTGTCCAGGGCGGCAGGATCATGGCAGAGATTCTGGGTACGGATGTACTGACTCCACATGACCAACAGGTCGGGAATATGGTCAACGTGAGGTTGCCGATCAAGAATATCGACCACCCAAAGATCGCGACGCCCGATTATCTGATTCGACACTTGATGGATAAGTACAATTTATTCTCGCCGAGTTACAAACATGGGGGTTACTTCTGGACCAGGGTCTCGTCTCAGATCTATCTGGAGCTAGAGGATTTTGTGCACTTGGGCCATGTCTGGAAGGAGGTTGTCGAGGAGCTGAACGCAGAGGATTAAGTCGAGACAGTAGTGGCATCTGGCGCCGACCCTGTTATTTTCTTTCTTTCTTTTGTTTAAATACCAATGACGATGGCTAGATGGTTTAGCTAATCCCTGATAACAATAAAAATAAAGATAAAAATGAAAGGGAGGCAACGGCAATGAACAAGCATGTTCATACAGAGTTCGCAGGTATCAAGTGGGGGTAGTTGCGGTGTCCCCAGCTGGACAAAAATTCCTTTTTATATCCTTCGAGCCAATCAACAGAAGGAACGACCACGGCCCTTCCGTCCGTTCTCGGTACAGTACTGGACGCCTTGAGTGTCCGATAAATGGTCCGTTCATGGATGCAGCAGTTATCATCGACATCATCATCACTACCGCAGCCATCCCTTAAGTACTGCTTCACTCTGGATCGATCTCCTCCCTTCACTTGTCCAGCTCCAGCTCACCACCCTCCCCTTTCCTCTTCTTTCCTTTTCCCACACGAGCAGCAACTCGCCTCTTCCTTGTCTTTCCTCCCATTACTCCCCCCGCCCTCAAGGCCTCGCTCCCTTCAACATCATGCGGCGCTCCCGCGGGAACAGCAACACCAATTCCCAGGCTTACAGTCGTGCGTTTCCCCTCAGACGCGGCAAGCGAGTCGTGCAGAAGCAGCCCTCGTACGAGATCATCGAAAACACGCCCCATTCAGAGCTGCAGTTCTACGACATCTATCTTTCCTCTCTCCACACCAACAATGACAGCCACGACATCTCCGATAACACCCAGAATCCCCCTTACACCCAAGCCATATCGCTGAAGCGCCGCCGCAGCAGAAAGGTCCAGCAGATGGCACGATCGAAATCCCGCGATTTTTATGCCGACATCGTTATCGTCTTCAAGTACAAGTACAACACAACCAAGGACCCATCCGCAAAACTGGAGCTCGAGCAGCAGACCCTAAAGGCGTACGATGATGTCCTCAAGAAACTGAAGAGCGTCGGACTTCTATACGAGACAAGGCCAAGCGGGAGAGAAACGGTCCTGGTTTTTGTTCTCTGTCCATGGACAGTGCTCAAGCGGGAAGTCGTACGCAACAGGTAAAGCATTGGGTTCGTCTGAATCCGATCTGCTCACCCGCCGTTCTTTGATCCATTCATCGGTATTGACGCCTGAAAAATGCATCGATTGTCATGTAGCATCCACGACTGGTTGAAGGGTGTCAAGGTTGCCGATACGATCGAGGCCGAGCAATTGCTCAAGCCGGCCAAGCAGCGCGACCACTCGCTTGATGATCTATCAGATGCAGACAGGATCCGGTTGATCCACGACCTGATCACCGAGATGCCCAGCGAAGGTGGCGCAGGCATCTTCCCCAACGAGGATGGGTTCGTTGAGAGTCTGCTCCCGCTTCACGACTGGGAGTTCAACAAGGTACAAACTCGTCTAAGCCCAGGACCCGGTTCTTATCCCATCATTCGTTAGTCTTCCCTCCTCCCCCCCTCTTCTTGCTTTCATCGTACTACAACTGCCTTGATTTTCTCTCTCTGCTGTTTCAGGAACAATTTTTTTTACGCGGACAAACGGACAAAGAAAAGGTCCGCCGGGGGCTGTTTTAAAACCTAATTAGCCTTACTCACGCTTGTCCTGACTTGGCAACGACATGCACATGCGCCCCGAATGTGTTTTTAAAATAGACATGGCTCAGATCATGGTCGACAAAATGGGTTGTCAACCAAAAGGACCTTTCACGGGTCAGGAACCACTTTGGAGAGAAGGTTGCATACTATTTCGAGTTCCTGGAGTTTTACTTCCTCTGGCTCATCATCCCGACGGCCCTCGGTATCCTCGACTACTTTTTCGGATCGTCATACTCGGTCTTCTACAGCCTCAGTGTGATCCTGTGGGCCATCATCTTTATCGAGTCATGGAAGCGACGGGAAAGAGAGTTGGCTCTGGGATGGGGCGTCGAAAACGTCCGGAAATCAGAGGCGAGACGACAGGATTTTCAGGGGGACAGCATGGTCATCGATCCTATCACGGACGAGCGGATCCCATTCTTTTCGCCGTGGAAGCGATGGGCAAGGAAGATCGCAGGGCTGCCGGTCATCCTTGCAGGGGCGTTCGCCTTGTCGGTCCTTGTCACTCTCATGTTTGGGGTGGAGGTCTTTTTAGAGGTCTACTATGGTGGACACATGAAGGAGGTCCTGGTAAGTTGTCCATCTCGCAAGAGGCCCATAGTCCGTGTTATCTCTGAATTGGTCAGAAACCACCCTGAGAAGCTCGCTCATGCATCCTCATCCCCCTCCCCTTGATCTCCATTACTAGGTTTACTTGCCCACTGTGCTCTTCACTTTAGCTATGCCTTATGTCGAAGAGACCTGCAACAAGATCGCAAAGATATTGACGGATTTCGAGAACCACGAGACGAACGGATCGTACGATTATCACCTCGTTCAGAAGGTCTTCATATTCAAGGTCCTTAATAGCTATCTCTCCATCCTGTTGACTGCTTATGTCTATATCCCATTCGGTCCTCAGCTCATCGCGGTCCTTCAGACGTACGGCCTTCCTTTTGCAACGGTCGCTATCGAACCCAGAATGCTCCAGGATCGACTCCAGGCGTTCATGATCTCGAACCAACTGATCAGCTTCTTTTCAGAGACCATCTATCCCTGGCTCTCGCGCAAGCTGATGACAGGGGCGGTCAAGATCCAGAAGGAAGTATCCGAAGTACTAAAACACGAGGAACATTCCGAGGAGGAAGAGGGCGAATTTGGAGCACAGGATCCTGAGGAAGTCAAGACGTTCTTGAAGAACGTGCAGAGTCAGACAGAATTGCCCGTGTATGACGTGAACGAGGATTACTGTGAGATGGTAGAGCAGGTAAGAGGGGGAGCAGGGGACGGGCAGAGAGAGAGGAAGAGAGAGAATCAGTAAAAAAAAAAAAAAATAGCGAAAGGTCAAGAAACAGAGTGTATCACTTAATCTCCCCACCTCCTCATTTCTTGACTAACTTTCTCGTTCTCTGCTAACCATAGTTTGGATTCATCACCATGTTCAGTGTTATCTGGCCCTTGACCGGTCTCTGCGCGTTCATCAATAACTGGATCGAATTGCGGTCCGATGCCGCCAAGATCTGCTTCCACACACGACGACCTCTCCCTGCCCGAACAGACACTATCGGGCCATGGATGGATAACCTGGAACACTTGACCTGGTTCTCATCCTTGACCAACGCCTCGATCCTCTACCTCTTCAAAGGCGCGATGGCTTACCACCACCAGCAAAGCGACGATACACCAGCCTCATCTTCGGATTCCATGCACTCGGATGTTGGCTCTCGGTTGTCGCTGAGCATGCTACTCATCTGTCTCTTCGCATCCGAGCATGTGTACCTGGGCCTCCGCTGGATCGTCAAGACCGTTTTGGAGGGGATCCCAACCCCGGCCGAGGTCTCTGTTCGCAGGAAAGATTATGGTGTCAAGCGGAGCTGGCTCACGCGACTGAATGATGCTATTGGAACCACGTTGGAAGCGGTCGTTGGTGTGAACCCGGATGCCTTTGCCACCAGTAAGAACAAAAACATCACATCTTCAAGTGTTGCTGCAGCTACCGTCCTTGGCAACGACGACGACGAAAACGAAAGGGAGGATACACAGGGGAGGGTGAATGGTTGCGCTGGCGAGAATCTTTGTGGATTTGCGAGTGTTAACGGTTCATTAGAGAACGATCTGGGAGCACAGGCAATTAGGTCGATGTTCAAGTCAGGCTAAAGAAGCCTTTAAACGATAACGAAAGAAAGTAAAAAAAAAAAAAGTCTTGGTTTATTTGCTTGCAACATATTATATCGTACTATGGACGTCGAGGGAGGCTGCACTTTTTTGACACCGCTCAACACAATGTGTCATGTGCATCGCTGGCCCTTATCCGCCGTTGTTGCTTATCCTGAGCGGGCGATCTGACTACAAGAGCAGGGAGTTCTCTGAATCTAATGCCTGTAGTTGATAAGGCCTAACCAGCCAGCACATATCTCTGCAAAATACTATGGCTTCTCATCTCGCTCCTTTAGCCCATTCCTTTTCCATGTCTCACAATTCTTTACCACAATCATTCCTCCTCCTTAATCAAACCCTCTCAGCCTCAGTTCAGATAAGTCAGTATTCATTGCTCTCCGGCTGAATTAGCAGAGGAAGGCTGCGGCGCGCTACACTTGACTTTGCAAACATGGTCACGCAAAGGCCGGGTGTACTTCCGTTGAGAAAACCGCATGATCGACTCAGGTCTTGCGACAGGCGAGTCTTCGGGACCCTCTCTGCGCTGAGTCTTGCCACGGGTGCATTTTATCTGGCCTTGACATCATCTTTAGCGGTTTTAATGCTTCTGGTGAAAGTCATTGTTACCTACCTTAAGCCCAATTGACCGTGAGTAAGAGGTAGACTGACAAAGAGCTGAACAAGATACGTTTCTCTTGACTTCAATCAGCCTCTGGTGAAAATGCCCTTGTTTTTTGTTTAATTGCATTGATACCTCCTTATACAAAGAACTGAGCGCTCAATCCAGAGGCTTCCAGATACTAACGACAGGATCGCAGTCGAGATTCTACATCTGCCTCATTATGCAGTTCTTCTGCCGCCTATTGTACCATGCTCTTGCAACTTGATTTTCGAAATGCCCTATAGGCTTAATAAGATGTTGGCTACCTCTTTTTTTTTTCTGCTATCACGGCTGGTTCAAACTAACTCGCTTGAACTTCTTTTGTTTTATCGAGCGATGTAGTTTCGTCTACTCTTTTTCCATCAATCCAAGAGAGACAGCAGCCAACACTTGAATTATAACGTTATAACACCAAATAATTAGCTCCTCAGATCGAATCACCTCGTTAACTCTTCTAGTCTAACTCTTCCCCACGATGAACACACAGAATGAACGAGAAATAAAAAAAGACATGTGTGCGCTGTGTATAATTTTCTCGTGTCGCGTAATGGTATGGCACAATGGACGGAATAGGTGCATGATATTCATACGGTATCAAGCGCATGCTTTACGTACAGCTGTGGGCTGTGCAAGTAGGGAGCACGTGCAGTTATGGAATAATCAATAAATACCAGAATTAAATGGTTCCTGGTTCTGTTTCTTCCCAATACTTCTGCACAACACTTACACTGTATGACTCCTTAAGTCGCTCCACGCACCCATTGTCCCACTGCACTGTACCCCAAGTTGGGGAGTGTTCCTGTGAGTCCGCCTCGCGTGGCCTGGAGGTCCCTCGAACAGGTAGCGGTCATGGTCTTATAACGAACGAGCGCGGAGGACCAAGAACAGCATCTCTTGATGTCGTCGTTTAGGCACTGGAGTCAAGACTGAGTCCCTTAGACCTTGTTGATCCCTAACCCGAGTGTGTCGTCACCTTTCCCATTCTCGTAAATAGTACCTACTGTCTTTCTTTTCCTTCTGCTAAGGACCAAGCGCATCTTCGAGATCCCGTCCCCAAAGGACCTCATTGTAAGTGTTTGCGTCTAGAACCTTTATTTGTTTCTATTGTAGTCCCGCAACTTATCTCAAGGTCTTTTGTTTCTCGATTTCTTTCTGTAGTCCTTTGTTATACGGGTTGTGGTCTCTCGACGGAGACCCCTTCCCTTGTCGTCGCTCATTTATTCGCGACATACATTTACAGTAAGACAGTTATTATTTTGAGACTTCGTTGACCAGTAGAGACCTTTATTGAGCAACGTATTTACAGCCAGTGCTTTTGCCTGATATAGAGCCACAACACCACACCGGCTCCACCAAGAACTATGCCAACGAGCTATTGCTTATGCACATTAGTCTCCATTACTCCTGGACCCCTCAAACGAAGCGCGCCGTATTGTCAAGTACGTTGGTGAACCCCACCGGGAAGGAAGGCCGATTTATTCCAACAGACCTGTACCAGGAACACAACAAACCTGTACCAGGAACACAACAAACCTAAAGACCAAGGAAATTCATGGCCTGAGGGGACGTGGCGCAAACTGGGGGGCAATGGGAAGAGCAGTCTCAACCAACATCAGGACTTTCGATCGGCGTGGGGGTGGCAGATACCATTGACATTGACGCTGCTGCATACTTGAAATATATAGTGGTTCTTGAAGTCAGTGAGAAAGAGATGTGTCTCCAAACACACATCTACACGATATTTATTAATCAGCTCTAGATTAAGTTTCAGAGGTGATGGATTTATATAGGCACGTGATGCATGAACCAGAAGCACACCTTGTTCTACCAAAGTAGTAATGAGGTCTTTATATTTCTATTAATCATCGTCTATATAGACTACTTTACTGCAACCATCAATCAGTATAAAACCGGAGTGCTTTCTCACCTCCTAAATAAATAGTTCTTTTCATATATAAAATCGTCCCTATTACAGACCCTTCCCAAAAGATACTCACTTCTATGTTCCTATGGCTGCTTCCCCTCTTTATTGGGTTAGCATCTTCTCTCTTGTCCTCTTTGCCCTCTATTTCCTTGATTGTCTCTCCTTTGCCAGCCTTGACGCGCGCGCAGGCCGCTCGCCGGCCTCAACCTCCCAAGCCCGATGCCTCTGTTACCTCCAAAATATCGATCACTACGCCCCTCAAGTCCCGAAATTACAACACGACCGAGTCCAGTGTACTTTATTACTATATAAATCCATCGCCTCTAAAACTTAATCTAGAGTTGATTAATAGATATCGTATAGATGTGTGTTGGAAGACACATCTCTTTCTCACTTCAAGAAACACAATATATTTCAGATGCAATACTGCAGATGATCAAGGAGGATGGTATTGTAATCAACCGCTCCCGAATATCGAGAAAGTGAAAGATCTGTTCGAGGATGGTATGGTGAAGTTGATGGAAAAGGGATATCTGGAGAGTTTTATCGAGCGCAACACTCGTCTCTGGCAAGAAACTGAGAGTGATGGAAGCGCACGTCCCATGTCGATGGACGATGAGATGAACAGCGAGATGGATGGCATCGATGATTATGCTCAAATTACTGCAGAATAAAAACGTATTTATTTTCTCATCTATGCGCTACTGATCAGATTTCTTTAGAAAAATCCATGGCAGTCTTGATTCTGAAACGACATTGTGAGGCCTTAAGTGCTGTTTGTGCTGGTGGTTGCTTCCTTTGACGTTGCCGTTTAAGAGTCTGTTGATTGTGTTGCTCCAATTGCTCACTCAGTTGCCGTTTCTGTTTCTGTTCCTGTTGCGGTTCCTGTTGCGGTTCCTGTTGCAGTTCCTGTTGCGATTCCTGTCGCAGTTCCTGTCGCAGTTCCTGTTGCAGTTCCTGTTGCAGTTCCTGTCGCAGTTCCTGTTGCAGTTCCTGTTGCAGTTCCTGTTGCAGTTCCTGCTCCTGTTGCTGTTGCTGTTGCTGTTGCTGTGATGTTGATACTGGTGCTGGTATCTGCAGCATTATATCTTCATAATTTTTCGGTAGCAGTCGTCTGAGCTCTAGTATGTATAATTTGAGTTCTATGATTCTCTGTGCTCTGGCTGTTGATGGTGTTTGTGCTAGTATCTGCACCGCTGTGTTTGGCAAGTCTTGTATGAGGTCTATCCTGCTCTGTGCTCCAGCTGGTGCTGGTATCTGCGGTATTGTATTTGGCAAACCTTGTCTGAAGTTTATCTTTCTCTGTCCTGGGTTAAACTGCGACCTTTCAGATGCGATTGTCATGTTCAGCTCCATGAGCCTGATGCTGAGCATCGTGCGATTATAGGCCTCAGTGGCTCCCAACGGATGACCTCAGGGAGACTCGTTATCTTGACGACAGCGGCGCTTGAGGTTGCTAGCTTGTCCATCACTGAATCAGACATCACACTGCCCGCGCCCAGTAGCATGCAGCGATTCCTGTAGAAGAGATTGAAAGCGTCACGCCTCCAAGTCTTGATCACCTCCAATGCACGAGCCTTCTCTGCCCCTGTCCGTGGTGGTGGCCGATCTTTCCTAATTTTACTGGCCTCCGCAATTCCCGTTTCCACGATAAGATCGGGGTTACATATGTCGCAACAGTTGCCTACATCCTGGTGTTGGTTGTTGAAATATGAATTCAGGTATCTGCGTCGACAGGTGGTCGAGGTGACATATTTTTTGAGTGCCGGCTCAATCGAATGGATATCACGTCGTGGCACAAGAAGAATCCCGGATCCAGAAATGTGCGAATCGCGCGCCGCTTGACCAAGTCGTTGAACAAGGGTCGAGATGTTGTTGGGATATCCGTATTGGACGACGCGGACAACGTCACTGATATCACATCCCATTCCTGCAGCCTCCGTCGACAGCAATACACATGTGTGGTTAACCTTGAAATCGTTCATGCGCCTGACCTTTAGCTCATCCGACATCATCGGATAGTAGACGGCGACCCTGTTCGCGTCCATGAACCTTCTGAGGCGCCTAGAAGCAGCCTCAGCGTCATTAATCGATTGAAAATAAACAATCGTCTTGACCCCATCCTTCAGAAAACGGAGATCCCCAAAGGTCGTCTCCTTGAAACGCTGAAACGCGACGTTATACTTGACGTTGGTCCTGCCATTGCCAATGTTGACGACCTCAATGTTCTTGAAATACAGCGTGCTGATGACTGCCGAAAGAAGGGCGGGCGGTAAAGTGGCCGAGATCGCAAGAAAATATGTTGTCCGGGCGATCTTGGAACGCAATTGTCGGAGAAGTCCATATTGCTTCCTGAATTCTAGGCCCCAAGCCCCAACACAGTGGGCTTCATCCACAACGACTGCTCGCAACCGCTTTCTCCATTCGGGTTGAATCCAAAGACCTACGGGACTCTGAAGCGCAATCTCGGGAGACATAAAAACAGCCCGGAAGACCCCCTTCACCAGGTCGTCGAAAGGGATCTTCATCCCACCCTTGAGATTAATGCTGGATATTCCTGCGTCCTTGAGTTTTTGGTGTTACTCGTCTCCCAGGGTCCCGAGTGGAGTAATGACCACTATCGCATCGTCGGGCCAAAGTATCAGAGGAAGTAGACCAACGTCTTGCCCCCACCCCGTACCAGCAATAAGGACGCAATCTTCGCGCTTGCCGATCTTGTCCACTACCCTAAGCTGCGCTGGCTTTGGATCATATCCAAAAACCTCCTGGCAATGTTGGACTGTGTTGTCAGGGAGGGAGCAAAGGGCTACAGTATTGGTATCGCTGTTCATGGCTGACCGAAATAAAGAGGGTGTTTATAAAAGTTGAAGAGGTGACGGTACAGGCATGGGATGACGGACAACGGATGGATGAGAGTAAGAGACGGGTAAGCAAGGATCGGCGCAAGAGATGAGTTGATGAGGCAATGATAAGAGAGGAAGTGACGCGTGGAGACAGCATGCTCAGGCAAGAGATGAGTGATGCATGGAGACAGCATGCTCAGGCGCGCGTAGCGTTCAGGCGCATTTTTTTTATTTTTTACTTGCGCGTGTCCAACCTCACCCAACTGCACAAAGACTCGTTCTGCAGCCAATTTTCGACGCGATTTTTTGTCTCAAGGGAAAATGCCGCTTTACAGGAGAGGATCGAGTTTGGTCCCAGCCTGGATCCGTAACAAGACAGAAAAATGTCAACATCATCACTAAGGAATCCAGATTAACTCCTGCTTCCCTGGATCCTCGCTCGCTTCAAATCCAAGGCCCGAAAAGAAATGCTCAGGCGAGTCCTCCGGATGAACGGTTGCGAACGGTTTCGTGAGAACTCTGATCCCCTTGAACCCTTTTCGATCCCGCATTTCCTGTTGGAGTAACAATATGGCCTTGGTCCCGAAGCCGAGCCCTTGACATGACTTCGCTATCATGAAGCTGAGCAGTAGAAACATAGAATGGTTGCTGTCGCCCACGGACTGGTCCTGGCCCTGGTCCTTGGGCTCCTGTTGGAGTCGAATGTATCCAATAGGGGTGCCATCGGCCAAGATGGCGCGGACGATCGATTGGGGGATATGGAATTGATGCTCGCAGAGGGATTCTAGGTTTGACGGGGCTAGGCCAAGTTGGTCCTGGTTGACGACGAGACGGGTGACGGCAGCCCAGTTATCGAGGGTGATGTCCTGAAGGGTGATGGAGGATTGTCGAGAAGGAAGCTTCAATCGGTCCATGGGATGATCTTTGAAGGGATGAACAGCATGCAGCCTCAAGAATTGGGGGAGGAAAGGGGCTGTGGCAAAGCCCAAAAAAGCAAAAGTGTGCTGTCTTCTTTTGACCTCTTTGTCTCCAACTCCCATACGGCCGACCAATTCATCTTTCCTTCAACAACCCCTACGGAAGCATCAGGCCAGGAGGGAAACCAGAATCCAATCCGCATTCACCAGAACAAAAACCCCCCTCCCTCCTCCCCGGCGGAACTAGACAACCATGTCCAACTCGATTGAATTCACACCCCTGGCGACCTCCGATCCCCTGGACCACGAGTCCAGCGAGCCTCTCACCACAGCCAGACCAAGCCCACGCCCGAAACTGAACACTCTCTCCGCCCAGGTCGAACGGATCACAGATGCGGCAATATCAGGACTGGGCCCCGTCCTCCTCACGGTCGCATTCCTCCTCCTATCAACGACCATCTTCTGCTTCTTCACCGTATTCTTGCCATTTCATTATACCTGGAAGGAGGACGGGGGCCTGATTGGGAATCTACCCTATATCGGCCATCTGACATGGTCATCCTATCTGGTCTGGGGCATCCTCGCGAACTATTACTTCGCAGTTCGGACACCCCCCGGTGGAGTCCTCGATGGCGTCTCGAGCACCGTAGGTCTTGCAGTTGGGCTTCTCACTGGGCCCTGTGAGTGTATAGTAAATAGAAAAAACGGTATTCAACTGGTTTCTATTTTGTTTTTCTTTTGCGTTCAATTGCGCTAGGGTGACGCACTGTTCCAAGATGTCCTTCAGGAGATGGAGAGTAAGTTGAGTGTGTTGCGATAGTACTCCATGAATGCACACCTTCATTCCTCCGCCTTTTTTGGATTGACCTAAAAGTTGTTTTCTTTCTCGATAGCCTACACCGAGGTTCCACCGATGTGCAAAAGATGTATGGACCGATTCAGCAAATGAAGGATATCAAATGGACAGAACAACGAAAAGAGAGAGAGATAGAGGAACGACCAGTGGACGGCGCATACGGAACGGAATCTCACCATTACGACCATTTCCCCCCTTTTTTTTATCTCACTCGGACAAACTAGGTCATCTCCCAAAGCCAGAGCGGACACATCACTGCAGTGTATGCAAGCGCTGCGTGTTGAAATACGATCATGTAAGAAAACCTCTTCCCTCCAAATGGAACGTTTGGACAAATCAACTTTTTTTTTTTTTTTTTTTAATGAAACGTCTTCCTAAATTGTTCTCTTTTACGAATGTAAAACTATGTGTTATCGGATCGACCATGATATAGCACTGTCCATGGATCCATAATTGCGTCGGACATTTCAACCACCGGTTCTTTTTAATGTTCTTGACCTATCTGTCGATCGCCTGTCTGTACTTTGTCTTCATGGGCGCAAGACCGTTCCTGTCAGCGGCGGATACGGAAAGCGGTGTAGGTCATCGTTTGATTACTGAAGGAAAAAAATGTTATTGTTTCATCAATCGCTACTCGCTTTGTTCAGTCATGATTGGATGGTCTGATCCTCGTCTTTTTTTTTTTTTTTACATCTTCTAGAACGAATGGCCATATTGGCTTGATCGATCTATTGTTGCTTTCTCAGAAGTCTTGGCCGTCGCTATTGGGGTCGCTGTCGGCGGGATGGCATGTTGGCATTGGTACCTGGTAAGTCACATTCCTCTCTCTCTTTTTTTTTTTCTCAAAAGAACACAGCTGCTCTACCCTCTATATATTATCGCCCCTATTATGTTTATACAACCTCTCTCTCACACACTACCTACTACTGCTTAGACTCTCACGGCCCAGACGACACTCGAACAGTACAACAACACATACATCAAAAAGATCTGCAAGAAGCGCGGCGAAAAGTTTACGAACATGTACGACTTTGGGATCATCGGCAATTTCTTCGACCTCTTCAACATCGGCCCGCGTGGACACTACCCATGGTACACAGCCCTGCTCCCGCTCCGGATCCCGCCCATCGGCAACGGCAAGCGGTTCGAGAGGAGCGGCCGTGGATATGTCCTCGACTTTGGGGAGGACGACGAGGATATGGTGTGAAAAGGAACGAGAGGAAAGCTAGAGCTGGAACAGAGAGGAGGATATATTGTAAATACTAATGCCAATTGAATCGTATTATCAGATGTATACATGGTAGAGTCCGCGACACAAAACAAAGGACCAGCGATAGTCCAGTCGAAATTGGTTTTTATAAATTGTTTTACTAGAGGATATTACAAAAAGAACACAGAAGCAGAAGCGACAGAAGGCAGAATAATCTTTTTTCATTAATAAAATGATCTGTATACTATCATGTTGCCAGCATCTTTCTGAAGAGGGCTTGCTCATGGACATTGCGGCTCTGACAGGGAGTCTCGTTTCTCTTGCGAAATCGGTCCGAATACCCCCATACAGTCCAACTCGGAGACCGAGGCAATTCCAATTGTCGTATCGACGGAACCTCCACTTCTACGTCCTGCCTGAAGACTGAGACCAGTAGTACATATCACTAGGCATCAACGAAAGAAATAAATGACTGAGTAGATGATTCACAAGGCACGCGAAAAAAAAAAAAAAAAAAAGACAGGACAGATGTAGACCAATCGACTCTATTCCCTTCTACGCTACAGACATGAACGCATCCATGAGTGCAGGTTTTTACAATTTGATATGTGAAGGGAATAGGACGACGGTGCAAATAGGTTACTGGCATCATCCCCCCCAGACTGAGCCGCCGCGCACAGCAGTTCACATCAAAAGAGGCGGTCAGCTCCGCCACTTCCAGCGAATGAGACCTAAACGTTCTCTACCAGAATGTGCAGCTACACAGGGCGTGAATTCGAGATACAACCAGTTACGCAACAGACACGAAAACATTCGCGAGTGCAGGTTTTTACAATTTGATATGTGCTGGCTGCACCCCCACCACCTCTTAACAACAAGATGACGCCCTTTGGGTCCAACCCGCAGATACAGATCCCTCCAAGTGTCCCCTGTATTCTGTCAAAAGTCCTGTGCACGATTGTACATTGAATTCAACATTACCTTTCTTCCGGTGGAGCGAGCGATTTGAGCGGGCACTCGCTTGAGTGAGCCAAAAAAAATTATCACTCGCTCAAATCATATGATCTGTCTGCACCTGGCATCGCAATCTGGATGTCGTTTCCTCCACTACTGAACTCGTCTGCTGAGAAGTGTGCGTCAGGATTCATGCTGTTGAAGGTAAAGCGAATGACGAATGGAGTTGAACCAGGAAGCGATTTTTTTGTTTTTTAACTTTATTATCGACGTGTGTAAGCGTATATTTTAAATCACATAACTCTAGGCAGCACTCTGTTGTGAGCGACTGAGCGAGCGATCTCGAAAAAAAATTCGTCGCTCACGTTAATTTATTAGAGGGTCGTGTTTATGTTCCATGGCAGCATGGCACAATAGTTTAAGTAAAGGTGCCCCGATTCAAGCCCAATCGAGCCCATTCTTTTTCAGTCAATAGCAGATATCGACATGCATGTCTCCAGCTAGTTTCAATGGTTTCTAGCAAAATTCGGTATCCGTAGGTAATGTTAGATGTAAAAAGACGCGTCAAAGAACTTGTGTAGACACCACTTCTCCAAATTGATCCGCAAACTTTTGTAAGAGGGATAAAGCACAATAGACACTTGATCAAACCTCAGAGAACTTCCTTATCATATGCAATTTTCAATGCTTAATCCAATGAGTATCAACGCGCTACGGTGTACATAGTGAAAAAAGCGACCTTTGCAAGAGATTACGGCAAAGGACTCAGGAATCGCTTCATGGATTTCGACAAAACGGTTTGGATATTGGTGATAAAAATCCAGGAATATGCATAAAGGAATTTGCCGGGACCATAGACTAGTATCTCAATATGACCATCATTAAGCTGACTTTTGGCGCCAAAAAGTGACCAAGTACTTAATTTAAAAAGACTCTAATACTTTGAAAATCAATTACTCCATGGATTCTTCACCAGATGTCTCCATCTTTCAGTGATAAAGTCCGCGACACAAAACAAAGGACTGTATTACACTCTAAGTTTCAGCTTAGCCCAAAGCTGACTATATCCGCTTTAGATAGAATTTATGATACATTCTTTGCTCCATGTTGCTGTACTCTTAGCATCTCTCAGTAGTGTCCTTCCATTAAGACAGGAATGCTTCTTCGGCGATTTTTGAGAATATGCGATTCATCTTACAGTGGACAAAAAGCATCGTTTCCTCGCCACTATAATCGGTAGCTTGCTCCTGTTCCCCTACACCCCAGATCCTCTCTATGGGCTGAAGTTTGCAATGGTGGGGAGGTATTTTAAGGATCCGGTGGCCAAGCTTCTCCGCAATAGCGTACGTGTTGCAGGCCGGCTGTTCGTTCCTTGTCATCTCCTGGATCATTGCGTAGAGTTGGGCCTTTGTCGGATTGTCCACTAAGCTCGCTATGTCGTGCTCTTCCAACCACTGTCTCATCACATCCCCTCCGAGCTTGTTTGTTGGGCGGCTTGTTACTGAAACGAACATGATGCGACGCACCGCCCATTTGTATATCGCAGCTCTGGTGATTAAGGTTGTTCGAATTGATCTGCCTCGGTGCTGTTGTTTACCTTCTCTTCTTCGCATCCGAGAGCCCCATTACACGTTACACGAGGGCGAGGGAGTAATCTGACAACAAGCATGGCTCTGTTTGGCGAGTGCTGCAACGATGGATGTGTGTCTTTGCACTCTTTTCCCCTCTTCTCCCACTTTCCCACTTTCTTACTTTCTCACTTTCTCACCTTCCCACTTTCCTTTCTTCCCATTCACCCTCCCCCAATCCATCAGGAACTGTCTCGTATCTCTCTCAACTTTTCACGCTCTTCTGTCTGTCTCAAGTACGTCTCTACTCGATCTCAATAAGCACGGCCCAGCGGCGACTCATTGGTAACAAAGACACAGTTTATCTTGCAAACCCCCACCCCTGAATGTGCCTGAACAACCACAGTCGAGTCAAGAGTGCTAACGCTACAATGGCCGAGATCAGGAGGACAGCCATTCATGTACAATGGATAACAATCTTTTCTTCTATGATCACAGGAATCTCTGCTAGAGATGACGAGGGAAGCGAATATCACTCCACTCGACCGTCTTATTCGTGTGCAGACCGTCTTGAACAAAGGATTGGAGTAGAGAACATTGCACAAGGACAGACCATCTCTTCAGCTGGTGAAAGGACTCGAGAAACAAATTCCTGTTGAGGTGAGGCAGTGTTTCTTGTCACTCGATAGCAGCCTATGGGCATGTTTTAAGGTTATTAATCTTTTCTGCTGCACGATGGGCAATTGAGTTGGTATCGCTGCTAGGACGCACGAAGAGGACAGATCGTCAGGACTACCTCTGCTTCCAACTAAAGGAAATAAGAGTCAAGTAAACACTTCCAAGGTGAGGCCCCATCACTTGGCAGATTAGCCACATATGATATTGCTCATGCAGCTGCTATGGATATTAATGTTTTGATTTACAATAGCTCATTCTGCTCCTAGCCCACTGCGACATATTGGTCCCCCATTGCGTTACTGAAGTGTCTGTCAAGTATAAGTATGTATGCTGGCTACTCGCACAGGTATATTAATCGAATACAAGATCACTAATATCGCCGCCATCTGCACCATGATAACAGGAGAAACTCCCTCAGAGAAGCAACATGTTTGACAGACCTTTATCGTCACTGCGAAAGGCTCTCTCGCCACAAAAGGAACTGGAGCTCGCCAACTTCTACATAGAGAATGCGCGTAAAACAAAGGACGAGGAATTTGCTTTAATGTTGTGTGACGATGCGGAGGCTGCGTTATTACGGATGAAAAGAGCTGCGAAAAAGACTCTTACAACCCCTCTGTCCGTCAAGGATCAAGCCCTGCGTGATGGATTCGCCAGTGCCTGTTTCGAGCATGGCAAACTATTGGAAAACTTAGAATATAGCGAAATAGCGCAGGTCAGCTACAGGAGAGCAGAAAAGTGTGGGTAAGTGACAGGTGCCTGCTCTCTACTTGTGCGCATTAGCCGTCTATATCGTACGTCGTACCTAACACATCTCTCACTTTGTTGACTGTCCGCTGGCTTCAACAGCCATATGCGTCCTACAAAAGCTCCAGATTCTGTAATTTTCTCTGCTGCCGACAGCGCCTGCCGCGACATGGCACGGATCCCTAAGAACATCTTTCCCAATGACAAGCGTCAACCCACCGTCAAGATCGCGTTACCAGAGGCAGATGGGCGACTCAACGATACTTCACAGCTCGCCTACTGCCTTGGCCTTCTGCAAGCGACGCCGTTACCCGAAGAGGTGTTTGAACCAGCTGAAGGAGATTGGGTGGAATCCACAGAGAACAATGAAGAGGAGAAGGAAAGACTCAGGACACTGGCGACAGATGTAATCCGAGCATTCACTCGCGATGAGCTCAAGGATGCCAAAGCCGTCGCAGAAGTCGTATGCCTGGGCCCAGTTCTCGAAAAGAATGATTTTAAACGTTTGCTCATGCTCTTTGTCAATGGCGTTGACAAGTCCAGCCTGCTGAATGTGGAGTCCCTTGAAGGACTGGCACAGTTGGTCCAAAGTGCTCCCGAAGGCTACCTCGATTCAAATGACCTAGCTACGATCCTGCACAACCTCAACACCCGCCTACATAACACTCACAATCAGTCTTTAGATCACATCTGCCGTCTCACTCTCGCGGCGTCCAAAGTCCTGGATGCCATGGTCGATACCAATGTCTCAGGCGTGAAGTGGGAAGAGCTGCACAAGTCACTCTCTGGCTATTTGGATGGGCTGAAAGGCAGCAGTGACCCTTACTTGGTGTACCAGGCTGCCTACGCCTTCCAAGCACTGCAGCGCGTCCCAGACAACGAATCACCATGGCAAGCAACGATGCGGCGCACTGGAATTGTGTTGAAGGGCGTCTCAGGGATGGTTAGTGCCGTAAAAGGTCTGGACGTCGACGGCTTCATCACAGGACTCGGGAATCTTCAGGAGGGACTGGGAGAGGTGATCCAGGCAGCGAATACCGGTTATGAAAGAGTGATCGCACTGGTCGAGGGCGGCCAAGGACTGTTGGAATCTCTCAAGGACGGTTTCAGCTTCAGCCGGAAACGTGCCTGGTATACAGCACTGCGCGGGACAGACACACTGCTTCGGGACGGTCAACTTGCCAAGTTCAAGACCCTGGTCTGTGAAGCACCTTGCCGGCGTGATCTAGCCTTTCAACTAGGAGTATGCCAGCAACTGGGAAACCTTGCTGCCAATCCACTGTGGGATATCAAGTCTCGCCAAGGGGCTGTTGCGTTTCTGAGTGAGATGTACCGGAACGATGCGGAGTGGGGTCGGCAAGCCCTCGTCAAGCAGTGGATCCTTCACATCCTTATGCAGTTGGCTTCGACATTTGATTCAGCTATGCCATGTATGTATGATGAACGGATATGTGAGAGGCTGTCGGCTTATTATGAAGTATGAAGTTCACCACCAAGCAGGTACTAATAGCTGTATTGTATTCTATTGTGATCTGCGCGATATATGGTGTAGATGTCGAATCATTGTTGCAGGAGCTGGAGTCCAATGGCGATGAGACGAAAAGGATTCTTTATCAGGAATGCCGAAAGGGAGATCGAAGCTTACATCCGCTGCAGGTCGCCTTGCCAACTGTTGCGTCTCGATCATTGCTTGATCTTGTCCAGAACAAACTTGATGTTGAAGCCGACCTGAGACGACTGAGAAAACAACGATTGAAGGAACGAGGCGAAGTCGTGTACATCCCCCCTCAAGCCAAGGCTAACCTGCAAGCGTCCGATGACAACCTGTTCGACTTGACAAAAAAAGTTGAAGGCTTCCTGAGCAGTGACCATGCTAAGGTGATGCTCCTGCTAGGTAATTCAGGTGGAGGCAAGTCGACCTTTAACCGGCGGCTCGAGTGCGACTTGTGGGATGTCTATAAGAAAAAAGACGGCAGGATCCCGCTCTTTATCAGCTTGCCTGCAATCGACAAGCCAGAACAGGATCTGATCGCCAAACATCTACGCAAGGCAGAGTTTACCGATCCCCAGATCCGAGAGCTGAAAGACCAACGCAAATTCATCCTGATTTGTGACGGATATGATGAGAGCCAGCAGACACACAACCTGTACACGAACAACCGACTAAATCAAGCGGGAGAATGGATTGCTCAGATGGTCATTAGCTGTCGCAGCGAGTACATTGGCCTCGATTATCGGGATCGGTTCCAGCCAGCAGATGACAATCACCAAGCAGAGCCAGCATTTCAAGAGGCGGTCATTGCGCCATTCTCTATGGATCAAATTCAAGATTACATAGGGAAATATGTGTCCGCGACCAGACCGCTCTGGCAGGTGACGGACTACTTGGAGGCTCTTAATCTGATTCCCAGCCTGCAAGACCTGGTCAAGAACCCCTTTATGTTGTCACTGTCCATGGAGGTATTGCCGCGCATGATGGATCCAGAACAGAAGCTCTCGACCGTTCGGATCACGAGAGTCGCGTTGTATGACCAGTTTGTGGAGCAATGGCTGGAGCGAGGCAAGAAACGGCTCGTTGAGAAGAAGGACTTGATTTATCAAGAGAAGAAGGTGTTCGAGAGCTTGTCTGACGATGGTTTTGCGCAGAACGGAATCACATTTTTGAAGGCGCTAGCGGTAGCGATGTACGAAGAGCAAGCGGGCAATCCAGTGGTCGAGTACTCACCCTTTCGCGATCGATGGACATGGAAAGAAGATTTCTTTAGCCGGGTGGACGAGAAGCAGCAGCTCTTGCGTGAGGCTTGTCCTCTGGCCCGCAGCGGCAATCAGTACCGGTTTATCCATAAGTCACTACTGGAATATTTCTTGGTCCGTGCGGTGTTTGAGCCGCGAGACGGGGAGAGCGCGAATCGCGCGACCTTGACTCAAGCCCAGCGACGTCGAGGGAGCGTCGATTCCGTCATGAGCTTTGAAAACCAGGCTGATGTAGAGGAACCCGTGGCAGACATTGAACAGGCCGTGCTCGATTCGCCCTTGGCACGGAGAAGCTTTGTGGGTGAGCTGTCGATTCTGCAATTCTTGGCAGAGCGTGTCCAACAGGAACCTCTCTTCAAGCAGCAGCTGCTCGCAACGATCGAATGCTCGAAAACCAACAAAGAGGCACGCAAGGCAGCGGCCAATGCAATCACGATATTGGTCAGAGCCGGGATGCTGTTCAACGGCGCAGATCTGAAAGGCATCCAGATCCCAGGAGCGGACCTGAGTGGTGGGCAATTCGATTCTGCTCAGCTACAAGAGGCGGATTTGAGAAAAGTCAATCTTCGCAATATTTGGCTGCGTCAGGCCAATTTGAGCAGCGCACAGATGTCGGGCGTGCAGTTTGGCGAATGGCCGTACCTCTTAGAAAATAGCGCGGTGAATTCCTGCGCGTATTCGCCAGATGGGAAGTCCTGTGCAATAGGTCTCGACGGCGACACGATCAGCGTGTATGACACTTCGACTTGGGCAAAAGCCCACACCTTGCGTGGTCATACCTTTTATGTTGCGAGCGTGGTGTACTCGCCCAGCAGCCAGCAGATCGCCTCGGGAAGTTTCGACAACACGGTGCGACTGTGGGACGCGCAAACCGGTGCACCCGGACCCATCTTAAGCGGCCATACCCGCTCAGTTGAAAGTGTGGTGTATTCGCCCAGCGGCCAGCAGATCGCTTCGGGCAGTGAGGACAAGACGGTGCGACTGTGGGACGCGCAAACCGGTGCACCTGGTCCCATCTTAAGCGGCCATACCAACATAGTCTGGAGCGTGGTGTATTCACCCAGCGGCCAGCAGATCGCCTCGGGAAGTTTCGACAACACGGTGCGACTGTGGGACGCACAAACCGGGGCACCTGGTCCTATCTTAAGCGGCCATACTCATCATGTTACGAGCGCGGTGTATTCACCCAGCGGCCAGCAGATCGCCTCGGGAAGTTTCGACAACACGGTGCGACTGTGGGACGCACAAACCGGTGCACCCGGTCCTATCTTAAGCGGCCATACCTCCGTTGTTATAAGCGTGGTGTATTCGCCCAGCGGCCGGCAGATCGCCTCGGGAAGTTTCGACAACACGGTGCGACTGTGGGATGTACAAACTGGTGCACCTGGTCCTACCTTAAGCGGCCATACCGAGCGTGTTATGAGCGTGGTGTATTCTCCCAGTGGCCAGCAGATCGCTTCGGGCAGTGAGGACAAGACGGTGCGACTGTGGGACGCACAAACCGGTGCACCTGGTCTCATCTTAAGTTGCCATACCGAGTGTGTTAAGAGTGTGGTGTATTCGCCCAGCGGCCAGCAGATCGCCTCGGGCAGTGAGGACAAGACGGTGCGACTGTGGGACGCACAAACCGGTGCACCTGGTCTCATCTTAAGCTGCCATACCGATTGTGTTAGGAGGGTGGTGTACTCGCCCAACGGCCAGCAGATCGCCTCGAGCAGTCATGACGAGACGGTGCGACTGTGGGATGTGAATTCGGGTCAATGTTTGGCAGTTGTTGAAGATTTCCATGGGTCAATCACAAGCATGACCTGGAACCCTACTCCAAACGGCACCTATTTCGCAACCGGCTGTGAGGATATGTCTGTTCGCATGTGGCAGGTCATAGAAGAGGAGGATCACTATCAGGTCCGCCTGCATTGGAGTTCGATGCATGACAGACTTACCGTGTCAAATACCTCTATCCAAAACGTCCAAGGCTTAAGCAGGATAAACATGCGGCTATTAGAACAACGCGGCGCTGCGGGTAAGCCGATTCAGCCTTTGGGCTTCCGTGAGGCAAGCGAAAAGCTAATTACCATGGCATCCGTGGTGTATAAACTCAAAGTGCCGTCAAACCACAATATGATGGATACCGCCGCCACGGCCGATTCTTTCGCTGTACAGACAACAAAGCCGGTCGACTCGGCGAATGTCTTTCCGCTTGCTTGAAAGGTGAAGGTGCTACAAATAGGAGACTAGCAACGGTGCCTTGACTTCTACTCATTGCCAACCTTTTAGCGCATGAATTGCGCTTTCTGAAGACAACATGCAGAGCAGTCTTTGTCTATAACAAGTTCACAAATTAAAAGTGGTAGTCAAGAGCACAAACTAAAGCATTCAGTGGGTTGGAAACCCCAAAGAGCAGGAGAGAATGCGGTGAACAATGAAGAGATCAAAGCTAGGGCCATGGTGTATTGTGCGCCCGTAAATGTTGACCATGGCAGCCCGCTGTCTTTAGTAATACGCGCAAGAGAAACATTCCTCCTCCGATTCTAAAAAATCCTCTCGCGGAGAGTACCGTCCCAACTTCCTTCACCGACCCTGGCCAATATCACCAGCACCGCCGCTGCGACCAACATCAGATCTACAGCTAACGACGCACGCGCCATATTGAACTTAGTACGAAAGGATAGCTGGTATTTGGGCCAGCCTGAGCAGGCAATGGTTCGAAGCTATCATCTATTGGATTGTGGCTGAACGTCTCTAAGTCAGAAATCCGTGCTAGAACGCGACGATTACCGCCTTTCGATATTTAGTCGAATACGAATAGACCCTCGGGTCCTGAATCATGCTACGTGGGGTGGTCTTGTAGAATGGAAAGGCTTTATGAGGCTTCCACCGATGTTAAATTCAAATATTGGAAGAGATGAATCCATTGCAGACGGCAACGGCGTGCTGTAACCGATAAAGGACGCAGGTTCACATAACGAAAACTGTTCTAAAAACCAGTTTCGACTGTACTATCGCTAGTCCTTTGTTTTGTGTCGCGGACTCTACAAATAAAAACAAAGAATCGCTTTATTGCTAACAAGTCAACGAACGATTTCTAGGGAAAAAGTCAGAAAATACATAGGGTGATCAGAGGTTGGTTGGGGATGATGACGAGGACGAGGAAGACGAGGAGGAGGAGCTACCGGAAGATCGCCGTGAGGACGAGGACGGGGAGGATGATGTCGTCGTCGCGGTAGTCGAAGTAGACACATGTCCATCGTGGGAATGCCCACGGGATGCGGACCTGACTGGGCCGGCCATTACGTCAGTGACACCGTGGATTGAATATTTATCCTGGTGTTCGCTTTGCCCGTCCGTGCCCAGGCCCGTAGTCGACGACCTTGCTGACTTTGATCCGTGGACAAGGCTACTGATATCCATGGCAACGTCCTCGTCCTGCTCCTTCTCCACGCATGGCTCTTGCTCCTTCGGGGACAGTATCGCATGGGCCTGCTCCGGGGTCATGCCATCGATCTGCTTGGGCGTATAGTCCAACAGTGTCAGACGCACCCTGCTCTCGGCCGTGATCATGAACGGGATCCGTACTGGACGACGGGTCGACGTCTGCCCCTCCCCCTCCTCCTTCTCCTCCTTCTCTTCCTTCTCCTCCTTCACTTCTGCCGAAGCAGCCATGCTTTCGCCCGGTGCCCGGTATCCAAACATGGAACGATGCCGCGTTGCAATATACTGGCGTTGTCTTGTTTCCTGTGCAGGAACAGTCTCACCCCTGTCCTTGTCTGATTCAATTGCATCGATCTTGTCCTGTTGAACCCGCCGTGCCTTCACCAATTGCTGCTGCTGTTGCTGCTGCTGCTGTTGCTGTTGTTGTTGTTCCAGGATAGCGTTACGGTGCTTGGCCAGCTCGAGCTGGAGCTCACGCTGCTGCCGCATCCGCTGAGTTTGCTCCAATTGAATCTGTTCCTCCAGAAGGGATTGCCGCCGGTGTTGCTGGTGCTGGCGAACTTGCTCAGGGGTCATGGGTGGAGGCGGAGGTGAGTAGTAGGCGTGCTCGTTGACACTGTAGGGGACGATGGATGCCCAGCGGACGATGAAGGAGGCAGGGGAGGAGGAAGTGAGTGGGGAGGGGGCGGTGAGCTGGAGGGATAGGGGACGCCGCCGAGTGGTTTGGACGGCAGTGTGTCGCAAGGCTGCTGACCAGGATGAGGGAGAGGCCATTGTTCTTTCTGAGCGGGGGGAGTGGAGAGGATGTTGGTTACGAAGGAATGAAGGGATAGTCAGAATAAGAAGCGGGTGAGGATGAAGAAGATGAAGCTGGAGCTGGAGCTGAAGATGATGATGATGAAAGGAAGGAGAGAATGAGGAATGCAGGTGCTTGTTTGCTGCTATGTGTGGGCGTGTGAGAATGCTGTGGAGAAGGAATTCTCGATGATGCTGGGAGCAGTAAACCCAGCCAGTGGTGCCCTCCCATGGCCACATGACGGTTCCCCAATTTGGACAGGCTCATTCCTGGCTGACTGACTGACTGACTGACTGACTGACTGATTGACCACGGACTCACTCAACAAAAAACCATAAGAGTGGGGGAGTATTCCAAAGGAAGAGACCCATGAAGGGGCAAGGACACAACACCCCACAAGGATGGTGGTGTCTAGCGCCCAGACCATCCTAGCTCCTCAATTGCAATTGCTGTGCCAAGTGCACACATCCACACATGAGCAGAAAGATCTTTTCTTGGGTAACTTGTTTTATTATTAAGTAGTAAGCAAGAGGGATGTTATTATGTACAGTGCGTCTCCAGGGACGACAGCCTTGGGTTGAGTAAAGGATAGGGACATTCAGACTAGGTATACAAGTAGAAGTAGCACGAGCAGAAAAGCAAGAACAAGAAGCAACGCGAACGAATAAGAAAGACAAAGCAAATAGCAAACAGAATGGGACGGGACTAGCTTATGAGATCGAGAGAAGCTCGGCAGGGTAGTTCTGCAGGAACGGAGTGAACGCCGCAAAGGCCTTGTTCTTCTCTCCACGACCGTTGTGTCGGTGGATGCGAATGTGCTGGTTCAGGTTGTCGCTGCGGGAGAACCTCTTGGGGCAGTTATGGATCGGGCACTCGAATGGCTTCTCCATCGTGTGGATGGAGCGGACATGGCGCTTGAGATGTTCCGATCGCTTGAAGATCTTGCCACAGTCATCGAACCGGCAGGTAAAGACCTTGCAGCCAGAGTTGTCGGGATGACACGAGACGCGGCGACCGCGAGATCGCTTGGGCGTGGGCTTAACCATGGGAGTGCCATTGGCGGCCGTGCCATTGGTGGAGACTGCGCCGGTGCCTGTGCTGTTGGGCGAGCCTGGGGACTGGAAGAATGGGATCGAGGGCTCGCTCAGGGTTCTAGCCAGGGGGTATGTGGGGGCGATGGAGGAGCAGGAGCTGGACATGGACATGCTGCTGCTGGTCGAGAAGGGAGAGCGGGGGGACAGGGACGAGTCCTCAGAAAGGCTGGAGAGGGAGCTGGTCGAGTAGCTGTGCTGGTGGTGGTACTGCTGCGAGTGCTGCTGCGAGTACAGATTGTGCTGCTGAGCAGAGATGTAGTAGTCATCATTGTACACTACTTGGCTGGTGTAGCCCAGAGGAGACTGGCACATATCCATGTCGCGCACTGCACCCGTGGCCTGGTTCAGGCTGACCTGGCTAGAGGAATCAAAGGACATCACGTTGGAGGACTCGCACATATCCGAGAGCTGGCTGTCCGAGAACGAACGCGCCATTGACATCATATAGGATGGGCCCATAGAAGAGGCGAGGTTCGAGAAATGGTCGGCGGACAGCTCACCCTTGACGCGCTGGGAATAGTTGTACGCGCTCGAGGCCTGGCAGTCCTCGCCGGTGGGTGCGGTGGCATATGGCATAAAGTTCTCGTTCTCGTAGACGGCCTCCTGGTACTCTTGCTTGTATTCAGCATCTGAGAAGAGCAGGTTTGCACGGGCAGGCATGAATGGGTCCTCGGGCAGGTCGAGGAAGGTGCAGTTGACAGGAGACGCGGGATGGTTGCCCAGGATCTGCAGGTGGTGGTGCTGCTGGCTAGCAGGCGTCGGTGTGAAGAGGTGGTGGGCAGGGTGTGATGGCTGCGGTGAGGACGATGCCTGGTGGAGGCTGCTGTGGATTTGGGCGTGGGTCTGCACTGGCGAGGGCGAGCCGGAGCAGGAGGAGGTCGAGGCAGCGGGCGAGGGAGCAGAGGCGGGCGCACTGGACGCGTCCATGAGAAAGAGCGCTGATTGGGCGTGTGTCGTTTCGGTCTGGTCCTTGGTGGTCTGTGCCTTGATGTGGTAGCTGCTGGCGACAGAGGACTCTGAGAGGGCCGGAGAGGCGAGTGCTGATGCGGTCATCGCTACTATATGTGAAGTATGGATTCAAGGAGAGAGAGAGAGAGAGAGAGAGAGAGGGATAGCGAGGGGGAGTATGCAGGGTATCCGGAAAAGAGTCGTGGATCTGTGGCAGAGTGGGAGGCAGATCAGGACGGGATATCTTTTTGATCAAATCGTGACGCGATTGGAGCAGAGTGAGATAGCTGGCGAGACAGGTACAGAGAAGCAGGATCTCGGGTGAGAAAAAAGAGAGAGAGAGAGAGAGAGAAAGAGAGAGAGAGAGAGAGAAAGAGAGAGAAAGAGAGATTGAAGACGAAGAGACTGAAGACGAAGAGAGTCAAAGAGCTTTGATGAAGGAGGAGGAGTTGTAGAGAACAAGGAGGACGAGAAGAAGAGGAGGAGGGGAGGTGGCCATCGAGGTCCCTTTTTGTACTCTTTTTTTGAATGTCAAAGGTGCGAGGGGAGTGAGAAAAAAAGAGGAAGAGACAGGTTTGTTTGAAGGAGAGTATTCAGTCGACTCAATTGGACTGTATTGATTAGAGTACTCCGACAGACCACCACGGTAGTGACTATAGAGGAGAACTCAAACAAACAAAAGGCACACAACCTCATCGTAGAGTAACGCTTTCTATTGAATTCAATTGCTCACGGCTGTTTGCACTATTCAGCGTCAATTCAGTCGAGCGTAAACAAACCTGGTTTATATCACTTTTGTGTGTATGTGTGTGTATATGTTTGTGTATATGTGTGGGCGTCTATGGCGTGTGGTCATTCATTCAATCAGTCATTCACTCGCCCATTCATTCATTCACACAGTCACCCACTCACTCACTCGCCCACTCAGTTTGTTCATTCAGTCAGTCAATGAGGTGTGCGTCCAGTGCTGACTGGACTGACTACCTCTCTCTTCGGTCATCCATCCCCCGGAGCTGCCAGCCCTGGGCACTCCGTCTACCCCGTCCCCAATTCGGTCTTCTCCCTCCCTCCTTCAGTATCCAGTCCCCAGCATCACACCCTCATCCATCATGCGTGTCCACCCTCGCTCGACCCGCTCACCCTGGGTCCATTTTCTCTGTCGTATCCAATCAGTCTGAATCCCTAGCCGCTGCTCTTCTCTAGAAGCCTTCGATTCTTCTGACACCAAAGGATGGGGAAGCAAAAGAGCATTCGCCAGCCCAGCATTCCCTGTCGAAAGGTGCCTCCTCTGGACCTTTCTCGCTTCCTCTCGCGCTTTCTCTCTTCCCCTTAATCGGTCTTGAGCTGTTTCTAATCTAAAACAGGCAAGCTCGATCTAAGGTAGACGGACAGGGCTAAACCGACCAACCAGAAAAGATCTCAGCCCGTATACACCGACCAGAACAAGAATGTTTGGCACTTCCCATAGTAGCTGTGGCATGGCGAAATGAACCATGGACCTTCCTCCACAAGTAGACCCGGTCAGATCTGGTAGAAAAGTAAAATATTAATGAGAGACAGCATGAAAAGAAAAAAACAAAAGAAATCACACATGATTGTCCCGGCGCTCCTCCCAGCACACCCCACACTGGTCTGTTCACCCCCCATCCCAAAAGCAACAGCGCTCAAGCCAATTTACGGCCGCAGACTGACTGCCATCTCATCTTTTTCTTTTTCTTTTTTTTTCCCGCGCAAGCGACCAAAGGGTAAGAGCGCGAGCCACATAATAAGAGAGCCCTGGACTATGCACAACCAATTCTAAAGGATAGGTCGAGTGACCATAGTAATAAAGCAAAGCAAAGGCGCAGGCAATAACAGCAGCTCTAGCCTAAATTGCTGGATGGCTGGCCATATGGTCTCCTTTCTACGTACGAATACCTGTCTTCTCGTAAGTAAATTATCAAGCGGGCTGCTCATCACACCATCAATCCAAAACATCACGGGAGGTATCTACACATAACTATCGTGTCGCGCTGTCAAGTGTTCAGTTGCACTTTATTGTGTCCGATGGCGGCTCGTAGTCGCGCTTTCTTTTTTGTCAATGGCTCACGTTGCTGAGCTCGTCACCTGCAAAAAAAAGAAAAAAAAAAAAAAAAAAAAAGAGCAATGCAAAGGCGGATTCAAGGAGAAAGGGCGGATGACAGTCTCGACGCTTCATGCAACCACCGGTTTATATGGTGCTTGCATGGAGTCGTGGCATACAGAAATAGACAGTGCGGTCTGTCTATCTAGGAGCTGGTTATCGTTATTTCGTCGTATCGTTGCTATCCGTTTCCACAACCATGAATCAACTGGACCCTCGGTCAATGATACCGTCCATAAACATTGCAGGTCTCCAATAACTGGCACCCTGGGCTTAGAGGCAAGGAAATGGTGGCCTGCTACCTTACCAAGGAAAAAAAAAAACAGACTTTGGGCGTAGGTTTTGCAGACGCATAGCTTCATCTGAAATCATTAGAGTTAGTCCACTCCTCCTGGGCTTACTGACGTATCTGACACCTGGAATACCATGTGGTCAATGGCGCATACCGGTCCTTAAAGCTCTTGTTATTCAATCTGCGTTCAAAACCCGTTATCAAGTCCTCTCTTATCGGGTCCGGTGTCTTCTGGACATTCGCGCGCTAGGACCGCGAACCGTTGGTCATGCTTAACAGAGATGGCTTTGGTAGCGTTGGAGAGCAAAACGAGAAGTGGATGAACAAGAGAGCATGGTTCACCCACCAGGTCAACCTGACAAACCTTTTCTAGCTCTATCAAAGATATATAGAGCGTTGACGCATCATACTGCTGACCTATGCAATCGATAGATTTCTTTATGCGCGTTCGCTATGAAACAGGCCGTTCGGCATCCCGATTCTATCTTTTTTTTTTGGGCAGGCGGGCGGGCGGCACAGCAAGTAAATGGGATCATGTAGTCCTGGAATGCGAGAAAATAAAATCGAGATTGGATATCATTTTTCATTACAAAATGGCGGCCTTCCTTTACGGATCGCTCATCAAGGGAGCCACATATCCTCTCTGAGGACTCAAAAGTAGATAGACTTCTGGCACTAGCCAATATATGACAATTTGGAGGCCAGGGACGGACAGTTCGTGATCATGTACCTGTCTCTATCTATAACTAACCTTGAGAACGTATTCTAACTATCATTATACTGCAACATCAGAGGAGTAAATCGTGCGCAGGCATTGATCCACCCAGCACAAGACCCAACCCTCTCTCTCTCTCGTTATAGTCGCGAGGCCAAGGTCAGGTCAGCGGCCGATTAGCTATATCTGCTCATTGTTGAGCTTCGCTTCTTTTCTGCTGAAAGCTGATCTCCTGGCGGGCAAGCTCCCTCACATCTGTACCTCTTCATAGGGAAACGCCTGTCGAGCAAAAAAAAAAAAAAAAAAAAAAAAAAAAAAGACTTTTCCCCCCATGTTTACTACTGGCGCACATACTTCTACGCGCTAGTATCAAAGGACATCGCCCAAACACGATGCGAGAACCATCGAACTACGCTTGGGTCTTCTAGGGTGTGAGACGAAGAATGTTTGATTGAATGCATCGGAACGCGGCGAAGCGTGGTGGAGCGTCGTACAAGAAATGAGAGCATTCTTTTTTTTTTTCTTCTTTTTGGATCCGAAACAGTAAGTATTCCTTGCTGTGTTTCCGCGAACATTCTCGCCAAGAGGATATCATCTTTGTGCGTGCTTGGCTAGGCAATTCGGCGGCGAATTAGACCCTCGGAAACGCATTTAGTTATATTCCTCAGACAGTCTGATGCTTTTTCACTAAATACCATCCTATACATCGAATAGTTTTACGCGAGTACGATTTTTTTATTATTATTATTCCAACATCCAAAGGTGCCAGAGTAGATCTAATGATTCTAGGGTGGAGAGTGCACAACCCCGTATTGATTATGATACAACCAAAATGGTCTATCCCTTCTCTTTTTTTCTTTTTGTTAAACTGCCAGTAGCAACAGAGGAATTATCCTTTTATGTGGCCCAAGTCCAGGTTGTACTATGCCTTTCACACGAATAGTACGGATGAACAGTAAGGGTGAGAGAACGCATTCAGGGTGTTGTACGCGCTTGTATGTTTACATCTCAAAATACATGCCTGACTGGCCCCTGCTTTCTATGTTTCTTTTAAGTAGAAGACCCCGAGAAGGGTGAAATTGGGCTGGTTTGAAATAAACAAATAAAAAAAACCACATTCGCCAAGGATTATCGGATAGCGCAGATCTTTCTGGATCGCGACCAGCCTCATCCTCAGGTAGCACATTATTCTCTACCCTCTCATTTTACCGCGGCGGATGTGGACTCATATAAAGGACCATCGTACAGCGTTTACAACCGGGTACATGGATCGTATGAGATGATGATGTGTGGGACTTCAAGTCCATCGACAAGGAGGATATAGAATGACGATTTTAATGGACGTGCAATAGATACTCGATGCGATGTCCTGCACATGGTGGCATGAGATCAGACCCTGGCATTTCCCTTGATAGCTACGCAATGCTTGGACGCATCTGTGCGATGTGTACAGTGCATACTCATGCATATTAAGGATCTATTTCTAACATGTTGCATGGATAGTTAAGAGCGGAATACTTGATGGTTGCAGTCCATCGATCTTGATCCTAGGCTACTTTGATCTGTCCTCATCGCTGAGATATATCGCCAGTTGGGGCAGACAGGCGAAATGAAAACCAAGAGATCATAAGCACAACAATGGCTGAAGGAAGACTGCCGCGCTTGACTAACCTCTCTACAGAGAGGAGCGAGAGATGGCCTCGGTTCAAGTGCGATCAGCGAGGACGTGTCTGCGGTAATGTTCTGCTAAAATGAATGCGAATCAAGGTTGTTCGCAGGCATTCGTATTTTCCCTCCTCCTCCTCCCTGTACCCCTTCTCCCCTTGGCACGAACTAAGAGATAGCGAAAGTATCTCTTTCCTCCAAACCCTTCTGCACCGACCCAGCATGAATGAGATAATAGCAGACTCCCACAACTCCCTGAACTTTATTATTTCCCCTCTTTCTTATTTTTATTTGCTCCTTTCTAGCGCGTATCCATGGTTGTTGGTGAGATGACATTAGGCTGGCTTTCACCACCCGCATACATCTTTACAAGATACCTTCTTTGTAGCTGATCTGGATAAATCGAAATGATCCTGGGCCAGCACCTTGCCTGCCTTGCCTTGCCTTGGTCAAGGCTCTATTCCGTCGTTAATGACAGAAATGAAAGGAAAAGACGTATTGGATCGTCTGAAGGTTAATTCACCAATGAACGCGTCCAGTCCAAATGGAAAATCGAACATATAGAACGGGTGCTGTTGAGCCACTCAACGAGCTGCGTACATAGTTTTTTCCGGTACTCCCAAAAGCCGGAAGGGAGGCCCATGGTGTACTAATTAGTTACATACGACTGAAAGCGAATACGCCTTGAGAATCTCAAGGACAATAGGACAATAGGACAATAGTATATGTATTTTTTTATATGCGTGCCTTGTTGTCTCGGCGCCGCACCGTAATTATTCATTTCTGCTGTCGAATTGGGTCATGAAGAAGGGGGAGGGTAGGGGAATGCTAAAATCACAGGCTGGAGGATATGAAGACAGAGGGGGTCTCCGACATTCGCGAGTTGACGAGGGATGCAGCACCAATATCAGACAACACTGGTTCAGCACATCCCTGGTTCATTATTGCTCCAAGAACGACTTTAGCATGCAGACGCAGTGGCCATAAACATGCCGACGGCGAAAGGCGCCTCCGACGATTGATGAGAGCCCAAGTGTTGCTATTTACCCGTGCACGATATGTTCATGAGCTGAAAGGCCCATTCATCCCTCTAGCCGTAGCTGGCATGGGAAGAGGAAAAAAAGCCTACCCACGGCCGTGTTTCTTTGTATCACTCATAAAATGTGCTTCGTGCCCATTTCCTTTCCTCTTCTCTCCCTATCTCTTCTTCTGAAGTTGTTGTTGTGCTCGTGCGTGCGCTGTTCTCATCGTGCATGCCCACCACACCATGCAGCTCATATATCCTAAACGGGAAACGCGCCTCAGGGGGTCCCGCTACTCCCATTTTTTTTTTTTTTTTTGGCCCTGCTTACGGACAATTAACGAGGCGGGCGGGATTAGTGCGGGACGGGAGTCTGAGAATCCCGTCGCAAATTACGGTACGGGATAGATCGCACGCACCATGGCTCGACCAACAAAATAAAATAAAAAGTGTCTACGAGCCTGCCTCTGCACGAGCTTTAGTCGCGTAAATTTTGCTGGATCTCAGGAATTTACAGCTTATCTCCTGCCTGCACTGACTAACACTGTAATTTCTGATATTTTTCGACGCGCATAAAGGTGTAGACCGTGAAAGCTGCAGGTGTCCTGCACAGGTGACCATGCTTTACTTGATCCAAAGCCCTCGCCGCCCTCCTCCATGACCAGAATAAACGCGAATACACAGTATAGAAGCGGAGAAAGGCGTATACAATAGACAATGATACTCCGCAACAGTCAGATCGCCATGTCGCTCACCCTTCCATCTTCATTGCTTGCAGGTTGCTCCTCGGAATATCATCAGAGCCATCGGTTAGTTCCAAATAACAGTCTCAATAGTGCACCCATGACCATTATGTCGAATGGCTATGATCACGGTATCCTCATTTATTAGCGTTTTTATTACTTCCATCGCCCCTGAAATTGTAGACGCTTGCATATAGTCTATCGTATACAAAACATTATATGCATGCATACAACACATGCACGGTGGACCACGCCGAATGGTCATGGCGGTGGAGAAGCACTCGAAATGACCGACATCATACCCGAGATCAAAAAGCTGCTGCAGCCGGTCTATAAACGGACAAGCGGCCTCGTCACATTGGTTGAAGGACGACAGATGGAAAAGACGAAAGAGGCCTGTTACCCAATACACTCTATTTTCCCTTTAACCTTTTCGCGTCCTGGTCGGAGTCTTGTCGACGGAGAGGAACTAGCTAGTACATGCGCGCAAGTACACGGACTACTCCTGCATGCCATCGGAGGATGGAGTTGTCACCTCCAGCTGCTGACATAAAAACGGCGCCTGTGTCGCTGCAGGTGGGACAGCTTGAGCCTCAACGCGTGGCCATGGTCCAAACCAGGGCAGGAGAAAAAAATCTGCGCATGGTTGATAGTCCGCTGCGATAAAGGGCGTAATGACCAAATGCTATCCAAGAGGGCTCTGTGCTAGTGTTGGTCAGCAAGGTGGTCATCTGGCAGTAACTCTAACTCTCCTCACTTTTGGTAGAGAGCCTTAGCTTGGCTCCTTCCGGTGGCAGTGGGGTATTTGGACACACTTTTACGCTTTTGCGTTGGATTGAATGGTTGCGAATCCAAGTCAGACTTTTGTCAGTCAAGCGTTTGGTTTGTTGGTAACCCTGCACCATTTTTAGTTTTTTTTCTTTGTGTTGCTTTGTGTTGCAGCAGTTGTTGTATTTGTTGTTGCTGTTTTCCTTAAACTGTGAATCCACGCGCTTGATCTGCCTGAGGTGCATCTAGAGTATAATTTTCTCCGTGGAATACCGATGATCGCAGGTTGTACTGTCTCGATGGCCTCCACTGTGGAAAAAATAAAAGAAAAACAGCAAACAAGACAACAATCGCTGGTGGCTAGACCTCTGCTAAGCTATCGAGCCAGTACCCATGGTTGATTTTGCAGCTCGCCTTTGAAACAAAGACTTTCTAACGGTCGTCAGTTCCGGGGACATTACGAGCAAAGCTACATGACCCGTTGACCCAGATGGACCTTGACCAAATCCTCTTCGTATGTCTCGCCTCAACCCCGTCTATGGGCTGTGTACCCGAGTATTTTCTTTTCTATCCTTCCTCCTAGAGCTGAGTCCCATCCGATTCACCTGTCTTGCTTTGCTCTCCTTCCTGCAGTAAACGCAAAAGGCATAACAAACAACCATTTGTTAAGCAGACCCTAGACTGCAGACGCAGTGGCACCGATCGCTTTTGTCAGCAGGGTACATGTCAGCTACGGAGGACTAACAGAAAGCGAGCGCAGGCATCGTATGACTCTGAGGTGCTTTACAGATCACGAAACTGGCTGAGTAGAGCTGCAAAGTCTGTGTTTTTATCCAAACATCTGACATGGTACCACCATGCCGCCTGGATTTTTTTAAAAAAAGCACGCACGACTATTTTCTACCCATTTGTTTTTTTTTTTGTTATGTAACAAGGCCAGACCAGACCTATGCTCTTGGGCGGATGATGATCACCATCCGAAAAGTGGGGTGTCCTCAGCGTGGCGCTTTTTTGAAATATATTTCCGCGCGAGTGAGTTCAGCGATATGGGGAAACACGAGAGCCTGAATGGCCAAACCATGCCCAATGCATTGGACCGTCTCTCTATATTGTGCTGTTGCAAAGGCCAATTTGTCCATTTCGGGCAAGCAACTCCCAACCTCCAGCGCCGTTAGCAAAACAAACAAAGCAGCACTGTGCTCGTCATCCCAAGTCGTTCCTGCATTCCTGCAACAGCTAGAGACAACACCAACAACGCAACGAGTCGGCATCATCCAAACAACAATAACAACTGTCGAACAAAAGAGCCTCTAAAGACCGACCCTGCCCTACTCCTGCCCCTGCCCCTGTCCAATTTCAAGTCGAACCATGCCAATGGCAACGCATGCAGGCACGCATTTCGTTACTGCGAAACAGTTTTCTTTTTCTGGCGCAGCTGGGCTCGTCTGTTTTATTACGCTCTACCCAATGACCCCTCGACTCCAACACAGACACCAAATCCTGACTGACCTTTTGTAGTCTATGCACTGCAAGGACTGAAAGTAGTAAGAGGAAACTGGATGAGACCGCCCTAAACTTGAAAAGGCTCAAGCGCTCCAAAAAAAAAAAAAAAAAGTTGCGAAAGACATTTCGCGCGATTCGTTTCTTCTTTTCTTATGCGAACAGCTGCCCAGGTCGTGACCTAAACTTTTTTATATTTCTCATACGCGTTTTTTTCATGTCCGACAACGCCTTGGACACATTCCTCGACCACTTTTCCCCTCCCCCTCCCTCTAACGATTTTCGCCCAACTCTCTTATGTTTGTTGTCGATCATCAAGCTTTTAGCGTAAAAAGAAAAAACGAGCGAGGAGATACATCTGCCTGTTGTCTGCGTTTAGATCCAGGTTGTTGGGTTTTGAAAAAAATAAAAATAAAAGTACGATGCGGAGAAAAGTAATGACCCGGATGGTTACACATACATGTCAATAGACTAGCTTGAGGAAGTATATACCTGTCAGCAAAGCAACGGTCGATAGCAACAAAGTGGATTGACTGACCTGCATTGCGAGGTTACACCAGAACCCGTGCCCAGCTGTCTCTGCACACAGGAAAAAAATAAATAAATAAATAAAAACAAAGCAAAGCAAAGCAAAAATAATAATAATACGCGAATCATCACGATGTCATGGTTAACGTGTTGTTGTTCAGCATGGTATATAGTCTACGCGTAAAGAATAGAAAGCGCACGTTGATCAGGGTTTGGTGCCGGTGCCTGGATTTTGAACAACAACCTGCCACGTTGTTTGTTTGTTTTTTTTTTTCGTGCCTGGCCCTGGCCCTGGCCCTGGCCCTCGTGACGTAGCCATTAAGTGATAAAGAGCTGAGTATTCTCCGCCATAGTTCTTGACTTTCCTCTGTTCCTGAGTTGTGGGCCTACATAGATTTGGTCTAGTATTGTCAAGTATCAGTAGCCTACAGGCACAGAGGATTTAAACCGATGGTCTCATGGTCGCACAAATTCTTTGAATTGAATATTTATTCAATATTCGGGCAGGAGGACGGAGTCCAGATCAATGACAGGCAGGTAGTCTACAGCCATACGGCAAAAGAATCAAAAGAATAAAAAAGGGTACTACACTTTACTTTCACGACATAGGGCTATGAAAAGGCGTTCGTACCTGAATTACGATGGTACGGATCGGAGACGGTACAAATCGAGGCTCTCTTCCACGTTTACCTTCTAAGGCACCATCGCACCCTCATGCCGTCATCATTGCCTCACCCTTGACGATCCACATCTAGGAGCGCGCCCGATTCTTCCGATCTAAGGGGGACAAGCTGGTCGAGTACAAAATAGAAGCACAACAACAACAAACGGACCAAGAAGAGACAGATCAAGTGAAGGAAAGGGATGGGCTCCTTTTGTGTTGCTTTTTGTGGAGATTTTCACGCTTTTGCTGCAAAGACGCACCAACATTACAACCACAGTTCGGTCTAGAGGACAGGAACCCTACCCCTGAAATCAGCCTCTGACGCGTGTGTGCAGAGCATAGAGAGTGGGAACAGCAAAATCCCAGGAAGATCAAGGTGGCAACGATAGGAACCAAGATCTTATTTGCCCAAAAAAGGACGCTCTGAGCTGGGAAGATTTTTCTTATCATTCCTACCCAGCCGCGGGAACGGGAACGGTGCGCTTTTTTTTTTTTTTTCTTTTTTTGAGTTGGAGAGAAATGAAATGTACCCGCGCATTGAGCAGAGCACTCTGCCGCTCGGGAACGCCGCATCCATCGCCGTCCTGGTCTGGATTTCATCCCAATCACCCAATACTTTCGTCATTCTGAACAGAGTCGCCACTACACCAGCAGAGAGCACTGGCCGAAGGAAGGGCCGTTGAACTTTGTTTCTTTCTATGCCTTGTACTCTCGCGTCCTGCAAATAATCGTTTGAGAACAAGGACGCCTCAGTGTAAAAAAAAGAGCACCCTCAGAGGCAGGAATACACAAGCATGACATGAGACAAGCCTGCAATGTTACCAAAAAGATAAAGGGTTTCATCCCTCTTCACGACACAAACATCAGCAGGTCCTTGCAGAGTGCTTGCTAACGCATTCGGCAATGCTTTGGTATCATATTTTTCCCGTTGACTGCAAGGCTCGCATTGTGTTCCACAAAGTACAAAGACGTATTCCTTGAACCCAAAAAAAAAAAAAACAATCGGGCCTCTGTGCGTCTGGATACACGCTCCGTCGCTCTGTACTTGTAGACTATGTGTGTTATGAGTCGCAAGGTTGTATCAAATTGCATGTGCAGACTAAAAAAAAAAAACCAAAACTGTAACCGAGAATGGATGAACTGTGCCTGTCCTGATTTCCTTGATCAATGCGCGGATGACCTTATGCATATTTGTTTTCCTTTGTCATTTTGGACCAGTTGCAGTCGATGGCTCTTTGCCCTCGAGCTTGAAACGGCAGTGGACAAGGATAAAAAAAAAAAAAAAACGCTCATTATGACCTAATAATCTTTTCTAGCTTTCGCAACTTACGTTTATTCATGGTTCGGTTCTGGGCTCTCAGTACTTCAACAGCTCCAGAGGCAATTATGCATAGACTACTGCAAGGGACCACCAACGCGTTCGCAACTGTGTATATGTTGAACGACCGTCAAGAAATGGAACCCACGCTGGGCGACATTATGTAAGGCTCAAGGTTGTGCAACTCGCTTCTTTAGAAAGACCACGCACACCGTATTCGGTCCGATTGCCCAACATCGTCCACCAGAGCAGACTAGCATGGATGCATTCAGACACAGGGCGAAAACGCTTTGTAGTACAACTGTTGGGCTGAAGTGTCAAAGGTTCGAAATAGAGAAATGGTCGTGTGCTTAAATCGCGTCTGTTGATCCGTTGTCCGAGCAAAGAAACAAAAGAAGGGCATTAGGAGGTGGGGGAAGAAGGCGCAGATTCGTACCATTGCTGCCAATAATTCACATGTATTTCCTTGCATTATTTCTCTTCATACAGCAGGATATGGGCCTCATTCACCGCCACAAAGGCATAGAGGAGCGCCGCAGTCAGCGTGTCGTTCGACCATTACTAAGTCCACAACATATGATGCCTCTAATTTGCACAACCATTCGCTTTATTATGTTCTGTAGTTGGCAAAAATGGTCACCGTTCCTCCGATCCATTCAGGTCCTTAGAATTCCTCGGCAGAGCGCCTTGCAAGACGCTGAACTTTCTTCTTGAATGTTGGGTAACTGTCGCGCCATTCTTTCTATTTACCGCGACACGACGGGTTAATGCAATGCAGAAATGTGTCAGTGCTCGGGGGCGTTGCCAATAAGAAAAGAAAAGAATAAAAATAGAGTCATCGCCTTTCCACTTACTGCAGCCTCGATGTTGGCTGGGCTTTCATCGTTCGGGCTGGAGAGCATCGAGATGACGCTGATGAGAATCGTCTCCACGGTGTGGACGGGTGACCAGCGCTCACTAGCCTGCTCGTATCCGTACTTGTCCTCACCAGGGGGGTGCTAGAGTTCATTGATGTTAAAGGAGTCGACACCGCAGTTAAGTTGGGTCCTTAAAATTATCGCCTTTGCATCCATGGTCTAGCGAGTGTGAAGCAATGGCCTACCAAAATAGAAATGCACACATCGCCATTGGGATACACTATTCATAAAAAAAAAAGTCGCAAATCCAGAATTAGCGATCCATTGCACTCAGACGCAGCCTCACTAAAACTTCCTATCAGCTCTCTCTCTTATTACCATTGGGATGATACATTTCGGTCGTAAACTTCAGCTTTGGGGGCATCAAAGGATAATCCGGCGGGAATGTCATGATGGCCCTGAAGAAACCGCCCTCGCTGTCACAAGTAAACGGAAACAGAAGCCGCAGTAAGATTAGAGATGCGCACATAAAAGCATAAGATGTCCTGAACGTCGATACAGAAGCAGAGATGGTTGTGAATGCGCCTGTCCCGCAACCAATGTCTCCTGAAGTTGGGCAGAATTAACTGGGAGGGGTAATTCCTGTGTCCGCATGCTGCTGTATGACTGTAGTGGATTTCTGTCCCGTGCTGCTCTCTTATTTGGCTCAGAAAAATGTCCTGGACAATACAGCAGCAAGTCCCTGAATAATGTCGGTGAGGTCCTGCATAGAACGAGCGACAGGCATCTGGACAATCCTTACTAGAGCGTATCCTGTGGTCCCATGATAACAATCTCCCACTAAAAATACACAAGCAATAGACGCCAATGGTTAGAGTCCCGGAAGGAACGCTAAAGTGCTTTCAGGAAAGCACTGTGCCTGGCAGCATACAGACATACCTCGTAGATGTTGTCGTCGTCAACCAGACCTGCCGAGAAGCCCTCAACAGGATTTTTAGTCAGGTCTGACGGAGAAAAAGGAATGATTATAAAGAATGGTTAGTACTTTTTCATCCATACACACAACGACTCGGAGGTCACAGCAGTATTCTCGTTGTATTGATTGGTAATGTACGAAGAACCATGGCCAAGTGTCCCTTCGGTATGTCGCCATCAGATGGAGAGTCTCGAGGTCAAGATGTAGCCCTGGTTCCATGCATCGTAAACTGGCAATAGACAGAAGGAGCATAAAGCCATAGTTCTACTCTCCATTACAGCTTTGGCCACCAAAATAAACAGGATACTACGCTAAGTGATGGAGTCAAACCAGATGGCACAGCAAGGTTGAGCGACTAAGCGATGTTGTGTACTGGGCTTACCTTTGAGCTGGCGCTTCAGAAGGAGTGTTGACTGGTCGGACATGGCCTGAATGTGCTTGATGGGGATCGGATTCGAGTTTGGGGGAAGTGAAGAGGTGTTGAACAAGAGAGTGTGCAGCGGGAGGATGATATGTGTGGTGTGTGGTATGAGAGGGTGCTGTGTGGTCCTGGACGAATCACAGCGAGCCTTTTGTACAGAGCTGCCTTCCGCAAGCCACGCCTGGAGACCAGGAACCCTGCGTTCTGGCAGGTTCTTTCATGCCCATCCATACCCTTGCTACGCCTTCTCAATGAAAGCTGCTGGACGAAAGGCCAATACAGCATTGAAGCACTTTTCTTTTGATGTTTGGACGCGGCTCCACCTGTCGCAGTAGGCAGCCGCAGCCGACCGACCTCACCTGAACGGCCTACCAGGGACACACGCGATCCATGCACGGACGAATCGGGGTGACCGCACTTGAGGGGCAGCTCCTATTGGCGCGCATCAACGAACGCATGGAAGTCGAACAACCTCTTCGTTCGCAAACAACGCTACCCGGTACAGGACTCTTTCTCAGCAACTATGCAACGCGCTACTTCAGTACTCTTCCTTAATGCAAGGAGAATCACTTCTGTCCAGCAGATCGCTCACACCGTAACCGGTGCATTGTCCACCCCCGCCTCGCATTCTGCACCATTACTTCTCAGGGCCACCAATGGATCGCTTGGGAAGAACATGGCTATGGCTTTGAACGCTTCATGCCAGATCCGAGGATATGCTTCCAAGAAGGGCGGAAAGGGCGGAAAGGGAGGAAAGAAGGGTTCCAGCAGCGACGATGACGATGACGAGGACTCTGGATCTCGCAAAGGAAAAGGCAAAGGAGCCGAACCATCAGGAGTGGAGATGACATTTGACCCATTGGACCTGGAAAAAAAGATGGGCCAGTGCTTAGAGAGACTCAAGAAAGACTTCATGACCATGCGAGCCGGAACCGCTAACCCAGGTATGGAAGCTATCCGGCGATCGGCTAGCGTCTGCACCAGGTCGAAGCGGACTTTCTGACTTTCTGACTTTCTGACTTTTTTTTTTTTTTTTTTTTTTTTTTTGGCCCATAGCGATCCTGGATCCTGTTGTAGTCAAGATCGACAAGAAGATGGTGCCATTGCGTGATCTGGCACAAGTTTCTATCAAAGATGCCAAGACATTGATGGTCAATGTCAGTGATGCCGAAGTACGTTGATCAGCGTGATTGTTACAATCAACTTCAACAGGGCGATACATAACATATTGACTAACCCGATAGTGTTTTTCCACATACTTCATAGCTCACAACTGCTATCGAGAAGGCGATCCGTGAGGCGGGACTGAACCTGAACCCAATTGCTGAAAATAAGGCCGTCAAGGTTCCTGTGCCAAAGTAAATACCGATGCGTTGCGAATGTTGATCTGCTTGTATAGGCTTGAAGGTATCTTTGTTTGACCAGCATCTCTATTATGTATCTATCTAGGCCGACGAAAGAGTTCCGCGAGTCGCTTACAAAGCAGGCATCGACAAGTGCAGAAAAGGCAAAGACGATTATTCGTAAGCTGAGACAGGATGGTATGAAGGATCTTAAGACTGATCTCAAGGCAGGAATGAGTTCCGACGAGAACTACACCCTGGAAAAGAAGGTATGTACATGTGCTTTGTGCAGATCGCACAGCTTATTTTTGAGAACGCAGTCTTGTTTGAGCGTTAACTAACCTGAAAATTCTCATTTGTCAAGGCTCAAACACTGCACGACAAGTATATCAAGGATATTGAGGAGGCACTCAAGGCCAAGTCCAAAGAGATCATGTCCAATTAGCCAGACTAGGTCAATTTTGAATCCCAGTTTATTCCGGATCTCAACAACCAGTAATACAGAAAGATCGTAAGTAGCGATCTCTTCATTGTCCTTGTTACATGTTGTACACTTTTGTCCTTTTGATGATCCAGCTTTATACGATTGGGCCCTTTGGCTGGGCTTGATATTCCTATGAAATGAAAGACAAGAGGGATATGTGTGAGCAGCGACAGTAGAAAAAAAAAGTCTTGAAGCATCATTCGAATCAATGCTAATGCAGGAAACATGACATACCCAGTGGAGCTCGCCGACATCAAAGTTGCCCTTGAACTCCCAGCCAGACTCCTTGACATGGTAAACGTTCACAGATCCTCCAGAGTACGCATCACGATGGGTGGCATGGTAAATGGCTCTGCGTCCCAACTCAAGCGCATCTGGAACGGACAGGTTGTAGTCATATCCTGTGTCGAGAACACCATATGCAAATGTCGATCCTGATCCGACAGAGAATCTCTCGCCTCTCATACGGGTGCCGTCGGAGTCAACGTAGAACAGCTGTGGGCCTGTCTTGTCCCATCCAGTAATCATTGTGCCCATCGACAATCCCATACCCTTGTAATCGTAGACCATGTTGCTCAGAATCTTGGAGGCGGCTGCTACAGAGATTCGCTCCTTGTTGCGGAGCTCGTACAGTCGGCATCTCCTTCCGAGTTCGCGCTCCCAGTATTGACAATCTGCAGCGCCACCAGCCATAGTTCCGAGGAGGTACGGGTTAATCTCGATAACCTTCTTGACCGTTTGCGATGCTATTTTGTGTTGAAAGATACGGAAGCATTGGATGTTAAAATCAGGTCGCCGATATGTCCAATGTCAAGCTCCATGAAACACCTCAATTGCGTACCAATATAAGATCCTCCTGAGGCACGCGAATCGACCGCAACGACAATTCCTCCCTGGAACTTGAATGCGAGAGTCGTGGTTCCGTGTTGGATGCGGATGCGGTTCTCTGCAGAGGCGTCGGTATGAGCACGCAAAAAGTCCACCGGCTATCCAAGATTGCATGATCGTGAATATAATACATGTTAGTGGTTGAAGTGCTTTTGTTTAAGGACAGTATACAAAGATCAGTTGGTTTGTCCCACTGGAATGTCTGCATTCGGCTTACGTTGGTAACCATGGGGATGTCAAAGGCAGGAAGTGCAAACTGGTTGGCAGCATCCCATCCCGCGAGGTTGTCGCCGAGATTGTCTGCGTTGTCGAATCCTGCGGACGAGGTCGTGTTGGCGTATTTGCTGACAAGCGTATCCATGGCCGATATTCTTTCTTGTGTTGGTGGGTTGTGCTTGCTTGGTGTTGATGTGGAGAGAGAAGAATGGGTTTCTTTTCGTGCTTCTTGGGCGAGTGCGAATAGGGCAGTTGGCTGCTTGGTGGGTATGCGTTCGTGCTTCGCGGGGGAGGAGCACGCGTCGTCAAAGTGAACACGTCACCTTGGTGCAAGTGACTGGTAGCCTCGTAACCCGCACTCACCAGCAGCACCAACCACAAAGACTCCACATAGCTAGTGTTGATGCCCAAAGACATTTTATAGGAAAAGAACGACAAACCATCCATCACTCCTCTTATTCCGCACCTCTACTCTTCGCTTCCTTCATATACAAACACACGCTCTCTCTCTATCTTGTCTATCATGTTTTCGACTTATCCCGGACAGGTCGTCGTCGACCACCCCGTCAGCGTACCCATCGAGCATCGTTTCGACCCCTATGTCGACAATGGCGGGTGAGTGACCAGAATACCCTTCAAACGCTCAAAGCCAGGACAGCTTATTCCAACCTGTCCACACATATCTGGGCTTGCTTCCTTACATTTAACACACCGCAAGTCGCGTTATTGAAGCTGAAGATACCTTCAATTGGCACAGGGACGGAAACACTAAACGCGTTCTACTCTGATTATTTAGCACGCTGCTGTCAATTGCTGGCGAGGATTTTTGCGTAGTGGCTGCCGATACACGACAGAGCGAGGGATACTCGATCAACTCACGCTATGTTCCTAAGTCGGTCAAATTGTAAGGGCTAGCAAAGGCGTTTGATCTCGTAAGTATTAATTCCACGACTATCATAAGGAGTGAGAGAGTTAACAGGGTCTTGCACAACGATATGATAATAGGTCTGACAAGACTGTGATCTCGATGGGAGGATGCTACGCCGACTGCTTGACCCTCACAAAGAGAATCCAGCAGAGTATGGAGGTAATACAGGATCTATTATATTGATTTGTATGCCATGGCGTGTATACTGCAATGAAGACCTAATGTGTGGTATATTGCGATCTGATAGTGGTACCATCACGCTCACGGAAAGACCATGTCAACGGCTGCAGTCGCACAGATGCTCTCGATCATGCTTTACCAAAAGCGCTTCTTCCCGTTCTACAGCTGGTGCATCTTGGGCGGATTGGACGAGGAGGGCAAGGGTGCTGTCTATACCTATGATCCTGTCGGGTCGTATGAGCGTGAGACTTGCAGATGCGCTGGCTCCGCCTCGGCACTCATCCAGCCTTTCTTGGATAACCAGGTACGAGCGACGAGTCCGTCTAGGATTGTTTTTTCAACGATTGACTGCCAGCTGACATACTTGTTCATTTTTATTTTGTACCAGATCAACTTCAAGAACCAGGAGACGCAGAGACAGAGGCGTTCATTGGATCAGGTCCTGCGCATCACAAAGGACTCATTCACATCTGCAACTGAGCGTGATATCTACACAGGCGACTATCTCGAGATCTTTGTCATTACAAGCAAGGGCGTCGAGATCCAGAAGATGGATTTGAAGAAGGACTAAAAATCCACAACATTCATCAATTGGAAGGGCATATTTGGATGTGGCAAATGGTTTGAGGGCTTTTTTGCTTGCATTTCAAGTCGATACAATAAACGAAGCACGTTCATGTTTGGACCATATCTTTTTTTTTTTTAGAAAACAAAAAAATAATGAAAATAAGAAGCGATGTAGGCTATATAGCAACACCTTTCGCACCTTCATTTGTTGTCACCCGGTGCATACATATTTCATCTAGGATTTCAACTCCAAGTCCTTAATGAACTTACACCTTGGAAGAAAGGTGTCTGCCATTCAAGGTTGTATAGATGGAACCAGATTTTTTGAGGAACATCCGGGACGAGAAAGGTTGCATTTCTATACAGTCTGAGGATGGTTGGAAACGTGCACCATCTGTCAATGGACCTCCTTAACAATACCAAGACCTGTGGCAATAGGACTATGCACACGTGTTTTAATGATATGTCAGATTGTGCAGTATCAATCTAGGCCCATGGGAGGCGTCAGTTTGTAGCTGTCTGAGTAATTCATCTTAGACTTACAGGTTTCCTGGCCAACAACGACTGGTATTTGATCAAACGGCTTAAAATGGGAATCCAATGGGGCAGCTCTTACAAGGGACCAGATTGTTCGACGTGTGGCTCAGAAGATGGATGAGAAATGCAGAGGAGAGGTTCTCGTGGCTTGCAGAGGAGCACATTAAAGTTTCTTAGTTTCTTTGCAAGCAAAAGCACCTGTACCTGAATAACAGAGTTTGGACGTTGGACCAGAAGCCGATGCTCAATGGTCCAAGCCGAAACAACGGGCGATTAGTTGGCAGACTGTTGTTCATCCTCAGGCACAAGGACCTCCAGAAACCATATAAATACTCCTACCATCCCCTCCGTTTTTATCTCATTCCTCAACAGAGTCTTCAAGCACACAGACACCTTCTCCCACCAACACATCCACTCCCTCAACCACTCTTCACTCTTACAGCAATACTCATTCCAAAAATGTCTGCCGCTCTTTCCCACCCCGAGAACACCCACGCTAACCATACTTTTGCCGCCCTGGTCAAGTCTGACGCCCAGTTGGCTCCTCTTGCCGACCATCCCTACACCAAGCCCGTCAGCGAGGAGCGCGTCGCTGCTGCCAAGGCTGGTCTCGAGGCCAGCGGGTTCAAGGTCCAGGTTGTCAACAACCGCGCCGAGGCCTTCCACGCCCTCAAGGCCCTTATCCCTGCCGGTGCCAGCGTCAACAACGCCCATTCGACCTCGCTCGAGGAGATCGGCTTCATCACCTACCTCAAGGGTGAGACGTAAGTTTTCGATATTTTTCTGCATATCCTTCCGTTACACACAGCCAACCAGCTCGTACTAACGTCGATCGAATCTTTGCCTATCTTCTAGTGAGTGGAACAATGTCCATGCCCAGATCCTCGCCGAGATGGACTATGCCAAACAGGGTGAGCTTCGCCGCACCATTGGTAGCACCGTCGACTACTATCTCACTTCCATGAGCGCCGTCACCGAGACTGGTGCTCTCGTTCACGCCGATCTCTCCGGCTCCAAGGTCGGAGGTGTCGCCTTCGGTGCTGCTAATGTTATTGTCCTTGTTGGATCCAACAAGATTGTCAAGGATGAGGATGAGGCCTACAAGCGCACACACGAGTTCGCCGTCGCTGCTGAGAGTGCCCGTGCTCGTGATGCCTACGGCGTCCCTGGCTCGGCTGCTATCAATTACGAGGTCATCAAGAAGGCCAATCCCTTCAACCCTAGCCGTATCCAGGTTGTCCTTGTCAAGGAGGCCCTCGGATACTAAACATGTCCCTGTACAACAAATACCATAGACCACGTCTTCATGTACCAACAATAGAAATAAAAGTAGATCCCTTTTATGCATGCGCTCTATGGAGGTATCAAAAGTCCGAGACAGATTCGCCTATGGGTGTGCTGCTGGGTTTGCATTCGTGTACGTCTGGCGTAATATTAGCCCCCTGGATGTGATGTGGGGTGCGCGTCTTCTATCCTTTCCTGGACACTGAGAACCACCCGTCACCTGAACCATTTCTTTCGCACCTTGAACTTCAACTCCATACAGCAACAGCTACCACTCATTGCATTCCTCAAACGCATCGCGTCGTCCATGACTGAGCAGTCTACACTCCTACTGGCGAAGCAGCTCAAAGGTAAGCATAACTCTTCCCATCACCCACCTTGCAACAGCCATTCATTACCGTCAACTTGCACCCATTCCCACAACCCACAGGGAACACAAAAGAAAGTTTGCTACGCCTGCAGTCTCCCACGTTGCATTCCCATGCCTCACATTTCGAATGAAAAAAGAAAAAAGAAAAAAGAAAAAAGCATGGGGTTACGGGTCCTTCATCACTTTGTCCACAGGGTAATAAGCTGGCACTTGTTGGTTTCGCCATTGGTGCTGGCGGCTGGCTTCTGGCTCCACGACAATTTTTCTTTATCCAGTGTTTCGTGAGGACCCCTTCCTTGGCTGCCTTCTGCTGACTATGGCCGTAGTTCTGGCCCTTGCCAAGAGAATCGATCTAGCTTTACCGTATCGACACCCGTCTTGGATCTTGGCGGGCTGTACTGACATATCTACTCATTGTTAAATGCTCCGCTTAGAGCTGACGAAGAATCCCGTGGAGGGTTTCTCCGCCGGCCTCCTTGACGATAACAACATCTACGAAGTACATACTCATATTTTAAATGCTTCAGTATCTTCAAGAGATCCTGTTCAGTCGCTAATCAGACATCTATTCTCGTGTTTGTCCGTGTTGTAGTGGGAGATCATGATCATGGGACCGCAAGATACACTCTAGTAAGGCCCTTGAATGTCTATGATCGCCATGCCCCGACACAGGATGTCAGGGAGATCTATGTTGACAGGACGAGCAGGAATAATGCAGCAGGTCTTTCCACCAGTTATAATCATACAGGATGGCTCTCAGCACATCTACGTTTGTGCTGTCCACCCTTCTCGTGCTTTGTGTGGCAATCAGATCGTAGCCTGATCGACAGCGACATTTTCTGCGGCACCCTCTTGCCGTTTTGAAAAGATATTGCGCCGTGCCAAGATAAGTTCTAACCATCGAATTGTTGTGTTTTACCTAATACTAGTGAGGGAGGATTCTTCAGGGCGATCATGACCTTCCCTCAAGACTATCCATTGATGCCACCAAAGCTCAAGTTCACAACAGACATATATCATCCCAATGGTAAACGGTGTGAGGATGCAATTTGTCACACAAATAAAATCTGGCCAATCAAGCTGGATCTTGACGTCGAAAGTTGAAACGCGAAACCTAACGGTGTAATTGTCTATTATCTTTTGGTATAGTATATCCCGATGGTGAGGTCTGCATCTCCATTCTGGTACGACGCAAAGTCCCTTTCTCTCTCTCTTGTCTTTCTGCCTTGATGGACAAGACCTGTTTTTAATACACGTTCACTGTTCCTAACGCCTCGGTACGTTCTACGGTTTACTGCTCTAGCATCCCCCCGGCGAAGACAAGTACGGGTACGAGCAGGCGAACGAACGCTGGTCACCAGTGCACACCGTGGAGACTATCTTGGTCAGCGTCATTTCCATGCTATCTAGCCCGAACGACGAGAGTCCTGCGAACATTGAGGCCGCTGTAAGATATCGATTGCAAGCTTGGTTTTAGACGACGAAAGGAAATAGAAAAAAAATAATCTAACCGGCACTTCTTTGTGGCGCTTGAGCATCTTATAGAAAGAGTGGCGCGACAGTTACGCGTCTTACAAGAAGAAGGTGCAACGAATTGCAAGGCGTTCGGCGGAGGATATGTGAAGAAGCATCAGTGCATTCGGGCGGCGTATGGACATATCCTCACTGAGAGATAGCTGTCATTGAATAAAACTGTTAATGCCACAACCATCAACTTCCTTTTTGTTGCTATAAAGCGTTCTTTGCCTTTCTATTGCTGCTTTCATCGTGCGATTTGGATATAGTGCTATTAGGCTATGAAGGAAGGCCTGGATATTACTCCCACGCGCGTAAATGAGTCTGGTTGGGAATGAGTGTGGGAAACGATTTACAGGTCGAAGTCGATGCTAATGCTGCCTGATCCGAGATCCAACTCGATCCGCTCGGGGTTTCTTGCCTCTCGTTCCATCTTCGTCGCCGGGTCTTCGGTTGAGGTATAAGTGGCATTGATGTCTCTACTCGCTTCCTTGTCATTCTTGAGAGCTACATCTGCTTCTACATCCGCATCCACTGCTGCTGACGCGGATACCGCGGTTGTGGCACTGAGTGCGATCGCTGCAACAACGGCTGCTCCGTCACTGATATCAAGCTGTGCAATCTCATCCTCTTCATCCCTATCATCCTTGTCATTGTGATTTTGATTAGCGGCTGCTTCTCGCCTTCGCATCACCTCGATCTTTAGAGCACTGTTCATCGCAACAAATCCCCGGCGTGCACCCCCCATTGATCTAAAGCCAGAGTAAAAGCCGGTGCCCCAGCCTTCATAACGCTCCCCTTGAGTGAACTCTGTAACCGTGCCTCCTTGGTCGCTGGTTAATTGAAAGTAGTGCGTCCTCTAGCGTGAATAGAGCGAAGGTGAATTTGAAAGGAGGGAAGTTAGACAAGGCTCCCTTTATGTTGAAGAGAAGTATTAAAAGGTTGACATTTGTTACACACGTTTACAAAGCCCTTGACGATCCATTCAAGATGAGATTCGGGTTCGGCTTTTAGGAGTTTTGCTGTCAAGGAGTATGCTGAACAGTTGATTAAATACCCGTCTATCGTTTATCATCTCTTTTTTTCCCTTTTTTTTTTGACGTTGCACACGAAGGCCTGCTGAGGAGTGCTTACAAAATGGTGCTCCGCAAAAGAGTGTCATTGGCAATCGCATCTTGATACTCAGCGCTTCTCCGTCTATCATAATACGCCAAACAGATGCAACTATATTAGAGACTAGTGCCCTTTCCCTTTGTCGAGAGCAGTGCAACGATGTAGTGTTGAAAAGTAGCCAAAGGGGAAGAGGATATTTACTAGCAACGGTTCCTTTGGCTTGCACAAATAACGGGTTCCACTCTTCATAATGGCGCAAGTCCGTGAGGACCTCCCATACCTCATACGGAGGAGCCGCAATGGTGATACTAGCCTTGCTCTCCTTCATGTGTGATTGCGGGTTAATGGGCGAATGGACCTGCTGCGTGTTGATATTACTGGTGTGGATAGCCGATGATGAAGGATGGCGATGGGAATCAGAACAAAGAAGAGAAAAAGAATGCTACGACCTCAAAAGCTCTCCATAGCAAGGCATGGCAATATTTGACTACCCGCTACCGGGCCGTCGAATGCCAAGATTCGTTCTTTCTCCTAGTCATTTCCATGCTCCATATAAAGCCATGCAAGGAGGCGGTTCTTCGCCATTAAACATGGACGCCTATCAATGGCTTCCCTTTTCAAGGGGCATACCATGCATCTATTTAGCTATTTTACTTTTCTACGTGGTCGCTATCGAGCTATGCTGCGATTTCTCCAGTTGCTCTCACGCAGCTACAGAGTGTTTAAAGAAGCGAGAGAAACCATGTGCGAACCTTGGCTCCCTGCCGTTGTTATCGAAGAGGCTGAACGAAATCGCAGCAATCGAGAACGTGTACGAACACAGTTCTTGTTATTTTTTTTTAATGATTATTTTTAAAAATACCAAACCCTTGTGTGCATTTATATCTGTCGCGAAACGTGTCTTTCTATTTTTTGACACAGCGCATGTAGATGTCACAGGCACTTCGCCTAGGGCTCTTCTCTTTTCCAAGAGTTTCCATACTAGAATGTTGCGCTTTAAACAATAACGAACCGGAATATGGGCCGTGTGAGGACGCCTTTGTAGTATGGCGGTAAGTATAGGCTGCGGCTCTTGAATAGAAAGCATAGTAGCGCGCCGCACTTTGAGTAGGCCTTGGCGATCGACCCATCGAGCGGTCGCGGCTGTATCTTTTTTTTCTTCCTTTTTGGTGTAACACTCCAGAGTTGATGCCAATGGCTAAGCTTGGGCATGCTAAGGCAGCATAGACGAATATATTGCACCTGACCCCGACAGACATGTCTGATCGCACGGGTTAGAAGCACGATGACGACGAATGGCAGACTTCTCCTTGTTGATCGCTTTTTACATGCCAGAAAGTGTTCTTTTGCCGCTTACAGTGAACGAGCAGCACTCACCTGTGTAACACAACACTTGTTGCGTCGCCGATCGGCGCTGCGAACTTTCAATGCCAGCTGACCATGCACTTCGTTAGTACTTTCGGCTCCTCAATCGTCTCGATCAATAAGCCGAAGGACACCAAAGGATTGAAAGCAATAAAAATCTTTTACAATGCCTGCGCATTCAGCCCAATTGCTGATTCTTATGAGCACAGTGTTTGCGTACAAGCAGCTCTGTTAGTCTATTCTTGGCCACTTCATTGTCATAGCACCAATTGTAGAGAAATATGTAAAGGACCACAAGACTAACACTGGCAATCTTGCACACGGATTCAGGGGGTAATGTGTTATAGAAAGAGAAGAAGACCTACGTTGGCTCTGATACCATGAGGCACATAACAATAGTAACCGATGATCGTTTGCTTTTCTCGTTCGTCCTCCCGCCGCAGCCGCTTTTTTTTCAATTTAGTTTGGCCACGTTTACCAACACATGATCTAGGAAGCTGACTCTTCATTAAATGAGAACCGGTTCAGGCCGGCAAAACAAACAGCGAGGCAGGTACTTGGTTTTTGCATCCACAACCATCCAAGAGGCGCAGGGTTGACCGTGCTCTCGCATGATTAAATGCACAATGCACGCGTAGAACAAAAACTCGACTCTTTAGTAGATGTGTTGCACCTTGCGCACGACACGCGTGACGCATCTTGACTAAACGGCGGCAAAATCATGAAAGCGACAGCATGTGTATCGTTCTTTTATTAGCTATGATGCATACCGTGTGTGCTCGCGTAATACATTGTCTCGCAATAGTAACGGCAACAGCATCGGCAACAGCATCGGCAGCCGGAAAATATAATGAAAACAGGCCAGACATATATGGATAGTGTTGTGTAAATCTATCATTAACAATTAATCTTTTAGAGACACAAAAGGGCGGAGCTCAAGGCCGATCTTCAGTTACACGGAAGATATGACCTATGCGGCGAAGGCAGGAAGGACTATCAATGGAATTCGTTCGAAAACGCGTTGCAAAGAGAAATATCGTGGGACGACCACAGGCCAAGAGCCCGAAGATGACCCTGGTAGTCATTTTGCATGTTATCCGCAGTTAATACATTCCTCTATTTAGTACAGGTCATTCAGTGCTGCAGAAAAAAAAGATGCAGCTATAGAAGGTGTGGGGCTGAGGGTGTGCGACATATTCTTCAAAGGAGGCAGTGTAAAAGCGTTTTTTGGCTGGCTGAGCAGGTCTAGAATAAAATTCGCTGAAGGCTTTAATGACAGCTACTAGACTATTATGGGTTTTCAGGGCACTCATGGCGCAATAGAGGTTTGTCAACGATGTTATTAATTTTTTGTGTGAAGGGTACTCATGGACATCGCCCAACGATCGAAATGTGTAGTCTAGACCTCGTTGACTAGCTCATTATTCAGCAGCCGTGCACCAAAAGCACCACATGTACCGTCCATGCATGTGAGCATTGGTCGCCTTTAGCGATAGACCGTTAAGTGCTGCTCAACGTAGATAACCTTCTCAAGTAGGAACAGCTGAATATGGTCATTATTGCTCAACGTCGCTGCAAGATTCGAAATAGGACGCGTTAATGTTAAGTTAGAAAGGAAGAAAGGAGAGCAAAAGAGAGAACGCTTCTCTCTGTAATAGAGTCCATCAAGAATGCAGCAACTATCAGAGGTATGCGATGTATACGGAGCGGAAGATAATCTATCAGTATTCACGCGTGCGATTTCTTGTTTGTCTCTGGCCCACTGTCAGTAGTATACGCAATTAAGGCTGACTCCGATGCGAATTCGTTGCCATGCACGTAATCCGCGAACGCTGGTCTGCGCAATTGGAAGCAGCTGACTAGGAATTGTTAATCCCGACATCCATTGATTTGCAATCGACGCGTCTTGTTGCACGTACTTATTTTTCCGGCTACGATTGAGTACGGTGCACTAGTGTAACAGGGATGCTATACAATGGTGCTAGTCCTTGTCGCACTTCTTTTTACTTGAGTGAGCTGCATCGGCGACGATCAATTGAAGTGTCACCAATACAGTCCTGCTTGTGTGGACGCTATTGACATTCTCGTTATACTCCTAGTGAACAGACAGTTTGAGAGCTACAGAAACTCAAAAGGACCAGATATCAGACATGGGGCGATGTATGTGTTCATATCTTTTCTTTTAGCTACACTCTAAAACCTCTCGGTTCGCACGTAAGTCATTTGAAGACGCACTAAAAGTCTCGTCTCCAACCTTCTAATAATGTCCTCGAGAACACTTTCAAAAGTACACATTCGCGGTATCTCCTAAAATGGAGACGCGTCGGGGTACCGACCCTCAAGGTTGGTTGCCGGGCGAGGAAGGGCAAGAGAGTAACCAAACAGCTTCGCCAAAATGAACATCGGAAAGAAAGTGCGAAACGAGACATGGGCGCACGCTAGAGAAGGGGGCTCCAGCACCCAACCTATCGAGCACACACATCATTTATGTTTGTGCAATGAGTACGAAAAACCCCTGAATCGCGATTACCGCAAAAGGTCAAATTGTTTAAGAAAAAAAAAAAGTTTAGCGCACAAGCACTTTTAAATATGGTACCTGTGCAGACTACAAAATAACCTTCACCTCGTTTGAGGTGTATAGTTTATTCCGGAGAAAAGATAAATACAAAGTTAAGGACTCAGGGATGCCTTTCTTTGGAGCCCATTTAACTAGCGAACGGGAGGTGCAGAGGAAAATTCCCGGGGCAAACCACACTCATGAATCGATAATGTGTCCTACCACGTCTCTCCTGACTGCAATCAGGAACCAACTGAATATCCTACTCAAGAAAGGCGGTAGCTCCGCCATTATGGTGTAAAGTGCATCATTCGCGCAAATATCACGACACTCAGTGGGTTTGTTTCTGAAGCGGAAGGATGGGATTAGGATTTCTTTTCAGTCATTTTTTTACAACGCAATGGGAAGTATTTAAGATGCCATGTTTTGAGATGGAAAAAAGGCAACAGTGGGACCAACGACTGTTTTAACTGAATTCGAGTGTGACTTCAGTGAGGGTTAGAGACTCTGTAGATCCTTGCAGTATTACTTTCCTACTAACAGGTTCATAATTTAGACAGAAGGAGAGAGAGAGAGAAAATGGGAGTTTCATAGAATCAACTCTGTACCACATCGCATGAGATAATTTTACATTCAGAGAGGCAACACATCCAGCGCCACGAAATACATGCGCTCCAGCCTGTAATTCATACTACACCGAGCATCTCCTTTAGATTCTCTTTCTTTCTTCTCCCGGAGCATCGTACTGTAGTTGAGAATGGCGCCCTTACACAGATCATGATCTGCAGCTCGTAGCAAGGGGCTTCAGGAGTGCAGGAGAGAGAGAAGTGGAGTGCAGAGTGCGTCATGTTCACACATTTACTGTAAGGATAATTTCGAGATGCTGCTGGTTCGATGTGATGTGGTTTTTCTTGTGTTATTTGTTTTTTTTTACGATGGCCTATCAGATAGTCCGAGAATCTTGAAGATCAACAGATGAGAGCAGGGGCCACACCGTGCTCGTGTTATCCGTGCTGTTTTTCTTGATGCATGTTCAGACCAATGGGTGCTTTTCCGGGCCAGTTGTAGGTAACCCTCGCGCGTTGCGACATTGAAACCAATCCTTTTTGACTAAGCGATTAGCAGATCGTCAGCATACCGGCGGCCAATCAATCCATATATGGACTGAGGCAAAGGAATTGTAGCATGCCTTTGTTCCGATTGCTGCAACTTTAGGCAGCCCTTATCTGTATCACACAGCCAGGAACTACATATGCCTACTTTCGGCGGCCTCTCGCTCTGCTACAGAAATTTATTCCTACTACAGTCCCAAGTGAGTGCTATCACCGCACACATCTTTCCCCCAGAGTACGCGAAAAAGGAAGAGCAGAGGCAGGATAACAGCATGGCTGTGAAATGCACCAATATATATTACGCGTACTGCACAAAACAAATAAGGCGTACACACTGCGTAATCGCACGCGAAACCCTCTATAGTTTTCTGTCTCCTGATAATATCTCATTCACAGAATCACCAAGTTCTAAGAGGCTCCCCCTTGCAGTCAATCTTGCCTCTGTCTCTTAGTCTCCACCTTATAGATCAGAAATAGGTCAAACTAGTATTGGGATGAACCAAGACCAAGACGTTATAGCAGGTCTTTTTTCTTCTTGAATAGGCAGTAAACTGGATAATAAGATGTCGCGCCTTCCCCATCACTCCAAAGAAAGCTTTTACTGCCCTGGAGTATAAAGGACTTGAGACCAAAAACCACGTTTTGCCTTCTATTCATTCGTTTGAGTGGTATTCCAAACTCGCGACTTGTACAAAAAATAACATATCCAGAGCACCAGAGCGGGGATTGCAAAATGAACTTACCCTTCGCCAACAGCATGGTCCCAGCTCTAGCAATGATCTGAATGCGAAGTTGAGGCAAAACAGCTATGAAAATGATTGCTGAGGCATCTTCTACATAGAATTAAAATATATAAGCTTATTCGATCCGTTATTCATGATGCTGAAGTGCCATGCCGGCCGATCGTAAGAAATATGCAGAAATAGCTATCCGGATAACCCTTGGTATCAATCTCAGTCGTATTGCTGCATGGAAGGGAAGTACAAACACGTCCAGATGTTTCAAGTACCCCCTTATTGAATTCCTCTCCAATCGCTTCGCGTCAGCTACCTGATAGAGTTTCAGATCGCGTACAGCTTTGTGTCCTCCTGGGTCATTTGTCCATTATGGTACCTATGGATCTCAGTCTTTCATTTGAGAAGCCTGGATGAGTTGTAACAGAGGGTGAGCAGCCAGCATGAGCAGTCAACATGAGCAACCAACATGAGCAGCCAGAGCAGATACAACCTGTCCGGATCCATCACTCATCTTCGATGCAGCTAAGATATCATTAAAAAAATAGATAAAATATCCTGGGATCTCTGCTATGTCCAGGTCCTATAGCAGGGTCACATTGCCTTCGTGATGCGTGTTTGGCTGCCGTTTCTTTTATCTCGTGGCCATTCTTTTCATCTTCCTGACTAATTACTAACAACCCCGTGTATGGCAATTGGCTAACACGGGAGAACCCATGGAACACGCGAGATATTAAATGAAAAGGGAGCGAGATTGTCATCTAGGCCCCGATGCGTATCATTTACGACGTGTGAATATTAAAATCGTGAACCCTCGTGGGGATCAGGCCGACTGACGGGATCGCGGGAGGCTGAGTGATGATTGTCCCGAGTGTTTGGGTAATCTGCACAACATCTACTTCGACATATTAAAGTTGCACACCAAGGGGTCAATGTATACTGTCACTTTCACGACGAGAGCAAGGGTCCCTGATGCATGTAGGCCCTGCTGGGACACTACTTCGATTGCTCTACAATACTTGTCCGAGCAGCCCAGGAGACGACGACTTCAATTAAATGGAGAACAAGGGGATTCTGGATAAACATGAGAAGAGGACGTTTCGGGTTCTGTGGAGTAGAAGATGTAAGGCATGTTTACATTCAGTTCCGTCGACTCGTTGCTCTTTGTTTAATCTTTTGATCGAACATATCTGTCAATGGTAAAAGGCTTGAGCGTCACTACCAGAATGGCCTAACAGAGCCGATCTTACTGATTTTGAACGGATTGCTGTAGAGCCATGGAGCACCTTCCAGGTGCACATGGGTCTCAAATGAATGAGTGTGGGTAGCGAGCAATCATCATTTGCGCGCGACCCCCTTGCACGAAACTGCACAAAATGATATCTGTTTGAAGATACTACGCAGGGTTCATCCAAAGAGTAGAAGCGTTGGTTTTAGAAATCACTATGTCCTCCTTTTCTACTCACCATCTGCTCTCGTGCGATTGTCGCGAACTACATTGAAAGGGGGTAGGAAGGACAGTCGCAATAGCAAAAATAGAAGGAATGATATTTACGCAGCCAGAATGGGCTCCAGAGCTGATCATTGCAGATACGTTCAAGTGACTATCCTGGTTTGCAGCAGGATTAATTTGGCTTCTGTGTATGCTCTAGTAAAAGATATGCAATGCCTTTAGGCCTCTGCGTTGTTTCTGGATCAACAGCCCAGTGTATAGTCAGCCTTGGCAATGAATGCGAGAGAGAAAGAGATGCAGTTTGAATATATCCTTGTGCCAACAGCCTCGCCTCACAGTATAAGCGGGACTTGCTACGGGAATACAGCTAGAGACAGTTTCTCGGCTCGATAACAAGCACTGACCGCTAGCCACTGCTATGGGTTGCAGTGGATGGTATGGACGATCGAGGTGGGTTGTAAGACTGAGTGTCGAGAGAAGAGGAGAGGGCGATGGCTAGTCTGGAATAGTGGTGGGTGGGTGCATTTGTTGTTGTGATGTGTGGGTGTGAGTTTATTGCCAGTCATTCAGTGCAATTGAGTCCCTATGCACTCCCATTCAAATCCAAACGAGCCATGGGTGGATGTGATATGGGCTAACAGGCTTGAGCGAGCAGACTATAGAATGTATAAATAAAGAGAGTGTGTTTGTATTCAATAGTGATTCAATCGACTGTATTGTGCATCCATTGTTTTAGCCATAAAAAAAAAGGTGCTCCATCCTCTTACGCGTTTTTTTTTTGCCCTCTGTTGTGTTGAGTGTTGTGCGTTGTGTGTTCAATTGGCTGCGACTCATCCGTGGTCTCGAAAAGGGTACAAAAAGAGACCGTCCAGTCCTCTTCCTCCCCTCTCTTTTCTCATTTTTCCATCCTCTCCTCTCTCCTCACCTCTTTCAAAGTGGAAATAGAAAAACGACTCTGCTTCGCCCTCGACTCACCCTCATTCGCCAACACAACAGCGCAGTGCAACCCATATTCCCTTTTTTATACACAGCAACGTCTCGCCCAATGACTGCCTCAGCACCAGCATCCGCCCAGGCACAGGTCAAGGACATCGCACAGTCACACATCCATCACTACTTCTACAACCAGCACCAGCACCAGTACCAGAGCCAGCAGATCCAGTCCTCCTCGCCCACAATGTCCGTTAACTCCGTCCCCTCTCCCCAGCAGCACACAGCTAACCACATCTATACCCTTGACCAGCACCAGGAGCAGCAGCACCATCACATGCAGATCCTGGGGAACCACCCTGCCTCGCCCGGCTCTACTGTCTTCATGGATCTGCCCGTCGATCCCTTCCTGCCCACGCGCGCAAGCAACTTCCTCTTTTCAGACTGCGATTCCCCCATGGCTACTGCCACAGCCCCCTCCGCTGAGGACTGCCAGGCCTCACACGAATACATGTATGCACATCAGCCTACATCCGTCAAGACCGAGTTCTCGAACGACCAGTTCGCTGCGATCGCGCCCACCTACATGATGGCAATGGCCCGCTCCTTCTCTGAAAGTCAGCTGTCGGGAATCTGCGGTACCGCTGTCGCCGGCGTTGTCTCTGTAGCCACCGCAGCCGACATGTGCGACTCTCCTCTGATGTATGCTCAGCAGGGTATCTACGAAGACGAGTATCATTACGCGAACCAGCATCAGCACCACCACCATCATAGCTACTCCACCAGCTCGCTCTCGGCCCTATCTGACGATTCTTCCCTGTCGCCACGGTCGACCTCCTCAAGCACGCTCTCGCTCTCCTCTTACCCGCTGTCCAGGACCCTGAGCGAACCCACAATGACCCCTCTGTTTCACCAGGGCTTGATCTCGGCCTCCTCCTCCGCATCAGATCTTGCTGTCGGCAACGAATCCGATACATCCCCCGTCAAGCCCACGCCTAAACGATCCCGCGGCCGCCGCGTCTCGAGCCACCCCGACAACTCTGGTTGTAAGGTCTTTACCTGTCGCTTCGATGACTGTGGCAAGATCTTTAAGCGATCCGAGCATCTCAAGCGCCATGTTCGTTCTATTCATACCCTCGAAAAACCCTTTCCCTGCCCTATCCATAACTGCCCCAAGCGGTTTTCACGGTCTGACAATTTGAATCAGCACATCCGCATCCATCGGCACAGCAATGCCACCAGGGCGACCGATAAGAACAGCAAAGCATTTGCAGCCTTTACGCCCTTCTTGCAGACGTACTCGACTGATCTCCTCACCCTCTAGACATCCTTTGCTTCCTTTCCCACTGCCTGTAACACCTTGTATTACCCAACTCTTGTTTCTTTGCTTCTTTGCTTCTTTTGCTTTTGCTTCTTTTGCTTGTACATACATAAAATAACGCGCTCATACAGATACCACATCGGACAATAAAAAAGTGTCTATTATTTGCATTCATTGATATTTGTTTGTTACAATCCAAAGAAATGGCACAAGTGTAGGCGTAGGTGCAAGTGAGTGTAATACATGTGTAGGTGCGCGCAAAAAAAAAAAAAAAAAAGATGCAATTAAGGTTTATCGACGGGGCTCATCCAGTCGCCTCTTCAGTTCTTGGATGGTGTTCAGTCCAGCGTCCGCGGAGCCCAGATGTGTCCCTGAGTCATGCGAGGCTGTTGAGGACGATGAAGTTGGAGGCGTTTGCGTTTCTTCGCTTGGTTGTGAAACGACCTCATCTGTATTAATTAAAAAAGGGTAGCATAGACAAAATCTTAGGTTAGTCCTTTGTGAAGTAAGACCGCATAGAGGACAGCACAAGTCCTATATCCACACTAAAACACGTACCAATCCAAGCGCGAACGATGGGCTCAGTGTCCGTCTTCTTGATAACCTCAACAATCTCCTGAATCATTTGTCCCATGCCTTCGATGAATTTCTTGGAGTATGGACCGCGCACCATTTCGAGCACCTTTTTGACAAAGTGCATCGAGAGCGACTGGTCCATCTTGCGCGCACGCGCCTGGATATAGTCTAGAACAGGCATGACATAGTTCAATTGCATCAGGTAAATCATCCTATCCAAGATGGATTTTCGATAGGTCATCTATTGGATAGCAGAAGGAAAGGAACGCTTTAAATATGTGCTTTGCTCCCTATGCAAAGAGATATATGCAAACGAGATAAAATCTTTCGGTTTTTTTGAGCAGCCTTTGGCTATCGACAGTACCATGATTTCAGGATTTAGTACTAGGGGGGCTTCAAAAAAATTGACAAGTGTGGCAAACACCTCTGTCTGTTGCAATGGGTGCTTGTACGACATCTAAATCACGATACCATAAACATAAGAAGTGCATAAGTCGCGTATCCCGGGGCAGGGCGCCATTCATGTGTCTCGCAGCCATTTTCTCGTAACATACCTCCTCAATGAGTAGCAGTGGAAGCGGGACTTCGTGCGTTCTAAAATAGGTTTCGATGTAACTCGTTTCCGTGATCACAAACTGAATCCAATACAATAGAGCCATTGAGGCGACCGGCGTCCTGATAGAAAGAAAGTGATACCATTTGGTCAATTGATGCAGGCATAAACTTCTCTCGATGCAAAACAACGTCCCAGTACCCATGGGCGATGTTGGATGAAATTGCAATGCGCACAACAATGCACCGTGTATTCGAAAAAACGCGCATGAATGCTGAATGCTTACTCAATCGCAACCAAAAGATTCGCAAGAATGGGCGTCAGGTCTGTTCCAGCTGTTCGTTTTGAAAGTGTATCCTCTAATGCGCTCAGTGCCTCATATGTCGGCTGCACGTCCGATGTGTCTGTGACCATATCGTCGTCCTCGTGCACACTCGCCGCATAGGCCACCAGCCAGAGATATTTTTCCTTGTGATCCTGCTTAACGACACCGCCCTTAAAACTTGGAACAAAGATAGAAGACAACATGATTTCTATAGAGAAAAACGACGGTAAGAAGACAATTGTCAATTAGTCGACTCGTTTGGATAGGCATCGACAATTGATAATGCAACGACCAAGAACCAGTGGCATGTGTAGTTCTTGCAATTTACCAAAGAAATCAGGGTCACGTAAGAAATATGTGGAGGGCGGATGCTCGCTGGTGTATGCTCTGTGCAACTATAGCCCAGTAAAACAAAGTAAGCAGTAACTGTTAGAACGGGTTGTGGATTTGGCAGATGCACATGCAACTCACGGGCAGTTTTCGACGTACCAACATAACATCTCCGGGCGAGGGTATGCGGGATTGCAGAATGGCCGAGATAGCACTTGCCACATTGGATGATGCTCCTGCAAGCAGCATTCTTAAGGTTGCCACGAGTGGCGGTCTAGATGCATGCAAAGAGGCGATGAGTTGCCTGTACCATTCAAAAGAATGCAGGAAAACTCTGTACCGTGCCTGAACAACAACTGCGGCACAAAGGCTTACTTGTTGAACTTTTCTAGCACTCCCGATTCCAGCTCTTTCGATATCCGCTTCAGTGGCATTCCCCTGTCAGTTTTCATCAGGCGAAATAGCAAGACTTGAGTGTAGAGATATGTGTGCTCGCTCTGACAGCAAACTTTCTGTTATGCAGATATCAACCAAAATAAAGTGTAAGGTTCAATCAGTCTTGAAAGACTACGTAGAATTCGTGCTTCAACATTCTGTATGCTCACTGTAAACTTACCACTAAGTCTGGTAGTCTGTCCAAGAGCCCAACGTCATCCTCTTCCCTGAGTTTATCCAATGAGTCCAGCAATACTCCTGAGAACACGTTCACAAATGTCGACGCCGTGGCGACACTCGCAATCTCCCCTTTGTATCCTGCGTCCGAGATGCGCTGCATTTGCATAAGGAAGAGAATACATTAGCCTTGCGAAAGAAAATATAGGGTGACGATGTAATACTTCATGATTCGAACACCAGTACCTGGATCGCAAAGTTGAGAAGTAAACATTTTTTGTACTTTTCCGAGAGTTCGTAAATAACGGATCTCCAGAATGGATGTTGAATCATGACCAGTAGCCAGTCCGGTGTGTCCTATAGACACGTAGAGTTTTCAGGTTTACGCGAGTCCATGGATTAATTGACACATTCCCAAGAGTCTTCTATTTCTGTCGTAGCCTGGCATCTCTTCAACCTACCGATCCATTCAGCATGAAGCTATCCGCGGCCACAGGGTCAAATCGTTCCATGAGCTGCTCCTTTAGGACCTCCTGCATGATGTCGACAGGGTCGAGGTCAAACTCACGCGCCCATCCTGACATCAGGTTGCACATTTCTGGCATACCGACGTAGCTGCTGTAAAGTGCGTTGACGAGCTGCAGAGGCTGTCCTCCCTCCTTGATGAATGCTCCGATCGCGTCCAGAATGTTCGGTTCCAAAATGGAGTCGGGTGCTTGGAAAGACTGCATCATCGTGTCCAAACTGCTTGTTGTGCCAGTACTGCTGCCGCTTCCTGCTAAGGTGTTTCTCTAGAGATGTCAAGCAAATCTGTATTAGCACAGAGATGTCTTGCCAATCAGCCGAATGTGCCGGTTCTCGAGCAAAAGCTTACAGATGTCATTGTGCGGGGAATGTTGCTGAAGGCGAGAGAGATCGATTCGAAGCTGATTCCTGAATCGTTCTTGTGCTATCCTCGTTCTAAATGACGCTGCCACCGCGGCGATGCAGGAGATCGAAAGAGATTAGTACGTCACGTTACTTGGAACTTTAAGTGAGATCCCTCGGTCGGAATGACTAAGGAACTTTACAAATACTATATTCCCATCAAGAAAAGAGGGCAGGCCTTCAAAGGTTTCCATTAAGACTCTTTTAGCCCGGAAAATGTCAAGCGGAAAACTTTTAACCCCACATGATGGTCAGGAACTTTTCCTTTCAACACAAGGTGTTCACGTTCATGTGCAGACTACCTTAGACTGGGAGGGTCGAAAGGATACGTCAAGTCTAAGAAGCCTGATCCGACGGACGATCAGATCGTAGCTTCGGGCCATTTCCTGCTCAGGCAGGCTCAAATACCAATTATCCGAATAAACGGTTCCTCTCGTACTAAGTTCAATATGGCGCGTGCGTCGTTAGCTATAGATCTGGTGTTGGTCGCAGCGGCGGTGCTGGTGATATTGGCCAGGGTCGGTGAAGGAAGTTGGGACGGTACTCTCCGCGACGGGATCGTTTAGAATCGGAAGAGTTATGATTCTCTTGCGCGAATTACTTAAGGCAGCGGGCTGCCATGGTCAACATTTACGGGCGCACAATACCCTGTGACCCTAGCTTGGTCTCTTCATTGTCCATCGCTTCAGCAGGATGAGCTATTGTAAATAAATCCACAGCAGCTGCACGAACAATATCATATGTGGCTACTCTGCCAAGTGATGGAGCCCCACCTCGGAAGTGTTTATTCGACTCTTGTTTCCTTTGATTGGATGCAGAGGTGATCCTGACGATTTGTCTTCATGCGTCCTAGCAGCGATACCAACTTAATTGCCCATCGTGCAGCAGAAAAGATTAATAACCTTAAAACATGCCCATAGGCTGCTATCGAGTGACAAGAAACAGTGCCTCACCTCAATAGGAATCTGTTTCTCGAGTCCTTTCACCAGCCAAGGAGATGGTCCGTCCTTGCGCAATGTTCTCTACTTCAATTCTTTGTTTAAGACTGTCTGCACACGAATAAGGCGGTCGAATGGCGTGGTATTCGCTTCCCTCGTCACCTCTAGCAGAGATTCCTGTGATCATGGAAGAAGGGATTATTACCCATTGCACATGCATGGCTGTTCTCCTGATCTCGGCCATTCTAGCACCAGCACTCTTGACTCGACTGTGGTTGTTCAGGCACATTCAGGGGTGGGGGTTTGGCAGATAAACTGTGTCTTTGTTACCAATGAGTCGCCGCTGGGCTGTGCTTATTGAGATCAAGCAGAGACGTACGAGAGACAATCAGAAGAGCGACGGGTTGAGGGAGGGGAAAGAAGGGAAGGAAGGGGAAGTGGAAAAGTGGAAAGGTGCGAAAAGAAGGGAAAAGAGTGCAAAGACACACAGCCATCGTTGCGGCATTCGACAAACGGAGCCATGCTTGTAGTCAGATTACTCGTGTAACGGCGAAGGAGAGAAGGTACAACCTTAACTACCAAAGCTGCGCAGGAATGTCTACCTGGATGTTTACAAACACCCTCCTTCTCTGTGGAGACGAGCTCAAAATTTCGCCTCGGCGGAGGTTGCCACAAAAGGTTGACTATGTCAGCCGGCGCTGGGAGACAACCGCCATTCGATATCACCTCCTCATCCCGCCTTGCCACATGGCTTTCATACATCAAAGACACTGCGGCCCAACTCTAGTCTTTGTGGTTTTTATGCTTCTAACACCGCATATCTCAAACGCATTGTGGAGGTAGAGTTTAATTAAACCGGTTGACAAGGGCACCCCACTAGGGTCGGGGTAGTCTGCTCTTTGCTGCTATGCTCCACAAGGATACATCTCCTTCCTAGCAGCGACCTCTTATTTACATCTATAAAGAACGCTGCAATGTCCTTTCCCCCTATTTGTCTCATCACGACCCTCACCCTAGTGCACCAGACCAAACACAGTAACGATAAGCACAGCGATTATTTTTTTATCTCCCTTTCCTTTTACCACTTGGCTCTGTCCACACTTCCACCCTATATCGCGCTCAGGGATAGATCCATTTACACCAATGGAATCCAACCCGGACAAAACAGCGGATGCAGATCCTGCAACGAATGAGATCGCTGATGTCGAGAGGGGCGAGAGACAAGAACTAGGGCAGGAACAAGAGCAGGAACAGGAGCACGAACAGAAGCAGGAACAGGAATTCGCTACAACTCGAGCACTTAGCGAGGATCATATCTTGGACAGCCCTGTCAGCGGCGCTTCGTCGTCATCATCATCGATTGACTCGTCGTCCCCAACACGAAAGAGGAGTCGACATGTGCACTTCCCTAACGATCCTACAACGGAAATCACCTATATTTGCTATGAACCCGAAGATCATCAACGCAGACGTCGAGCCTCTCGTCGTAATTGTGCTAGATTAGGAATCGATACGAGACAGGGACAGACGGTTCCACAGGGACAGGATGACAATGCCTTTGAACCAACGTTTTCCTCGTCAGGGCCTGAAGAGATGAGTCTTATGGAGGACTCTCCTGCACATGGTCTCGATGCCAACGTGCGAAGACGACCGATATCACTTCCAGTCCCTGTTAGACCGAGAATCACCCCAGAACTTGGCTCGGTCCACATGTACTATTCCCAAGTGGCCCAGCGGATCGTGCATAAACGCCAGCCGAATACAGAAGCGCGTGCGTCCCCTGAAGGATTCTCTCTTGGCCATCATGACGACAGGTCTCCTATAGCGGCAGCACTCGACAGAAATGACACAAGTCCGACAGGGGATCTGATCTTTTATATCGCGGAGGACAGACCTATTAGACGCTCGTCAGCATCTGCAACGACTGAGCAACGGCGGCCATTCAAACCTGGACATCGTCGATCGACACAGACTCTACTTGCTGTATTTCCCGAGCCACCTTCGCATACCTCCACACCGCATAGTGCTGCTTCGAACTGGAGATACCCCACATATCGACCACCGCCATTCTCGGATAGCCATATTATCTCATCCCCGTCTACCTCAGCACGCCAGCAACCTGCAAGCAAACATACAAGCGATAGCGAGAAGAGAGTAAACAATCTCACACGACGGCTAGCCATGCTTAACGGCGTATCACCCTACGCATATGATGCATCGGCGAGTTCATCCTCGTCCGCCAGCACTGGGAGTTGCGCTCATTCTACAATGTCACCAAGACAACGAGAGAAACAGTCCGTACGAAACACAGCCCAGGCCGATCCCATCACCGCTCATTACTCGACTTCAAAAGATCGCATCCTCGCTCCGCGACCGATCACCTATCACATTTATCTGCCCCTCCAAAAGTCCACACACTCACCCTCTCGTTCGGCCTCGCATTCGTCTCCCTCCTCATCCTCCCACTCTTCGTCCCGCTCTTCACGACGTTCGAGTACTCGCTCAGAAAGTTCCATCATATTCTATCCAAAGGAGTACTATCAACCCATGACGATTGACGGCTTCGACCAGGACAGGGACGAGAATTCTATGACGACTATTATAGAACCAGGTATCGCGCCCACAGAGCCTCTACTTTCATTACCGACCACATCTTCCATGACACCCCAATCAGTCTCATCCAGCGAACCACCTCCCGAGCCCCAGCTATTACCCTCTCCAGGACCGTACTCGGAGAGTCCTCCTCCTCGTCTAAACGACCGTTCCTCAACGCTCTCTGGACCAACAGCACATAGCCCTCCAAGTATGTTGAATGTTGTCCTGGCAGCAGGTAACGACGTTTCCTCACACCTTGCCCCGTCTATAACAATCGTATCATCACAGCTCGTTACTGGAGCACCTCTCACTTCTAGAACAGATGGCGTCAATTCAAGCTCTCGCTCCAGCTCCGGTTGTGACTCCGGCGCTGCCGCTATTGCTGCGGGGAGTCAACCTGCGCGTCGGTCTTTCCGTCAGCGACTGAAGGATAAGCTCTCAAAATTCCAGAAAAAGAAGTAGAAAGGTCCAGAGAACTGAAGAGCAAAGACGAGTATAAACGCCACTTGCACAAGCTATCTGTATATTATACTCAGCACTCGATTAAAAATATTTTGTCGTTTCACTGGATATGCAAATCGATATTTAAAAATCTTCAGGAGAAATATAAGATGGGTGAATGACGAGCATTGGATCTGGCCCGTCCGCTGCCGAAACACCAGGTTCTGTAGACGAGCCGTCGTCGATGGCCAAGAACACTTGATCCTTCTTAATTAATCGGCGAATGACCTTGCGGATAATCTGTTCCTCGACGGCAACATCCTGCTGATTGTCGACAATTTCCTGCGACTTCACATCTAAGTACCACTCCACAAGCGCCTCGCGACGGTAACCACCTATAGCATTATATTAGGGCGTTAGATAGCAGGCACAGCCGCTCCAACCATGACACATATACACACAGACACACACACAAAAAAAAAAAGGCATTTTCAGTATACCTTCTCCCTGTCGACGCACTTCGCTAACGAGCAGCTGCTTGGCACGCTCAAACTCATCGTAATCCATGCGTCGGAGACGATCTACCTGCGTTGCTTGCTGGCTGGCCTCTACTTCCATCGCCTGCATCTCTGCTGCTGCCATCTCAACCTCCGCCCCGGTCAGGTCATCCGCCAATAGCTCGTCCTCTTCTAGCTCGATTCTGTCCTTCTCAACCGTAAGGATAGACGAGTGCAGCAGACGGCTGGCCTCTTTCACAAAGTCTTCTGTGATCTGTTGACGAGATGGATATGATATAAATCAGTCAACTCTAACATTAGCATTCAGAGCTGAATAAGCGTCTTTCGGCTGGCTGCACTTACAATATCTGTGCAATGGACACGAGCCAGCGCTTCCGAGAGACGAATCATACTCTCGAGTTGGCGTACAGTAATTCTGTAAGAACTCTTGCCACTGCCTTGTGAGTCCATCTGTCTCAAATCACGGTACTTTTCAGACAACAAGCGCATGGCTTCTGGCGATAACTAAAGTGTACAATACAAAAAGCAAACGATCATCAGTTATGTCTGATCATTCTGCAGTGAATATCCGAAAAAGGCTCAATTACCAATCAGTATCAGTACTTTAGGTTTAAAAGTTCTTGCGTACTGGATATAGCGCTGAACCTGCTCTGTGCTATATTGAGGCTGAAGGGCTTCATCCCGGAATCTGTGAACGTTGACAATGTGCCGAGCAATCTGATAATCCGTAGTCTCATCGCACTCGTCCAGAACAACGAAGAAGAGATCGAAACGGGACATAATAGGAGGCGACATGGCGACGTTTTGCTATAAAGATTGAACATATGATAAAACTTCCTTGTCAGCCCTTGTCACACAAGGATGAAAAATTGGATCAATACAGGTGCTATGGTGTTTGGACCACTTACTCTAAGTGTCAGCTTCTTGTTGTATCTGCCATTCACCGGGTTGGCAGCAGCGAGAATAGAGGTTCTAGCGTTTAAAGTGGCCTGAATACCGGCCTTTGCAATGGAGATTGTCTGCTGTTCCATGGCCTCATGAATAGCAACCTGATCCTTCAAGTCCATCTTGTCGAATTCGTCGATAGCGCAGATACCCTACAAATAAAAAAAAGTAGACATTGTCAGTCTCTTGGCCAGTGCCGCGCCATACAAGTACGGACAAGCAAGTGGAAGGCGCTTACGTTATCCGCCAACATGAGTGCACCAGCCTCGATCGTAAACTCTCCTGTCTCCTCATCCTTGACAACAGAAGCCGTAAGACCAGCAGCCGAGGATGCCTTTCCAGAAGTATACACTGTTCTTGGGAGGAACCCGCAGACGTACTTGAGGAACTGACTCTTGCTTGTAGAGGGGTCGCCGACGATGCAGACATTAATATCTCCACGAAGATTGATACCCTCCGGTGTGGTCTTGTGCACACCACCCATCATCTGCAACAGTAGTCCCTGCTTCACTGTGTGGTGACCGAAAACAGCAGGTGCGATACTGAGTGCCAACTTGTTGTAAATCTGACCCTCCAAGTTAACCATGTCTCGCAGCTCGTCAATTTCCTGCTGTTGCAAAGAGTCCAAGAATTTTTGGCGTTCTTCATCCTGATTCTCAGGGTCGCGATCTATCGAGATATCACCCTACAATGATCCACGATTTGGAGTTAAAAATCGCCTTAGTAATCATAGTCCACAACCTGCTTTAGAGCTAAACAAGATGAGAATTATTCAAGATAAAATCTCGCACCTTAGAATCGGTAGCCTGGACCATTCCACCCAAGAAGGCCAACTTATATGTCAGATCGCCAACACCCAATGCCTTCAGTCCTGTAATTCCCTGGTTTGTGAAGCCGTCCCTTCCGCGATTGCGGTCCTGTGTCTCGCGCTCAGTCTGAACACTCGTGCCAGCGCCTCGAAGCTGGCTCACATCAGGTACGACGATAAGCATTCCAGTGAAGCGAGCCTTGTCACCAGCTTTGGCTTTCTCAACCACCTCTCCTCTCAGGATTACATCCATGCTATTTATGATTTAGAGAAATATGCCTCCTGTTAAGTATATTGTGCAGACAGGGCGTATGAAAAGCGAAACAATTAGCCTCGCGCGATTTTTGAGCACATACGTTCTTGGCATGCTGCCAGTAGGGATTTCATTAGGGTTCTCCTGAATACGAACACGTTGCCAGTCAATGAACTTTGATTGCTCAATGTTTAAGTCCCAGTTTGTACGGTTGCCGCATGTTGGACTCTGGCACATCAAAGGCTAGATGGACAGATATGTAACAGTTATTAATCTCTGAGACCTCTCGCAACGATGTACTTGGAAAGGAGCGCATAATACATGGGAATAGGCCGCATACCTCAGTATACTTAAACTGTTGCTCAACATTATGCATCACACCGCCGCAGTCCTTGCAGGTGAACGTTCCGTACAGTAACTCGGGTCTGACCTCACTTGTTCTCGTAACCGTTCCTGAGATGCTCATCAGCTTTCCAAGCCTGCTCATTCTCAGATCACGGATTCCTTCGTATGCAGGCACGTTGTAGAAGGCGACAGAGAACTCTCGAGACATCGATCCTGAAGGACGGACAGTGGCATTTTCTCCCATGGTGGTATTGATGTAAGAATAGGCGGGGTTGTGCTTCCATGTCAGGTTCTGGATGGCGCGTCTCAAGTAGGGCTGGAAACTTTTAAGGTAAAGGTAAGTCCTGATGTTAGCGGTGATAGTATAATAACAACGTCTTTTGCATGAGTATCGAAAATATTAGAGTTGTCGTTACCGGTAATACTGATCCTCAATAGCACCAGCCAAGACATGGTCATACATGTCCAGATCATGGTAGTCGATAAAGAGCGTATGACCATCGTAATTGCTCAACATCTTGAGTTGCTGTAAGTAAGGGGTGCTAACCGCCTGAGACGATCTTCCCAAATCCTGATCCTGCATGGTGCTCGGGTCGAACCTGCGTATCAAATAAATATCGTCTCAGATTTAGTGACTCTATTCCAACACAGTCGAAATAGTAGCATTGTAGTCGATATTCATCATGGTTGCAAACGAACCTTTCGATAAACTCCTCAAAGTCCATGCGAATCTTCTCTGCGGTCTCGTCCTTGGCCTTGGCAACCTGTCGTACGGGCTCGAATGGTGTGTATCGTGGTGTCGCAGCATCTGCCATGGGTCTGGGAGTGTCGGCCAAGGTAGCGGCCTCCATCCTGCCGGCGATGTCGTTCTCTGAATTCAAGAAGTCTGTCGAGTCCATAATGAGCTGTTCCCTGATACGCGAACTGGAGGTGAACACACAGGAGTTCGTAGGGTGATAAAATGCTGAAGAAGGCGAGACAGGCAGATGCTGTAGTTATTTGTAAACGCCCAATCAACCAGCCGTTTCAGCTCAGAGCCCTTCCAATCCAGAGACGCGTTGTTGTTTGTTTTTGTTTGATCAAAATAAGCTGTAGCGCCAGCCACAAACAGTCGTTGGACGCGCCCTGCGGTCGAAAAAAAAAAATTGGTGGCAATCGCATATCGACTGCCCTGGGCTAAATTAGAAAACGCGCATGAAAAAGAGAACGTGATCTGGTTCCTGAGAACAAGAGTTGAGCTGTTCCTGAGGCAAGAATAAATTCTGGTCTCTCCTCGTTTTCTATTCTCGTTATTTCAGTTACATGGGCCGTACGTCTCCCTAATTGTAAACTGCCGGCAAGTACTAGTGCATTTTGGATAGACAAGTGTACGTCTCAGTGTGGGGGGGGGGGGAGGTTTTTTTTTTTTTTCAACGGCACATGGACTTTCGACACTGACTCCACGGAAGCAAAGATGATGCTGCTGTCAGACAAATAAGGAGTTATATGGTGACGACCAGGTTGCTTGTCGTCCCAGCACCACGAATGGCCGCGGCAAAACATCAAGTTTGAAGCGGACGCGGCGTGTTTGCATCAATTCAACTATAGCGCTATGCTTCATCATCTGCGCTCCACTACATGGATTGTGTTTCGATAAAGATCTTGCAGGCAATTGCTGCTGCTGCTGTCAGCCTCCGGCACCTCTCGCCGCTTCGAAGCATAGTATTATTTTACACCTTGATCAAAGAGTCTTTGTCCCCACTCTTTTATCCTCTTCGAAGTCGACCTATCCCAAGACTTCTCCTGACCATTCTGTTCCTAACAGGAGCATTCAGACAGAATACCTTTAGGTGAGCATGGTGTCCGCATCACGCAGGGGAGGGGGCTATCTATTTCCGTAGTGAGGTGTTGTCTACTATTCCCTGCTCCTTTATTCAACACATTCGAGAGGCGAATCCGAATGTAGACATATGAAAAGGCCTTCCTACCTCGCGTGCTGCAGAGTATAGTCCGCAGTACGTGCCCTTCCCCCTTTTTAGTACCACGTTCTCCCTGTCCTGTGGATTTCTACTTTTCACCTTTATCGAGTACTTGATTCTCGCTGTGCGCATCATTGAGCGTACATGTAGTCAGACCGCTGGCACTTTTTTCACTCTTTAATACCAGTCATCTGCCTCAATATAGACCGGTATCTAGCGCTCATATCCCTGTTTCTACGCTTCTTTCTCCGTCCGTGATACTCTGGTCTTTACAAGCATACTTTTATTCATCGCCAAGGGGCATGCAATGTTGTCTTCCCTATCTGTTCTTCGACGTCTAAGACCATCTTCATCCTCAGTGCCCCGCGCATCGTCACTAATGGAAGTTGCGTTTTATCCCTCAATGGAGGGGTCCCTTTCTTTGTCTCCATCATCTCGTACTCATGTTCGCAAGGCATCCTTGGCTCCCTATGCCATCGGGTCCCATTCTATACCGCCAACCCATTGACACTGGTGCAAGTCGGAAAAATCAAGCAGACGGAGCGACAGCAATTGCACCTTCAACTTCAACTGCAGCTGGAAAGCACCCAGAAATTGCGACAGTAACGGGAATTAAATTATATCCTTGTAAAGGATCTGATGGATATGCGACAACAACGGTGCCTCGATCGATGACAAAGTTACGCGGACGCGAGAGGGGTGCGTCGTCAGCGTCAGGATATCAAGAAGGCACTGAACCTCGAGCAACGATTCATTGCTGCACTAAAAAAGCAGAAGGGGGTGCAGCAAGGAACTGATCATATCAGACAGGCGACTGTCCATCCGCCATCGTCCCCAGCACCATTGTCAAGCAGCCGTATTTGACCATTTGATTATGAAGGATCAACCGAAAGATAGATACAACAACTGTGACTTTGATGGAATAGAAGAAAGCTTATTATTAAGCATCAGTCCAACGAAAAGAAGAATGCGTTTTATTTCTACGCATGTCCCAAAGGCTTCAAACTACATCTGCATCATCCTGGCCAAAATCCAGTACGAAGCCGCGACCGCTCTTCAGAAATCTCTTGCCATTTCCGATCGGAGGGATCCTGATCGGCAGCAGTGCGGTGTACCAAGGACTATTCGATGCAGAAAAAAACGACAAAGGTTAAAGCTCAGTCTTCTCTTTGAAAGCTGGATACAGTTGAGGGCGCTGCATTACAAACTTACTAAAAGCTAGGCGATCGTTAAGTTACGTTCAAAAGACGTGAGGACGTGATCTCAGCGAGGTTTATTTGCCAATGTTTATCCAAGAATGATGAAACTCAGATTCAGCACTTACCCTCGTCGACCAATGTTGAAAAAGTCCAGCAGATTGCCAATGATGCCAAAGTCATACATGTTCATGAACCTATCGCCTTTTTTCTTGCATATTTCTTTGATAACTCCGTTGTTGTACTGTTCAAGCGTGGTTTGAGCTGTCAGTGTCTAGATCGCAGGTGATTTGGTGTTAGCGTGCCAGTTTTTGTCGTCATCCACCTCTATGTAAATAGCTGTGAGTAACTTTCCTACCAGATACCAGTGCCAGCAGCCCATGCCGTTGACAGACAGCCCGATTGCTCCAGCTAGCACAATCGAGAATGCAGTTAATCCCTTCGGTAGTGGATATGGCCAGTTCTCCTATTATTACGCGTTCAGCTCGTTAGCTCTCCAGATCAACAGCGCACCATGGCAGCCCACATCACATCCTAAATCCATTCACTTACAGAATCTTCATATTCTGCGAGAAACAGAAAGGGACCGGCTCCCATGTAGAGAAAATACACGCTGGCTATCGACAGATAGGTTAAAAACATGAGAAAGTACCGATGGTTGAAGTGTCCCACGCAATTGTTGATCCACGGGCAATGCTAGAAGATATTGGACAGTGTTAGGGACTAATGTACCCTTGGCTTGGTAATGTAAAAAAATCATGAATGGATCTTACGTGGTCGTATTTGAGGATGCACTTTTTGCACACGCTGCAATGGTGCGTTCGTTCCGGCTTTGGAAGATGGCCTACCATAGGTAACACGGGTCAGGCACAAGCATCGGAATCAGCCCCATTGGCTCAATGTTAATCACACTTCACACTTGCAAGTATCTTTAATTTGTCGCACGCTATTACATCGTTTGCATGTCGGCGGGGACTCGGTGAACGCTATTTAAATAGAATGGATGTATAGAGCATTAGTATGAGTACCTATGCGCTTCGCTGTGAATGATGTAAATGTATTAGTTCTCTTACTCTCCATCTCGACAAGAACATCTTGAAACGTGCTGCCTTCCTGTGAGCACACAGAAAAAAAAAAAAAAAGCGCGTTCAATTTTAACGCCACCAAGTTTAATGTGCACTTGGCGATGCAATGAAAATATGTCGCTCCCCTCATACATTCTCCGTGGATATGCCATCGAGTACGTAGCCGGGTGGTGTGGACACTGCGTAGTAATAATTGGCCACGATCCCCCAGACTATATAACAGGACCAGATCATGTTTGCAATATACCCAAGATTGGACGCCTCCTCTTCGCCCTCCACTTGCCGGGGGTAGTGAAATGGAATAAAGACCATAAAGTAACAATAAATAGTCAAGGACAAGAGAATGAACGCAAGCGTGATAAGAATTGGTCCCAGCCGCCTGCTGGCTATGTCGATCAGCAGCTCGACGCGATCAGCAAATGAGAGCTGTGTGCGGCGGGGACGCGTGGCGATGGGCTCATCAGGTGCAGGGTCTGATGTAGGGATTGGCTCAAAAGGTATTGAAGCTGACATGAGGTTTACAGATGTTGTTCAGAATGGAGTGTGTGTAAGATGGAGGAGGCATGGATGTGTGAGCAATATAGGATTGAGGGGACCAACTGCATTGCCCAGCCTGGCGAAACTGTGTGACATCTGTTACTAGTGCAGATATTCATCAGGTTCATTTCATCGAGCTTGGTAATGCTTCCACACATAATACATATTCGTCCAAGATTCCCGAAGGTCAATGACGCGTGGATGGTTCAGTGAGTTGCTGCTCGCTGCTTCCAGCATACGTGGTGCATCAAAAGTGCAGACAAATGGAGCCCTTCTTGGAAGCGCCCTTCATCAGAGTGACTTGAGGGTTCTATTAGAATGGCTGATTGAGCAGATATGACGGACATGTCAACGAAGATGGCACGACATGAAGCATAAACAGCCTGCGTGTTGTTGTCAAAGTAGGAGCGGTCGCTTGATACGTTCGTTCCCGCTCAATTGCTTGAGTCGATCCGCAGACAGCAGACACGTTTCGTCTTTGCAGGAAAGAACAAGTGAAGCAAGTGAGTTAAGCGAATTGGGAGAGAGCCTTTTTTTTGTTCGTTCGTTCCTTTCTTTCATCATCAGCAAGAAAGAATCTCTTCTCCTTTCTTCGGCTCTACATCCATTTCATCCTTCCTTCTTACTCATTTCGCTTTCTTATTTAATACTCCTTTCATCGACTCCTCCATAACGGACACACTCCCCTTTTCTTCCATCTCCATCGCATTCTCTTCCCCACACACTTTTTCTGCCAACGATCCTCCCTTCCTCAGGCCAAACTTGATGTTCCAACGGCCAGCTGTCACTCAACGCATCTCTTATGTGCTCCGCAAGGACGAGAACAGGAATGCGCACCTCCTTGGTGTCAATGCCCTCGCCCTCGACTCTACCACCCTGACAGCAAATCCACACTCACCCTCACAGGATGAATTTCACCACCACTACCGCCACCACGAGAGTCGGCACCATTCTTCAAAGCATCGGGTACCTGGAGGTGTCCTCTACACCGGTGGAAGGGATGGCATGATTGCTGCCTGGGATCTCCACTTTGAGGTACTACTTGTTGTACCCTCCACCGTTTTCTCACGGCGTTCAGCGTTAGTGTTAGAACAGCAGAAACTCTAACTTGTTATTTTTCAAATCAATACTACCGCAACCTCAGTCACCCGTACCTCGAGATATCCCCGGAGAGGCTTCAGAGGAACCAAAGGTTAGTAGTAATGTGAGCCAGCAATGGCGTGTGGGTTTACTGCCTCCCCAATTGCCCCCTCTTCATCTCTCTATTGCTCTTCTAAACTAGTAACATGGGTGTGTATCCCTGGTTATTCTTCCTTCCTTCATCCACTCTTTGTTTCGTTGTAGGGTCTACCGCCCTCGACGTTCCGACAATCTTTCAACCACCATACAGACTGGGTGAATGACATTGTTCTTTGTCACAACGGAGAGACCTGTAAGGAGGGAGATGCAACAACTTTTCTTTGTGGCCGACTCTCGAGAATCGGATGTGGAGTCGGATTTATTGCTGTGATAAGCTATTAACACTCGAAGTGGAATTCTACCCACGCCTGTTTCCACCTTAATCAGTGATATCGGCGTCTTCGGATAGAACCGTCAAGCTGGTGCGACCTCATTCACATAACTCAACAGTGGCCCATATCATCGGAACGCACGGGGACTATGTCAAGACACTAGCGTACGCCTCAGGACCAGGATGGGTAGCCAGCGGGGGTCTTGACAAGACTGTGAACATTTGGGACATCAAGGAAGGACGAAGTGGACAATTTGGATCTCTTGGTACAAAAAGATTGCTGTCTTAGATTGTTGCGGTATAGATGATGCGCAGACACAATCCACCTTTGTGGGCATCTGATCTTCGTGGAACACTGTTACACTACGCCATGCAAAAAACGTACTTATGCGCTCTCCAAATATTTGTTTTGTTCGTCCTTGTCGACTACTTTAGGAAGCATTCCAGAGACATCTTCGAAGGCATCTATCTATGCACTAGCGTGTAATCCTGCAGGAACCGTGCTGGCAACTGGTTCTCCAGAGAAGGTATTCGTCTGCGCGATTTTCTTTCTAACACAGCAAGAGTGGGATTTTAGGGGTTGTCACTAATTGCGTTCATTCCTTACGAATGCACTGGTGCTACAAACCAGATCATCAGAGTCTGGGATCCAAGGTCGGGACAGCGGATAACGAAGTTCGCAGGACATACGGACAACATTCGAGCAATTTTGATCAGTGAGAGTGGAGATACAGTAAGCATCGGATCATGGACGCACAAGCTGTTGACGCATGGTTTAACTCCCATGAAGGAATTACTCACCAAGGAAAATCTTGCTATATAAATGACTAGATTTTGTCCGCGTCCTCAGATACGACCATCAAGCTTTGGTCGCTTACTGCGCAACGGTGTATTACAACATTTACGATGCACTCGGATTCTGTGTGGTCGCTGCATTCGGATCATCCTCAGCTGGCTACTTTTTATGGAGGTGGAAAGGACGGCCTGGTCACTAAAACCGAGATCAACCGGTATAACTCTCACCATCATAACGACTACGAGGACGAAGACCCAGGCCAATGCGTGGTCATCTGCAAAGCTGAGACCGGCGTAGCAAGGGTAAGGATGATGGATACAGTGCCGCACTTCACCTTTATTATTAAATGTGACCAAGTCCTAACTTATTTTTTAACACGCATGTTCTAGTTGGTAGCGCACGACGATGCACGTATCTGGACCGCAACCTCGTCAAGCAGTGTCTATCAGTGGCCGGACATTCCAACGCGGTCGAACCGATCGCACGAGTTGACAGCCTCAATTGTACCGGCTAACCTGCTTAAGATGAACTTGAACGAGTCGACATTCATGGAACCGATTCCCGAACATTACTATCCAACCTCCACTGTCTACTCGGCAGCGTCATTGGGATCGCTATTTATCAACAATCGTGATAAGCAGAGTCAACACAGCTCTGAGGACGACGAGGGCTTGATCACACCTATATTCGAAGGACCCGAAAATGTTATCGAGGGAGAGCACGGACTAATCAAGCACACGCTATTGAATAACCGCCGCATGGTCGTTACTGAGGATAAATGCGGTGAAGTGGCACTGTGGGACATTATAAAGGTACTCTTTCGTTCTGAAATATTGCGCGAGGTGTTTATTGAGCTGAGACTCCCTACTAAATCTTGTCGGTGTTCTCCTTCCTTAATGATGTGTAGTGTGTCCAACTGGAAACATTTACAGGGCGCAAGCTGGAGGATGTCGTGAATGAACTCAACACAATCGAGTCAGTCCCGACATGGTGCACAATCGACACGCGAATCGGAGCATTGACTGTGCACCTGGATGAGGCGCGCTGCTTTGATGCAGAGGTTTACGTTGATGAGATTGAGAAGACACCGGATCCAGAGCGACCCGAAGATCAAAGAAGTATGTCCTTGCAGCAGTTGAAAGATGTCCTGTTGTCAGGTTCGCCCTGTTATTAAAGCAGCCTACCTCTGTATCCCAATCGATGCGATCTTTTCTTTTATCCTTTTTCTAGTTATCATCGGCAAGTGGGTTCTGAAGAATCTCTTTGAAAGCTACATTCCAGTTCATATTGATGCGTATGAGAAGGAGGCATACAGGATCCAGCATCAGGATGATCCATCAGCCCAAGTCTTGGTCCCGACAACGGTTGTTACCAATGAGAGAAACGAAGTTATTGACGGAGGCAACAATGCTCAGGCAGATGACTCGAACACAGCATCAAACGCTCGACCCACTATCAACACTTCGCCTGAGGGCTTGAAAAGAGAACGTACGGACCAGCCAACGTCATCAGGGGAGGCCTCCAAGGCCAATTCCACTCCATCCATGCCTCAAGACAACTCGCAGCAGCCGCAGCAGTCTACCGGAACAGCCCCAAGCTCCTCTAGTTCTCCGAAACAGGGACCAACATCGACCTCTTCAACAGTAGCGGCAGTGACAAAGCTCATTGCACCGCCCTCTTCGTCCAACTCATCCTCAGTCTCTTCGACTCCGCTTTCGCCTGCAAATGCAAATTCGGGCTCCAGCAACGGATTCATGGGACGACTGAAGCATTCTGTGAAGAAACTTGCACGGACGCCTAGTGCAGAGCAGAGATTCGAGAACGGACGCCCAGTCACTTCAAGGAAGAGTTTTTCAATCCCGACAAGCGCTACATCTGCATCGAAGGCGCCTCACAGCCCTTCTATCCCTGAGAATCCGTCACCGTCTTTACCGACGGTGACCACTACCTCTGCGTTGACTGGATCTGCAGCGGGAGGAGCGGCGGGAACAGCATTAGGAACTGCCACTGCCACTGCCACTGCCACTACAACAGAAGCAGGAATAAGAACAGGAACAACAACAGGAACAACAACAGGAACAGGAACTGGAATTGGAACAGGAGCTACGACCTCAGCGGCATCATCGCCGAGAACTACGATTGTCGAGGGCACACCCACAGTGGGACCTTTTGGACCTGAGGCGACGAAACCTGAGGACGACCAGTCGAGTGTGGACACGAGTTCATCGAACTCTGTAGAGTCAATGCCGAGCACGGTGATGCAACTGCCTTCATCGACGATCAGTGTACGTCCTCCTCATCCGCCCTTCACTCCGCCCACACATCTGGATTGCCCAGCGATCGAGATCCCAGCCCATATCCCGGTGATCATCTCCGAGCAGTCACGCGAGGCGTCGTCTTCAGTAGACTTGTATCGTGGTAGTGTCGGCTCTTTAGCCCAGGATTATGTGCCACTGGTGCAGGTCATCCCTACATGGCTACTAGATATGCTGTTGAAGAACATGATTCCCATGAAGGAGGGCGCAAAGGTTTCATTCGTGCTGCGTCCACATCATGATCAGGAAATGGCGGCTGCACCAGGAGGACCGGGCAGGCTGGGTGAATTGCCTGGCGGCAACCCTCGTTTGACGGCACCGCGCATGCTGAGGGTGAGAAAGGTAGTCACGCATGTGGTCGACAAGATGGCGCTTACACCGCCAGAGAGGATCTTTGTTGCTACTGTCGCGCCTTTGTCAGCAGGTGCTGAGGTTGGTCAACAGGATGATGCACAGGCACGCTTACCACTGGAACCGGTTAGGGAAGATTCAAAGGAAGATAGCGACTATCCCATTCTTCCTCCTCGGACATCTAGTATCATTAGACCATCAGACCCCGATACCTTAGAATCATCGAGAGCTTCTGTGTCAAGAACACAACCATCCAGCGACGGCACCGACGGACCTGTACAAACATCACCCAGTAATGCTTCTTTCGAGCAAGCGCAGGAGACTGTGAAACCCCCCAAAACGAAGGAGGAAGAAGAAGAGGAGGAGTATATGAGACAAGAGATGCTGCGTCCGGAGAACTGGCTCGAGATTTTGTGCAATGACCAGGTTCTGTCACCGACGACGACGTTGGCGACTATCCGCACGCATTACTGGAAAACAGGAAGTGATGTTGTACTGACGTATCGGTACAAGCACCACACGCATTCCCGAGCTGTCAGTACGAGCGCCAACGTTTTAGCAGCAGCGCAATGAAGAGCGGAACGACATTTTCTTTGGTCAAAGTGAATGAACCTATCTACTACCTATCACGCTTAAAAAAAGAATTGTAATAAATCTGACAGGGGATATCACAAGGCAAGACAAGGTATATATCGGAAATGCTGTGTATTTCTATAAACATATCTTGTTGAACAAAATAATCAGTGCCCGAGATCTCAGTATCCGTGCTGCCCCTGATGATTCTCACTCCCGTCCTCGTCAGCCAACAGCGCTTCTGAACTCGATCTGCCATTCACTCCTCCTACATGATCCTGCGAGATCCCAAAGAAGCCATCTCCCGGATCACTGTACCTCCGTCGAACATCCTTATAGTACTTTGAATAAACGACGGTCTGCATGATAATAACACAATCGATACAGAGCTGGATGATCCCGCACCCAACGAATTGATATTTGGCATGGGTCGAGATATAGTAGTAAGTCTTGAAGGAGTCGCCGACTACCCACATGAGTAGAATCGCGGGCGAGAAGCCCGCTGTCGATTTGGAGCGGTAGTTTTGGATCGCTTGGGGAAGTGGGACCGTTGCCTCTATGCCCAAAGCCTAGGAGATAAGATATATGAATTTTAGAGAAAAAAAACCCCCCTCATGAGTATTGTTAGAATCGTGCTGTGTCAGAAAAAGGGGATCTGAAGAATGTTGAACATGCGGACAAAATTCTTCGCAAGAGAGAGAGAGAGAGAGAGAGAGAGAGAGAGAGAGAGAGAGAAAGAAAATAAAGGAAAAAGTTACCGCAAGGCCTAGAAGGCCGACAAAGAAATCCGTGCTCCCGATGATAAGCAGCGACAACCCGACGAGCAACGAGAATACCGCGAGGAATAAATAATACGGCCCAACTCTCGGCCAATTCCAGAAATGTGTCCCCCAGTAATATGCCTGCTGCTTGTACCATCCTTGGCTGTGGTACCTCGACGCCCGGTTCATAACATGGTCCGGTCCTGGGGAATTGGACGACAAAAGTTCACCTGTGGCCATGTCCCCATAACGGTGTCCATTACTGATGTTGCTGGTGCTACTGGTATTGCTGCTAGGACTGGGACGAGATGATGAGGGTGGAGTCAATGGTCCGGAATAGGTGACGGGCATGGGCAGTTGGACCGTCCAGGGATAAAAACGGACACAGAGTTCAAGCAGGAAGAGTTGCACGACCGTCATTAGGATAGACTGGTATAGCAGCGCGACATCGAATCTATTAAAAACATAACAGGCGTTAAAGGTGGAGGTCCAGGCTGTAATAACGGGTTTCTTCATGTCTGCTTGCGGCAAGGACTTTTTTTTTTAGCTTACGGTTCACCAATCCTATGAGAGGAATTAGTCCATTTAGCAGTTTGATTATGGGCAAATCCAAGTGCAGGGGTCAACAAGTTCGCCAAGAAAAGAAAAAAAGAAAGAGAGAAATGCTGCCCCTATCAGTGCGGGTTATTGAACGATCCTGCCCTCGCTCCATCAATCCGTGTTACAAAACCATCCCCCGTTGACCCATTGGCACCCGCGACGTATACGCACCAGAAAAAAATACGGATGATGCTAATACCAAATCCACAGGAGAAAGAATCAAGGAACCATTAATAAGCTTCTTTTTTCATCAGATGCAGTTTCATATTCAAAAAAAAAAAAAAAAAAAAAAAAAAGGAACACCTTTGCTTACCTGGAGACGATGAGGACTCCGCATGTCACACTACTGAATCCCATCGACGTCTTCATCTTGTGCATTGTGTAATACTGATGGAAGTAGCCCGTGACAGGTCCGATCACCATCGCCACTCGGATGAGGTCCCAGGGAGCCGGTTCTGTCGGGTCTATGGTATCCGACATGGCAGTGCTCCTATACCGATTAATGTGTCTATGTAGAATATAGTGTTTGTGTGTTTGCGTGTTTGGATGCGAGGGTCTCAAGATGCTAAGCAGAAAGGAGGAAGGATTTGAATGAAAAAGTAATGCGAGTGAGAGAAGGATGAAGGAGCGATGCCTGACCAGTAAAATAAATTATCAATGCCAAGGCAGCACGGCCCCATGTCATGTTGGTCTATGTTATATCGCACATGTATTTTTGATAACCTTCAGAGCTAGCCTGTATCCTGTTCCCTTTTCGTATCAGGCAACCAATGCTGCTGCTGCTGCTGCTGCTCAATTAGTCTTAAGGCTCGATCGGATCGCTTGAACACCGATATCGTCAGTGGCCGAGACATCTCCAGATCTAGAACTCAGTCCTGCAGGTTGTTCAGCAGCCACAACCTCGGCAGCCTGCGCCCGAGTCGACACACCCTTCACTGACATTCCCGCAACCGAATCAACTCCGATTGCATCGCCCAGACGCGACAACCAGCTGCTCTTGACTCCGAACTCCTTCCTGCGCACATTGAGGTCCGCCTCCGTCGGTATGCTATCCAAGATCAATCCCACCACCGATCGCAGAGCCAAATACGCGTGCTCAGAAACCAGCAACGAGAACAACAGCATGCCCAGACTCAAACGAGGCTCATGCTCCGCACCATGGAACAGATACAGGATTGACGCATTCGTCAACGAGGAGAACCAGGTGATGTTTTGCAGATTGTTAATCCATGGTCCGATCGTGTCCGTACGCGCAGGAATCGGTCGACGGGCGTTGTAGCTGATCTTCGCAGCATCCGATCGCAGCTCAACCCAGTTATTGATAAACGCACAGAGGCCCGTCAATGGCCAGATAACGCTGAACAACGACACATATCCAAACTACAGTTGCATGCAGAAAAAAAGAAGTTAGCAGCTATCAAATTGGTACCCTTTGAGTACTGGCAGAAGAATAATAGAATAGCAGAATGCCACTTACTTGAAGAACCATCTCAGCATAATCCTCATTGACATCGTACACGGGTAGTTCAGATTGTTTCCTCACCCGGTTCAAAAACTTTTTCGCCCCCTCCGAGTCCTGACCGTCCTCAACACTAGAATCACTCGAGGTCGATTCATGCTTCAGTTTCTCAGAGACCTCCTTCTTGATCTTGACAGCTCCTACCTTGGCGCGTCGTGTCAACCATGGGACAATCGTTTCGGTGGCAAAGCTGATGGCCTGTGTTGTGATCATAAACGCCTTGAGACGGTTTTGCAGCATGGCCGGTTCGATGGTTGCCTTGGAGAATGAAAGGCCATAGCTCTGGAAGGTCGAGATCACCTCTGGGCCGAAGGGGATGTAAACATAGGCCGTCAAGAGGATCGACATGTAGCTCGTCAGAGCGTTGAAGATGAAGACCTTCTGCATCAAGTGGTACTCGTAGCTCGCATGCGTCTCGTAGTTCTCATAGTCCGTTAACTGACGCGAAACAGACTTGCAAAAGGCCGCGACATTTGGGATAGCAAGAGAATAAAGAACCATTGGGACGTAGATCTGTACATGCAATTTCACGTACGTTTTGTTAGCTGTTTGAAGCGTTCATGATCGGACGAGCCGTCGGTGGCCAATTGAACAAAAAAGACGACATGTACTTACCAAAACCTCTTTCAAATATCCATCGTAGTAGATGGTCAAAAAGACCTCGATACCAAAGACTGTGGTGATGACTGTGGTCAGGGCAAGAGCACCTGCGAGGATAACAGGTACGCCAGCCATTTTGCGAGTCCATCGTTTCCAAGGCGAGAAAAACGGCAGCATCTCTCCAGTAACAGGATCCAACGTGACAGTATCGCCCTTGAAAGAAGGTCGCCTCATCTCCGCTTTGGATACATGGCGGACACCCCACCAAAGCGAGAGCTCTCTCTCTCGACGTTGCCAGTATTCTGTAAAGACGACGGACCAGAGAATGACACAGACGCCATAAAAGATTGAGAAAGATGTTCCGAAAAAATGGACGATGACACCCAGCGCTGTAGGGGCGGCCAGCCACTTGAAGTAGAACTGGAGGAATTCAAAGTAATAGGCGATCTTCTCGCCAAATTGATCTCGGATCTTTGTCAAATCCTCTTGGTCCACGAGCCACTTTGTTGACCAGGCCTTGAGCCACGACTATCATGACAAAAGAATAGGATTTGATGTCAATACAGCGGCCGCTTTGAGATAATGGTGACGTACGAGTCCAAATGACCCAAGATGCGCGCAACAGGCCAGGCCCTGTACCTTGTTGAATGCCTTGTCGTGCAGCGGGAGTATACTCTCGACATATTCGTGCTCATCCGGGTAGATACCAGCACCTCCCTCGCTTGGCAATCCTGTGATGAGATCATTGATATAACGAATACGATCCGCCTCAGAGAGATTGTCCAAGGAATGATCACGTTCCTTAATAGGCTGGAGCAGCTGTTCTGTTTCTGCAGTATCAGCGACTCGGACGCCTGCGAGCCAATCGTGAATGCTGCGATCATCATCGGGACAATTCAAAGATGTAGAAAAGAAAAGATCCGTATTAGTTAGTATGGGTGCATCATCGTGAGAAAAATAAACTTCTGCAAAGATGTGAAGATCAAGGCAATATGCAACATGTACCTGCTACGTGTTGCCTCGCGCTTCAGAACAGCCCATGGACAGAGGACGAAGATGAAGAGCGTGTGATTGCCGCTGGGTCTGGTTTCATACTGGAGACCCACGCGTGCGAGTTTTTGTAGGACCTCCTGGTACGCCTTGATCGTCTGCTGCTCATAGTCTGGCTTGGACGCGCCTTTGACTGGCTCTTTGTACTTGAAGACAATGATAAGATCTGCGTAGACATCGAGACTCTTGGGCTTGGTGAATTTGTATAGCCCTACATCCTCATTGTCGATGTTCTTGGTGTGATCCCGGATTGTGGAGGAGTAGATATCGAAGAAGCGAAAGTGAGACTGGGGCTGACCCAGTACTGCTGTGTCCATGGCTTGTCTCAACGGCGGTCGACGGTCAGCAGACAAAGGCCAAGGTGTGTAGAGTAGCAAGGGAAAGGAGGTGGAGTGGAATGAGAAAAGGCGATGTAAGAATGAATGTAATGAATGCAGCGGTGAGAAGGGTTAAGAAGAAGAAAGGCCACTCTGGCCCAAAGGACCATGAGTTTCCTGCAGTGTGTGCCGTAAGCACTATTTCCAAAAAAGAACTGCGAGAAAACGCGACTTTATTTACAAGCAATTGATTCATGGGTGTATTGAAATATCGCGAAGAGACAAAAAATGAGCGGAGGCAATCGATCTGCCTTGTCCACGGATCTTTGTGCTCCTTTACAGTTCGCGACTAAGACCGGCTTCGATGACCGTGTACAGCTCAAGGGCCTCGGGAGGCTGAGGCATCGTCTTGAGGATCTCGGCCGCAGAGATGGCACGTCCATAGAAGGCTGCGTTGGCCTCCTTACGCTCCAGCAGAACCGTTCCATCGAGGGAGACGCCCGCAAACAAGCCCTTGGACTTTGTGTACGAGAAGATCTGGGACGTGTTGGCGGCCTGTGTGTTGGCAGAGACGCCGACCTCACCGCCGACACCGACAGGTCCAGCACTGACAGAGAGACCACCACCCAGGGTCACGCTACCGCCCTGGATAAAGGTTGTCTCGACAGCCTCGTCCGTCATGAGTACGAGAATGATGTCTGTGATGTCTGCACCGACTAAGGCACCGAATCCAACACCACCCGTGGCGATGAAGCTGGGTGCAGACCACTGTCCATCGTCCTTTTTGATCACGACTACTCCACTGCCTCCACGAGCGCTGACAATAAACCCCTATGTATGGGGGCAGTTGCGAAAACATATCGTCAGATTTCTTGGGTCATTTGCATCATATTATTACCATCCCCATGCCATACAATGTATCATAAACATGTGCAAGACACTTACAGCCTTGACAACAGTGTAGATGGCCAAACCCTTGGCCTTACGCAGAATCTCTGGCGGGATAATATTGTCGAATCCAGCCTCGTTCTCATCCTTGTTCACGAATCCACGCAGCAGGTTGGCGGCCTTCTTGAGGTCCTCAGCAGCGTTGGTATCAGGAAGAGGGGAGGAGATATTGGCGTTCTTGGCAGACTCTTGCATCTGTCTCGTGGCCTCGGTTGCAGTTTCCTGGAAACGTTTTCCTGCCTCGGTCGCCCTCTTGCCGACATCTATAATATGCAAGAAGCTGTGTTATATAAAGACAGGCCGGAGCAACTGCTGTGCACTGCCACTATGCGTGGTTGGGGCGGTCGACTGCATATGAGCATCATAGACACACACGCCTTCTTTGCCCTCTTAAGAAGCGAGCCTTGCGGCTGCGCCAAAGTGCGATAAAAACAATAGTAATAATGGCGGCGATAATAGTGATGAAAAACGCCCAGGATCATAGTTGTCGAGTAGCGTAGTATAGGGTGTTGTTGATGGGAATGCACTGCTGGGATGGATGGGATCCGGTTGTCCAGATTCTAATTTAAGCACAAAGGAAGTAGTTGTCGAATGTCGTCGACCTTTGCCATCGTTTCTTTTCTCCTAGTCGCCCTTTGTTTGTTTTCCTGCCCGCCCTCTCTCTCTATCCCTCAGTCTCTCTTTTCCTCTTTGTCAGTCAAGTAGAGTCGAGTCAAGTCAAGTCGAGTCGAGTCGAGTCGAGTCCTGTCCCTTCTTACTCCTGTTTGTTGAGGTAACGATAAAGACAACAATAGCAATAACAATAAAATCATATGAGGTATATAACATACCTTGGGCCACAGTTCTGAACTTGTCCATAAACGACATCCTGTGCTATGTTACTGGTATTGGCGACACTAAGAAGGAGAAGAGGAAGAAGAGGAGGAAGGATAGGGACGAAGATAGGTAGAAGGGTGGATATGTGTAAATGGGGATGGAGCGAAGAGAAAAGGGGAGGAAGTAAGTGGAGACAGTCTGCAACAGTCAGTGTGTTGTTGTTGTCATGGCGATATGAGGGCAGAGGATATGAGGATATGAGGACATGAGAATACGATATGACCACTTCCTTCTTTTTTCCAATTGAGAAAAGGGAAAAGGGCGGTGTGCACAGCCCGCGCCTCATCTTCTTACTTCTCTCTCTCTCTCTCTCTCTCTCTCTCTCTCTCTCTCTCTCTCTCTCTCTCTCTCTCTCTCTCTCTCTCTCACTCTCTCCTCTCGCTTCCACTTTCTCATTCTCGCTCCTTCTGCCCCACTTCTATCTCTCTCCCTCATAGTGCTTCTGCTCTCCTTCACCCGCTCGCCGTTTCCTATCCATACCTGCTTTGCTGTGCCTTCGGGAGTAAGATAAACAAACAAGCAACGGTCTCAGCTGTGTTCTTCAATGATTTAATGGCTTCAGTCGTTCAATGGTTTTCTAACCCTTCTTTTCCTTCACTTCTTCACTCACCCAGGCACATATCCTCAGCTAAAGACGATGCTCTTGCAATCACAATGGCCAGCAACTTCTGCAGCTGCAATCGTACTATCGCCTGCAACCTTGCTTCTCGCATCCATCCTTTGCTTATCCATAGCAACAATTACTACGGCGCAGGCTGCCCCACAACCACCACAAGCTCAACCTCCTCCGTCTCCTGGTAATCCTGTGTTCCTGCACCCAACGTCTTGTGCAAGTGCAACGGGCGTCTGGACTGTTGGAGATGAGCAACTATCCAAAGGCTACTCCTTGACATTTGTCAAATCGTACTCAGGGCAGCCCAACGAAGTCTTCAGGTTTCCGACCTCCGATATCGATCAAAACTTCACACCTGGCAAGTGCGTCGAAACTAGTCCCACAACCGTCTACTTCCTCTCCGACTACTTCCAGGGCGGAACTATGACAGTCAATTCGACGACGAAAAATGGCACTTGGTCAGGCACAAGTTCACAAACCGAGCCGGATATGTTCCAGCTTAAAGACCTCAAAGCAGCAACGTTCGCCCTAAGTCTTAATGCAACAGCTCAATCGCCTATCCCCATCGTGGTGGTTGCTACTCCCAATAACCAAATCTACAAATGGGCCACCTCCGCCAAAGCAACCTCCCTCGTCGCCACGCTTGCTGAGTAAGTGTCCTGGATACAGAATTTGGTTCTCCAGCAACACTTGTCTTGACGCTTATCTAACATGCTTTTCGTTCTTAAAAGTCTCGAAATCCCGTCCACGCAAAACATCCTTGGCATGGAGATGTCCTGGGCAGGGTCAACAGGCTTTGTCTGGATCCATTACACGGACAAAAATCAACAGGCGGTACTGCTCAGGGTTAACACCGCCAGTAAGGAAGAGAAGCAGCCCTTCTTGGTTGACCCTTCTCAAATCCTCTTACCGCTGTCAAGCGGCAACGGCGTCGCTCTTCTGGGAGCCAATTCGGTAATTTGACGTTAACACCTTGGCTTTCCTTTCAGCATCGCGTCGCATCGCATCGCATCATATCATCTAACACTATTGTACTATTGTCTCTGAACTCTTTTTTAGACTAGTAGTGGCTATATCTTGTCGAAGTTTCCAAATACTGGGGCGGAAAAACCTTTACCAGTGATCATACCGGTGGCGAATGCAGTGCTTAAACCCAATACTTTCGTTGTGAATGATACAATGGTGTGGCAGATCAATTCCAATGGAGCTAGCGCCAACCCCATCTCCTACACCCCTTCGACCCCAGCTGGATCCACCTCAACTGGCGTATCAACGCCAACTTCATCGCCGGTAACAAGTGCGCCAGCAAGCGGAAGCAACAGTCGACTACCCGTCATCATTGGCTCAGTCGTCGGAGCACTTGCTCTGGTGGTCATCGTTGCATTTATTTTGATCCGTCGCCGAAATAGTCGAGGAAATTGGTCAAAAAAGCAAAAGGGCTTGTTCCCAGCAAAGGGAGACGAGAGTATGGTGCCGTTAGGGCTCTATCATCAGAACCGCAGCCTACCTGAACCACCAAGATACTTGGAGAACGATCTGGAGCGACTCGGACATGCACCACGTCCAGGCAATGGATTTGCGCAAGCCAAGTACTCCAACAACGCCCCACCGTACCTTTATTCCAGGAACCCTACCGAATCTCATCTAGATGAGTCCATACCTGTGGAAGCAGCCCTCGCTCATCATCGCTACGACAAGCACACACCACAAGGTTTAACCCACTCGATCTCCGTGAGCTCGACAACCTCCAAGTTTCCGAGACGGAATGTCAAGAGTGGGAAACGGTTCGAAGAAAAGATCCAGCTGCAGGTCATTCGCTACGAGATTCCGGACGCACATCTGATCAGCCCGCATGGACCCACAGGTCGACTCGTTCTCGGAACTTATCATGTGGTTTCACCAGCGAGGAGTGCACGATCGATCAAGGCCCAGGGTGGTGCCTCCCAGGGCATGGCTCGATCAGGAACGGTGGTCGTGCGCAGGAGTCGGATGGATTTCGGACACGGACGATCAGCATCATCTTCGGCTGGGAGAGCTATGTCACCGCTGCAAGAGCTGTCTGAGAACAGCTCAATGCTGCTGACCGATGCCGAGAACCAGCACACGTTCGAGGTGGCGACGTTGAAATGGTACATGACTGAGATCCACTGGAAGCGCGAGGCTGCTTTGCTAAAGCATTTGAAGAGCCCCATCTTTGTGATGGAGCTGCTCGAGTCCTATTGCATCCCTGCTCTGCAGAATCGTGCACATACGTATCCGTTCGTGAACGCGATGGGCGGATGTAGCAGTCTTCTCTCAGATATCAAGCCTATCAAGACCGCTCAGCATGCTCGTGCTATCCTGAGATCGATCTCCGCCGCAGTCGATTGGTGCCATCGTCACGGAGTCGTCCATCTTAATCTGCAGCCAGGAAGTTTTTTCCTGGAAGACGGTATCGATCCTTCAGCCGAGGATGCGCCTTGGAAGCTGTGGGATTTCACATGCGCAAGGTTTATGGGTGAGCCCATTGGACCTGTTGGCGGAGGTGGCGAAGACTCAGCGCAACAAGACTTTGTATCAACACCACAGCCACCACTAGACCATCTGAATCCAGAGACGTATCCGATCTTGGAGCAACGACAACTTGAGGAGCGCATGGATCGGATCGGCGGCAATCCACTCCCAGCAGCGTACACTGCACCCGAGCTCTTGGAGGCATGGCGGGCACGCGACACGACGTTCCCTGCAGAGGCCGGCATGGACACCTGGTCGTTGGGCTGTGTGTACTATGAAATCCTGACCGGAGGCCAACCACTCTTCCCAACGGAGGCAGAAGCATGGGCGCTAGTCGGCGGATGGGAGAACAGGGACCAATGGGCGTCCAAGGACTTCAGGGTACCGTATCCGTGTGCAGGGGGCTTTTCCTCTGGAATGATTAGTGGCGTGCAGGATGGCAGCACACTTGACCCCTCTGGATCGATTGCACAGCTGTTGCACGATATGATGGCAGTGCCTGCGGATGAGCGTATATCGCTGGAGACTATCATGGAGCGGATATATTGAAGGACAGGGACCTTGACTTCCTGATCGAGACGTTGCACCACATATGTCTACATACTGTACAATGCTTTTGCCAACACAGTCCCTAAAGGACTTTAACAAAGAAAAAGAGAAAAGAAAGAAAGAACCCCGGCGCATGGAATTTATTGTAAGAACACATCTTCACTTGCATATCTGGATGGAAACGTGTGTTTTCTATCGCGAACTAAAACTCCGGGACGCAGAAGCTCGCCTGGTCCCATAAAATTAACATTCCCGACCGGTTTTTTTCAATTGCACAGACCGCAGCAGGGGGACCAAAACGGAGGGCACGAGACAGTTGGATCTACAGCTTACAAAGACACTCCATCAGACGAGGCTGGCTCATTAGTATTAAAAAAGAAAAATGGACCCCCGCTCTCGGTTTTTTTAGTAGTATCTCGCTGCTGTAACGCTCTTCTCAAGTATAGTGCGCCTCTTAACGACCATCAGAGCGACACGTCCATAGCATTGCTAATGTATTCATATGCTCTATGGCACTGTTGATACGACCTTAATGAGTGCTCACTGGAGAAACTGTTGTTCGATAGCTTTGTCATTCCAGTGCGACTTTCTAGGTTGATATTGATTGAATGAACCTCATTTGCCATATACATGTACGTTGCTGCATAAAATTCGCATATGGTTCTTGGAAAGAGACGACTATAAAATAAGTTCCATCGAATGAACACTACAACTGCTTGTAAGCCAGCTGGATTCAAGCATATGGAAAGATAACGTCAACAGCAAATGGCTGGACAAGGGAAATTGTCGATAATCTGTAATGCTTCATTGCGCTCCGTGCTCTATGTGAGTGGCTGCTGTGTGCTTTTCAGACCATCACTCTTGGGCGCAGCATGCAGCATACTAACAAACAATTTTCCCTTAGCAATCGGGTCCATGACCATGTGTTATACCATCTTGCTCTTACTCTTGACTCATACTCATGTCACACTGATTTTTATTTATTCCATGGTCCATCCTCGTTCTCCAGTCTAGATTGAAGTAGATCGAAAAGAGGTGCTATGTCCTGATCCTCTGGAACCTATGGATAGCAAAGTCGTTGGCAGCCATATCAGTCCAGCGCAAGGTGCAAGCATGGTTCGAGAGTGATGGAGCTGAGTATACATCAGAAGAAGGGATGTTCGTCGCGCTTCAAGAGTATAAAGCTGCCCTCTTTTTCTTTTTATGCATATAGGCATGTCGACACCATCTCGGCCTACACAGCGTATAGCTCCACGAGTGCTTTCAAACCCCAACCTGCCTTCGTTTCCATGCCTTCAGAGGCCGCCAGAGCGCTGCCCATTTCACTTCATTTCAACTCGTTCCATTCTATCAAGTCATTTATTGACCTCCTCATGATAACCCCAGATGTTATGAACTATGCAATGTGAGAAATGAAATATAAATACGGTAAAGTCACTACAAAGAGAGGAGAGAAAGAAGGAACGCAGGATGTAGGGGTTTACTTGAAATGGAATGACATCTTGATGCTCTCTGTTTTGTCAGAGGCTTCGACCTTGATCTTGAGCTTCTTGTGCTCATTCGGGGATACAGCTACCTTGAAGCCATTCGGCTTGGGTCGTACGACGGTATCCTGAGCCGACAGCGAAGTGGGTCGAATAGCACGGGAGGAGCGAGACGGGGCGACAGGACCTGGCAGGGCGGCGGGGTGAGGGGTGTCACTTCGATACGAGCGACTGGAGCTAAATGGACCGGAGTGGCCTGAGCGGGCGGAGCGAGAAGTCGTACAGCTAGAAGAGTCCGAGCTCGTGCGACTCGTCTGGGACTCGTACTCGGAAGACGTGCCCTCGATAACTGAGTCTTGACTTGCAGTTGTGGCTCTCTCGATGGAGTGCTCGGTCGCGGTCGACGCTTGAGGGTCCTGGGTGGCCGGGGGAGCCATCATGGATGCCGGGCATATAATATCCTCAATAGTACCCCGAATGGCCACGTTGGCTGCAAAAGTCCTCATCGGCGAGGGAATCATCGTCTTCCCAAGCCAAGTGGACGAGCTCATCCTGAAATGTCATTGCAGAAAAAGAAATGCCAACGAGAAGCAATTAGAAAGGTGCCCAATACAAAGAGAATGAAAAGTGAAGAGCGTTAGGCTTCAAAGAGTCAGTCTGTATCAGCAATGGAGTGAGTGGGGATGAGGCGTGAGAAAAGCCTGGACGCGACAGTTCGCTGAGAAAGAAAAAAGGTCCTCAGGGCGTTGGAAACGAGGAAAAAGACGCTTGACTCGGCTCGACTTGCTATGGATGCGTAAAGAGAATAATAAGGCCGCCAAGGGAAAGCTGGGAAACAGGATGGGGAAAATGGCTCGACTTGAGTACACCGTGGAGTGAAGAAAAAGACTGTTGAGAGCGGGTGCGGGAGAAAAAGAAGGGAACCACAAATGATCCAAACAGCCTGTACGAAGATCCTGAACGTCAAAATTAGGTTCATGCATTCACTGCGCCGTGCTTTTTCGCGTCAACTGTAAACAAATCCATCGACGCGTCCAAAGTATGTATCGCATTCTCCTTTTTGATCATTTTTATTACTTGCGCTTCGCGAAATAGCCTCAATGCTATGGGTCAAAGAGTAGCTTGCGACGCATCGGGATACGGTCATGGGCATCGTCCCTCTTGATCAGCTTGAACAATCCTGTTCCAATCGACATCGGAATGCCCATGATGATACACTCGGACACACCCTCGATCGCGTCCTTCTTCGAGTACAGCGCTGCCTCGAACAGATGGTCCGTTGTCTTCTCGAACGACGCCAGCATCATGACACTGTCCTTCATCTTGGCGATACCGAAACGAGTAATACCAAGAACCTCGCCCTTCGACGTCATGATATCTCCCAACAACATAACGTGGCGGGGATCGATCGTCAGTCCGTGAGAATCCATAACGCTCTTGATTTCATCAAAAATCGTGCGACGCGCTGCCTCGATACCCAGTACCTTCCAGACCTCCATAACATGGTTTGACCGCGTCTGCGTACCAACAACTCCTTCCGTGTTCATCAACTCACGAAGACCGTAACCCTCGACGAGCAGCTCCTTCTTTCCGCCGCTTCCTTGGATCTCATTAATGACCGCACGATTGACCTGAGGAAGACCCTTAATGATGATCTCGGGGAGTGCCCGCTTGAGCTGCTTAATTGAATAGTACAGGCCAGCTGGGTCCTTCGATTGCACATAGATACGCAAGCGGTCTGGCTTGTGCGACTGGACGTTGTTGGTTCCGATCTTGAGTTTAGGTGCCAAACCAATGGCCTTGGCCACCTCATCCAAGTCTGTCTCGAGCTGCAACCGACGAATGGCATCCATATCCAAACGAACACCGATATAGCACTCATCCGGCTTGTATACCTCCTCAATAAACTCTGCAATGTCGCCCAACATCGTCTTTTCGATCCTTCCTTTGACAATGCGTGCAGCCTTGACGTCCATGTTGTTAACCAGTCGAGTGGTAATAATCGGAGTCGCGATCACTTTCGCGGCGTTGATGATCTCCTTGATACGAGGGACTCCCAGCGTGATGTTCATAGAGGCGACACCAGCGAAATGGAAAGTCTTCAGCGTCATCTGCGTACCGGGTTCTCCGATCGACTGAGCTCCCACAGCTCCCACAGCAGATGCAGGCTCAATCTTGGCCTTCATGAACTTGTCCCAGCAGATATACAAGAACCGCTCCATATGGCGCTCCGTCACACACAACTTGTTGTTGACAATCTTCTTAACTTCCTCTGAGACATCCTCGTCCAAGTCCATGTCTTCGTATTCTTCGCCAGGATTATGCTCTCCAGACATCATGTTATATGCCTCGCGGATGCGCTTCAGCTTTCCAGCGATATGTGTCCTGACATACATCAGCAAGGAAGAGATGAAGTCCTTGGAGCAGTTCTTGGCCCAGCGTGGCGTCTCTACAGCCTTCTCGACATACTCGTTAATCTGCCATGGAAGCAGCTTCTTATCGTCCTCCGTAATGGCTATTATATGAAGAGTACTGGTAAAGTTGCGATCGAACAGCACGGGCGTTCCAGGACCCTCGAGAACAGCGGGATCTAGGCCATCACTTCCATAGGTGAACTGGATGATGGCGCCGACAGAGTTGCGGACCGAAAGATCGTAATGTGTTGTCAAGTCCTCCAGAGCCTTCATTAAACGACGCTGCATATATCCGGTTTCGGCAGTCTTGACAGCGGTATCGACCAGACCCTCACGACCGGAGACAGCGTGGAAGAAGAATTCGGTGGGCGTTAATCCACTGTAGAAACTATTCCGGACAAACCCCTTGGCTGGAGGAATCTTGGAATTCTTCAAGAAGTGAGGCAGGGATCTGTCCTGGAAACCGTTGGGAATACGTTTGCCACTGATAATTTGCTGACCGACACAAGCAACCATCTGGGAGACGTTAATCTTGGAACCTATAAAAAAAATAGACAGAAGATACATCAAATCTCTGTCGAGGCGATACATATCGTTTACCCAGTGAACAATTGCCGCCATTTCAAAACTCACCTTTGGAACCACATGTTGCCATAATCAGGGGTGAGTTGTACTTGTTCAGTTCTGTCAAACAGATATCTCCGACCTTGTCACGAACTTGCGACAGCTCTCCCGAAATTAATGCCTCCAATGTCTGCTCGATGTCGCATCCGGGCTGGTTCTCGAGCTGACCATGAAGTGAGCGGTAAATAAGGTCGTCGCAGTGGGCGTATGCATTCTGGACAAGTTCGTCCTTCTTGGATGCCAAAATATGACCCGGCTGGACATCGTTGATACCGATCGAGAATCCAACAGTTCCCAACCAACGGGCGCACAGCTTGGCCAATCGATTCATGCAATTCGCCGCCTCGATCGAGCCATAGTCACGCATAACGATGTAGAAGAGCGAGCTCTTGTTGCCGTCTCCGACAATCGACTTATCCAAAACACCGCACATGATCTCACTATTGTAGATGACAAGGTAGCCGTCGTTCCTGCACATGTCCATGATGGGTCTCTTCACTTTATCGTAAGAACGGGTCTTGGCTTCCAGGTTGACGAGAACCTTAGAGTCCTTGTTGGGCTTGAGCAGAACACTAATGATCTGCTTGCCAGTCCACCTCTGTGCAGGTTTCAAAATTGCGGGCGGAGGAATCTCAATCTTGAGTTCTGCATCGCCCAGGTACGAGCAGATCTGCACAAATTGGGAGCGATCGTAAAACAGGTCCTTCTGTGTAATCAAATACGAGGCCGTGATGAAATCCTGAATAGCGGCAATCAGCGGCGTTCCGTTTCTGGGCGTGACCAAGTTGTTCTTGACTCCCATCAGCTCGATGGCCTCGGTCCTGGCCTCTTCCGTTTGGGGAACATGCAAGTTCATCTCGTCTCCGTCGAAATCGGCGTTATAGGGGTTACAGACACACTCGTTGAAGCGGAAGGTGCGCCAGGGTCGAATCTTCGCATAGTGAGCCATAATGGACAGCTTATGAAGCGAGGGTTGGCGATTAAAGAGGACCACATCTCCGTCATTCAAATGACGCTCGACAAGATCGCCGACCTGAATCTCCGCCGCGATCGCAGACCTGTTGCCGAATTTGAGCGACTTTTTCATATTGGTGGATCCCAGTGTGACATAGTTGGCGCCAGGGTGGACTTCTGTGCCGTTTGAAATAGCTTTGCGAAGACGTTCGATGTTGTGAGTGGTGACACGTTCCGGGTATGTTAGATTCTTAGCCACCAATTCGGGGACAGCAACCTGGTCAATGCGGAGGTTGGGGTCGGGCGAAATGACTGTACGACCAGAGAAATCGACACGCTTCCCTGACAAGTTTCCACGGAAACGACCCTGCTTTCCCTTCAATCTCTGACAAAATCCGCGGACGGGTTTTCCTGGCTGCAAGTTCGAAATTCCTGGAAGCTCACTATTGATGTACATGGCGACCGACAGCTGCAAAAAATCCCATTGTTCCTAGAAATCCAAAGGCAAATATTTTTGTCACCGTTAACGTCTGCTACAGTTCTCTAATATACCACCATCCTGCACATGTATTGCAACGCCCCATGCAGCCGAGCCTTACCATCAAGTTGTGGATAGCGATACCCTGATTAAGACCGGCTTGCATGTGGGCGTTCGTGAAGATGACCTCAGTCAACTTGACAGTGATATCGTCCTCATTACTGGCGCCATCCTGTTGAACCGAAGGACGAATACAGACTGGCGGTACAGAAATATTTTGCCATAGGTACATCTCAGGCCGCCCAAGATCTGGATTCATTCCCAACAGCTCGCAATCCTATAAAACAAAGAAGGGGGGCGCTGGTCAGTTGGCCGTTGCTTTATAAAAACTATGCGATTGATTTGCAGGCCGATACAGCTTGAAGACTCGCTTACCTCGTCTGAAATAGCCTTAAACAGATTTAACACCCTCAGCGGATTCATGTCCTCCTGCGCCTTTGAGATATGAGCTTTCATTTCTGGCGCTGCCTCCAGAGCATTGTTGAACGTATTCTTGAACTGTTCATATTCGTCCGCCACCTTCTTTGCTCTGTATTTCTCGTGCACGATCCTGAGTGCGCCGACCTTCTTGACCGTGCCTATTGTCAGTAATCAATCAATGTGAATATAGACGTACAGTTGATTGTAATTCATGTCTTCAGATAATGAACCCTAACATGACTCACCATTGGTTGCCTCGCAGTATGGACAGTGAACGACCTTTTTGCATTTGTCATTCACTGCCTTGACAACGTTCTTCCTAGTTAGGTTCTCCAGATTAGGTGCACGAAGCTTCTTCAAATATGTGCGTCGATCCTTCTCTGACAGCAAAACTCGGCTGCATGTCTATCAATCCCAATGAGGTGCAGACAAGTCGAAATTAGTCCATGGTTATCATTGTGGTTTTTCCATAAGCCGATGTGCCGCAGTGGGGTGGTGATCAGCTTTATCAGCGTACCTTGCAGATGTTCTGTAAAATGACTATGGCTGCTCGGAAATATCCAATATGGAAGACTGGAAGACATAGTCTGATGTGGGCAAAATGTCCGATACAATCCTGCTGCTTCAGTCCACAAGTTTCGCACGAGGCTACCTTGTCGGATGTACCCTATAGAATTCGAAAACGATTGCCAAAGGGTATGAGTCACTACTACGCCTCCGGATCCGCAGCTGCCCCATACTGCCCGCAACTACGCCCATATTGTCCGGTGCCATAAAACTAATAAGCGCCTATTAAAATGAGCTGCGTCGAAGGCGATCATAAGACCCTCCAATGATGCAATAAAGAGTACGGCAGGTCGGTGTTGCTGTATGCTTACCAGTCTTAAATCGAGCATTCCATATTTGACGGGCTGGCGGTCCTGGACCGTGTACAGATCGCGCTGGGTGACCTCGAATTCTGATACATTGACAATTTCCTGGGGCGAAAGAACACCGAACTGGATTTGTTTGCTAAGGTCATAAAAAGCGCCGTCGAAAGAGGGCGAAAGGTGGTTAGGGATATTCGTCTGTGCCAAGTATATCTGGCGAAGGTAAGCAATGGAAGTCTCGGTACATCACCGTTTCTACGTATCATACATTTTCTTCGGTGCTTGTTCAAGAACTTGTTCTTTCATCCTGGGCGAATGAGCGAGTCCGTAGACGAAAAGCAATGTCCAGGTCGAATGGTGAGGGCGCTGTTCGCTTTGGATGCACACAAAGAAGAACTGTGCTTCTTTTTTTGAGTAGCCAATGTGACAGCCTAAGCACTGTTTTGATTTGGTCCTATGGTCACGTGCGGTTTCTAGACCTTTATTCATAGCGCGTCTGAAGGGCAACTAGTAGAGTCTATGAGGTCGCCATTGAAAATGAGCCCGCGGCGAGGATGAACCAAGAGTCAGCAGAGATGTATTCAATATATCCAATTCTGAGGGGTTAATCTCTGCTGCGTCGTCGTCGACATTATCCACATATTGTCGCTCCAGATGTGCCTGCCGATTTTCTATGTATGGGTCACTCGTGGCGACGTATGTGTAGTTGTATGGATCCCTCCAATAGTCATAAACAGCTACGGCGTTGGCTTGATAGTATTGCAGTAACTCCTCCTGAGAGAGATACATATCTTGAAGCTGTGGCTCGGCGTTACAGTTGATAGGTATGGCAGTTTCTGTAAAATACTGAAGGTTGTCTGCCGTAGGCTGAATAGACAGTATTGGTTGATCGGCAACAGGACAATAAAGGAGTTCGCCTTCTAGCTGTTGTATCGAATACGCATCTTGGCCAGGTCTATCGCAGAAAGCATATGTTAGTAGCACATTTGGACTTGGAATAGCAGCGCACAATACCAAGCGATATCCCATACCTGGTCGCCGCCGCCGTATCATATTTCAATAGATCCTCGAGCACAGCTTCAACTGAGAGTTCTGGAGAATTCTCCGAGCAATTTGATCTCGGGCGTGCGCTCATCCTTGAATCTTTAGCAGGTGTTTCCGGCTTCCTCAGCGGCTTAGTTGACGGCGAACGACTCCTCTCGTCTGACTCGTCCTTGGAGATGACCAAAGGCGTATTTCTGCTGCGACTCGATTGACGACGTTTATTCCTCCTCTTTCGTTGTTTTAAACTGCACTTGGAATGATCGCTTTCGTGGTTCGTCGTGGCATTGTTCCCTTCACTGTCCTGCTCAGGGCGATTAGGACCGGAAGGATGGTATACGCTTTTCATGGAAGTGAAGTAGGCTGATTCTACGACGTCCTCTTGGTCATGATTATTGCCGCAAGAGTGTGCTTTTGGGTTAAGAAAGGCTGCTTCCGAAAACCCAGTTCCTATATCATGTTGCAGGACAAAAGTAGATCATGTAAAGTGGTAAATGCAACCATCCTCAGCAGTGTCGTCAGTGAATAGCATGAGTAGTAACGACAGAGAATCACCTTTTTCCACAGATGTTCTTTGCGACGCCTTGCCCTTCTTGAAGATTCCCAGACGGCCAGATTTATCGTGTATCTATTATTGCGGAAAGGAACGAAAGGGTGAGAATGCTGTATTTGATCACTGGCCATAGCCTGCATGCCAATGCACCTCAGATCTCATACAGTGATCCTCTCTCTTGACACGTTCGGCGACACGAATTGCTGCTTGCGACAATCAATAACACATGTACAATCAATGTCAGTCTTCAAGCGGGTAATAAAACAACGCTTGTTAACTCGAACTAGGTCCCTCCTGGAGCCGTTTTACAGGTGGACAAACAATATTGCGTCGCGTTACGTTCATAATCAATGAGCCTTGAGTTAGGATCTGGCGTCCTTTATTAGAACCTGTTGTTTCTCTCTTGTTGGCTCTTCCTGTATACTCGGTATCCCCTGAATGCTCATTAGATCAAATAAGTTACACCTAAAGTGAGTGCCAACCCACCAACCCCTGTCCACATAGTCATGGCGACCCGTAGATCAAGGCTCTTACCGCGACGCACATGGACCTTGACACTGTACGGTTTCTTTGATTCTACAGTTCCAAGCTCGCGGTGGTATGGGTTGTATCTCTTGCTGGTCTTTTCTTTGCGGACAATTTTGTCATGGTCGTCTAACCCTTGGTCCTGGATCCAGCGCACTCTCATATGGGGGAGTGTCTTGGTGGCGCGGGAAGGTTCAGGATGCTGAACGGAGGAGCTTTGCTTCGTCTGACTGGCATTAGCTTCCTCCAGGTCCTTCATCTTGGTCCTGTCCAAGGTCTTGGGTCGCTGAATGAATCCCGGCTCCTGATCTGGCTTCTGCTTCACTGTCCAGAGAGAAGTCTTGACCCCGTAAGTCGCCCGATGGCGATCGGCGAGGCTAGAGTGCTGACTCGTTGGGTTGCTGTTGGTGCCGGAAAAAGTGCTTGCGCTGTCAGAGCCAGTCTCGTCATGGGTTTCCACGACGCGTGGACTGGGCGGCAGATCGGGTGGACAGGTAGGGTCAAGTCTGCTCAGAAAGTATCTGATAGTATTAGAATCGCGGCGCTGAAGTGCTTGGGTGTGTGCGCTGAGGTTGTTGTCGTTCAGCTCGTCGTGTTCCATCGCTGCTATAAACTGTATCAAGGATTAAGAGAGTGAGTACAAAGAATAGGAAAGAAGAGAGCGCACTGTTGAAACCGGACTGTCAACGGTTAAGCGTTTGTGGCCAATGGAGAAAAAGAGAATGGCAGATGCAGAATGGCTCAACGCTGATGGCCAAAAGACAGAAAAAAGAATAAAAGGGAATTTGACTTGACTGAACGGTAGAAAGAGGAAAAGAAAAAAAAAAAAAGACATACGCGTTACAGGTCACGAATTCACCCAAAAGCCTCGAGCGCGTATTTGTTGACGCGTTATTTTATTTGAGAAAATGCCGTTCACGCCCCCGTATGAATCCCGCAATAGATAATCATTACACCTCCTCTGGAATTCTTCCTCCTCCGGAAGGATTTTACCTCAGGCTCGAATTCACCGCTATTCTCGTTCCTCCCGTAAGAACGTAGGCACCGTATTTTGCTTTTATTGTGCGACCGTAGTCCACGGTCTTCAACCTGCTTTATCTCGTCCCATCATTTCACACTTTCGATATCTCACATTCATATATGGATCAACCGGAGAAGGTTCTGAAGACCTACCATTTTCTTAACTCTCTGCGGAAGAATCCTTATGGGTATTTTTACTGAGGGTTAAGAACCGGAAAACTAGTAATTTTATTCCGGTAATTGAAAAAAACGCAAAGGAGTATATTAGGAGTACAAATCCGTGTACCAAATGTCAGCCACTTTAGCGCTCAGCGCGGGTCCGATCTTCTTTTTACCCACATTCGAGCCAGACCTAGCAAGGACCATCCTCCGCTGGCTTTGGGACGCCTTATCGCCAGCCTCGTCCAGTGCCGAAAACAACGCCCGTGGTGTCCCATACACCCGAGCAATTTCCATGGCCTTCTCAGGGCTGATGCCGCGGATAGTCATCAACATCTTCACAAATGTATCCTTGACCATAAGGGTTTCAGACTTGCCATTGAGAATCGTAAACGATTTGTAGCTGGTCAAGAACGTCCGGTCAGGCATGTGCGCTTTCAGATGGTCCTGGAGATCCAAGTACGACAGGCGGTCAATGTTCTCATCTGGGATCGCGTAGAGTGTTTCGGACTATGAAGTACGCAACGCAAAAAAAGGGATGATTAGCGTGCGAAAAACATAGGAGTGCCAGCATCATGCACGGTCATTGGCCTATCACTGTGCTGGGGCGCTACCTCGTAGAGACGTTTGAGTGCATTTGTGATGCTGACAAAGTAGTCGATAGTCTGATCCGTATTGTTCGTGCGCCTGACGAAGAAACCATCCTGAACCTGGGTCGCCATTATCGCCGCGCGGATAGCTTCTGCTCCGATATCATACGTCTCACCCACCTTATATGTCTCAACCAAATAAATGATATTCGCCAACCCCGATCTCTTGAGCCGAAACTATGTTCATCGCAAAACCAATGCTCAGGCTAGAATCAGAACGTTATCTTCATAGACGGCAGCGAAAACGTTCTCTACGACTATTAGAGGTGAGTTTTCATACCTTTTGTTCATTGAACCGTCCGTCCTTGATACTTGCGACAAAGTCATCCATTCGCTTGCGCTCGACAACGTAATCCAGAACAAGTTCAGTCACGCCGTTAAAAATGGGGTCCTTCAGTCGCGCAATCCAGATGACATCGCCGATATCCAGTACACGTGTGGTCACACTAATCCCGCGTTCCTTCAGCTTGTCTCCGATGTAGTCGCGATCCGTCTGGCTTCGCACCTCACGAATATCCAGTATAAGACAGATTTCAAAACTTCCCGGATGAAAGGTGATCGGCTTGAACCTTACTAATCTCTCGATGTCCAGCGCAGTAGACCCGGCGCTCCTGGCCCTCGGAAGCGAAAATGAATTGGTTCTCAGATGAGGGAAAGGGTCGTGTGTGGATATCTCAGAATCGCCTATCCGGAGTCCCTTCAATCCACTTGAGCTGTTGGTGTGTGGTATTGTAGAGGCCGTTGATATTGAGGAGGACTCCAGCGAAGACGATGTTCTAGAACGACTAGCTGGGACCGATGCAGCTGACTGCGTCGGTATCTTGAAAAGAGAAGGCGCTCTCTGAAGCCCTGACGATACAGCCTTGGGCGCTTCCCCTGTAGAGCCCTTGGTCGATAACACTGCGGTAGATTCCAAGAGAACTGCAGAGGCTCGACTCAGATGAGTGGAGGTCATACTCCTGCTGTTACTCGACAACACTTCATCATTTTCGTCTTCGGAATCGCTGAGGATATTAACTGGTTGTTCTTTGTTGCTTCCTTGCAGGTTTAGCGCACGAAGTGCTGGTAGTGAAGGCACCGCAGACGAAATAGATTTTGATGTACTGGCTGAAGAGGTTAAGGCGTGGCATCGAGGGTCCTTCCATGATCTGTACAGGTCGTAGGTGTCATGTGCATCGGCATTGTCCCTGAAAGTATCCTCGTAACCATCATGGTGGGATGTATGGGTTGAGGATGAGGCGGATGTGGTTGAACGAGCATTGGTTTTGACTGTACGATCCTTGGGTGGATCTACCGCACCCTGTCGCGACGTTGATGAAGAAGCGACTGTTGGAAGCTCTGGTGCATCCGAGGCTGACGTAGTGTTAGATCCGGTTTCGCTGGTGATGAGTCTCATTCGTTCTGCGATATCCGTGCCTTCATCTGTGAGATAATACATTGTTGAGGACTTGTAGACAAGGTTTTTGCTCAGCAGTGTACTCATCGAGCTCCATCCTGTGTAGAACTTGCCATGTTCTGGATTTGTCAAGGAGACATCGCAATAAATCTGGCCCTTGAGAGTGATTTCGTGCCTGGTCAAGGCTCCTTCACCATCGGTCGCTTTGGCATCCAGTAACGCCAGAAGGATGGCGTATGCTCCAGATCTATAAGTTGGTACGTAGGGTTTATGCACTTTTGGGGTACGCGCCTTTTTCGGCTTTGGTCCCTCCTCTTCCTCCATCTGAACATGGCCAACTGCTTTCCGCCTCTTGGGAACTAAGGCGAGTCCAATTTGTATGCAGATAGAAGTTGTCAGTAGGATATGACTCTCATATCATTCTTTAGAGGCAAGCGCGAGTAGCAACCCAGGAGCTTACTTGTGGGCATGGGCAGGTTGTTGTCTTTACAGTACTGCATCAGCTTCAGTTCCAGCTTGGCCACGGTCTTCTCTCCTATTCCAGCCAGACACAGGGCCTCCGCGGGATGCGTGAACCGCGTAGGGTACTTGGCCATTGACTCATACGCCTAGAATCAAGGCAGTTGCTGTGATTCTGATCCATTGTCCTCGCAGCAAGTGTTCAAAGAGAAATCGAGGTTGGTGGAATGACATACCTTGCGATATATAAAATACGACTGGTTGTTGTGTTCGCGTGCATGCTCCATCCACTCCTCGATCCAGTGGAGGTACAACGGGTTTCCGCACTCCATCGCGGTGCGGGTGAATGGGCCAAAGCTGAGGAGCGTCTCGGGATAGTCGCAGTCGGCTTGCAAAAAGAAAAGGACGGATGATGCAATAAATGGGCAGCAAAAAAGTGATTTCCCAGCCGAGGATCGAACTCGGGATTGCTGCGTGTCTTTGGTATATTTTGAAAATATAAGCACAGTGCCTTGCCGACTTGGCCACTGGGAACCCAATTCGATCTGTCCAAAATAATAGATAGCCTATATTCTTATTTTTTTGATGTAGTCACGTGCAGCTTCAATGCCCCCTTTTTTTTTTTTGCCCAAAAAAAAAAAAAAAAATTTGCCCAAAAAAAAACGGGCGAGGGAAGTTGGACATAATGGAGGGGTTATTCGGTTTAAAAACAACTTTATTAACATTGGATCTGGATTAGGAGACGTGTATCGCGCAACAGGTCACGCAGGAGTTAGGTTAGGCTAGCTATGCGACATGGGTTATGAATCTGACGCCTCAAGCCAACATAGTTGGTAGGGGATGCGGCTCTGCCGTGCATGGAAGGCATCTATGGCTTCAAGGCCTTTGCGGACCATGCGTCGCGTGCTCATGGGGATTTATGTTAATAAAAAAAAAAAAAAAAAAAAATTTGGACAGCACTCAAGAACAAGATCAAGGGAGCTTCGGCGATCCGGCAAGCAAGCAACACACTCGGCCGTGTGGAGGACGAGACAAGGGACAACGATCAAGGAGCCTGGACGGTTCAAGATTTGTACCACGGACTGACACCAGCAGCTCTCACCAAGGACTGGGAGAGTCTATTCAAGACGACCACCTCGATCGCGAGGTACATGGTCGGCCGATTCGTCAAGGCCATCGAGGAATTCGGACGGACAGAAATCTGGAACAAAAGATGCAAAGTCACCGTCGACTGGGAAAGAGAAAATGGGATCACTACCATGAGCAAACGCGCCCGGGGACGCAACTGTGTTGGAGAGCACAGACGTAGTGGTAGTGGTTTTGTTGGATCCTCCAGGAGACAACGACGCGCATTGGATATAAAAGAGATCGAGGAACGAGCGGACAAGCGAGTGCTGCAAAGTTGCATGCAGCAGGTGGAGCTAAACGTGATGGAACGCACCGGCAACTGTAAATTTTTGATGATTGAGGAACGCGGCTAAAGGATGACCTTCGCGCACAACAGGCCAAGTAGGGAGCAGGGCTCAGTCACCGACCCCAGGCGGGGTTGAGTTACCATTCATGCTGACTGGGATTGCGAAGGGGATTGGAGCTGCGAGTGACCAACAGCGGTGCGGCAAAAGCCGTTTATTAGAATATTGAGCACCCTTTACTATGCCTCTAGCAATAGGGTTCCCTAGTCTAGAGCCCCTCACTAATAAATCCCACATATCCTCGTGGGTTCTAGTTATCAAAAAAAAAAAAAAAAAAATTAGCCCGCGTTGGCGTGGGACCGGAGGAAAGATTCGAGGGGGTTGAGTGGTCAGTGCAGGATCTGTATCGCGGTCTAACACTCAAGTGCATGGTTCAGTCTTGGAGACGCGTTTTTAACACTACAGAACGGATCGCAACATACATGGTCAGCCGCTTTGTGAAGGCTATCGAGGAGATCGGCAGAACAGAGATCTGGAACAGAAGATGTAAAGTCACCGTCGACTGGGAACGAGAACATGGAATCACTGCTGTGAGCAAACGCGTCCGGGGACGCAACTGTGTTGGAGAGCACAGACGTAACAGCAATGATTTTATGGGATCTACCCTGAGGCAACGACAAACACCCGATGTGAAAGAGATCAACGACGCCGCGGATGACCGAGTGTAGGGGCACTATTTGGGACAGCTGAGACTCGATATAATGAAGCGATTGGGAGGATGCCATTTTCTTGAAATGTCAGAGGACCATGGCTAAAGGTTGACTTTCGCGCACAACAGGCCACGTAGGGAGCAGGGACCATCGGTTCAACACTCATGCGGTCATTGATTATGTTATATGGATCCGTTGCGACATAGTCGGAGCGGGCAACTTGCTGCTTGTTATCTGTCCCACCTGTAGGTTTCCTTCAGACCACAGTTAATAAATCCCATGTCTTTGAGGGTTCTCGTTAAAAAAAAAAAAAAAAAAGAGCCCCCCGCGTTGGCGTGGGACCTTCTCGAGGAGCTAGGACGGACTAAGATCTGGAACAGACGATGTAAAGTCACCGTGGACTGGGAGCGAGAGCGTGGAATCACTTCTGTGGGCAAACGCGCCAGAGGACGCACCTGTGATGGAGAGCACAATCGTAGCAGGGCAGAGGCGGACAAGCGCCTAGTACAAGGCTTTTGCCAGCAGCTGAAGCTGACTCTGATGGAGCGGCTAGGTGGATGCAAGTTTTTGATGACAGTGGATACTGGCTAAAGGATGACCTTCGTGCACAACAGGCCAAGTAAGGAGCAGGGCTTTTCGAGTCACCACTCATGCTGACGAGGATTGTGAAAGGGACCTGGCAGCAAAAGCTGTTTATTAGATGCCACTTTTCCTTACGTCTCTAGCAATAGGGGTCCCTAGAGGATAGCACCACGTTAATAAAGCCCACACGTCCCCCTGGGTTCTAGTTATCAAAAAAAAAAAAAAAAAAAAAAAAAAAAGACCACCGTAAAGGACGACTGTAGTAGATCATTGTTAGTTAGGTCTGATAGATTCGCAGGGTCAATCGACTCGCAGGGTCAATCGACTCGAGAGACAAATTGTTATTAAAAAAAAAGGGAAATATAAAAGGGAAAGAGAAGGGGTAGGTCTTGCGTTAGAGTCCTCGAATGATACACCCTTTATGAATAAAGAGCAGCAAAGAATACAGGTGTTATCGAGATGCAGATCTTGCACTGTTGCGTTTTGCGTATCGATAAACACAGCTACGATACAGGTACCCTCTAGTACGACATAGTACGCATATTTGTGTACTCGTCTTTTGACCGTCAGAGAAAAGAATAAAGCAGGAAGGGACCAACTATTATGAGATAGAGTCCGCGACGCAACACAAAGGACCAGCGATAGTACACTCAAAGTTTCATCCTAGCCCAAAGCTGACTATATCCGCTTTAGATAAGTTTAATAAATGATCACTGAGCTATCAACAGAATCCCATTCATCTTTCATCATGACAACTATCAAAGAACTTATGCCCAAAGACTCTTGATTTATACAGATACCCCGTGCATTCCGGTTCAGGTCAATATTGGTCTATAATTTCATTATATTTGAATATAGATAGACATGGTAATATATTGGTCCTTCAAAGGATATCTCATATTTTGGTTCACATCACTATAAATGCTAAATATTAATGTAACAAGGTCCATCGATTTTGAGCTGACGCGTCGTCTTGGTTTCCGCACGCGCGAGCAACTAGCTTAGGTTGCTGGCGTATCAAATCTAGCGGCAGGAAGGGTCATTTGTTACTGAAGGTGATGAACCCCCAGACCCAATAGTGTCATCACCAACACAAGGTCGACCCTCAAAAAACTGGAGCCTCGATATAGGGAAGCATTGACGGAAAATCGTGAGAAGTTCAACATCACTGAAACAACGAACACCTTCAGGACGATCGTACAACAATTGAGCTCACACTTTGATATGGACGCACGGCAGCGCACAGTACACCGTTGCTTAAAAGCTGTCTGCAGCGGGGATTTATCTCTTCCGATATTATGAAATTAACATCGGTAGGAGCCTCATAAAGCCTTTCCGCTCTGCAAGGCCACCCCCCCCCCCCCCCCCACACACACACACACACACGTAGCATGATTCAGGACCCGAAGGGTTGATTCGTATTCAACTAAAAATCGGAAAAGGATGGTAATCGTCGCGTTTTAGCACGGATTCTGACTTTGAGGCCGTTCAGTCAAAATCCAACAGATGATACCTTCGGGCCATTGCCTGCTCAGGCAGGCCCAAATACCAATTATCCGAATGAACGGTTCCTCTTGTATTAAGCTCTCGGTAGGGTAAACTTAATCTGTCTCACGATGGTCTAAACGCAGCTCACGTTCCCTATTAATGGGTGAACAATCCAACGCTTAGTGAACTCTGCTTCAGTATGGCGACTACGCTGCTGGCTGTAGATCTGGTGCTGGCCTCAGTGGTGGTGCTGGTGATATTGGCCAGGATCGGTGAAGGAAGTTGGGACGATACTCCGCGACGGGATTGTTTAGAATCGGAAGAGTTATGATTCTCTTGCGCGAATTACTTAAGGTAGCGGGCTGCCATGGTCAACATTTACGGGCGCACAATACCCTGTGACCCTAGCTTGATCTCTTCATTGTCCATCGCTTCAGCAGGATGAGCTATTGTAAATAAATCCACAGCAGCTGCACGAACAATATCATATGTGGCTACTCTGCCAAGTGATGGAGCCCCACCTCGGAAGTGTTTATTCGACTCTTGTTTCCTTTGATTGGATGCAGAGGTGATCCTGACGATTTGTCTTCATGCGTCCTAGCAGCGATACCAACTTAATTGCCCATCGTGCAGCAGAAAAGATTAATAACCTTAAAACATGCCCATAGGCTGCTATCGAGTGACAAGAAACAGTGCCTCACCTCAATAGGAATCTGTTTCTCGAGTCCTTTCACCAGCCAAGGAGATGGTCCGTCCTTGCGCAATGTTCTCTACTTCAATTCTTTGTTTAAGACTGTCTGCACACGAATAAGGCGGTCGAATGGCGTGGTATTCGCTTCCCTCGTCACCTCTAGCAGAGATTCCTGTGATCATGGAAGAAGGGATTATTACCCATTGCACATGCATAGCTCTTCTCCTGACCTCAGCCATTGTAGCATTAATCCTATTGACTCGACTGTGGTTGTTCAGGCACATTCAGGGATGGGGCTTTGGCAGATAAACTGTGTCTTTGTTACCAATGAGTCGCCGCTGGGCTGTGCTATTGAGATCAAGCAGAGACGTACGAGAGACAATCAGAAGAGCGACGGGTTGAGGGAGGGGAAAGAAGGGAGAGTGGAAAAGTGGAAAAGTGGAAAAGAAGGGAAAAGAGTGCAAAGACACACATCCATCGTTGTGGCATTCGACAAACGGAGCCATGCTTGTAGTCAGGTTACTCCCTCGCTCTCGTGTAACGTCTAGGAAACAACGGCACTGAGGCAGGTCAACTCGAACAACCTTAACCACCAGAGCTGCGATATACATATGGGCGGCGCGTAGCATCATGTTCGTTTCAGTAACAAGCCGCCCAACAAACAAGCTCGGAGGGGATGTGATGAGACAGTAGTTGGAAGAGTACGGCATAGCGAGCTCAGTGGACAACCCGACAAAAGCTCAACTCTACGCAATGATCCAAGAGGTGACAAGGGACGAACTGCCGGCCTGCAGCACGTACGCTACTGCGGAGAAGCTTGGCCACCGGGTGCTTAAAACACCTCCTTACCATTGCGAACTTCAGCCCATAGAGAGGACCTGGGGTGTAGGGAAACAGGAGCAAGCTGCCGATTATAGTGGCGAAGAAAAAGTGCTTTCTGTCCACTGCAAGACGAATCGCATACTCTCCTGTCTTTATGAAAGGACACTATTAAGAAATGCAAAGAGTACAGCAACATGGAGTAATGAATGTATCATAAATTCTATTGATAGCTCAGTGGCCATTTATTAAACCTATCTAAAGCGAATATAGCCAGCTTTGGGCTAGGCTGAAGAATGCCAGCGAGGATGTACGACGCATGAGTTCAGCAGGCAACTAGGAAAAAAAAAAAATCAAGCGCGTTTTTATCGGCAAATGGCGTCGTAATCTCGACGGACCATGCCTCCTATAACAAATTTTCCTTCCGGCGCACCGAGATACACCTTATGCAGACTGAGAGTCTCGTAGTCCTCCTCTGGCTCGGGAAGTTGGTTCCATTTTAGAGTCCTGTTCAACAGCGGATCCTTACGTGGAGCACTGAAAACGTACTCGGGATGGAAGAGCCAGAGATGCCCATTGTTGTCCGCATTAAGACACTTTTCACAAGGCTGTGTGATATGATAACCAATCACATTGCCACTAAGACAAAAAATAAGAGTGAGTGCATGAGAGGCTGTCCACTTGCATGACTGATACAACATGCCTGGGTGCAGATGCATGCAAGGCTTTCGCGTTACTCACCAAACAAGGCAGGCAGTATCCTTGATTTTACACATACAGTTGGTAGGCTTGTATTCATCTCCGACGAGTTGTACGCTGTTATTTGAGAAGCGGTTGCAAGTTAGTCCAGCCTTTTTTTTTTTTCTTTTGTTGAGTAGGTATGCAAATGGGAGAGTCAAGGAACTTACGATTGAGGGGCATCGTCTGTTGATAAAAGTGCCACACTCTGATCCGCCAGTAGTTGTGCCTACGTTGATACAGGTAAAGAACAGAAAAGAGAAAAAAAAAGGTAAGTGCTGTACCATAGCTATCCGACACGTTCATCTGAACAGCACCTCAGTCGTTTGCGTACCTTCATGCCACGCTCGCAAATGATCGTTTCGCAGAACCGACATGCCATTCTGACCACCTCCTTCATCCCAACACCACTGCGCATTCGAATTTCGCGTAAGCTGCTGTGCGCAGAGTGCGGGGCTCTTGATGTAGTAGAGGAGGACGGCTGGATCCAACCGCCAGCTTCAGCACCTTCCACAGTCTCAGAGTAAACGGGAGCAGAACGAATGGGCAGATGCAGCCATGGATCTTGAGTATAATGATCGTAATTAGTAGATGTGTTTGCCTGTTGGTTTCCATGAAGTTCGTTGAAGTTCGTCCTTAAGCTATGAGGCCAGATCATGTGCGAGGAGGAGGTTACCGCCGCGGGTGAAGTATATTGTGGATGGCTGAAGGGGTGTGGATTTACATAACGCGACGGGATAGGGATGTTACTCCCATGATATGACAATGACCCAAAGGCATGTGAAGTACGTCTGAAGGTTCCATCTGTCTGAAGCTGCGACGGGGCAGACCGAGGACCAAGGTCATCAGTGAGACTAGGCGTATGGCCCTGATTCACGAATTCAACACCGTCCAAAACACCCTGGCTCGCTGCTGTCCGCTGCCGCTGGCGGCGGTAATACTGATGCCGATGCTGCCCAAATGACCGTATGCGATGTGTCAGCGATCCGAATGTAGACCACCGACCGTTTCCGCTCTCCCCATCAATCACTCTACCGCCATCGCGATCTGGATCACTGCCTGAAAGGTTTGGGGAACTGTTTCCAGGGGCTGTAGGTACGGGATTGTTATGATGAGGGCCGAGAGGCTGGTCTTCGCGTCCTTGGTACTGCAGAGTGAGATTTCTACCGGTGACGAAGTGATGATACATCCCATTTCCACTGCTGTCAGAGTAGTCAGAGGCCATTGGATGAGGGCGTACGCTGTCGGAAGAATAGTAAGGAAACATGCCTACGTACCGGCCAGGCGGAGGCGACGATAGAACGATGGTGGATTCGCTCGTAGCCGAAAAGTAGGACGATGAGATCGTGGGCCGTGGTTCAAAGGTATCCTGCATTGCCTCATTAGCATACTGCCGTTCTGGGAGATAAGGCTCATGTAACGACTGCAGTACTTGTTCTTCCAATCCTTCAGAGCGCATAGATGTAGAGGATGCTAGAGTTCCGCGGGACGTAGAATTATCTAACCGAGTTGCAGTGTTTTGGTTGCGGCTGGTCTCTGCCTCTACGTGATCGGCATCTCGATGACGAGCGTAGGCGTTGCGGGCCTGGAGCATCTGGTCTTCAAGTCGCCTTTGATTTTGCACCATGATGTGCTGCAGATCATAGATGTGCTCGTGGGAGCCGCTGAGATGATTGTTATAGGTATACTCGCTTCCATCCGTATTCATCGTACGTCCTTCATTGTCGATGTGGTCCATCTGGATCGAGTATGGGCTGTGGGTTAGGACGTCATCCGAGTCAATATAGTTGCCCTCCTCCCCGCGAAAATCGGTAGCGTCGACTGGCAGTTCGGCTCCTTCGCGCGAATTAGACATTTGGATGTTAGAGACCGCGGCTATTAAAGACCGATAGTCCCCGCTGTCGATGTAGGTCTCGATGACGGGGTGTTCACTGGAGGCATCTCGGCGAGCTGCGCGAACAAAGTCGGAGAATCGGGCAGTAAAATAGGATTCCTGGGCAGGATCATGGGTAGCGTTGCTTTGAATTGTGTGGTCGACGCTACTGCGGCCGCTGGTTAAGGCAGAGCTCCCACCTGGCGAGAAAGGCCCTACTGCATGCAAGTCGACGACCATTCCGTTTCCGCTATCCTGACTCGGAAGCGAGTGGCGCTGTCGGTGTTGACTGTGACTGGGTTGCCGATACGGGTTTCGCTCTATCCTGGGGCTCGCCATGGTACTGTGTGCGTCCGGAACAGGCGATGAGGGGTGACTTCCTGTCATGATGGACTCTGCACAACCTTTGCAAGTGTATTATGGCGGATGAGGGACTCTAGTGATAAAAGCAGATGGTTGATTATTACAACGGCTCTGCTTGCGAGCTATAAAGTGAGATGTATTCCAAGGCTTCAAGTCTGTCTACCTAAAACTGGACGCTCATAGTCTTGTGCGCATTGAAGCAAGGAGCGAATAGAGATTATACTTGTGCTGGGGAAGCTGAAGTGAGAGGGAAGGATGGCGGCACTAGAGAATGGAGGAGTGAGAGGAGAAGTAGCGCAAGGAAGAAGGGAGAAAGAGAGTTGCGAAAATAGACGAGGGAAGGGAAGGAATGTGGAGAAATAGAGCTTTGCAGGGTCCAGTATGGAGATTATTTTTCAGTGACACGAAACGCATGAGACACGGGAAATATTTTTTTGATTCTGCTGGTGGCAAAAAATAGAAACCAAACAACGCCTTTCTTCGTTTCTGGACCTTTTCTTCTCTGCTCCGCCTTGTGTCTGTCACCCCGTGTTGTGTCATATTATGTCGTACCATGTCTTGTCGTGTCCGGTAAATAGAATCCACTATACTGAGCCGAGTAAAATTTGCTTTTCGGGGGAGAGAAATAAAGGAGCTGTGTATGCACAGCATACAACGGCACTTCAGGGCCGATACAGGAATTGCAAGGGGCTGTTGTTGGTCCATGCACATAAAAATACGCCCACAGCAGAGATCTTAGTTGTGGAGCAGCCAAAGTGTATGTAGTCTAGCCCGGATGGTCGATACGCAAGTCCATGTCTCCATAACCTGGTCCATATGGGTGTCCATGTGGATGTCAACATTCGATGATATGCGGTAAAGAGAAAAAGAGATGTTGCAGCGACACTCAATGCTCCACAACGGGATCGACAGCAACAAAGACGGGGGGACGGGGGGGAGGGAGGGATGGGAGAGAGCGTAGGGGTATAAAGAGATGAGAGGGAGAGAGGGAGAAAAGAAGAGAACGGTGGCGCGTGCCTAACTTACTTTTTGCCCTCGTGGACTCTTTTTCTGCAATGCGCACATGCACGCGTAGGTCCGACTGACTTTCACCCCCACCCGCTCTTTCTCTCCCTCCCTCGCGCGTGAATGCTGAGCAAAAGGGAGTGCATGGATGCACGGCATAGCACCGGCATCTTTTTTTGGTTGACTGGAGATTGCAACCCCCCCCTCTTCCTCTCTCCCTCTCACTCTCTTCTTCCTCGTCCACCCCCACAAACCGCCACCACTTTTAACCTCTCTCTCACTCCCATTCTCTCATTCTCTCACTCACTCACTCACTCACTCACTCTCACTCTCTCACTCTCTCCCCTCGCGATCCCTTTATTTCCTTTCCCTTTTCTCCATTCCTCATCCTCCAGCCCCCATCCTCCATCACTCATCCTCCATCCCTCATCCTTCATCCCTCATTCTTCATCCATCATTGCTCTTCCTTCTTACTTACCCCATATCATTCCTCCCCTCTTTGTCTTGTCCATCCCTTCCCCCCCCTCCCCTTCACCTCCCATCCCATCCCATCCTATCCTATCCTATCCTATCCTGTCCCATCGCTGCAAGACAGAACCCGGCCTACGAGCACTCCCCCCCCCCTTTTTTTTTACTATAACAGCCAGCAAACCGCTCTGATATGCCCCACCAGCTACCACAGGACTGTGCCAACGAGAGCTCATCCCACTTGCCTCTCCGACAACTGGCTTCACCACAGGAACCACAACAACCACAACAACAGCGACAGCAACAGCAACAGGAACAACAACAGGAACAGCAGCAGCAACAGCAGCAACAACGACTCTTAAACCAACAACAACAGAGTCGATCCTCCCGCGACCTGGCCTCACAATCCTTCCCACAGCAGACAGACCAGCCCCGTCTTCAAAGTCAGCCCATCCAGACCTCCTCCTCATCCTCCTCCTCCTCGTCACCTCCCCCAGATACTATTGCCCCTGCAGTCCAAAAGTGCGCCAAATGCGAGCTGCAGATGCAAGGGTCCTTTGTCCGTGCATTAGGCGCCACCTACCACCTCGACTGCTTCAAGTGTCTGGTAAGCTGACTTTTTCTTCCCGCTTTCTTTTCCCGCCATAAAAACTGAATAATTACCGAGGGCCCTTTTGGCGTATTGCTGACCAAGAAATATTAGAGACTTCAGGGACAGAAAGAAAAAAAAAAAAAGAAGAAGAGCAGCTCTTGAACGCTAAACCCTATCAATTGTTCTTTTCCCCAAATCGTATCGCATACCATGCCTCTTTTAGGATTGCAACCAGATCGTGGCCTCAAAGTTCTTTCCCATTACCGAGTCAGATGGCAAGCAATACCCTCTTTGCGAACGCGACTACTTCAAGCGCCTCAACCTGGTCTGTCACTCCTGTGGCGAAGCACTACGGGGGAGCTACATCACTGCACTTGACAACAAATATCACATCGAACATTTCACCTGCTCGGTCTGTCCGACAGTCTTTGGGCCACAGGACTCGTATTATGAACATGACGGCAAGGTCTATTGTCACTATCACTACTCAATCCATTACGCCGTCAAGTGCGCAGGATGTAGGACAGCAATTCTAAAGCAGTTTGTCGAGATCAACCGCAACAGCCAGGACGAACATTGGCATCCAGAATGCTATATGATCCACAAAGTATGTGTACACAGCCGATGTTTTCGCTGTTGTTGTTTTCGTCTTACAATGAATAGGCGCTCAAATCAGCTTGGGTGCTCTTATCTTCATTCATGAGACAAAACAATCATGACGGCACTTCCACTATTTATTTTTCCTTTGCACAGCCCTGCTGTCTCTTTGTTCTTTTGTTCACTCTTATATACTTTCCAGTGACATAACAGCCCATGAACACCAGAGAATTCTTCCTACTCGTATTGTCCCCACTTTGTTGGTGCAATAGACCAGAATTTCTAACAATGATGTTGCGATATGACATCTTTTTATTTTGCATGTGTTTGCGCATAAAATTATAGTTTTGGAACGTTAAACTGTCGTTTGCGCCGCTGAGCGAGGATCAGGATGACCAAGCGCAAACACAAACACAACAGACACAGAGATGCATCGAAGCTGGAGACGCCACTGAGCCATTTTCGCCAGATATACTCATATCGCGGTCCAGTATGGAGCAAAGAACACCAGAGGAGCTCAGACGCGCCCAACAGCAGATGGAAGAAAAAGTATACCAAATCTGGACCGTGTTATCGGCATTTGAAGAGTCTTCTGCAGGATGCATTTCCGAAATGTTGCTCCATGTATCAAACGGCGCATATTATGACGGCGTTCAGATGGCTGAAAAGTTCATTCTCCATGTCGAGATCCTGTTCAGTGCGATTGATGATCTCGAGGAGCAAATGAAGGAGGTTGGCGATCAGAACGGTAAGTGATTTGTGCTATATATATCTAATGTGATGCTTTGTGAGGGTCATAAATGATTAAAGACTCGACTGCATTGATTGTCATGCTCATGCTACATCCGAACTATCCTGCTTTCGAACTTTGGTAGATTTGGTGCATGGACGTGAGGCCAAAATGCTCTGCAAGAAGATCGTCAACTTTTTCTCCCTACTCTCGCACACTCAAGAAAGCGGCGTACGGCGACTGGGCATGACACAGGAGCTGCTTTCTCTTGTCACTGGACTCGCTCACTATCTCAAGATTCTTATCAGGATCGCCCTCACAAGTGCGCTGAAATTGGAAAGGCAGTACCATTCCAAGACTGTCATCGCCCGTTTCCTCAACAAACTAATGGAGCTCGCCAACAAGGATAAATGTCTTCAAGACTTGCACAGGAAGGGAGATATGGATGCAGAAGTAACATCGGATCTGTGCCTCTCATGCAGGATTACCATCGAGGATGAGTGCTTCACGTTTGATCGTCAGAATCGCTGGCACCCCAAGTGCCTTATCTGCTCGGAATGCGCAAAACCTTTGGCGCCCATCTATTACGATGCTTCGTTCGATACAACTCGGGGAGCAGCGTATTGTCAACAGTGCAGGACACCCGAGTCGCAAATAGGATTCTCGCATGTAACAAAGCTCGAACAATATACCTTCCTCCTGCGTGTTGCGCTCATTCGCCTGGAGAACCTGCTCCATTTGAAAGGTTACTATCGCTCGGCAATCCTCTTCTTTTGCATTTTTTTTTTCAGCTTGAGGAAGAAGTTCTGAATGTTCGTACTTAATTTTATATATTAGGTGATGAGGCGATTTCAGAGGTAGTAGACCAGCGGGGACGCTACCTTGCAACCTCGCCACCAACCGGCAATATGTTAGTTCCAGGGCTTCCAGGACTTGTGAGGAAGGATTCCCGATCTAAATCATATTCCTCGGAGGACAATCGACAGTATGAAGCCATACATCTCGGGGATATCAAGCGTGTCAAGTCAACTCATCTGGATCGCAAACTCTCGAACTCTGCGCGTATCCCAAGGCGGCAGACTGTTATTGAACATCAGCGGAGGAGACCACCTTCTGAGGATCCCAACATGAAAGAGGAAGACTCTAATGAACTTGCAAATGCGCAAGGGGATGCGGAAGTGTCTCTGCTGGAATTCGAGATTATCGACGAGACAGAGATACTGAGCGACGAGGATGAGGATGTAGGCCGCACAGACGGAAAAAAGCCGGATGCACCTGCAACGCTTTCGGACCTGACGGAGAAATTGCGGATCAACACGACATCGAACAATAGATCGCCTACAGGATCACTCAGAACTCGGTCACTTCATGGCTCGTTACAAGGATCGCAGCATTTATCAGCACTGAGCAATGTGAATGCATCACGGCATCCGAAGCGGCAGTACCTGAACGAGTTGTCGGCGCTGGAGCTGTTTATTGTGAAGCATCTGGCAGTTCTGACATTGGCACCAATTGTTTCAGAGTACTTTACATTGGAGGAGCTGCTGGACTTGATTGGACAGCGCAAGCAGACGCTCTGGGGTCGATTCGTGAAGGGCCTTAAGACTGACAAAAAAAAATTGAAAGGTAAGGCGTGACATAGTGCTTTGTTTTTCAAGCAATCACTTTGATGGGAATACTTGCTCATGACTATCTTTGTCTTTGATGTTGTGATCTAGTCGAAGGAACATTCGGAGTCCCGCTTGAGGTGTTGGTAGAGCGCAATGGCGTGGATTCAGCTCTCGGAGCAGGACCTGGTCGGCTGCGGATACCCAGTTTTGTGGACGATAGCATCTCTGCTATGCGCAACATGGGTAAGCTTTGATACTCGTACAAAATCTTGAGTGTTGTCTGTACTTGGCATACTGAAATTCTCATGCAATTTTGAATGAATAAAATGACCAATAGATATGTCTGTGGAAGGCGTTTTCAGGAAGAACGGCAATATTCGTCGACTAAAGGAGCTGAGTGAGGCTATCGACAAGGACCCATCCTCCGTGAGTTTAGTTGAGGACAACAACCCGGTTCAGGTTGCCGCACTCCTGAAACGGTTTTTGCGTGACCTTCCTGATCCGCTTTTGACGTTCAAACTCCAGCGCCTGTTCATAGTCTCTCAAAGTACGTCGTGGCTCGCTCTTTCACTTCTCCTTGATCCTGTTTTCGATTTTTTTTTCTTCGTACCATATCTTCTAACCACCTGTTTCCTTATACTTTCCTTCGTTTCAATAGAGATGGAAGATGAGGCGGCACGGAAAATAATTCTGCACTTGACATGCTGTTTATTGCCCAAGGCGAATCGTGATAGCATGGAAGCAATCTGTCTCTTTCTACGATGGGTCGCCTCGTTTTCGCATGTGGATGAAGAAACAGGCAGTAAGATGGATCTTCATAACCTGGCGACGGTTATTACACCGAATGTCCTGTATTCGAAATCGAAGGATCCGATCAAGGACGAGAGTTTCCTGGCGATTGAAGCAGTCATGGGGCTCTTGGAGTACCAGGATGAATTCTGCTTAGTATGCGAATTTCCTTATCGTCTTTTTTCCATCGTGCTTTTTTTTTTTTTTTTTTTTTTTTTTTTTTCAAAAGTTCATACTGACACGACTTTTTTCTCGCATTGACTGTTAGGTTCCTGAGGATTTATCGTTGATTCTGAATGATCAGGACTTGGTCGAATCATCTATGGACCTCTCATCAAAGGACATCTTAAAGCGCTGCGAGAATTTGGTCCGTGCCAAGGTCAAGAAATCGCACTCCTTGGGAGATTTCTACCAGGACTCGCCCAATTCAATCCAATCACAGACTCATACTCAGACAGAGGGCGAAGGCATTCATCATGGAAGCCGTTCGGGAACAGGGGACATGTGCCATCAATCGTCGCCCGTGCACCATGCAGCGGCAGCGGCAGTAGCAGCGAAGGAGCAATCTGTCCCGGTGATGATCCAGCAGTCTGCCACGAAGATGGCCGTGACAGGCGGGTATAATCATAACGCATATGGACTCTCGACGTCGAATCCGATCTCCTCGTCGTCTTCGACCATAGGGCCGATGCGGATACCGGAACAACCACATGCAGTTTCGGTCGGCGGAGGAAAAGGCGCCATGCCAATGTCTTTATAATCCTTGCTATCCCTGTTACTGCTGTTGGTCATCTACAGGGTTATCTGCGCTACTGTTCCTCATATATACATATCCCCCCGCATGTAAATACAACAAACGTTCTTTCTCGTTCTACCTTTTTTATACGAATATGCAAAAAAAATGGATATAGTTATACTTTATCGAATTACTTTTCCAGAAGAAAAAAAACTCGCGCACTTTAAAGCGCCAAAGCGAACCATCCACAGATGAGGGTCAAACCACCCAGAGGTGTCATGGGACCCAACTTGAAGGTTCGGGAGAAGGTCTTGTTGGTATCCAAGATGAGTGCATAGATTGAGCCGGAGAAGAGGACGGTGCCGGCGAGGAGCAAGGGGGCCGCAAAGCGGCTCGTGCGGGCCATCAGCGCGGGGGACTGGGAGATCGCCAACAGGGCCACAGCATGGATCAATTGAATGTTTGCGGCACTGTTCCAGGCCTGTCGGCGTTCAAGGATGTCAGCACCCCCGTGAATATGAAATACGAAAAGCACGAAAGACATGAACGCGAAAACACACACACACACACACAAATACGAACATGGACGCAGGCAGGAGCACACGGGAGAGAATTTCAAATTGTTAGTTTGCAATTGGGGGTTTTGGTTCAAGCGGCGGTACAGTGGCGATATAGTTTACCTTGAGCTTGCCAGCATCACTGTTGACGCGTTTCTCGAGGCCGTGGGCTCCATAAGCGGCGGTCATCACACCTAATCCACCTGGATATTTGCAGAGTGATGATGATGCCCACCCGCGCCATCCAATGGTCACAAAATTATGGTCAGTGCAGCCCAGAGGGTAACCAGCACGGCAGTTCATAGTGATTAGGGCGGATGCTAAGGGAGCTTACCGACAATGGCGGCGGCGCGAAGATAGAACGTAGAAGACATATTGGGTTTGGGTCGTGTTGACAGTTGAATAGGCGATTAGTTACTTGCGTGGTATTATGGAGGGTTGGAGACAGGATGAGGAACAATCGCTGCGATGCGGAAGGAGTTCAGGAAAGAGAAGGGCAAGGGTTATCATGTGACGCCCTAGTTGAGTGGGAGTGACGAGGTAGAGACCCCTCTGACCTTGTTGCAAACTTCCCACGGTTTGCTGCAGGGGCAAGTCTCTTCATATGAAAGTTTGTCAGACGGGCATTATTGCTCCATTCCCCTGAGTCAACACAACTCAATTTCTGGGGGGGTTTTTTTTTTAAGGAAAAAAAGTGTTTATTATGGCTTATAGTTACAAAACGTCCGTTAAAAGGTGCAATTGCTGTCGATTCTAATGTATGATGGACTGGCTTGAAAGAGAGAAAAAGAGATGGTGTGTCTTTTGATATACAATGCATGTGTTTGTGTATACTTCGCTTGATAAAGGCTTGAATGTTGTTCAGTGGTCAATATCGACGATGGGATCGATGCCTCTCACGAGGTTTACCAGCCGCGCTTGGCATAGAGCTGGCCCTCAGGGATGTCCGAGATGTTAATACCGACCATGGCCTCTCCCAGATCCTCGGAGACCTCTGCCAAAACCTTGGGGTCCTTGTAGTGGGTCACAGCCTGGACAATAGCACGGGCACGCTTGGCTGGGTCACCGGACTTGAAGATACCCGATCCAACAAAGACACCATCACATCCGAGCTGCATCATCAAGGCAGCATCGGCAGGAGTGGCAACGCCGCCGGCAGCGAAGTTGACAACAGGCAAGCGTCCCAACTTGGCAGTCTCCTTGAGAAGATGATAAGGGGCCTGGATCTCCTTGGCATAGGTGAAGAGCTCAGCATCATCCATCAACTGTGCCTTGCGGATCTCGGCCTTGACTGTACGGCAATGACGGACAGCCTCGACAACATTTCCGGTACCAGCTTCGCCCTTGGTACGGATCATGGCAGCACCCTCGTTGATACGGCGAAGAGCTTCGCCGAGGTTCTTGCAGCCGCAAACGAAGGGGACCTTGTACTCGTGCTTGTTGATGTGGTTGGACTCATCAGCGGGAGTAAGGACCTCGGACTCATCAATGTAGTCAACTCCAAGGGACTCAATGATCTAGACCCAATTCAGCGGAAACCAATGACAAAATTTTTAATAAATATTTTTGTGTGAACACAAGTGAAGTGAGGGGCGCATGGATCAGATCAGGAACGCAAAAAATATGTTCTTTCTTTTTACCTGGGCCTCGACAATGTGACCGATGCGGACCTTGGCCATGACGGGGATAGAGACGGCAGCAATGATCTCGCGGATCATTCTGGGGTCTGACATACGGGCAACGCCGCCTGTTCGTAGCAAAGAGGGTTCATCAGTAACAAACAAAAAAAAAAAAAAAAAAAAAAAAAAACGTTGAGATGTGAGTCAAGCAAGATCTCTCTTCTTCACGTTGAAGGTATTGTATGTCGGAAAAACAACATTATGGTCCCATAGCAAGGATCTGGTGGGCGTGTTTTGATCGTACCGTTCTTGCGGATATCGGCAGGGACACGCTCCAAGGCCATGACGGCACAGGCACCGGCAGCTTCGGCAATCAAGGCCTGCTCGACGTTGATCACATCCATAATGACACCACCCTAGTATAGAAAGAAAAAATAATGATAATGCGGATCAGCTACTTGTACTTCTGAATTGTAATGGTCCTGCTAGCCCAAGCTGTCCCTGAATGGGCCTAGTTTGTGTGCCCTGTTGTTTTTGATGGTGAGTTGTCGTACCTTGAGCATCTGGGCGAGACCGGCCTTGACATTGAAAGAGGCGACCTCGGGGACCTCGGAGGCAGCAGAGAGACCGGCAACAGCGGCATTCTGAGCGGGGACCAGGTTAGTGGGGGTAGCGAAGGTCATTTTGCAAGTGGGAGGTGCGAGCGAGAGCGAGAGTGGGAGAAGAAGAGTAAGGAGCAAGAGAGAGAAAGAGAGAGAGAAAGAGAGAGGAGAAGGAGGGAAGGGAAGGGAAGGAAAAAGAGGAGGAGCACTCGAGCTAAAAAATGAAGCGGAAAAACCTTATATTCAGCCAGTGAACAGGCCGCTACTCTACTCAAAAAAGAAAAAAAAAAAAAAGAAACTGAGAAACTGCGACAGCTCCGGATGCAATTGGATCGATCCTGGGGTAATGGCTGCTGCTGCTGCCAGGCCGGGGCTGATTCGCTCGCTGCGAGTGTGGAGGTCTGCGGAGAGAAGGGGCATCATATACTCTGCGGCGACTTTGGGTCTATTGGCCACCAAAAACAATAGCCCGTCCAATTGAGTCAACGCTCAAATGGGAGTCTCTGTCCCCCGATTTCTTCCTTGGGAAATAATAAAAAAAAAAAAAAAAAAAAAAAATCGAACTCGGTGAAATGGAAAGGCAGGGCGCCCTACAAGATGCACTCATAGTCCTAGTGCGTCTACGAGCCCCGTGGTTGATCTCTTTGTCATCGTGCACCATTGGCGGTTGTATCTAAACCCCTTCAGCCATTCATTTCTGTCGCTCCTTCCGTCGTGACTCAAGTTGTCTCGTCTCTTTTTCAACAGTGCCTCGTTGGCCCTTCTGCGACTTCGATTTTCGCAAAGGAGGGAGGTATACGCCTCTCCGCGAACGAGAGATTTTAAATATTTCTTCCAGCATAGCGCAGTAAGTAGTCTAGGCCAAGAGCGACACATCCACCGTGGGAAGTTGCCTAGACTTGCTCACACACTCCTTCAACGTGCCTCATAAAAACCTTGGGTCTATGGACAGGCTGTGTCTGGTATAGACACCATGCCAATGTATATTCAAAGTACCATTACACATTCGTACATCAGGAATGAAGTCCATAAGAGACCGAGAATAATCTATTTGGCTATCAGTTTAATTTGACAGCCCATGCGGAATCCATTCGCCACGTTGAGCATGCAAGTCAATTCCAGCGGGAAATCCATGTAACTCGTTCACCCTGAAAATACCTATGGCTCAAGTTTGCTTCTCGAGGGAGTCTGTCGGCAAATGCACCAAGTATTTTACACGGATTTCCTGCAGGGGTTGTCAAACAAGACCGACAACCCAGGTTGCCAAATAGGTTGTCCCTAATAAAAAACACTTTTGTGGATCGTGTTGAGTGTATGTACAAGATATCTCCTCGAAAAATGCCATTGGGGGTTCTTTATCCTTTTTGCGTTCCTGAAAGCGATGTGCCTTGCCCAGGAATCGATCCACGTCCCGTAGAAGTGGCGCTGCTGCAGGTGTCACGCAAGGAAGGAGACCCGATCGTCCGTGCTGTGTTCATAACCTGAACAAAAAAAGAAAAAAGGAGGACACGTCTTTAGCCAACCAACCCAGACCAAACAGCACCCCACACTCCGCACAAAAAACCATGGCCACATCCTTTACAGACGAACCAGCCTGGGGCAAGTCCATTGAGCATTAACAGCCATCTTTCGCTTTCCCTTTGTTGTCCTCGTTCCCATCAACTCTGCCAAAAGATAGAGCGAATGAATTGCTCTCCTCATCCCAGCAAGCTTGTTTGTCTCCGGGTGGATGCTGCATGGTCCTTTTTTTTTTAAAAAAAAAATGCAATACCCCTCCAAGAGCCTCTGGAACCGACAGAACGCCGCCAACTTTTTCTGATTATTTGTTTAAGGTTCCCGCGCTTTCCCCCTGTGGCACGAAAATATGATCGCTATCGCCTCATTCGACATGTTTCTTCCTATGCTATTTTATCGCGTTGGGCGAGCATGCAGACCCGTGGACCAGCCTAAAAAAATCCAGCTGCCCTATGTTTTTTTGGGCGCGACACAGCCAGCCCTCATACCCCCAATACACCCAGTTCGTCCACTTTATCGGATGTAGCCACCCATTCCGCTCTGCGACGCGTCGCCTACGACTCCTATTCTATTCTATTTTTCCTTCTAGGAGGAGATTAGACATGCAGCAATATTAATACTGCTCCAAACTCATTTCCTCTCGACTAGGCAAGGTCCTCATTGCTGGTGGCGTTGGTAGGTCTATGCGCTTGTCTGCTGTCAATGTCTTTCGTTTTCTTTCAAATATTCTTTTATGAATCAAGGATTGCGGTAGTGACAGTGGTATCTCTCTCTCTCTCTCTCTCTCTCTCTCTCTCTCTCTCTCTCTCTCTCTCTCTCTCTAGACTGGGACATGATCGGCCGTAAGCCCAAAGCTGGCGATACTCGCGAACTCTTGTAAGCGATATGGCAAGGTCCCTTTGTTCAAGAAGATGTGCTCGATCTATGTGTCTTTTCTTCACACTTGCTGCTTCGCATTCAATGCGTATTCTCTATATCCTTAGACCAAACCTCGAGACCTTTCATCTTATCCGCGAGTTCACAGACTTGAAGTACGTTATTAATTGTTATGCTTGTATCTCTGTCGAAATGTTCACCAAAGTAAAGAAATCAGCAATTGACACCATATGCTTCCTGTTTCCCTTCAACAAAAGGATCGTCAAGATCGCCACTGGCCCCAATGCCGCCCATAGCATTTTCATCACAGGTGGCTACATTGTTGTCCTCAGCATCCCTTCACAATGACACCCTCTCCAAAAGCGCTTCATCTGACCAAATCTTTTACCGTCTGTTTGTTCCTTGTTTACTATATCCTTGCCTATAGATGATGGAGATGTCTGGGTTCTCGGACGGTAAGCAGGATGGCGTGTATTTGATTGCATTCGCTTCCAGCAGTTGATCGGCAGACTCACCCAATTCGACATTCTCGCCTTCATTCTCAAACAGCAATGAAAAGGGTCAGCTCGGTGTGGGAGACACGAATCCTCACCCCTTGCCAATGAAGATCCCCACGATCTATTCCTCTGCGGGTAACAAAAAATCTACCAACCTGAAGTTCGTCGATGCTGCTGTAAGTGCATTTTCTAGTTCCGTGTTTCTCTCCGTACCAAACTTCAGGACGAATACGTTTGTAATCCAGCTGTTAACATCCGTACATGGATACTTTGTTTAATTAGGTCGGCCGAAACCATTCAATTATCATTGCCTCCAACGGGGCTGTCTATGGCGCTGGAGACAATAAAATGGGCCAGGTAACGTTGCGCTTCGTCTTTATAATCATCACCTTGCTAAACGAGCCTGAGTTCCATTTCCTGACGAAAGCTATTGTGTATACCCTAACAGCTCGGCAACGACAACCTCAAGGAGCACCCATCCTTCGTACATATCAGCAGTCTTGGCAGGGAGAAAGGCGCTAGCGTTGCCTGCGGTGCCGAGTTCACGATGGTCTTGTCCGAGAAGGGTCAACTCTGGGCATTCGGATCACCCGAATACGGTCAGGTACGATTTCGCATACCACGCTTTGTGTTTGCTGTATTTGTCCAAGTTTTGTCTGCGGGGACACAGTCTCATCATTTGTATCTGCAATGTCGTCCCAGTTGGGAAACAAGACAAACGGCCAGTATCTTCAGCAATCAAACCGCCTCGTTCATATGCCTCAAACAAGTCCAGGTAAGCGTGTCACTTCATACGCTCGATCTCAGCCCACTTATATCATGGACAAGGATACTGACAGTGCCTCTTGTCCATTTTCGTTTTTTACGGTAGTGCTTGTTGCTGCGTTGAAGGATAAAGTTGTGACTAAGGTCCGCTGCGGCACCAACCACACATTGGCGCTAACTGACGGCGTGGTTTACAGCTGGGGCTTTGGAGGCTATGGCCGTCTTGGACACTCTAAGCAGGAGGATCTGTGGAGCCCCATGCCAATTGAGCAGTTTGCCGGATCCAACAAGATCTCGAGAGCGACTGATATCGCTGCGGGCAGCTCGTTCAGCATGGCTTTGGACGGTATGTTATCGTTCCTGTTATTTTGCATGGGTACTTTGAGTGCGCTCTTTATGTTTTTACTTTCTTGTATGTTTTAACATCGCTACATCGCTACATCGCTGTTGATTGGCGCGTCTTTTTGTTCATTTAACTAGGCCAGGGCCAGTTTTGGCTGTGGGGTAAATGGAAGACTACGGGCGATGGCGGTGGAGGAACGCCCTGGATGTACCCTCGCACCATGTACGATCTTAACGGATGGTCCTTCAGGGCGTTCAGTGGAGGCAACGTGACCCTGTTTTGCATCCCCACCTCTGAGCCCTGCACCATCGCCTGGGGTCAGGGAGCAATTCATAGCGAGCTAGGATACGGTGAGGGCGAGCCACGATCGTCGACCAAGCCCGATAAGGTCCGCCCATTGGAGGGACTGATCATGAAGGATGTGTCATGTGGTTTGGGTCATACACTGCTGCTGTGCAAGCCTGGGCAGGAGAAGTTGCAGGATCTGCCCAAGTGGCCCTTACTGGACGTGGAGGAACATTGTATCGAGTGTTTGAGCGCCGAAGATGAGGAGAGCATGTTATTGTGCGATAAATGCGATTCTGGGACTCACCTGCACTGTACTGTCCCTCGACTTCAGGTACGCGATAACCGCAGCTTTGGCCTTGACTTTATGTCATACTTTTCAATATGTTGCTCATCATGCGTTTGTAATTTTCATACGCGAATGTGTAGGCTGTGCCAGATACGGATTGGTTCTGCCAGGGCTGCACAAGAGCCAAGGAAAAAAACAGGACAAAGTCCTCGTCTGACGGCTCAGACCTTTCAAGCCAGTCTGCGGGCAAGACGAATGCTAAGCGCAAAGCACCCGCCGGCAAAGGTAACCAAGACGATATCGCCCGTTATATCTGTATTTCTTTAACTTGTTCTTTTGGTGCGAAAGCGACGCTTACAATATCTCTTTTTTGTAAAAAAAAAAAAAAAAAAAAAAAAAAGGCTCCAGCAAGAAGAGTAAGGGCAACCACTCGGACGACGACAACTCTGAATAACAGCAGTAGGGCATTACTATGATTTACAGTGGCAACAAAAGTCAGCAACGAGCATCCGAGTTGGTGCACGGTAGGCGTTAGGCGAATCTGAATATTTATCGAATAATAAAAATCGGCCGCGTTTCTTTCCATTCTTTCATGTCCATAGTTTGATCCGCACCCTTTGTTGTGCGCAAGGGATCATAAAATGTTTATGCCTTTTTATTGCTTTATGATATATTCGCAAACAAACGACTCTTCTCTAGTTATCAGTCATTCTGAAGACCAATGCACAGCCGTCATCCGAACCCGTGACGCAGGTGAGGCCATCGTCCGTCATGGCAAAACAGAGGACCGCATTCTGATGGCCCAGCCAAATCTTAAGGTTCTGACCTGTCCTTCCATCCCAAACCTGGACGGACTGATCCGCAGAACAGGTGGTCACCCAGGGCTGGCTCTTGTGCCACTGCAGCTTGATGATCGGGCCCTTGTGCTCGCACGATGTCCGGAGCTGCATTGTCTGCACATCCCAAATATTCAAGCGGCCATCCAACGACCCTGTTGCGGCCAGATGCAAGTGATCCGAGAAGCCAACTGTTTCGATTGCATCTGTGTGGTTCTCGAAGGAACCCAAAATCTGTGTAGCGTCGTATCCATGAGATGAAAAAAATAAAATAAAAAAAATATGAGGTTAAAAACTGGTTTACGATGCAGCAATCATTACCAGATAACGAAAAAATAATACTAATAACAGCAATAATAATAATAATTACTACTAGCACTTACGCTTCCGTTGTGGAGGTTGACTAATTTGGCCGTGCCGTCCGCAGATCCTGTCATGGCCAAACTGCTATCCTTATTGATGGCGAGGCATGTAATCACGTCGCTATGAAATCGAGCGTCGTCTGAAGTGATACGGTGGATTGCCGTTGCGGTCTTGGGATCCCAAATGATCAACGAAGCATCCTCCGAGACAGTGACAATCCGCTTGCCGTCCGGTGTGAACTGACCGCTGGTGACAGGACCCGAATGTCCGTTGAAGATGTTCATAAATGAACCCGAAGGCACGGCCCACATCCAGACTGATGAATCCGTTGCACCCGCGAGGATAATGTTGCCTTTCGGGTGCCAGTTGATCCACTAATTGTTGTTCCACAGCGTCATCGTCGTTTTCGATAGGAGAAGGGCGCGAGCAAAGAGCAAAGAGTCAGTTAGGCCACAAATATTTCTCCAGACAACAACAAGAACGAGAACTAAAAAATAAAATAAAAAATAAAAAAAAGACGAGAAAGGACGAGAAAGAATGCGACACTTACAACAACCTCATCGGGTCCCTCGAGTTCGCAGACGAATTCGCCTGTCTCGCTCTTCCAGACGCGGACCTTGCCATCCATTGATCCACTGGCGACATAGGTTCCGTCGACACTGAAGGCCACTTGTGTAACCGAATCGCTGTGTCCTCCAAACTCATAGAGCTGCTCGCCATCATACAACCGCCAGAGATAGCTCTTGTCGTCACCACCTCCACTCACGGCAATATTCTGATGGATCGGGTGTAATGCAACATCATATACTGGCTCTATTATGAGTGAACAAAACAACAAAAATGAGGGCGTCAGTATTAGAGTCCATGATGAAATCGAATAAGACGCGAACTGTGTGGATTTGACGCAAGTACCTTTGTGAGTGAAGAATCCCTGAACAGAATCATCGTGAAGCTCGACCATCTCGTCATCAACTAGGTTCCCGTCCTCGTCGTACTGCTGGGCCCCCTCTGCGTTCTCATCATCGTCCTCCTCCATCATATCTATGTATAGGCGATTTCAATTGGTGGCGATTAATTAAAATCCTCGCGTCCGAGTGCTCTAGAGGCATCGCCAGACCTGACGAAACTACAGTGATACTGAGGTAACGCCCACTTTATTGTCGTACGACCTACCTTGGTTATCCTCAAGGATCTGGACTTCATCGACCTCATCGGGGTCCAAGAACTCTTCGTGATCACTCTCGTCATGTCTTGTTGGTTCCTGCTACAAAGAATCAACATAATGAGGTTAGGAATCAGGTCTGTCTCGAGCGCTTCTGCTCGTCAAATGTCATCCTTATTAGGTATGCTTAGTCAGCTCGAGTACATACAGAATTGGACATAATGTGTATGGAACGAATGTATTATTGGTAAAGAGTAGTATTGGAGTGGAGTTGAGAGGGACAGAGCGTCTATGTTGCTTTTTTTTTTTTGATGCTTATTTATTGTGTGACGGCCACTATGTACCGAACTTTAAGCACATTTGTCATCTTATGGCCGCAGTCGCTCATGAACAGAGTCCTGAAATGAAAGATACACGTAGGCAATGGAGGGGAACGCCGTGCTGAGGACGATACGAGCGAGTGCGACTCACCAATCGTCGTACATGACGTCCTCTTCCTCGACCCGCTTGTATCCAAACCGTGCCTCCCACGACTGAGGGTCTCCCTCTGTCTCTTCCTCGTCCTCGTCCTCAGGAGCATCCTCAACCTCCTCCTCCTCCGCCTCAGGTCCAGGCGTCGCCTCTCCATCGCGCTCAGCCCGACTTCTCGACTTTGGAGGCGCTATGATTTCATCCTCGTCATCATCGCCCACTATTAGCGAACCCTCTCTCTGTATCGATGACGATCCAAAGCTGCGCTGCATCGACTGCTCCCGGGAGACCGTACGACTTCCTGTGGGTGTAGCAGAAAACTTGACGCTGCCACCCTTGTTCTTGATCATCCGACTGACTGAAGAAAGGCGTCCAGGTCGAGCAGATCCCTCGCGACTCCTAGGCACAGATGATTGACGTGACCTGGCTGGAGTCTTGATCAATCCTGGTTCCTCGAACATTGATTTGATGGGTGCGGGCGAACCTCTATCATAGTTCGTAGGCTTGGTGTCAAACAGTTCGTCCATGGTCTCCAAAGCAGAGTAGTTGATCTTTTTTGATTTCAGTCGAGGTAACTTTGGTTGAAGGATATTCTTGCCAGCCTCCGCTGCCGAAGTGTGTGGTCCTGCCGTAGTATTGCGCTTGACTTTCTTGCGCTAAATAGACAAATCGACAAATAAAAATTGGTGCGTTAGATGTCGCTCTACCATATCGAGGGTTGACATGTTCACCATTACGATCCAAAATGGTGTCTAGCTTACGCCCTTCTTGTTGTGGTAGATACCCATCTTCTTCTCCATCTCAATACGCGCACGCTTGGCCTCTTGTTCCTGGAGATACTCCTTATTAAATTCCATCCAGACCTGGGTCTTGATCTTGACCTCTTCTTCGTTAAGAATGATATTTTCAATCTCTTCATCGTCCACGTCATCCAGCTCCTCAAATGGAATCTGCTTGCGCGCCTCCTCCTCGGCTATATATTCAGCAAAACATAAAGTATACAGGTAAGTATATATTTTTTACGATCAAAGGCAGTAATTCAGCGAAAGGCAAGTGCGAAAGGAGACTTACCATCCAGCCGGGCTTCCTCTTCCCGAATCAAGGGGTTCTTCATAGCCTCCTCGAGCTCTTCTTCCATCTCCTCTTCGAGTATGTCGTCTTCAGCCTCTTCCTCGCCCTCTTCCTCCTCCTCCTCCTCTACCTGCTCTTCTTCCTCTTCCGTATCGCCTTCCTTTTCTTCCTCCCCTCCTCCTTTCCGCTCCTGGCTACTAGGGCCATTAGGAATAGGGGCCATATGCTCCAAGTCTGCTGTGCGCGTTCCGGCTGTGGTCTGGGATTCAATATGGCCGGGCTCCAACACCTCCGCGCCCTCCTTGACCTGCTGCAGATCGACTTTATGTACCCTCCCTCCACGTCGAATGATCTCCTGGTTAACCTCATCTTGTTTCTCTTCGTCTTCTTCCAGTTCCCAGTGACTCCTCTTCCTGGATTTTTCAAACGAAGGCGGGTCTGCCGCATCCTCTAGCCATAATTCCCGGAAATCGGCTACCGTTAACTGACCAGAAGGTGTTGCTGCGAATTCTTCCAGTCTACGATGAAGTGCAAGAAGGAAAAATAAATAAATAAATAAATAAATAATAATAAAAAAAAAAAAAAAAAAAAAAAAAGCATGCTGTTTAATAATCACAGTTTTGAAACAAAATAATTCAGGTCATATATCTTTGACCATCAAGCAACGAACCGTTTCCTCAATGTTGCTTCTCCGATTTTAACAACTTGAATGATCTCTTTTGGCGAGCGTCGGTAGTGATGCATTCTAGCTGCGATCAAAAGACAGGCGCCACAGATACCGGCTGGCCTGCGGCCGGTCCTGATCCAGTCTCGGTCCATGCGTGACACCAAGCGGAGGGCATCGTTCGCCACGCGTTGAGTGTCCTCACCAAAGTCCAGCATTGTGGCGAATCGAGAAATGTAGAGTGAAGGGTCGACGAGTGGCAGTACCAGATTCAGCTGTTTTGTAAGGTGGAGAAATGTCACGCCCAACTTGAACACATTGAGCTATAAACGAATGTTCATCGGATAGTCCGTTGGAGACACGATTAGTATATAGGTCAAACAAGTCAGTTCGAAGATATTTCTGCAAATGTGTGGTTCACTCCTCATACCTGGAGCAATTCCGAGAAATCGATCAACATGTGCGTCGTCCTTTCGTTTCTGCAGACAATGTAGAGACAACAGGCGACGACATGTTCACTTCGACGTCCTTGAATAAAGTTGTTGGTGATGGCGAGGTTGAAATAGCGTTGGGCGACCTCGGCGTGATGCTCATTCAGTTTGAGCGCGACAGCCATGGCAGTGATACGTCTCCTTGCCGCATCCAGCGTCTTTTCTCTTGATTCCTGACTCGTCTGTCTCCGTCCTGGTCCACTTGATCTTGCTCCAGCTAAAGATAACGCGCAAGTAGAGTGGACAGGTGTTGGCAAGAGCGTTCATTTTGTCCGCATCATCGGATAGAAATAAAAAAAGAATGGGCTGTGTACCTTTGCCCTCTCCGACAAATGTTCCTACAACAGACGCTGCTCCGCCGCTGCCCTCCGAGAATGAGATCTCTGCAATGATAGTGTTTTCTTCCAGGACCTATGCAGGACAAGAGGGTGGGTAAGAAGGAATGAAGATGTTAGTAAGATGTACACTCCAATTGACTGTATCAATTGATTATCGGAAGCGCAGAGCCAATGTTGTACTTACTGTTCCGCATTGGGTACAGGTGGCATTTCCCTGGCCAGCATCGTACTCGATACTGTTTCCACCACAATGTGGACAGGCCATGGCTTTTTATGTGAGGATATGATTAATTGAAGAGAGAAAAGACCGAAAGACGTTGATGAAAGGAGAGCGGTCTTGGTTGAAGTACGTTGATGGTCGCTAGAAGTGCTAGCAAGTTGAAGACAGGGCGGTGGGCTGAGTGAAGAAAAGGGGGATAGATTACAGGAGCAGATAGAAGTACAATGTGAATGGCAGGTTCGAAAGATGTGGTCCAGGAGTGACAAATGATATGAGGACAGCAGGTGATCCGTTTTGAATGGTCGGGCCGAGTAGCGATGGGCTGATTGTCCGATGAGAAGGAGTGGGGTGGAGAGAGGTATGGATGGAGCTTGCCCTGTAATGGTCGAGTGTGTGTGTTTGTTGTGTTCAGAAAGAAAACACACAGAAAAGTAGAGGGGCCAATTCAGTGGCGCAGAGGACAACCGAAATCAGCGACTTTTTTTTCATATCGAGGTTCCTGGAATCAATTTTTATTCAGGCACAACAAGGCTACAGGGCACCACCTGTTCAGTCTTTCTTTGAGACAGCGATCCTTGCAAGCTCCAGTTCCCGCATATGCTTGCGCTTCTCTACCAGCAGGTCCTGGAGCGCTTTGGCAAGTGAGCTCCTGTACCCATACTCGGAGCTCGAAAGGGACCAGATAGCAAGCACAATTGGATGTTCACCCGGAGGCAAGGCGTAAAGGTAATTCTCGTTAGAGAACTTGGCGGCAGGAGCGGACCCAGAAGAGAAGGATGTGGATGACCAGTTGGTGACCCTGGCAGAGGTTTGCACCTTCTGCTGTTGCTGTAGCTGTTGCTGGTGCTCTTGTTGATGTTGGTTGTATCGTTCCCGGCAGATCTCAAGCGCGTTGGTGATGGCGATGATCTGCTCGACAATTTCCTCGAGGGCGCTGTGGGGCTTCTCGCCGGCCATGGAGGTTGTCAGCAACGTATTCATCTCTTGTTGGGGCGGACTTGATCGTTAGTGCTGGTGTTGGCTGGAAGGAGTGGCGAGTGATAAGGATGGGAGAAAGGACGAAAGAAGCGTGCTTGTTCTTGTACCAAATATCCAATTTTGCTGCGGCCTTTCCGCTCTCAAAATAGAACCAATACACATGACCAATGGACGGCCAATGCTCCGTTGATTGCTCATCCATGCGCCGCCTTGGCGTAGACCTCTTATCATCGGAGGGACGAAAGTAAACGCGCTCCACCTCAACATGGGACGCGTCTGCAGTCACAGCGCGTAATGTTTCATGCGAGACAAAAAAACGCGTTTAGCTCTTTCAGCACGAAGCAGAACAAAAAGAAAAAAAAGGGCCAGGCAGGCGCGGAATGGAGGTTTCTTAGCTTACACTATGGCATCATGACATACACCCTCTTCTTTTCCGCATCCCCCATCCCCCATCCTCTCTTCTTTTTCCCTTTCTTTTTCTTTTCATTTTCATTTTCTTTCTCTTTTTCTTTTCCTTCTCTACATCCACCTCCTTCTCTGCCTCTTTGCTTCCCTTTCGTCCATCCCTCCTCTCCCCATAGTCATCCTCATTGTAAATAGCCACCTTTATCTCTTATAGATTACCATCGCAGCTTTTATCGAATCTACTGCATTCAATTCATCCCTTCCAAAGAGAACAAGAACACTCCTACCATTTCCATTACGATTTATCTTGAAGTTATCGTCAGTTGCCTTTGATAAAGAGTATTCGCCATGGTCCTTCCTGTTTTACGAGTATGTACCTTGCTGTGCAAATCAGTTCAATTGATCTTGCAAAGAAAAAAAAAAAAGAAAAAAAAAAAGAGGACGCTAACTGACTTGTCGATAATGCCTTCTGGTTGTAGCCCATGACGATCGCGGCAGCGACAGGCCTTGTTGCCGGCAGCGCCTTTATTTCGTACACCACAGTGTATGCAGACGAGTACAACGTAAGTCTTCTCGCATTACCATTGTAACACAGGTCTTGACTGCGAAAATAAAATACAATTTTAAGTTTTTAATGGCCCATCTTTCGCGCCCAATAGGACTATGACGATAAAGACTACTATGAGCCTCGCCATCATCATTACCGCCACGGCAGCAAGGGCGACGAAGACGAACAAGAAAGCCAATTTCGACCATCTTATAAACAGCGTTATCAGCAACAGCAACAGCAACAGCGCCGAGGTTTCAATGGGCAAAACGACCGCGACCGCTTCACCCAGCATTCGCTGGTCGCCCATGAAGAGGAGCTCCTCCCTGGTCTTCTCTATGTCGCCCTCGCCGGTCTCTCCGGATCTCTTGTTGCCCGCCAGAGTAAGTATTTGTTACAACTGCTGTGTATACATAATGTTTTCACATTTATCTCTTTGTCGCTAACACCAATATTTATCATATCTCATGTCTTGCTGATCGCTAGGAAATATCCTGATCCGCATGTTTTCTCCATTGGCCTTCGCAACAGCCGCGGGTGCGTACTTCCTGCCAAGCACGACTCACTCAATCATTGAATCCATCGGCGGTCCCAGTTCCGCGACCTGCGCTCAGCACCCCAGCGACAGATTCCAGAACCGTGGTTCCTCATCCTCCGAGACCATGCCCACTGGCGGCATGCCTGTCAGAAGCGAGTTGACATCTCGGGCTCGTGAAGCCTGGCATCAAGGCGAGTCTCGCGCCGAGGAGATCGGAAACAATCTCCGTGAGGATGCACACGACAGTGCCCACAAGGCTCAGAACAGGTGGAACCAACACTCGCACGAAGCACAAGATCACCTGGAACATGCCCGCCATGATGTCCACGACACGACACGAAAGGCTAAGCAGAAGGCATCGAGCGCCTCGTCCTGGTTCCACATCAAGGCCGATGAGGTTGAGGATTCTGTCGAGGACAGGGCCAAAGAGGCACATCAATGGTGGAACAGCAAATCGTCCGAGGCCGAGACCAAAGTTAAGGATATGGAATCCAAGGCCAAAAACGCGACCAAGGAGACCAAGCATTGGTTGAATGAAAAGTCCTCGGAAGCGGAAGACAAGGCCAAGGAGCTCCATGACAAGGCTGAAGACGCCACAGAGCAGGTCAAGCACTGGTGGAACACCACTTCCTCTGAGGCCCAAGACAAGGCGAAGGAGCTCGAGGTCAAAGCCAAGGAGGCGACTAAAGAGGCCAAGCACTGGTGGAGCAAGAGATCGGAGGATGTCGAGGAACTGAAGGAAAAGACTAAAGAAGTGTCCAAGCAGGCTGGCGAAAAGATCGAAGTGCTCAAGGAAAAGTCCAAGGATGTCTCTAAGCAGGCCGGCGAGAAGTTGGATGAGCTCAAGGAAAAGTCCAAGGATGCCAAAGTCTGGGTTGAGGACAAGGCTCATGACGCTGAGAAGGTGGTCGAGGATGTCTCTGCAAAGGCCACGGATGCAGCCAAAAAGACTAAGGATTGGGTGGAGGAAAAGCAGACCCAAGTCGACAAGAAGCTGGAGGCGTCGGTCAAGGATGCAGACGAATGGTGGAAGACCCAAGCTGCTGCGGAGGAGGAGAGGAACAAGGAATTTTTAGCTGCCGAGAAGAAGAGGGCCGAGAGGGCTTGGTTCCATCGTCGTTCTGAAGGCAAGGCTTTAACATCTCCATCAGCTGAGCATCATGATGATGAACATCCCCACAAGCGTTGGTGGTCCAGTCGTAAGGGTGCTGCCGGTGCAGTCGACACCGCCACAGCCTACACCACCAGCGACAGCTACATGGATGGTATTTTGGACACGAAAGACATTGCCGAACACGGGTCCTCAAACCGCTTCGACAAGGCCGAAGACGACCAGACCTCTGATCGTTATCACCCCTACCATCCTCGCACATGGGCCGAAGGAGATGCGTACTTGCTTGTTCGTCCCCGCGAGTCCGAATACTGGTCTAACGGCGAGGAAATGGGCACTGCTAATGTCCGGGATGTCGATTATTATACATATCCTGGCAGCTTTGCCGGAAGCTCCCTTGGTCGTTCATCTTGGTGGAGTCACCGCGCCTCCGAGAGTGAGCAGGCAATGTCATCCCTCAAGGACAAGGCAGAGTCGCTCGCCTGGGAAACCAAGCAGGCAGCCGAGAGAGCCGCTCTGGATTTCGCCAACCAGCTCGCCCACGAGCAGGCTGCACTCGAAAAGGCCGCCGAACAAGCCAGGCTTCGTGCTGAGGAAGCCGCTCGTCGAGCCAGGGCACAGAGCGAGATCCTCCTCCGCGAGCGTCAGGCAGCCGTCGAGAGAGCTGCCAAGGAGATGGAGGCCCGGTTCGCAGCTCAGCAGTTGGCGGCTGAACGTGCAGCAGCCGATGTCAAGGCTAAGGCTCAAGCCTGGGAGGAAGAGCAGCGTCTCTTGGCCCAGCAGGCCGCCAAGGCTGTCGAGGAACGTCTCGCCCTTGAAAAGGTGGCTGCAGAGAAGACCGCTGCCCAGCTTAAGGCTCGTGCTGAAGATTGGGCGCGTCTGCAGAAGGAGCAAGCCGAGCATGCTGCCAAGGAGATCCATAGCCGCGTCCTTCATGAGACTGCCACAGCAGATAAGAATGCCAAGGAGACCAAAGCAGCCCTCGAGGCCAGAATCCAGGCGGAAAAGATCGAGGTCGAACACAAGGCTCGCGAGCTTGAAGAGAGAATTCGTTTGGAAAGGATCAACGAGGAGAAGGTGCAGGCAGAGCTGCGCTCACGCGCCGAAGCCATGGCCAAGAAGGCTGACCGAATCGCAACAGAGAAGGCTCAGGAGGCCGCGCTGGAGGCCAAACGTCGCGCTGAGGCTGCAGAACTCGCAAGGAAGCGCCACGCCGAGCTCGCTGCCAGGGAGATCGAGCATATGAAGGAGATTGAAAAGGCAGAAGCTATCGCTCGTGAGGCTAAGGCTCGCGCCGAGTCTCTATTGCAAGAGAAGAAGAAAGCTGGTGAGCGTGCTTTAAAGGACCTGGAGGAGCGCCTTGCTACTGAGCGCAATGCAGCTGTTTCCCGCGAGGTCAATGCCCATGCTGATTCCCTGGCTGTCGAGAAGAGATTGACGGAAAGTCGCGCTGCGCGGGAGCTCCAGCAGAAGCATGTGCTGGAGCAGGCTGAGGCTGCTGCTCGCGATGCACGCGCCCGTGCCGATGCGTTGATCAAGGAGAAGAAGGTTATTGTTGAGAGCGCGTCCAGGGAGTTGCAGCAGAAACTGTCGCTCGAGAAGGCCGAGGCAACTGCTCTGGAGGCGAAGCGCCGTGCTGAGGCACTCTTAGCTGAGACGAAGCGCGCTGTTGAGAAAGAGGCCAAGTCTTCTTGGGGCTGGATCTGGCCATGGTCGTCGTCCTCGTCCTCTCCATCGGACGCTTCGGTCGAGGGTACAGCGAGTACCGGAAGCCTCAAGGAGCACGTTGTCGAGGATATCAAGCAGACCAAAGACGATATTCAGAGTGGTCTTTCACACATGAAAGAAACCGTCAGTGGTGGTTTCCCCACCCGAGCCAACGCAAGCAAGCAGTCTGACAAGGACACTGCCGCGACCGGCTCTACTGAACGCCGCTCATGGTGGTCTTCTGGTTCGTCATCTTCGGCTGCTCCCGACAAGGCTAGCGAGCTCGGACGCAACGTCGAGGCCGCCGCCATCAAGGCCGAGAAGGATGTCAAGGCGCGCGCCTCACAGGTTGGAAAGGACGTGAACGAGACTGCCAAGAAGGCTTACGACAATGTCGTCGATGCAGCCTCGACCGTTCAAGACCAGCGCTCTACTGTCCACGCAGCAGCACACGGTCATGAGCACCAGGGCCAAGCAACCACAGATGATCACCACCACCTGATGGATCACATCCGCGAGGATCTCCGCCAGACCAAGGAGGATATCCAGCATGGCGTTGAGCACTTGAAGGAGACCGTGTTTGGAGCCGAGCATGCTGCTGAAAAGGCCACGGAGCAGGCTAAGGGATGGTGGGGCTACAAGACTAAGGAGGCCGGAAAGAAGCTTGATAGTGCACAGGGGGAAGTGAATGCCGGCCTGAACAAGGCCGGAGAGAAGCTGCGCGAGATGGACCGCGAGGCCCGTGACTCTGACGCGGAGTTCTGGTTCAAGACGGAGCAGAAGCAGCAGCAGCAGCAGCAGCAGCGCGAGCGCCGTGAATCTGGACGCGCAATGTAGTATCTAATTTTGGCACTATATTAGAAATAAATGCGGGGTGACTGTGTGCACTCAGAACATATGCTCGTTCGTTCGTTCATTTCATTTCGTTCATTTCGTTCATTCCACTTGCACGACCCAACTCAACAGATCTTTCAATCAAACACATTGGACAATGGCCAACAGCAACAACAAGCGATCCTTTGTCGTCAGCGACTCGGACGACGGCAACGATAGCGACGCAGATTTCACCCCCAAGGTCTGTCTTACTGGATAGGGCGAGGACCCGTTTCTTCATTGCTGCCTCGCAAGCCTGCTGACTACCGTCCCCACAACTCTGTGCGTAACGCACTAGAATGGAAAGGCAAACCCATCAGCGTACGAAATCATTGACGATGGCGAGAGCGAAGCTGAGGAGCCCAAAATCGCCACGGAGATGGAGGGAAGTGTACAGAAGAAAGTCAAGGTCCAGAAGGTAGCCCGACCTGTTTCATCATTCCGCCTTGTACCTAATATCCTTTTCTCAAAGCATCTAAAACTTATTGTTGTCCTGGATACTGAACTCTTTAGACATCGGCTGCAAAGCAGAACAGCGAGGGCGAGACATTCTTCGAGGTACGCAGGTTGACTGTTCTATTCAAGGCATCCTTCCTCAACCAACCAAGCGGTCTTAATATCAGTCCCACCGACTTGATCTCATCTCAACTCATCTCTATGCTTGTCCCACAACAATTCAATAGCTCGGCCCAAAGAAGCGACTGACAGTCCGGTCATGGCAGAAGAATACTTTGATCGATTTCCGGGAATATTACACCGACAAGGGAGGTGAATCCAAACCCGGAAAAAAGGGCATCTCCCTGACCACGGAACAGTTTCAATACATTCTCGATCACGCTTCCGAGATCAATAGGGCTATCAAGTCCATTCAATCCTGAGTAAACCAAGCAGAGCCGAACTAGGAGCCTCCTGCCTGCATCGAGTACAGTAGAAAGTAGCAACCTTACTTGATGGCAGTTGCTAATGAAGGGATCTCGTTTGCGATCTTGATCAAAGATTCCAAGCATGGATCCATACAGGGTGAACATCAAGCCATTGTTATCCCTACATCCATCGATTGCATATCAAATGAACAAAACAAAAGTTCTTTATGTCAAGCTGAGAGGAAACAAGAAAAAGTTCAGTGCTATGCATGCATGTTGAAAACATAAAAAGGTCGAGGTCGAAGTTGCATGGTGGTGAGAGTGTTGGTATGCATGATATGCCACCACGCCAACGACAGAGACAAGAGAGGGATGAAATATACACCGCAGCGACAGTTCGAAGAAAAGAGAATCAAAGAGTTGTCGATGATGCGTTCCTACGCAGACGCCTCAACAGGGGTCTCCTTTGGTGCTGCTGACGACTTGGTAGCAGCGGCGGCCTCCTTCTTCGACTTTGCAGCCTTGTTCTGTTCCTTGCGCTGATCACGAAGGGCCTGCTTGCGAGCCTCCTCCTCCTTCCTGACGGCGAGTTCCTTCTGCAACTGCTTTGTCTTCTCATGCATGACCTATAAACATTGCCAACGAAAAGAAAGAAGAAAAAAAGCGAGCAAAGCAAATTAGTTGATGAAGCTTCATATCACTAAAGAATACCAATTGGAAACACAGCCCAGATCCTTACCATTTCGCTGGCAGTCTGGAGAATAGTCTGACCCCAACCCTCCTTAAAAGTATTCGCCTCCTCAATAACAGCCATGATCTCCGCCTCAAGTTCCTTTTCCGAGAGAGTGAACTGGGTCCAGATATCGTCACCGACGGTGCCCTGTTTGACGAGATTGGCAAGGACCTGCTTATCCTCACGCATAGACAAAACGCGGACTACGTCCTCCATGGCCCGACGGAGCAGGGCTGCTGTCAATTGGGGTTCGGTCGCCTCGGGTTCCGTCTGTTGGAGGAGGGCGATGTATTGGTTGCGGGCAACGTGTTCACCGAACCAGGGCTCTGCGTCGTTGATGGCTAAAGACAGACGAAACAAAGTGTCAGTTGCGTGTGTGGCCAGTTTATTGTTTTCCTACGTCGCCCCTTTTATCATTTTCGCCTCTTCATTTAGTCAGGATGAGGAAGGAGTCATCTCGATCACCGGCCTGTCCATCCACTTCTGTTGTTGCTGCTGCTGCTGCTGTTGTTGTTGTTGTCACTGCTGCTGTTGTATGTGTACGCAAAAGTGAAAGGGCTCACTCACCCAGCTTTCTATTCTTCCAAAAGTATCCAAAGACGCGCATGGAGAGGATCCATCCTCCGATGTAGATGATTGCGAGCCAGACTGATCCCATCCTTGAAGAGCGATGACTGTATGTGTTGCGAGGTGGTGTTGAGAGATTCGGGGAGAAGAAAGGAGAGGGTGAGCAAAGGAGTGAACAGGGACCAGAATAGCACTGGTCTCCTAATGAAATATGCATTGTCGGAATTTGATTGGCTGCCTTGGATTTTATTACTTTTGCTCCACGTCTGCACAGTCTGTGGATAGAACTGGGCAGCTCTATCTTACATTGGCAGCTATGCGGCATGCGTGTCGAGGGAGAAGTATGTGGCCCTAGTTGATCTTGGTCGCCTTGAACCTCAAGCGCACATACATGATATACCAAACGCCCTCATCCTGCGAGAACCTCAAGTTGCTCTGCACCTCCTCCAAAATCTCCTGTCTCTGCTTCTCATCGCCCTCAAATGGCTTGAAGAACATGAACCCGAAGGTATCACACCATCCCGCCACATCCGTCGACAAGGCCGTGTACCTCGGGATCAACTCGATCGAATCCACCTTGAACCCATTTTCCTCCAACATACGCGCATAGGTCTTGGCGCCAGGAAAAAACCAAGGATCATAAGGCTCCGGATCAACACCGCGTTTTCTCAAGGCCGCGTGGAGTTGTGAACGTACTTCAGCTACGTTCATATGGCCACCCATCTCAGCGACGAATCGGCCCTGAGGCTTGAGGCACTTGTTCACGCCCTGGATGACGCGCACAGGGTCCTTCTTCATCCAGTGCAAGGCTACAATATCATGTCGTTTCGAAAAAATAAAGACGAACAGTCAGCGAGAAATTGCATCGACAGAACACATTTCAAGCGCACCTCTTACAAACTCACCGGCGTTCGAAAAGACAGCATCGAACTGCCCATTCGCCAACGGATGCTCGATCAGATCATGGCCATCGACGACTTGAGCGTCTTTGCAACCAATCTTCGTCGCGGCCGCAATCATTTCCGCACTCGAATCAATCGCGACCACAGACTTGCATCGCTTCTCGAGATCGATCGTCAAGACGCCATCGCCAGCACCGAGATCGAGGATGTGTTCGTTCGGCTGGGGGTCCAAGAGTTTGAGGACGGGCGCGCCGAGCACGGGGACGAAGGACGCGTTCTTGGCGTACTTTTGAGACGACCAGCTGTCCTTGGTTTCGGTACCAGCGGCGGCGGCGACGGAAGTGGAGGGCACTGAGGGACTTGGCTCGGTCATGGTTTCTTGGGGAAGGTACTGGGAGCGGGTGTTTAGTGTGTTGTTGTATTTGTGAGGTATATGGGGATGAAGCGTGTGTGTGTTTGAGGAGAAGAGGGATGGGCTGGCCGGGTATACTCCTTTTATATGTTCCGGTGGAAACCTTAACGTGAGTCAGGTCTGTCTAAGCACCTTTATCGCGTCTGCTCTGTCCGCAGTCGTTTGTTGATGCGAGTACAATATGAAGAATATGAAGGAGGACACAAGTGGGAGTGGCTCATGGGGGTCTAGAATCAATGGTCGACCCGGTGATTGCTCATAACTGTCAGAGATACAGATAACAATTGTGTACAGCAGTAGCCATGTGTCATTTCCGGCCTAGACATCCCAGGAGATACGTCTGTAGTCTGCTTGGACAGATGGAGGTCTTATGGGGTATGTACGAGACTTGTAAGTCGATCGTGGCTCAGGTACAGCGCCAGCCCTCAGTTGGCGCGTTGTGGCAGCATCAGTCGTCTCCATTTCCACGGCCATAAGAGTCCTTTCGTAGTACCCACAGACACATGGACTACCAAAGACTATGCTACTACTACTACTACTACTACTACTACTACTACTACTACTACTACTACTACTACTACTACTACTACTACTACTACTACTACTACCACTACTCTGCGATGGAGGGGTGGATGATTGGACAGGCTAAGAATAAGGAGAACCCAATTGGTCAGTACACGACAAAAGAGGTCGAGGAGTGGAATTTGGTGGCGCTGGAAAAGAAGGAAACGACAGGAGCGTGGGAAGTTTCGAGGCCTGACAGGCTGCAGAGACGAGTGCGATTGTAGTCTATCGTATCCTCTTTTCTCAGCGCAGCACATGTCATGGAGCCCACAGCCGCACTCGCAGATACTAAATGCCGTTCTCCACCTTTCTACTGTGCACTGCGGGCTGAGGATGGAGGGGATATGGCCATAAAATGAGAAGGGACCCTCGCATTCTTTGGCGGGTACTTTTACACAACCTTCTTTTCACAACACTTCATCTCTCATCCCCTCCTGCTCGCTCATCCACTCATTCACACTCCACCTTCATCCCGAAAATGACATTGCTCTCCTCGGAACTGCCCACTGCATCTAACCCTGGCCCCTTTGGCCGCAAGCAGCTCCAGAACTTCCTCTTTCCCGAGGGGTTCACCCAGTACAACCATGGCTCCTTTGGTAAGGCACACCCTCTGCCACCATTTAATTTTTTTTCTTCTGCGATCTCAGGCACACACAACACATAACATTTACTCTATATGGAACCAATGGCTTATGTTTCCTCCATCCTCAATGACTAAACTACTCCAGGGGCATTCCCAAAGGTCGTTCAGGACGATATGTTTGCCTGGCACAACCGCGCTGAGCGCGACATCGGTAAGCTCCGCTCTACCTCTCCTTTGTTCGCACCACCAAGATTTGTTCGGTTGGAAATGGATACATAGTGACTCATGAGCAACTGACAATCACTCTCTCTTCCTTCAGACCGCTGGATGCGTCGCGACTTGAAGAACGCGCTCACAGACACCCGCGCCAAAATTTCAGACCTCATCCAATGCGACAAGGACGAGCTCGCTCTTGTGGCCAATACCACCGTAGGCGTCAACACCGTCCTCCGTTCGCTGCAGTTCCAGCCCGGCGACAGGATCCTCCAGCTCTCGACCGGCTACATCTCTGTCGACAAAACTGTCCGCTATATCTGCGATACACACGAGGATGTCAAGATTATCGAGGTTCCCATCACGTTCCCTATAACGGACAAGGAGCTGATTGACAAAGTTGAGGATGCTGTCAAGACTCACCAGCGACTCAAGGACGGATCCAGAATTCGACTGGCCATGGTCGATTGGATCTCGAGTGTGCCCGCGATCTTGCATCCTGTAAAGCAGCTGGTCGAGTTGCTGCAGAGCTATGGGATCTTGGTCTATGTCGATGGCGCGCATTCGATCGGACAGGTTCATGTTGACCTTGGGGATCTCCGCCCAGACTTTTACATTACCAACTGCCACAAAGTAAACCAGAGATAGATCTGACTTCATTGTTGATTTCTTGACTAGAGCAAGATCCAGAGTATTCACTCTTTTATTTGCTCTTCGAAATAGTGGCTCTTCAGCGTCCGTGGTTCTGCTGTGCTGTATGTACCTAAGCGCCACCAGCATTTGATCCACCCAACTGCTATCACAAGTGACTACAAGACCGGCTTTGAGAACGAGTTTGCCTGGTCCGGCACCCAGGATTACTCCTCGCTCATGTCCATCGGTGCAGCCATTCATTTCCGTAAGCAGTACGGCGAAGATGCTATCATCTCCTACACACATTCACTGGCTCTGGAGGCCGGAAAGGTCATGGCCAAGATTCTCAACACCAACACCATGACCCCCGAAGACCACCAGGTTGCCAACATGGTCAATATCCGTCTGCCGATCAAAAATCCGAATCATCCAAAGGTCAATCCTCAGTACTTTATGGAGACCTTGATGGACCGCTTTGGCGTATTTACCCCAGCATTTAAGCATGGCGAGCATTGGTGGACTCGCATCTCTGCACAGATCTATCTCGAGGTCGAGGACTTCGTGCGTCTGGGTAATATTTGGAAAGAGGTCATTGACGAGATCAATGCTGAGTAGAAGATATAAATACCCCGATCATTGCTGCAGAGCATCTATAAATGAACTCGTATACAATATATCCAAATGCGTGTGAAAGGTTGTTTTATATGATGTCGCGTTGTGAGTTACGGCCAAGCGTCTTTTCCCTTGTTTCCAACGTCTTGAGGACTTTTTTTTTTCTCAGCGAACTGTTACGCCCGGATTTTTCTCACCTCATTCTCACTCACGCCATTGCTGATACAGACTGACTCTTTGAAGCCTAACGCTCTTCACTTTTCATTCTCTTTGTATTGGGCACCTTTCTAACTGCTTCTCGTTGGCATTTCTTTTTCTGCAATGACATTTCAGGATGAGCTCGTCCACTTGGCTTGGGAAGACGATGATTCCCTCGCCGATGAGGACTTTTGCAGCCAACGTGGCCATTCGGGGTACTATTGAGGATATTATATGCCCGGTATCCCTGATGCCTCCCCCATCCACCCAGGACCCTCAAGCATCGACCACGACCGAGCACTCCATCGAGAGAGCCACAACTGCAAGTCAAGACTCAGTTATCGAGGGCACGTCTTCCGAGTACGAGTCCCAGACGAGTCGCATGAGCTCGGACTTCTCTAGCAGCGCGAGTTCGGACTCTTCTAGCCGTACGACTTCTCGCTCCGCCCGTTCAGGCCACTCCGGTGCATTTAGCTCCAGTCGCTCGTATCGAAGTGACACCCCCCACCCCGCCGCCCTGCCAGGTCCTGTCGCCCCGTCTCGCTCCCCCCGTGCTATTCGACCCACTTCGCTGTCGGCTCAGGATACCGTCGTACGACCCAAGCCGAATGGCTTCAAGGTAGCTGTATCCCCGAATGAGCACAAGAAGCTCAAGATCAAGGTCGAAGCCTCTGACAAAACAGAGAGCATCAAGATGTCATTCCATTTCAAGTAAACCCCTACATCCTGCGTTCCTTCTTTCTCTCCTCTCTTTGTAGTGACTTTACCGTATTTATATTTCATTTCTCACATTGCATAGTTCATAACATCTGGGGTTATCATGAGGAGGTCAATAAATGACTTGATATAATGGAACGAGTTGAAATGAAGTGAAATGGGCAGCGCTCTGGCGGCCTCTGAAGGCATGGAAACGAAGGCAGGTTGGGGTTTGAAAGCACTCGTGGAGCTATACGCTGTGTAGGCCGAGATGGTGTCGACATGCCTATATGCATAAAAAGAAAAAGAGGGCAGCTTTATACTCTTGAAGCGCGACGAACATCCCTTCTTCTGATGTATACTCAGCTCCATCACTCTCGAACCATGCTTGCACCTTGCGCTGGACTGATATGGCTGCCAACGACTTTGCTATCCATAGGTTCCAGAGGATCAGGACATAGCACCTCTTTTCGATCTACTTCAATCTAGACTGGAGAACGAAGATGAACCATGGAATAGATGAAGGATCAGTGCGTGACATGAGTATGAGTCAAGAGTAAGAGCAACCTGGCATAACACATGGTCATGGACCTGATTGCCAAGAGAAAATATTTGTATTGCGTGCTGCGCCCAAGAGTGAAAACAGCCAATCAGACGGCAGGATAAAGGTAATATGTACTTTCATCGCTCGCTAGGCTCAGCAGCCCCGCCCTGACCGGCCCTTCGCAGCACAGCGACAATCGTACCGACCGACTCTTTCAGTCGCCCTGGAGCCGCAGCATCAGGAAAAAAAAAAAAAAAAAAAAAAAAAAAAAAACTCCAGCAACAGCAACAGCGCAAGTCCTACGACCTGCTCATTCAGTCTACTACAGCTCCGACTATACATCGTCTGGAAAAGTCTGATCGTCTTATTGGGTTTAGGAGGTTGCACTAGGCAAGAGTGTCACGATCGAGAACTGTTTGGCAATGACGCTTTCCTCATCGTCATCTCCACCTTCAGGATGTCCACTTGGAGGAAGGAGGGGGTGGGAGGGCTGGATCCCCTGCACCGATAACAACGATTAGTACGGGAGGAACTTTGCCAACAAGGACATCGTCATCGGGCCGGGAAGTCCTTCACCGATAAAGTCAAATCCAAACCGAAGAGGCAGATTGACGGTGGAATTGAGGCGAGAGGATACTGTGAGGTGGGTTACGTTGTGTGTATTTGCATCCACCATCGGCCAGTTGCTCTGCTTTTAGAGTATGTTTGCTTACGACCGAACATTATCTTGCCCAAGGCTAGCCATATCCATTGATACAGAGCACTTTTTTTACTATTGTCTTCCCAGAAGAACAGAATAACTAGAAAGTATTTTTTCGGCAGCTTCCCAAGGGCAACAGAAAGGTGGCGTCAGAAGGAAGTATTGGATGGACAGCGGTCGGTACCCAGAATATATTGATGTGCTCGATGGTCCCCTCTTTCCAAAAATGGACTCCGTACTCAACCCGTGTTTCTCTGATAGCAAATACGATCTCTTCGGCTTCTATTCGTAACACCTTGTGCTTGCTGCGTTGGTCGCGAAAGACCGGAGACCCATTCCTTTCAGCTTCATCCCTTTTTCGAATCAACCACCCACAAAACCATCAACCATGTCTGACAACGCCGAGATCAAGATCGAGACCGGTACCGTAGATTGTCCTCAACTCAATCAGCGCCCTTCTTATTCCTCTTATTCCTTTTCCTTCTAATCCTCGCTTTACTGGCGAGAGATTGGATGTGTGGTTTATGTCTTGTAGCTCAAGGATCTGCCTATAACCCATACATCCGGAACGGACGGAGATAAACATATCCACACTTTTGAAAACGACCCTGCAACAGGATACACATGGACCAGCGCGTTTTTCTTTTTCGCCCGCACTTCTTTCTATCGCTCAATTGATCGATCCTTACTCGTCCGGGCTGTTCTTTGGATATAATAAACGCGGATCGCGTCTGGCCTGGCACTAATATTTTTTTTTTTTTATCCGCGTCTGAAATAGCCCCCTTCGACGCTCGTTTCCCCAACACCAACCAGAGCAAGCACTGCTGGCAGGCGTACGGCGACTACTACAAGTGCATCAACGCCCGTGGCGAGGAGTTCACTCCCTGCCAAGAGTTCAAGAAGGTCTTCAAGAGCATCTGCCCCAACTCCTGGGTATGTACTTTACTGCTTACTTTTTGATCTGTTTCCTCTTTGGAACTACTCTTTCATCCTTGCTCTGGATACCTTATCGGAACTCGGAATCATTTTTCAAGTGCCGTTTTTCATTGTGTGGATCCTAGATCTTGCCAGACTAATTTATGGTATCTGGTCCTCTCTAATGCTTCATGATAATAGGTCGAGAAGTGGGATGAGCAGCGTGAGGAGGGCACCCTCCCCTTCAAGGTCACTGTTTAAACAATAAAAACGCTTGACGTGATCGATTGCGCCCATACGCCCTCAAAAAGCCGAAAGCCGATATATATATATCTCTTGTCTCAACACTCTACTCTCAACTCAACTACAACCACTCGCCCATCCATACTAGAAAGACAAATGCAGCCGTCGCTTGCTTCGCCAAATAACATTCAATGAAGGAGAAAATAAGAAAGGAAAAGAATAGGAAAGAGAAAGAAAAATAGAGTGGAAGTTTAAATAGAAGAGGGATAGTATGGATTCTTCTTTTGTTTTCAGGTTGCATCTGTTGTTTTTTTGTCTTTTGTCGAGCAACTTTTGCATCAAACAATACAACGGATTCTTTTGAAGAACAAGAGAGGATAAGTCGTATAGAGAACCCCTTCATGGCATGTATCGTGCATGAGCCGTGCATGTCATCCCAGCAATGCATAGCAAGGAAGCAAGGACATATCTGGGGCTAGATATAGTCGACAGTTATCCAGCAATGCTGTCCTGCTTGATCATTTATCGTTCATACACCAAGTCGAACGCATGCGATTGACTTTTTTCTTTCACTGCCTGGCAACATTCTGTCTCGATTTTGAAATGCAGATGTCTGTGCACTCGACGTATATACTTCTTTTATGAAAGCTCGCCATGAGGGTGAGTGACATGCATTGTGTATATGAAAATGGCACATGAAGAGTATATTTTGACTACGTTTCTCAGTCGCATATGCCTTTCTATGAGAATAAGACGCTACTGAATCAACTACACTAAGGCATAACAGATTCAGGAACGGAAAAGCTCTCGTTCGCCTGTTTGATGCTGGTAGCCTTGTTGCATGTCTATACCAAGGATTTGAGTGAAAAACGTTGCTCGCCTTGAAACGATTGCGGCAATGCTCTGGACGTGGACCTTCCATGAGCCTTATCCTCATCCAATTATTGTCTCTCTCACTTTCGTACTTGGGAAAGTGGGGTGTATGCCGAGTAAAGAAAGAGATGTTTATTGGGAAGAGGCATATGCTCTTTAATGCGATGTATTCTAACTTGCGTTGGACCATGGTCATGTTTCTTCCCAAAGGCTGCGTCAGAGTTGAGCAGCAGCACTCCTAGCCCTGCATTGCTCTCCATTACGACTCAGACCTATCGAGACCGGAACGCTCAACCAATAAAAAGAATCCCATTAGGTCCTGTGAGTGTCATTATACAAATCATGCGAGACTTTGGTACGAATTAAATGAGAGAGGGACCACTCCCCATCACCATGATTTTCTTTTGTCAGTAACGAGAGATCCATGGCTATGGGAAGAAACAAGCAAAGATCAAGTTTATCACGAACAAGGCGCAGCGCTCTATTGTTTCCCCCAAGAAGCGTGGCTAGGCATCACACCAGCTCTTAACCAATGCGAACTGACTTTCACAAAGTTACCCCAGCCCCATGACCAGTAGCGATGGGAACCCCATCAAGTCTTTAGTGTCAGAAAAACGAATGCGCGGAAAAGAGAAAGACCAGCGGATTTAATCTGAAAGTGAATCTATCAGGGACCACCCCCCATCACCATGGTTCTCTCTTGTCATTAACGAAAGACCCAAGGCTTGGGAAGAGCGGAGCAGCGCATCATGGTGACGAATGACACAGTGTTCCTTATATATGCTCCTCCTAGAAACGTGGCTAGGCATCACATCAGCTCTTAACCAATGCGAATTGCCTTTCACAAAGTTACCCCAGCCCCATAACCAGTAGCGATGGGAACCCCGTCATCCCATCATCTATGAAAATCGCAATCATTTTTGTACAATCCTCCTCCTCAAGCTTGTGAGAAACATTCTTACCATTGAACAGCGAACATCAAGGATCCGTAATGGTTAAAAAGAAAAGAGGAAGAGTCCTTATATAATGAATCATATATCCCTTGTCCTGAGGCCTATTCAACAGCGAATTGACCCAATTCGAATTTAAAATCGAGGCTGATATGATTGGCTATTCGTTACACACTTTACGCGCCCACGGTCAGGGCACAGAGCCACTTCTCTGTGTCTTCTCAAAAAAGAGTGTATTATTGGTTGAACCTTACGTTTGAAAACAACATCACGGATTCGAAGTGAGTGGCTTGCTGATAAAATTAGCCAAATGGACAATAGGATACCTCGAAAGCCAATTCGAATTGGCCTCAGAATTCATCCCACATGTGGGATGAATTTTTAAAGTTTACATAGGTCCTACGACTTCCTCTGATGTGACATGTTGAAGAGGTTCACACTCTTCCTTTGCTCTTCATCAACGAGCGACACAATGAACAACAACCAGGAACGCCACATCGCAGACACCTCGCCTCAGGAATACCATCTTCGGCTTTGGACAAAGTTAGCAGACCCTCTGGACGCCAAAGTTTTAGATTATATATGGACATCCATATTCATGCGGAGAGACTCCGTATCTTTGATGCTGTGGTGACCGACGTAAGTGGGTTTGATATATTAAAGTCGACGCCAAGTAAGGTTTCGTTCATGCACTTACTTTACCGCATTTGATGGATTCAAACCTTCATCTAGCGCGAGCATGTGGCGTCGCTTAGAGCGATGGAGAATCACGTAGTCGCTGAAGAACAGACACAGAGCATCGTGAATGACGCCAAACGGAGAATGCAGGAGCAAACGAAGAGTACCAGTCCTAAGAAGCGTGCCACGAAGCCAACCAAACCACCAACTTCCGCGCTGTCGTCCTTCTCGTCAGCACCACAGCCCATGACCGGTAATATGCAGGTTACAGCAGCAGCGGCAGAAGCACGGAAGGTAGTCAGCCCGAAGATACCGTCTGAGAACACTTTCTAAAGGCATTTTATCATCCGACTGAACAATATCAACCATCCTTATGACCATCTTCTTTGCAATAGCCCATTTTGTTAATCTCTAGCAAAGATTTACACTCTCTGGAAGGAACCAAACATGCACAGGAGGAAGGTACGTCCGCTAATGATTTCCCAAGCCAAATTTTCGTGCTCTTTTAGTACGCGCTCATGTAACCTTTCCGCCAAGCCAATAGTAGTAAACCGATGGAGACAGGAAAACAGGGTGTTAGAGCGATTCCCTGCTCACAGCCAAGACATTGACAACCTGACAACAGGAAACTTTGTGGCGGCACCCTCAGCAGCATCATCATCATCGTCGTTAAGAGCGACTCCTGGAGGTGCAGCATTAGTCCCAGAGTCGCCATTCGAAGCCGAACCAGGCGAGATAATGAATGTGTAACATTTGACTTTGCTTGGTGATCGGGTCAACTGCCGCGGTCGCGCTAGACAAGCCACGTTGCGATTTGTACTGCATCGTGAACTGATCTGTGCACCTTCCGCTAGCCGCGAAATGAAGACGTCAACGTTGTGACCTTGGCCGCAATTGGAAAAGTGTTCGAGGCTCAAGATTTCGACTTTACTGGGTCGATTGGTGCCATTAATCTTGGAGCTGAATTCAATGGCTATTTCAGAAAGAGCAGCGGGCAGAAATACGACAAGAGATTTTTCCCAGACTTTCTGTAAGTGAACAAGTTACTTTTGCCAGTCAGTTCTGAGCGTTACCAACTAAACTAACGTCGCTTGTGCATTGTCATTTTCAAGGCGGTGAACGGTATCCTATCCTTACGGGATCTAACACAGCTGCAAGAAGAGTGCTTCGGCCAATTTTACGAAAAAATTCTAAAAGCAGTGAATGCAGACATCCCGGAGCCACAAGAGGATGCAGTTATGGAGTCTCTTCGCGAATCTCGAAAATGTAAAGATGTATGTTGGTTTCTTCGGGTTTGCTTGCTCAAAATGAATTTTTGGTTCTGCAGCACTGACTTTAGTCTTTTGTTTGGCATAGGCTTATGAGCTTAAGCTTTGTAAGGTTCGCGACGTTGGCCTGGCTCGTAGTGCGTTGCAGGCGGCGGTGAAAGAAGCGAAAAAGTCGTCCCTGAAACGACGGATGTGAAAACTTGAGCAGTACCAAGACAAATCCCGTCTCGGAGGCTGATCAGATCTCCTCATTCATTTTGCCAATGCTGGCATGCATCATGACTAGGCCGGATGAATGTCGACTTGCACAGTAAGTGCGTTGATGGTCACATATGTAGCCAGCGAATTTTTATCAACCATTTTGTGGCCTCGAGTGTCAAAAAGTGGAACTTCCGGTGTTGCCAGTAATGTTTTAATGATGCCATTAACATAACTACCACCATAGCACCGCCACCTCGCCAACATCTGGAAGTGTCTTTGTGGCAAAACATAACAAAAGCCTTGATATTGGCTTTGGAAAAGTTTCGTTTGCCCGCGATGTTGCCAAAGATACTGGAGACATTTGCAGACTGGCCATATGGGCCAAACGCGTGTTAGACCAGCTAGGCCAACAGTATTCAGGAATGGAGGAGGCCTGCGTGCCGTTCTTCCAAATCGTGTCCACCAAGTGCATCATCTATCAAATGAGGCGCGTCGGCACAATTTGTGTCGCTGTACAAGTGGGCGAGATGGAGATTGTCCAAGATCTTCCTGAACTGCTATTGTTCGAGCCCCATGTGTTTACCTGGCTTGCCTTGGACTTCACCTTCACCAGGTTGCTACAGAACACTAACACGGTGACCAAGAACAAGAGAACGTCCTTACCTGGCCTCTATTATCATGGCCTGTGCAACCCATCGACCAGAAAAATGGCGAAGGTCTGAAAAGTCTCGGCTCTTCGTAAATAGTGGCGACTAAGCTGCTTAGAGTGAGGGCGTCAACGTCGCCGCGTCATTAGTATTTTTTTCTGCGAATCCATCCGTAGAGCGATGTTGAGGCTGACAGCAGGGTCTACGAGTTGAGTTGGCCAAACCAGATTAGACGTTTTTCTATTTAATCATTCAAAAAAGTAAAGTTAACCTGGAGAATGGATTTCAAGGATGGTGTGGACAGCATTCGCTGCTGGCTGCTTGGGGATATCTTGGAGAGTCGTCTCAGCGGTTCAACTCCGTCTTTAAACGATGTAGTTTACAGAGATAAGCGTGTCCTCACCCACATTGCTGGTTGGAATGGAAACTCTCCAGAGGGCGTACAGTCGCAAGTTCTATTTTGCAACTTGCGGTTGAAGCAGTCAAGTATTCAGTCCAATTGGATAATTTATTTGAACAGTTCACTTCCCCAAAACAACGCGCTCTGGCCACACAGCCCCAGCCCCAGCCCCAGCCCCAGCCCCTAGTCCACTAAAAACCAAATGTCCTGGCTCTGACACCTAATTCTTTTCAAAGTATCATGCAGAGCAACAGCATAACCCATTTGTACCCCATGTCGCCATATCAAGAACATTAGATATGCGCCCTTACACAGCCGTCCGCATACTCAAGGAGGAAGACAAAATTCATCAAGCAATGGCGATATGGCCGCTTTCGGGAACGATTGCATCCACAATTGCTGTGTCCAGGTTTCAACCCTGTTTGAGTACCGAAAGATTCATTTACAGGCTCTGGGAGTCAATACAATGGTGGATCAAATCAATCGCGCTTCAGGAAGAGGTCATGGAGCGGAATGCAGGAAACGAAGAAGACATTACCAGTCAGAAGGGCTTCTCTGTCCTGAGCTGCCTCAGTATAATCCATAGTGAAGGGCCCTCACAAGCGAGCTTTGAATTCGTCCTCAAGGTAATGGGTCGCGAGGAATACAAGGGAACGTTACCATCACTCAAGGAGAATGATTTCGCGGATGAGGACAGTTTCGATAATGATATGATGGATGGCGATGACAACTCTGATGCTGATTACGAGGACACGGAACTAGTTACCGATGGTCAAGAGATGCAGGTAGTCAAACCTGTTCTCCGCGGCCGCACTGTGGATAAGATGTTATATTGAGAGCTAACCTTCGGGCAGCTCTTGATACGATGGAATTCTTTATTGATTTGCATGGGCTAAGGAACATATAAACATGAACATGCCTAAATAAATATTCAATTGGACTGAATCCTTGGCTGCTTCTCCAACGAGTTGCGAAATAGAACTTGCGTTCGAGTGCGACTGAACAGTAGTAGGTCAACAGCCAACCAATCTTAACGTTTCCTTATGGGCTGGTAAAATTGGCGAGGACGCGCAGAAACGTAGAGAACATGATGGCCAGCAAAGGAGGTGGGAACGATTAGAGTACGGTAGAACGCAAAGGCTCCAAGGATCCAAGCATGCCTTTCCAAAAAAATAAAATAAAATAAAATAAGGAAGAATGCAAGTGCAAGACATGACAGCAGCATATGATAGATTGATGCAAGGAGCGGATTAGGACAAAAATGCGAATGGCATAGAGAAGGATGGTTGGCCAGGTACGCGTGCTTCTTTGGGTTAGAATTGATAGAATTGATGTCTACAAGAAGAGAGAGGGCAGGCATTAAAGAGCTTGATGCGTACAGCGAGCGGGGTGTAGGCATTGAAGAGATGTCATTAGCCAGAGAGAGATATATGATCCTTTATAATAATGGGGGTTTTCAGGTACGGCAGGGTAAAATACGAAAAGGAGGCAACTTCCCAGCAACAATGGGGCTCAGTTCCGGCACGTCGCCTTCTGCGGATGTACATCTGGGTAGTGCTGCTACCGACTGGATGTCATCAGCTTATCTTTAAAACTGTAAACGAAGTGGATCCTTCTTCACATCAGACCACTCGAAACTCGGCCATAAACAAACGTTGACGCTGTCTTTGTCTTTGGACGCGTTCTTCTATTTGTGAATAGAATGTGTTGTATTGTATGTGCACTAGTATCTCTCTCGATTTCGTGGAAGAGAAGCAAGGAGAGATTGTCATGGGCGCCCAAAAATAATCAAAATCAAACAGGTGAGCTCGCACTTTTGTAATAAAGTTACTGGCATTGGGCCAAGCAGATTCTGCCTGTTGTGTGGATACGGATTGTTGCCGAAGATATGCACGTAAAATAATAGATTTGAACCTTTGCATGGACATGCATGGTGCATCAGATGAGATGGATGACCATGCAGAATATGTACATATATATATTTTAAGCAATATATGCTACGTAAGAATAAGGCCGGAGGACTTCCAGGGGCAGGGCAGGGGGCAGGGACCATGGATCAGGGATCAGGGACCAGGGGCAGGACAAGGACGCTGTGCAGCGGAGCAGGTATTGAGCTGCACTTGATTCTCAGGTGATAGTTATGGCCATGATCCAGCTTTCTCTTTATTTTTGCAGGGTCCAGGAAGGAAAGCGAAGAAGGAGAGGTATCTTTTGATGGGTGTCAAAGTCGAATCCGTCAAAGACTGATAATGACAATGGTGATACGGATGGTTGATGGGCAACTTAAAAAATGAATGAAGGGGGCTATTTTTTTTTTTTTTTTTTTTTTTTGGGTGGGTTGAAACGGGCTGCGACCGATGATCGATCCCCACTAGTTTTCTACCCCACAACTTACAAAAAAAAAAAAAAAAAAAGGTACGGTCAGGCACAACAACTGCATTCTTTCGTCCTGTGAAATACAGTGTTGTTGTTGTTGTTGTTACTGCTGTTGTTGTCATTGTTGTCGTTGTTGTTACTGCTGCGACTCATGTTCCTGTGATGGATCGGAAACAGGAGCAGAAGGACGGATGTTTGTGCGTCCGTTGTCATGTCGGTGGGGTGTCATCATGTTCGCCCTCCTTGCTGCTGTTTATCACATACACCCAAAGATGGGCGAGGCGAAATGAAGCAGTGAACAACTGCGGCCATGGTCACCCGGACAGTGCATGTGGCCGTTCATGTTCCCATATTTCTATTTTTTCTAATTAATAATGTATGTTCGTGAGTGAATGAAGGAATGAACGTGGATGTGGGGGTGTATGTGTATTACAAGTAGTTCAGGCGGTTGTCCACCCCCAAAAAGAAGAATGCGTCCCTTTTTTATTTTTTATTTTTATTTTAATTAGCCTTACTCTTTCTACTCTCTACTTCACACCTCCACCTCGTCCCTTCGAACCCTCTGCTTCCTTTTCTCTACTTCCTCCTTGTTCCCTCGCTCATTAGCCTCGCGCTTCTCATTCTTAATCTCGCTCGCATTCTCATTCTCATTCTCATCTCCTTTGGACAAAGCCCTGTTCCAAACACCCCTTTCCTATTCTATCACTTGGCCATCCCAACAGGAACGCGATCCTTTATTCTTTAATCATCCTCAACTGCCTCTCCTGATCCATTGGACACGCTCCTGCTTCTCCAACAGGCTCCGTCTTCACGCGTGGAAAGAGGGGTCATTTACTGCAGCATCACTGATATCCCCTTCGTCAATCCGTTCGCCCTTTGTCCGATCGTCTTTCGTTCCTTCTTTTCTACCTCCTCGAAATAACCCTCTTTTTACCCGTCGGTCCGTTATTTTTATTTTATCACATCCTCTCTCAAGCACATCCTACCTTCACACGCCCTTTTAAAATGAGTTCCTCGCCTACCACCTCAACAACGTCTGCTCAAGCACCGTCCCTCCTTCGGATCTCACCCCAGACATTCCAGTTCACAGGTACGGAGACCAATTATTCTCCTCGGCAATCATTGCCCCAGTAACACCAACACTGAACCAGAAATGCAGCGCCCGGGGGCGATGTAGCATCGAGTATATGTGTTATATGTGCGCGGTAGCAGCAGGACTGGTCCTTGTGTGTGAGGGAGTGGGATGCTGTACCCTCTTTTCAATTTTAGGGGTGGGCGCGGAGAAAGAGAGTCGACGTAGTCCACCTATCCTTCGACCCATGCTGTAATATATTCGCCTCGTGCAAACATCTCCCTTTTATCACCTTCATGGGAATGAGAGTGGGCGGGTGGTATTTTTTCTTCTTCTTCGGGTATTCATTTTGTGCAGAAAAGTTCTGTGCTCAACGATGTGTACGACCCCAAAATGCGCTCGATGGAACGTTGGTGCCAATAATTGTGCATACAGATCCATGTTTCCCGGCTTCCAATGCGGACTGGTACCACACTGGCTCCCTTATTGGTTGGGGGTATGCAACCCACTTCTCTGTTTGTCATCTGCTCCAACCTGCATAACCAAGACGGACGAATGACAGAGCCAGAACGCACGCACACGAGAATGAAAGGAAAAAAAACACGTATACATGCACGGTCAGTTCGCTAGTTGGCTGGGTCGGCTCTGTTGGGCATAGCCATTTCTTGGGGTCGTTGTTTTGGGCGGGAAATCTGAAAAGAGTGTTGGTAATCTTTTTACCATATCGAGCGAATTCCGCTTACCAGGCCTTTTTTTGTCATTCCTCACTTGAAAAGAATGATCGAACGAGTGTGTGGGTACGCAGGGGAGGATATGGCCAAAGCTCTTCAACGTACTATGTTTTGCGGACTCATGAACCATTGTCCATGCTTTACTTCAATTAGCTTCCAAGGTCTCCTCGGGGTTGGTTTCAAAGCTCAAGGTCAGGAACATGCTGCAAACACCGGTCGGATACAAGTTCAAAACCAATGCCCCTCTCAGGTATTCCGTGAAACCCGTCCTCGGAGTGCTTGCACCCGGACAATCCATCGAAGTTTTTGGTAACTTGACCGGACTTGAGCGGATGGACTGATTTTCTATCTGCCAACCATACAACCGTTCTTAATCGCCAGCGCCTTTTATTGATTCCTTTCCTGCAGTTCGATGCGAGAGCTGGGTCAATCCTCAAGATCGATTCTTGCTGCAGAGCGTAGCCCTGGGGGAAGAAGAAAGCCTGCAGATCGATGCTGTTTCTGTAAGTTGTCTTTCTCGCCGCAATTTCTTGGCCTTGTATAAAGTGCATCCCTTTAACGCACCATTCTACCTTTTTTTTTCTTTTCTATGTCCATAGTGGAGAGAACTCGATCGCAGAAGAATTATCGAAAACTTCATTCAATGCTCATCGTCATCGTCCCTAATAATGCGGGATCCTCAGGACGATATGGGATCTCTATCCTCGACCTCAACGTCTTCATCAACGCGGTCCTCTCTAGTTTCATCCGCAGCATCGTCTTCAGATAAGGCGCTCCGACAACAACGACTGCACCAGCAACAGCAGCCACAGCATGTACAGTCTCAGAGCCATGGACAGAGAGTCGCTGTAGCACATGTCCATGCGGCAGGCAGAAAGATGTCGACCAGTTCCGCTGCCTCGTCCATAGCCTCATCCCCTGGGTCTTATCCAACCATGTTCCCGCCAAAGGGCGCATCAGCACCCTCACGGTTATCAACCTCAGCTTCTTCCAAAGGCGCTGCTCCAGGTAGCGGCATCAGTCCTATGGCCATCATTACCACACCTGCGAGCTACCTGGCCACGAAATTCAGCAGCTCAAATCAGACCTTCAGAACGGTCTCACGTTTCCTGGCAGTGCGGCACTACACAAAAATGCAGGTCTTTACGGTCTCGGTCGTATGTCTCATGCTTGGCCTGCTCTTGCCGCTCGAGAAGCTTTTCTTCTTTGCCAATGGCCACACCTCCATCGGCACCGCCACGACGCAGTTCAGAGCTGGTTTCGTTGGTCAAAAAGCTGTGTTTGCGGCATCATCATCGTCATCATCGTCGTCATCAAGAGTTTTGCCTATCCTAGTAACGACTACACAGGCAGGCTCTGGTGGCGAGACCAAGAACGCTGGTTCCCCAGATTTGTCCAAGATGAATGAGATTGTGCTGGAGCAAACCTCTTCGAAGGATACGCGGCAGGATGAACCGATTGTTCTGCCTATCGTCGAGGTCGAAGGCGCTCTTTAGACATCGCCTTTCTTTTTTTCTTCTTCATTATTGTTATTAATTCCTTTGTATTTGTATAATAAACATCTATCGACTGGTCCATTTTGTATATGTAAATACGGCAAGAAAAAGACGCGTTGAATAATAAGAACAAGAACGCTAGTGGACTAGCAGATAAAAAGGGCTTACTAGCTATGCTGTAAGCAGCAGTAGACGCGTGCTGAAGGCTATCTGAAAGATCGAAGTAACGGCGCTACAGGTGCTACAGCTATGCCGTTCGGCAAGCACCAGTCGACAAACAATTTTTTTGAATCATCTGAATCATATCGCACTGCACTGGTGTTATTATTTTGTTTCTTTATTCGCATTCGTAATTATGTTATGTTCTTGTTCCCATGTCCATTTTGTCACTGTACGCGTAAGCACTCCACTTAGTGGTCCTCACCAATCTTGGGGGCCAAGTAGTAGCGAATGTATCCAGCCTCCATTTTGTACTCGACCAATAGAGGCACCTCGCTCGACATCGACAACGAAACACGGCTCGACAATGCAGTCGCCTTTGCGAACCCAACAAGGTACTTGAGCGAGAAGTTCAGCGACACGTTCTGTTGGAGCTCGATCAAGGTCGCCTCATCCTCCTTGTCGACATTAGCATTCTGCTTCAACGTCACAGCACCGGAACCGAGTTCACCCTTGGCCGCAAACTTGATACCCTCCTTGGTCACATCGATCTGGACAGAATCCGAGAGTACCTGAAGGTCTCTGCAAATGCGTGCAAACTCGTTTGACGACATCTGCACAACGGCGTCGTAGGTCGTTTCGGGGATACCCAAGTGCTCACTGTCAATATCCATCAGCTTGAGCTCGTATTCCGAGATCCTGTCGTTCTCTGTCAGGGTAATTGAACCAAAAAACAAAAAAAAAAGGCAGCGGTATTGTTAATAACACAAATTCAATCTAAATGTCAGTTGTTACCCCAGTACACACTGCGGCACAAAATGGATCTCATACATACCGCTGTTTTCAAAGGTCAAGCTGAGGACATCTGCAGTATCATCAGCCTTGAGTGTGATAATATCATCGTTTCCTGCGCAACGCAAAACCTTGGTCAAGGAACCAAGGTTGACGCCAAGGGCGAGCGAGCGATCGCATCTGTAGGGCTCAAATCCATCGTGGCGGAGCAAAAGCGCGACTAGCGCAACATGGGAGTTGTCCATCGCCTGAAGAGCGATACCGTTGTCGGAGCAGTCAAAGTTTGCATCCGTGATCAAGTCTTTAACTGCCTCAAGGACCTATCAAAGAGCCGAGAGTGTTAAGGACGTGTTTTGAAGAAGCGACTGTTGATAACGCGCCCTTTTTTCACGAGTTTCTCACGACGCGTTAAAAAAAGTATCCATTGAATCCTGTAGGAGTTTTTTTCGAACAGCTATGTAGCGTGGTAATGAAGCCATCCTATTTGTCGACTCAGTCGAAAAGGGTTTTCCCAAGTCTTTGCCTTCGCAAAAAAATAACAACAAACAGGGGAAACAGGGGTGAATCGACATCTCCACGCGCTTCAGCTGAATGAGAATCTCACCTTCTTGAGGAGGGCACCGGTGGGGAGTCTGGCTTCGAGCATTTTGAATAGCTGTATATGCGTATGGGGTCAAGGGAGAGATGGGATTGGATGCAGAGACGAGGGATGAAAAAGAACAGAGGAGGAGGAGGAGCGAGATTCAGTTGGCCCTTTATTTGGAGGAGAGGAAACACGTCCACACGCACAAGAAAATCAAAACAAACAAAAGCGCGTATGCGACGCTTAAATGAGGATACCCCTTAAATGCCGCCAAAATGAACTCCTTCGAAACCACGCGATAGTAACTAAGGACTACCACGCGTGTCGGCGAAACAGCAACAGCAATTGCACTGAGACAATACGATGCCAGAAACTGGCCACCGCAACAGCCCGTAGTAACCAACGCTAAAATAGGAGCCATTGTCACCCATACACGCAACCATTGTAGATATCAGAGCATGATACCAATTGAAATGCAGTACTAAAGACTGGGTGTATCTATACAGCAGTAGTGTTATCTGGTACAGCAGCCGGCGGATCTGAAGGTGTATTCAACGCAAGCGAACTCTCCGTCAACGTATTCTCTCCCTTGCTCTCCACTTTCCCCTCCTCGCTCGTGGATACCGTCGTTACCGAAGGCTTTCCCGGCGCCTCGCCCTCCAATGGTTTCCTGAACTTGCCCTGTAACCAAACCCTATACATCTTCACTTTCCTCAACCGGTTAACTATCAGCCTTCTATCCACTGCATTCTGTTCAATCGTGAACTTTGATCCAAACAACCTGACGATCTCCTCAGAGTCGAAAAAGTACACCCGGGTGCCATCTCCGCGAACATAAAAGTTGTCAGACAAAAGTCGGCTCTTCTTGAACCGCAACTGGGCCATATCGTAACGGCCATAGTCCCGGAACACGATCAGTCCCCCGGGCTTCAGCAGCTATGTCAAAAAAAAAAAAAAAAAAAAAAAAAAAAAGACGAGATCGAAAGGATCAGAACGTGCATATCATAAGCCCTGAATGATTGACGATGAGCTCCCTGTGTACTTGTTTCAAGTATATACCTTATAGAGATTGCTCATGGCCTGGTCCCATTTATCCGGATGAAGTGCAGACAGGACAAAGATCAACACAAGCACATCCATTGACTCCGGCTCGACCTCCGGAGGGATATCATCGCTCGCTAAATCCCATACAAAGGCCTTGCAACGCTTCTCGTTATAGTTCGGGTTATTCCTTACAACCTCCACAGCCGTGGAAGAAAAGTCACAGCCGTAGACAAATAACTCCGGGTTCTTACTCTCAAGTAACATCGGGAACATTGTGTTTCCTGCTCCACATCCAATCTCCAACACATTCTTCTTTCCCGCCTATCCGTACAATGAAGATCATGCAAGTAAAAAGATCGTGTTAAACGATGCTATACCCTGCGCCCCTCCCGTGTGACAATTGAATTAATACACGACGAATAACGATGAACGAGCTCTCCCTACGTCAGCTTCGACCATTCGAAAGAGCTCTGGAAACTCGATGCGTAGCCAATGACGGTCCTTGAAGAACCGGTTTTCGTTCTTCGCATAGAATTTGTTCCAGTTCTCGGCCGCCTCCGCATGGTACGTAGGTACCAATTCTTCCGGAACCGGGTCCTGCCGTTGACGCTCAATCTCCTTCATCGCGTGTTGCTCCTGTTCTTCTCCCCACGGCGCGTGATCCCTATTATGATACAGACGGCGCAGAAAAAATATACAAAGAACATTTGTTCAGGTTAGATAGTACCCCCTGCAGGACTCTCTTACTCGCCCTGCATCCCTCGCAATGCTTGCTTTAGTTACCATGCGTTCTGTTCAAACACGGCAGATTCGTCCGTCAGGATCCGACCCCCAAATGGTTTCGAATCCGGTGTATTCACATCCCTCGAGCTTGATTCTTTCTTTTTGTGGTTGTCGCTGCTTGCTTTATCCTTAACCTCCTCTTTCTCCTCCTTCACATCCTTGGCATCAGTCTGATCTACTATATTTTCCTGCACTCGTTCTATCTCCTGCTTCTTGCTCGACTGCCTGTCCTCCTCAGCCGCTAATTCTGAAAAACGCCTTTTGTTGGAAGTCTCGGTCTCGGTGGCGATATCGCTTTTCAATTGCTCCTCCTTCTGGTAGTCCTTATCGGCGCCCTCGATTCGTTCCATGGTTGAGATGACTGAAGTGTAGAGCGAATGGTGTGGCAATGTTGAAGCGCCCCAACTTATTTTATTTGGATCAAGCACAGTCACTGTTTTGGCATACAATATGGACCATGGTACCAGAACGCTGAACGTACCATCTCCTCATATCCACCAAAGATGTTGTCCTTTATTCGCACAATTGCCCTCTCACTCACTCACTCACACACCCCAAAAAAAAAAAAAAAAAATCCTTGAAGGTTTATTCATTTTTTCGCCAAAAGTACTGTAATGCCTCTATGCGCGCGCTTCTATATTTCTCGCTGGATCTGCTGCTCAATATTGTATCCTGAATCGTTTATGCAATTCGTCCTCAGTTTTCTGCGCACTCTGAACATTTTTCCGCCGCGACATACTGTGTTTCTCCTCCGCCATGACAACTTTAGTGGTGGGCATCGATAGGCTCCTGAAGGAATCGAGGTTGAATGAAGAGAAAAGAAACAAGAATATGAGTATCGTAATTGTAAGGCGTAATAAGCAGGCAACATGCCCATACGTTGGCCAATGGCTTCTTACAGCAGTGGGAGGGTGGAGATTGCGCTCAAACTTGGAGCCACCAGGGGCAGTGGGGTCTATTGATATCGTTCAGTTGAGAATACGCAAAGCTAATGTCAGGATTGCATCCTAAAAGAAGTCAAGCCCGGCCTATCCAGGTCAATGCATTCCTGTGCAATACCCGCGCGCAACCAAATAACCGCGACCAAGTGCAACCATGACAGGCACCTGACGCCCTCTATCCCCTGAGAGTGTTATCCATACTGTATAATTAACAAAGTAATGCCGTAGTTGCATTTACTTGGCCCCGGAATAACAAAAACGTTCCCGAACCGCGTTGCATCCCGTCATGTCCTGTCTGGTGCTTGAGCACGCTCCTTTTTGATCCCGAATTCAGCTTTTTCCTTTTACATCTCCTAGAGCCTTACAAATATAGGGATCAGGATGTCTCAGCTCAGTCAACTGACGTTCAGCATCCTGGATGACTTGGGCGATCTGACGAGGCTGACGGATGTTCTTGTTAGCCTCAAACTGCATGCGGAGCTCAACGGCTTTTCTGCGGAAGAGGTTCGAGTCGATGTACCAGTCCTGCGCTGTTTTGAGCGAACGCCTGTATAGCGACTGGACCAAGCGGCGATGAGCGATCTGTGCCTCAGACATGATGATGGATAGATGGGGTTTGTGGAGTGGAGTGATGAGTGTTTGAACTATGAGGAGACTTCGGAGTAGTGGTGTTGGTCGCGATCATTTTGGGATCCATTTCCGGATGGCTTAGTTTATGAAAGTCATTTTGGGGGTAAAAGTCCCAAGTACAACACAGACATCGTATGCTATCACAACCAAAACGGAGCAGGACGAGAACAAGGACAAGAACATAAGATGACATCAATGACGGTACCCGTGGTGCTGGCACCCGCGAACTTGACGAAGTCCTTGAAGATCATCCTCGACAACACTGGACACCGTGACAAGACCCGGCTTATAGCCCGCTATAACCGCGTTCTGTCCACACAGACGGGGTCTGATCCTCAGGGCAAGGCTACATTGGACCAGGACGGATACGACCTGTCTTCATATATGGCCATGGCACTTTTACCCATCGATATTCATCTGCAACTTCAGAGCAATGGCGATACACAACGGATATCACTGTGGCAGATACTCCAGGACCCAGCATCATCACCACTGTCGTCCCTTGAATGGCCAGCACCAATATCCGATCCAACAATTCAAAAGTCCATCTTCCTCACCTGGATGCAGTCTTCCGCCTTCACAATGCCCAAGCATCTTCTCACCCAAACACCTCTCGAAAATCTACAGCATAACATCGCCACCTTTCTCCTCCCGTTCCTCAGATCTTGGGCTTCTTCCTCTAACAGCGACGCCGGCGACCAAGATCAAGATCTCCTCTCACCGGACACCTTGCCTCAATTGATCGCCTCCATCCCCCAGAAATGGGAGCACTACTCGGATTTCACACTACTCCCATCAAACGCCTTCCTTATAGCACCTTGGCCTACGGTCCTAAAGTGCCTTGTATTACTGGATCGAGCACAAGGCTATAAGAACAATTTCATGCAACAATGGGACCAACTGATCCAAGAGGCTCTACACTCAACTCATATCGCCCGCAAGGCTGCCATTCCCGTCCAAGATATCCTCCGCCGACCTAAGATCCGACCGCTCACAGGCGACTGGGGCTTACATAACCGTTACAAATCCTGGATCGAGCACGACCTCACACTTTTGGAGCACCAGCACATCCCCACCACTGAATCCGCTAACGGCCATGATGACACCATCCTCACCCACGAGCAAGATACCACCTCCCTCACTCGATCCAATATCTCTCAAACCTACTGGTCAGGAACCTGTCAAAATCATGTCCACTACCGCTGGTCTCCGATGTTCACCATGTTCTCTGCCGGCAATATCACTGAAAAGGAACGCATCGCCAACTCAAAGTCAATCTTTGACGCCCGGGACAAGGTCGTCGTCGACCTCTACGCTGGGATAGGATATTTCTCCCTCGTCTACCTCGTCCATGCAGGTGCGAAAATCGTCCACGCATGTGAATGGAACCCCTGGAGCGTCGAAGGTCTCTTACAGGGTGCGGACAGAAACCACATCTCTTGGAAGGCCTATCAAGGACCCGCTGTCGCTCGATCCTTGTACAGCAGCAGCAGCACACCTCAGGAGTTAGAGCAACAGCCGCCGTTCAGAGAGAAAGATCACCCACAGCCGACTCCCGGCAAGAAGCCAAAGAACTTTGGTAAATTAATCGTCTACCCAGGAGACAACGCCCAATGGATCACATTCTTTGAAAACCAAGCCCATCACGTCAACCTCGGCTTGATCCCTTCCGCAGAACCAGGTTGGGTTCTGGGTGTAAGAGCCCTATGCTCAAATGAGGGCGGCTACTTGCATATTCACCATAACATCCGCGTCGGCGAGGAAGAAACTTTCAAGACCTATCTCCTCCAATCTTTACGGGAACTGTTTGCGCAATGGAAGCGGTGCGAGCCTTGGTCATCCTCTTCTCCATCATCGCCAGGTACCAATGCTGACTGTTACAGACCATGGTCGATCGATATTAGGCACATGGAAAACGTCAAAAGTTTTGCTCCCTTGGTCTTCCATTACGTCCTCGATATCGAGTGCCGACCACCTTCCCATGGCGTTACGGATGCATCGTGTATTAGCGCTTGATATTGTTGCTTTATTCCAAGTGAATGTAATATATAATATACAGGTGTCGAGACGATGAGGAAGGAAAATAAAAAGAAAGAAGAAAAAGAAAAAGAAAAAAAGAAAGTACGAGCCTATTCACCTCAACATGAAACCAGTCGGTACTTATAGCTTCTTCGCCTTCTTGGCCAAAGGCCCATCCAACCCATCCGCTCCATCTATCGACATCGACCTTGACCTCGCATTTGACACCGGCGACCCGTCCGTCGACGATGAAGCCGGCGTCAACACCGGTGTAGCCGCCGTTGTTCTCAAATTCGATCCCGGCGGCGCAAGACCCTTCACCATTGCCTCAGTCGACGAAGATGCCATCGTCACATTCTGCCCCTTCGCTAATGGACTCGGTTGATGCACACGCGCTAGCTCGCGCTCGCGTGGGATCGGCCAAGCAAACGCCGAACTGGGTTGTGCACTCGTAGGCGTCTGACCAAATACAATCGGACTCAGTTCTGCTTGCGAGGCATAAAACTCAGGATAGAACGTCGAAGGCGACGGCAGGTTCTTTGCAAACTGTGAAGGAAGGGTCGAAGACATTGGCGCCGATTCAAACGGACGCTTTTGGATCTATACATTTGCACATTTATATGATCAGGCGGTAGAATGATTAGCAAGGAAATAGGAACCGCAAAGTACGAGTCATACAACGACAAGGTTAAGCATCGGTACTTACAGGTGGCAACTCGCTGGACTCTTCCGTCTTGATCATGGCGCCCGTTAACGTCGTGTTCTCAGTTTTGATGATTGCGTCTGCCAACGTAGTACTGTCCTTGCCCTCCATTGGGATCTGCACACGAAGTTTCGGCTTCTTGATTCCGTTCGTAGGACTAAGCACCGGCGACGAAGCTCCTGCAACTGACACCATCGACGTTGATGTGGCAGTACTGATCATAATTGTCGACCCATCCGTCACTGTCATCGGCGTGCTATCTTCTGGCATGGATGAATGACTCCCCTTCATAATATTGTTGTGACCCAACAGCGGTGAGGATGACTGAGAAATATCTGGAGTTTGTTGCTGCTGCGGCTGTGACGTCTGCTGGTACTGCTGCTGCTGTTGTTGCGGCTGGTGCTGGAACTGCTGCACTGGCTGTGGCAAAAGCTGTTGCTGTTGCATAGGCATCGACATCGGTGTTGACATTGGGATCTGAAGTGTCTGTCCGTTCTGGGGTTGAGATAGAGCCCGGTTCATAAACATTGGCGAGGGTGATTGGAACTGCTGTGATTGGTATGGTCTCCCCTGTGGAGGAATCTATTTGCCACGAAGAAATGTTACGATTAGCATATGCATCCCATATCCTTATTGTCGCACCTTCATATACCATACGCTAGACCATGGGCATACCTGATGCATCGGCTGTGGGCTCATACTCATCTGAGGCTGCTGAAAGGGCTGAAACTGTTGCTGTTGTTGATGTTGTTGCTGTTGCTGTTGTTGTTGCAGCTGTAACTGCTGTTGCTGCTGCTGAAATTGCTGCTGCTGCTGCTGCTGGAGCTGCTGTTGTTGTTGTTGCTGTTGTTGCTGTTGCTGTTGCTGTTGATGCTGTTGTTGTTGTTGTTGTTGTTGAAAGAATAACTGCTGCTGTTGCTGTTGCTGTTGCTGGTTAGCATATTGTTGCTGGTGCTGGTGTTGCTGCTGCCTATATTGCTGATCTAGTGGTGCCTGCTGATACTGAAATGCATCGTACTGCTGTGGGTGAACAACCACGTTCGGCGGCATCTGATACGGACTCCTTGGCATATGTGTTGGCATCGAAGGCGGCGTGTGCGCCAGACTGGGCGGATGTGAGGGCGGCGTCTGCAGTGTGGCCTGGCCAGGGGTGTGATGTGCCGAGGTCTTTGCCATCGATTGTGGTTGGGGCGTCACGGACATGATACTCCTGTCATCACCACCTCCCGACAGGCCATCCTCGTCCTCTTCCTCTTCCTTGTTTTCGGTTGCGGTCAAAAACTCCTTGTTCGTATACGTCTCGCATGAATCATTGTACTAGATGGAAAAATAGGAAACAAGGCCGGAAAAGGGATCAAACACCGGATTAGTAACTCGCGATATGCGCCATATATTCAGTCGCAGGAGAGACCACGATCGGCGACACAAAAGAAGCAGCGGCCACGTGCACTTGTGCGCCCCTTGGATGACCCGTGGGATGTCCATTCAAACCAAGCGGAGCATCTATTTAGGCACAGTACCTCGGTGTATCGGAGGAGGATCGAGTCGATGTCGTGGGACGAATACTGGACCAGCTTGTTGTTCGAGTTGAAAATGATAAGACCGATCTGGCAGTCGCAGAGCACACTGAGCTCCATCGCCTTCTTCATCAATCCAAAGCGTCGCTTTTGGAACGTAACCTGATAGTCAAAAAGAAGTTCTCTTGCTGATTAGATATCGTTCTGCAAGCAGTGATTTCGACTCGAATAAGGACACCGCCTTTTACAAAGATCGGGCGCCATAGAAAACTCATAGAAATATATATAAACACGCAACTCTCTCTCTCACACTTTCACACCCACAACCAAAGTAGAAGTACAAAGGAGTACTTGGACCAAGTTGAATGAAGTTAGTGCTGTCCCCACACACACCAAGAAGGGCCCTGACCTGACGGCGTAGTTCTCATTCATTTCCTTAATCCCCCTCCTGCTATTTTTAAAAACAAGAGTGTGGTCGAGAAATAGATAGTGAACGGTGAACAAGGATAAAAAAAGAAGAACAGAAAAAAAAGGAATATGACATTCTTCGAATCGTTGCATCGGATCCATCTCCAACCTCTCCTCTTCTCCACTTCTTCACATCCGTCCCCTTTTCTCAGCTCTTGTCCTACTGGTTTTCCACACGTCGCTCTGTTTTTACCACCGCCTTTTGTTCACTCGGTTAGTCTCACTCTTTTTTTCTTTTTTTTTTGCACATCTCACACTCGCACACTCTGTGTTACCCCTCCTCTGCTAGCCCCAACTAGAAAAGAAAAGGCTTTGTACCTGGCGGTTACGCTCGTCCATGATGGTCTTGATTTGAATCTTTTTACGTCCCATGGTGTCGTGTCAGGGATGCTGCTTTAGATTGGAAAACTGGGTAGAACGATGACTCGAAGGTCGATCCTGAGGGAAAAAGCTGGTTTGCGGGCTGAATCCAAGATTCGAAGTTGGAACTAATGGGCGAATAAAAGGGCGCTGTAGTCAAACAGCAGAATGCACGGCGGTCTGTTGAGTGAGTAGTATTGAGAAGAAGCAGTTGTGATAATAACAATAAAATGACTTTTTATCTTTTATCTTTTTTCAAACAACGAACAAAAAAAAAAAAAAGCAGGTTCGTGTGGAGCTGTAAAAAGGGGGTGACTGCAACGAAGAAGGGAAAAAAGAAAAAAGAATAGGCAACGAAGAAAGGATATGCAAGAGAAAGAGACGATCGTTCTGGTGGTGCAAAGTATAAAGGAACCTCAATGCTTCATGGGTCTAGAGAAAGTGAAGCGAGTTTGTTTGTTGTCTGTATGTGAGTAGGTGTATGATATGTGTGTTCAAGCTTTGCGCCGAGGTCCGCCCACTTGAACAGAGTCCGTCCGTAAGTTCAGTGCCCTTTGTGGCCTTGCGACCTCTGTGCGAGCTAAGAGAGGGGGGTCCGTGTCACGTGCGGTGCCTATTTTTATCGCTTCCTGTGAGCAGCCGTTTTATTTTTGGAAACACCACAGTTTCATTTCATTCGATTCGGCCTTTTCTTTCGTTGAAGGAACGCTTTCATGATTTTTGAATCGTATTCCGCATACATTCAACCTCTTATCCCTTATCCTCGCTTGATTGGCCCCCTCACAATTAGCGAACATGCTGTGTGCCCAACAAAGTCCGCATACGCTGCTCTTTAGTCTATGCAGAGCAGGAATGATCTTCGACAAGGTTCTCGATGACCATTGATGTCACCCCCTGAACTGTGTTGCTCCCAGGTTAATATCACGGGTCCCCAGGGAGCCGATAGATGGTGCGCGAACGATACTCAGCGGACCCCCTCCCTCCCCCTTCAATACATTCTTTGGCATAAAGTCGACCTCCCAAGACAAATCCTTTGGGATCCAGTTATGGATTTATTGGAATAGTACGGCGAAGAGGAAAGATGCAGAAATGAGCTAGAAATGTATGAACAAAAGTTGGTTTCCTATGTACAATGAAGAAAAAAGGGATGAAAAGGCTTCTTTGTGTTGTCAAGAGACAAATATGAACAAAAATGCAATGCCATAGGTCGACACTACTTCGCAACCGTCATGGCCCTGCGCTTGAAGTCATCGACCTTGGCCAGCAGCTGTTCCACGCGGCCGATCAGCTCCTTACGCCTCTTGCGGATTGAGCCATTGCCACCACTCTCGACAGCGTCAATTTTCAGCATTGCCTTGATCAGATTCTCCTCCGTCATCAGGACCTTCTTCCTGTTCGAAATCTTGCCTGTGACAATCTGATCCAGCTCCTGAGACAACTCTCCAAGATTGACTTCGATCTCTGAGAGTTCTTGCTCGCTCTTTTGCAGCAGCTCGGGGTACACAGGTAGGGCCTCCTCTTCAGATACCTCGGTCTCGTCGTGTTCTCCTTGTCCCTCTGCTTCTTGCGACTCGCTTGACTCGGTGGGTTCGTGCGTGGACCTTGAAGAAGGCTGCCTGAATGTCGGAACTGTGGAGGCAGGTTCAATATCCATAGGCTTCTCGGGTTCAGAGGCCAGGTCGCCAAATGCGGCCTCAACCAGCGACTCCATGTCATCGTCCTCAGGGGCTGCAGCCTCTGTTTGAGCTGGGGCATGAACTTGGGATGATGGGACTTGGTGAGCAGCCTGTGTCTCGCTTTTTCGGCGGCGTCTACCGCTCCTCTTGGAGCCGTGCGCATGTTGCTGACCAAGACGCAATTGCTGTTGTTCCTGTGTTGATTGCTGTTGATACTGTTTTTGTGGTTGCTGCCGCTGCCGCTGCTGTTGTGGCTGTGCTTGTGCTTGCTGCTGCTGGCGCTGCTGTTGTGGCTGTGCTTGTGCTTGCTGCTGCTGATGGCGACGCTGATGCTGGTGCTTTTGCTGTTGCTGGTGCTTGTTCTGCTGCTGTGGATTCTGCTGAGAATGCTGATGACGATGGCGATGGTCTTTGGACTCAAGCTCCTCGGGCTGGTCCTCTTCATCCTCTTCATCCTCTTCCTCCTTTTCCTCCTCATCCTCCCCCCTTTCCTCTTCTTCATCGACATCATCCTGATACTGTTGTCGTTGTTGTCGCCCTTGCTGCAGTTGCTGCCGTTTCAAAGCAGCTTCCTGTCGCTGATTCTCGCGCTGCTGTGCCAATTGCTGCTCCCGCAGTTTTTGCTCTCTGAGCTGTCGCTGCTTGTAAGAGCTTGGAGTGCCATATTGGGGCTGGACTGACTCATCCTCGGCGTTGTTCTGGAAGAAGGGATCGACGAAGAGCGAGTCCGAGAAGGATGGAAAGAAGTTTTGCCGGTCTTGGCGACGGCGAGTGTTCTGGTGCAGTCGTGGATCTTGGAAGATGGAATACATGGCTGTAAAGAGAAGCGTCGGGCACGGGTGTGCGCGATGGTGGGAGTGGAAGCGGGCGAGGGTGATGGTGGGAGCGGAAGCGGGTGGGGGTGATGGGAAAAAAAGATGGAAAATGGTGTCAGACCATGAAAGCACTGCTTGCTGATATAGGCAGCCAAGCGCGTCTCTAGGTCTCACTAGAATGACCAGTAATCGCCCAGAACCCACTCGAAGTTTGTGGTCTCTTCTGGCCCGGATCTTATTGGCCGCCACTAAAAAAGAAATCGGCAGAACGCGTTTCCGGCATTATGACGAATCGATGATGTATATTATTGACTTTATAGGCTTATTATATGTATATAGTGCCGTCTCTAAAGCGGATGTCTACTGTCTGTCATTGCCGCCGCTGCTGCTGCTGTTGATGGATCAGATTGGTGAATGCCCAGTGGCTCGTTCTGCTGGAGAGGAGGATCCTCAGTGACGACAGACCGCATCTCTGCTCCACTATCTTCGGTTGCCATGGCTGCCTCCTTTTCCGCATCAGCTACCTTCCGTTGCCGCCGCTCCTCCTTTTTCTGAATGTGTGGTCGTGTATCAGGTCCATCGCCCCAAGGATGTGTCAGATCACGGAGTCGACCCTTGTCTTCGATATAGCGCTCAAAAACATAGGTCCAGATATAAAAGTTTCCGCCCGCAATGTAAAATGCAACCAAGACATCGACGGTATAATGAGCGCGGTTCGCAAGGACAATGACAGCTGATCCGATACAGAGGGCCCAGACGAAAATCAAACAGATCCAAGCTAGCCAGCGAAAGCGGTGTGGGAATCGATGATAGCCATGACTCGTCCAGACTAACGCCGAGATGACAAAGATGATGGTATGTCCACTAAACATGCAGTCGCCACATCGATGGAGTGTGAAGGTTGTAAAGAATTCGCCGACAGAGTGTATGCAGCCGTCGCGTGGATCGGGGAAAGAGGTGATGGCGACGGTGGTGATGCGCATGAGGTTGCAGAGTGCCCAGGTCAGGAGGACCTTAGAGAGGAGATAGAGGGGCCGGTAATGGGTCAGGACCAAGAGGACAGTTGGAACGAACATCAAAGCATCTGCAAGATCCGTCAGCCAGAGCAAGTGTATGGATGGAATTGCCTCAAACAGTCGATCTGAGAGCTTGGGCGTCTCAGTATTGTCCGGCGAGAGATACGATGCAACATTTGCCATGACATTCTATATAGACGCGTTGAGAGTAAGAGAAGCAGTGGCAGGTGTTAGGGGACTGGTATACAATGTGATGCGATGCGTGCCAGGGACGGCGGCATTAATGTTGAGGAACCGGGGTTGAGGGTTACCATAAAATACATTGTGAGACCAAAGATGACAATCACCAGCAGGGTGCAGCCTATGGATTGGCGAGTGAGCTTGTATCGCCGGAAGAAGGCCCTCTTCAGTCTCTCCATCATTGCAGGTGCCATGGAGCTGTAAGCAGGGAGGGGGAGGATGGGAAGAGAGGGGGAAGAGGGAGAAGAGAGAGAAAGAGAAAGAGAGTGTGTGTGAGAGAGAGAGATCAAGAGTGCAAGAGAAAGAAGGGGAGAGAAAGAGAGAGAGAGAAAGAAAGAGAAAGAGACATTTGTGTTCCTGGATAGGCGAAGCTTAGTGCCGGTGGATGACATCTTGAAGCATGCGGTATGCATGCGGTATGAGCTGGTGCAGTGCAGTCGGTCTGGCTGTGTGCAGTATACTTGAGAGCGACTACCAGGAGGATCCTCTTCATCGTCATAGCCCAGGCGGGGTCAGGGACAGGGGCAGAGTGGACTGTCAGGATGCGGTCCAGTTGGGTGGCCAGTCTAGTCTACGTGGCCGTTAGCAGTGCTCCTTCTGAGGGCAGTCTAGATGTCCTCACAATGACCACCAGATGCATCCTTGGCAGAAGGTGCGGTCATCGTTCCTCCTCGGCGCTGCTCTCCTCTCCTCCTCTCCTCTCCTCTCCTTTCCTCGAGGACGAAATAGCTAGGGTGCCCACATAGACTATGACCAACAGCAGGAGGCGGAGGGAGGGCTACACCCTTCTTGCTCCCCCACCCTTCACCCACCCACACATACGATCGATCGGTCTTGGTCTCAAAATAATATTAACGGGCCGTCTGCACCTGTCTTCAACAGCTCTGGTGTCCACCACGGTAAATGGGCCCCCTCGCATCGCGCCAGGATGAGGCTCCCTCCCGCCTTCTTCCCCCCTCCGCCTCCCTTTGGTCCTGAAGGTGAGGATATCCATTTGTATTTGTTGCATATGCATCTTCTCTGCTCCTCCCCCCTTCTCTCTGAACCATGTTGTGTAATTGTTTGTTGTTGAGTTTGCTGCCTTCCAAACCAGGCAATCTGCTCACACGACAGTACCCCCCCCCCTTCCGCTTTCGGTCTGATTGGGTGTGGGGTGCGCATCCCCGTCTCTTCATATCAACCACCAACTCTTCGTCTGTACCCCCATCCTTCCTCTTCCTCTTCCTCTTCCTCTTCCTCTTCCTCTTCCCCCTCCTCCTCCTCCTCCTCTTCCTCCTCCTCCTCCTCCTCCTCCTCCTCTTCTTCTTCTTCTCCCTCCTTCCCCCCTGTGCAGCGCATATGTCTTGCCACCAACCTACTTCCTCGAACCACCCGTCCGCTTATAAGAGGGTCTTCCAATCCTGACCGTCCCACTCTGGACCATCGAGTCCATCCGTCCCTCCTTTCTCTCCTTTCCAACCGTCGACAACGGCACTTTTTTTCAGTCCAGTCAAAACGAACAGAAAGCAAAAGAGTCGCCATGAAGTTTGCAAAGGTTCTTCAGGAGGAGGTCGTGCCGGAATGGCGCAAGGCCTATATTAACTACAAGCAGGGCAAAAAGCACCTCAAAGCAGTCAAATCTGCCCTCTCCAAACTCGATACCGAACGATCCTTAGCCGAACCTGCACACCATAACAATGACGAGACGCGGGCATTCCAACTGACAGTCGATCCCAGGCATCCCACCACTACCAACAGTCTGGGTAGATCCACGTCTTCGGAGCCTGAGAGCGGGCGCCCCGACCACTCTCCTGCTGTTTACTTGCCGGAAGCTCCCTCGGATTCAGCTTCAGGAACCGCACCCACCGCCACTCAATGCCGTGGTCGTGTGAGGAGCTACGATACCATCCAAATCCCATCTCGTCCGACAACACCATCAAGTGCGCCCCGGTCACAAACAACCAACTTAAATACTCCGGATGAAGACCGATCCGATCACAGTTCAACTCTACAGGGAGTGCAGGGTATCGTGCGACAGCATCGACATCCTCAAAGTCAGCGAGATCATCAAGACCAGCATTCGCCATATATTCATCCCATCGCGCTCGAGACAGAGCCTTCAGGGGCGCACGACTCTACACCGAAAATCACTCGAGCTGCTCGGCGCCAGGGCTCACAAATCTTCGGGGCCCTTGCACGGAGATTTACACGGGCAGACTCTCCCGAACGAGGAAAAAGGCGGCAAAGGGTTATAACTTGTAAGATAAACAGAGATCAGGGGCAATCTTAAACCGTGTATGCGTAATTGATTTACACAAGCGACATGATTGCAACACTAAACACGAGTGAATACACCTGACTATGCGCATAGTGGACGGGGATTCAATTGACAATGCATTGGATCAACTGCTCGACGAAGAGAAAGCCTTTTTCAAGTTCCTCGATTCTCAGCTATCAATGGTTGATACGTTCTACCGAGGCATGCTAGCGTTTGCTATCACATTCCTTGACCCATTCCTGTGACAGATGTATAACGCACTGATCAAGCAATGGCAACGACATTTAACACAATAGAAAAGGAGCTTCAGGCGGTGACGAAACTCAAGGTCCTCAAACAGCAGATCTTTGTGGCGGAAGAATGGAAGCGTCGCCATCAAGAAAAAATCGTAAGTTGAATCTCAACGAACACCGTGCGTATATACTTCAAATATCTATGTTTCCTTTCCAATTTAACCCTCCCTGGTCACTATGCATTTTACAGGCAAAGCAAGAAGCAGATCGAGGATGGTACCAAATCGAGTGGTCAAAGGTCAGGCATGGCCTTGGAAACCTAGTCAATAATTCATCGGCCACTGAACAAGTTGTCATCGGCCCTGTTCAACAATCACTAAATGAAAACGGGAGGAGGCAACGCCAATGTCACAATAGACATTCAACTGACGCGACAGCATTGAGCTTAAGCAGAGAAAACAGTACGAACCAAGAACAGGATCTACAGCAAAGAGGGAATTGGGAACCTGGAGACGACTCGCAAAGATTTTCATCCATGGATACGACTGCATATCATAATCAGCTTGTCGTGGAGGATGAAGAGAATCGTCGCCAACACTTGAGCCATAAAGTCGCGAGGACGAGGATCAAAGCGGCCCTGTACGAATTCTACCGCAGTCTCGAAATGCTCAAAAACTACACGGTAAAGTCTAATGAACCGTATTAATTACAATGTGATTCCAGCATGATCCCAAGCACAATACTCACTAACCTCGGACTATATGTTGTTGCCGCTAGATCTTAAATAATACGGGATTTGTGAAAATTATGAAAAAGTACGACAAGGTCGCTGGATGGAAGGCTTCAAAGGCATTTATCGCCTCGAAACTGCGACCGATATACTTTATGACCTCCACTACTCTCGATGACATGATGACAGAGACCGAGGATCTTTTTATTTATAAGTTTGAGAATGGTCATCGCCGGCGCGCTATGGCAAAGTTGCGGATTCCAGATCACAAGAACCAGGTATGTCTTTGTGAAGAGCTGCGTTCACTCACATTAGTGCCTTTGCTACTAGCACAAAGGTCATGTAACATCTTTTTGTAACTCATCTTAGTCGCATCATGCCGCGACCGCAAGGGTTGGCATCTATCTAGGCGTGGCGATACCATTGCTGATCCTGGGAGTCGAAGGAGCCTTTAACAAAGACACGCAGGCCAGGATCCTGTATTGGGACAAGTTATTACTCGTGTATGCAGGGTTGTTCTTGACGATCCTTTTTGCATGCCTTTTCGGTATCAACATGTACGTGTGGAAAAAGTCGAGGATCAACTATAAGTTTATCTTTGAGTTTGACCCCCGCGACAATCTAGACTACCACGAGTTTTTTGAGGTATGCTCACCTATACTCTCTTTCGCATTGTCGAAGCGAGCCACCTCCTACCGCCAAATCACTCGTCATTTGCGTTCTCACTCTTGCTTTATTATCATTCATAGCTGCCAGTATTTTTCATGCTGATCCTTTGCCTCCTGTCTATTTTCGGTTCGCACTTCGTGGTACAGGCTCATGTTGCATACTTCTACCCCCTCATCGCCATGGTCACCATACTTGCGATTTTGCTCTGTCCGCTGCCAATCGCCAACTGGAGTGCGCGGAGATGGTTCCTGCAGAGTACTAGACGGCTTATCGTCAGCGGATATTACAGTGTCGAGTTCCGGGACTTTTTTTTGGGGGATGAGATGAACTCGCTCGCGTATTCCATCGAGCAGTTTGAACTTGCCATCTGCGCATATACACAGGAGTGGAATGACTTGGGTATTACACAAATGGCTATTTAATTATGCTCAAACGTTCATTTCTGTTAATTACTGTTACTTACACGACGCATTAATGGATTTTCTACAGCACGAAAATGCGACACAAGTCATATCTGGTTCACACCATTTGTGACATCCATTCCTGCATGGTTTCGTCTCATACAATGCCTTCGCCGTTACCGCGACACGCAGTGGCTTCCGCACTTGATCAATTCTGGCAAATACTTTATGACGCTGGCGCAACTCTTTACCTATTTTTTGTATCGCCACTATTCTAGTTCGCAGCACCGGACTGTCTTCGTTGTGGTCTCAAGTATAATGAGCCTCTATACCTACTCATGGGATGTCTACATGGATTGGGGACTGTTTCGATTCGGGAGACATGGTGGCGGTGCCTATGGACATCCTTTCTTAAGAGCCGAATTGGTCTATCCTCACCAATGGGTTTATTATCTGGCGATTGTTCTGAATTTCTTTGGAAGGTTCGCGTGGGTGCTCAGATTGGCACCCTTTAAGATCAACGCCTTTGCGCTTTCATTTATTATGGCCTTGATTGAGGTCCTCCGGTACGTGTATAAAACCAAGTTCTTGGTTGAGGCTATTTGTTCGGCTGTTTATTTGGGTGCTAAATGCTGGTCTTTTATATGTCTAGTCGCTGGATATGGAATTTTTTCCGCCTGGAGAACGAACATCTCAACAACTGCGGCCAGTTTCGTGCAATTAAGGACATCCCCCTGCCTTTCCATATCCGCGTGGAAGGTGAATCTGAGGAGGAGAAGGGTGACGAGGGAGAAGGATGGAAGAGCCACGAACAAGGCGACCATGAGAGAGGAGCTGCAGTCAAGTCCCAGGGAGAGCATGACTTGGGGGTACTTGCCGGAGAAAGTGGATCTACATCCAAGGCCCCTGGCACTGACACGGCCTCTCGCTCCCGTCGCCAAGGTCTGTCACGGTCGGCGAGCTCTCGTAGTGGAAGAGGCGCTGCTCTTCAAATCGAGCCTGAGGGGCATGCAGGGACTAGTCAAGCCTCTGTTCATTCTGCAGCCAAGCCCACAGGCAGTGTCCATCGGAAAGCGCCCAGGAGACGACCCAGCCAAACCTCAGAGGGGCCCTTTGGTATTCAACGCAGCAATTCGTTTGTGGATCAAGCGATGACGGAGGCGGGGATTGACGCTCTCCAGAAAGAGCATCTTACTGCCTTGAACAAATTTTATGACCGCCGCGACTTTGATACGAAGATCATCGATGCTCCTCATGAACCACTCAAGCCCGGGACGCGGCCGAACACAGTAGGTTCGTCCAGGTCACTAGGCATAGGACTGGCTAACGACGAGCAGGACGGCGCCAGTAATGTGAATAATGCAGCAGAAGATGGACGTCAAAGAAGATGCGGGCACGTCCATTTTAATTGGGGAGAGGATTCAGATGAAGAGGAGGATTCAGATGATTATGATGAGGCATAGACCCTGAGAAACGACATCAATCATAGCATAATACATATCACGTCTACGACATCAATCGTATGCAACATATCACGCCCACGACATTAGAGCGGTTGTATTCAATAGAAATGCGATTGGCTGTTATGTTGCTACTACGCTAATGTTACCACCAAAATATGTTCTTTTTGTTTCTTGGGCGCAGCAGGCGAAGGCGAGTGAGACGTAGACATGATGTCGTTCTCTAACATTCGCCCCCCCCCCCCCTCTCTGGCATTCATAGTCCAGTATGACGTCTGCTTATTATGGCTGCTTCATATTTTTTAACCACGATTGCCACGTCAGTGTGTCTCCTCCATCCTGTCAGTCTAGCCGCAGCACAAGAACCAAAGGTGCATTGTGCTTTCAAATGCAGTGCATTGCGTATGTGTGCTTTTGCGCTTCCAGAAGATTCCCGCCAAATTTTGTGTGCCTGAGTTTTAGTTTCATTCCCAAAATGGAAACTGTTGCGCGTACTATCCCTGAAATATAAAAGGGGCCGTGGCACGTCCCCTGGAACCAGCATCAGCATCTTTCTTTTTCACGCCTGTCTTTTCATTCATTACGGCCAACAAGCTCCTCCTCTACTGCTCTCTATCGCTATCTGGCAACATGCTCCCTCTTTACCCTCACACAACTACTCATTCTGCCTGGCGCTCTCCTCATCGCCCTGTCTTCACCACCTACACCCCCATCTCCTACCAGACCCCCGTTCTCGGCCCCTTCACCCCAAGCATTCATTCCAACTTTTCATTGACCGACGACTCTGATGAGGAAGAGTTCTTGCTGCGCGCTGCCCTCGAGCGAAAGCAGCGGGAACGACTTGCCCGCCAGCAACTTCGTCACCAGCAACTGGAGCAACAGCGTCTCATCGAACAGCAGCGACAGATTGAGCAGCAGCACTACGAAGCCTTGCTCCGAAAGGAGAGAGCTCGACAGCTCATGGTCGCTCAAGCACAAGCAAAGGAGCAGCTCCAGGCGAGACAGGAGGCTATCCAACGATATAACCGCGCGCAATTGAATAAGCAGCAATATCAGGCGGCTGCCCTTAAAGCGATCCTGTTCCAGCAAGTCCATCAAGCGCAGCAAGAACAAGATGCTGCCCGTGACCGTGCCAGAGTTCAAGCGCTCGCGGAAGCCAAGAGACAGGCTGCGCTCGAGCGTTTCACTCACGACCAAGATGACGGTGAAAACAGCGATGACGAGTTCCTGAACCCCTTCGGCAACCTCTTGGAGGCATTGTTCTTGCAGAACCAAAAGCGAACCCAGTCTCAGGGGGACACCTATCCGAGTAAGCGACGCCAGCAGACTTGTATCTGCCAGCAGCAGGATGAGACCCAGGCCCAGACGCGGAAGGACCGTGTTGTCGAACAAGAGTCCAAGGCGGCCGAGAAGCTCAAGGAAGACCCACTCAAGAAGCAACATGACGAGCACGAGGAGTTGTTTGCAACTTTGCCAGCCATCCTGTCCTTTGTCGAGGGCATCTTTGGAGGTGAGGATCGCCGCCCATACTCTCAACAAGGCTGCGCCCAGTCATCATTGTCCAACAAGGCCGGGTCCTCTAGCTGCGCTTTCAAGGACAGTAACATCTGCTGTCAGAGGAACACTACCCCTGCTGCCGATGCTGGCACTAAGGTCACCCCCGCCACCGACAACAGCGCTCATTCCTCGTCGCAGTCATCGCCCGAAATCCGAGCTGCCGACATCCTCCTTCAACGGCAACAGCGCGCTCAGCAGCATATTCTTTCCCTCCAGCAGAAGCACTCCTCACTGAATCTTATCGATTCGGCCCTCGACAGTTTCGCACGCGACCTCTCCGAAGCTCTCCGGTCCTCCACCGCCTCTAGTTCCACTTTGGAAGAGACCAAGAAAACCGTCCTGTCCGCAGAGGAGAACGTAAGCAAGGCCATGTTCCAGATTGACTCTGTTGAAAGCGAAGGCGACCTCTCTGTGCGCCAGCGTCGTAAGGAGTTAATCAAGAAGAGTCAGGACCTGCTGGAGATTGTGGATAAGTACAAGAACCAAGGTGCCAACACTGGCAAGAAGGTCGCTCGCTCTTCTAGCTTTGAAGTCGAACCTGAGCTTGAGGTATCTGAAGAGAATGCTGAAGTCATTATGCAGCAGGAGACTGCCGCGAAGCCAGCTGGCGCCGTTGAGCCCTTGTCTTTGCCCGAGTCCCTGACACAAGAAGTACAACACGAGGTCGCTGGAGATGATGAGGATGAGGTGGTGGAGCCTTACACGGTGACAGAGTCGGTGCCTTTTTCGTCTGTGGAATCGGCGACAGTTCAAGACGACAGCGAGCAGACGCCCTCTATGGCCAAGACCACAACGGCTGTTGATGAGTCTTTTGAATCGAGATCATCACCATATTTGACGGAGAAGACGACTGTAGAAGAGGAGGAGGAGTCCGAGCAAGCCCACGATGATTATGACATCCTTCCTGAGTTCTAAAACCCCCTTATTCTCCGTATGTTCGTGAAATGAACTTTTCATAATAAACAGAATACTCTGCTCTTTTCGTTCGAGATGCAGGCTGCACAATGCTTTGGACATTATTATTATTATTGTTATTATTGAATTGCACCCAGACAAAATATTTCGCATGACAAACATATTCATTTGGACTCCCAACTTTCACAAGGTGGCAGTAGTTGCAGCTGATTAGATTTTCTTCAAACATGGTAGCTATCGTTGGTGGTCCTCCACTTTGCCTATTTTCTTCCACAGATCTCAGTAGTCTTACTGTTCGTTTAGTGCCATCAAAACGAAGGGAAAGATGCTGGGTTACGCCGATGTACAGCGGGATGCTGTAGCGCTAGCAGAGGCAGTAGCCTAGACTGGACTGAAGAAGGAAAATGGACCCATCAATTGAGCGGCTTTCCCTGTAGTGAATATGGTCCACCTAGTAAGCAAGATAGTCAGACAGATGGGATTCATAAGAAGGGATTATTTTTTTGCACAACAAACAAAGCACTAGATGCGTGTTACAACCCATCCTGCTGCAGACAAATGAAAATGTGAGGTCGGACGCAACGAACCAACCATGAATAGGACCAGGGTAGAGGAGCAGGAGAGCCATTTCGGCGGAATGAAAAAACGAAAGGAGGAGAGATAGAGAGATGGGAGGATGAAGATGAGGATGAGCAGGGCGCGTGTTGATGTTTCCGCGTAAAGTGGCCTTTTTTTTCATTACTGACAAGAAAGTATGTATGCATCTCCAACCACACCCTCCACAGCCAACTTTGTCGGTGGTGGAGCGCGACTGGTCCGTCTTCGCTTTCCTTCACCCACTGCTTGTTTCCCGTTCCTTCGGCAGCCTTAAGGAAGATCCTCGCCCCATACCCTCCTTTTAATGGACCTCCAGTTATCGCGGTGGAGTGTTCTCTTTTTTTTTTTTCTCTCTTTTTTTTCTCCACTCCACTCGTTTCTAGTCCGCACCCGTGTCCTTTCTCATCCCGCCTCCTCCCTCATCACCCACATTCTACTCATTCTTTCACATCCTTTCAAATGACTTCCGCTCATGGCAGGAGTCGCAGGTCTGCAACACTAAGCAACCTCCCATCAGTCCCTCCACCTCCCCCGCCTGGTCATCCAACCCAGCCAGTCCATTCTCTCAGCCTCCTCAACCACCACTACCACTCTCACCTCCAACAGCATCATCTTCCAGATCAACAACAACCACACGACTCAAGGGATTCATACTCTCCTGCTCATCCCATCCAAGTGATCCAGCGATCGCGTCCAGCTGGCCAACCAGAAACTCGGGCCGATAGCAATTGGAGAAGCATATTCGATGCTGCCTTGGTCAAGGCTCAGCAGGCTGTTCAGCTGGACGAGCTCGGCGAGAGCACAGTCGCAGCGAACCTATATGCCCAAGCTGCCAACGATCTCGGGCGTGTCATCCCTCTATGCGGGAGCGAGAAGAAGAAGCAATCGATGCTTGCCATCGTAAGTTCAGACAACTTTTCAGTCTCTACCTTTTTTCATGTGCGCTTGTATGCTCTTTTTTTTTTTTGTCTCGGATACAAATACATTTTATCAAAGTCCAACTGGTCCCTGAGCCGGGTGAATGGGGGATATTTCTGATCCTTAAATTTCAGGCACCGACTGATCTGAACCCCGTCCTTATTTCCCCACACTCGCACTCACCACTTTCTCCACACATGTTCTGATGTAAACACATACATAGCAAGCGATCTATCTCGATAGGGTCATCCAGTTAAAGGCGGGGGCTACGGGGAAGACGAATCAGCCATCCTCGTCCTCATCCTCGAACTCGACCTCGGTCAATCACAGTCAGAGTCAATCTCAGGAGACCCGCTATTCTCTCCCAAATGGCAGGGAAGTCCCCTACGGACACGAAGATCAATATCCCACTCAAGATATCTATCGCCAGCAGGACCCTTATGGACACCAGTACCAGCAGTACCAGCAGTACCAACCACCTACATCTCAGCCACCAGCAACAGCCCAGCAGCCATCGCATACGGATGACCGTGATAAAGGATTAAGGACATCTGGAAAGAAGAGATCTAAGACTCAGCTCTCTGCTCCAAAACCACTAGACTTCGTGCAGGAGAATTACAGCAACTCTGGCAGCAATGGAAATGGCAATGGCAATGGTAATTTATATGGCTCATACAATTCATATGGAGATTACTCACAATCCGGCAACGGTGGGTACATCTCGCCGCCCCACACCGCACCAACCAGCTCTCCAAGTCCTCCGCCGGTCGTTGTCTCACCCATCTTCATCGCACATACACCTTCGCCCACTCCTCCAACCTCGCAAACCACCGAACAGCCGCAGGAGCTACCACCCACGTCTGGAAAATCCTCACGCTGGCGACCGTTCGGCAAAAAGAAATCAAAATCCTTCTCAGCCGGAGAGACAGCGGGCTCTGGCCCCTATCAGTCTCCCAATGATCATGAGCCGCCTTCGGTCCCGTCGATGCCGCTTGAAATTCAGCGACCTTCGTTTCAACTCAATAATCTCGTTGATCCGACCGATCGAGAGGATTTGTATTCACAGCAGCACGCCGATTGGTTTGTCGATCAAGGAGATGGCCCATTTCCAATAGAGGATTATGAACATTTAACGCGGTATTATGACGATGATGAGGATGGCGATGTCGACCCATATTATATCGCGGACACCAAAGGACGGGCGCGCGCTTTTGAGGGCAAGGTAAAATGCAGCGAAAAAAGCCAGTATGTAGTTTGCTGCCTTGTTGATTACTTTATCGTCGGTTAACAATAGATGAACTTGTGTTAATGCGACTATAGGATGCCGGCTTGACCAAGGCCTCTCCAGCGATTGTCTCTGTAGAAGATTCAACGAAAAAGTCACGAACGAAGCCAGCACTCACCCACAAGACATCGTCTTATTCTAACGAGCAACCTTTTGCACCGACATTCTCGCCGAACGGTTATTCTCAGGGTACTGTGAATCAGGCGGACTACTACGTTCAAGAAACCAACATGTTCACCTCAAATGACCGCAGCTTTCAGCAAGAGTATGGCGACCCATATTATACTGGGGGCCAGTTTGACCAACAACACCAGCAGCAGTACGATCAGCAGACACCATTCGATCACACAATTCAACTACAGCATTCGCCTTATAGTGTTGATCCCAGCTTGATAAAGACAGGATCGGCTCCGGAACTCCAGCATCTCAACCAGCGTGGTACCGGTGAACCTGAGGAGCCACACGACGGCGAAAAGGCGAAATCAAGGAACAAATGGTTCAGTAAGAAGAAGAAAAAGGACGGACCGGCTGAAACGTTTGATGAAGTCGCTAAATTGATGGATGAGGCACTCTTTGGAGGTGGATCGTCTATTCCCCGCAAGAAGAATAAAGGCAAGGATAAGGATAGGGAAAAGGACAAGGACAAGGACAAGGACAAGGACAAGGGAAAGGGAAAGGCAGACGAAGTGGACATGAGTACGCAGTTCGCGATGGAGGAGGACAGAACCTCATCCGATACGCCCATCCCTCCCAACAGTCTACCCATGATCCTTCCACCGAAGGACTCGCTATCAGAGTATGACATAAGGACACCCTATGACGCTCACGGCCCAAACCTGGATGGAACCTTCATGGACGATCGGCTACATTATTATGGCGAGAGTTCAGGCTCGCAGAGTCAACAGCAACATCATCAGCAACAACAGCTCGCTTCGCCGTCGATCCCAGAGCCGTTTCCAATGTCTTCGTCGACGGATGCACTGCATTCCCCAACACCACTGCCCCTACAGACTGCGCAGACGCCCAAGGCACTTGTACCTATTGCATATGCACCCAGAACAACGTATACGCCACCACCAAAGAAGCAGGACACCATGGCAACACCGACCCAGGCCCCTTCGCCTGCGACACCAGAACTGGACCTACAGCTACAGCCGCAGAATGCGCCTGAAGCCATCGCCGGAAATCAAGACATCATGACCATCGCCCCGGAACCAGTCAAAAAATCTAAGAACCGGCCGTTCAACATGTTCAAGGTCAAGAAGAGCGGAAGCAAACTGTCTCTCGACGAGACCCTGCCACTCTCGCCGACGTTTAATCAGACAGGGTTTAGCCTTGGCGAGGATGTCAAGTCTGTCCACAGCGACAAAACGAGGAAGAGCTCGATCCAGAGTAACGAGCGCAAGGCGATCGATGTCGTTGCAGCAGCTCACTCGAAGGACAGTAAGCAGAAAAGGGAGAGTGACGAATACGTTCCCTATGAGTATCAGGAAGAATTAGAAGGACCGCTCATGGAGAGAGTCGAGGTTCCGGAGAGCCGAGAGATCATCGGCTTTGTCATGGTTAGTATCTGTCCTTCTCCTTGCTGAACGACAGAATTTATTGGTTACGTTGCCGTTACTGACATTTATACGTTTTTCTCTGCAATGTTATAGCCTGTGGAGGAGCTGATTGACTACGATATGGAGGGCAATGAAGAAGCCGCGCTCGACAACTGGGATTCCTGGGTCAGTCAACTCGAGTCCTTCGAGAAGGTTCTCTCTGACAAGGGTCTGAAGAAGAAAAATAGCAAGCGATCCAAAAAGGAAAAGAAGAAAGAGAAGGAGCTGGAAATGACCGCGATCAAAGAAGACCAAAAGTCGATCTCCTCACCTACCTCACCCTTCAGCTCCCTCAAGGCTAACCGGTCCCGATCCAGCATCTTCAGTACCAGCACAGTCGGTCGACCCAGCACCAGTACAAACTCATCCTATGATGCCAACGAGACCCGTCTGATCGGCATGTACGAGAATATAGGCAATATCGCTGGTGGCAATAATGGGGCGAACAGATATTCATTCGCGTCCTCGAGATCGAGTGCGGTCGTGTTGGGCAATGATCTGACGATTCAACAAATGTCGTTCCAGCAGGCCAAGAAGCGTTGGTGGAACCCGAAGCGCAAGGAAACCACGTCGCTCTACACTGTCTCGGACGCCTTTTCGGTTCCAGAGCAGGATCAGGAAAGATATCTGGCCACGCTTTTGAAGAGCAATCAGGATCAGGAGGACAAGGATTTTCAGAAACAGGAACAAGAACAGGAAAATCCGGAGACGACCACACCGGAGGCGGATCAGGGGCGTGAGGATGCATTGAACGCGCTGTGGGAGAACAGCAAGGCCATCATGTCTTTGCCTATCCCGCAATCACCAATAACTCCCACGAGCACACAGGGATTCCCACCTGCTCGCGGCATCGAGCCGTTCCAGCCCAACCCAGCACCTATACCTGAGGAATCCGCTACTGCTACAGTCGAGGAAGAATCATCGTTCAAACCAGTACCTGAGCCAGCGCCAAAGCCAAAGCCAAATAAGAGCAACAAACCCAAGCTCCTACCAATCTCAACCCCACTCTCCCAACTTCTCCAGATTTCCAACCCGGATGAGCTCTGGCAATACGTCCAGCAGGCAAAAACCTATGCTACCACGCGAATGAATAAGGGCGATAAGCGGTCCGCTGCAATTGCGCTGAAGCGCGCCCAGGCTCTCGAGGCCCGGTGGCAAGAGATCTTGTTAGAGATGGCCTCAAGCGATGAGGACGAGGACGGGCTCCTGGACGACTACGATGATGACGAGGAAGAGGATGAGGATGAGGACGAGGACGAGGAGAAGGATGGGGTCGACGAGCAGGAACAGGAGAAAAAACAGGCTGCGGCCTCATTGGATGCAAAGGTCTCTATCACCGCTGCAACTCTTTCGGACGCTACAGGAATTGCAACCTTAGTTCCTTCTGGACCCACTCCTACTGTCCCAGCTGTCAACTCCATTAATGATGATGAAGAAACCGACGATGACCATGAAGATGACGAAGAACAGGCCCGTCGCCGTATGCTGCAAGTCCGCAAAGTCACCAGCCGGAGCGATAGCGCCCCAAACATGTACTCCAAGTACAAAGTCTCCAACAAACCCACTACCACCAGTGCAGGTGATGATGGCGACTCCAAGGACGATAATACCCTATCAAAGAACGACGACGGACAGCTCGGTCCCGACGCAACCATGGAGCAAATGCTGGCGACGACAAACAAGGACCACCTGACCTACTATATACAGAGATTGAAGACTGACACCGTGGCCAAGGCCAGGGGCGGAAGCAAGTTCGCAGCTTTGGAGGGAATGAAGAACGTCAAGGTTTTGCAGCAGCGTCTGGCTGAGCTCGAGCAGGACGAAACAGAAGATACGGATAAAGAGGTGGGCGAGTGAGGGTGGAAGGCTGCTATCCCAATGGATGCTATACCGTACATATATCGTAATAAACACTGCCTCTCCCTCTCCCTCTCTCCAACTCAATACACTTTGTACATAGATCGCACTTGTACAATATTCATATATTTAAAAAGGAACTATATAGAGAAGTGTGTACTACATGTCCTCATCCGAATCCTCAGCCCACTCCATATCCAAATCCTCGCTCTCCTCCTTCATCTTCGTCAATCCCGTCAAGTCCTCAAGGTGCTTTGCATCCTGAAACACCTTGGCCAAGAACCCAAACCCTTCCTTCTCGTACGAACTCAAAACTGCGTCCGAACATGCCGTGCATCGATCATAGGCCTGCCCTGAGATCAGTAAGTTCTTGAACCGCGACAGGAACCCACGGATCTGGTGTGGCAACAGGCCCAGCGTTGAACCCTTTTTCTCTTGCGATTCGAGTTCCTGCTGGCTTTCGTCGTCAGCCTTGTCTGCGGGTGCCCTCACACTATCCAAAAAAAAAAAAAAAAAAAAAAAAGATATCACGACCTCATGTTAGCGAATCTTTCTTTGCAAAAGCTGTCCAGGAACAAATGTGGCACAATGGAGCTTACTCACCCGTCAGGATGGTGCAAGAGAGAAACCATCATCTCTACAGCCATAGCACTCGCTATCGCCGACAGACCAGGCCGAGTCACCGTACATTGTTGATCCAACGTCCTGTCAGACAACGACTATTCAGATATACAAAATGCATTGCAGTCAATACTGGTGTCAACAGATAGCACGCATATTCAAACGATATCACGCCTGTCAGCCTGCTTACATCAGTTGGGGCAACGACATCGTTACAGAAGTAGCATCCCAATGGTGTAGTGTTGTTGGAAGCATGGTGCTCATGATCCTGACCAATGCCATGACGCATCACAAGAAAAGTGTCAAATCCAAGCGCAGCATTGATGACAATCTAATACCGGTATCAAAGATCTCAATTCTGTCAGTTCTCTCTCTAAAAGGTTCTTTAAATTTCAAGCAATTTCGTCCGCATCAATACGTGCCTTTTTCATCCTAGCGCCCAAAAGCGTCGGGAGCCATCGACTTTCACGACTGTCCATGAGCAAAAAAATCGCATCGTGTTGTTTAAATAAATCCTCCAACTTGGCCACGTCCTTTTGAGCATTTTCGTACAATTGACTGCTAATAGGATGCCCTGGCATGGGTATCGACATTGTGTAGCCTACAGCATTCTTCAAATTTCATGTTCGAAAAAGAAGGAAATGCGTGCATTAGTTAAGAGCCTTCGACAACACCCAACTACCCTGGACGCCGTGCTTAGGCAACCACTCCAATGGAATACTCACTACACCAGGGTACACCCTTTTCAAACTCGCAGCTGCAGTGATCGCCTTGTCTTTGCCTCCCTCTAGACAGTCCTCAAAATCAAACAGGGGCTGACGCACTGGGTTCGAAAATGAAACCTTGGCATTATCGACGAATGTGATATTGCGGACACCCCAACCCAACAGCGAACGCGCGACATAGCAACCAAGCGTTCCTGCTCCCAAAAGCAAGCATCGCGTCTCCTGCACCTTTTCCAGCTGAAGATCAGGTAATAGTCTCCATCGCATCAACTTCAGGTTCAAATCTACAGCCGTATCCGCCAGTCGTGATGGGTCCATCAACGGAGCGAGGTCTGCTAGACGTGGACCGAGTTTTCCCTGAGCATTCTTTTCCCATCCAACTGCCTTTGGACAAGCTAATAAATATCAGAAGCAAAAAAAATTGGAAATTGTCGTCACATTGAAGTATGGGAGGGTTCACAGTTACTTCACGCTCTATACCTGTGGTAGGAACATAGGTCGGGACTTGGGTAGTAAAGAGTTTGCTGGCACTAATATCCTGTTTTCCAGGAACCTCGCGGAAGCAAAGCACACGAACGCTTGTGGCCTTCCACTGATGATTTATCAGAGTCAAAAGATTGCGTAATGGCCATCCCGGGTGGCTATCTAGCGAAGATGGATCGGCGAATCCAATAATCATCTACGGTACCATGGAAGTGAATTAGTATAATCAGGAAGAACAAGATGAGCCCAATACATACAAATATCAGCTTTTAGCTCCCAGGTCAACATGTACCCGACTTGGCTCGCAGTCAGCGAAAAACTCATCCCAATCCTGCAAGCGCGCGACCGAAACTTCATTCTGACCCTCCTTAACGAGGAAAAACCCTGACTGAGAAGGTGGATGATTTTGTCGGTACTGGTCGACCTGGTGTCGCAAGCTATCGATTTGCGCCTGCGACCAAACAGAGGTGATCTCTTGCATCGAATCCGTCGTCCAGGCAGGATCCGCCTGAAGGGCCGGGAATGCAAACCAGTAAAAGAACTTGAACTTCTTGAGGTCCGCAAACGTGACGAGCAGAAACTTGTTGAGCAGTGATGGGTCCTGTGCTGCCCGTCCGGACGTGATGTCGTCCCAGATCTAGGTAAGAGTAAAAAAAAAAAGCGATAAGAGCTGTCGATTTGTTCAAGACCCACGCATTGCTTCCACTGAAAAGGAAGAGGACGACGACTGACCTGGTCCACTGTCATTTTGAAGAGCGCGGTTTTATCAATAGCCTTAAAATCCTCAATTGTGTTTGTGTTCTTGACAATGCCCGGAGCAGGATAAGTGAAGGCAGGAATTCTACAAGGAAATCCAAAAAAAAAAAAAAAAAAAAAAAAAAAAAAAGGTTGGCCATCTGCAATCCAATTCAGTCAAGCTGTGCCCATTTTGTATAGACATACCTGCTCGCTTGATTATGGTCAGGCTCATGATTATCTGCAAAGGCCCCAGTTCCAAGACAGAGTCTTGCAGGCAAGGCCACCGACGTGTCTTTGCCAGGTACGCGAACCTGCTGCCCTGTGGTGTAGTAGCCCAGGATAGGCCTGTGCGAGTCGTCGAGTTTGAAGACATCCATTTTGCGCTGGGTTAGGACCTGCCAGAATGGTGCCTCGACTGCCGAGGCCCAAGGATGGAACTGCAGCAACACCATTTGTAGTCTTTATATGGGCACAAGATAGGCTAGTTAACGTCAGGCAGGGAAGAAGCGACAGGAGTGAAGAGGAGGGTAATGAGAGAGCGGATGAATGAAAAAGAAAAAAGAGTAAGGAGGAAAGGAGGAATGAGTCCATTGCCACCATGAACCTCGACTCCAAAGGGCGTTTCCCTCGGCAAGTCACCTGTCGATGGAATGCTGCTGCGCGTGCCTGCGTTCTTAATATATAGACTAATACACTTCCTCGTAGTATGTATACACCATGCATCTACTTAATAAGCACGTCTCCGAAAAGCTGCCGCGGGCCAATTGTCGCCATTGCTGATGACGAACGCGCTTTAGAAGAGGTACGGGAACGACATATCCGCACAACTGCATGTCTTCGATGCTATGGAGCGAGACACAAGAAGCTGGCTCTGATGTCGACGAGGCCCTTTGTCGATGGAAGACAGGTGTGTTTCTCATAAGAAGGCAGGACCAGTATCGCGGACAGCTTCAAATGCTCTGGATGTGCATTGTGCTTTCCACAGCTCTTGGGCATTGGAGATATCTCCACTGTGTGGCTTGCAGTGCCCTTTTGGTTGAAGTGAAGGGAACTGATGAAAAAAGGAGCGGGGTGGGGGATGGCGCCGACATACACACACATACAAACACACATACAAATACACATACACACATACACACACAGGCACATACAGATCTCTCTGTCGATTTACCTAGCCTTAATCATATTCGGAAGCACCGCCATCACCCGCCCCTGCGAATGCACCCGCCTGTCGCCAAGGTACACTATTTTGCCTGATGGGAAGGAAGGCGACTCTATATTTTAACACTTTGAATGGATTAGACACTAATATCCTCTTCTTCTCCTCCATCCTCCATTTCCCAAAAACAGCTCTAAGAACCTATGAAATCAAAGGCCAGGAATTCAAAAGGATCAAAAAAGTCCGCCAATGGTAGCGCTAATGGGGCAAAGGAATCTTCAGTCAAGGACGGTCTAGTCACGCACATCATCTCGCCTCTGGATCAGGGGCATCCAGGGGCGGTCAACACCTCCAAGGCGGGATCAGGAACAAATATGGATAAACCCTCAGCTTCGGAGCACAACACGACCCTGGAAAAGTTCGGCCCCCGGGACATGCATCATTCGACAGCACTCAATGGTATCGAGTACACCAGGGCCGATAGGAAAGTGATGCCAACAACTTCAATGGAGACGGAATTCATTGAGGCCCTGTACTCTGATTTTGCTGGACAGAGTCCACACAGCCAAGGTGCCGACTCCAATCACCATCAGGACACTCTGTATGATGAAGACCCCGACCTAGAAGACTTACCGCCCAACTTTTCAGAATCGGAGGGTAATGAGAACGAAAATGTCGACAGCTATGAGGATCAGGCCGGTGACAGCGGCTGTGAGAATTTCGGGGACGATCTGGATGTATATGAACACGATGACTTTTTATCATCACAGGAGGCCATCCTCATGGAGCTGAGACGCGAGCAAGTAGAGTTTGAGGAGAATGTCCGCCAGCTACAGCAGCAACTGCAGCGTCAAGGATCGCTTCTCCCTATATCAACCAGCCAAGGCACCGATTACAACAGTATAGCTCGCGATGTCATATACTCAGACGCCGTAGAGCCCCTAGATACATCCATGATCAACTGTGACAGTAACAGCACATTGAATGCTCTAGACGATGACCAGGAGCACGACACACTACACTCGACACTCATGCACGCCTCAGCACAGCTCAGTTGCAAATTCTGTCCCGATCCGAAGTCGGTCCTATGCTTGGAAAAGTACGGCTGGGCATGGAAGCCAGTCATTGTCGAGGCTATGGCGACAGCGGCGGCAGCCATCGCGAACTTTAGTACTATGCAGCATCGACGGGGCGGCCATGGCGACTATTCACTTCGGTACAGCGAGTTTCTACCCAAGCCCAAGCGGCATATTGCTCGTCCCAGAGGCTCTCTGCAACACGATCCCAATCTCGCGACACAGCCGGATAACACTAGCTATGGAGAGACACAACTTTTCAACAGGTATGACAGAATTATCTCATCAACGCCGATCTTGTTCTGGACATGATCAGCAGATCGTCAATCCCAAGTATGGCACAATTTTTTTTCTAACACACCAAGTATTTTCTGTTTTTGCTTCTTTTAGTGCAGTAGCTGTTGCTGGGATGAGTGGTCACATTCCTGCACCGACGGCACCAATACGGCACATGTACCGCGGCTCAACTCCTCCGCCGCCAGCGGTTCTTTACCCGCTCCCACCCAACTCGCCATACAAGTTCAGTCGAAAATCAAGCGAGTTTTTGGAGCCTGTGGGAGAGTTTCATGAGTTTCAATCAGCGGAGGGCAACTCTCGTCAAGTCCTTTTGCATGTTTGGCCACCTTCCAGCCTAGATACGCCACTGTTACAGAAATTGGAAACATGCTGCAGGGACTTTCAGGAGCACGACATTGTTCGTGGACATAGCGGAGATGGCTTTTTAAATGGATGGCGGCCCTCTTGGAGACAATCGCATCAGACAGGAGTGCTGCGTTTTGGCCATTGGCGAGTCAGGGCTCCTGCTGGTCAGGGAACACGACTCTATGTAAGTTCACACGTCTGGATGTGTTGCCAAATGGCTGAAGGTCTTGCCGAACATATACATTGGCCTTTAACATCCATCGCTTGCGTTTTGTATAGCCGCCGTTTCAGACACCATTGACACTTGCTGCTGGCGGAGGCACGGTCTTGGGATCAAACCTCGATGTGAACCTACCCGCCAATAACAACTGCAGCTATCCACGCTCTGTAACTCCGGTCGCTAATATGGACGGGACCTCGTCATCACACTCTCCAAATACGTCGCAGACGCATCACCACCATTACCATCATCATCATCATCACCATCATCACCAGCATCAAGGCCACCAAACATGCACGGTGCACGATGCACCGGCATATCACACTGACTATCAAGTCCACGAACAAAAGGCGGGACAGGATGTGGTTCCAGGAAGTGTGCCGAACTTGCACAGTCATGGATCAACTTGCAACACAGTGTCTGGCGAGAAACATGGGGAACATTACAGCCCAGCGCCGCAGGATCTTCATGTGGAGTCGTCTACGCGGGGTCGTTTGCTGCGACTGATTCGGGCAATTCAGATGGTGGAGAAGGTAATCATTGCCCGACACCTCAAGTATCTCTTTCCGACCCTGTACGAAAAGTACCATGGACTGCAGTTTGGGACTCCTCGACTGTTCGATGCTGTGGCGACGGTAGCGTTGGCGATGGATGTGTCGCCACGGCTGCATCATGACAAGACGCATACGAAGCATGGGTTCTGCTGGATAGTTGCATGTGGAGACTTTATCGGAGGCGATCTATGCATTCCAGAATTGGGCAAGCGGGTTGTGATGCGTCCGGGTACGGTGGTGGCGATCCGATCAACAGTTGTGGCATACTACATTGAGCGGTATGCGAAGGACACGAGTATGTATACGATGTATGCCTACACGAGCGACAACAACTGGCCGCCGGCTGCCTAACAAACAGACCTCCCCAACGATGTACATGTACTCCCCCTCTCCGTTAGACCCTGTATGTATTAAAATAGAAGTATCCGGCAACATGACGCACTGTCTTGTTTTTGGGTTCTTTCGAGCTCATTCACATCATCATTTGCATTATCATATCTAGCTTGTGTTTGAATGTACATGTGCATGCAGCTCTCTCCTCTCACTTTTACTTTGACCAACCTAAGGATTTCCTTGGAGTGCTCTATGAGCTGAGATGCAGGATCCTATTGGATCATTAGATCGCAACCCTTAGCCAATCTCATCTGAGGTGAACCTTTATTGCTCTGGAACAGATTGATTGCTCAGAAACGGGTCGGAACTAAGACGTCTCGGATTCCGTCGAGTTCAGAGTACATGTACTTTATGCATCTACACTGCTGATTATGAACTCTGGGCCAAATGGGTATAGATAGAACCTATCCCCTGTCCTGGAAGAGATTTGTGTGAAAAAAAAGCTGTATGTTATGAACCTACTGCAGCAGATTACGCAGTGCATGTTTGACAGGGCTGTTTTTGTTTTGTTGCTGCGGGGAGAAGGGAGGGGAAATCAAAAGAAGGAGGTACAAAGCGATTGGGCAAGATCGACGCTTTCTGCTACTATAACAGACTCTACTCTGTAGTCGCTTGGAGCTATTTTTTACGTGCACTTGTCCATGTTGTCTGTGTTGTCTGTGTTGTCTGTGTTGTCTTCTTAGAAAAACAACGCGTTACAGCGACCATTGGGAGGAGGGGAGGAATTTTTTATTTTTTTATTTTTTTGTTTCTGTTGGAATTGGCGGGAAAGGTCTTTGTATGGAGTGATTTGGGTTTCGATTGTCCTCTACGGCATGTACGTAAACTGTGTTGCGAAGGAAGGAGATGTGTTTCCCGCTCAACGAAGGTGGGTGAGTGCATAGACTAGTCTATGGGCAATGTTTGACTGATGCAGTCCCCCGTCCCTAAGCAGGCGGGTACATGGTCTAACCCCGCCCTAGCAAAGAGCTGCCCCCTGATATGAATGTGCACATATGTGCAGCCAGCAGAGGGACGAAACAAACAAAAGCAAGAAAACAAACAAGAACGGACAAAAGCAAGGAAGCATAAAAGCAAGGAAGCAAGGAAGCAAGGAAGCATGAAAGCAAGAAAGCAAGAATGCAAGAATGCAAGAATGCAAGAAACAATGAAACAACAAAAAGGCCTTTTGTTTCTGGGTCTCTCTGTCTCTGCCACTTCATACTGCAGACCGGTCCATAGTCCAGCAGAGGGATATGGACAGAAGGGATAGACACCCAAACACTCAAACAAACACCCAAACACGCAACAAAGCTGCAAAGAGCCGAACCAGGCCCCAATTGTCTTCTTCGTCATAATCTCTTTCTTTGAGAGAGAGAGAGAGAGCCTCTTATTTATTTTTTTGGTCTGACCTCTGCTCTTTTTTTTTTTTTGGTCTCCCCCGCTCCCCCTCCCCAGCCCTGGCTCCTTTCAATCATCGTCTTCCTTCTTCATCACACTTCATCATTCTTCTCCATTCATTCCTCATCCTTCCTCATCCTTCATTCATCCCTGTTCGCTATTACTGTCATTACATCACGCCTCTTTACGTCTCCACGCCTTCCCACTGCTTCACGCTCCACCCTTCGCTTCCTACTCCCCCTCCTCTGCATCATCTTAATCATCTTCCAACTCCATCCCCTTCCCTCCCCTCCCCACCTGAATACTACTCTACATACTCTTCTTTCCATAATCCTACAAGCATACTCCAGCCCTATCACCCCATTCTTCAGCTACCCCTGCCCATCCTCGCTTGCCGACATAGACCCAATCCTTCTGTCCAATCGAACACTCCACTTGAACACCCGCATCCATCCCTATAACATACATCCCATACAGCACATTCAATGGGAAGCAGTCAGTCATCATTGCCGGGGCGCCTGCAAAAGAAGCCAAAGATGACCCAGCAGGAACTCCAGCGACAGTACCAGAGGAACCTGAGCGAGCAACAGCTGGCAGAACATTTTTCTGCCCGACAGGCACTCGAGAGCAACACCTTCACACGCGGCCCCCAAGATTTCAAGCAGATCCCCGGTATCAATGGACACGCCCCCTCAGTCATCGCTTCAACTGCCAACAACGAGAGCTTCTACCACCAACGGGCCACCACCACTGTCCATTCAGCATCCAATGGCAAGAACGGCCGCCAGAACTACCGTTGGTTTGACGGAAGACGCTACCACAACACCGAAGGCGCCGTCTACATGCTTCCCAACGATATCGATGAGATGGACAGGTACGTAAAACCTTGTATTTCACCATCTCTTGCCAAAAAGAATTTCGTAAAGTTAATGAAAAGCGGCGTCCCTCGTGCTTTTTCGTTCTTGCTCACTAACAACACACTTTGTATGCGATACGTGCGTACTGTGTAGACTTCACCTGCAGCACTATGTCATTCGCCATGCGTTCGGTGGCAATACCCGCGCAAAATTCGACGGCAAGATCCACAAAGATGTCCTAGATGTCGGTTGTGGTCCGGGCACATGGATCCTTGGTAAGTGCGACACATTCTTTCGTCTCGCCCGTTGTCGACTTGGTTCTGCACCCTGGCGCCCCTTTTTTTTATATTAATTCAATGCATCTACAAAAACGCCCTCATGCATGCCTATAGAAATGTCGACAGAGTACACAGAAACAAATTTCACTGGAATCGATATATCAGCCGTATGGCCCACAGAAATCCGGCCCCGCAACTGCCGGTTTCAGGTCGTCAATGCTCTTCAGGGTCTGCCCTTCGAGGACAACACCTTTGATTTTGTCTACCAGCGATTCATGATTTTCGCCTACCCTGCCAAGGACTGGCCCTTCATCATCCAGGAACTTGTCCGCGTCACCAAACCCGGTGGAACCGTCGAGCTCACAGAGATCCCAATCCTATCGAACGCCAATGGACCTGAACTCGCCAAGATTCTGGAAGTGCTCGAACAGTTCTGCATCTCAAAGGGATTTGACACCAAGGTCGCCAAGAAAATGGATATCCTGCTCCGTGACGCTGGTCTTGATGAGGTCAAAGCCTGTCATGCATCAATTCCCATAGGCGCCTGGGGAGCCAAGGTCGGCCAGTTGATGAGGGAAAACTCTGCAGGACTCTGGTCGAGTTTGAGGGGCTGGATCAAGGAATCGACAGGAATGAACGACGCACAGTACGAGGCCATGGTTAAGAGGGTCTTTATCGAATACGAGACACACAAGTGCTATGCCAATTGCTATTGTGCTTGGGGTGTCAAACCCCAGCCCAGCGAACAGCAGACAGCAACACAAGCAGCCCTGACAACACCAACCTCAGCGTCCGAGTCCTCTCATCCAGCATCTTTAATATCATCACAGGCAGATATCGGTCTATCATTGCCGACTGTGAATCATGCAGCGGTAGTGTAGCACGCCCTCTAGACAATTTGATTATAGGCATTAAGATACGAAGACAGAAAAGAAAGAAGAAAACATACTTTACTGTTTACCTGCTATCGTAGCTACTATTGCAGGTTATGCGTTTGTCAACAGATAGCGGTGTGGTTCAGAATGAACCGAAATGGCCCATGTATCGGTGTAGAAGAAAGAGTAACGGCTTCCTGGATGAGTGAACTAGAATCACACACACACACACACATAAACACACCGTTGGTTTGATAATGTGTAAATACATAGGGTCTCGCCCTCACTTTGCTGGGATCGTGACCAAGGGTTGTCTTGAGCTTGGGAGGGGGGAGGGTGCAAGAAGGATCGCGCGGACGAATGAAATCCACATACCTCTCTTCTCATTCAACCTTGCTATTGCCTTTTTTTCCTTTCCTTTACACCTGCTATCCTACTATCACTCTTACCATTCACACCACTACTCCTCATCTAACCCTACCCTGCTATTGCCGTTCTCGTCGTTCCTCGCGTCCTACAAAACGTCTCGCATAGATTCTAGGGTCATCAAATACCGATCGTTGATTGGTGGCCACCAAAAAAAAAAACGAACACACGTCTAGTTCCTCTCACGGAAACACGCCTTTTATGCCCGATCCACAGCAGCATTTGCGATCCCGTAGCTCACAATGGCTCGATCTCAGTCTCCCAACCAGAGATCCCCAGCCCTCCCGCATAAATTCGGTACGGTTCTCGGATGGCTCGCACAGCCTGCGGAGGTCGTTGAACGTTTCTCAGAACCTGAGTCGCTTGGGAGGCTTTCCACCCGAGACTTCTCTGTCCTCAACACGGTCTCCATCTCAGGTGAGTGTCTTTATGAAAGACACTCAAACATGCAATCACGACAGCATGTGTATGGTAATGACCATCGATATTCTATCCTTGCGTTACTAGCACTCGTTGAGACCTTATGAGGATTACCGCTCCCCCTCCGTGTCGCGTACCAATCATCCTGGCGAGATAAGAGCACAGTTTCGACAAAGGCGCTCGGAAGGCAGCTATGCCTTGATTAGACAAGGTGCTGAGTTCTCCTTTGAAAATGAAGATGAGGATGTCAACAGAGTACAAAGTGAAGTCAGCCAACAAGGAGAGGATGAGAGCGGCGACGACAATAGCAGTCGCGAGGTCGTAGATGATCATCTTGCCGATAGGACAACAAATACGTCCATTCGCAGCTGGTCCTTTGATCAAGCCCCATACGACCATGTAACGTCGCCCGAGGAAGCAACGCGCCATGGAAACTCTGCAGCGCCGAGAGGATACCGCCAGGACCAGGCTCTGCCACAGCAGCAGCAACATTCGGTTTTCAGTAGGCTCCAGAATGAACAACATCAATCTTCCTATCAGCCCTCGCATCGCCCACGTGGGCCCCAACCACTTCAGTGGACGGCACCGCCAGAACGGGCTCTTCAGAACGCTCACCAAAGATTGCATTCGCGGCCACAATCACGACTTCAGCAAAGGCACCCACAGGAGCACCATCAGGAATATCAGCGTTTCCAACAGCTGGAAGAGCAGCAACAGCGCATGGGGGAAAGCGCTGTCTCTGCTGCTGTGGGACACCAATCACGACCGGCATTTCTCAGTCAGCCGGTCTACCAACTCGCATGTGCAGCCTGCATTCGTCCACTGTGTTTGCGCGCTATGAAGGCTGTCATGCTCAGCGATCACTCCAAGGAGCTGTACTCGACAGACATGCCGCCAGCTGGCCTCCAGCTCGTAAATGAGGATCGTCAAGTTCGCCATTGCGCCTGTCGGATCAGAGACAGCGCATGCCTCGGCTGGTGAGAGGAATAAGCAACGGGGCAATGTTCAATAGGGACGCGAACGTACACAAACTGACTGACTGACGGACGCTATGAATTCTATCAATTCCGAATCGTATTGTCATTACAGCGGCCAGGTTGCAGGGTACCATGTCACCCAGCCTTGCTCGAATTGCCTCAATGACCAGAACAATGGTCATTTTTGGATGTTTTATTCCTCCGCTGTCTATCATTATAAGCGGAACCGCATCGGTGAGCAGAGTAGGCAGTAGTTAATCTTTTTTTTTATTTATTTCGAGCCCCCGTCTAACCAACTTCATGTCCATAATGATAGAAGGATCTGCAGGCGATGTGATGCTCTGGGCCAATGTGCCACCCATAAGCTATGACCAGTCATTGTCCAGGCAGTTGCGTCTGGAGATCCCTGTTCTCAACATTCGCACGACCCCTTCTCGGTCCTCTTCTGGTGTCGACACACTGGTCTCCAGCGATGAACGACCGATGACAGCTTGCATCGAGATGGATGAGTGGCTCAACTCGCCTATGAACGAGGTCGTCTGCCGCTAGGGGCTTATTCGTTGTTGCAAATGTCGGGTAATCATGCCTATCTATTTAGTTATTCTACATTCTACACTCTACATTCTACATCATAAAATCTAAAACACAGCGCAGGCTATAGACTAAATTGTGGTTTGACGGTTGAACTTCTCTCTCCCAATCCAAGTTTTATTTCCCCACACCCTGCACCAGTGTGTACTGTACACTTTCAAGACCGGCTCGGTGGGCGCCTCTGTCAGTCGACGTGGGATATCTTGATGTACCACCTGTTATGAGGCTGTTTTATCATCCGGATACAAGAGTACAAACAGGCCGGTTCGTGGTTCGCTGTTGTGCACAAAAAAAATAAAAACAAAAACAAATATGCAGCAGCACAGGAATGTGTGGTATCCATAGTCCAATTGACCATCGATGCAGAGCCGAGCAGGAAGTCGCAAGCGAGCCGGGGTTGGGACGCAACCTTCTTTTGTCCTTTGCGTCCGATCTCTCTTCTTCTACTCCTCTTCTACTCTTCTTCTCCCTTAGCACCCTGACCCGACCCTTCTTCTTACCCCAACTGCTCGCACACATAACTCTCCTTCAAGCATCAAAAAAAACAAAATAAGATATATATCCTGACCAATGGCGCAAACGCAAACCACCAAGGATCTCGCTGCTGCCAGGGCAAAGACCAGCTTCCCTGTTGCTGACCTTACTCGATACATCCACGGCTCAGATGCACAGATTGCCAGACGAAGGAAGCTTGCTAATTTAGTAGCAAACGACCCCGTCTTTAGTAACGAGGCCAGGCAAGTGAATGTCCATAGCGTTTGTTTGTGCATACATCAGCCTATCAGCCTCCAAAAAGCCTGACAATCGAACCATCGCTCATCTCGTCCCATCGTCTCATCTTGCTCGAATCAACCATAGAGTGGGTCTGAGCCGAGTCCAGGACGTGAAACAGGGCTTGGCCATGAGTCTACGTCTGTACCAGCTCAAGGAAGAGCACAACCTCACCCAGGAAGAGTTTCTGATGTGCATGGACTTTGCGGATGAACTCTTGCCTGTAAGTTCACTTGTGAACTTGACCTATGTCTCCTTGTTCTCCGACATGTGCAATTAGCAACTATCCCCTGACATATAAGCCGCTCTTTTTGCTGTGTTTACAACATTTAGATCGGACTCCATGAAACAGCTTTCGTCCCTATCATCTATGCCCAGGGAACAGACGAGCAGGCCAAGTACTGGGGTCCCTTAGCAGAGAAGCATCAGATCATCGGTTGCTACGCGCAAACTGAGCTCGGTCATGGCAGTAAGTCGCCACCCTAGAAGGTGAACAATCTATCCAGTTCGTCAAGGATTTTACAAACTAACATCGATTACCACCCTACTTCTGGTGCCTAGGTAACTTGTCGCAGCTCGAGACAACAGCGACGCTCAACAAGGACGCGGACCAGTGGATCATCCACAGCACCTCGTTCACAGCTTCCAAGTGGTGGATTGGCGGTCTCGGAGCCATTGCGACCCATGCGCTCATCCAGGCACGTCTTATCATCGACGGAAAGGACTATGGGGCTCACGGATTCATCGTTCCACTCCGCTCGCTTAAGGACCACCGTCCCTTCCCTGGGGTCAAGGTCGGAGACATCGGACCCAAAGCATACGGCGGATTCTCCAAAATCGATAACGGCTGTAGGTTTTTTTTTGTGGCATGCATACTCCTGGTATTTTTTTTTTTTTTTTTTTTTTTTTTAAAAAAAAAAAAGTAGAAGTAGAAGTGGAAGAGAAGGAGGGATCCCCAGCCTAACTTTTCTGGCTTGCTTCGCTACGACTAGTTGTCCGCTTCGAACACTACGCAATTCCTCGGGAAAATATGCTGATGCGCTTTGCCAAAGTGACCCGAGACGGACAATATATCAAGCCGCCCCACAGCAAGGTACAGCATTACAGCACTGCGCTCTTCCAGCCGTTGAATCTAGATGGTCTATCTGTTTTGTTCTTTTATTGACACGCTGCAATGGTTGCTTGCAATACATTGTAGCTTGCGTATGGTTCGATGGTTTTGCTCCGCTCTCATATGGTTCGCGGGGCAGCTTTGACACTTGCCCGCGCTGTAACCATTGCGACTCGTTACACAACAGTGCGCCGCCAGTTCCATGTGCCTACTAGTCGCAAGGACGCTGCCAACCCAAACCTAGAGACCCAGGTCATCAACTACCCCATGGTCCAGGCCCGTCTGTTCCCTATGATTGCTCAGATCTACGCGATCCTGGCTGCTGGCAATAAGATGCGCAGCATGTATGAGAGTATGCTGTCGGAACTCATGGGCGGCGACATCTCCTCGCTCGCAGAAGTGCACGCCATCAGCTCGGGTCTCAAGAGTACCTGTACCACCATGGCAGCCACAGGTGTCGAGGACTGCAGAAAACTAATGGGCGGACACGGCTACTCGTACTTTAGCGGCATCTCCCATCTCTGGGCCACCTACGTTCCCTCCAACACCTATGAGGTATGTCCTAGTATGCAGGGCAATCCAGTGATTAGTAAGAAGCAAACATCTAATGCCTTTTTTTTTTTTTATATTTGTACGATAAATAGGGCGACAACTTCTTGTTGACTCAACAGTCGGCAAGGTATTTGTTAAAGCAGATCAAGGTCGCGACGACGGACCCCGAAAAGGTCACACCGTTTTCTAAGTATGTCATCAAGACAATCGATCAGGATGCATTCCAGGCCGAGCGCTGCACTGTCCAGGATGCGTCGGACTGGCTGAAGGCCGAAGTCCAGTTGGCCGCCTTTGAACACCGTGCTGGCCGCCTTGTTGCCGACCTCGGCTTGGCTGTCTTCCAGGAGAATGTTGTCTGGAGCGATCTCAACCTTGAATCCTGGAGACTGTGCCATGCCCATTCGCAATATGTCCTAGCCAGATCCGCGATCGAGGCCCTAACTTTGGCTAAGGAACAGGGTCGGTCACCCGAAACGATTCTTGTTCTGAAGCGTCTCTCAGACCTTTTCGCGCTGCACACAATCCAGACGTCCTTGGGAGACTATCTTGAGGACTATTACCTCTCACCAAAGCAGTGCCAGACCCTCCGCCAGCAGATCAAGAGTCTTCAGGAGGCCTTGGCAGATGATGTCGTCGGACTCGTTGACGCTTTTGACTTTTCGGATCACTATCTCGGCAGTGCTCTCGGCAGTGCGGATGGCGATGCCTATAAGCGGCTCTGGGATAGTGCGCAAAGGGAGGAAATTAACCAGACAGAAGTCGTCGATGGCTACAAAGAATACATCGTTCCCATCCTCAACCAGCATGGCCCCGCCAAGCTCTAGCGTGACATTAATTGATATCTCACAAAGATATAATAAAACTAGATTGTTTTACTGAAGCTGTTAGTATTTAGGGGTTCACAGATGCACTGGTCGAAGAATGAATGAGGTTTTCCATAAATCGATTGCGGAGGGTATAAAGCGAACAGGCAGGAAGAAACAGCCGTGGAGAGAGCTGAAGGAAAAAAAAAAAAAAAAAAAAAAAAAAAGACTGAGAGCAGGCACGTTTAGGTCCTTCGGTGCGTTTTCCTGATATACTTTCAGATCGGTGAGTTGGGGTGCTTTTTTTATTATTATTAACGGGAACCCTCATAGACATGGGACTTATTAACTATGACCTGAAGGAAACCTACAGGTGGGACAGAAAATAAGCAGCGTACTGCCTGCCCCGACTAGCGCCGCGACGGATCCTTGGTTTTAGAATCTACAACCGCATGAGTGGCGTGCCGATGGCTCCTGCTGCCTACGTGGCCTGTTGTGCGCGAAGGTTATCCTTTAGCCGTAGTCCTCGGACATTTTATATAAGCGGTATTCTCTCAGTCGCTCCATCACGTCTAAACGCTGCTGTCAAAAATAATACTGCAGTGCCCTCTCATCCGCGGTGTCGTTGATTTCTTGCCTCAGGGTAGATGCCATGCAGGTTTTTATTTATTATTAACATAAATCCACATGAGCACGAGACGCGTGGTCCGCAAAGGCCTTGAAGCCATAGATGTCTCTCGAGTCAATTGACTCTGCGAATCTATCAGACTAACTAGCAAAGATCTACTATCGCTGTCCTCACCACCAAAGCAGAACCGATCCACAGTCGCCAGAAGACATGCACTTAGAGAATTTTTTTTTTTTTTTTTTTTTTATTCAACATGGCCTCCGACAGAGAACAATCAGTGCTGGTTTCCTAGTGAATAGTCTCTGAGACTTGTGTCTATCTGGCCCTAAATCTTCTAGTGTGGCAGTCGCACCATCTCCAACAACTTCACTGTAACCTCCCTAAGCGTCCCGAGGTCTTTCTCCTGCGATCCGCTCGGCTAGCTGGCAGGCTCCTCACCTGCAAATCTGCCAAGACCATCTCTCCAATTGCAACCTGTACATCTGGGAGATGGTCTTGGTTTCTTGAGAGCACGGAATCCGTTCTACTGGCTTGCGAGCCGAATCCTCTACTATTGTAACATTTCCTCCACCTCCTCGTCCCGTCTTTCCTCCACCTGAGGTCACTGGATGTGAGCTCAGATTAGCCTATTATAAAGTGGGCCTACTCACTTTTGAACTTATACCTGTAACCCCGGCAGGGGTAGCTAAGACGCATGCTGCCAGTGCAGTGGAATAACTTGTACACCCCGGTGTATAGCTGGGAAGTTCTGAACCAGCGCCTCTCGAAGTCCGGAGGCTAGCGCAAGGGCGAAATTTATTCTGAGCATTTTGTCAAGCGTTAAGGAAGGGGAAAGGAAACCCACAACGATTACATGGGGTAGTGCCACTCAATGTGGGGGTCGCCGGGGAAAGGAAACCCACATAACTGAAGTGGGGTAGTACGCCCGACTCATGCTCCAAATAAATTTCTATGCGTAGCACATATTACTGTGCTTTAACCAGGGCTCGAACCTGGTCCCTTCGCGTTACAAGGGAGGTGCCCTGACCAGTATGCTAACTGAGCCATCGGGCCTGCCCTGACCAGTCATGCACTTAGAGAAAATAAATGCACTTAAAGAGAGACATGCATTTAAAGAACGTATACAAAATAAGATATATAGGAGATTTGAGATGATAATAATTATGGTCAACATGGCCGAGCGGTTAAGGCGTGAGACTCGAAATCTCATGGGATCTCCCGCGCAGGTTCAAATCCTGCTGTTGACGCAATACCTTTTTGTCACGTCAAGCATGGAAGTCGATCTCCGCAGGAAATCCATGTAACGCCTTTGGGACAATCTATTTGGCAACCCCTATACTAACTCCATGTAAGGCCAACATTTTTTAAATGTCGATTATGCCAGTAGTCCTTATGGTACCTGGCCCCGGCTCTTTAAGCTAGATCGTCATCGCTGAGTCCGTCATCGATAAAATCCTTTTTTCCATCATGAAGAAGGCTTCTCCCAAGGTCGCAAAAGGTTGCATGGGGTGCCAGGTGGAGGAAGGAATAGTTCTCAACCTCTCGCCGCGTTGTTTCGACTTGGAATTCGCAAAAGATACGAGTCTTGTTTTACATGGGATTTGTGCAGGGGTTGCCAAATAAGAGTTACAACCCGGGTTGTCAAATAGATTATTCCAACGCGTTTAGCCTAAAAATCGGGTCTATGGCCTAAATAATACCTTTCTTGCTGTTTTCAATGAACAACATGCGATGTGGTCCTCAGGAAAACTAATAACAGTTATATCAGAGTTAGAGGCTTTCGAGCGCCAGCGCTCCAAAGCCTTGCCTAACGGTACTATGCGTGTCGCTGAAGTACCTCTGTAGGCCGAGATATGATTTTTTCAGTGCTACCTCGGTAAAACATACTAGAAAACGCAGCCGTTTCCGCTGAACGAGCATCAAAGTTAGAGACTACAAGGTTCTCACCGAGGGCTACCTGATAGTACTTTGTGCTGAAGCCCATGCAGAGGTGCCTTCTATGCCGTCATTTGGGCGAGAGACGAGCTACTTCCTATTATTCCATCCACCTCCGCTCTTCATGGCGAACAATGCACTTTACTCCGCACTCTTATTGATGGCCGGAAGGTGAGAATCCGGCCAAGTGGCAACCGAGGAAAACGCATTTAACACAATTGTTCCTGCTGTTATAAAAGTTGCACATTCTTTCACTGATTATACTCTTCTTCCTCCAAATCGTACAGCCATGATTATTAATCGCGTATTCATCCAGACCTTGGTGAATATGCCTCTCAGAAGGTGCGTTAGCCTGGCTTCTGGTGTAAAATCCATTTTATTCACCCCTTTGCTTCTAATGTGTCTGTGAGGGTGGGATGTGCAGCGTCTTTTTGCTGCGCATCCATACGGGTTGTCTCCTTTCAGCCACTGCCCAGCGCTCTCCGCCTCTGGGTACGCCCATTGGCGATAACCTGATGCCTCACAGATTGCATGTGGAGAGGGAAGCCCCTTTGTATTATGCACGTTTTTGGTGCTGATGAAACGACGCCATGGTGGGCTAACTTACTTTTGTTTTGTGATACGAGTGTTAGAAATGTGAAGCCCGAGCGGATCTCAGGACAACAGACCCGATGGCTCTTCATGGCGTCCTACGCTTGCACGCAGCCCCACCTATCCCGAATAAACCTCTCATACTGTTTACTCTTAGATACCAGTGCAAGGATTCGTATGTGTCTCCTAGGGTGATCTCATACCCATGAACTTTTTTTGAAGATCAAACCTATCACCGTATATCAACTGCCGCATGGGGGCGTCCTGTGTTAGAATTGAGCAGTCCTCGTCGTTGTCACCTCTCCTTTACCTTCGTCTACGCTCTCTCCGCGTCGCCTACCCTTTCCTTGGTACCTTACGGAAACCTCTACATGTCGTCGCTTCATTTTCTACCCAGGCAGTCTATCGTCCTTCATTCACAGCACCATATCCTTTCCATCTAGAGTAACGACCTCGTCATACTCGCTTACATTACTTCCTTTTTGTTCATCCTCGAGTCATCGTCGCTCCCTTCTGTTCCTCAGTTCTCTCCTCTAGTTTTTTTAAAAAAAACCCAGCCCGTTTTCCATCTATCTCTTGGTATCCTTGCTCAACTATCTCTCTCTGTTATTATTCCTTTATGCCTTTCCCGCTGCCTCCCTGTATCTCTGGTCTTGCTCCTTCTTCGTTGGGCCTTTATCTATGTTTTTCTGCTCTTTCTGGCTTATGCCATTGTTCTTCTTGCTGAGCCCTTGTTCATCGTTCACTTGGCTCAATCACTCACCGCCCCTTAAACCTCGATTTCCAACTCACAAATTTGGCCTTCTTCCTCGGGCGCGTGACTTCTTGCTCCTTTTCAATCAAATGAAATCATTTGAACGGTTCGCGAACGAGAACAAGCAAGCATAAAGAAGGTAGCCTCGACAGGCTATATTCCCGTTATGCTTCATATGTGGGGCGAAAGCGGCTCGCGGGAGATCCTATCGCTGTGGGGTGTAAACTGGACACCAAGGAGCTCAGAGCACAGTACGACAAAATGCTTATTGCTGATGCTGTCGGCCACACAAATGAATCAATCAGCAAGCTTGTGCACAAGGGCCTTGATAGCTTTACACAAGGTAGCTATTATTATTATTATATAGTTGCGCTTATGTTGTTTCTGGTGGAGATGACCATTAACCAATTGTTGCTGGTTTGGCGCCAAAGGAGCATTGAAGGCGATGGACGAGAATGATGACTCTGATGCGCAAGATGTCGATTTCGAGGAGCGAGGCAGACTTTGCGAAAGCGGAATCGAGCAAGGCCGACATGCCACCGACGAGCCCAGCTAAACGAAGACGCGGCTCCTTCCAGATGCAAGAAACCCAAGAGCCATGGCGCTCACTTACAACTGCCTTAATAGAGTTGGTGCGGTTTGTGATATGCTTATTATCTGGGTGAAATACACCAAACTGATAATTGTTAGGTCGACTAAGAGCTTCTTGCTCCTTGCAATGATATATGAAGGTGAATGGAGTCAAGACCCCGGTCATACCGCCAGTCCCGAAAAGTATGCCATCTGACTACAAAGCTCTGTTCAGACACGCCCAAGTCTGCTTGTGAGGCTATACAACAGATAGCACAAAGGACCCGATTCGTATCAAGGACGCGATGTATGCGATATATCTTTGCTAATGTTTGTTGTGCTCTGTCTCCTTATTCGAATACTCTGTGGTTCGTTCTCTAACATATTTGTTTCTTTAGGGTCTCCATGTCATGTGTACTCAATCTGTTTGGCTCAGGCGTGGACAACTACTTTGACAAAGATGATTTCGAGACCGCCTAGCCTACTTGCGCAAGGAATTTGAACAGGATAATCAAATTGTTGAAATCCTTAAGCCCTTGAGACAGGAGCTGCAAATAAAAGGAATGGAGCATCTGCAAAATTATGTCCTTGTACAGAGAGGTGAGGTAGCGCAGCAAGCACTTGAGGGCACGTTAGATCCTACTGACCGCCTTCGTGGCCAGGTGTTGAAGATTGTAGAACACCTCTGCACATTCATCTTGGATCCCCCATACGGAGTGGCACAAGCATCAGAAGCAGACTGTCTGCATCAATGGATCACCGTCTTTGCCATACTGAAATCCAAGAATATTACACTTCACACGTACGTCTCCAGGTCTCTATTTCTTTATTTTTCTTTATTTTTTTTTCTGTGTCTATTACTGACCATTGTTTTTCTTTCTTTCCTAAAGTGGAGAGCAAATCCTCAGTTCATCCAAAGTTGTCAACAAAGGACTTCAACTTGAGTTCGGAGACATGGCGGAGAGTGGCAGAAGATGTGACATGCTTTTCAGGTCTGGAGCAGTAGAGTTGGCGAACATTGAGATCAAGACGGTGGCCCAAAGTGGATCGGTCCCCGTTTGCCAGAACCGAAAAAATGTCCGACTGAATCGTTGTGTACGGGTCGCTCTTCAGGAGCTCGGCATGGAGAACGCAACAGTGATTGCTGGTGATATTGTGGGTCAGTTTTTCCTCATTTTGGCTGTTGTTACTGTTAATACACAATACCTCTTTTTCTCTTTTAGGATTCCTTGGCTATTTCTACACTATACAGAAACATGGCGACATTTTCGTGTGCGGGCCAATTACGTCCGAGGTTGTTTTCCTGCCGACTAACGCTGTCGAATTGGAAGATTTCCTGGGTGGGAAATCCCTTTCCGTGATGGTCAATTTCTTGGTAAGCAACTGCACGTTCCTGTGCTCGATGTGTGATTTATATTATGTTTTGCATACTTATCGTGATTCTATCTCTCCATCTCGTCCGTTTTCCCAGCGATCATTGGACGACCTCACCGCAACGGCAACCAACCTTCACTTAAAGCGCGAGCTTTATCTGGCACGGAGCAACATGATGCAGAATATTAGACATAGATCCAGCACACCCCCTCCAAAACCGAAGCAACTGGATCATACAGTTCTTCTTACACCCACGAAGAAAAAGAGATGTCTAAACCAACTCTCGCTGCTCTCTTAGGGCCCATTATTGTACATAGCGGAAAATAATACCTTATTTGCTTCAATAAATCCGTCACGGATTCCTTGCAGGGGTTGCCAAATAGACTCTTCTTATCTTTTTTCTTCTAGAAGATTTTCTTGTCAAAGATAAAGGCAATCGTGGAGCGTAAGAAACATACATCCTCATGTAGCGGGCTTTGTGCGAGCTCAATGACTTTCATGCTCAATGTGGCAAATGTATTTCCGGATGGGTTGCCAAATAGATTTCCCCTTTTTTACGCGACCACCAGCTTCGATGTCTTTCACAACTTGAGTAGCACCACCACATGCGACCAACTCTCTATCTAACAGTTCTGGACTCGAAAGAGTGGCTGTGGATGTTTAAGAGTACCGTTACTAGCCGAGTAAAGCCTCCTTAGCACCACTCCTAGGTTTGAACCTACTACACTATTGCAAAACAAGGCAACAGACAGAACGGATGGTTGAAGCTACGTTATCAGATATGCAACAGGTTACATCTATGCATATTGCAATTGTTGCTTCATTTGTAAGGTTTGTTTGACAGTCGGTAGAATTGACAGTGCATCATGCATTTCTAGAATAAAATGGATGATGCAGACCGCTGCGGAACAAACCCTTTGCTATCCTAATTTGTGTCGAAAGGAGCAGTATTGCATGCTGTCCTCTATCGTTTGCGATTCCCAAGATGATCAGAGCCCTAAAAGAGAAAAGAGAAAAATGAAGGCATTGCTGGCGGTGTATTTCAGAAAGCACACTTTGACTCACTGCTATTATTTTTTATTTGCCCTACAAAATGATCTTGGAGCACCCTAGGTAACGCATTATGCATTTTACGAATGGACGAATTTGGCGGGGGGAATCCTGAATACGCACAGTTGTTGCCACAGCCGTTCTTGTGCCATTCCTGCTGCAGATGGACTGGATCGATCTGAACTGAAGGCAGCTCTGCTACACTAGCTCAAATATTTGCCCGATCCGGAATAACAGCCAAATCGGCCTTGGCTTCAGCAAATTCCTCTATTGCGGGGAATTGCAGCAGAGTTAGACGGCTGTTGCTTGGTATGTTGGTATGTTATCAACGACCCATTGTCAAAGTGCTATATCCCTTACTCTTTTTCGCCGAAGTAAGCAGGGTCTTATTTTCGAGAAAGAGTAGTTTTGAAGAGGGCACTCGTTTGGCATAGACAGTCTAGGCAAAGCAATTCCGGAATATATGGCCGTAGGATTAATACCATTTAATTTCTTGCTTCCAATTGTATAATTGCCAACAGCGACACTGCACCTACCGCCTTTGGCCTCAGTGTTGACAATTCCTCGGTAAGGATGTCGAGTTCATGAATCTACTTGTCGTCAACAGAGGACGAACAAAAAGTAAGCACCGAATCAAATAGAGAAAATAGAATATTCATGCTGTGCAGGACTTTTAGGTGGGTACCTTGTTCTGGATCTCCTCGGCCATGGTGCTGATCGCTAATGCAAATGTGCTGCTGCTTCTCTTCGTTTCGTTTGATCAAATAGAAAATGTGATTGGGCAAAGTCGATGCGGACGCCACCAAAAATTAAAATTAAAAAAAATACTAGCATTGATGGTTGTCTTTTTTTTGTGAATGTTTTATTTTACAAGTGCTATCATGACGCGGGGGATAAAGACAATCAGAGGTCCTTCTTAAGAGTGCCCTGGAACTGCTGGCGCTCCTCGCGGGTTTGGAAGCGACCGTGGCCAAATTTGGAGGAGGTGTCGATGAACTTGAGCTGGACATTCTCCAAGGCAGAGCGCCTGGTATGGACCAATAAGGATTTGCGGAGGGTGACAACACGTTTCTTGGTGCCAGCGCAGCATCCCTTGATCATGACATAGTCCTCGTTGACGATACCGTAGTGGGGGAAGCCACCGAGGGGAGTGATGGCCTTCTCGGTCAAGTCGTACTCAGTCTTGGCGTTCGATTTGTCCTCACCCTTGCCGATGCGGTAGATCTTCTTGTTGACCTCAGTACGGTGGTGGTAGCCGTTCTGACCAGCACGGGGAACTGAGTACATGACGCGGGAAGGATGCCAGGCTCCGATACAGGCAACCTTGCGAAGACCCTTGTGGGTCTTGCGAGGAAGCTTCTTGGTGCCCCAACGGTGAGTGACACCCTCAAAACCGTGACCCTTGGTGACAGCAATAACATCGATCATTTCATCCTGCTCCAAAACCGAATTGATATCGACCGTCTTCTCAAAGTGCTCATATGCAAAATTGACCTTGTCCGCGACCGATCCGCCGTTCAATTGAATCTCCATGACATGTGCCTTCTTCTGACCAATCTTGACCTTACGGACCTGGGTGTGGACAATAACACGAACGACAGAGCAGTACTTCTTGATGCGCTCGAGTTCGCGAAGGATGGACTTGGCACCGTTGGCGTGCTGCTTGGCGTACTTGGTGAAGGCCTTCTTCTTGGAGCGGTACCAGTTCTTGTAGAAGCGACGCTTGAGTTCCTCAGACAAGTGCTCAGCCCAGATAGTGGTCAAAGAGCGAAGACCGCGAGGAGTCTCGACGTAGCCAACGACACCGACGACGACCATGGGAGGGGTCTCGATGATGGTGACGGCCTCGACGATCTCCTTCTTGTGCATCTTGGAGCCAGGGCGGTCCAAGTCGCGGACGACATGGGTCATACCCGCCTTGTAGCCCATGAAGGCAGTCAAGTGGACGGGCTTGGAGACATCATCCTTGGGGAAGGACTTGGCCTTTCCACGATGGCGGGCAGCACGCTTGCGGGGCAAGAACCCAAGGGAACCGTGGCGTGGTCTCTCAAACTTGCGGTGAGACTAGTGAAAGGGAGATATTTCGTTAAAACCAGCTTGGAAGACTATAGAGCAAAGTAAATACAAAGTTGGTGGCGCTGGAAGTGATGCATCGTTTAATCTCAGCCCTTCAAAGTACAAGGAGTGAGTGTGGCGAAAAGTGTCGTTGTCGCTGAAAAGGAGGTATCAAGGAGTCGGGATAATGGTTGATTGTTGCGGTCGCATCAAGTCAGGTCGGTGCGCTTTGGCCATTCATAATAAAAAATATCGATTGGAAGCAATTGAAGTGGTCGTTGGAGGCCATGGCGTGGAGTAGGATGTCGTTGAGCGGTCCAAGGATGGATGGATGGATAGATGGATGGACGGGATGGATGGGATGGATGGACGGGGTGGATGGATAAATAGATAGATAACTGGATACGAGGCTACAGTTATGCCATACCATTCTTGTCTTGAGCGGGTTGAAGAAAGAGGAGGCCGATTCGAGAGCGCAGGGCCGGTGGGTTCAAATGCCATTCATACTATCACGTGTGGAGTCAAAAGACAGGGGCAAAGGCATCTCGTCACCAAAAAACGATTCGACTGAAAATAACGTTGGAAATAACATCACGGTTGAGCCTTCTGTATTTGACTCGTACCAGAGGACTATTTTTGATACCGCCGTCCTGCTTGTGAGGCATTCAGGCCTTGAATCTCGAATAAAGTGTTTTTTGTGGTCGCCACAACAGATTTGAGGTACTCGAGTGTACATTTCCTTTTCTTTCTTGCCTCCACTGCGGCGCCCATTTGCTTCATCAACCCCATTAATAAACCCTCATTATCCTCAAACTCTTGTCTGGTCGCCACTTCTCTGGCAACTCTTTCGAATTCCTGCTCTGCTGCCCTTTTCCGGTCGAGTTGCAAACGGAGTAATGGCGCTAATCCTGCCTCCAAATCTGGTCCGAAAAAATCCATATTCTGGACATGTTGCTCCTGAGCAACGGCAGGTTCAATGGCAGATTCAATCGCAGGCTCACCGGAATAGGATACCCTCACACTTTTATAGAGCCTCTGAACCAGGTACATGTACTTGCAAGGGAACAGGTGAAGACAATAATCGGCACAACTGCATGACAATGTATGAAACGTCAGCTCTAACAAAGGATTTGACGACAAACTGGAAAAAAGGATGGTAAAAAAGTAAGCATAGGCATGAAACCACAACCACCACGATATTTTTGACAAATTAAGCCAAGCCAGAACCTACTTTGTGCTGGATCAGTGCCTCAACCATAAGCAGGGCAACATTAAAATCCAGTCTCATTGCCTCTTTTTTCCTCCTAGCGTCGTATGTTGACAATGGCGGGTCAGCAAATCCCTCTGTAATCTGGTAAAGTCTCTTCTGGAAGTCAACGTCCACTGCTCCCTGCAACAGAAACACAAGATCATCCGGGCGCAGATTACGCAGACTTCCTAGATGGTGCCTCTTCAACGTCTTGTGCCAGCTTTCTACAAGGTTGTTGGTATTGATATGCTGGTAATTCTATATTGCAAAACAATAAGGATAGTGGTTAACAGTTATGTGCAAAGTTGGACGGGAGTCAGCCTTGCCTAACAACATTCAATTTAGCCTTTCTCACAGTACCTTTCTAAGGTACAATGCCCATTTCTCCACTCGTTCTGGGACCATCCACGTTTTCAGGTAGTTGATCATCTTCTTGCGTTTCAGGAACGCCTTTGTGAAATCATCCCACTTCTGCACTCGCTCTGCATCAGTTCTGGCATTCCGTATCTCTTTCAAAGGTAGTCGCATAGCATTACAGACGTCAACCTATGAGAATAGAAACAGAACAATGACAGTGTGTTAGGAGTATGCTGCCACTCAACCCTTTTCTTTTCCTTATTGAATCGTTGCAAAACTGCACTTGTTCCATGATATTCTTTTGTCTTTCGCTCCCATGCCTGTGCAACATGAAACGAGCAGTAATAGATATGCAGTGTCTTGAATGATTGTCGTAACGCCTCTGTTTCTGTCTGGAAGCAGTCTACCATGAATTTGGACGCGTTCAAGCCAGAGTGGTCCTTGACCCATTTCAGCCAGGTCCTAAGAGTATTACTAAGGAAAAAGTGTTAAGGGCACTGACAGTCAAGGAGCAACGAGAGTAATGTAATAGAGAGAGATGAATCTTTTGGTGAGTAGGGAAGCAGGGCGCAGAAACAAGAGACGACAGGACAACTAACATTGATTCAGAGTTGCAAACCATGAAGGCAATTGGTATGCCAATATTCGCTGCTCGATCTCGGACAAGGACAGTGAAAAGGTATGCAGATGGGAACACTTTCTCGTTATCTGGATCAGGCAGCAATGATCTGACGGCCTTGTGCGTCGAATCCATGCAGACGATGCCATGGTGACTTGACATAACCTTGAGGTGGTACATGAAGATAATAGAGCTTGGTCCTTAGTAGAAAGGCGCGGAGAATTTCAACAAAGCATAAACTTAACAAGAACTCACTTCCAACTGGAACTCGGTGGACCAAGCAAAAAAGTAATTGTTTGTAATCCCGCACACGTATCAACAAAATGGCCTT